ACCCTGCTACCATTATTTTTATTATTATTATTATTTTTGTACGTAACACCTTAAATTTGATTTTTTAGCGTCTGAGATTAGGAATCTCTAAACACTGTACGGTACATAAAAGGAAATTGATTGGAAAATTAAAATGCTGAAAATTTAAAGTGGTGATCCCCAAATCTGACTTTGCTTTGTTGAAGTTGATTGAAGATGCTTGAAAATAAAAAATCTAAATCCTTAAATATTACTTGAAAAGACGTTTTGGAACCGTCGCCAGCAACCGCCGTCAACCGCCCAAGACGAAACGCTTTGAAACGTCGTCTGGTCGGTTACATCAACTGCCCACTAATTCCTCCTTTATTGACACGTGTCTTGCACCGTCTCGCCAAACGCTTCCATCAGTTCCAGAACTCAACTGGCCCGACAGACCATTCAAAAGACCAATTGCTAGACCAGCCGACCTACTTTATCCGACCGCAGACCATCAGACTTGTTTGTCCGACCTGCTAACCATCAAACCTGTCTGTCCGACCTGCTGACCATCAGACCTGCAGAATTTCCGACCTATGGACCATCCGACCCGCTAACCAACCGACCTGACTACCCGACCGCAGACCTTCCGACTTGTCTGTCCGACCTGCTGACCATCAGACCTGTCTGTCCGACCTACTGACCATCAGACCTACAGACTTTCCGACCCGCTAACCAACCAACCTGATTAACCGACCTGAGGACTTTCCTTCCTGATGACTTTCCATCTTGAGGACCTCCCGACCTGACCGACCGACCTGAGCGCAAATTTTTCTACTTTTCTACCCGACTTCGGGTCCTACCTTCCTTCAAGACACTGCTACCATTATTATTATTATTATTATTTTTGTACGTAACAAGACCTTATGTATTAGTTGATTTGGGTATTAAAACTTGTATGTTGTTATACACGAGATTGTATGGATTTGTCACTTGAAAAGTCTATCATGCCCCTCATTTCGAAAATGACAATTTAGCTCTTACCCTACCTTTGTACTGGCTTGAAAAGACGTTTTGGAACCGTCGCCAGCAACCGCCGTCAACCGCCCAAGACGAAACATTTTGAAACGTCGTCTGGTCGGTTACATCAACCGCCTCGCCAAACGCCTCCACCAGTTCCAGAACTCAAATAGCCCAATCGACCAATCCAGAGACCAATCGCTAGACCAAAAGACTCCTTGGCCGCACCCACCAAGCAACCTGTCCATCCACCTGCGGACCAGCTGACTTGCCTATCCGACCGCAGACCAGCCGACCTACTTTATCCGACCGCAGACCATCAGACCTGTCTGTCCGATATGGTGACCATCAGACCTGTCTGTCTGACCGCTAACCAACCGACCAGACCAACCGACCTAGGACCTTCCGACCTGCCCATCTGTTCGCTAACCAACCGACCTGATCATCCGGCCGAGGACCAACCGACCAGACCAACCGACCGAGGACCTTCCGACCTTCCTATCCGACCGCTAACCAACCGACCACACCAACCGACCAAACAAAACGACCTGACCCACCGACCTGAGCACAAATAATTCGATTACATTTTTGTTTTACAGTTTATATTTCAAATAAATAATGTTTCACTACATTACATTATAGAATAGTCGCGCGGTATACCGCGCAAGAGCGTGTTCTAGTATATATATAAAGAAAAAGATCGACCACACTGAAAACATTTTTGACTCCGCCACTATTTAGAACGTATGAAAAAAATAAATAAATGAATAAATTTTCATTATTCAAATTCAAATTTAAATAAACGTATGAAAAAAATAAATAAATGAATAAATTTTCATTATTCAAATCCAAATTTAAATAAATAAACAATAAAAATACAGCGTACGACTGGGGACAATATCCATTTTAGGTCATATCAATGATCATATGCATAGAGATTTAATTAAAATTGAGTGTCACGCACCTCTAACGTTCAAATCCGCTGTTTTTTAATCATTACATTTTCATTTACCATTTTCTCTGGCTTTTATCATTATTCCGGCTTAGTTTACCTGTGATATTATTAATTTATTTATTATTCACAATTTTATTTTATTTTATTTTTATGAAATTATTGTGGAATATAATGTTTTTGTTGGGACTGGGTCAATTCAACACTACTGCGATATTGTCAGCTTTGGCCTGAACCCGCATGAATTTATTTTTTAAAATATTCTCCGAAATGTCTGGAATTCACTTTAAACTTATAAAATGTAAAATTTTTATTCATAACTTCCGATGTGAGACTTGAATTTGCACCCCAACCGTTTTCAACGAAAAAACGGAACACACCATAATTATTTATTTATTATTAGTAGTGTATCGCATTTAATAATTATTTTGGATCTCATAAAAGTCAAAACAAAACATAAATAAATACTATAAATTTATCCACAAATCTACTTTATAATTCAATAATTGTTTCACATCTTTTCAACAAATTTATATAATCTTGTTTGATATGTTTACAAACTAATTGAACCAATATGATAAAAGATATCTACACTATAATTCAATTATTTAGTATAGTTAGTGTCAATATTTACGTAATTAAATACTGTATATTTTTTTATAACATGTTTCCAAAATAAACTATAGAAATTATTATATCAATTTTATTTTTACATTATTTTATAAAAAAGTATATTCCTGTTCAACGAGTGTTTACTATTTTTTATTTTTTATTTTTACTTTATTTTTGCATTATTTATTTAAAAAAAAAAAAAAAAACAAGACTACTTTAAAATGAATCCCATCTAACATATGCTTTTTTATTGAAAATATTTATAAATAACAAATTTTCTATTTAATGTTTATATACGTTATAGATTCAACTTTAATTTATTATTTATTTTGTTTCAAATTATTTTATTATTATTTTTTTTTGTCCCAATCAAAAATATTAATTTTATATTACAATAAAAAAAATCTATTTATAAATATTAAAATACCTCTGATTTTTACAAACAAAATATCATTTTACACACATTTTTACTTATAATTAAAATATTGTTATTTTTTAATTGATTATAAAAAAACTAGAAAGACACATTCTATCGCGGGGATCGAGTATTTTATTTTTACAATTGAAAAAATATATATATACCAAAAAAATCCTAAAATATAAGTAAACATTTTCTTATCAATTAAAATAATAACACCACCACAAATTCAATAATAATAAATTGAAGAATTTGTTCGCTAGTTTGGGGTTTAAGTATTAAAAAGGAATGAAATAATAAATGTATTATTTTTAGATATATTTTAGAGTTCTAGAAATTTGAAAATTAATAAAAATTTCAATATTAATATATACAATATGATATAAATATGTTTAGAAAATAATATTTTGTGTAGCAAATAAAATTTTAATAAAGTATTTTACTCCCTCCGTCCCATAACAAAGTATCTATTTTTTCATTTTAGTCCGTCCATAACAAAGTATCTATTTTTCCATTTTAGTCCGTCTCATAACAAAGTATCTATTTCTTTTATCATTACAACTTACAATATATTACACAAATGCTATTACATTTATATCACACATATTAATAAGGTTATTTTGTCATTTTTACTTTATTCATACTATATTTCAATATAATATTAATATTTTTAAAATTACGTGTAAAAAACAAATTGATATTTAGTTATGGGACGGAAGAAATATATCATATTAAGTATTTGATGTGATTGTCTTTTTTTTTTAAAAAAAAAATAATAATAATAAAAAGTACTACCTATTGGTAGTACTACCCAAAAGAACTTGCAACATTTTATTTTATTTTTAATACATCGAAAGCTTGAAAATTAAGATTGAGGCAGGCCACCAAAATCTAACCCTATACTGGATTTGGTAAGACTAATAATTTTAGGCTGCCAGGTTTTCATATTGATTTAATAATAATAATAATAATAATAATAGTGTGAATCCAAAATATACACAAAATATTGCACCACACGTAAATATATTGTACCCAAAATATTTGTAATAGATTTTTGTGATAATAAAAAGTTAAATTGAGAATGAAATTTGATTTACTGTTACTTTAAAAATGAATATATAATAATACTTTAAATATAAAATTATGCTTTTAATATAAAATAAATATTCAATACATATTTTTGTAGGAGATAGGACGAAATTATGGTAATAGTCATTACAAAAATAAAATATTAAAAACACTACCGGTATATTAGTTTTAACTCTTTTTTTTTTTTATGATTTTACTACTTTAATAAAAAAATATATTAAATACTATGTTAAATAATACAGTATTTCATCAAAAAATTAAAATACAAACACAGACGTGATACACTTGTTTTTTTTTTTTTCTAACTTTTTTTGTTACTTTTAACTTAAATAGTTATTTATTGTTGTATAAAAACACCACCCGTAACATTTTCCTAATAACAAATAAATAATATCAATTTTTTTTTTTTTAAAAAAAATTGCATATAAACATATCACATTAAAATAAGAAAATTAATAAACAATTATTATTGCAATAATGATGTAACGGGGGAATCCCAATTAATAATAATAGTAACAAAAACCGACAAAATCCCAAATTTTCGAACGTTAGAGAGAGTCCAAACAAAAAACACCTCTGCAAATATGACTACTGTCTCTCTGTCTGTGTCGGATTTAAACGTACGAATTAACACTCACAATAACGTTAATGTTCTGTTTTGGCAAAAAGTTAATTACGCTGAATTTACTATTAATCACCATTTTAATCACAATTAGAGTGTCATTAATTGACCTGTTTACGTTACAGGCCCCACCCCCACTCCGGACCTCGAGTCCCCCCACTAACCCCCACTCAGCCTCTTTTTCGGTTAAATTTTTCTAAAGCTCCGGGACTCAAACACCAAACACAAGCATATCAGCGATACGGAGGTGTCTGGCGTTCAAGGCCCAGGAGTTCCACTAAACTGGTTAGCTTTTACCACCAAACGGTAATTAAAGTCTATAAATTGAATGCAGCATCGGTTTCATCCTACAAAAAAAACTTCATCTTCTTCGACTCAATCTGGCTATGGAGTTTCACCTACCCTTCTTCTGTTTTGTATTCCTTCTGCTTCAGTGCTGTGTCCATTTGGCCTTCTGTGACTCCGGCGGCACCGTCGGAATCAATTACGGCCGAATCGCCGACGACCTGCCGTCCCCGGCGCAGGTGGTACAACTCCTCAAAGCGCAAGGTATAACCAAAGTGAAGCTCTACGACACCGACTCCACCGTCCTCTCCGCCTTCTCCGGCTCCGGCATCTCCCTCACCGTCGCCTTCCCTAACGAGCAGCTCGCCGCCGCCGCCGCCGGAAAATCCTTCACCGACGACTGGATCAAATCCAACATCCTCCCCTACCACCCCAAAACGAAGATCGAAGCCATCGCCGTCGGAAATGAAGTCTTCGTCGACCCGAAGAACACCACGAAATATCTTGTCCCGGCGATGAAAAACGTCCACGCTTCCCTCGCCGGCGGCAACCTCTCGTCGTCGATCAAAGTGTCGTCCCCCGTCGCCCTTAGCGCTCTCCAAACTTCCTACCCGTCCTCCGCCGGCGCCTTCAAGCCGGAGCTCGTCGAGCCGGCCGTCAAGCCGATGCTGAAATTCCTTAAAGACACAGAATCTTACCTCATGGTGAATGTCTACCCGTTTTTCGCGTACTCCGCTAATACAGACACCATATCTCTCGACTACGCCTTGTTCCGGAACAACTCCGGCGCCGGCAATAAAGACGCCGGAAACGGCCTGGTTTACAGTAACCTCCTCGACGCCCAAATCGACGCCGTGTTTGCAGCAATGGCGGCGCTAGGGTTTCACGACGTGAAATTGGTGGTCTCGGAGACGGGATGGCCGTCGAAGGGCGAGGAAAACGAGGCCGGCGCGAGCGCAGCCAACGCCGCCGCCTACAACGGTAACCTCGTCCGCCGAGTGCTCGCCGGCGGCGGCACTCCCCGGCGGCCCGAAGAGTCACTCAACGTTTATCTATTCGCGCTGTTCAATGAGAACCAGAAGCCCGGGCCCGTTTCCGAGAGGAATTACGGGCTTTTCTACCCGAACCAGCAGAAGGTGTACGATATTCCTCTGACGGTGGCGACTCTGAATCTAAACATGACGGAGAGCAAGGAGCGTGTGGTGGCGCAGCCGGCGGCGGCGGCGGGGCATACGTGGTGCGTGGCGAGCGAGAAGGCCGGGAAAGAGGAGCTGCAGAAGGCGCTGGATTACGCTTGTGGGAAGGGGAAGGCTGACTGCCGTCCGATCCAGCCGGGTGCCACGTGTTACCATCCTGATAGCCTAGAGGCCCACGCTTCCTACGCATTCAACAGCTTCTACCAGAAGAACTCGCGGGGGCCCGGGACCTGCGACTTCGGGGGTGCCGCCTACGTCGTGACCCACCCTCCTAGTAAGTTATTTCCACGTTCTTAAGTGGTGCTAGTTTTTTTGACCAGGAGTCGAGATCCCGGGACTCTGCTTGATTATTTTCATTTTTAGTATATAAATAACATTAACTAATATATTTTATTTTTTTTTGTTATTACAGGGTTCGGAAGCTGCGAATTTCCTACGTCTGTGGAGAACTGAATTTTTTTTAAAAAATACATTATTATTTTTTTAGTATTGTTGTTATTACATAATTTTATTATTTTTCTTATTTTGCACCATAGGTAGAACAGAGGAGAGGAGGTTAAAGATTACTATTGGTTTTTTGTTTGAATGGATTTGTTTAATAGGACATTCTATGATTGTAATTATTTACCTATTTCAATTGAATTAATGCCTTTCATTTTGGGCCTTATATACAGTTTAATTCAGTGCTAGTTATAATGGGCCTGTTTAAAGCCCATTACATTTGAGAAACCCAATAATAATGGGCTTTTGTTATTGAATCGATGGGACATAAGAAGCCCAAGTATTTTATTAATCAGAAAATGGAAATGGTTGGTCATGAAGCATGACTCGTGCACCAAATTAATATCAATCGCATTTATTTTATTTTTATTATTATTATTATGTTGCTGATTTTTTAAAAAAAGATAAATTGCAACAAACAATTATTACATCAATAATAACAGGGGACAAGTGGAGACTATATAAAATTTTGATAGATGAAGCCTGAAATGCCCTTGCTATTATCCTATCTTATTTTAAAAAATCAATTAAATTTGTGTATGTATACAATGAATGGATTGAATATGAATAAAATATGTTATAATCTAAAATATTTTATTCAAATTAATATTTCAGAAATAATAATATTTAAACATATAAAATATATTAAGATTTATTATCTACATTTTGAACTTAATCTAATACTTAAAAAATATATATATCTCAAATCAATATAGAACTATGAAACACTATTTTCAATACTAACTATTAAAATTAATAATTTTCAAAATAATTATGATCCAATGAAAACTAATCTGTAATTTTATTATTATTTTTTTAATCTGTAATTTTCACTCTACCTTGTAATGCAATCGATTTATTTCATCAAAATTTATTTCCAGATTTCATATTGTAATTTTAAATTCAACAATTTTCATAAACAACTAGAACACCCCCCCCCCCCACCCCCCCCAACAAAAGCTCTTATTTTTGTTTCGCCCGAAACCATCAAAAGTCGGGACCGACCATGATATATATCAATTTTGTATATAAAAAACATAAGATTAAATACATAATTTTTACTTAAAATACTAAATCAAAAACATATTTTTATTTAAAATACTATATTATTCAATATTTATTTATATTACATTAAATTCATATTTTTATTAATATTTCACCATCTACTTATCAATTCAAAACCTTAGAATAATAATAATAATAATAATAATAATAATAAATTCCCAAACACACATAAACACAACCCTAATAATTGAAATGTAACCCAACTATAAGTATTTCAATTAATTATGAATGGGCCGCGCAGCAGTCTGCAATTAATTATAGGGCTTTAATTTTTGTATCCACACACTATATATATATATGTATATGTTGGTAGAAAATTCAATTTTGTAGTTGTGAGTTTCATCTGATGTTGCCTTTTATTACCAATTTAATATATGTAGTTATTTATTTATTTATTTATGCATGTTTGTTGGCAACCTATTAATTATCAAAATTAATTTGCAACATCTCGCTTCACCCTCCATGAATTATGAAATATCATATTTGTTATACTCTCTCCGTCATCTCGTAAAGGGTGGCGGCGTTTGCTTTTTACAAGTAAATTTTTTAATATTAGTATTATATTGGATTGTAGTAAAAAAAAAGACAAAAATGTCTCTATTAGTATGGTGTAATATAAAAATAATGACATCTGTGTAATGTATTGTAAGTTGAAAGAGTATTTATTATGTTAAGTAGGTAATACAATTACTAAATTAGAAAATAGTAACCTTGTTTTGGGACGGACGAAAATGAAAAATAATAAACTTTCAACGGGACAGAGATAGTATATAATTTTAATATTTAAATTTATTGAATGTGTATTTGAATTTAATTAGTTTTATGGAATCAACCCATGTATTACACCTAACTTCATTACCGTGTATTGTTTACTAGTTATCTATGTACGGTTAATTTATATATTGTGCTTATATTATATTAATATAAATTATATATTGTTACTAACATTAGCGTGTATTATTTGCTTAGCAGTGTGTTGTTCAGCATTGTATAATAAAAAATAATAAAAATGAACAAAATAATATTATAATATTGTATTTCTAAATAGCATAATGTGAAAATGAGAGATATTTTTCAAGTCCATTTTTGTTTATACTTGTTTGCTTTTAATTAGATATATTTTGATGAAATATAATGTTTTTAAATTTAATATATATTCATTAAATATACAGTTTCGAAGAAAAAGAGTAACAAATTAAATACTCCCTCCGTCCCATGTAATATGGGTGTATTACTGCAGACACGAGAATTTAAGTAAAGTATAATTAGTAAGTAATTAAGAAGTGTATTAGTAAAAATAATTATTGATTAAGATTAAGATAAGTAAATAGTTTAATTAAAATTATAAAATTTAAAATTTAAAATGCGATTAAAGTGCATAATTATATTTCCAAAAAAAGAAAGAACAAATTATGTGGGACGGACGAAAATAGAAAATAGGGACAAATTATGTAGGATAGAGGGAGTACTAAGAAAAAAATATATAAGTAATTAAATTGATACATAATTTGTTATGTGTATAAATAACTAGTTTATTATGATATTTGTAATAAATATAATGTAAAGAAATAAGGAGTTTATATGAATGTAACTTGAAATTAATTTAAAATAACATATTGAGTAAATTTTTTTATTTAAATAGTAATTTTAATATAATATTTTGTAAACAAAAAATAAAGAAAATGACATAACTTGACAAGCATACTTACCTAAAATTTATGAAGCAAAAATAGGAAATGGCTGGAAGGGTAATGTAATAATGGAGTTGATGCCCAAATGTTTCCACCCAAATTTGTCACACCCGAATATTAATAAATATTATTTTATTTAATTTGTAAGATTCGGTTGACGTGTGAATTCGAGTTCTACTTGGATACTTAAATCTTATGAATAATGTTGCTATTCAAATAAATTTGATATATATATATATATATTTAAATCAATTATATATATATATATATTTTTAAAGTAACTATGACGTCTATTTTTTTATCAAAATTTTTAAAATTTTACTATTTAAATTTTATGTTTTTCGAAAAAATATTTTTCACAAAATATCTCATAAATTATTATTTTAATATTAAATATATATATATTTTATGAAAAATAATATAGGAGTATTTCTATTTGGAATTGTGTTATTATTTTGAGAACAATGTTAATGGAGAGTAAATACAATTCTTTTTAGATTATTTTTTTAATTAAATAATATTTTAATAAAAAAATAAACTATTTTACTAACAAAGTAAATACTATAAAAAAAGAACGTTGATTTTAACTTAAGCTAATAATTAAACAAGCTCCTTTCTATGCTCATAATAAAAACATGATTTTTGATCTATTTTTTTTTTAATATAAAAAGAATAATCCTGAAAATATACGCATTTTTATTTTGGAACGTACCTCATTTTTTTTTTCACAAATATTTTTACTTTACATCACATTGTTACTTTTATACCAAAAAGCAAGGGCAAAAATATCATTACACTACTTTTAACTACTCACTGTAATTAAAATATCATTATTTGTTAAAGACCACACCAAAAATAAATGTATACTTTCGGAGGGAGTATTATATATTTTCATTTTTATTTTTTTTATCATATCAAACCGCTATTAAATGCAAAAAAACTGGTTGACAAATTCAAAATTTCAAACTAAACAAACTCTAAAAAATACTGAAATATGCATTTTCTGTTTAATTTATTTTCATTTAAATAAAAGAATTACAGTAGTATTCATTTTATAGATAATAGTGGATAGAATCCATAGCAATAAGGTGTGCTTGGTTGATTTTCTAAATACTTCTAATCCATTTTTTTATGATCATTTATTTTATTTTAAAAATATTATACTTATATTTATTTAAAAATTGTAATATATAATAAAAAAAAACACAAACCGAAATAAGTCAAATTTGTTTTATTTTGATTTAAAATAAAAATTTTAATTTAACAATATTTTAATATAATATTTATTTTTAAAACATATATATGAATTAAATAATAATATTAAATTGTATTTAAAATACAAATCAATCACACCGATTGTATACCAACAAACACCCGTATAAAATTCATAAAATTAATATGTGATGATACAGGCAAGGAGAGGTCGGTGTTAGATATATACTAATATATTACTATTATTATTATTATTATTTATAATAATAAAAAAAAAAAGTGTGAGGGAACGCCCGCCCCATCTTCCTTTTTTCCGTGCATTCATTCACACACGCGGAGTTAATTAATTTAATTTAATTTAATTAATTATATTTCAGATTTATCTCAAACTCAAAACTCCATCTCCGTCTCCATCTCCATCTCCGTCTCCTCTCCCCTCCTCTGGTTTCTTTTCGTTTTTTTTTTCTTCTAATTCTACCTTTTGCATTTTCTCTCTTTTCTTTCTTCCCCAACTTGTGTAATTGTGTCTGTGTCTTCTGTTTGTGTGTGGCCTTCATTTCCTTTCCTTTCTTTCGTTGTTTTCTTCTCTTTTCTCTTCTTTCGATTCTCCTCTAAACGCAAATCTATCGCAATAATAATAATAAAAAAAAATAATAATAATTATGATGATGATGATGATGATGTTTGCCTCTGCTCCTTCCCTTTACTTTTCTGCCTTTCCCTCTTTCTGATTTCGCACCGCAACTCGCCTCCATACCTAATCCTTTTTCGTTTTTTTGTTCTCTGATTTTGGTTGTTCGGTTCCTGATTTGGGGTCATGCCGCGAGGAAAGGCAGCGGGGCGTCAGGGGGAGGCCGTCCAGGGCGGAAGGACGGACGGATCTGGGCTTGAGATCAGATTTCGGGGCGTCAGGAAGAGGCCATGGGGGAGATTTGCGGCGGAGATAAGGGATCCATGGAAGAAGACGCGTGTATGGCTCGGGACCTTCGATTCGGCGGAGGAGGCCGCCCAGGCGTACGATGCGGCGGCGCGGACGCTGCGTGGCCCTAAGGCGAAGACGAATTTCCCTCTGCCGGCGGGGACCGTTTTCCCCGAATTCAACCCTCAAAACCCTAATCGGGCGCAGATGAATAATAACCCTAGCGATCCATATCTGGCGTCCAGATTCTACCGCCAGGACGAACAAATAATTGCGGCGCAGAGGCCGACCTCCAGCGGCATGAGCAGCACTGTGGAGTCTTTCAGTGGGCCAAGGCAGCCGCGGCCGCCGCAGCCTCCGATGCAGCAGCAGAGAAGGTACCCTCGTTCTCCGCCGATCGTTCCGGATGATTGTCACAGCGACTGCGATTCCTCCTCATCGGTGGTTGACGACGCCGACTGCGACATCGCCTCCTCCTCTTGTAAAAAAACCCTACCTTTCGACCTCAACATGCCGCCGCCGACTGCGGACGCCACCTCAGCTGCTGTGGAAGAACTCGCTTGCACGGCGCTACGGCTCTGAAGTTTCTCTCAATGATCATCTGGAGGAAAATCCATTTGGTTCAATTACCAATTTTATTTTTATTTTTTTTTTGAAAAAAAAAAAATTATGGAGATCAGAATCCTCATAGAGGGAGAGAGATAGAGAGAGAGTTGAATGGCTAAGGACGTTCTAAGAGTCTTTCTTCTATGAGTATCTGTTGTTGAACTTTGAAAAGAACTTGTTTTAAATTTTTAAGATTAATGTTATCTATAATAGAGATTACTATGATGCATATATCTATCTATCTATGTTGTTTTGATCTTTCTGTGTTCCTTACTGGAATTTTAATGATGTTTGTTCTCTAGTTCTCAAATTACGAAGGTAATTAATGGTGAGGAAGAACTATCCACCATCTAAATTGGTATTTTGAGATATCTAATTTTCCCCTTATCGTTAAGAGTAATGGATCATACCTAATGTAGACCCTGGCTTGACATTTACAGTTTCTAGATCTTGTGTGATATTTTATATATACCTGTTGAGCTTAATTTGGATGATTCTTGCCACAGCTTTTGGAATGGTGAAATTTGGGTATATTCGAAACTCATTTGTGCCCTTATTAATCTGATTGTGTGTCATCTCTTTTGTCTATTGCTTATAGTTTCTTGAATGGTGTTTGGCTAAGTTCCAGCAATGGAGATTTCTTGACTGGCAATTGCTGGAGCGTGCTTCAACTTGTATTGGTGAGTATACGTCTGTTAATTGCTTTATACGCTGGATCGTATGATATTTTGTTTGTTTGTTGACGTACTTGTGAGTAGATTGTGCGTGCTTCTTGACTACTTTTGAGAATCTATTCATGTAATCACATGCATTTGCTTGTCTTACATTGATAGACCGTTGTGATATTTTCGGATTGCACGTGTGCATTTGGCATGTTTTATGATCCCAAGATCTTGTCAATGATTGTTCATTAATATATTTGCTGATCCATCGGTTGTTCCTTGTATCCAGGAAGAAGACATTGGAATTACGCGTATGGTGGACACATGTTCGTGTCTGTTTTGCTCTAAAGATGGTAAATCACTGTCCGGCTATTGACGTCTACGTTTTTGTTTTTATATTGATTTCTTTTATCTTTATTCTTTTTCCAAGATCACGCATCCGTTCTGGTTCTTGCATATGCTATCTTTATTATGTGTTACATGCTTATTTGTATAATAATCTATGAAGCGCGCTTGAAACCTTAACTAGTTTTATACGCCATGATTTGCCATTTCAGTGCTGAAATGTTAACGAGTAATGAATACAAATTCGATTCATGAACAGTTTCTGTTGTTCAATCTATTTATTCTACAATTGCAAATCTTTTCATATGGCTATGTGTTTGGGAGCAGCTAACAGTTCGATTTGAAGCTGAGAATTGCTATTTTTAATCGTGTTTTGCATTCATCGGCTTGCATTGTAATTGTTTCATCATTTCTGTGACGTATTACTAGTGTAGTATCCTTTCTTGCATATTCTATCTGTGCTTAAAATGGCATCGGAATTGTCGTTAAAATGATATGCTGCTTACACTTAATGATCTAGAAAATTCCAGTTGGCTTCTGGCTTCGGACATCTTTCTATTTCTCTGGAATTACAAATATCTTTGATTCTAATTGTTCCATTATCGCAGGTTTATGAAGCCCTTCTTCTGTCTAAAAAGGTTGGATATAGCCTCGATTTGGTACTTTTAACTTCTTCGACAATATGATCTAGCAACTGAAATAGTGGGCTTATGATTCTTTGCTAGATATGGTGTTTCTTTTATTGCAATTGGCATCCATCCCTCTATCTAATGGTATATGCCATTGTCCACTATCCGGCACATTATGATTTTTCGTCGTATACTCTTGTATGTCATTGCAGTCGAGTAGGGTTCAAAATCTAAGCTGTTTCTTTCACCCCGGCTTCCTTGCAATGGTTGTTAATGGCTGTGTCTTGGCCTGTCTGTGGAGGTACTCTTTCATCGTTTCCCTTATCGATCGGGCTATGGAATGCTTTCGAAATGGCTTGTTAAATGTTTGTTTTTTTTTTTGGATTGTTGGTTTGCTGCACGTTTTTGTAGCTGGAAAAGTTTGTGGTTCATGTGGCGTTTGTTTATCCTTTTTGGCAAGTTGGGTAATTGTCAACTGGATGGTGTTCTTAGTGGGATTCTTGTATGATATTTTGACACCCTGAATTTGGATTGTTACACCCACTAAGTTTGATCAAATCCTTGTGTTTTCGAGATGATTTTATTTTTTTATTTCTTTTATTTTATTATTATTTTTTAATGAAGAGTGAATTCACAGTTGTTACTTTTGGATTGCCTTCAAATTACACTAATACATTTCTGTAATACAGATATGCTTGTGCAATTTTATTTCATTTTAATTGTTCTTTTTCAAGAATAAAAAAAAGTCGATTGATGAACGTGAGGAGTGTTGAATTGAGACGTAACCCAGGAATGAATTTTGGTCTAATTTAACGCAATATTCATTATTCATATGTTTATACGTGTGCAAGCCATGTGGGAGGAGAAGCAGCTTGCACCACACCTGGTTCTATTATTTTATTGTTACAATTTTTATTCTATCGTAGTAATAAATAAAATAAATTAAAATACTTGATTTGATTTTATTATTAATATTAGTTTTTGTAGTCGTGGCTTTGCTGATGGATTGATTGATTGATTGATAAAATTGAGAATATCTATCGGCTGTTAACTTTGCGTCACGCTGCTGCTGCTGCTGCTGTTTAATCTCTACTACGCTTTCTTATAATTTTTTTTTAATATATATAGATATATTTTATTTTATTATACAATAATTTATTTTATTTTATTTTTTTTATTATATCGTTGAATCCGCAATCGCTACCGGAAAGTGTACATTGGATAAATCAGCCGAACCTAATACCCTGTAAAATAAGTCCAACAAGTAAATCACAATAGTCGAACCTAATAACCTACAATAATTCACTTTATCTATACATATTGAAACATTAAATTGAACCATATTTTGGATGTGTTTTTAACTTTTTTCCTGTAATGAAATGTATGTAATTATATATAGCTTATATAGAAAATGATGCGGTTATTGAGACGTTACATGGATAGTGTAGGATGAACATGTGACCATAAAATTATGGGCTTAAAGTTCAAACTCCGAAGCTTCAAGATCTATCCGTCACACATGATCTCGGGTTTATCAGACATCATATAATAATTATTACAAACAATATGTTCCTTAAAATGAACTAAGAAATGATAGTATTGATTTATATTTTTATAATTTGTGTAAAAATAAAAATATTTAGTTATTCGTACATAAAGTAATTTGACTATATCAACAAATAGGATACAAATATATATTAATTTTAAATTTTATAATTTTTTAAATTATAATTAGATAATTAATTATCTTAATTTAATTATAATTATTTGTATTTTATTTTAATTATTTTAATTATTTATTATTATTATTATTATCTAATTTCTATGTATAGTAACCCATCATACATATGGGGCATAGAGGGAGATATTAGAAAAAAACTAAAATATTGGCAAAATTTTTTAGCCAAATAGAACCAATGTGTATTTTTGGGGTTTGTTTTGTTTTGTGTTTTGGTTTAAAAAGACTTTTTTTTTTTTTTTATATATATATATATTTTTCTGAAAAAATATGTCAATTATTTTTGATAAAATAAAACACGAAATTTTTGTATCTAAAAGTAATTTAATTAGAAATAATTAATAAACACGATTTTTTTTGTATCTAAAAGTAATTTAATTAGAAATAATTAATAAACACGAATTTTTTTGTATCTAAAAGTAATTTAATTAGAAATAATTTTGAATTAAATATAAAATAGTAATAAAATACAATACTTACTAAATATAAATGATTATTTTCAATAAAAATAAATATTAATACTAGCAAGTAACATAATCATAACTCATAGCCTTATGTACAGTTTAGAAAAGCGTGTTTAAACTTTAAACGATAAGAGTAGGGCGTAGCCGCGTAGACCGGCCAAACTAAAACGACGTCGTTTTTGACCCCAACTCCAAGCGGGCTTTTCGCTCCTGTTCATTGTCCCATCGGAGCACCGAAGAAACGTCTTCCCGATTTAGCTCAAAGTGACTCACAATTCCATCTGAGCTTCAATATTTTGTGAAAAACGGGCTTGAATCAGAGCCCTGACGACGCCGGGAATGGAGATAGATTCGTCCCCGATTAGTCGGTGCTCCAAGGAGCACCAGAAGATCTATCAAGACTGGTTTGCTTACGCTGATTCCGGTGGCTTTCTGAGTTTCTTATGCTTCCAATTTTCATTTCAATTTCTCCTTCGGATTTTTAATTGATCTTATTTCTTATGCGTTTAGATGGAGACGGTCGTCTTACAGGCAGCGATGCTACCAAGTTTTTTTCCATGTCTAATTTGTCTCGCCAGGATCTCAAGCAGGTTCTCGATTTATTACCTTCTCTTGGTGTTGTATTGTTGTGATTATTGCAATTCTTAATCATGCCGAGAAACGTATGTATTGATAGTTCGATTTCAATAGAAATTTAGTTCCTGGGGATTGGAGATAGGGAATTGGATTTGGTAACTTTTTCTGGTCTGCATTTATATGTTTATATGCATTTCCCTAATGGATTTTTTTTTTTTTTTTTTTTTTTTTCGTGAGGAGTGGATTGGGTGCTGATTTTTAATGCTGATAGTATGAAAATTAGCTATGTTAATTTATTTTATTAAATTATATAAGTAATGTAATTATGTATAATAAGATTTACATATTCAGCATGCTGATTTATAATAATCAGCACTCAATCCCTCCCCATTTTTGTGATATATAATACATATTTGCGATTGGGATGACGAACTTGTCAGTGAATTAGCATGACTGATTGAATGGTATATATGGGAACTGGAGGTGTGTGTATTTGCTTCATTTATTTCCTGAAAATCAATTATTATGATATTTTCTTAAAGAACTTTGTCAAATAATAGCTATCAAAATCCTTTCATCTGTTTTGCCTCAACAGTAATTGTCACCAGCAAACTTCTCTAGTTTCAACTTTAAAGTTTATGACTTTATATGGCATTTGCTATAGATTTGAAGTACTAATATCATAAGTTTGTTACTACTAATTTTGGAAACAGTAATATACGTATAAAATAATCGCATGCGTTGATCTATTTGATTTTTATTAAAATCAAATTTAGGTAACAAATTTAGGGTGTAATTGGTTTGTTTTTGTCTTTAAATAGTGGTTGGATATGATGTTATGTGAGAGTAAATATTATATTTTTAGAGGAATCGTGAAGGCTGTGTAGTATAAAAAAAATAGACCTCAAAGAATGCACTATGCATAGCCTTGTTGAACCTAATTTAAGATGTCCAACTCAAATGTCGTTTGTTTGATTAGGCACAACATAGTAACAATTGGGTTGATCAGTCTGAGTTTAAGCAGGTTTAAATAGTCAAATTAATTATCAGCATTATTGTAGCTTCTCGAAGCAAGATTGAAGGTTGTCTGTCAATGATATATATCTGTTGATTCTTTTTTGTATTGAATTTTACCCATCTTCGTACTTTTTCCATTTTCTTTTCCGATGCCTCAAGGTGTGGGCAATTGCTGATTCCAAAAGGCAAGGTTTTCTTGGATTTAAAGAATTTATTGCAGCAATGCAGGTTTTTATTTTCTCCTGTTTATTATTGTTTGAAATATCAGATAGTGATGACATTATAATGTTGATTGCTTTTTTGCATTTGCTCAAGTAGTTAGTTTCTTTGGCACAAGCTGGCAATGATCTCTACGGTGATATTTTAAGCTATGAAGGTATGTTCTAGAATATTACGTTATAAAGCAGCGCGATTTTTTTAGTTTTCATCCTCAGTGGCTTCTAATTCTAGTTTGGTATGACAAGTTACTCCTAGAATGAGTTTTGTTCTTGTCTTCTTAAGCTTCATAATCGAAAACTACTCTTAGTTTGATCACATAAATCCTCTGCAGTTGATTTTGAAAACTTACAACCTCCAACTATGGAAGGTCTGGATGCGCTCCTTGCGGTAAGTTTCTTTTATTTATTATTCTTTTATTGAGTATTTTAGTACTATATGCTAAAAGTGTATCTTCTTTCCTGCAGAGGAAAAGGCTTTCGAGTGATTCTGAACTGAATGGTAAGATGGATGATGCTGCTTGCTCTAAAATAGTTTTTGAGGCTGACTTTACTGTGGTTTAGGCAGACCTGAATTGCAAACCTCTCCTTCAGCCAGTTGGTTTTCTTCTTCAAAATCTGTAAAGAAGGTAACTGTATGGAATATAATTGTTGCCTTCTACATTTCATTGTGATTTACATTATATTTTGGACGTCGAGCTTCTTTCCAGGTAGCGTTAGCCTTAAATGATTTATGTGTAAACTTGTCTTTAACCATGAGACCACTAGTTTTGTTCATTCTGTTTGCTAGAGTCGCAGGCGTGGTTGTTTTCTCCTGATTATTAACATGAGGTTTTGCAGTTTGGGTAATCGATATATTGCCATTTCCTTGAGAGTATTTTGTATTCTTGTTGTTTCATTCTACAAGATTATCTTCATTTAATTATTTACTATGAGAATTAGTGTTTCCTCAAGCTTATATTTTCTTATTGTAATTTCCTTAATTCCATATGCAGACACACATGTTATCATTGCTAATTAATTTTGTTCACTATTTGCATAGGTGCCTTTAAACTCTGTCACTTCTATTATTGATGGATTAAAGAAGTTGTATATACAAAAGCTGAAGCCCCTAGAAGTAACATACCGGTTTAACGATTTTGTTTCTCCCTTACTAGTAAGTATACTTTCTCCACATAAGTTGATTCTAATTTCTGGTGTTTGATTGTTGTATATATGAGCTCTTCGATTCTGGACTGTAGACAGAGACTAAACTTTCCCAGTAATTCATTGTGTGTTGGTAGGCCAATAGTGATTTCGATGCCAAACCAATGGTGATGCTATTGGGTCAGTACTCCACTGGCAAGACAACTTTCATCAAACATTTGCTCAGAACAAGTTATCCCGGTATATAACAATATTTTATTCAGTCATTTACCTCCTCGACCTCATTTTTGGTTGAGTATATTCAAACACACACGAATGTATGATATATATTGATTTGGTTCTGTATTACAGGTGCTCATATTGGGCCAGAGCCTACTACAGATAGATTTGTCGTCGTGATGGTATATTATCGCTATGCATTTTTCTTTAAATCAGCATACAAAGTTTAGTACCACACAATATCTTCCAATTTGTAGCTGTGCATCTGCTGCCAAACTTGTCGAATCTATCTGTTAGTATTTATTAGGTAATTCGATTGTTCATTTATACAGAATGGAGCTGATGAGAGAAGTATTCCAGGGAACACTGTTGCCGTTCAAGCAAACATGCCTTTCAGTGGCTTGACAACTTTTGGAACTGCATTTTTATCGAAGTTTGAATGTTCACAAATGCCGCATCCTGTGAGCACTAATCAATAATCATGTCTTTTTCACTTCCGAATTCCTTATTTCTAATAATTTAATCTTTGTTTGGAACGCTAAAAGCTGCTCGAGCACATCACATTTGTGGACACACCTGGAGTTCTTTCAGGGGAAAAGCAACGCACACAGAGAAGCTACGACTTCACAGGTGTAACATCTTGGTTTGCCGCAAAATGTGACCTCATCCTGCTTTTGTTCGATCCTCACAAGCTGGATATAAGCGATGAATTCAAAAGAGTTATTGGATCTTTAAGGGGCCATGATGATAAGATACGCGTGGTTTTGAACAAGGCTGATCAAGTCGATACACAACAAGTATGAGTTCTACATTTCTTTTCTCCATAACTCTGATTCGCTTCTGTGAACCTTTTTCAAAATCGTTTGTTTATTGCAGCTTATGCGGGTGTATGGGGCATTGATGTGGTCCCTTGGGAAGGTCCTAAATACTCCTGAAGTTATGCGCGTATATATCGGGTAAACTGTTTCCTATTAGGCTTCTGTTTTTCGATAAATTGTCATTAAAATCATATCTCAAGCTCCATTTAAATCACACTTACTGATTAAAGAACAATTTCTTTTATAAAACAGTTCATTCAATGACAAGCCTATAAATACTGCTGCTGCTGGCCCCATGGGTACCGAGCTTTTCGAGAAAGAACAGAACGATCTTCTTAGCGATTTGAAAGACATACCAAAGAAGGCTTGTGATCGTCGTGTAAGTAAAGTTCCATATCAGTATTTGCTCATTTTATGATGGCTCTAAGTATCGGTCCCTTCCTGTTACGCAGATTAACGAATTTGTAAAACGTGCTCGCGCTGCCAAAATACATGCATACATCATCAGTCATCTGAAAGGAGAAATGCCGACGATGATGGGCAAAGCTAAGGCGCAACAAAGGCTCATCGACACCCTTGCTGAGCAATTCGTCAAGGTTCATTAACTCTCTCTATATCTATATCTCTTTTCTCAATCTCTCACTCTAACTCATGACTTTAAACAAAAATTTCAGGTCCAGAGAGAACATCACCTGCCGGCGGGAGACTTTCCAAACGTGGAGCAGTTCAGGGAGGTTCTCAGCGGGTACAGCATAGATAGGTTTGAGAAGCTGAAACCCAAAATGATACAAGCAGTCGACGACATGCTCGGCTACGACATCCCCGAGCTATTGAAGAACTTTCGCAATCCCTACGATTAGCATTACACCGCCTGTGGAGGATAATTCATATTTATTAGTCTCCTGTGTTCGTTCGTCTTCTTCGGTCAAAAAGAGCACAATCTGCGGCTTTCAAATCCAATGCTGTTCTTATTCTTGTTGTAATTGGAGTAGACAATCAGATACATGCCGATTATGTGAGTGCTAATATGTACATCGTTGTAATCTGCCAAGTCATTTTGTACCTTGTCGTGCAACTGTGATGAACTATAAAAAGATGAACAACAAGAAAAACGAGGCTTGTCTACACAGCTGTAAATTTATTTTCATAAGCATAATTTTCGACTCGATCTCAAAACTCCTGTTTAATGGAGGAGACCAACGATGACAAACAAAAGTGTAATCGACAGAGTGCTCAGATGCGCGCGTCTCGTCCAGATATCGGACATGTGGGTGACCCAACACCCATGTGGAAGCGCAGTCGTGTCTTCACAGCACAATCCTGTTATGGCTGCTGAAGCGTACGGGAATCGAACCCGAAACCGCACCACACAACAAGGTCCCAACCTGCCACTAGACCACCGTTGGTTGTTGATCACCTACTTAAATTTTAATTAATTGTAGGCATTATTGCCGAATGGAGGTTGCGCCAAGGGTTTAGGGTTGCATCAGTAATTTGGAGGTTGTATTTTCAGAAATCGCACACACAGAAGGTGCGTTGCTCTGTTATTGATTGTTGGAGCTCAGAGTGTGGAAATTGGAAAGGTTAGGGAAAAATGCTGCCACAACGGTTGACAAGAGCTGCTGCGCAGAGCCCTAAGAAAGTTGCAGAGTTGATCGATCTCGTGAATCTTCCTACAACGCTTCGAGATTTCATGGGACAGTCGCAGAGTTCTCGGTTGAGTTGCTTTAGGCGAGTTTGGTCTTATATCAAGGAGAACAATCTGCAGGTCAGTATGTTGTTGAACAGTAGCCCTACTTTACTGTTGTGTTGTTTACTTTTGCTATCCCCAGTTGTGTGCTGTTTGTGTTTCTAATATTTATTACAGAATGAAGGACATGATATTTCAATCTTGAACTTGTTGATGGATTAGCAATCGCCGTTTGAGCAATTTTCCTTTCTAGAAGTTAGCAGTTGCAATGACTTAATCTTTATAGGATGTGATTTAGTGAACCTAATACATAAACCCTTGCCTTAAAGCTTAATAATGTTCTACAGATGAGTAAACCGAAGTGCTCCTAATTCACCTTGTTGGTGGTAGTGTGGAACTCATATTGTTGTTGTTGTTGTTTGTACATTGTATTAACCCTCTCATGTATTTCATGTTTAGGATCCCGTCGATAGAAACTTTGTGAATTGTGATCAAAAGCTGAAGAGCATTCTCTTGGGCAAGTCTAGGATTGATCTTGCTGAACTTCCCATGCTGATCAAGTTGCATTTTCCAAAGTCCATCAAGTGATGGATGCAGGTTCAATGTGTGATTCATCCTTGTATAGCTGATGGCAACAGTTTATCCACTTCTTGACGCACTCGAAATTTCAGAATGGCGCCTTATTTCTTGATCTTGCAACTCTTTCACTAGGTGAAGGGTACAGCATTCCTCATGACTGCAGACTGTTATTATGCTGGTGTAGGAAGTTTGTAAACTTCGACTTAATTATCATGTTATTAGATTTTGATGAAGAGTTTCCGGGAGCATTAATAATCAATAGGACTATAGTGAGTTCTTGGACTACTGCAATTTCTTCCTTAGTTATACATCCCGAGTCTCATTTATGACTCTGAGATAGCGTATTCTCAATGGCATTTTAGCTATGCTGCAATTTACAATTTAGAAAATTTCTATAGAATTTATATAAGATTGCATTTAGTTTGTTTGGTATTTGATATATTTCTTAGCTAGATACTGACATGGACACTGGCTGCACATGGCAAATTTATTCTTCCATTCAATGGCTGGGGTCACCTAATTTACTCCGAAAGAGCAGAAAGAATTGAAATTATTATTTGAATTGGTTCAAATGAACCTATCTTCTTAAAGATGCGATAGAAGTTGCAAAAAAGCAGTTTACATGATTTGAATGTATTTATGAAGATTACAGGGCATGTTGTTTTCCATATTTTTTAATTAGGAATGGTCTAGAATTCATTCAATGCCATTTCAACTCTCTACATTTGCTGTTGTCCCTTTATTCAAGAATACATGATGATGCACTATGACAGTGAATAATTTCTCCAATATTTTCCAGGGATGCACCGAACTACTGAACTAGTCACTTTCTATCGACATGCTCCAGCAATTCGATGTAAATGCTTTTTGTACAAATTGAACTTACTGCAGTTTATAGGCAGGCTATAGAAATACCGATAAAGATGTTCTGACTGCATAGTTTGCTACAATGCTGTTTGTTTTTTCAGTTGGGTGGAAGGAATCCCAGAACACATATTTGTTGGCATCCGGGCAGGTGAAGGGATTGTGTTCATTACATAAGTAGCCCATCTCAAACCTGCCTGTCCCACAACATGCAGCTGCTGACTGTTCGAAACCTGCAAAAACGGACATCCTTCTGTCAGTAAATTTACCTCTGGTTTATGTTTATTTGGCAATTGATGCAGGGATCATCATTGTTAGTGATAAATACGTGAAGATGCTTCGACCATCTACATGTTAGGTATAAAAACTTTCTTCTCAATTTCCTTTCCTGTTTGTTAATATTAAATACACGAGGATGCTTCAACCATCTATGAGTTTGGTATAAAAATTTTCTTCTCAATTTCCTTTCCTGTCCCTTAAATGTTTTCGGGAACTTGAATTGAAGTGAAAAGCTTTTCCATTTGACTTACCAAATAGCTGAGGATTTGTAATGATATCATAGAGAAGGTAGTATGGATTAGTGTTCACCAGCTGCAGTCCGGGAAGCTCCTTATTCATTGTGTTGATTAAATCTTGCAACTTTTGATTGAAATTCACCGCCACAATGTTGTACTTGTCTATGCAACTTCCTCCATATGCTAAATTTGTTGTTCTCTCCAGTGGCAAGCAGCCCATTGGAGGAAGCCCTGTCAAAGATATCTTTCTTGCACCGAGCTTGTAAATGCTCATTATGAAATTCTTTGCTAAGCCTACCAAAAATTTTTGGTAGTCTTCCACAGAGAACTCTAATGATCTGTGTGGAAGCAGATAATAATTCTCTAAAAAATCGTTTGTTCCTATGCTAATTAGGTATAGAGCTTCTCTCACAATCCTCTTAGCTTTCTTGTTACCAAGATAATTTGTTAGCCGGCTTTGGTATTCCTTGTAGAACTCTACTTCCTTCCATAGAGGAACTACATTCTGCATCAAGAATCATGACAAGTAATGAGTGACTAGATATATATGTTCTCATAATTGATCGAAAGATAAGGACTTAACAATGTATCTTTATGCTAGGGTGTAGAGAAGTCTTACAAGTACTTTCGAGGTGATATTATCATAACCAGTCCCGGCTGAAGCAAAGCAGACTCCTGTTGCAAAATCTTTTATAGTATAAGCTGGATCCAGGTAAGCTGGAATGTATCTTTTAAGCCCGAATGCCTCAGAGATCAAATCAGGGGGCACCCGACCGTTGGAAAACCGTCCAGTTGCTCTGCCACCATCAAAATCTCGGCCGTAAGGCCTGAAATTGCTTTTCAGGATAGTAGGGATGTAGTTGTTGTTCCCAGAATCTACGGAAGAATCTCCGAACACTATAATGGCAGAAACTTTGGCTTCAGCTCTGAGGATTTGGCGGTGGGACTGAAATAGAAAGATTAGAAAAATGAAATGCAGTGTCATCTCTGTGTTGTATCTTTCTGGCTGGTAACAGGTATCCCCTCATCTTTGTTTATAAAGCCACATTATTAAATAGGAGTTAGCTTTTAGGAAGTTTGAGTGTAGTTGCAGAAATAGATCAACTTTTTTTTTTTTTTTTTTTTTTGTGGGGCACCGAATGAGAAGGCACAATACCTATAAGATCTGTGCAATTATGATGACAGTTCACTCCTAGTTTTAACCTTCGACTATTGTCCTAATTGAAAACACTAACTAGTTGTTACTCTGTATTGAGCAGGCTAGAATGTTTCTAAGATGAAGTTACTATAAGCACACATGGAAAATTGCAGGTTTGTGTCATGGTCTGGATAAGCCATATTTTTATCCATCTCCGAACAACCAACTTATTTAATGCACAGTTTGATATTGTTTTCGCCGGGCTCCTAAAAAGGTATGATCATGACTCGTTTTCTTTTTTTTGGGTTTGAGAGAACACCTCGTCACGGCTTCATAACTGTTTGCTTTCCTCTTCTTCTTGTTTTGTTTTTGCAGATTTAGGAGATGCAATCGATGATGATGATGATGAGGGTATTTGTGAGACTATGACATAATTCAACTTCAACAAACAGTTCTGGTGAGTGAGTTTAAATCACCGTTTCTTTTCTTGCATCATTGCACTGTGTTTGTCTCATTATTGTGCAATTTAATAGGGAGTAGTTGTCACAATATTGATTGTTGGTGTCTTTCTTCTCAATGGTCTATAAATTGCCACCACCCCATATAATAGTTCTAGTATGGGGATACCCTTTACAGATTGGGGTAGGTCCATACTAGAATTGCAATAATTTTTTTTATTATTTTTTAAATTTTTAAATAGAGTTCAGGAATTTTAAAACTGATATTTTTGAGCTGGGAAAAGTTTTTTTTTGGTTAAATGAACTAGGCTGCAGTTGTTTTTTTAAATGGCTACCTAACAATAGCACGGACGAGCATTAATGGCGGCGTCGTGCTTCTCTGTATATGGTCAGTTTTTGTTTGATGATTTAGGTTTCAGTTTCGATCCAGATTAAATTATAAGTGTTTAGATTTATTGATGATAGGGTTGTAGGTAGGTTTTATGATTTTGTTAGTATATTGTTTAAGTTTGTAACAATAATGTTGAAATTGCTTTGGCTTAAGCCTATACCATTATAATTTCAATGGTAAATCTAAATAACAAGTGCATTTCTTTTAAAAAAGAAAAATGATTTTTATAGAAAATTGATTGGATGTCACATTTGTTTCAATTACTAGGCGCACTCAAATAATTATTGTTCTCTCCATCATCAAAATCTATCGTCATTGTTTTTCTATTTTACAGATGCATTTAGCACAGATTTGAACAACATAGTAGTTGTTTAGTTTGAGTTTTGTTTTGAATTTTAATTTAATTTAATTTTTGTAATTATATATATTTTATCAAAAATTATGAAAATTTTACAGTAATTTTTTTTTTTTTAAGAAAAACATATGAACAGAGATCCCCAAATGGGTTGGCCCAACCGGCCCAAATGGAAAAAGGGCTAAGCTGAATTCGGGTTGATGCGGTCCTTGAAAATGGATTTGTATGAACTCATATTAAGACTCAGGTCCAGGTCTAGGCCCAAACTAACTTTTACTATATGAAATTTGATCTTAGACAGGATTAAAATGAATAGGGCCAATTCAAGCCCAGGCAGGCCTGACCCAATGAAGCATTTATCCAAACCTCCAAACTAACAAACATCATTAAAATTGTGTTAAGCACGTTAAGTTCTACATAACTATCTCTTGGAAATGGTATAATAATATACTTATTCCGTCCTATTCCATTCCATGTAATATGGGTGTATTATGGCATACACGATAATTTACGAAAATAGAAAATAGGTCTGTCCTATTCTATGTAATATAGGTGTATTATTGTAGACACAAAAATTTACGAAAATAAAAAATAGGGACAAATTATGTGGGACTGAGGGAGGGAATAATTTAAATAGTAATTCCATTTAAATGTCTACGCACACTACAACTAATTACACTAATAATCAACTAGAAAACATAAAAATAAAATATAGCATGATAGTTGGCTGTCTATAGTACCCTCCTCCAATTTTTCGTTCTGCAACCACTTTTTGGCTCTTTTGGCTAGGGGCATTAAAGTCAAATCATATATTGACCACCAAGACTTTGTCTTGCTGCCCAAGTACCCAATCTCCCCTGTTACCTGAAGCTTCTCCGGCACTGTCTATTCAGTCGCCGCCGTTGTCTTCTCCATCTCATTTTTCAGGCAGCTCGAATTGCGTTAATCTGATCGCCACTGGTATCATGTCAGCTCGGTTATCAAGGGCCGTGTTGGCTCCGTGCCGATACAGGACGCTCTTCATTGGTCGCCGTGACAGCAGCGGTGCTTCCTATTCCAGTAATCTGTTGCACTCCCCCAGTAGATTGTACAATCAGGTGCTCTCATTAAGCTCTTGCCTCGTCGCGGTTTAGGGTTTTGCGAGGGTTTAAGCCCTTATGCGATGTTATTTAACTATATCTGTTGTGGTAAAGCTAGTTGGTGAATGAACCGTCCGTTAGTTCAATTGATGTCCGTGCACCGTATCGTTCGCATTCTGATTTCTGATGCCATTTTGAAGTTTGCGGTTTCTATTGATCATCCCGAGTTCAATTTCGTGATCTTATAGTTTGTTTATTCTTCATCTGAATATTCAGTTATTCATGTGCTCAAGATTTTCATGTTATATTGTGATCTAGGTTATCCAGAAAAACTATGTTCTGAGGAATATCTACCTTTGTTCTTGAGTAGGCTATGCTGATGATTACTTCTGGCATCGTTCTTTGTTTTTTAAATTTTTTGCCAATATGTTATATTGCAATGATTATGGGTCATGTGGTAGTGCTGATGGAACCAATTCTGTTCTATTTTAGGTTTCAACTGGTCAGGTTTCTCTGCTGCATCATTCGGCCCAGCGCTCGTCCCCCTTTCAATGGTTTGGATTCTCATCTGCATCTGCACAACCCAATGATAAGGAACCTGCTCAACCTGGACATGAAGAGGAAATGAAGGTCAGTGATGATAGTTCATCTGTTAATGGTTCTGAAATGGGACAAGATTCTGTTGCTGCACGTCGGTCAAACGCATCCGAGACCATCAAAGCAAGAAATAGAGGTACCAAAAGAGTTGCATTTTCTGACTCTGAGTCAGATGGGGAGAATGACCTTTCAAGAGAGGATCTGTTGAAGCGCGTGATGGAGAAGGAACAACTGCTGAGTGCGAGGCAGGAAGAGCTTGACCATATGAAGGATAAAGTTTTGAGGACTTTTGCAGAGATAGAGAATGTGAAGGAGCGCAATAGGCGTGACTCAGAAAATGCAAAGAAGTTTGCCATTCAGGTTTGTGCTTACATTTTTGTTCTTATAGTGACCCTTAAACCTCAATTTGAGATTGCAATTTGATTAATATTGAATTACATTGTAGAATTTTGCAAAGAGTCTTTTGGATGTGGCGGATAATTTAGGCAGGGCTTCTTCTGCTGCAAAAGATAGCTTCTCAAAAATCGATGCATCTAAGGATACAACTGGAGCTGTTCAACAACTCAAAGCACTCCTTGAAGGGGTTGAAATGACTGAAAAACAATTATCTGAGGTAATATAATTTTTTGGATTTGTTGTATGTTATGCCTCTACAGCCAGCCAAGTGCTCGTTTTAAAAGTTATTGGTTGTGATTAGTGGCTTGACTATATGATTTTGTGTGATGTTTGGTTGCTGTTTGGATTCTGCCAGTCGGTTTCTGCTCCTACACCAATAAAAATTATTCTTATTTTCCTTGTTATGGTTGTTTTAACCTATAAATGTATTTTGTGATACTATAAGCCTATAACCTTTGGTATCTATGTTTTGATAAGAAACTATGAGCTGCTGATGCGTAGAAGGGCAAAATAATTGCGGAGGAGAATTGTCAATACCATGACTAGCAAACTGAGAAATTTGCTTGTGTCAGCTGACATGTTGGATGCATGCGAATCGTAGCACTCCTAATCTTTCCAGACTATAATTTAATATAGCTACCGTTGGATTTTAAATTATTTAGTGAATGTTGTCAGTTTTGTGCCTTTGACAAGTCCTCAAATTGATCTGCAATTAACATTAATAACTTGACATGGGAAAATTTATAAGGTGTAGCAACATTTTCTTATTCATATTGTACTTGTGCAGGTATTCAAAAAGTCTGGTCTTGAGAAATATGATCCTACAGATGAAGAATTTGATCCGAATAGGCACAATGCTGTATTCCAATTACCTGATCCTTCAAAACCTGCTGATCATGTTGCAGTTGTTCTAAAGGTATATAGCTATGTATTTTGCTATAGTTTTTTTTTCCTTTTTCATGCATCTTGACAGCGGAAAAGTAAATCCTAACAGTATACATACCTCTTTGGTCCTATTCCAGGCAGGATATATGCTACATGATCGAGTCATCCGGCCTGCTGAAGTTGGTGTGACCGTTGCAACAAGTAATTAGGAAGTCAATCGAGTACTTGAAGTGGCACTACACTAGCAAAATTCATATTCAAGATTCAAGCTGGAAAATTGGATGGACCAACTCATTCTTGTTGGGATTTGCCTCCTCCCACTATGTTGCTGGGGATTGAAAATGCTCTGGATTTATTAGTATTTACCTTTTCAAATAAGATGCTAAAAATTTTGATTTCACTGCTTTTTGCTGGCATTCAGCAACCACAGTTGTTTCACTGCAAATATATAGGCATTTGATGGTTATTTAATAATCAGACATGATATACATATATATATGTATATCCATTGAACATCCTCAGTATGTTCATTACAACTTGATTTATATCCATTTGATCTAAGGTAGATCTAACATTTGATTACTACTACTGCTACTGACTGCTGCTGCTACTCTTAACATTTCTAATATCCCATTTACCTTCTTTGTCTAACACTACTCTCCTAACTTGGCAGCGTTTCCTTCACCGCAGCTTTTGTTGGAATCTGCTTGATCATCTTCATTCACATCCTGAGATGCCATGGAAGTTGTTAAACTCATTTGTATGCATAATGACAGGCAGGCAAACTGATTGATTTCTTGTAAAGTCTGAATCTTTTAATCAAAATGATGTATCTGCAGATGGAGAGAGAAGATGTTGATAGTAGAGAGAGTGCACCTGACCTGAGTAGTCTCTTCTGCAGAGGTATCTCCTCTACCATCGTTGCTAATCTTCATCTTCTCCACCCCATCCATCTTCTTCCCCTTTTCTATTGGAACAATCTGCACCAACCAAGATGGAAATGGTATATGAAAGATTAATTTCTGTGAGTAATTCCAATTTCCAGCTCTTAGTGGAGTGGAGGGCTTTTTTTGGTTTTGCAGGAGCTTATCGGCGGAGAAGGAGAGAGGGAAGATGAAAGTTGTGATTGATTACTCACCGGAGCATATCGGCGACGGCGCTTGCGTGGCTCTTCAGCGGCGGGTATTGGTGTCCAGCGGCATAGGAGCAGCGAAGAGGAGTCGTTCCGGTTGCTGCTGCTGCTGCTGCTGCCATTGTTGTGGTTGGTGGAGCGAGAACTGACCCACTGCTTCTTCCACTTCCTGACAGGTCCGTTGAACACCGGCGCCGATGGGCTCGACGAGTACCTCGACGCCGCCCGACTCTGTCTCGACCCCACGCCTTCCATTTGCGAACTCTTTGGTTTTCGGGTGTTTCTGGGAGTTTCCAGAGGAGCGGAAGCTGTAGCCGAAGAAGAGAAGCTGTCGTGGCACAAAAAGGGCGAAGGTGCAGGCAGAGCTGCAGATGACGTCGCTTTCTTGGTGATGCTTTTGAGGTTTGCCTTCTGCTCTGCGTGCCGTTTGCTTGCTTGCTTTTAGTACTATGTAATTAGAGCAGGGGATCATCGTAATGCTGCTGCAATTATGGAGTTTGGAAAATCTACGACATCATAATCACAGCCTCCCTTCCTTGTCACCTGCGTCCAAGATTATCCGAGACATTAATCTCCTGGCATTGGGTCTCTTGTTTGCAATGATTAAAAAGTCAATCTTGACTTTGGACTTGATTCACCATCTGGAGGAGGGTAAATTAAAAGGAAAATTTGTTGAGAAATATATAAAAAAAATGAAAATATGAATTTCGATAAAAAAAAATAAAATAAAAGTAATTACAATTAAATTTTATAAAATTTTAAAAAGGATATATATAATTAACATTATAAAAAAAACTGTAAAAATTATATAAATTTTAAATATTCTACTGTCATCATAAAAAATTGTAAAATAAAAAAAAATTAAAAAATAAAAAAAAATTTCAAAAATATCATAACGGAGGAATTATGACTAATTCAAATACATAATATATAGATTGCGAATCATTGCTCGTTGACCATCGAAACGTGTGTATGACCTCCTAGCTTTCGTTGAATTATCTTATCCTGCGTAGCGTTTTAAACCTCAGATTTTATTGCAGAAAGGATTCTGGGCAACCTGCGAGTCCGTCCGACAATGGAGACCTGCTGCGCTAGAGCGGCGCAGACATTCTTCCATTTCAAGCCGGCTTTAGTACACCTTTCACCTTCTTCTGTTTCACTGGTCCAAAGCCGTACCTATAAACCCGTTGAGAAAAGAGGTCAATTTCCATCAGTTTTGTCTTCTCGTCACTCGCCTCGCCGGACAATTTTGGCATCCTCAGCTCCGGCGACGGCTGACAACACCGTTGATGACAAGCTTCCTGCTGATATTTTAGTTACCGAAACCCCTGAACCCAATTCGAGGGTGTGTTTTCTTTCTTTTAATTTTCTTTGTTTCACCGGGACTGAAATGCGTTTTCTTTATCTCTTGGCCTGCCTTTGATATTCATGTTCAGCAATTGATATCTTTGTTCACAGTTGCCTTAGGCATTGTCGAAAGAATTGAATTAGTTATTGATATAGTCTTATGATTGAGGTTTTGAGATACATGGGTGGCCTTAATTTTGTCCTATCTGCAGGTCAGAGTGAGTGTAGAGGTTCCTGCTGAAGTATGCGATGATTGTTACAGAAGAGTGATTAATGAGTTTATGAAACATGCAAAGGTATTTCGTGGTTTTTAGTATTGAAGCTAACTGATGCTCTACTGTAATTCCAAGTGGATATGATAGTTAGTTCATACTCATACTCATATATATATATGTATATATGTATCTATATTAATTACGGTGTGCTTTCCTACCTGATGGTTCATGCTCACAGGTCTTGCTGAATACAGCTATGTGCTTGTGTTTGTTCGATAAAAACCTTTCGACTGTCATTAACCACACCTATAATCTACACGTGTTTTCCAGGTCCCTGGGTTTCGCCGGGGGAAGAATGTTCCAGAGAGTATTCTTGTTGGTTATGTCGGGAAGGAAAATGTTAAAAGGGCTACAATTGAATCTATCTTGAGGAGGACTCTTCCACATGCCATGTCATCGGTATGTTTTTTGTTATTATTTTTATGCGGAAGAGGACCATTTCAGTTTATGTGGAATGCAAATTTATTATTGTGCTAAGTAAGATATTTGCCACTTGTACTTGATAACCACACTGTTTTCATATTTTTGGTGGAGCTGCTTTTTTACTGATTCCATAACTATCTTACTACCAGGTAAGTGGAAGAGCCTTGGAAGATTCAATCCGCATTTCAACCAAATTTTCTGAGATGGAGAGCTCCTATTCCTCCATGAGTTCTATGAGGTTTCTTAAACATCCCATCTTTCCTTCCAGCAAATATAGTACTATTGATGAACTCGCATCTTGATTTCATGAAAATAACTGTTGTTCTATAATAGAAGTACTCTACTTGTTGCTTAGTGCTTTTCATTTATTTCTATTTGCGTTATATGGCTGGATTTCTTATGTCTCTGATTTTCAGTTTTTGGTCTCCTCTAAAAACAACAGGTGTGTGTTTTTACTGATGTCTCTCATACCCATGCTATGGCTATGCATTCTCCTTTGATATGTTTGAAGACATGAGTACTTGAATTATTACAACATGCTAATTTTCCTTTGTATCACTTTCATTAAGTTTGCTTCCAAAATTGTATAGGTACGATGTTGTTGTTGATGTTGTGCCTGAACTGAAATGGATTCCTGAGGATGGATACAAAAATTTGAAGATTGTTGTTGAGATAGATAAGGAAATAGATGCTCAGACTGCAATGGAACAAGAATTAAGACGCCGTCACAAGGCCCTTGGTGCACTAAGAATAGTAACTGACAGAGGGCTTGAGGTAAATTGATCATGGTTTAGCTCCAGTGACATGTACATGAGTCTTCTAGATGGTTTGTTGTATCAATCTATTTTTTCGGTCTAACCCTGAATTCTGATTGTTTATATTGTTAATTACATGGAACTTCACAAAAATGATTGAATTGTTCTTCTAGTATTGCTATTTATAGATAAATGATGTTCTTTACATTTGCTTAATTTATTGAAAACTCTACATGTCTACAGATAGGTGACGTTGCAGTCCTTGATATAACAGCCAAAACAATAGAGCAAGACGAATCAGCTGTCCAAAGCATCCCTTCTGCTGAGAGCAAAGGTGTGTATCGAAGTAGTTGGTGTATGATTCATTACTGTCCTCCATGATAAGTTTCCCAATATTTGATACTTTACCATATGGTCTGTGACAAAGCGAACATGTAAAAAAACTTATCTTCTTTGAATAAGTATGTTTGAACTCTTGGGATGGGTGTTTTGATATTCTACATTCCATGACTATCTGATTTGAGAATGCTTATTTTGATTGATTGATTGCTTCAACTGAGAAAATACTTTCTGGGAAGTCCATCATCTCTATAACTAATGTCAAATTTTCCTGATTTATGAAACTAGTTGAAGGATCTCATATGTTGATAGAATGTTCTTGGTTATAGAATACTCATCTGAAATTCTTTTCCCTGTCAGAACCTATTACAGCAAACCTGTCTATAAAAAGTTTAAAAGCTACATATATTCATTTTGTCACTTGTATGTGTAGACTATGTTTTGCAATATCTCAGATGATTGCAGCCTGCAGGTGCATTCTGGTTATGGCGCATTAAGTACTTCCCACTTTCATGTTGTTTTACAGGCTTCCAGTTCGACACCGAAGATGGGAATAACATCCTTCCAGATTTCCGGGACTCAATAATTGGGATGGAACGGGGTGAAACTAGATCGTTTCCATATTGCTTTCCTGATTCTTGGAAGCAAGAGGATCTTCGAGGAGTGCGTGCGCAGTTCACTGTGAGTTCCTTCTCTTGATCTCAAGTCTCAAATGAAATGCATTAAAGAATTGAACAAATTAGGTGATACAAATCTGACATGGTATCAGAGAGGTGAACATTGGAGTCTTACCAAAGCATTTTAAGAATTGTATTGACATACAAAAATGCTGTTTAGAGATGTGCATACAATCCTGATGAAGCACTTCTAAAAAAAAGTTTGTATGTTCCTCAGAAGGGACTAATTATACCCTAAAATATCAACAATTAAATCAAATCAGTTGCCTTTACAATGTGGAACTATGTGTGATTGATCATATACTGTCTTGTCTATTTTAGAAAAGAAAAATTGTTCACATTCACAAACTTTTAGTCCAAGAATCTTTTGATTATTTTTATCTTTGTTGAGCGGATATCCGTAATGTTCTTTTCTCGGTGAAACAGTTGCTAGTTTTGTAAGAGCTAACAATATGTCCGGCCAATTGGATATCTATAATCTCTATTGCCGGCATCTGTTTTAGGTGGAGTGCAAGGAACTGTTCTACAGAGATTTGCCTCAACTGACCGACTCAATTGCTGAAAAGATGCTGCCTGGATGCGAAACCATCGATGAGGTAAATTGTTGCACCTGGGAACTTATTTCCACGCCATGGAATTCAAAATGAATCTAATTCCTCATCGCCTACTTCACTACATCTCACTGACAATCTGTTATGAGTATCCATAGGTTAAGGAAACCTTACTGCAAAAATTTCTTGAAGTGGAGCAAACAGCCAAAGAACAAGCTACAGATAATGCTATTCTCGACCAGCTTCATAAGGTTCTCTCCTATTTATGTCAAACTGCTACTACTTACCAGACCTTTCGCTAAAATACAAGCACTTGTTGTTGGGCGAGCTTTTTCGTGGTCTAGTCTTATCAATAATAATAGTTTTAGTTGTTTGGTTTCATAACAGCGTGTGCGGCTAGTTTATCTACTTCTACAATTCCGTCTCTTCCATAAAGCCTGAGCTCACGATGTTGTGCTTATTATAGATGGTTGAGGTTGATATTCCACCTTCTCTGTTCGAAGAACAAGGCAGACAGCTGTATGGAGCACAACTTCTGCAAATTCAGGTGAAGATCTGCTCTTCCCTTTCCCTTCAGAAATAAATTTTTTATGTTTTCAACTATGAGTTTTCCGGCTTATGTATATTATGCATATTCTTGTTGGGATTTGTTATTAGGCAAACATGAAAATCAATGAACAACAGTTGGCATCTTTATCAAGCCCCAAGGCGGTTCGGGAGTTCCTAGAAAATCAGAAAGAGAATATAACCAGCATTATCAAGCAGAATTTAGCCGTTGGTGACATATTCAAACGTGAAAATCTGCAGGTAGAAAATTATTCTTTATGTAAAGCTCTCTTCATCCAATAATTTATGAAGCCATGATGATGACTAAAGTCCTGGTCTTCCGAAGTTTCAAGAAACAACCGTTTTTTTATTTATCATTTGTCTTTCTACATTCATTAAGTTATTAGTAGAAAGGGTATCTCGTTGTACATATCTGTTGCTAGCTATACAAGCATGTTCTTGAACTATGAATACTAGTGCAAATGAGTTATTGCCGAAGTTTATCAGGTGGCAAGAAATGCATAACTCTGTATTCTGTAATACAGATAATGACAGAGGAGCTAGTGAAGGAGGTTGAGAATTCGATTGCTGAATTCAAACAACACAACCAAGAATACGATGAAGAGCGCATCAAAGCACAGGTCACATTAGCTTCTGTGCTCTATACCTATCGTTCTATATTCATAAAAGGGCATAACATTCAGTGGAATGATTGACAAAATAGCATACGGTAGAATGATTTTTTCATTGTTGTGTAGGTTGAAGAAGTGCTCGAGGGAGCAAAAGTGCTCGAATGGCTGAAAGAACGTGCGGATATCACCTACATAACAAAGTAACAACATGCCTACCGTCTTTTGTGGGGCGGTGCAACAAAGAAAATATGCTATTAAGGCAATTGGGAAATTGCAGTCCTCTTTGTTTCGGCGTTAAATGGCCGGCAAACATCTTTCCAGGTTAGTGTATTTTGCCACTGCATATTCATAGATTAGAACTTTGCAGAATGGATATTCTTTTAACTATGGACTGCTATTTTTAACTATGTGAAACTGCGAATTGAGATTTCAAATAGATAAATAAGAGTTTAAGCTGCATTTATAAGTAGCATGTAGGGAAGTTCCTTTCTATATATAATCTTTGGTTCTGAACAACGGAATCAGAATGCTGCATTTGCCGTAGCATGGTTCAAACTTGAAAGTTTTTTATGTCAGCTAATTTAAAAATGGCTGCTAACCAGCCGAAAATGCCGGAGAGCTGGCCTGGATATTATGTACATTTCTACCTCTGTTAGCAGGAAAACACATTATGAAATTTACAACCTGAGATGTGTTTGTTTTGCTCCGTCGATGGCTGAAGCTCCTCTAGGTTTTCTGCTGTTTGAATATTTGGCCAAGCATCAAATACAATCTTTCTTGGTCTTCAAAACTCAAGTTTTTCTGTATCTGCAGACAGAGAATGCAAAAAACAGAGATCTCATAGCAATTTAATTATCAGGATGGTATTTTAGCCTTTTGGTATAACATAAGTAAACACAGCTTCCATATGTGTTTTGCATCTTTTGTAATATAATATAATGTGTTGAGAGAATATTACAGACCTGATCCAAGAAAATATCTATAGTGTTCATTTGAGGGAGGACAAAGGACTGAAAATAGATGTAGGCAAATATAGCCATAACCATCTGTGCACATAAGGAACATAAATCAACAAATATAATAAGTCAATCATATCACTCAAGTTGTGATTGTGAATCTGCCTCAATGGCCATAATAACAAAAGTAGTTCCAAAAAAAAAAGTAGTTTAACCTTTTTAGTAGCAACATACCTGGCAATCCATGCGATCTGTGAAACCACCATGCCCGGGAATGCTATCACCAAAGTCCTGGAGAATGGTTGGTTCATGGATTATAACCGGCTACCGGAAAGTGAGATTGTCGGGAGATGAATGCATACCTTGATCTTGAAAGCTCTTTTCAAACCACTGGCAAAGAAACCACCAAATGGTGCAATGATTGATGCAAATAAGCCAAGACACAATGCGTGCCATTGCACTGGCATGATATATACTCCCCTCCATGGGAACTGTAAAAATTCATTACGACATTACAATATGTGCTGAAACTTTATTCATGTGATCGACATTCATGGATTAGCATATCTGGGATGTCATTTTAAAGCTTTGACTGTATGCTAGAAAACTCACAAATTGAGGGAGCCATTTAGGGAATGAATAGTACTCTGGCTTGAAAATTGGTGCCGGGTCGCAGTAAAGCCAACCGATCGATAGATCCTGCATTCACTATTAGAACAATAACGATCCACAACAGGTCTGATTCTAACATGCAATTGTGGTGAGAATCTTAAAAGCCAGAAATACCTTTCTGGGGCATGTCATCCATGGGAACCGTCCCAAGATATTTGAAATCTGCAAAATGTAATGATTTAATTCTTTACCAATTTTTTTTACAATATCATTGATCATTCCACTATTTCTGATCTATCACATGTGCTTCCATTGGCATTGCACGCATCTAACACATCTCATCATATTAAACAAATCAGGGAAATGCTACATAACAAGAATGTTGCTAAAATTATTCCATTGTTTATGTAGTTATAAAAAGCTAGCATGAGGTGTGAAGAATACGTAGTTAATGTAACTCTTATCCATTGATCTTGATCGACGCAGGAACAGACTGTTGTTGATAGAAGAAAGCTTCAATTCTAAGCATAAAACTATTTAAATCCAAACCAGGATAAAACATGCATGATCATCATTTTGGTCCTTAGAAGATTATATAATTACCAAAAATGCAGACAACACAGTCGCGATCGATCCTCCAATAAATCCCTCCCATGTCTTCTTTGGAGATAGCTTGATCAAAGGCGTTCTACCGAAGAAGAAGCCAAAAAAGTAGGCCGAAACGTCATTCATTGCTATGAGGGATGCAGGTAGAATAAACCTGTAGTCACCAAAATGTAAAATTATTAACAGGAGATGCCCAAAAACAAAAGCAAAAAAAAATAAAAAAAATAAAGGAATTGTTCTGGTTGAGATCAGGACAAAGCAAAAAGATCAGAAAGAAGTTTCATGGTTATGGAATGGCATGAGTCGAAACACCAAGGCACTCAAGAAGAACAAACTAAACACCTATTGACATTAAGCTTTCTACCACAAAATCTTCACACATTAAATTCCTTGGAGACTTTTGAAGTTTAGACGAACAAGATGTGTATTAATGATCCATAGTTATAAGCCACAATGAAATTAGTAGGTAGTAACAAGTATCCCATTACCAGAAAATTCCTTCAAATATATTAGCTACTGTGAATGAAGACTGTGTGAAAACCACTATAAGAATCATGTGTGTCCATGCGTATTGACCGAATTGATACAGGTACATCTTCTTCTTCAGAGTAAGAATAAACCACACCATTCCTGCAATGACATACTGCTTCAAATTACTCAATACAAGTATATAAAATTTGAATTACTCAATGCAGATTATGTTAAAAACATAAAAGAAGCTGAAGAACTATATAAGTACATCAATGTGCACATAGAACAGGACTGCTCAATTCAAGACATACCTGCAACATACAAAAAATAACAAATGACCATGTGATATTTGATGAGGCCATTCACAAGTCTGTAGAAGAATTTATCTGAAGCTACTGTATTAACAAGATGTTGACTAAGAATGCGGCCGTACACATACAACATCGCTGTGAAGAAAAAATACCTGCAAAATAACAAATTGAACGCTCAATTCAATGTTGAAAGACAGATACTAATATCCTTGAATGAAGGTTTAAGGAAAGATGGACAATTTTACACAATGATAGGACTTTTGGTACCAATTTATAAGCCAAAACCCCGGAAGGCGCTTGTCTTCATGAGCTCTTCTACGTAAATGAAATAGCTCGGTTGCCATCATTATCTGGATGACAATCACCATCGCACAGATATAAAGATGCCCCAAGTACAGAGTGAGTAAAACACTCGCAAGCATCCATAACGACGAGTATGTTCTAATCCACATGGATTTATATTTGTTTTGATCATTAACAAGTAACTTTTCTCCATTTAGTTTGCTCACATCTGGAAAAACCTGCAAGCAAAAATGACATTATCATTCAAGCAAAAAGTTATTAGTTCAGAGTAAAGAATGAGTTCTTTGAGCTAAGAAAAATGAAATAATTTTTGAAGAGTCTTTGCAACTTTGCATTGCAAAGTTCTTCCCCTTTTACAGAAATTACTCACTGAATTCACCAAATTCCAAAAATGAGATTACATGCTAATCACCTCTAATGACTTTGAACGTGTTCGATGCCGAACTCGATGGGAAGGTGTTGATGGTAAAGGTGGACTGTTTTCCTTCTGCATTGTATCGAACCTTATCCTCACAAAGAAAGGATTTATGAAACATAGCAAGTCTACTGCATAGTAACATTGAGAAAATGTCAGACAGAAAAGAGAAGATGCACTATAATATCATCAAATATAGTACAACAAAAGAGTTTCCTGAAGAGAGAGAGAAAATACAGGTAATATAAGCAATGGCCATATCCATCGCTCCTACCATCAATTCTATGTGACAATCTATTGAGAAGAACTCCAACTTTGTTACAAACTTAAATTTCATCTATAAACAATCTCTGCCACATTTATATTCAAACAAAAAGTTTCAAAACCGAATAAAACACCAGTGATAATTCAATAATGTGCTCGAGATAATCCGAATCACACATTTCTCAATAAACACAACAACAAGGAAATTAACGATGAATACCATAAAGCACGTCGCAAATTCTTCATTATCCAAAATTTGCAACAGAAAAATGCACTGAAGAGTTGAAGCACAAACAAAACAACATACAACAATCCTGCACGAATAGGAATCGCCATACCTTCCAATATTTATATATGCTCGTAGCTTACGGCCAAAACCTGCCGCTCCTCCAGCTACACGACGAAAAGCGACCAGAGGCAGACATAGACGCAGGCACCATTCCCATCTCTGTCAAATCAATATCAACAAAGTTTCCATTGCTGGAAATTCTAATTACTGTTATTGTCATTAAGATTAACAAAACAGAAAGAAAGAGGAATTCATGTCCACACAAACAAATTCCCGCCAAAAACGGGTGCCCTCTCTGATTGCTCCACCTACACGTGTCACCTCTTAATATTATTAATTTATTTAATAACGTAAATAATATATATATATATATATACATATATTTTTACCCCACACATATATACAAATCGATTTTGGCACAATAATTAACTCATTTAATTTCTCTGATTTTGTTTTTTTTTTTTTTTTTAAAAAAAATAGATACAATGGATGGCCCAATTAGGGTCCCCTAATAATCAATTTTGCAATTAAACCCCACCAACAAAAACACAAAACACACAATGTTAAGAATAAATGTCTAGAAACCCCGCTACCCCCCCCCCCCCCCCCCCCCCCAAAACCTGCCCCCTACAACACCCACATCACATGCCTCCACCCTATAACACAATACTAGTCATTTAAATAACGTCAAATATCGAAATTATCGCCTCAAAAGGAAGCATGTAGCTCAATATAGCTATTTTAATTATAATGGGAGGACTGGTTTCATTTGTTCGTATTAACTTTATTTATGTAGGGAATTAATTTATTACCGAAAATTTAAAGTGAAACTTTTATCTGGACTAAGAATGACTTTTTTCCAATGTGGAAAGGGAATCATTATTATTAACTGAACAAAAAATAATTGGAAATTATTGTGCCAAAATCAGATACCCACTCATGACTAATTGAGGAATTACAAGATTTGATTTTGATTTTGATTTTGATTTCCATGCAGGGTGATGGGTGTTAGCAATTTAGCATGCAGTTTATATAGTATTATTTTAAATTAATTTAAATTAAATAGAATAGTGATGACACCTAGCAATGATTGAGACTTTTGCCCTCAAAATCTTCTTATCTTCTATCACCCATCTTTCCCTACCAATTATTAAATAATAATAATAATTTAAAAAAATGTCCACGTTATATCGACAGTGTGTTGAATTTACATAATTACCCCTCCCTAATCAGCCCCTCAATTGACGATCTACATTCTCTTCAAAGAAAGACCCGACCCGGCCCGACAAACAGCAGTGTCATGTTTCGTAAATAACTCCACAAACCAAGGGCAAAAAAAATTTATTTTTATTTCTATATAATCGTCGTCTGCTATACTGCATTGACTGGAAACGACGTCGCATCTGTCTGTGATAGCCCACACTCTTACTCTCTCTGCCCTTTCCGACTGACTATATATATCTTTTCGCCTTGTCATGTGCTTTCACTCTTCTCCACTGTCCTTCCCAGCGCCAGCAGCTAGAAAATAAGAAACGCTCAGATCTGAGATTGCGTCCGACGAAACGCGACCGGGATAGCGCGATCTGGTGAGGTTTTGTACTTCGTAGCTGCTTGTTTTTGTTTTCTGTGTTTCGATTTTTCCAGAATGGTCGAGTGTGTGGTTGGTTGCGTGGTGTTGACGAATGATGCTACTTGTTACGGAAATTTCTCTTGTTAATAGATATTGTTTCGTGGAGAGATCTAACTGTGTGGAGGTGGACATGTAGGATCCTGCGTGGTAATGTAGTGTCTGGTGTATCTGGATTGTGTGTGTGTATGGTGGTTCTGTTTGGTATTTTTTTTCCCAAATTGTATTTTTATTATTTTTCTTGTTTTCTTAATGAAAAAGGAAGGATTTTGGTGCTTGAAGAGGCTGATTTGTTGGCCGACTTGGTATTTGGTTTGATTTGAATGTACTGGAGTTCCGCCATTTTCGCTTAGATGCTTTCATAGACTGTCTGTTCATTAAAAAGGTTTGTTTCCAAGAAATGCTTAAGTGTTCAAGTTGATAGTTTTTAAAGGATCTATAAATGATGATGTATGTTTATCGAAATTGGCTTGCATTTCTTAAAACAACGCCGCCAGCTGTGTTCAATTTATTTATTTTTTTATAGAAGGAAATGAAAAAATGCAGGCGTTTGGGCAACTGAGCTGGTAGGAAGCATTTTTTGGCTCACTGTTTTTGAAAATTCTGTTTATTGTGATTTTTGGTGAGCTGACAATTGATGTGAAGGTTGTGATATCTTTGTATTTTCCTTGGCCAACTACTTGGCTCTGTACGCATGTCAGGGCTTACAAATTCGAGTGCATTATTGTGGTCGGTTTATTGATTAGGTGTAAGGCATGCTGCAAATAAATAAAATATTCAGTATATTACCAACCCCTCACTTGTGTCATGCTTGCTTCTACCTATGATTCATATAAGACCAATTTATGCTCAAGCACAACACATTGTTATTCTCCAGTTTGAGCAGCTGCGGGATGGCAGCAGTAGATGTTGAAAAGGATATTGTTGGACAGATTACCTGTGGATCTTTACTACAGCAGTTGCAGGTATCTGTTCTGTAATACTTAAAAGACTTCCAATTTCTGTACTCCTACGCCAGTTCCAATTAATTTTTCAATAATATCCACCTGAAATAAATTTTCTTCTTATGCAGCAAATTTGGGATGAAGTTGGTGAAAGTGATGAGGAGAGGGACAAAATGCTCCTTCAGTTGGAGCAAGAGTGCTTGGATGTATACAAGAGAAAGGTTGACCTTGCAGTGAAGTCTAGAGTCCAGCTCCTTCAGACACTGGCTGATGCTAGAGTTGAACTTACCAATCTCCTTTCAGCTCTTGGAGAGAAGACTTATATTGGGATTGTAAGCATCAATTGAATTGCATATATAATGATAATTGCAAGAAGAGTGTACAATCAATGGTATTTGATAAGATGCTTATGGCATAAGAATGTCACATTTGTTAAAATATGCCAATTTCTTTGATTTTCTTCACAGCCGGAGAAAACATCTGGAACAATCAAGGAACAGCTTTCAGCTATTGCTCCTGCTTTGGAAAAGCTTTGGAAACAAAAGGATGAGAGGATTAAAGAATTTTCCGATGTTCAATCTCAAATACAGAAGATATGTGCAGAGATTGCTGGAACGAGTGACCAGATGGAGAGTCCAGTAGTCGATGAATCTGATCTTTCTGTGAAGAAATTAGATGAATTCCATTCACAGCTCCAAGATCTTCAGAAAGAAAAGGTCCGAGATTCAACTTAGGATAGGCAATAGATCAATTGCTATATAATACTTCTAAACCATTTTCGGATTCTTTTCTTGACTTTGCAGAGTGATCGGTTGCACAAGGTTCTTGAGTTTGTCAGCACTGTGCATGATCTTTGTGCGGTCTTAGGCATGGACTTCTTTACGACTGTCACAGATGTGCATCCAAGCCTCAATGATTCTACTGGCGTCCAATCAAAGAGCATAAGCAATGATACACTGTCTAGGTTGGCTAAAACTGTTCTTGCACTAAAGGAAGACAAAAGGCAGAGATTGCAAAAGGTGGATACTTCAGCTCCTAGACAATGTGTTAGACTGAACTTTTATAGAGTCGAACTCTTAAATCTAATTAGATGGACAAAAACTACTGAGCTTGGACTTACCTCCCCCTATTGGTAAAAATGAGTTGGTCTAACTAATGGTCCATTAACAGACATCCTTGATAAGTTTTTACCCGATAGCAACCTAAATAGTATAATGGTCGATTTCAATTGTATTTGCATGATTTTGCTTGCCTTTGATTTTTGTTTCTATGGAATATTTGCATCTTGTCCTAACAGATTTTTTTATTTTCTTTTATTTATTCAGCTTCAAGAATTGGCAACACAGCTTATTGACCTTTGGAACCTGATGGACACTCCACGAGAAGAACGCAGCCTTTTTGATCATGTTACTTGTAATATTGCAGCTTCAGTAGATGAAGTTACTATTCCGGGGGCGCTTGCTTTAGATCTCATTGAACAGGTTTCTAAAGTTGTTTAATTTGAAATTTTCAAATTAGAGAAAATCTTTATTTCTATGATTTAACAGCTTATTCTTGTTTAAAGGCTGAAGTGGAAGTCGAGAGGCTAGACAAGCTAAAAGCTAGCAGAATGAAGGAAATTGCTTTCAAGAGGCAATCCGAGCTCGAAGAGATATTTGCTCATGCACACATAGAGATCGACACCGAGGCAGCTCGGGAAAAAATATTATCACTCATCGATTCAGGGAATATCGAGCCAGCAGAGTTATTGGCCGACATGGATAATCAGATAGCAAGCGCCAAAGAAGAGGCTCTGAGCAGGAAGGAAATATTAGATAAGGTTGAGAAATGGATGTCGGCCTGTGAAGAAGAAAGCTGGCTTGAAGACTACAACAGGGTAATTAACTTTTTATTGGTGCATTCAATTATGGTTAGGAAACAGAAATGGAACCATTTAATACTTTGATGTTGGATCATCTTTTTCGTTGGGTAGTTATTCAGGTAACAGATTCATTTTAGGCTTAAAACATTTTATTCGCGACGACAGGATGAAAACAGGTACAATGCTAGCCGAGGCGCTCACTTGAATCTGAAGAGGGCAGAAAAGGCCAGAATCCTCGTCAACAAAATCCCCGGTACATTTCACAACCATTACAATTTCAATGCCCACCATCGATCTTCCACACAATAACTGATCCTATTTTATTCGAACAGCTCTGGTCGACAGCTTAGTCGCCAAAACCCGCGCGTGGGAGCAAGAACGCGGTCTAACATTCACGTACGACGGAGTCCCCCTTCTTGCAATGCTGGACGAGTACGTAATGCTTCGACAGGACAGAGAAGAGGAGAAAAAGAGGATGCGGGTAAGTATCAATCACGTCGCAATCTGCTCATCATCTTCGAAGATACTTTTAATCACACTCGAATCCTGAGCTTGTTTCAGGACCAAAAGAAGCTGCACGATCAGATGAACAAGGAACAAGAAGCAATGGCGGGTTCGACGCCGAGCCCTCGTGGGGTCGGCACCAAGAAGGTCGTCGGCCCACGAGCCAACGGAGGCGGAGGCGCCAACGGTAGCTCAAATCGACGACTCTCCCTCAACGCCCACCAAAATGGGTCTCGATCGATCAATCGAGACGGGAAGAGAGACAACCGGCCTGTCGCCCCTGTCAACTACGTCGCCATTTCGAAGGAGGATGCTGCGTCGCATGTTTCCGGCACCGAACAATCGCTCCCGAGCACTCCTTAAGACAGCAAACCGTGGTGTTCCTATATCCATATGCAGTATGTATTGTTGTTTTGTGGCATTTGTTGTCTACTTGTAGCAAGATATGTAGCCTTCTTGTATGAGAGAGATATCCCTATGTAGACTGAGCTTTATGGGTATTTGTCGTAATATTGAGCTTTAACTAACCCACATTGAATGTTTAGGTTTTAAAATTTCGTGTAGGCCTTTTTGTTCTCCACATCGATAATACTCCCTCATTCCGGTAGTGAAAAGATAAATATTTTTATTAGTATTGTATAATATAAAAGGTAATTGTATTTGTGAATATAAAATATTTATTATGTTAGACAGGTTGAACGAACATAAATGAAAATGTCATCAAACATAAATGGAAAATGTCAAATTTCCAATGGGACAGAGGAGTATTTTGCTTTAAGAATTACATGCTATGGCTAATTTGTAAATTTTAATTTGGTATTGAATAATTAATAAATAATTTTAAAATATATTAATAAAAATAATTAAAATTTAATAAAAATAATTATAGAGTAAAATTAAAATAAATAAATAATTTAATTAAAATAAAAAATTATAAATTAAAATTTTTAAAATATAGTTTAAATGTACAGTAGTGGGCCGTAAAATGAAAATGAAGTGGGATCAAGATTTTTAATGTCATAATTTAAATTGATTTTTGACAATTAGAAACTTCTCTTTTATCAAAGAGTTTGAAGTTTGCTCTTCTGATGTAACGGAAGTTGACAGGCGACGCGAAGTCACGTCGTGGTATTTCATCTCCTCCGATCTCCGGCGATGGCGACCGACAACGAACCGGCGAAGCTACTCTTGCCTTATCTCCAACGGGCCGACGAGTTGCAGAAACACGAGCCTCTCGTCGCTTACTACTGTAATCGCTGTTTCTCTCTCGGTTTTTTTTTTTTTTGATTAATTTCCCTCCGTCGCCTACTTTGTTAAGAGTTTCCGGGTGCTTGTGGATCTAATTTTTGGGGATTTTTGTGTATCTGTTCGTGTTAATTGTGTTATTTCGTTTCGATCAGGTCGATTGTACGCTATGGAACTAGGGTTGAAGATTCCTCAAAGCGATCGGACTAAGACCACCAACGCCCTCCTTGTTTCCCTTATGAAACAGCTTGAAAAGGTTTTACCTCTTATCATGGAGTGCATATTGGTATATATTAGTAGTACATGTATGCCATTCTAGTGGGCGTTTATATTTCTAGAGATCGATGTTTACATAAGAAATTGACAGCAGAGGGAATCAATGATTCTTATTCGACCGAGTTATAGCTAGCAAGATGTTGATTACACACCGGAGGTTGGTAAGAACTGAGGGACAATTTTGGCGCGTTAAAAAGGGTTAATCTTTTGCAGAGTTTGTAAGGAAATCTAAATCATATCTTGAGTTCAAGCTGAAGTCACATATTGTTTCTTGCATTTAAGAGCTGTAATATGTGATGATATTATTACTTTCTTTTCTTTTAAGTGTTGTTATGCTGTTGCTTAAATAATATGGAATCCTTTTGAGCCTTACACTTTCGGCAGGATAAGAGCTCATTGAAGTTGGCGCCTGATGATCATCTACATTTGGAGGGATTTGCCTCAAATGTGTTTGCTAAGGCAGATAAACAAGATAGAGCAGGACGAGCAGATCTGTATGACCCCCTTTTTTGCAACTTACTTGGTAGACATGATTGGTTTTGTCCTGCACTGTGGTAGCAATTACATGTTAGGAATGCTACAACCTAGAAGTATGTCTGAGCACTGGATAATTCGTATGTTTTGGGATTCATTTAGCTAGTCTAACTGTGCTTTTTAGCTTCATTTCCCCCTCCTAAATACTGTCTAGTAGGATTACGTTTGCTAATCTCCCTTACTCGTTTTTTACTTTGATCTTCTTCTCTTAGTGAGTAGGAGCTGTAGGGTTAGGTGAGAACTTTTTATGCATTATCAGGTAATACGTAAAAATGCCTTGTTTAATGATATGTATATATGTCTGGCAAAAGCAGTTATGTTAGGAAAAAGAAATGCAGAGCAATTGTTTAGAAACAACTCTACTGAGAACATTCGTATGCCCTTGCACATCAATAAAGACTTATTGAATCTTTCCAATGGGAAACAATTTTCTTCTATATATGCAGTTATCCATGCACTTCTTTGCAATTTTCTGAGTTATTCATAGTTTCTGTTGTATCAAGTTTGAAAAAATGTTATGTTTTATTATTTAAAGGTTCAACTAGATTCCTAACCTTACTTCATTAAGAGATCCTGCAAGAGTATTGATTATATCATTGGGTCACGACCTCTCTTTATGTGATAATATACACTTTTAGTTATTTAATGTTGTGTTATTTGAATAATATTCTGTTAAGTTTTTGATCTGCATCTTCTCTTTATTAATTTTCCTTTCTCTTGCTACAGAAATACTGCCAAAACTTTCTATGCTGCAAGCATTTTCTTTGAAATCCTTAATCAGTTTGGCGAGCTTCAGCCTGATGTGAGCATTATATGATTGTGCATTTGTACTCAACCTATTATTAATCATATTTCGTTCTCTAAAAGTTCAATATTCCAGCTCGAGCAGAAACAGAAGTACGCAGTATGGAAAGCAGCGGATATAAGAAAAGCTTTGAAAGAAGGGAGGGAGCCCCACCCTGGTCCTCCTGATGGTGGCGATCATCTGGGGATCCCATCAAATACATCAAGTGTTGAATATGTACGATCCATTTCCTCCTAACATGTTGATTTGATTATTATTTACTTGCTACAAACACTGCAGTAGACTATTAACGCCTTACCTTATAAGCTATGCCTTTAATTTGATGGTGCAATGTTTATTGCACTTCTGTCCTGTATTTGTTCTTGAAACGATTTCCTGATCCTTCTTTCATACTATTGAAAAGGTGAAAAAAAGTTACTGAAGCTCTGTTGTAATGCTGTCTATGCAGGATCTCGGAACAAGCAGAGGTGATGATCCTGCCGGGCCTGACTTGACCAGAGTAAATTCTGCTACAAAAACTTCACCAGATTTAGATTCATCTCCTCAAGGGTATGATAAACCTGATTTTCACCATCCTGCCCATACCCCGACATCCCCAAGTTTTACGCCAACCACACCCTCACCTTCTTTGGGGATTTCTCCATCGCCTAACTACCCCACAGACAATTACCCATCTGAAAATGTTCATCAACAACCCACACCCTCACCTTCTCCAGCAATTTCTCCAATGAACAACTCAGAGCATTCTTTTTATCATCAACCGTATAGCCTCTCGCCATACCAACCAGAACTTCAGCAACACTTACCCCAACAATACCCTTTACAGGATGCATCACCATTGTCGTACCCCAACTTCCAGTCTTATCCTAGTTTCTCGGACAGTAGCCTTCCGGCAGCCCCAACTCATTACCCTTCTTATTATCAAGGCTCTGAAGCTTCCTACCCGGCAGCCCATACTTCAGCATTTCCTCCTGCTCAACACAATTCTAGCGGTAGAAATGAAAGCCTTCATGAAGCCGTTCAACCTCCCACGCAAGAATATGAACAGAAGAGCAATTACCAGCCTCCGCCTGAGAAAATAGCGGAAGCGCACAAAGCTGCGAGGTTTGCTGTTGGGGCTCTGGCATTTGATGATGTTTCTATTGCAGTTGATTACCTTAAGAAATCTCTCGACTTACTGACAAAACCATCAGCTGGACACTGAATTCAATTACAGTACCACTATTGCCTAATACGTTGCATTGTTTGATCATATGTAATGTTTAAAGTGGTCGTGCTTGCTTCCCATGTTCATAAACATATTCCCATGTTCATAAACATATTTGGAAATTGTGGAGTTGTGTGAAAATTGGTTCTTTCTTGAGACATTTGTTGTGGAAATTGATCAGTTGAATCCATTTTGTGCAGTTGGTTTTTTTTGTCACTGACCAAATACAATTATATATATATATATGTATATTATATGTGTGTAATGTATGAATGTGGTATCTATCCTACAAGGGCAAGCCAAGAGATTCTGTATTGTCGAATGTGGTACAAATATTTGTCTTTCTTTACAAACTCCAAAGCTACCCTTGTACTAATACACAAGCTTTGAGAAATTGATCAGCAAAGACATGATGATGTGATGTGCACTGAAAGTAGCAATGGACAATAAACACACCAAACTAAGACACTGAATCTGCAAGATTCCAAATGATTGGGCGGAATTACCAATGCTCAAACTTACAATATTGTTCTCTGAGAATACGTCCAGCTGCACATGGTCAGATCACTCCTAAGTTATTCTTGTCCATATAAATCATCAATTCTCACCATTTGATCCATTAAAAGATTCCTCTTCTCCTTCTTCTTCGCTTTTGTCGGAATGGGGGTGAGTTTCTGTGGTCTCCGATGTCTTTCGAATCCAAAAAGATCTTCCAATCGAGAGGAAGTATGGTGCAAAGAAGAGTGTGGACTAACGATGAGGGTGGCGAAATTAAGGAGGTCGAGAAGCTGCGGATTGTGGGGAGGGAGGAAGAGGCAGCAGTTAGAGGCGACGGAGAAGAAGGAGGTGAATGTTCGCGATGATAATGGCAATTCTAGGGTTTTGACTCTGGAGGAATGGATTATGTCTTCGCCTGCAGGTTTGAACAGTCATGGCAGTGGCGGAGGCGATTCTCTTATTAGAGGAGTATCGTCGTCCAGAAAAATTCATCCGTCGCTCGATGGATGCACGGTGGAAGCTCTGCTTGAATCTATGGAGAAGGAGAAGAAGAAGGAATTGGAGTTGGATACAGATGAAGCTGAAATTAATGGGAAGGTGAAGCAGGAGTTGGAAGCCCGTAGAAGCTCATCGCTTATATTGCCGGCGGCCGGGAAGATGAAGAAGAGAGTAAGTTTTCGATCCCCTGAAATTGCAGACGTCTTTGTGCTCCAGTCGCCACAACTGAAGATGATGAAGCAATAGCATCCTCTCCCTCTACCCGTCTCTCTCTCTCTCTCTCTCTCTCTCTCAATATATATATATATATCTATATATGCACGCACACGTGTGCGTGTACTCTACACAGTGAAGAAGAAGATCACAGAAACGACGTCGTCTCTGTGATGCCGTGATATGAAATTACATATATTAATGGACCTACGTTGCAATTAATTATTCTTGAGAGAGAGGGAGAGATGGATGGGTATCGGGTGGCGGCTACTGCAAGCAACAGTAGTCCAATTACTAATTAATCAATTTTATTCAATTGACTCTCAACTTATTACTAATTATTATTCTGCATATATCATGTGCACCAAAGTTCCAAAGTAAATATATTCGTCGTCCATAAATTAGGGTTTCAGCTGGATTTACGATACTTACAGTATAAATAAGTAGCAGCAGTAGTAGTATTATAGAATCAATCATATATATAAATAAGTAATGTTGTGAAAGAGAGAGAGAGAGAGAGAGAGAGAGAGAGAGACGTGACAAATCGAGAGGTTTGATCCGACATTGAAGTAGCAATTATGGGGAAGAAATTATCAGCAAGATTTGCCTAAAAAGCCAAAGACATATATACATGTCGACTGTTTCAAATGCAGACACAATCATCATCTTCTATCTCCATCACCATCTATGAACTGTTCATTAAAGCTTATTAGCTACCCACCAATGGAAATTGGAATGAATTATTACGAATCAGCATTAAAGTTCACACTTTCCATCTTTATTTATTTCATTTCATTTCCCCAACTTAATTTCCATTCATTCATTAATTAAACCCCAAGTTTTATTCATTACTCCTTAAATATACTCATCCACTATTTAAACCACAATACATACATACACACACATATATATATCTCAAGAATACATCAATAATATTAGTAACTATAATAATAATATTTTGGGGTTGGAGTAATTTAATTAATTAATTAAGTAATTAGGGTAGAGAAAGGGAGGCTACAATGTGGAAGAACTGAAGCTGGTCGAGGAGGTCCTTGGCGTGAGCGGCGGCTCGGCTGGCGACGCGCGAGAAGAGCTCGTCGCCGAGCTGATCCCCAATGTGGGCGTCCACTAGAACGCCGCTCACGCTGCGGCAGCTGTTGGCCAGTGCTCGGCCGACCTCCGCCGCGTCGTCCGGGTGGCTCACCACCAGCGGGCTCCCCCCTCTGCACACCTCCAGCCTATTGATCGCGAATGAGCCGTCGGCTTCCACCACCTCCTTGAAGTCCTCCAGGCTCGGCGCGTACACCGGAATGTTGAAGCTGTCCCGCTTTTCGCTGGAAATCAGCCCCTGCACCACGCCGGAATCAATGGAATTGAATATATATATGTATATATAATTCAGACTAACTAATTAATTAATTGACCTGGTGGACGAGATCATTCCAGGCGTCCTGAAAATGGGTGCCGAAGAGAACGCCGGCGCCGCCCTGGTCGGCCGGGTCGGAGGAGGTCCGACCCAAGCAAACGAGGAACATGGATCCTCCAGTTTTGATCTCCTTGGACCTGGACCTCAAGAACCCTCCCAGATCACTCTGGAACTGCTTCTTGTATGCATTTGCAGTGCTCTCATTGGCTCCCTGGATGAATATTCTTCCTCTGTTGTAGGCCTTCGATCTCTTGTCCATCACCACATCAGGAACCTGCAAATTAACCACTTATCTATTTATTTGATTAATTATTTAATTGTAAAATGTTTTCGTTGAGAAAATCCAAAAAGTGGGGTGGGGTGGGGTGGGTAGGTGAAAAGCATGGGGCTACAAAGCAATTTTTTCCAGATGCTTTTGACATTTTCTGTACCAAAAGCTTTGGAGCTGTTGAGCGTAGTGGTCAAGGGTTCATTTTTATATCATCGATCATCCTCGATAATGTACAAAAAACAAACAAGGGTTGATTGAATCATTTAATTAATTAATTAATAAATTTAGAGAGGGGATTGTCACTTTCACAAATTCATTAATTAAGATATCCATTGAAGACGTCGTTGTTCATCTTTCCAGGTCTATGCTCATTGACATAAATTAATTAAAAAATTATATATATATATATAATTAAATACCTGGGACAGCCAGTGGAGAGAGAAAGCTGAGTAGAACACGTCGACGTAGTTCGCCGGAAAAAGGCGGCGGTAGAAGGTTCCGGGGACGCCGGCGGCGAAGTAAGAGCGGTGGGTGTCTGAAGCGAGGCACTGCTCCATGGTGTCTCCGCCGTAGGGCGGGAGGAGCTGGAAGAGAGTGTTGAAGTCATTGGACGGCAGATCGGAGAAGAAGGCGGAGAATTCCGGCGGGTCGAATCCCGGCGCCGCCTCGTAGCGCTCGGTGATGTGCTTGATGATAACCTCCACCATGTATATGGTGTTGCTCCCGCAGGAGCACCCGAGGTCCGCCACCACGAACGGCCCCTCCGCCGCCCCGATCAGCCGGACTCCGTCGAGGGTTTCTCGCAGAAGGTGGAGCACCGACCGAGCATGCTGCGCCTGCACACAATATTAATTCAATTCAATTCAATTTATCAAAATTAATTAGTATATATAAATTGATTGAGTGACCTGAGCCTGGGAGTTGTTGAGGTAGCTAGATTCGCCTTTGCCTCCTTTCATGCTGAGCATTCTTTCAAGCTTCATATTAGAAACAACCACGTTGTCGCCCATGGGAGCCATTTCTTTCACCTGCAACTTCCTATATATATATATATATGTATGTTTGTATGTATATGACCTACTCTAAAATTGAATAATCTGTATGTATGTATGTATGTATGTATGTAAGGATCAACGTATATCTCAGCTGTACTGTTTGCTGTGATAGGAAATGTTTGATGGTGAAGTTGAGTAACAAAAATGGCGAGTGTGTGGTTTATATAGACAACCCAACCAACTATACATATAGATATATATTTATTTTATCATATATATATATATATATACACTGTAGTAGTATTTTGCTGTCTCGTATACAAAGTAAATACAAATATATGTATATATAAAGCAGTGCGTATTGTAATAGTAATAAAGTTTAGAAGGGGCTAGGTTTAAAAGAGAAAGAAGATAGTGAGTGAGAGTGCTAATCCATAGCCATAGGGGTCACATGCACTGCACCCAAGATTGGCGCCGCATTGATTAAGTTAAGGGTGTGTTTGTTCCGGGTCTGGATTTTGAGTTGGGATTTGAATAGTAAAAATTTTGAATTTGAATAGTTGTATGATGTGATATAAATAGGTGTTGATTGATGTTTTGAATGTAAAATTAATTTTTAGTATAATATAAAAAATAAAAAATATGTGTTTGATTTAATATTTTCAGGGAAAATTGGATGAATAGTATAATTTTGTTAAAATTCTACAAACGAACACTTCTACCCAATGTTTATATGTATATATTTTTCAACTTTGATACTACTAATTAATCTTTTAAACATAAATAAAATCAAATATTTATTTTTCTTGCAATTTATAAAATTAAATGTTACTCCATCTATCAGCAATATTTAGCTCCTTTGGCTGACACAAAAATTAAAAAAATAAAAAGTGATTAGATATATTTTTTGAAATTTAGTTAATAATTAAATAGAATGAAGATATGTAACAAATTTAATAATATTTGTTATAAATAACAAAGGGTAATAATTAAATATTATTTGTTTTTTTACTTTTTTAAACATAGTAATGAGTTAAATTTAACGTAGGTACGAAGAAGAAAAAAAAAAGTGAAAATAAATTTGAACGTACGAATAAAAATATTTTTATTATTTTTAAAAAATTTCGAAACACTTCTATTTAAAAAATTTAAAAAGAAAAGAAAATTATAGACAAATAGTATCGAAAGTGATTAAAAAGTGTACGCAGGGTAAACATAATGCGAAAGATCCAAAAGTAAATTTTATCTAAGTTTTAATTTGTCTACAGCATAAATATCAAAATATGATATGAATTTTTTTTTTCTTTCTTCTATGATTATATAAAAAAGACCATACGAATTTGTAATAAAGACATAAATCATTTAAATAATTTTAAATTTTTACAAATTTCCCAATTAAGAATAATATTATAGGTACAAGAAATGTAAATATATAATCCTTCCTTCATTAGGTAGTAATATTATGGCAACAAAACCAACCCACTTAAAATTACTATATATCTCAAACCAACAACCTTAATTAATTTAATTAATGAGGTTTGCACGGTGGTTATTTAACTATTAATTAATACAAATAAAAATAAAAATATCTTGTAATATTAATATAATTATATTTGCACAAAAATTATACAAATATGATCATATTTTTAATATTAAGTTAATAATGCAGAAGACAAGTATAACTAAGAGGTAGTATATCACATGACTATTCGGATTAAAATATTTTACTATTAAAAAAAAAAAAAATCTCTTACAAAATATCCACACCCCGAACAAGCATAGAATTAGTTCGTAATCCTTACGATCACAAGTCCAATTTTTACACCGCTAGAATATCTTTACAGACAGTCGACTTTGAACATCTTTTGTGTTTTCTTTCTTTGACTTTTCAAAATCTAAATCTATTATAGATTCTGTACTTTTCAGTTTCAATATTTTTGCCACTTCATAATTTTATATTTGTATTTCTTTTATGAATAAATATATATATAAACAATCCTTTTAAAATTTCTTTTATTAAATTAATTTATTTATACTACGCCATAAATTTGTAATGAAATATATAATTTTATAATCCATTTAAAAAATATTTGAAACCCAACAACCATCCAAAATTCAAAATCATCAAAATTAGAACACCGACAGATGTATTATTATTATTATTATTATTATTATTATTATTATAATATAAAATACTCTTATAAAGTAGTCCGACGTAACTACCAACGGCAAAAACGGGTATTTAGTATTTAATTAATAATTAATTAATTTTTTTAATCTCATGATTAAGGGTTTGTAGGCACTAATCAAGCAATCTTGATTACTTTATCTATGGTGTTTGCTGATGCATATCACTTAAAAGCTAAATAATGATGCAGTCATGTTCTTCTGACCAATTAATTAATTATTTAAGTAAAACCACAATTAATAATTCAATCACTATTTTTTTATTTTGTATTTAATATCTTATGCTTTGAATTGATCACAAATCGAAGTCCAACTCAACAATTAAATTTATTTACTTGCAGTTTATAAAACGAAGAAAGAAATATTGAGGCTATAAGACACGTCAAGCGCAAATGTAATTTTTAATACAATATAAAAAAATTAAAATAAATATTTGATTTGATATTTTTTAGAAATTTTTTTAATAAATAATAAAAATTCGGATAAATTTGCCAAAAGAACAGACCCTAAGTTGTTATCAGATTGATTAATTTGTTTGTTCCTAGGCCGGCATATCCCTCCATTGTTGATTGGCATGACAAATAGACGATGAACTTTGGAGCTGTTGACTGCTGCCTATTATTGTCCCGTTTTTTTTTTTATTATTATTATGATGTGGGAATTCGCAGCAGCACTGGGTAATGCCTATTATTGTCCCTTTATTTGGTAAATTGTTGTTGGACACATGTGTTTGATTTGTTGTCCAATTTATTTGTTTTTATTGTGGTGTTTTCAGTTATTTAGTTAGTATTGTGTTAATGATTAATTTATAGCAATACTTTACATTAGAGACAATGAAATTGTTGGTCAATTTATTTGGATGTTTGAAAATCTTTTGGCCACATTCTATTTATTAGTAGAACTTTCTCTCCATTTATCTCTCCAACTATCTATAGATGTAAAAATTTATCCAAATTACATAAATTGTGTTTTTTTTTTTTATAAAAAAATAAAAATAAAAATTGCATTATCAAATTGAGCATTTTATTGTTTTTTTACTGTCAATTTTACAATAGTACCTAATTCTTCAACACCATTATATATATATAATAATGATGAAGACGAAACCTGTTTACTATTATAGCTCAACAACGGTGAAGTTGAAGTTTTTAAGTTAATGAGATATAGGAGATTCATAAGCTAATTTCTTCATTGATTTATATATATATATATATCTAATAATAAGAATAATAATAATAATAATAATGATGATTTTGAAATTAAAGAAGCTAATTATTTAATTAAGATAAATTTGTAGGGCAGTTTGTTGTAGAAAAATGATTGTGAATAATGACTGAATGGAAATTATAATTATTTAAGTAGTATGTGTGTGTGTAAACAATTACCAAAATCCGCGGAACTGTGTCTGTGTCACTTTTTTCTCATTAGTCATTAGTCTTCTTCGTCTCCCAATGAGAGCTACGGCTGCTACACTTTAATAATTAAATTTAGTCAATATTGTGGCTTATCAACATATATGTACAGTAAAATTTAATACAAGTGGGGCCCTCATACTTGCCGGCCGGGATAAATTCGCAAAATCTTTTTATTCCCAATAAAATTATAATCTCCGAATAATTTGCAAATTAAACCCGACAAGCAAATTATACTGATAGAACCATGTGTAGCAGAACAAGCAAGATCCGGAGACGTTGGGGTTTAAACTCGTAACATCAACCAGCAACAGATGTCGTATGTAGCACAGCACTGCACTGTACTTCACTTTGAATTATTCATCGATCTATTTATTATATATGCATAATTAGTGATTTTTAGTTGCTGAGGATATCAGCTTTAATTTTTGTTGGGTTGTCTCCCAAATTCGAATTCAAATTCAAAAGCTCATCGATCCATCAGAATCATTGGTATTTATGTGACGATAGGAAGAATTATATACATATTATTTTGTCCCAAATTGAGGCCCACTTTTTTATTTTTATTTTACAATAGAACATTATATTATTAATATTTTCAGAGATGGTCGAAAGACAGACGAGGATATATCGATATAAATATATATATATATATATATTGCCAAAAAAGTAGATATATGATTGTTCTGGTGTATCAGTGTACATAATACATGTTCTGTTGTGTCGTGTCGTCTCTGTACATATATATATATATATATATATATAATTGTCGTCCTTATAAATTGCATGTCGTTATCAATAAAAACACCAAATTTGGGAATGAAGCTGCTGGAAGAGTGCTGCATGCCCACATTCATCATCAATTAATCCATCAACACATCACACATCACCTACCTTACCTACCTAGATCAAGATCGATATCCAATATGTATGTATATATATATATATATGAATTTCGTTCCTAAAAAAAGATTGCATGTGGAAACTATAAATAATAGTGCATAAATGATTATGTCCCCTTGCTACAGGAATGATTATTACTACTATTATTATTTATGGACCTATCATATATATCCTATATATGAAGAAAATGAATTAAAATATAGCTACAGAGACACAGTAGTGCTGATCCCCATGGATCTATTCAATTGAAGTCTTCTTCAGATAGATATGATATATATATATATATATCTATCTAGGTAGGCTTCAATTCCGATTTGAATTTATTTAATTTGATTTAGAAATAGAGAGGAGATATATAGCTGCATTTATTGAGGATGCAGGAAGTAAAAGGGACAGTAGATAGGAGAAATTCAACTTTAGGTTTTGGATTTAGGAGACATATATAAATATATATATATATATGTACAAATAAAATAATAATAATAATAATAATAATCCAACATGCACTGCAATGCAAGCTAAGTGACATTTGTAGTAATCACCCTATGCATGCGCCCGCCTTCACTTGCACGGCACCTCTAATTAAATTAATTAATATATATATATACACACACAAATTTCTGATCTCTAAGAAACAAACAGACTCCAACTCTGTTTGTCTCCAAAGTAATTAAGTGTTATATATGTTGGTACGTAGATTTGGTATTAGAATAGTGGATATATAGTTAAATTTATTGATTCATATATGTTGAAACGTATAATTAGAATTGTAAGACATCTATCTATAATGGTAGGGGTAGGGGTGGCGTTGATTGAGCAGAATTGCCCAAACTTCAAGACCTCGAGATTAGATATATACAATTATCTTATCTATCTATGTATCTCGTCTCGTCTCATGCATGGCTGCCGTTAGCTATTCATTTAATTAATGGGAATTAATATACAGAAAAAGAATTTTTGCATGCAATTAGTAATTAGTTTATGAGTTACATTATATTGTACGAAAACATATAGTAGTAGTAGTAATTAAGTTTGATATTGCCCTAATTAATTAAATGTATACTGAGTGACAGGCATGTGCCTTGGTATATGATATATATATATATATCTACTCTGCTGCAACAAATATACTTACGTATATAAGTACAGAATGGAAATCGGATAAGATCATGCAAATGTAGATGAAGATCACTAGATACATATATATATATATATATATTCATATAATGAATAGAGAGAGAGAGAGAATGATAGTAATAGGTTAGTAGTAGTAGTAGTGGTAGTATATGATATGGCATGATAGTGTTCCCTCTTAGAGTGAGAGAGCACCCGACAGTGTTATTCCATTTCATTTCATTATATATGCGAGTCAGTTTGAGTGAGTATGATTACTGTTGCACCATGCACCAATAGCCAATCTAATTTAATTAATTAATTAATAGACACATAGATATATATTCAATTTAATAAAATTAATATCAAACAAATGGGAACAGTGAGTCTTAAATAATTACATGTGAGGTGAGTACAGCCCAATAGGCCCAAGTGAATTTTAAGCTAATTACAAAGACTTAAGTTGGGCCTGTTTATGCAGTTTTAAGGTAGGTTTATAGTCAACCTAATTAAGGCCCAACAAACCCAAGATATATCTAAGCCAATTTCAAATATTTAAGTTGGGCCTATTGTGCAGTTCTAAGGTAAGCTTACTGCTAGCCCAATTAAGGCCCAACAAGCCCAAGTGAATATTCTTAGGCTAATTTGCTCATACCAAAAGCTACTCATTTAAACCATAGGAAAAAAAAATGAAGGGCATTACTACTAGTCATGTACATTCAACAACTAAGCAAATATAAGAGTATAATTTGTCAAGAGGAAGGACTAAAAGTAGTGGCTGACAGAGAAAAGGCCATCCCTCTCAATTCTAAGGAATTGAATGATACAAGCTACAATTAGAGCTACATAGTGTACACAAAACTGCACTTAAACATTCCTGCTTCACTTTCAACAAGCTTCATTTTGCAAACAATTTCTACTTTGTCTATATAATAGAGTAATCAATCAATCAATCCACCACCTCATCTAAAACTAGCCCAACATTTATCGGCCGACATCCATTTCGCCAATAAGGGTGGTCGGATTTTCTCACCTGAAGTTTTCCTGGACTTCAACATGAAATATCTCGAAAGAGCCCTTTTACTTCATCGTATATCCACCTACAAGAGTAATGCATACTTCAATAAGTTATTGTCGTCTCCATAGTCATCAAAGCATTTATTTCAATATTGCTCGATGATTGTGTTTGATCAAGAAACATGTGCTTATTCAGATGTGAACATTTGCGTAGGTATGCATATTATGTTTATAGTCTAATAGATTACTTCGAATTGTAAGTCCTCCCTTTCCCCTCTTAATATGAATGCAAGTGCCAGAATACACTCAGGAGGCAAGAAATGCAGGTATGCATATATAATGAAATACCAACGGTAATAACGAGCACTTCAAGTACACTAATAAATCTTAATTATTTCTGTAATTCATTCAATAACTCACCACCACCCGTGCACCCCACATGAAGAAATAAAGAAAAATAAACAAACAAATAAAGCCCTCACATAACAAAATTCCAAGCAAAGAAATGCAACTGAAGAAGGGAATGGCAAAATGTACTCACTTGCAGAGATAAAGTGGAGGCAAATGATCATTAGATTGTTTCCCCAATTGAGCCCTCCTTTCAGTTTCCTCTGCAAATCTTCTCGGGGTAAGGACTTCACAAGGGCCTTCTATTAAGCCAGCCATCAATGCTCTTCCACGAGTAGACTCATAGACCTGTAAATACACAAGAAAAGCGTGTGTACAATTAACTCTAAAGTAAGTATTGTTTCCTCTAAAATGAGTATGCCTATTGTAGCATGACGATCACACGATAGAAATGGTTAAACTAAACTTTACCTCGCTGCTTTCCAGGCCACATGGGCGCCCAACAGCCTCAGGCAAATCATTGGGAAAGTAACATTGATTCACTATCACCCACTTAGTTGTAGTATTTTTATCCTCCCACATAGCCTGCAAGTAAACATAATAACTTGTAATTTGTAAACATGAAATAGATAGGCTACTGTTTCCCTCAAAGCTAAAAACAGCTCCATGAGAAAATATTTAAAATTTCTGTTTTTTCGAGAAACCCTAGATTTTGAAGAGCATTACAAATAAAAACACAAGTATATTAACAAAACTGAGACCAGGCAAATTACAACCATGTTCAAAAATGCTGATCCAGTTGCAGCATACACTAGGCACTAGCAAGTCTGAAAAGTAAAGATTACATTTTCTGCGAAAATATCCCAGCAACAAATGCAGTGTTAAATATTTCATGACATTATTTTAGTCTCATATGCCAAGCCTATATAAAAATCTAAAGTAGTTAAATTTATAGTTCAATAGTCCAGTTATTCAGATAAAATTTTTCATGTAGGTACAAGTATAGATCGGACAAAATTTGTTTATAATAATGCACCAACACTCAACTTGCTATCTAAATCCTGTAAGGCCAATTATCAGTTACCATCACACTATAATTAGTTTGAGGTTTGAACAAACTAAAAAAATCACTTGTATCAGCAATGATCGATATGTAAACAATTCATTCTCATTTGGATGTTTAAAAGCAATACAGCTGTGTAACATCCAATACATGAGACACTAAATCAGACCACATATTTATACTTATATACGACTAGAGAGTGAAAATATCTATGATAATCAGAATAGATCTCATTCATTGAATTCTCTAGACAAAAAAAAAAAAATGGTTCACCTGTAGCTTTGAAGGTATAAGTTTTTCTTTATCGAAGCGAATGAGAACGTGATCCATTAATTTATAGACATGCCCATTGATGCAGCATGCTCCATAATAGATTTTTTCATCAAGAATTTGAATTGGATCATCTACCCACTTAATGACATGTACACCATCTGATGAAGATATCCCAGGATTCATAGTCCCATTACTTGCAGCCGCGGCTGTAGCTGTAGGTTGATCAGATGCCAAGCCTTGTTCCTTTGATGGGTTTAGATTACTTGTAGTCTCATCGCCATGAGATTCTTTGGAATCCCTCACAAGGTGATCTTCGAGCAGTTGCTTAAATTGACTTGCTTCAACAGCTTTGCCACTTTCCTGGGACTTGTCAGAAGAATCCGCAACCATGACTAGCTCAGGAGGAGAACTTGGTTTTAATTCAGTCACTTTATCAACACCTTCTTGTCCAGGCAAAGTTTTTGCAGATGCGACGGCTGCAGAATTGGAGCTTTCTATCAAACTATCTGCACAACTCCCAATAGATATTTTATTATTGTCCATGTCCATCTTACTCATGCTCGGATTATTATAATTCTCTTGCATACTAGCTTCTGTTCCTTCTGGCATGGATGTCTGGTGAACCGAACTTTTAGCTGCACCTCCTGGAACTTTGTCGATTGCAGTGTTACCATTAACTATTACCTTAGGTTGGCTGGCCTTTTCATTTAGAGCATTGATACTTCTACTTGAACTGGGAGGTACAGGTGGTGTATTGGAAGAGAGTTTTTGTGTGTTGACATTTCTCATAACACGACCATATTTAGGAGGCAGTGGTTTCCCATTGCTTGTAGACAAACACTTCCCACAATGCCATTCCCCTCTTGGAATTCCTTTTAAAGTACTGGCCTGGAGGCATTTCAAGTGATATCCTTTTTCACAAGCATCACAAATGAGAATACTATCTATTTCCGTTACTGTGGACATGCAGATTTGACAAGTTAAAGCCTTGTTCATATAGTCCGTTGAGGGTGGATTCCAAGTAGGTTGTTCCAGAACCTTTGGCTGTAATAACTTCTGGACAATCTTACCAATTTCAGCATGGGTATTTACCGAAGAGGGAGGCTGAATACTGTTAGGGGCTTGTGAAGGTTGTGCTCCTTTTGCCTGAGCAACGGTCCTTGATGTTGTTTGAGTGGCAATTCCAGATCTAATGCCAGCAGCTCCTTCAAACTTAAGGGACATATTCGCCGGAACCTTATTATCTGATCCACTTTTGGAAGCCAATCCCTGGGCTTGCAGTGACCAAGTTGGAGTCCTCACAGATGCACTAGCAGAAAAAGTAGCTGAAAATGGAAATTAAAAAAAGGTGAATATAACACAAACAAAATCTGGCCAACAAAAATAAGATATCGATAGCATAGTATCAGAAATTTCCAATGTGCTCCACTGGAACCATTGAAGCAGTCAAACATAAGCGTCTCACCGCTAGACTCCTTTGCATAATCAATTGCAACATGTCCGTAGTCAGTTATAAAGAATATTAAAAAATGCCTTGATGTAACCAGAGCAAAGGCTTTAGTCCAAGAACGACCGTGTGAAGAAACACAAGTTATTGTCCATTGAACCACTGTAATGTACAGATCTTATAGTGGAAAATATTAATCAGCATGGTGAAAGGAGGTCTCTCTTTGATTGGAAACAAGTATGCGTTACCTGGAATGTGTGATAATTGGGTAGGCCCATTTGGCCTTCCATCCGATCTAAGCTGAGGTTTGTCAACTCTTGGCAATGCTGTTGAAGTCAAGTGACTAGAAGACAATGCGCTGGAAACTACCGGTCGAATTTCACTAGTAGGTAGCTGATACGGCAAAGATGTAGAACTTGGGGATATACCCTGGGTTAAAGGTGAAGGGGACTGGAAATTTCCAGTGGGTACCAGCAGCCGGCCGGATTTATCTGGCTGAGACATTCGAACAGGATGAGAAACAGCACGATTATCAACTGAGGCAGAGTTTCCCTGCGGGCGAGCTGAATGTGGAGTAGATGGTAGCGAAAAACTTTCTGCCTCTTCCATCTACAGTTGCAAACATAGAGTGTCATTATTCAACATAATTTACATGTAAATTAGCCGCAGAGCTAACACATAAACAGAAAACAATTATGCCAGCAGAAATTACAAACGGACAAGCTATTTAATGCCAGCATAGAGACTGACAAACTAACAAACTTTGCAATTAGCAATTACTTAACCAAGAGAATTTCAAAAAGTTTAACACAGGGCCACTGAACTTACACTTGAAACATGTTTTACAAAATTTAAGAGCCAAAGCCATGATTAACTAAATACAGAGAAGACCTAAGATCTATGATAGATCTTCAAATCATGTACTAAGCAACAAATATGAGCCGTCCTAGTACATAAGGGCATATATTAAAAGCAGCACGACATTTTTCAGCAGCAGAACCATTGGTATTTATTGTGGAGATAAACAAGTTGATCTCATGCAGTTAAGATGTCTCTAAAATAGTAAATATCACTTTCATGGTATTTGTTGGGAAGTAATTATATTGTAATCTTCAATTCTGTCAGATGTATCTCCTGATGTATGATGTTACAATTACACACAAAGTTGTAAGCGACGTATCATGCATCATAGTCTAAAAGCAAATGCAGAAAGCTACACCAGGGCTATATGGAAGCATGGGTCAAACAAAGTCGATAAATAAATAGATTTATAATACAAGCAATGCTTGTAAAAATAAACACAGGGACATGCTACAAACCAAATAAATGAATTGATTTCTACCTCACCACGCCAAAAGTTATCAGAAATATTTAAGATGAATTCCACGTTCCAACTAACTTTGCATCAATTGGTCAAAAGGCAAGTACATTAGACATGAATTATCAATTTCAGGGTAGCTTATTTGCGACAATTTAAGTACAATAAAAAACTGAAATACAGTAGCCACAAGTGAATATTTGAGACGCTGCAAAATTTCACATCAAAAAATTTTAAGCTCGTTTAGAATGCATGACTATATCAAAGGTTGCTTACTGTATAAAAGGGACCAACTATTCAAAAGTGTCCATTAGCATATTTAGCTTCACTTTAATTGGAAAGTGTTACCAAATCGCATATTGAGTATTATATATTACATATTTATTGGCACACGACACATAGAGAGATGATTTGACAGAGAATGCATGACTAACTTATCAACTTCCAAATATTTTTCTGTTACTCGGAAGCATCTTACGTCAACTAAATATCACAATGTAAGAATCAGGTAAACATCCTTATGGACACACACCACATAATGGATAACCAACACACCTGTTAGAACAGAGCCCTTAACCGTATGGAAAGACTGTCGGAACAGCCAATTTGCTTCATTAGCAATATATATATATATATAGAATTTGTCCGCATTGCCGGCACATCAAGACAACACTTGAAATTAGGTAGTGAATTCAATTTTCCCTACATATATACAAATCATCAAGCATTCATTATAACAGACAAGCAGGGCAGCCTCTGGTGCATCAAAAGATGTACCAATTATCCAAATAGGGCTCATATTTTCACACTAACAACTCAATCCCATATCCAATTCAATCATCATCATCCATACAACAGAATTCAAGAATATAATAAAGAGCACAGATAAAAGAAATAGCCAAAATCTCCAAATGTAAAAACAAACCTTTCTCTTGGAAACCAGCAACTTCTCAGCAATGGATATTTTGGGGGGACGAAACCCTAGCCTCTGATCTTTCAGTTTATTGAGTCCCAAATCCTCAATCACGCTCCCAAAAGCGTCCCTGGGGAACACCTCCTTTGGAGCAAAACCCTCGCACACCTTAGCCAGCCTGTTCCGAGCCTCCGCCATCAATTCTTTCTCGACATCAGTGGGACCCTTCCCTCCCCTCATTTTCCCCATCGCGGCCAGCACCAAAACCATCTCCGCGACCTTCTTCACATCGACGGCCGAACTCCGCTCACTCCCAGCTCTAACCCTCTTCGCCGGCGAGGCCTCCCAATCCTCCGCTGGCCTCTTCTCACCGACAGATTCCGATTTCGCCTCCGCCGCGGATTCCATGCCCCAAAATCAAAACCCGGACAAAACCCACCTCCAAACTGGCATGGACAGCGCCCAATCCGCGGGTACCTACATAGAAGAGAGAAGGGCAGAGCAGCCATGAGACGGGGAGCGCAATTGGAGAGAGAAAACAAACCCTAGAGGAGAGGAAGGGGGCGAATTGAGGAGAGTAAGGAAATAATGAATCGTTAAAAAAACATAAAAATAAAACCTTTTTGGCGGGTAATTGTGGAGGACAGAAGAGGAGCTTAGAGTGGTGGTGAGTAAATCAATCGCGTATGTAAGTGTGCGTGTGTGTAGGCAGTGGTGAGCAACAAAGCCTGAGCAGACCAACAGCGAAGACACTGAATTATTCGAAGATTTCCGCATACTTAATATTGTCTCCCTCTTTTTCCTATTTTCGCCGTCACCCCCACACCCCCCCCCCCCCCCCCCCCTCTCTTACACTTTTGCCCTTCCTCCCAACCCTTAATTACAAATCACCCCATTCTTGCCAGGTTAATGATATGTCTCTCTCTCTCTCTCTCTATATATATATATATATACTGCATTCAAATTCAATTTCTATCTATGCAGAAGTTCATTGACGAATATCTCAAATTCTCAATGGAACTGTTCTAAAGCATTGGGTCTAATGAAAGCTTCAGTTTATATGACTATATGAAGAGAGTATTTGGATATGGCAAATTGGCAATGGAAATGGCAATGGCAAAATCAGATTCTTTGCAAATGAATAGAAGAGTTATTATCTTACTTTTCAGGCATCATCGACAGACAACATAGAGGAAGAGTGTTTGATGCACGCCGACATCCAAACAAGAATGGTTTAAGCTAATGAATTTGCAGCATCAGAGAGACATGGTGAGGTTATGTAATTTCAGGCTTCCACCCAAAATGCTCCACAGATCTTAGCAGATACCCAAGTGGTAATAATCCCAGCAACCTAACTCATCAGAAGAGGCAATCAACAGCCCAAAGAATTGCTGATGAAGCTGATCTCAGAACAGAGAATCAGCCCATCTTATTGCAGGGAATGAAATTCTGCCAAGCTGAATTAAAAACCTCAAATCCAGGTTCATGATGGGTGTCCTTATTTTCTTGAACAAACATATGAACCAACCAAGCTGTAGAACATAAACAAGGAATTGATTTTGACAGACACCATCATAATTTCCATAAAAGAATTCCACAAAGAGTTCATCCAAAATTGAAAAAGAACTGCAGAGATACCCCTCATAAAGTAACACTCACCACCATCCAATTTTTCCAGCATTCCAATGGATGCAACTTTTTAGAGATCATTATGGGAAGCAAAACTCATTTAAGTTGCAGAAATGCAACCTAATCACTCTCAGAACACTACCAGCATCAAGACTGGCTAAAAATGCCCAGATAAGTTCTTACACAAAGCTTAATATTAGCAACAAGAATCAGCCACCAGATTACCACACCATTCTTGCCAACAATAAACAACTGGAAAGGCAATACTCCACAATCATCTGCAAGCTTTTCATCTAAAATCGAGACACTTGTTTGATATTTCAAAAAAAAAAAAACCCTATTCTTGCGATTGAAGCATAGGAAGAACAATGGCGGGTAAACAGAGCAGTAGGAAAGGGAAAAGATCGAACAGCCCATGAGAAATATTCGAGGGTAATCCCAAATGAGAAAATGGGGTTTTTATTCGGAGTTTGAGTACAGAGTGCGTCGAGGGAAGGGTTTCGAATGAATTTAAAGATGGAAGTAATAGATTGGGGTTTATGCTGCGTAATTGGGGCTTTGAAATTTTGAAACTGAATTTTAATAGTTGGGGATTGATTGATGGTATATTCTACCAGTATGAGATGCCAAAGCCATGGCGCCGTGAAGATTATGGACGAGGACACTGTAATTTGAAGCCATGGAAACAGGGGGGATGTCGCCCAGAAAAACCACCTTGATTTCTACGAAATTTTGTGGTTTGAATACGTCGCAATAGAAGCTTAGGATGGATTTTGATGCAAGAATAGCAGAAGATCGATGATGACGAAGATGACCCACATCAAATATGCTGGCTAGGTTTCTGGGTCTTCCCCAAAATCAAAGCTCAGACCTCCATGGATGCTTCAACAGTAATATCGAAAATTCATCACGTGCAGTTCAATAATACGTTTTATATTGATAAAACGAAACTGCCTTTGTCTAATTTGGTGTTATACATTCGCCATTAAAACGATGTGTCATAACTTGAAACTTGCTTAATTTCAGCTTCTGCAATAATTCTTTACAGAAAAATCCGAATCTTGGGATGACATCAATACGGTTGGTGATGAAAGTGGCCATTTTGTAAGAAAATAGTATTGTATGAATCTGAGTACGTCATACGTCGTCGAACAGATTAGCAGAGACGTCTGCTTGCAATTAATTAATAAATTAAAATAATCTTCGAAGCAATGAACAGAAGAAATCTGTGAACGGTGCCCATCAAATCGATCAAAGGAATAATCTTCCCAGAATTCTACAGAAATTAATTTAATTTACAGGCAAAGATGGAACCTTTTTTCATTCTCCGACGAAGAAACAAATAAACAGAGAGAATGAAAAATCATAGCTTCGTCTTGTAATGGCATTTTTGGCTCACAGACCGATTGAAGACATGGATTTGCAGATCGCAGGTCGCGTAGGCCGTTACGTGAAAGCTGAAGAGGATCCGCACTTTCCCGTCGAGTTTGATGAACGACTCGAACGGTAACGTGCCGGACGCCGCGTCGGAGAAGAAATTCCGGTCGGAGACGAGGCGATCCGCAATCACCGTCAGAGTGATGTTCATATCCGTTGACGATCGCGCGCCGACCCTGCCGGCGGCGATCGGAGCTTCGCCGACGTCTTTTCCTCTGTACCGGAGATACGCGGTGCTGTCGGAGTACTTGAACCCGACCCGATTAGGGTTCCGGACGTTGATCCCGGCGTCGAGGCTGATGTTCAATTTGACGCCGGACGTTAAGTCGAGGGAGAGATCGAGGTCGGCGACGGAGACGGAGTTAACGGTGGTGACGGGATGTTTGGGCTTGTAAACGGTGAAGCCAAGGATGACGATGAGAAGGACTAACAGAACGATGACTGCCGTCACCGTCAGGCAAACGATGACGGCGCACCGTTTACGCGGATTGGGAGAAGTCATCGCCGTCAATCTAACGGACGGCAATGGCCCTGCTTTATGTGAAAAAATGGCATCCCCATAGTTCACATATACATGTATTTATATTTATTACATACAGTATACATTTTATTGTAGGTAGGTAACTGTTGGGCATATAAATAGGTGGTGTCGTGGAAATAAGATATTTAATTAAAATAAGAGGATATGGGTTATATTTATATAAGTTTGACTGGAAAACGTGGTCAGCCTCATCTAGTCCATTGACTTAGGAGCAAATATTTTGTACATGTAAGTATATTTAATTATTTATTGGCAAAGCAAGAAAGGAGAAGTAAAAGCGACACGTGAAACGCATTTATGAGTGAAGCATAAAGCGTGTTTTAGCAGTTGCGCGATTTAATACTTGACGGCCGACGCGAATGTGTAGGTGTGGCGGGCTAATCTAAATTCTAAAGCGTGCATTAGGGGAAGGCGGTGATTCGATTTGAATTAAATAAATAAATATATTGAATTAAATATGGAAGAAATGAATATAATATATTTTTACGTAAAATTTTAAAAAATATATATATATTTATATATTTCAATAAATTATATAAAACTATTGTATTTTAGTAAAATTGCACAAAATAATTATATTTTATTTATTGTTTGAAATTCATTGCGTTAATGTAAAATTTATACGAAATTTTCTCGCTGTTCAAAATTGATGTTCGATTCTAAATAAATACCTAAATTACAAATAAAAAACGTAAAATATTTTCAATAAATTTTTTTAATAAAATAAATAAAATGAAAGATAAAACAATTATTTATTTATTTATTTTATTAAAAAAATATTTAATATATTTTACATTTTTATTTTTATAAAACTTGTATAATTTAGGTTTTTTATTTAAAACTAAACATCAATTTTAAACAAATAAAGTGTTTAATGCAAATTTTACATTAATATTTTACGTAATAAATAAAATACGGAGTATTTATGCATTTTTACTTTAAAAAAAAGGAATAGTATATAATGTAAAATATATAAATATATAATATATTATTGTATACTGATTGCAAGCAATCAAGCATACACGTTATTTATATTGAATTCATAATTTATTTAATCAGATATGTTAAATATATACATGCTATATATTGAATAAATATAAATTAATGATACTTTTGTTAAATAAAAATTTTGAAATTTTTATGAAGTTTTAAAAATAGTAAAAATTTGAGTAGAATTTAATTTACCAAAAAGTTAAAACCTGCACATATCACAACGCTGGTGGCAACGACGCTAATTCCTTTTACATTCTGCTAAAAAATTTTGAGCGTAGGAATTCCTGAAGAGATTGGCCAACTTATGCAATAAGGTCACTTGTTTTGTAACATAACACTATCAACTTTCTTACACGACAAGCAAGCTTAATGGCGACATCTATATATTTAAATTTAAAATAATCAAAATTTGAACGCAAGTAAATTAGTAATGTAATGTTTTAAAATATAATATATACATATGTTTTTTTAAAGTATATAATAAAATATGTGCTTTTTCTAAAGTTTGCTTTTAATATTTGTATTTTCATCTTTTAATGACATAATTATTAAGTTTTTTATTTAACTTGAAAACTAGCAGTTAAGAAATTGATGCAGAGATTTCATGACATACATAAATTCCTTTTTAAATAAAAAAAGGGATATTTATATAAATATAAAAATGATGCATAAAAAAATGAAAAGTGTTTATTAAAATAATTATTATTATAATAATAAAATAATTACAGATCTGATTTTAATTGATTGACTTAGATCTACTCCATACATAAAACAAAACAAATAAACCCAAGATGGCTAGTTGAAAATAAATAAAAATATGTTACAACTAAATAACCAAATGGAAGTCAGTGAGAGTTGTGACTAATTATTAACACATATTTAAAAATCAGCACAGATCATGTGCTAAAACTATTTTTCAGCACTTGTGCTGATTAGCTATAATATTAACTATCTTAATTATATTTAAAACATAATTAAATAATATAAATTAATATAAATTGATTTTAAAGCATTCAGTATGGTATATATATATATATATATATATTTATTCATCTAAATACTGCCATTAATGTCTAATAAATTGTGCCAAGTAACATTAAATAGTTAGATTAAAATTGAAAATATTCCCCTAATTACTCTATAGTTGTTTGTAGCTTTTAGGTAGGCTATCTTATTAAATTTGCAGTTTAAAAACGATTGTATGTATGATGATAATAAACAGAGTGTAATGTGAGTTTAATTCAAAATTATACTACTAAATAACATAACAAAATTATTAAGCTACACAATAAATTTATTTAATAACTCAAAAAAATTATGTTGAACAACTCGGGTTCGTTCATCCAACATATATTTAAGTGGCACAATTATCTAAAGGTATTACAAAAAAATACAATATATATAATATATATTTTGTTCGCCCAACAAAAAATAACAATTTAATATAAAATATTATTTTTTATATTAATATTACAATTTTCCATAGTTAACATAAAAAAAAAAAAAAAAAAAAACCAAGTTCATTAAAAAATACAAAGTAAACTCAGCTTGGTACTAAATTGTTTATTAATTGAACATTTATCTATAAAAAATCATAATATTAATAGGGAATAACATAACATAATATATATAAAAACATAACATTAGCTGTTATGTAACCTGAAGAAAGCAACCGATTCATTAGTAATCAACGTATAACTTAAAAACTTGTATATTAATTTATTGTACAAGTCAGTTTAAATCAGATTTAAATGAACATTTCTACAAAGCTTATATCAAAATTAATTTTTATAAAAAGGCTTTTGATATGTTAATACGTTGCAGTAAATTTTCTAATCAAGCAAATAAATCAGACGTTAAGATTAACCACTGGACAAGTATGAACTAAATTGAAAACAAACATTAGAAAAACTCAACATATTTGATTTATTTATTTCGGTCCTTACATAACCACGTGCTTGCTAAGTAATGAATGTCAAGTATTTAGTTCAAGTAAACAAATCAATTATTATTATATCATTGCCTGTGGAAACAAGTTAAAGTTATGATCTGTTTGAATTTTTTCATGCAATATCACAGTTTCCTATAAGTATATACTAATTTTAAATATCAAATTCAACTACTACTGTCCACTTAAAATTCAAAATACAAATACAAAAATATACAAACTTTTTATGCTTAGATTTTTGGATGATAGATGTAATATTGGTAAATTTTTACATGAAGTCTAGGAAGAAGAAACCATGAATATTCTCCTTATATAAAATCAGTTAAAGTGACCAAGCCCTAGTCAGAGTATACTGCTTCCCCTACCTACTGAATGCCACTATACTAATGCTTATGATTCTGATTTAACTCACACATTTAGGATCTCTATACACACACACATATATATATATATATATATATCTTAGATGCGCACCTGACAGCAATCTCTTCTCCACGCAGCATTTACGAACATGTCAAGCCATGTTCATCTTCTTCGTGTCACTAAAAGAAGTAATCTGGAAGTTGCTTTTTGGCAGATGTTACTCTTGAGTCCTGCATTGCACCACAGCTATTTAATATGTGCAATGATGCTAATTGAACCATCCATTCTCAAGGAAAATATTGGTTATATATCAGCTTAGTAAATCCATACTCCTCTGACGTTTATAAATTGATTGCATGACATTCATCGTTGTAAACTTGAAGAAGATGAAACGCAGATAATCACATCCAAATACCTGGGGAGCCGCCGTGAAAAAATGAAATTTGGTTTCAAGGTTTTCGTTCAGCTCAAGAACTGAAGCTACATTTCCACATCTGCAGCATGATGACAAGCAAATTTTCACAACATTATCCACAGAAAAAATAAAAAAAAAATGGTAGGAGTAGTTGCAAATAACAGCAAATTTCACCTGTAACAGTAATTTGGAGCTGACCAGATGGTTACAAGCTGTTTGTTAAACATCCACTTATAACCTTCCATAACCAGTTGATGTGCACGACATATCAAGCTAATATTGTTTGTGTGATTAAATGAAGCAACCGCGCTGCTACCAAATACAAAACCTGCACCACGGGGACTCACACCCCATTCTGCAACATCATCAGGGTCTGACCATAAGAGATCACTCATGCTACCTTCATGAGGTACATCCTGCCTCCGGTCAATTGCCCAAATCTGAAAATTGGATGATGAGCCTATCATCTTCAGTCCAAAACAAAGAACAAAAATTCTCATTCCTAGAATTTTATACACCTGATCTAGTGTGGTAATTGTAGGAGACAAACCGCCATGAACACAGAATATTTTGTTCTCTACTAGTGCGGATATACTGCAAGAAATTTCATACAGGAGACAAGATTTTGTCAGATCAATCTGTCACAAAACAACTCCCACAATGCATAAAAAGTAAGAAGTTTGAAGTGTAAGTTGGCATTTAACAAAGCACACAACAACAACCAAATTAGCCTTCATCATAAGTTTAGTACTTCTTTATGGCCCGCAGCTATATAATTCAGCAGGACAATGATCGTGCATTTATTAAATAAGATTCTGGTGAATAGTTGAAAACATCTCCACCTCAAGTAATCAAAAATATCTGTGCAATATCTCCAAACATTGACAGAACCATATTTCCGCAGGCACTCATCGTAGAAACCATACACCTGGAAGAAGCGTATGCTGTTGAGAACTCAATGTATGGAATAAAATAGCTAGAACATAATAATAACAAACAAAAACTTAACCAGTGTTATCTCCCGGCTCTCGTGGTTTCCCCTGATGAGAGTTATCCTGTCAGGATATCTAACCTATCATTGCAAAATCCAATTATGTAATCCATCTTGTCAAGAAACACGGAATGTTAGACATTGTATATGTTTGTGAACAGTCTATGATATCTGGAAATATTAAGTTTCCAAATATAATTTAGGAACCATTTAGCATATGAAATTAGTTGGAAAGCAGTACCTTGAGGGCAAGTAGAAGCAGGAACGTCTCAACTGAGTGAAATCCTCTATCAACAAAATCTCCTAGAAACAAGTAATTTGTCTTTGGGGAGTCACCGGCTACTTTAAAAAGCTCTTTCATGTCATAGAACTGGCCATGTATATCACCACATATCTATTCCATGCCACAGTGGAGATTTTAGAGGTATATTTTTATCAAAACAAGAGCAAAGAAGTTCAAGCTATATGACATCAAATAGCACACAACAACATCACGGTTAAAAACATTGATAAAAAGAAACTATGTGATTAACAATATACAATCTAATCCAATATATTTCACAACAAATAGAGAAAAACCAATAGATGAAGTGTCTACATAGGCTCTTTACTTATCTTATAATTTATGCGTGTGTATTATATATAGGAAGACAGGAGGGCTTAGCATAACATATACATTTTTCGATCTTATGCCTGAGATCTTCGTTAATTGGGAAAAGAAAAGGTGTAAAAAAGTAGAGACCACCCAGATATAGTTCACAGAGTGACTGCTTTCAAACGAATGCTATGTTTCTTATCTTATTCTGATTCTAAAGTCTTTTTAGACCTTTAACTTAATGGCCAAGCACTGTCATGTTCCCTTGCAAAATAGAGATCTCATTTGCTGTCAACCAGACATGGATTTTAGGCAAGAACCTTTCGCTTTCTTCTATTAAAAGGGCTAGGAAAATGTTCGTTAATCAACAGGATCCTGCAATCTGTGTATCTGACCAGTGTCACTGAAAATATCATTTAGTAATCAAGTCTGATATGCATGATAAATAAAAGTGCTAAAAGGCTATGTATCTGCGGTTACAAATCTTCGTCTGAGGTTCCCAGATTAGACATGAGACTAACTTCGACTAGTTATACTAAATGTAGGACGATGTACGAGCAATCAAGTGCCAAAACATCCATAATCATGGATTTCACATCACATAAATTGGAATTGAATTGCAGTCCAGGTAAAAGCAAACATAAGACACAACTATCTTTCCAAATATCAAAATCCTTCAATAAATCCAAACCTATGACCACGAAATAAAAAAGTTACTAAACGTTAGCAACTAATCGAATTGATTAAAGCTGCTCATATCTAATCCATGCTTATGTTTTCCTCTATGCAGAGCCCGGCCAACTCTACCTATTTAACCCAAAGTAGGAACAATGAGGTAGTTCTTTCGATACTCACAACCACGGGAGCATCGACTCTCTGAACGTTGCTCTCTTCGACGAGGATTTCCATGGCTTTTAGGCAAAGAGCTTTAACTTCGAACTCCTTGAGCGGCTGGCATCTTTTCAGCTGCTCAATCTGCCGGTCGAGGTCCGACATAACCGAGTTGAACCACGAAACGCGAGATACAGAGAAAATATCCAACTATGTGAATTGGCAGTTGGGGATGGTCACGTTGCGTATATTGATATCAGAACCAAATGAAACAAATATCCAACACTGTCAACGGTGAAAATTTTGATAATTAATGAAAAATATTTGAAGTCGAATCAAATGAAAATTAAATATATATATATATATATACATTAAAAATATAATTAAAATTTCAATTAAGTAAAAATATTCCTAAATATTTAAAATCTATAATTATTAATATAAAATTTAAACTATAATAATCTAAATATATTTGATTCGATTAACTAGAAAATAAAAAAAAAAAAATTGAAATTGAATTGAAATAAAAATAAATTATGTAGTATACTCGAATCGAATTTACCAGATTGATCAAAAAATTTGTTTACGTTCAATCAATTTATCAGTTGAATTTGATCTTTTTATTCACCCTTAATTAAGCTATGTTTAGTTTGAGGAGAATGGAGGAAGGAGATCACAGAATATTAAATGTGTCAATTTTAATTATTTTTTTTTAATATTATAGTATATTTTTCTTTTTATTTGTCTTGTAAAGTTAATAATAAAAAAATATATTTTCTATTTATAATAAGTATATATTATTTTTATTTATATTATGCAATATTCAATTTATTTACCTTCATACTATTAATATTTACACATTTAATTTATTCAAAATTTTCTCTAACCGTCATTAATTTATTTGTATATTTTTTAATATATTTTTACTTTATGTCATAATCATAGTATTATATTTATTAAAATTTACGTTCAATTCATATGAACATATTTTTTTTTGTAAAATTCATTCAATTTATTTTTTTATTCAAAAAACAAATAAATTTATATAAATTCAAAATTACTCATACTTGTAAATATTTTATATTAATTATAAATAAATATTTTTATTTTATTTATTTATTTTTATTATATCTAAATATTTTAAAATAAACTATATTGCATTACTTATTGTATTAGAATAGATGTTTTATCAATAAATTATTCAAATTGTATTATATAAACTTATTTTCTTTATTTATATATTAGGGGTATAATTGTAAAATTATTTTATTTGTTATCACTTAATATTTTTAACTAAATACAAAAATACTATTTACATTCATCCAAGTATTTATTTTTTTAGTAGATAATAAACTAATAGATATTTTTACTATTTTGCAAAGTAAAATAAAATAACTATTTTTTAAAAGATAATTAAAAATATACAGACATTATCCACGGCGCATAATTCTTGTATTGTAAATTTCATAAAAATATTACTTAAATATATTTTCTTTTACATATTAATTATAATTTTTGACTTGTTATCCAAAAGGATTATTCTAAACAAACATTATGAATGTCAGTGGGGTTACGGAGGAGTGAATGTGGCATACTTTTGCCTCAATATATCATATGGTAGTTGGACTATATGTTCTTTTTAATAAAATTTTTCTAATGTATATTTTTTCAAAAAATTTAATATACTGAATATCTTTCTTATTTTTATATTATTTAAATAATTTTTTATAAATTTTACATCTAAACTTTCATCAAGATTATGACTTACGAGTATTTCATAATCTCTAATATATGAATATTACTATATTAGTATATCTCACTGAGAAGCGATTTTCTTTTTCTTTTATTTTCTTAAAGATTTGTTATTTATATTGCCAAAAAAAGTTTACAAAATTGAATTTGTTTGTATAGTATTTTATTTTAATATAACTTTTTATATAAAATATAAAAAATTATATAAGTAATATAAAAAATGTTATTTTATATTAAATATTAATTTTTATAAAATAATAAAATATAATATTATATATGATGAAAATTGCGTGGAGAAAAAAATGGTGGACACCCCCACTCGTAGAATTAGTAGAGAAACCCATACGACGACGTTTTAATCATCCCGAACCAGGTCCAAATCAGCCCATCATTCCAGATTCAGAATTTCATAATATAATACAGCCGACCAGCATTGCCAATTCTTGATTGATAACAGCCTTGCTTGTTAGTGATTACGCGTGTCGAAGTCGACGATTATGCCGGACAAACTTTGCCGGTGTTTTGGAGCGCTGCCTGTCGGGTCCGGTTGAAAACCCCGCGCAGATTTTGGCGACAAGCCAATACGCTTTTCGTTATCGTACGATTCCACTTAATTCCAATCTATAAGGTAGCGATCTTTCTGAATTGCCCGAAGTTAAAGGGCATGCACATTCGGTACTTTTTACTTTCGTCGCATAGGTTTCAATTTTGGGGGCGAAATACTGCGTCACTTACGTTTTGTGTATTCTTGTTCGATCATGTCTTGAAGGACTCCACCTCTTGTTTTAGCGGTATAAAATTTGAATTGCAGGCTTGGATATGGGATGATTTTATTTATTTATCGATTTATCCAGATTTTGGCTCTTGTATGATCTTGTTTGTTTACGTGTTAGCTCATGGTTTATGCATTAAAGATCCATGCTATTGGGTCCTTCTATGTCTGTTCACTGTTTGTATGACGTATTCACCTACAAATGACAACATATCTTTTAATCTTTTAGAGGGAATTTTATATTTCAAGTGTGTTGTTTGAAAGGCTTCTTTTGATTAACGGTTACAAGTTTCTGCAATTTCCAAATAGAGTTTGAAGGCTTCTTTTGATTAAAATGGTTGAATAACACATTAATGTTAGGAGAGGATAAGTTTGTTATGAATTGACTTAATTATTTAAAGCTAGATGATGAACATGTATGATCATTCCATCCATTAATTTTTATAATTACTGTGGCTGAAAACCTTCTATTTTTGTGTTGAATAAGTGAGATGGCAAACTCTGGAGATCCTTGGGTAAGGGAATACAATGAAGCTGTCAAACTTGCTGATGATATCACTCATATGATATCTGAAAGGAGTTCGGCGCCTGCAACTGGGCCAGAAGCACAGCGTCATTCATCTGCAATACGGAGGAAGATAACCATACTCGGAACCAGATTGGATAGCTTACAGTCTCTTTTGTCGAAACTTCCTGGAAGGCAGCCTCTGTAAGTTTTTATATTTTAATTGATGCTTCAAACAGGTGTCAAGCCTTCTATAGGAATGATCGCGTTTGATTTTATTTAGAATGATGCTATAAAGAGGTTAAGGAATAAACAGCTGTGTGCAGCACCTATAAGCCATTAAGACACTTCTTGATTTTGTATGATGTTCTTCATGAATGCTTAATCATTTTGAACATCTTTTTTTGTTCAATGGGGAGGAAGACCAATGTAGCACAAGTGTGCAGCTGGGATGAGAGAGATTGAAACTATGTCGTTAACTGAAATTATGGTGGAAGAATGAAATTCAAATGCAAATCGGGTACTCTAAATAATAAATAAACAATGACCTGATTTGGTGATGTCCAGGATATAAAAGCAACTATTGTGTCTAGTTTTTGGTTGCATTCATTATAACACTTGTTTATATGACTCAGTTTTAATTCTGGTTTGTACTCATACTTTCTTACCTGGCATTTCGTACGCAGGAGTGAAAAGGAAATGAACCGCCGTAGGGACATGGTTGCCACATTGCGATCAAAAGTAAACCAAATGGCCTCAACATTAAACATGTCAAACTTTGCAAATCGAGACAGCTTACTAGGGCCAGAGATTAAGCCTGCTGACGCCATGAGCAGAGCAGCTGGTCTTGACAACCATGGCGTTGTTGGTCTACAACGACAAATCATGAGAGGCTAGTTGTTCTATCTTTGAGCTAAACCCTTTTTTTTCCTTTATGGTATTAATGACATAGGTTACACGATGTATTTTTTAATTGCAGAACAAGATGACGGCCTTGAGAAATTGGAGGAGACAGTCATAAGCACGAAACATATTGCATTGGCGGTGAATGAAGAGCTTGATCTGCACACCAGACTTATTGTAAATTCTGTTGTTTCTATCTATACAGCGTGTGCCATTTTTCCATACCCAAGAAGATACTTATTCGAAGCTCTAACTCTTTATATTTTCGGATGCAGGATAACCTTGATCAACATGTTGAAGCTACTGACTCCAGACTACAAGTGAGATTTTTTTCTGAAAATTTTTCAAATCATAACAAAGCCTTGTTACACTCAATATCTCAGTATGACACTATCCTTATCATCTTATAAGGGGATCTCCATACAAAATTAATTCTTGACAATTTTAGGGAGAAACATACTAAAAAAAAACAATACCTTCTGTATATGCATTTAAATTGAAGTGGAAAGGAGTGGATCCAGTAGATCTACTGTGGATCCTTTCATGATACTTTTGATTAAACTTTCAAAAAGTCCGTACAATGCTTGATCAATGTACAAGTATAAACATGGCAGCTCCCGAGCAGTTTGACTTACATTCTTTGTATTTGTGTTCCTAACAGCGAGTGCAGAAGAGGCTGGGGGTACTGAGCAAACGAACAAGGGGAGGCTGCTCGTGCTTGTGCCTGATGTTATCGGTAATAGCCATCGTCGTTTTAGTCGTGGTGGTGTATGTCCTTATCAAATATCTATAGTGTATAGAGAAGGAGGGAGGAGTGGTTGATGCTCTCAGTTAGTTGCTCTTTTGTTTTCTGTTAGCAGTTGAAGAGCCTTTTTGGTATCCTCAGCTTTCTGTTCCTTGTTTGCTTTATTCTTTTCCTAATATTTTTTCTGAAGTTCTTTGGTATACTTGTTTCCTTGAGGAAAAAAAAATTATATAATATATGTTGTGTCAGTGTGAATGTTTTTAATTATTATTATTATTTTATTTTTATGACGTTGGAATCGCAGCCGCCATGGTACGAATAAATCCCATCGAACTTAATACCTGCAAATGATAAAACAAATTACACTGGACAATCACGTGTGTTTTCAATATTCTCCCTTGGACAGATTTGTATTTGTATTGGACAAACCATTTAAGAAATATTATTAATAGTGGGTCGAATTGGACGGAGAAAGTATTATACACATTAAATGATATATCTAATTAAGTACTTCATTCGTCACATAAAATATTTTTTTAATTTTACTTTATTAGTGTAAAAAATAATAATATTTGTGTAATAATAATAATAAAAAAAAAGTAAGAATATTTTATAATGAAAATAAAAGTATTAGTTTAGAACATAAAAAATGATAAAAGACCAAACCGTAAACACACTATTTATCTATACTCAATGGTTAGATATAAAATAAAATTAATCGGAAGGGTAAAAATTTTGTTGCGTAATAACACATCATATTTGAATCGATGAACCTTTGAATCTGTTGTGGCCGGCGTCGGACGTTGCCCTCATCGTACAGTGTACCGGTGGGCGATTGGATAGCTTCAAAGTACGTCTTGCAGTGATTTGCACACTGCCTGGAAATTATATCCGAAGGGATTTACATCCATCTTGTACTACTGTTGATTTAGGGTTTTCGTGGCGGGCTGTCAAACATTGGATTTACTCCCCCCAATTTGGCACTCGACAAATGCTCAAAGGAAAGCTGATTGTGCTTTGAGCAATTGCACGATCGCAATTGTATGCTTATTGATGCACGAATTCTCTTATTGTGGGGAAAATAAGGAAATTGAGCATGAGCATCGTTCCGAATGAAACAATCGAAGTGATTGCACAGAGTATAGGCATCTCCAACTTATCTCCAGATGTCTTGCCTGCTCTGGCCGCCGATGTGGAGTACCGCATTCGCGAAATCATGCAGGTTAGTGTTTCCTGCTCGAGCATTTTGATATTCACGGTTGCTTTCTTCTCTAGTTTCTCAATTACTGTTTTGAAAGATTCAGAATTTGTCCTTTCGTAATTGAAGGATTTAGCGTGTGTGCGGTTTTCGAATTGATGCAGGAAGCAATCAAATCCATGAGACATTCTCGAAGAACTACTTTAACGACGGAAGACGTGGATAGTGCGCTTGCAATAAGAAACGTCGAGGTTTTGGTTACACTCCTGAAGCTCTCATGCTATTTTATTCCTTATTTTTGGGGAAAAATTGTTGCTTGGCTGCACTTTTTTAGTTGCCTTGTATTTGGAGTTTGATGGTTCTGATGGTTTTTAGTAACTCATACAGCCAATATATGGATTTGCATCTGGAGATCCACTGCGATTCGCTAGAGCCGCAGGTCACAAGGATTTGTTCTATATTGAAGAAAAGGATGTGGAATTCAAGGAGGTATGGGTTGGATTTTATGTTTCTTGAGATTAAGACTTGGCTACTAAGTTTTTATGCCTTTCAGGTGATTGAGGCACCCCTACCTAAGGCCCCATTAGACACCTCGGTGGTTGCACACTGGTTAGCCATTGAAGGAGTTCAGCCTGTTATTCCAGAAAATCCTCCTCCTGAAGCTCTTCAGAGTATTAATTTCTCATTTTCAATAATAAATTATATAAGCACTCTAAGCAGAATAGCTAAAACTGGAAGCTATTCGTTATCCACATGGATGATAGATTGGTTCTCTTTTAATTCTTTCGCTGTTGAAAGGCCCGGTGTACCTTAGCGTTGTTGTGTAGGTTCTTTGTGCTACTGATCCTTAGATAATGAAGCTCTTTTGGATGTCAGGCTTTTCAATGCCTTCTGATACCCGGAAAACTGAATTCAAAGATGATGGAGTTCCTGTTGACATTAAATTGCCGATTAAGCATGTGCTTTCGAGGGAGCTGAAGGTACTAGTGGCAATTTTTATGTGCGTTTTTTTTTTTTTTTTTTTTTTTTTTTTTTTTTATCACTGATAATATTGCATAAAAGCTAATAATCCATTAACTGATGGGTGGTGCAGCTTTACTTTGATAAGATCTCAGAGTTGACTCTTAATAGATCAGACTCCCCAGTGTTTAAACAAGCATTACTGAGCTTGGCAACTGACTCAGGAATTCATCCATTGGTCCCCTATTTCACATTTTTTGTTGCGGATGAGGTAAAAAATGAGCGACTATAGAACTTGAGTAATGGTACTGTACATGGTGATGGCTATTAACTTTTAGTAATGGCAGGTCTCTAACAACTTGAATAATTTTACACGCCTTTTTGCTTTGATGCGTGTTGTTTGGAGCCTTCTACGAAATCCACACATACATGTCGAACCATATGTAAGTTTTATTTGCTTTTTTTCTATTTTCAGTCTTCCTTTTTCTTATTGTTTTCCGACTTCTAAGCAATAGTGATCCCTTGTCTGTGGGTTTTAGCTATTCTATAAGTTTCTGTTTTCCGAACCTGCATTAGCCTTTTTTAAACCTTTTACTTGAGAATGTAAGTTTTGTAAATTTCTGATTTCTCTCTTTTTGTGATTTAATTAGCTTCACCAATTAATGCCCTCAATCATGACATGCTTGGTGGCCAAAAGATTGGGAAACAGATTCTCCGACAACCACTGGAATCTAAGAAAGTTCACTGCAAACCTGCTTGCTTCGATATGCAAGAGGCGAGACTCCTTTGTACTTCTTTGCAATAACATAATGAATTCTATAATCCATTCACATTTTCTATTTATTTTGTGGGTAGATTTAGGTCATATCTTTACTTAAATTCCTTGCATGGCTGAATTTTTGCAGATTTGGCCATGTTTATCATGATCTCCAGCCACGTGTGTCGAGGACGTTGCTACATGCTTTCTTGGACCCGTCCAAAGCTCTTACGCAACATTATGGTGCTATTCAAGGGCTAGCAGCCCTTGGGCCTAATGTGGTTGGTATTTTGTGCTGTTTTCTTCTCCGTAACTCTCTCTTTCTCTGTTTTGTTTTTTTTTTTTTTGAATGGACACATTCGGAATTGTGTATCTATGTTATCTTGTGCATACATATATCTAATTGGAGGATGAATTTGGTTCAAAAAATTGGTTAGATACGATTGCTTTTGCTGCCCAACCTTGAGGCTTATATGCGACTTCTGGAGCCAGAAATGCAGTTAGAGAAACAAAATAATGAAGCAAAGAGGCATGAAGCCTGGCTTGTCTACGGGGCACTAATGGTAGGATATAACCTCTTGATTTTCATTACCGCATTTAGTTACAACGATCGTCAGTTGGCACGCCACCTTTCATCAAGTCTCAAATTGTTGGCCCCAATCACTACAATGAAACTTTTTGATTGTGTAGACGTGGTAGAATCAAATAGATGGACGTTGTGGTAGAATAGATAATAAATAGTTCTTTTCACCTTCATTTTATGCATTTGGTATTCGACATATTTGGTACAAGTATAACCTAACTGATCAGGTTTTTTATTCGCAGTGTGCAGCCGGCCTCAGCTTGTACGATAGGTTAAAGATTATACCTTCTCTTACATCGACACCAGCCCATTCGATCTTGAAAAACAACCACAAAGTGCTGACTACAGGTTCAAGTACGATTATCTTACTCTTTCCCCGCTGCATTCACTACATATTCGGCAAAATATTTGTAGCCTCTACAAATGTTCTGATTCCAAATATAACAGCCACTTGGGATAATCTTTTTCTGTTTTTTCTTCAACGTGTCGAAGATAAGCGCAAGCCAAGCTTCGATAACACGGATCACCAACCACCGGAGAAGAAACTAGCAACGGACAGTTCTACAGGCTTGATTATGCCAACGGCACTCCCAGGGGACATGCCGGGAACGAGCAGTGGATATTCTGCAAACATGGATGCTTCTATGCAACGATCGAGGTCTGTAATGGACAATGTGGTCGGAACAAGCAGCGGAAACTTGAAGAGTACAGCATCTGTTGGCCGGATGTGGAAAAAGGATGCCTCCGCCGACGCCAGAGATTTTCTGCCTCGGCTTTATGAATATTTTGGCGAGTGTATGTTGTCGTTTGTACCGTGTCCGGAGGCATCTTTATTCTTGTGATCTTCAACGATGACTCGAACATTAAGTTCTAAATTAAAAATATGTATATATATATATATATATTATCTTATGTACTGTTTCTACGAATGGATTCTATAAATCAATTTTATCTACCAAAGTTCTCAACTTCGTTTCAAAAACTTTAAATATGAAACATTTAAGAACACAAAATATTATCGCGAAGAAATAAGTAAACACATCTTAAAAGTTTTCAAGATTTTTTTTTTTTAGTTTTTCTTTGTAATCATTTATTATTTGAACTTTATGTTCCTAACAATATATATTCTCATAGAATGTCGTATAAAATATTATTTAAATAAAAAAAAGTTCAAAACCTCTAAATCCAATCCAGATCCAAAGGAAATAAACCTAATGACAAGCAAATATAGCACACTTATTTCCCCGAAAAAACACGTAGTATATTATTTAAATAAAAAATCTAAACCTCCAAACCTATGATATCGACTCCTACAACCTAATGACAGCAACTATAGCACAATATGACCGTAAGTTTGAAGGCTGTTTTATCAATAAAGAATGAATACACAAAAAAATTGGCTCAAAATTATAGTTTGGGTATTTCTGCGTTCACCAAAAAATGTTATTCACTGCTCTTCCACTTGGGGTTCCATTTTAGAACCTGAAGCTTTTCATAGCGGTCGCATACGGTTCTCTTAGGGAAGATCATTCAGTTTCGTTCAAAATGGGGACGATGAGGGGCCTCATTTGTGACAGATACACAATTGCCCACCTACGCAGCAGCAGCAACAGATATATAAATTAGTTACCAGAAAAGTATGATCAAAGAAACAGGTAATGGAACAAGCATATCTCCACCGATTCCATCAACATTTTCCAACTAAATAGACGAATACAGTTTGAAATAATTCCCATAGATGAATAATGTTGCATGCATTAGTGAAGGATGGTTCTTAGTTAATAGGCAAAGTGATCACAAGAACATAACTACTGACCACAGAAGAGAAATATTTTGTGATTTAAGTACAGAAAGATGAATGCTGCATGCATTAATTCATTGTTCACTAATTAGCAAAACTATGCATAATGCAACATACAGGGGAAAAATAGTAGTAGTTATTTTCCTCTATTACTCTATCAAATTGTGACAACTTCATTCTCGAGATCTCCTATAAGTGGCAAAGAAGCATGAATAAAAGCCAAAAGTGAACTGCCTTAAATTCAGCTGGTATAGTTTGTAAAAGATTCAACATCTGATATAATTACGATTCCATTGATTTTCTCCACATATTTATTTTTATATATAACTACAGCATAACAACATTCTAAATTGCAATATATCACAAAGATTTAGATAAAGAGGAGCATCCCCTGACTATACATGTTTGATTCTGTATTTATGTGTCCAGGAGTAGATTTGGGATCTCATTATCTTAAGATGTCCGAGCCTCCAAGGAAGCAAAATTATCTTATCTTAACAAGGAGAAGAATGCTACGGTCCCCTCATACACACATACATAATCTACTTGTCAGAAATCATGAAGCAGAATAAGAATGAAGGACAAATAAAATGCATCACGCTAGATGGGATTAAGTAAGAAGGCCATTTATTGTAAAAGCATAAGATCGCATGCACAGAAAGAATTGCGAATGAGTCAATGCTCGTAATTATCTTTCATCTCAAACAAGGGTAATGAACTTACATCATCCAACAGCACACCGTTGCAGTAATAACTAGCGTTAGGTGTAACCTGCACGAATAGAATTAGTTGTATGTTAACAGTAGCCATAAATTGCAGAATTAATGGTCTCAAACGATTTCATGTAAGGTGGATATGACAATATACACTTTCACCTTCTTCATAACTAAGTGAAATAAAAAGAGTTGGTAAGTTCCAAAAGAATCAACACCTCAATGGTGAGATTTTCATCTTACACCATCGAACTCAATGACAGGCTTTTCATTCCCATAAATAGACAGTTCCTTTACACACTGAGTTCACCATTATATGCAAGAAAAAGAAATCAGATCAAATTTATCATGATAAATAAATACCATCAACGCAACTTAATGTTTCATCCTCACTAACAATTCAACTTTGAACTTACTACACTATACTCCCTTCATCTGCCAAAATTATGTCAATTTTTCTTTTTTTGGTTCTCATCTAACCTTATGCATTGTCGTTTAATAGTAATAATAGAACACTTTATCAACCCACAATTTTATTACCAGACTTTAACATATAATAATTATTTTGTCACGCCTTTTCTACTTCCTCAACTACATTTATTTCTTTTCGTTAATAAATTTCTTATAATACCCTTACTTTACTATTTACATATCCAATTTTTATATTAAGATATCATTATTTCGCTCAACTAAAACCACCTAATTATGGCAGGTGGAAGCAGTATCTTTTTCCGTTCAAAACACCATATCTATTTCTTTCCATTAAGAAAAAAAAATTCAAATTCCACACAATCCAAAAACCAACTATACAAAACCTATATACTGATAAAGTAACTAAAGAATAATCACTTCTGCTATCACTTAGACAAAGGAATAATATTTAGCTGATGTTCACAAAACATACTTACAAAGAATAATTAGCCATCGAGTTATTTAAAAAAAAGAAAAAAAAAAGAAGAAGAATTAGCCATCCATGACTGGAATTAATCCAGACCAATCCAAACTCATATGAATGCATTGTTAACTAATCTTTGACGCTCATATGGCTCTAGATGTTAGTTGCCTGCACCATACATCATACATGCAAACTGTTCAAGCCTATGGGTAAAAGAAACATCCCAAAAGTGAAGAGTGTAAACATACAGATTCGTAGAGGGCCCTCTGTTGAAGCAGATTCTGGTGCAGAGTGATGCAATGATTCCAACAACTACAAAAATTAGGGTAGTAACCAGAAACCCCATCTCCAGCGACCGGTTCCCAACAAACACCAGTTAAACACTTTTTCCTGCGAGCAGAATTATCAGACAACAAATTCAATAAGCAGATTCATGAATGCGATCAAAATTACTAGTTTCAAACACCAGCTTCTGTCACACAAACAAAAAAAGGTAATGTCGAAAGCAAAATTACTGATTCAAAACTTCTCGAGGTGAAACTATTTAATCGGATCACGAGACTTCGATGAATACCTTACAGATAAAGAAACAAATAGGAACTCCTGGACCAACACAATCTAACGACTAGATAGATGATCCGTCGGTATCCTAAACTCAGGCGACCGGCGTAACTCCCCTCAAAGTTGCTCGATCCGGCGTCGCTTGGACAAGTTTCGATATCCTCCCAAGAGAGTGAATCAACGCGCGCAATTCCGGACCTTAAGTTAATGTTGGGCTTTAATGATCTATCTATATTGGGCCTTAATTTTGGGCCTAATCCTCAACCTAATTGTTTGTTGGGCCTTTCTTTAACTATCATTGCACTTAGATTTGGGCTTTAGGGCTTCACTTTTTGTTGGGTCTTCCTTCGTAATGTTTTTCAATTGGATCTGCATTTAATTTGGGCTTTTGTTCTACCCATGATTTTATGAATTACCATTATGCAGAATAAGACATTTTCAGTGACCGGTAGTCCTAAACCCTCAAACAATACTCCCATTTTGTCTCATTTTTATTTTTTAACTATCTCTCTAATTTTTTATAAAATTATTTCACAATTTTCAAAATAAAGAGTATTTTTGTCTTTTAATACTTTTAAGCTCATTATTAATATAATGATATTGTTATTTCATTCTCTTACTTATTCCAAATGTATCTACCGTTATGAGACAGATGAAGTATACACATGGCGTATATAATTAGGATTTTAATGATTTGTTTGGATTTTGAAAAGTCCGTAAACTTAAGTGGATTTATATATTCTATATAATTTATGCAAGAGTTTAATTAATTTTGTTTATTGATTTATATGAATTTTGATAGATTTGATTAAATTATTTATTGATTTCTCTAGACTTCATTAGAGTTTATAAATTTGTAAATTAAATACTTTTTTATTGATTTATATAACTTCAAATATATGCAATACACTTGAAAAGTACATTAGTTCTCAATAAATATATTTATTATTATTCTCATTGTTATTTTATTTTAATAATAATAATAATATTTTTAAATTTATATTTTTTGTTATAGTATTATTTTGATCGGATTTATTATATTATATATATTCAGCGTAATTCATTTTTATTTTGTAAGAATCTATTTAATTGTTATTCTTATTATTTATATGATTTTTTATACAAAACAAATATTTATAAATAAAATCACATTAATATTACAATTTTTATTAATTAAAATTAAAAATAAAATAATTAAAAATAAATAAACATAAAATAACATTGTCAAATATAATCGGTGATTTTTTAACTGACGGAATTGAAATCGAAATAAGAAAATATAAATTAAAATTATGAAAAATTTAATTTTGATTTAATATTTCCAAACATTAAAACTAATAATATTAATTCAAACCATTCGAGCAAGTTTATTTGTTATTATATATATATAATTTTTAATATTATTTCAAATATATAAAACTTTAAAATATTTGTAATTTTTTTATTAAACATTTAAATTTTCTTATCTTATTGATATTATTATAATAAAATAATAAATACATATAAAATAGTAAATAGTTATTAATGCTATAAATAAAATAATATGTACTTTTTTATTAATTTTGAGAATCCATTGAAATTTCACTCTCATTTTAAGAGATTCTATAAAGTGTAATTTGTTAACAATTTTATTAAAAAATCCAATGAATTTTTAAAAGTTCATGAATTGTTGAATATACCAAAATTTAAAAAGACCTTTTAAAATTTGAATTGAATGCACCCAAATTTTAAGAATCCACATCAAATAAAATATATAATGAATTTTTAGTATTCAACTTGAATTGTTATTTTTAGTATTCAACTTGAATTGAACAAATATTTAAAATGTGTTTGAACTTAATCAAACAAATTTAATTAATTGAATTTTAGTTTAATTGAATGTAATATGTGACAGCATTTATACATTTATACTGGTCACTTCGTCCTATCCTATGTAATATGGATGTATTACTGTAGACACGAGAATTTAAATAAAGTATAATTAGTAAATAATTAAAAAGTATATTAGTAAAAATAATTAAAATTAAAATAAGTAAATTGTTTAATTAAAATTAAAAAAATTATAAAATTTAAAATACTTGCATAATTATATTTTCAAAAATAAAAAAGATAAATTATGTGTACCAGAAAAAAATATAAAATAAAAATAAATTATGTAGGACTAAGGGAGTACTTATAACTATTTATTATAATTAAGATATTTTATTTTATTTTATTTTTTTACGGACGGAGTACAAATTAATTTTGTTCTATCTATTCGGATTTTGCCCGGCCCATTTAACTTTGGTAATTAGCCAAGCATCACTAATTCTAGGCCCTTCTTCTTCAACAACTCTCCGGCGAATTTGAACTCTCCGATTACCCTCACATCGACGCCGTTCCGTATCAACGGCGGGAAAAACAACCAGAAGCTCGTCCCCGCCACAAACCCTAACGTCAGCGGCCCGCTTACCCACCACGTCAGCAGCCGACATTTCTTGGAGGCTATTGCCGCCTTCAGCAGGACCTCCACCGCCACGCCCACACCTTGAACCACGAAGAACATAGTCACTTCCCACGACGGCGGGATCGCCGGAGTTGTGTACCAGAATATCAACTCGTGCATAAGACCGGAGACAAGAAAAGCTGCTTCAACCGCCGCCAGAATGGACCACTCTCTTCCCAGCACCGGCGCCGTCACCGACCGGACCGGCTTGTACACCGCCTGCCGGAGTAGGTTTCCGGTGGCTATATTCCACCGCCGGCCCCAGAACTCCTGAAGCGAAATCGACAGGTACGGCTCGTCGGACGCCGGCTCGAGCTCCAAACCTAACATCGGGCGCACCAAGGCGCTAGAAATTTCGATCAAAATCTCGAGCTGGAGGAAGACCAGAACGCAATAGGCAGCCATCAAAATTTGGGGGTGGAGATGTTGGCGGCGATAGTACACCGTCGACATTAACGCGGCGGCGATCGGTATTCCGGTGGTCAGATTTATAGGCAATTTTTTCGACTTTCTGGAAGCTTCAACGACGTCGTTTTGAGGCTTAACCGTGAACGGAAACGCCGCCGCGGCGATGAAAACGGGGAACGACTTGGACGGCAGAGATGCAATCGGTCCCCGATCGAAGGCGAATAAGAGCAGCTTGAAATTAGCCAGCCAGGTGAAGAAGAAAGCCATCACCGCCGTGGCGAAGGTGGAGGCGACGTACCGCGGGAGCGCCATGAATACGCAGATGATCGGGAGCAGAGAAATTAACCTCCATTTTCCAGCGGGGAGTCTCGCCGGAAGTAATCTGCAGTAAGTGAAAGAGGCGATTAGGGAAAAGCAGAGGCGGAGCAGATTGCTGATTTCGCCGTCCATCGACGGGGACTAATTTGATTTAGGTCGTCGGAAAACGGGGAAAGGGGCTTGGAAAAAGAGGTCGGGGAAGGAGATGCTCCGCCGTCGAATTTGATTTAGGCTTTGCTGGAGTGGAGGAATCCTAAAAAAGGCTTGTGAATGGACTGTAGTGGTATTAACACTAATTGAAAAGACATATATGGCATTAGCCATTTTCAACTCTTCAATTCTATTTATTTATTCGATTTTAATTTCAAATGTGTAATTATTACAATAATTTTATTTTAATTATAATTTTATTTTTTATTATTATTCTTTAAATATTTAATTTTTTTATTATTTTAAATAACTTTTTATTTTTATAATTTAAAATAAAAAAAATTAAAAATTTTTAAAAAATAAAAATTAAATTTATAATTTTAAAATTAAAAATATTAAAAAAAGTAAAATAAAACAACGTCAAAAATTAACGTTGAATTTGCATCGATTGAAGACAACCCAACACATGGTGCTGAGTTGGAGATCTTAGTATCATAGCTAAAGAATATCATAGCTGGCAATGCCACGTACCAAAAATATAAAATACAATAATAATAATAAAAAAGGCATATACTACGATGCATACGTAATGACAGTAATGTAGCATCCATAAATTTTATTTATTATTAACTTTTTATTCATTTACTTTATAAATTTTAAATTTTCATTTTTTATAATCACTTTTATACTTTCATTTTCCTTTTTATTTTATTAATAATAAATACTATAAATTAATAAATTATTAATAATAAATTATAATATTAATTTTGTCTCATTTATTTTTTGCATGTTAATTTTGAAAATTAATTATTATATTAAAACACAGTATAAATTAACAAAAATAAAAGAAAAATACTTAAATTAGTGTCTAATAGTAATAGAATGACATTTGTAAAAAAATTATAAAATGTAAATGTAAATCTTAGGAGTTGAAAAATTAAGTATTATTTTTTATTTATATATAAGTAATATGGTTGGTAGTTTAAATATTTTTAGTATTATATATCAATATGCAATATAGGTATCATATTAAAAATAATTAAATTTTATATAATACAAATAAATAAAAATATATATTTATTTATAATTAACTTAAAATTAATTTTATAAAAAATAAATAGTTTAAAATATAAATAAAATAAAAAATTTTTTAATAAGTTATAAAAATTTAATTTAAATGATCTATATTTTTTAAAATATATTTAAGATAAATAAATTTATTTAAATAAAAATATTATAGACAAAATAAAAATCACATTTGTAACGGGTGAATGAAATATATTTTAAATTTTTTATTATAAAAGACAAATTAAGAATTATTTATTTATTATTATTATTATTAAAATCTGTGTCAATATTTAAATTTATATTTGAATAACAAAAAATATTTTTTATTTTTTACTATAAAAGACAGATTAAGAATTATTATTAATTATTATTATTATTATTATTAAAATCTGTGCAAAATATTTAAATTCATGTTTGAATAACAGAAAGAGAAATATATTTTAATATATTACAAATACTCCTATAATATGGATGTATTACTGTCTACTCTTTCCGTCCTATAATATGGATGTATTATTGTCTACTCTTTCCGTCCTATAATATGGATGTATTACTGTAGATAAGGAATTTATGTAAAGTATAATTATTAAATAATTAAGAAATGTATTAGTAAAAATAATTATTATTTAATAAAAATAATTATAAATTAAAATTAATATAACTAAATAATTTAATTAAAATTAAAAAAATTTTAAATTTAAATTTTAAATTTTAAAATATAATTAAATTGTATAATTAATTAATGACAAATTATGTAGGACGAACGAAAATAGAAAATAGAGACAGATTATGTGAGACGAAGGAGACGAAGGGAATATAATATTTGAACAACATACATTTAATCAAATATTTAATTTTAAATTTTATTGTAAGTAAAAATCTAGAGAGAAATAAGTATTAAAGGCTCAAAGATCTGCATCATTTCAATTATACTGCTCTGTACTCTACGCCCAAACTGTGCTCATAAATAAACAAACAAATAAGCATATCATTTCAAGGATAAAATCAACTTAACTTCCATATCCATATATATTCATCCGACCAAGCAGCAAATTTTCCTGCCCAAAAGATTGGAATTGATGGTTGATCGTAGAACACTACAAAAGGGTTTAGGTTCATAAATAAAAAAATAAAAACAACTCTAACAGAAGTTACAGCTGCAAACCCCAAAGAAAAAAAAAGCCCATTTCCCCCCTCTTTTATTGCTCATACACCGTATTAATTTGCAAAAAAACAAAACCTTATCACATTCAAATGTACTATGTAATTCCTCCTAGCAAAACTCAGCAACTATTACTCACTTTGCAATGGCATCTACTCACCTTCAGGTGGCGGGGGACTTGTCTACGATGTCGGATCATTGCTTGCCGTAGGAGGCGGAGCAGAAGTTGCAGTGTCGGATGTGGAATCGTCTGACTGTGTGGAAGCAGCAGTATCAGAGGCTTTATCATCGACGGCGGCAGTGTGCGACGTTGTATCTTGAATGGTCATTTGTGACATTTCAGACACAATTGAGCTATCCCCTTCGCTCCACGATGGGACGGGGGATGCCCCGCGCGAAGCAGCAGCAGGAGCTGTGGTGGTTGCAACATCATCCGGGTCCACCGGGGATAAAGCACCATTGGCTGACGGTGCAGTGTCTGTCATACCACTAGGAGCAGGAGATGCAGTCCCATCAATTGATGGTACAGGAGACCCCCCGCGGCTAGAGGGGGCGGGGGATAACTCCGAGTCTTCGACAGGCTGCTGAAGGCTCCAGTACATAATACTTGCTGTAAGTGTAAGAACCATTTTTTGGTTCACCTGTCAATAATAGTAATAGAAGAACTCCATCAAATGCAATGTGTAAACAAGCTCTAGTTATTGAACTTAAGGCGCCGCATATGATGACACCCTTTGCTCGGTATTTTATTTTAAACCATAATAACACACTGTTACGTTCATCTCGATAATAATCCATGCACCTAAAAATCAATTTAACAAAGGATTTTGGAAGATTTCCACTTTTCAAGGATTTTGGAAGATTTCCACTCTTCGCACCAAATTTTTCCCCCAAAAATATCAAATCAAACACTTATTTTTCATTTTTTATATTATAATAAAAATCAATTTTACATTCAAAACATCACATCAATACTTATTTATATCAAATCATACAACTATTCCAATTCAAATTTTTTACTATAAAAATCCCAACCCAAAATCCAATTCTCCAAACAAACACACCCAAAATGTAAAAGCATTTAAAAGCGAAACTTTTGGTTAATTTTTATTTTTTCTTTTCATTTAAAAACTAGGAAAGCATTTAGAGAGCTCTGTTCATCTAAACTATGACCTGAAAGAAGATCTGTAATAAAGGGAAATTATTAATAATTGGATCCTCATTCCTTACCTCTATTATATCTTCAGGCAACAAGAAAATGGAACAGCCCAGCTTCCTGGCAACGCTGATTATATAGGTAGCATTCAGTTTCTTCTCCTCATCTATCGCAAGATAACAAAAAGAAAATCTTCAGTTAAATAATGCTAGAAAATACAATCCAATTCTTGCAACTCCTGCACTCCGAAGATTGTAGTGTTGTAAGATTGCAAGAGAGAGATTTCCGCATACATAGTTCATCAAAGAAGTTTCCAAATCCAAATAACTATTGCATGATTCTATGTGAGTTCAATTGGAAACATACCACTTCCGCCCTTGGTTACAAGATTCCAATTGACAACACGTGGCTCAACTGAGCTGAGAAGCTCAAGAAAGAATATTCCACTTGAAAGGCTCTTATCCTACATAAGCATTCAAAAATACCATCACACACACGCTCCATATACTTACTACCTTCAAAGCACAACATACTTGTAAATAAATGGAAAACTAAACCTAGTAAAGAAGATAAGATTATCCTCAACCTTGAAGCTTTCCATTTTAGACCTTCGACCAGAACTCCTAACTTTCTTATTAGCCCAGTTCAATATATCAGCATCGGTAACCTCCCTTCCATGAAAACGGGATCTTAAGTTCTTCAAAAGTTGAAGGATGTTGAATCTCATTAACTGCCAGAGGAAAGCTTCAAGCAAACAAGAGAACATACATGAACAAAGTTGGTAGTATCAAGTACTTGGTTCAGCTTGAAAGACTACTCAGTTTGTCAGAAACAAGATTTAGGGTTATCACGTGATCAACTTCTATAATGGGAGAACAGTAAAGTGAAAATCTACAAGTTCCATCTCACGAACATAGCAGAAAACCCAAAATATTTCAGAAAAAAGAAATAATAAAACCCCTGCAAACATAATCTCAAGATTTGTGAACGTGGTTCTCTTGAGGTTTAATCATTCCACTTAATATGTCGGCAATAATAATTATAAAAGGTCATTTGAAAGCCTTCAAAACATCATAGTATAAACTTCTCTTTCAGCTTCATCTATTACTTGCTTGCCTCTTTTTGTTTTTGTTTATTTTTCCCAGATGTCATAAAGGAGTTTTGATAGTTAAAAGCAAAGGAGAGACGTCACTGATCCAGAATAAATCAAATACCCAGCTTAAAAGAAATATATGTTTGAAGTGATTCATGACAGAAAATGCATACTGCATTTGTCAGAATCAACACACAAATTAACTCCTGGAGGCAAAAAAATTTGCATTGTTTCTGCTGCTGATATATATTGAAAGTGGACTTAAACCGAGATATGCATCAAGTTACTCGCACAAATGATAATTGCATCAGCAAAATTCATTTGGAATTGACAATATAACATATGAAAAAGAGGGGGTTCTAAGAAAGTAAAAAATTAACCAAACAAGACAATTTATGTTTAATTTCATTTACTTGTAAGATGTTCTTCAGGTGCTGTCCAGGAGCATCAAGAAATACAGATGCAATCCAAACACAGTCAGTCATGTATTTCCTAAAAACACTACGAATTGTTCAGGCTAGAAAATCCACAAGCAGTTTAGGCTAAAGGAATATCAATTGTCAACATTTAAGTGGCGGCAAAAAGTGCACTACAGCATGCCAATTTTATCACTAAACTTAGACACACCTGAATTCTTATTATATTTTATATTCTTTAAAGTATAAATTAAAACAAACCAATATTTTGAATCTGTAGACAAAGTAAAAGCAAGCACTTACCAAGTATAAGTTTCTTATTCCCTTGCACAAAGTCATTTCCTGCTACATTTACTAGGGAAAGATTCAATTGCTTCCCTATCCTCACAACCTGATTACAGTTCTCCACTTTCCGAAATGGCATTTTGATAGGAGGTTTAGTCGCATGCTTCCAGATGACAGATCCAGGGAAAACTTTATCCAACACTTCCAGAAGAATCCACCTGCACACAATATTAAGTGTAAGAAATTAGAAAGCAACTTTCAACATTGACATAAGCAACATACACAAGCGGGGAAACTAACCCATTTCTAACATCCTCAAATAAGTTATTAACATAGGATTCAATTCCTAAACTGTTAATCCACAGGCGGAAGCACCTCTCTTCTCGAGATATTAGTTCATCATCTGTCATCATCTCTGCGAAGGAAACCTTCTTGTTGTCTGTGGACAAGCCACTCCTGAGAAGAAATATCAGTTCCTAATAAGCCCCCAGAGTTCACAGAGGTAACAATAAGAGAAAGAGTCTACATATTAATACAATCCCAATTAAGTGAGAACATACAGCATGGAGAAACTGACAGGAAGGAAAAAACCTTTAGTTCCTTCTCATATGGTGCTATTAGCAGTGTATCCAGATATATTTACACTAGCAACAATATTATGGTTCCTCAGTGCTTATCAGCAAGGCAACCTCAAATTTCCATCACAAATTCATGACAATGCATCTAAAAAGGACAGAATAAGAAATGAAAATAATTAAAACCTCTGGTGGAATATCTGAGCAACAAAAGCAAGGTTCAAATTAGCTGAGCCCTCCACAATATCCTCAGCTGACAGATATCTTTTGCAGTCCATCTTCTCGGCATGATCAAGAATCATATTAGCCCTTTCAGTAGGATCTTTGGTATCCAAGGTAGCAGGATTGCAATGCTCTGGTGCCAGCACATTAAGCAGGTAAGTATAAGCCTCTCCATCCTGCAGGAGAAAAAATTGTCAATATAGAAGGGATCGAAAGCTGAAAGAGTCTATGGTGTGTGGAAGACCACAATTAGGAGGCACAAAGTTAATCACTACTGTAAAGTATCAGGACCCAACATTAAAGTTCAGCACCAAAGAACAATGAGAACTTCTGCACTTAACATGGAAATCAGATCGCGCCAAATAACTTTCAAACAGCTAGGTGGCAACCTCAGGGTGTTCAATCCTCACATGGTCACTATAATATTCATAACATTAAACAGAAAACCTTGACTTACTCGATCACTTCAAAGACGCACATACCTTCAAGTCAGAAGTAAAATTGGTTACATTTTTCTTGTAGCCTCCTTTCTTGAGATGGAAATTCATCCACTTCAGTAGAACCTTTTCCGGAGGAAGTGCCATAAGCTCCTCAATATCCTGCACATGTTGATGATGCCTAATCAGAGTGCACAGTGGAACTCAGTTCTTGCTAACAAAATGCAGCAAGTCAAATATATCTAGGTGAACAAGGAAATAGCCCATTACAGTGTTGTCCTCCACCAGTTCGACAAGCTGTGGTGTCTTTCTGAGGTTGAGATCCGCCAATAGTTGGATCTAAAAATTCCATCCATATAAAACTTAGTATAAGAAAAGCTATGCATATGCTCATTATTGCAAGATTAGCTACAAATAATAAAGCCAACTTAAGACTAACATCTATGAAATATAGAGGCTAACCTTTATAATTTGAGAAATTAATCCAAGTAGCAGATGAGGCTGCAAGAAATAAACAGAACAACTGTAAGATCTTTAATGCCAAATTCTGGAATTCTGATTCAATTATTGCGCGAGCTGAACTCACTCTTCCTTCAATAAGATCTTGAGTACCAATATTGACTACAGTGCATCCAATAGCCTTTGCAGAGTTTAGACAGAGTGTGTGATTCTCATTTCTTTCCCATGGATTTAGTACTCTTTTTGTATTAATAGCCCGCTCATCTATAGTGTTAGGCACGGCAACATTGATCAGCTTACTGAAAATGATCCAACAAAACAATAAACAACTAGAAGACATGAATACCTGAGCAAGTGAAAAGGGAACACTAAATTGTTAGGCAACGTACCACAGGAGAACTCCATCCTTAGCAAGGTCAAATAAATCATTCGTAGTTGGATCCATTGGAAGGAATTGCTTTAGAAATGGATCATCCCTGAGGTAGCTGTTTATGTGAGCAACATAAGAAGCCTTCTCAGTCTCCCTGACGTTGTGAAGAACAGTAGTGGTAGTGGCCTTCAGGAAGGAAGAAGAGTTCTTTGAATCCCCTGATTTAGCATGGGCTTTTCTTTGTAATTCCAAGTATAACTGTTTATCCAAAGAGAAATGTTATCCCCATTCATCAAAGGTATATATAAGGAAAACTTACACTTAAAAGATTATCAAATCATAAAGATCACCTAGTCCTCAATGCTTTCAGAGTATAACATTTGGATTAAAAAATCCATATCACCAACTTCCAACCAGTAATTCAGAAGCAAAATTCAATCTAGCAATCACATGATCTAAAAAAACTTACCCTGAGGAAGCCTTCAAAATCGATCTCGTTGTTCATATCAGACTGCAACTCTTGCAATCCTCCTCTAATATCCTCCTCCTTAAATACACCTTTAAAACCCTTTAGTTTTGCCATGAGGGATGGTAAGTCATCAATTGTCACTTTACCCTTCTGATTCTTTATTGCTATGAACTACATACAAAAATAAATAAATAAAGAAAAGGAAGAGTAGCATATGCTTCAGTACAAATTCAACAGAAATACACTTTAACAGGTTTCATTTCATTCTCAGATTCAGGAACGCGACAATGGCATATTGTACATTCGATAACTATTACTACTAGATAGCAGCATCGGAGGTTGAAAATCGAAAAAATAGAAAATAAAAAGATGAAGGGAGGCTTACTTTGGAATTGAGGCCGCGAAGCTCGACTTGTGTGAACTGACTCTGAAGCCATTGATCGGAAACAACAACTCCCACAAAATTGGACATCTCCTTGTCGCCCCGCGGTCTCCGCGAATCGCGGGGAGACCTCTCAAAATCGCACAAAAGTGACAACCGTTTAAGCCCAAACGATCAGAATCTCCGGATTCCAAATCCGCCTCAATACCAGAACGCCAATCTAATCACACGAACCATCTAAACAAACCATGCAAACCGAAGTAAATACAAAACGAAATACCTCCAGCTCCTACGAACCGGAAATCCACAATATCAATCCGAAATCAATCAAACATTTCACAGCCATAAATCCGTAGTTCTCCGATTGGTTTGAATGTTAATCAGACGGCATCGATACCGAACGTTGGATTCAACAGTTCACAATAGCACACATGCATACCTGTCAAGGCAATCAAAGATTCTGGTTCGGTAATAAACTCTTCCCTTGTCGATCTTCCCCCCTAGTTTTCCATCAGAGCATTCAATGTTTGACTGTTCCGTGTGAAATTCATGGCGTCATTTACAGAAATCGAGGAGAGAATGGAATTGCTTCGGCGAGGGGCAAAGAAGGGAGAGAGATTTTTGAGGTGTGGACACGCAAAGACTATGAGAAATGGATTGAAGGGAAAAACCAGACGCCAGACGCACCACTGTAGAGAGGCCCAATTCGATCAGCCCAGCTCTCCACGCGCTGTCTTGGCGACTGTTATACACGCGCGCCGCTTCCACAGCACTCATCCCGCCACCGTCCTTTCACCGCTCTTCAATGGGGTTATCTCATTGTAGCTCCACGGATCTCAGCACCAGATGAATCTCCTCCGTTCATTCTGTAGACCACATCAAATTAACGGCATCGATCTCCTGGTGTTCGGGGTATATCGAACCCTGTGAAAATTATTTAGCTTACCCAACCCCTAGCCGGCTATTCCTCCCACCCTTTCCTTTTTCATTTTTTAATTACCAAATAAATGAAATATTTAATTGGCATAATTCACGGAAATTATATATTTAGTTGCGTTTTTAATTTGGGATTAGGGTTCAAACTTCAAAAAAATATTAAAAGAAAAACATATTTAGTAATTATTTTTTCTTAAAAAAATTTATTTAATAGTAATTGTTACCTTAATAAGATTAAATACATACAAAATAAAAACAAAATACCTATATACATACACAATAAATATGCGTATATGTTAATGTTTGTGATAAATAAATTGAAGAAATATGTGGTCTACCTAATTTTGATGTAGTTGAGGACAATATCTTCACTTCTTTCTCTCCCATTTTTAATCACGACGTGATGGAGAGTGGTCTAATTGGAAAATATTAATTTTATGTACACTGTCCCTTGAATAGGTAATATATATATATAATGTAACTTAAACACAATATAATAAATTTTTTATATGATTTAACAAAAAAATAAATAAAATCATATTGAATGTTTTTATTTTATATTTTTGAATGAATATATTTTTTATATTATGTATAAAAAATTATATCGATAATATAAAAAAAAAATTTATGTTTAATTATTAACTTTGTATGAATGAACAGTATATATTGTATTTTCTATAATATATATTAAGAATAATGTCACTAAAAATTTGTTAAATAAACAAACAAATTATTCAATATATATGTGCATATTTTTAGTAAATAGTATTAAGCATCTTCCATATTTGAAAACAAAGTATTATACAATTTGATAAATATATGAATATATATATTATAGTGAATAATATTGGCAAACTAATGAAGTTTTGGTCTTTACACATTACATTATTATTGTCATTTGAAATTAATTGTCCGGACGCATCAAACATTTGAGGTGTCTGGGCATTCCAATGATGGTCCACTCCTGGAGGTAGTTCGAACATTCGAATTAATGAAATAATAATTTTAGAATAAAATCAAAATAAAAAAAATGGATCAAGTATGGTGATTTCAAAGTAAGAATAATTCTCAATTCAAACAGTGTAAATAGTTCTATCTGAGTCATATAAGAAAAAATTTGAAGTGGATTTGAAAGCCCCATGGCAGCGGAAATTAATTTGAAGATTATCTTTGAAAATGGTTCAAAAATTAGATTTTGAAAATATATTTGAGTGGGTACCACTTTTAAAGATTAATTCCCAGACATTTTTTCGTTATCGGTGATAAAGAAGGATTGATATCCTCGTTTGGAGATTTGATTAACTGCAAATTAATTAGTCGATTAAAAAAAAAAAACTCTTAATTGCGAGCTGGAATGTTGAGAGCCGCTCTTGACCTCAATAAATTCATCTTACGCAAGAAGAGAAATTGAAGACTAAGTTGTGTGGATAGAATTTTCATATGGTAAACTCTTGATTAAATAAGACAACGAAGAAAATCTATTATAAAAGGATTGCAGTATGGCATAAGATTTGATCTATGATAGTTCGGCTCCTCATATAGCTCAAATGTTGCTCTGGAGAATGATGAATAAAGGAATCCCTATTACAATAAAATTGGTCAAAGGGGAACTATGGATTATTGTGAGTATGGAATGTCCAATATGCTTATCGAAAGAGGAAAAGATTGATCATATTTTTATCGAATGTATATTCGCTACCCACTTGTGATGTGGTTCAATATATTTTGGTCTTTTTCAAAAGATCTTCAATAACTTTTCTTGAGTTGAAAACATTTTTAAAAACGTAAATTTTGTGAAATAATATGAAATCTATTGTGTTAGGTAGTAATTTGGTGCATATGGATAACAATGGAAGAATAAGTTTTTCAAAGAAAATCACCTTTTAAATCTAGCATTGTTGATAGGACAAAAGATTGTATAGAAATGACTCAATACTAAACATCCAGAAACAAATAGTAGTGTATTATTATTTCAAGAAAATCTAGAAGACACTTGTGAATCTAAAGCCTAAGAGATTGGTGGTTAAAACAAAATTACTATAGCTTTCCAATAATTAGTTAATGGAAAAATCAATGTTGATGGCTTGGTGATGGGAAGCCCTAGGGTTGCAGCGATGAGGACGATACAAGAATGATTATCTTGATGATGTCTAAATATAATGGTATGTAGAAGCCGATAGTTGCTGAGCTTGTGGTTGTTCGACAGATACTTGAAGAACTTCGCTCATCAATTAAACTTTGTTGTACCAAAGTTTTATATTGAAAAGTGATTCATTTTTCTTTTTTTTTTTTTTTTCTTTTTAATAACGTGGAAACTCGCAATCGTTATCTCAGAGTACGCACGGGGTAAACTCTCAGCAAAATCTAATACCATGTAAACTAAGTCTGACAAAACAAGTCACATTAGACGAACCATATGTGACAGGTAAACTTGGAGACGTTAGAATTTGAATTCATGACCTCATAGTCACAAGTTCAATCCCCACACCGTCAGACCATCCTTTACGGAGACTTGAAAAGTGATTCTCCTATAGTATTGTGATTAGAAAGGAAAACTCAGTACACATGAACATTGAAATTTAAGTAATTTTGATTATCCATTAAAATTATCATCACAATAGTTTGATTTTATTATTAAAAGTAAAATGTTGTTTACTTAATAATAAATGATGATTTAGTATATAAATAAGATTTTAAATATATATGAAATATTTTTAAAATGAAACATCATTATATATATTTAATATAATAATTATTTTTTAATTATAAAATCATACTTCCTTCGTATTATTCCAAAATATCATTTTTACCATTTTTCGTCTGTCATACTTCAAAGTATTCATTTTTTATTTTAGAAAAAATAATTATACAAAAATACTAGAATATCTTTAACTTTTAAGTTAAATTACAAATATATCATTACACGTACCATTATATTATGCATGATAAAAATATCAAAATCTCTTACACACTTCTACTAATTAATAAAATATTATTATTTCTAATACTTCATAGATCAGACTAGTAATCAAAATAATCTGTCATTAATAGACAATAATATGTTTTGGATTATTTAACAATAAAATTTTTTAAAAAAATATTTAAAAATATCTTCTTTTATATAATTTTTAATTTTTAAAATTTATAAAAATAATATAAAACTAGATATTTAATAAGATATTTTACTAAAGATATATATATTTAAATAATTATTGTTATTAAATAGTGTAAAAAAAACAAAAAATATCTATATAAAGAGAGTCATCATAACCAAACTTAACCTTAAGACGTGGGATAAAGCGGCCACCGACCAGATCGCATGTCGATCGGGATAGTATTTGCTTACAATTTGGTCCAGGACCATGAACGCCGCCTCCAATCGAGACACCTGTCCTAACATACGACCCGCATCATTTATATCATATAAGCTCCAGGGACCTCAACTCCACATGCTCGATATTGTCCAATAACCTAGACGGATGTTGTTCCGGGAAACTAAAGTCCATGGACCCCCTCAAAATGTAAATTTTATCGTGACGTAAGGCAACCAAAGCAGGGCTAAATGGTAAATGCATAATATTGGTACTATTAAGCTGTTTTTGTCTTGTTGCCATTTGAATCGAAAAAAATATGTGGACAAACAAATTCACGATATATGCTTGATTTGATTTTTTTGATTTTTTAAAAATAATAATATTCAATTTAAAATCCAAAGACATACCCTCTGATTGTTTAAATTATGTAACGTAAAAATAACGACAAAAATACAATAATATGTACTCAATGAATTTAGAATGGTCACGATTGATTCCAAACACTTCTATTAATGAGTACAATGGGGCCATAATATAATATTTCTGCTCCGAACATTAGTTAATTATTTGGGCCAATATCAATAATAAAGCCCATTATCAATTGGGCCTAAATTGAGCTTTACACTATCGAATAAAGCCAGGCCACTACAATAAATTATTAGTTACATGCATTGGGAAATAACATGGATAGTGTCGAAAGTCAAAGGTCTCACGACTCTCGTCAGACACGTGGCAACCCTTTATTGGGCGTAAGAGACCACTGTAAAAACCACGCCTGTTACCGAACCCCGAGGTGAAGGGCAATTCGGTCATTTTGAGGTATATAAGTGAGAGAAAGAGATCTGACAGAAGAAGGAGAAAGGGTTAAGAGTGTAGAGAGAGAAGGAGAGAAGACGAGAGGGTTTACAGTGGGAATATCTACGATCGTTCGGTGGCAATTTGGTAAATTTGATGAGTGACAGAGGAGCAGGGGCAGCGCCGGCGGCGGCTGCGGCGGGAGGTCTGGTGACGGACCACCAAATAGCGGAGGCGCTGGAGGTTCTGCTTCGCGACGCCAGTTCGTTCACCTCCCTAAACGGTGTCGTACAGCAGCTCGAATCCAAATTGGGCGTCGATTTGAGCCACAGAATCGACTTCATTCGCGCACAGATCCAGCATTTCCTTCTCCAGCCCCACCCGCAGCCTCACCCGCAGACACACCCGCAGAATTACGTCCCCCAGCACCACCAGCGGGACCATTTCTCCATAACTCAAACCCCTAGCTTTCACCCGCAGCATCCGCCTCCGAATTTCACCGTGCACCATGCCGCGGCAGAGGGCTATGGTTTCCTCCCGCCGCCGCAGCCTCAGCCGCAATTGTCTCATCCTCAGCAGACGGCGCCGGTGTTGGCGAAAGACACTAGCGGCGCGACTCCCAGTGCTCCTGCTAAAGAGAGGTTTATTTCTCGTTTCGTAATTCTTTGTTCATCGCCCCACTGCTGTGATACTTTATTTATTTATTTGAAGATTACAAAACAAAAAACAGACCATATAGGTGTTCTGTGAATCCTTTCTCAATTTTGTTGTTTTAGATACACTTCCAATGTTTCGAACTTTCACAACTGAAATTGTTATTGTGCTACAATGGGTTCTTCCAATTGCCCTCTTCAACATCTGCCGTAGCAGGGCTGTTAAATTACCATGAGCACTTTTCTTTCGACTCGAACCTTGCTTAGCATGCTTCCTTGAGTCGTTTGGCTTGATATGGTCTGTATTTACATTTCTACAGTGCTCCACCTGCAAGAAAAAGAAGAGGTGGGCCAGGTGGCCTGAACAAACTCTGTGGCGTTTCACCGGAGCTTCAAACCATTGTGGGTCAGCCTACCATGCCAAGGACAGAGGTGCATGATCCTCTTCCCTTCTTTGTTTATACTTCCGAACTATACTTGTATGGTTCTTTTCTGAAAAATGCCATTTGCAGATTGTGAAACAGTTGTGGGCTTATATAAGGAAAAACAATCTTCAAGATCCAAACAACAAAAGAAAGATAATTTGCAATGATGAGCTCCGTTTGGTATTCGAGACGGATTGTACTGACATGTTTAAGATGAACAAATTGCTGGCCAAACACATACTCCCCCTCGAGCCTACAAGTATTATTCTAGTGCACAAAATAGGTTGTTGTTATCGCTATTAGTTTACTTATATTTGTGTGATAAATTTTCATTACCTATGCACAGAACAGGCAGGGGAAGTTGCGAAGAAAGCGAAAGTTGGGTCGGTTGCAGAGGAGCCTTCGATTAAACGTGACGAGCCTATACCAATTGTTATGATATCTGAAGTACTTGCCAATTTCATTGGAACTGAAGAGAGGGAGATGGCGCAAGCAGAAGTATTGAGGCAGATGTGGGAGTACATAAAAGTTCATCAGCTTGAAGTGTGTAATTGAGTAATTTATTTGGTTCTAAATCTGACTTTATTAATTTAGAATACTATATAATGATCATCTGCAAAATATTTTAGCGACATTCAATCTCGAATAATTTGGCGCGCATATTGATATAGTTTTGCATGAACTCTTAATTGATTTCTGTGCAAGAAGTGCTATGGAAGCCTGATCTTTAATTTACACATATAGGGCTTTTTTTTTTTTAGTGTGTTTGTGTTTTTGAATAACGGCTTTATCGTCTTTATTATATGCTCTACCGTAAATATATTCTTTCACCTACTTTCTTGTCTCACTTGTAAATAAAATTTGTTTTTGTTCTTAAATCCACTTTCTAATTCACTAGTTGCCACTTGTCCACTTAGCGGAAGGCTTTTTCGGTCCAATGATACTTTTGATCATTTCAAAAGGATATTTTCTCCGTACTAATAGATAGCTGTAATTAAATGTTTTGTCGTGTACGCCGTTATTGATCTGTCATCCATTTATCCACTAACATTGTTGGGACTTGTTGCAATTTATGCCGTTATTAGCAATCAGGATACATATGATCTACAAGGATAGTCCAATGCAGAATTAGAAATCATTAATTATCTTTTGTTACTGATCGATGGTGGCATTTACTTCAGCCGCTATATACTGCTTTTTCTCTTGGTTTTCTTGGCACGTGTCTGTCACATGTACACCTTTTCTTTTTATCTTATGGAAACATTCGTTTGCAGGATCCTTCTAACTCGGCAGCCATCATATGCGATGCAAAACTACAAGAGCTTCTCGGATGTGAAAGCATTTCAGCTCTCGGTATGCCTGAGATCTTGGCACAGCGCCATTTACAGAAGAAATCATGATTGTCCATACTGACTGGTAAGTAGAAAGAACATTAATAGTTTTTTTTTTTCCCTGCGTAGTCGTGATTGTGTGTATTCTCATCGTATGAGTGAATCAATCTAAAAAAGGAAAAACGGTCAAAGAAAAACATTTAATTCGTGTTCTTCTTTCCTTCGATATATTATTTGAACTATGTTCTTCTTTGCATGCTATATTGGTTTATCTCTCATATGGTAAAAAAGGATAATTGTGATTTGTAGTCTCAGTAATTGAGTTTATCTAATTCTGATGATCTGTTATCTACTTATGCAGACGCAATGGTAAATGCTAACTCATTCGTGTTCTGACATCTTTCGCTTGTGCTATCTTGGATGGTCCAAGATTTAATGACTATGTTGGTAGAGTTGTGAGGTTGTTCTATGGATGAATATATATATATATATATATGACTTTGGTTATTGCTGGCTAGTATTGCTTACAGAACTTCCATTCTTTCAATGTTGAAAGCATGTATCGATGTAATTAAGCTGACGAATGCTAGGAGAATCCTTGTAAAAGTAGGATCTATGCTATACTTTGTTGGTGTAAAATGGTTATCAACATATTAGGTCACTGTATTTGCAGAATCCTGTGTTGTTTCTGCCTATATTCTTTGTTTGTTTCCTCTTTATGCGTACAAGTGTCGATGGTGAGATACTGAATTTATTAAATCATCCGAAGCTGGTCATACGACGAATCCAGGTAGGATACTGGCAGATATTGGTTGGCTTTTGTTAGCTCTTGTGGTCACATCATATCTCAGTCCACAGCTGCTATTCATGCCATGTTTGCACGGTTGATTCGTTGCTTTGTGGTCCGCCAAATATAGATCTCATGTAGTTGTCATCGAATCTCAGCCATAAGGAATGCATGGCATACACAGGCCTCTTTATTAGGTGTGCCAATCCGCCATCCAATTGGTTGGTTGTTGCAGATTCCTCGGACGAATGCAGGGGAAGTCTCATGTCTTCCTCGGCCGTATTTTGTTTCTGGTTATTCGTTCCTTGCGGTAAGAGTGCATTTAGTAGCGGTTTTGTGAATAGGCCGAAAACCTGCAGTAAAGTGGCTATGTAACTTAGTCTTGACAAAAGACTAAAGCATGTTTTAACATTCTATGACAGGTGTAACATATTTCTTGTTTGGGTTTAGACTCACCACTGTGCTGGATAGCACGACAAGACCGGTTGTTTTGACAACTGTTGCATTGGGCGGATCTAATGGCTTGCCGTGACGAGTAAACTGCAATGGAAGATGAAAACAGGCTTAGAAAATGGGGGTAGATAAGCATATCATGTAATGAATTTGTCCAAGAATGCTAGCCGGGGTGCGGCCCCACCTGCTTGAAGGCCAAAGCGATGGACACCGCCCCTCTAATGAGCCCCGCCCACAAAATCATTACCTAGTTGCATGTAAGAAGCGTTTTTTTATGTAAGAGGTAGTAAGAGAGGATGGTATTCCAGAAATGATCGAAAGACAAGTGAGCAAAGAACTAGAAACAGATATCCAAGCATGTTCTTCAAGTAAAAATCTATATAAAGATGATACTGATTCTCCCATAAAATAAATTATAGAAAAGCATGGAAACCTGGTGCTTGAATGTTATTATAGATGATCCTGATGTCCGGTTCATGAAATTTGACAAAGCTGAGAGTGGAAACACGAAAGCAGCACGCCCGAGAAATATCAGGAACATGAGGCTACCATATACACCAGCTGAGTCCCAAAAGCTGCGAGGAGTATTTGGAAAATTACAATTCCGAATTGGAATAAGAAACTGCTTAGAATATGGAGCTATAACAATTACCAATATGAAGCAAGAGATCAAATGTCTACATGCCAAAAGTGTACAGAAAATTCTCACTACTAACAATTCATAACATATGATTGTGATTGAAGGATGCATTTTATGACTAGAGGATACATGTTAGAAGACTAAACGGTCTCTTGAGACGATCTGCTAAGCATTATCGACAGTCTAATTCCTCATATACATTATGTATTGCAGATAAAAGTGCCAAATATGAGTACTATATTTCCATTATAGCCAAGAAGCAGGCTGTAGCTTTAGCCTATAAGCAGCAATGAATAGCATAAGCCTAACAAAGGATGCACAAGCAAACCTGAGCTGCACTTCAAATTGTTTTAAACAAGAAATTGTATCAGGTCAGAAAAATTCTCAATATAAACATTATTCTTTACCTCAATCTGCTCATTTTCCATTTCTTAATATCCAGGGCATCCATTCCCACATATAAAAATATGAATGTTTCTGCAATGGAGGACATCATAGCAAAGACATGCCTGCAGTTAAAAATAGTAGAAAGAAATCCAAATCATTGAACACAAAAGGAGATCTATTTTACGTCTGAGGCTCATGCAGTCCATAACCTTGCTACTTTTAATGAGGTAATATCTTTAGTATTAAAAACCCAAAGGTTGGAAATGCAATGGCTGCATGACATTCAATAAGCTTAGCTTATCAAGCAGAAGACAACATTGTGAAGCTAGCTTAAATAATTACATACCATGTGGTGATTCTTGAATCATCAGTTACATTGTACCAAGCATATTGTGACATGAAAATTCCCGTAAAGAAGACTGTAAGAATCCCACTGAGTTCCAACAGCTGTAAAATGAAAACAGGATCCCTCCAAACTTTAGACATCACTTCTATATTCTAAAGGTATATAACTATTCTTATACAAGTGATGAGCAGAGCAGGGTAAGGTATGAATTATAAATTGCAGCATCTTTGAAAGTTAGATCATTTAAGATGCATGGTTGCCTGGTTCATCTGGTTAAATAAAAGATATTTTTCCTGGGAGAGAGGAAAATTTTGAAAAGCAGTGACACTGATGGTGTAATATCATTCATGACACAGTGAAGAATAAACAAAAAAAATTGCCTTCTTCCATTGCAGAGAACATCTACATCACAGATGTGCCTACATTGAGACATGCAACAGCTACTGAAATTAGAGATTGTCTAGAGGACTGCTATAGACTTAATTTAATCTCTTCTTCCCCTTGCAACCTCGCGGAACTGGAAGTTCTATAGGTGTAGTTGTATGAACTTTATTCTTGAAGCTAATATTTCGTTCACTTCACATGGAAATGAATAGATGGAAGCAGATGAAACATATAACGGAAGCTGAAAGATATATAAGATGCATCTACTCTGTTTTCCTTTTACCTCAGACAACATGTAGGAAAGATATGCCATAAGAACCATAACAGCAATTTCACGAATGGTTGAATGCCTGTTAACACAAACAAAACCACATTCCACATGAATATGCTGATCAACAGTCATCCAGCTTTGACCCTTATATAGAAATCAATACAATTTTACCTGCCAAAGTAGAAGCACTTGAGAGCATATGAAGTCAGGAGCCCCATCTGAACCCACAACGAGGAGCATTTCAGAGCCTTGTTCAAGCAAAATAACATATATCCACCAATCTAAACACGCTGCTAGATGAATTTGAAAAGTATATAGGAGAATCTCAAGCTATAAAAACTCTTAAGTTACTTAAAGTCTCGGTGAGTTTATGAAAGAGCTTCTCTGGCACATTTCGTAGTAATCCTGAAAAGAATATATAACAGTGGTAGCATGTGCATCTTCTGCACAATCTAAATAATTTGGAATCTTTCAAAGTTTACTTAATGTGGATCCTAATTTCTTTTAATTCTGAGTTGTTTTCAATATGTTCAAGATTGTTCCAATCAATGAAAAACCTCAATTCAACAGCAAAATCATTGGAGCCTCAAGAAATCTACATCATCATATTCTTCTGCAAACCTGAGTTCTTCCAGCCAAATGCAATATCATGAATCACTAAGTTATAGATGGGACAATGACTTATGAGCAGTGTCAAATTTTTGAAATATATAAATCATCAACACTAGGAAAGCACATAAATATTTTCAAAATTGTGGTAAAAGTCTAACTCACACCAATTCCTAAAGCAGTGCTAGTGGAGAACAAGTATAGGAAGTCCCCAATAACTTGGAGCACTGTCGAGCCATCTATTTTGTCTACTTGAAGCTTTTGAACTGCATTGAACAGGACAACTGATGTGGCATCATTTACAATCCCTTCTCCAAACACTAGGCTATATAGCAAAGGAGACTCATCTTGATTCAGAACCTGTATAAAAATGCCATGCAACTTGAACACACAACAGATTGCTTGCTCATATAAGAACAATATCAGGAATACTAATAACCAACCTGCAGTGTGCATACAGTGTCTGTTGATGAAAAAATTGTCCCAATACCTAGTTTGTGGAAGCAAGACATAAGGTTAGCCAAAGTGTAAATGATGAACCTTGCTGAAAATCATGCAGGCCACGGTCTTCATGAACAAACCAAGAAAGTCTCGTGGAGTGAGGCCATGAAAGCTAAACTTTGGGAACAGGAACCAGCTACCTAATACGAACAAAGCTTGTCATATTCCAAGACAATTCAAACACACACACATTGTTATAATTCAAACCTATTAGTCAAACACGCGCAATACATTACCAGATGTAATAATGAATGTTGATACAAAAACTCCAACCACTCCAAACAGCATTATTGTTAAGAAATTGTGGAAGAGGGCTTTCTTCTTGGCCTGAAATCTGGCAGAGAAGAACTTCCAGTGAAAATTTAAACCTAAAACTGCTGCAATATCTACCATCATTAACTCACCCTGCATTAAATATGATGGGAGGCAGGAGATAAATGAAGAAGAGCTCTTCATCAAATCTCAGTATGTGTGAACTTGTCCACTTGCTTGTGAACAGAATTATTGTTCCGCTCACACAGCCCTAATTTACAATTAAACGAAGCAAAAAAGTTTCATCATTTCAAGAGAAAATGACACATTAAAGCCATTTTTCTTCGAGATAAAGCAAGCAATCAGAAAATAACAATTATGAAACAGACAAATACATTTGTGTTGCAATAAACAAAACAAATTCAGAAACACAGAATGAAGAGATGCATACAATTATAATGGCGGTAATGGATTCATTGAGCCAACGATTTTCTTCGAGCAAGTGTCCAACCACCAGACATAAGCAAAGAATAGCCACAAACACTGTTATTGGAATAACCTCCTCCTGAGACGCTCCCATGCTCCCCATAATCCTCCATATCCCATCCATCGACGTCACAATATTCACACAACACAAACAGCAAAATGCAGCTGACTGAAGTTCGATCAAACAAGTTAAAATCAAGGAAACAAGAAGAGAAAGTGGATGCGAGTTGAGAGTAGTGTGAGCACTGACTCCCACACCACATCCACATGGCGATTCCCGCGAAATCGCTGCGCATGTTGATACGTGTCTGCAACTGCTTCACGTCGTTGCTATTCTCCGGCTCCAATATGCTAGGCAACGTAAGAACGACCTTTTCCTATTGGACAAATTTAATGGGCCTTCCCAAAAAGCCCACCGAAATTTAATGGGCCGACTATGAACAGTACTATGTTTACTTTTTGGTGATTATGGTAAGTATTGTTTTATTCTATCTAATTTTATATTTATTATAATAGATTAAAATCTGGTATTCATTAAAGTGGGTAAAATTAATTTAATATATATACTAAAATTTATATTATTCTATATTTTATCAAATAAAAGTAAACATCATATTAATTAATTTTATACTATATAATTTATTAAAATAATCCCAAAGATTATAATATCATCCTTAAAAAAAAATAAAGACAATTTAATTACTCTTTCCGAAAAATAGCATTTGCTTTTTGCTATCCATTACATCAGGTCACGGGACAGAAAAGTGGTAGTAATAGTTATTTATTTATTTGTCTTTTATGTAAAAAAGTATAAAAAATAATATATTTGTTTAGAAAAAATAAAAAAATATATTTCATCTGTCTTTTTTAAATGAATTATTTGAAATTTTACAGTAGATTATTAGTTAGATATTTTTTTAATTAAAAAGTAAATGTACGTACAATTGTAATAGTACATTATTTTTAGTATAAAAAAAATAATAATTTGAAATATGAGCGATGACAATGATAAAAAAATTATATATTAATTAATCCCAACGCTAAAGAAAATAATGTAAGGGTGTGTTTGTCTGGCGGATTTAATAAGATTTCTACTATTCATCCAATTTTTTTCCCCCAAAAATATCAAATCAAACACCTATTTTTCATTTTTTATATTATACTAAAAATCAATTTTACATTCAAAACATCACATCAACACCTATTTATATCACATCATACAACTATTCAAATTCAAAATTTTTACTATTCAAATCCCAACTCAAAATCCAAACCCCAAACAAACACACCCTAAATATATATTTAATATGGAAAAAAAATTAGTATATTTAATAGGTTTAAAAACGTCGAGAATGGCAACTGTAAAAGTCCATCATGTGTCAGTATTCTCTAGTTTGTGCCACACGAATATGTCACGCTTGGGCCACGGGGTGTGTTCCTTTGCTCACCATTTAATTTTAATGTTTTGAATTATTTTAAAAATAATAAATTATTTAAGTTAAGTTAATTTTAATATAAGTATTTAAAAGAATAAATAATAGTACTTATTTTAAAAAATAGCAATATATATGTGCCAGTTCAAAAAAAATTAATGAATATATTTGTAAAAAAAAAATTTGAAAAATAATAGTATTAAATTAAATATTAAGTTTATATATATATATATATTAAAAAAAAACTGTTATCTTAACATAACGTTAATGTCAAACAACTTGCGAGTTGATGACCCAATACTCGGCGCGGCGAAGACTCAGGCTACCCGCGATCATACTAGTGCAACTATCGGCTTGCTGGCTGGCTATTAGCCGCGCTGAGTATCAGCCAGCCGCTCGCCGTCACAGCTGCCTCGCAACACTGATACACGAATTTCTGGCCAATGTACAAAGCCAGATTCCCTAACTAATCTCACAGGACAAACGCGCCTCGGCAATGTGGAAGCTCCGATCCGTCGTTGACTCAGCCTCGCCTGTTTTGCTTTGCTTCTTTGTGGCTGTAGCAGCTGCTGCTCAAGGATCTACCACCAGTGGCCGGAAATGGCAAACACTCACCGGTAAGAAATCAATCTTGACTAAGAATTTGGGATTCTGTGGTCTGGAGGAGAATATCTGAAATTAATCAACTTAGAGCACTGAAAATTTACATTTCGTCTGCTGTAATTGATTGTGAAGCTCCATTGCTTTAATGCACCGGTTTTTAATTCTCTACTTCACGGTGTTCATTTGTCGTCGGTACGTTGAATATATTTTGCCTTCTATGTGTTCTAGGAAATGCTCCTTTGGTCATAGCAAGAGGCGGATTTTCAGGAGTGTTTCCTGATTCAAGTTCTCGTGCATATCAATTTGCCGTGCAAACTGGTTTGGCTAATATGCATGTTTGGTGCGACGTTAAACTCACCAGAGATGCATTTGGAATCTGCTTTCCCAACATCAGGCTGGAAAATTCATCCGATATTGCTAATGTTTACAGCCAGAGGAGGAACACATACACAGTAAACGGAGTTTTACTACAGGGATGGTTTCCTCTGGATTTTACCCTTAAGGAGCTCGCATCTGTCCACTGTAAGTTCATTTACTTCTGTATGATGAATTCCTGTCAAATTTATTTCACCAATAGTTATGAATTTATCCTCCATACTGAGTTTGTTTCATATTGGGGCAGTGCAACAAGGAATTTATGCACGAACCCCCAACTTCGATGGCACTTCGAAACTTCTTTCTGTTGATGATGTAGTTAGCTTAACAAGGCCAGCTCCGTTATGGTTAAATATTCCGGTATATCATTCAAATACATGCTGAATTGTTGATCACATTACATACACTTCAACTGTAATTAGCAAGATTTGATAAAGCTTATTTTTGTTTGAATGACTTGGTGATGCAGTATGCTACATTTTTTGGTGAGCATAATCTGAGCATGAGGAGCTTTCTTATTTCTGCATCCAGACTAATGAATATTAGTTGTATTTCTTCACCTGAGATTGCCTTTTTGAGGAGCATTTCGCCTCATTTCAAAAAGAGCGCAACCAAGCTCGTGTTCCAGTTTATCGGGCCAGATGATGTCGAGCCCTCAACCAATCAAACTTACAGCTCACTTGTGAAGAATCTTGCGTTTATCAAAACCTTCGCCGCTGGAATTCTAGTTCCCAAAAACTACATATGGCCTGTAGACCGCAGCCTATACCTGCATCATTACACCTCTCTTGTATTGGATGCTCATGCAGCAGGTCTTGAAGTTTTTGCATACAATTTCATGAACGATGTGCCATTAATACCGTATGATTACAGTTATGATCCGGTGGCTGAGGTTCTCTCTTTCATTGACAATGGAAAGTTCTCTGTTGACGGCGTGCTGTCTGATTTCCCTTTAACTCCATCTGCTGCCATAGGTAAGCAATGATCTAATATATTCATCTTTTAAGCTCAATATAAATACTTCTTTGTGCAGAAATATTTCAAGCTTCTTCCTAATCAGTTTGTTCTTGCAGATTGCTTCTCACATTTGGGCAAGAATGACTCGGTGAAAGGTAGAAGTTCATAAAAAATGCACTAGTGTTTACAACGAAGCTGTTTATACTGACTTGATCCATTTTCCTGTGCTCATATTAGCAAAGTTTTTGATACTGTCTTCGGAGGGAGCCAGTGGAGTCTATCCCGGCTGTACAGACCTGGCCTACACGAGAGCAGTATCCGACGGCGTAGATATTCTCGACTGTCCTGTCCAAATGACAAAAGATGGGATACCATTTTGCTTGGGATCCATCAATCTCAAAGACAGGACAAACGTTGCCGAGACGAAGTTCAGCAGCATGAGAACATCCAATCCAGATCTCAACATATCCGATGGAATCTTCACCTATGATCTCACATGGAACCAAATTCAGAGGTTGAAGCGTAAGTAGAACTCGATTTCTTGGCTATGAATATGTCTGCAGCTTTATCTCCTGCACTGATTCATTAGTTCGGTGAAATTCATCAGCTGCGATGGCCAATCCGTTCTCAAACTATATTCTCTTCCGAAATCCAAGATACAAGAATCGTGGAAAGCTGATGCAATTATCCGAGTTCTTGTCGTTCGCAAGCAACTCATCGTCTCTCCCGGGAGTTCTGATCAGCATTGAGGTTAAAATCTACTCTGCTTGATTCTGATCTCCCTGTACTAAACATTTCTATCCATTTCTTGCAGAATGCTTCCTACCTCGCCGCAAAGCAGGGGCTTCACATAGTCGATAAAGTTTTAGAAACTCTACGCGGATATAAACATCAAGCAGGAAAGAGGGTCGTGATTAAATCAAGCGACCGCGCCGTGTTAGAAAAGTTTAAGAGCTACGAGCGTTCTTACATAATCAAGGAGGATATCGACGACATCTTGATCAATTCGACCATATCGGAGATAAAAAAATTTGCCAGCTCAGTAGTCTTCTCGAAAAAGTCTGTCTTGCCTACCAACAATGCTCTTTTCCTCACCGGCAAGACTGCTGTTGTTCCGAAGCTCCACTCCTTTAAAATTCCGGTCTACGTGCAGTTCTTCCACAATGAATTTGTATCTCAGGCGTGGGACTTCTTATCCGATCCGTATGTGGAGATCGACACGTTCGTCTCACTCGCCGGAGTCGACGGCGTCGTGACGGACCACCCGGCCACGGCTGCTAAGTTCAGACGTAAGTTTGGTGGTGATTATATTCTTTTCAGCAACTGCATCCATGCATGCATGTTTCAAATCAATTTTGAAACTATTTATGAGATTTTAAAATAATTTTGGTACAAATTGGAAGCAGGAAATCGATGCCTTGGGTATGAGAAATTACCACCGTACATGACGCCTGTCCAGCCTGGAAGTCTTCTTTCACTGATTCCAAATTCAAGTATTCCTACAGCAGCGCCGCCGCCGCCGCCGGCGGACGTGGTGGAATCTCTGCTCCCTTATGCCTTGCTGTCCTGATCTGATAATCCATTGTAAGTAATGGTATCATTTTCATTTTCATTTTCGTAATTAAACTACTGTTTAATACTACTGTCTCAACTTTGAGATTTAGCCCTGCAGGCTCCCTATGTATAATTTAAGAAAATTTCATCTTTGCCCTATATTTTCAAAGTAAAAAGAAGGTGCATTTTTTTTTTTAACATGAGGTAAGAATAACAGTTTTTTTACTAAAACTATGGGCCGGTAGAGTCTATCCCAAAATTAGCCATACGTGTAATGTTTTTTTCTTTTTCTTACATCATACAAGTTACGTGGTGAAATAAAATTTTCCACTCAAATATATTAATTAGATCTAAAACCTTTTCAATTATTCATAAATTTCATCCAATATATATATATATATTTTTTTTCCTTGGAAATAAAGTGTATATTTTTAAAAAATATTACTCCTTCTCACTTATCATATTCACATTTATATCACTTTCATTTAGAAAATGATTATACATTTTAATCTAATTTTAAAATTTTAAATTTAATTTTTTTTAAAATTTTAATTAAACTAATTAGTTATTTTAATTTTAATCTATAATTATATTTTCACTCATATATTTCTAATTATTTACTTAATTATCCTTATTCTAAATTGTTGTGTATACAGTGATCCAGATATCAAATGTAGGACGGAGGGAGTATATTTAAATAATTAAGTAAACATAAAATACAAAAACAAAAATAACACAAAGCTAGGCTATATATATTTCATATAAGAGAATATTTTTAATTCCAATTTCACAAGTTAGACTTGTCGTTTTTAAGTTCCATAATTTTGACATTTATCGATGCCCATATTCATTGGAACATGATTAAGTTAAGCAGAACCAACAAACACCTATTTTTAAATTTTAAATCCGTCTATATTATGAAAGTTGCGTACAACTTAATTTAAAAGTTCAAAAATTATACCCTTTAAGTGAGACATACATATCCATGGACCATAATTTATTTTATTATTTGGTCAATAAAAATAAATAAATAAATAAATAAATTTCAATTTGAAAGGATTAGTGTGAAAACGAGATCTGATTACATCAGTATTTCGCAACTCATATGTCATCCCAGCCGTATCAGTTTCACGTTTTCCAAATATATCAAAAACACGCTTTCTCAACAAAAAATTTTAACATATTTTTTTTTTTAAAAAAAAATTAATATATTACACATATTTTTTACTTTTATATTTCTTACATAATTCTCTTACTTTATATAAAAATTATCAAAACATAAAACAAACACGCCCTACATATTTAATTAGGATTCGTTATATAATTAATTTGTTTTAAAATAAAAAAATGCATATTCAGAAAAATAAAATATAATAAAATAAATTGGAAAACATCGCCAAATAGTCATTCTAGCATTCGCATGCTTTTGATATGGTGACGTCATGCACATCCCGGGTTTTGGTCATCAAGCGCCAGACAAGCGGTCCTTGGTACTTGAAATACTGGACCGGACCGGACCCTACCGGCTCATATTTAGGCAAGATTGTACTATAACTTTTTTTCTTGCTTTGATTTTTGTATATTCTCGTTAATAATATTTTATTAGTAAATAGAAGCATTTAAAATTATTTGAATATAAAATTGAAATTTTCTATTTACAGTGATATACAAATCGTCTAAATAAGGTAAAAATTTTACGAATCTCTCAATTTTGACAACTATAAATAATATAATATATTATTTCTAAATATATTGATGGAACAAATTTGAGTTTATCAGGAGTGACCGAAAAATATATAGTCGAGATTTTTCATGTACGAATTTGAATTAACAAAGATTGACTAAAAATGATCTAGCCGTCCACTACTGAATCAGAGTAAGCAAAACTCAATACTGTTAAAGTTGAAAACATGACTCACTCTCTCACAACAGAACTAGAGTCGAAAATAGAACTTGCTCACTCTATAGAGCTAGAGTCGGAACAGGACTCGATCGCGCTCACAACAGAGTTAAAGTCGGAAACAGAATTCTCTTGCTCTCAATAGAGTTAGAGTCGAAAACAAGACTCTCAACAACATTAGAGTCGAAAGTAGACTCTGTCAGTGAAGTAGTAGAGACGGAGACGACATGAAAATAACAACATGATTGTGTATAGAACCAAATACATTAATAAAATATAAAAATATACACAGGATATAACGGGTTACTTAGATACCCAGGGAGAATTTGGCAGAATATGAAATTGAAATTCTCTATTTCAATCATAAGAATACTTATATATTTATAGTGATATACAAATCGTCTAAATAAGGTAAGAATCCTACGAATATATCAAATAAGACAACTATTATAAATATAATATATTGCTTCTAAATATATTTTATTAAAAATAAAATTGATATTTTTGTTTTCTTAAATAAATATTTTTGTAAAAATTAAAAATACTTTAGTATTTATACATAAATATTTATAAATGCATTGAGTTGGAATAGAAAGAATATTTATTTACATCGTATAATTTAAATATTTTTTGTTATTTTTATTTACAATAATTTTATAAAATTAATTTTTAAAGGTAAAAATAAATATGAAAATAGATAAAAATTTAAAAATAGCCACGAGGATTCCAGGTCCCCGGACCTGCTTCTAATGGACAGTTTTGATATCACTGTCAATATTAATTCAGACAAGTCGCTAACTAATGTGATTTAATCGTATCATCTTTCTTTCTAATTTAATTCCCTGATTGATTCGAAATTGATCCTTTTTAATATTAATCTTATCATTTCACATCAACATTTCTAAAAAATTAATAGGAGTACTATTAATTATATATATATATATTATTTTATATTTCTGTAAGGTAATGACATATTAATAGGAGTACTATTAATTATTTTATATTTATTATTTCATCTGTTTCACCTAACATATTCACATGGTCGTTTCTATTTGTCATATATTTTATATTATTTTTTTAAAAATAAATACACATTTTAATTTTATTTTAAATATTTATATATATATATTATTTTAATTAAATTAATTAGTTATTTTAATTTATAATTATTTATATTATAAGATAATTATATTAACCTAATATATTCTTAATTATCTAGTAATTATATTTATTCTAAATTATCGTGTCTACAATAATTCGGACATGCAATATGGAACTGAGAGTATAATATATAAACTCTAATACGTAAATATAAAGTAATTTATTTTTAATTTCATTTCATATCAAACAACGTAAAAAACAAAAACAAAAACATTTTAATGACGCAATAATGACATCATCCCATATATAGATATGGCTTTGGAATCCCTCCTCAAATAAGACATCATTGGAATGATAAGGATAGACACAATAATATGTTGTTGTTATTGTTATTATTATTACTTACCAAAAGGTGACGGCAAACAAAACACATTCAAATGGAAAAAAATTAAAATATATTATTGCATTAGTTGTAATATTCTTTTTTATTTATCCATCCCTCGAATATTCAATAATTACGGTTGCATCATAATAATAATAATAATAATAATAATTATTATTATTACGGTTGCATCATAAAAATAATAATAATAATACTCACTCCGTCCCACATGATTTGTCCCTATTTTCTATTTTCGTCCGTCCCACATAACTTGTCCTTTTTATTTTTGGAAATATAATTATGCACTTTAATTGCATTTTATAATTTTTTTTAATTTTAATTAAACTTTTTATTTATCTTAATCTTAATTTTAATTTATAATTATTTTTACTAATACACTTTTTAATTATTTACTAATTATACTTTACCTAAATTTTCGTATCTACAGTAATACACTCGTATTATATGGGACGGAGGGAGTAATTACAGTTGCATCATTCCTTATGTGTATATTAATATTATGCCATCAAATGACCCTAATGTGTATTCAGATATGGAAATACGAAAGCGTACAAGGAAAATATTTTTAGTTATTAAGTTACTTTATATAACTCGTTAGAAATTAATTCATAAAATCTTATCCAAAATGTACTAAGAGATCCAAAATATATTTCCACATATTTTTTCAATTCAAAAGCTTTTTTTTTTTATTTATTTATTTAATATATTATAAAACAATCAAGTTCTTTTTTTTTATTATTGCAAAATATTACATCAATCATATTTTCATATTACACTATATACAACACACTTTTAAATTTAATTTTAAATTTGAATAAAATTATATATATATATATATGAAAATATAATAATAAGAGTAAAAGGAATCTATTGCTCCCTCTATGTAATTTGAGTGTGTCAATGTAGATACAAAAATTTAGTAAGTAAATAAATGTATTAGTAAAAATAATTATTGTATAGTAAAAATAATTATATATTAAGATTAAAATAACTAAATAGTTTAATTAAGATTAAAAAATTATAAATATAAAATATGATTAAAATATATAATTATATTTTTAAAAAATTATTATTAATTTAAGATAGAACGGAAATAAAAAATAGAGACAAATTATATTAGGTAGAATGAGCTAGTCATAGCGAAACGAACCGGTAACTTTAAACATGCAATTAATTCGGACCGGCACAGGACCGGACGGCAGCATTAAAAAGGCGGCGAAGAAGGATGACGTTAAAACAGCGTCAAAATGACGTAATAGTTTTTTAATTAAAATCAAGATCTGATTTTTAGTTTATTCCCTGCCCTGCATCTCAAGAAACTGCTGCTGCCCCCCTTGAGTTTGACCCACCCAACGGATTTTAATTAATTAAAATTGTATTTCTTCTTCCCCCACCCCACCCCACCTCTGCCTATATATACATACATCCAATCCACTGTCTTTCTTCCATATTTCCACTTCCAAATTCACAACCAGAACCAGAACCAGAACCAGACATGTCGTCCAATGTTGTCGGGGATCCTCGCCCTGTTTCTAGAAAGTTCCTCGCCAGGCCCCAGCGTGAGGGCGTCGGGGCGACTGTCCGAAGGAGCATTGGCAGGTCGATCAGATCATCAGAATCAGAAGATTCTCTGTTTTTTGTTTTTTTATTTTGTCTGTGTGAATCAAGATTGATATTTTTTCTTTGTCTTTTTGGGACAGGTATGAGCTGAAGTATTTCGATCCTTTTCTTGTACTGGACGAATTCTCAGGTGGGGTTCTCCTGTTTCGATTCTCTGTTAGTCTTGAAACGAATTTCGATGAGTTTCTTGGATCTCAGTTTTTGTCTTCTTGCAGTTACTGCTCCTGCTGGATTCCCTGATCACCCTCACCGAGGTCTGTGCCAGATTTTATTTGGTCAGAATTAATTAATGAATTAATGATCGATCTCTTGATCCGATAATGGATTCTTTTTTCTCTTACAGGATTCGAGACTGTTACTTACATGCTTCAGGGCTCCGTCACCCACGAAGACTTCGAAGGCCACAAGGGCACCATTAACGCCGGCGACCTCCAGTGGATGACCGCCGGCCGTGGCATCGTACACTCCGAAATGCCCGCCGCCGCCGGCACCCAGAAAGGCCTCCAGCTCTGGATCAATCTGCCCTCCAAATACAAAATGTATCTATCTGTATATCTATTTATATATTGGAATTAATTAATTAATTAATTAATTGTAATTTTGAAAATGGGGCTGATCGGAGAATGCCACGTGTACGTGCAGGATCGAGCCGAGGTACCAAGAAATGAGCAGCAGCGACATTTCCGAAGCGTCCGACGACGGCGTCCACGTGAGGGTAATCGCCGGCGAGTCGCTGGGAGTAACGTCGCCGATTCAGACGAGGACGCCGACGATGTATTTGGACTTCACTTTAGAGCCGTCGGCGAAGCTCCGGCAGCCGATTCCGGCGTCGTGGAATGCGTTCGTGTACGTTCTGGAGGGCGAGGGCATTTTCGGGAATTCGCGCTCGCCGGCGACGGCGCACCACATTCTCCTACTGGGCTCCGGCGACGGCGGCCTGGTGGCGAAGAATAAGTCCTCCAAGGCGCTCCGGTTTATTCTGGTCGGCGGCGAACCGCTGGATGAACCGGTGGTGCAGCACGGCCCGTTCGTGATGAACACCGACGAGGAAATCCAGCAGACCATCGAGGATTACGAGAATTGTGCCAACGGTTTTGAGAAAGCCCGCCATTGGAAATCTGAATCCACCATTCTTTTTGGCCATTAATCACCTGTTCTTCATTTGCTTTCTCCCTTTTAAATTCGGAGTCAAATAGTATTTTTTATATTTATAATATTAATATTTAATTAGCTTTTTAAGTCATTCAATATAATCATGTTATTAAGGGTATGATTTTTTTAGATGAGTTTCAAAAAAAATTTGGTTTAGATTTGATATTAAAATAATGTATAATTGGATGTTTTGTGAGATAAAAATAAATGTATTTTTTCTTTTGAAATCGCAGAGTTCAAAAAGTAAAAATCTGTACATGCCTTAAAATTGATGGACAAAAGAAATTATTATTACTCCCCTGTCCCATAAAGAAATATCAATTTACTTTTTGCACGTAGTTTTAGAAATATTAGTATTATATTAAAATATAGTAGAAATAAAATAAAAATGACTAAAATAACCTTATTAGTATGTGTGATATAAAGGTAACGATATTTGTATAATATATTGTACTCCCTCCGTTCCACATACTATGTCCACGTTTCCGTTTCTGTCCGTCCCATATACCATATCAGTTTCCTTTTTTTAAAACTGATTATACACTTTAATCTCATTTTAAACTTTTTAATTTTTTTTAAAATTTTAATTAAACTAATTAATTATTTTAATCTTAATTTATAATTATTTATATTATAGAATAATTATTTTCATTAATACATTCTTAATTATCTACTAATTACACAACTCCTAAAATACCGTATCTACAATATAGCAGACACGGTATGTGGGACGGAGGTAGTAAGTTGTAAGGGTATTTGTAATGTTAGGTACATAGTACAGTTATTAAAAAAGAAATAGATATTTTGTTATGGGACGGACTAAAATGAAAAGATAGATACTTTGTTATGGGATAGATGGAGAATTATTTTTCAAAATATTTTAAAATTTCAGTCATTCTCGAAACATATCTGTACACACTCTTCATATGTATTTTCACATATTTGAATTATGCTTATTAAGTCGTTATTACATATTAATATGATTACATAAAGGATACAAATCGGAATCGTGTATTAATTAACATTCAATAATAAGAATTTGTACAAATTAAAAATTCAGCCTATTTTTTGAAAGTCAATTACCCCACTTAATAAACTGATTTATTGTCGTACCAAAGTGCCAAACCTATATTGTAGGTCAATCTACTATCTACATATAGTAGCACGTGCATTTATTTTATATAATATTTTGAATGTAAAATTAGATTTCAATATAATAAAATAAATAAAAAATTGAATTTTTGATTTGATATTTTTGGATGAAAGAGAAAACTGAAATAGTAAAATCAGTATAAAATTCATTTATGGGCCATTTTCAAATTTTTGATTCCTTATACTTTGCTATGATTATTTTCAATCAGACTTAAGTTTGGGGAGAAAACGAAAAAAATACAATTTTGTTGGGTATTATACAAATTCAACAGTATTTAATCGGAAAAAAAAAAGATAATTAGTAGTCAGTCGAAAAAAAAAAAGAATAAATATAACTAGTAGTTTATCGAAATGATAAATTAGATGAAAAATTAAAATTTTGAAAGAATTGATGCCACACAAACTTCTTATTTGAACACTTTGAAAATAATTTGAAAATAAATATGTGTCGATTCGATCAATACATTTTATAAACTCTTTAAAATATAAATTAACTATGGATTGATAAAAATTTAATGTAATATTTTAAATAAGGATATCGTATATTTTTAGCATTTTGTAACAAAAACATATATATATTTTAATTTAAAATAAACAATTATATATATATAATTAATTTATGCATGTGAAAATATATATATAGAGGAGCATCATGCCGCATTTGTCGCGGCCTGGAAGCAAGGCATGGCGGGATTACGTGTATGGCGACGCTTAGTTCTCCCAATGCACAATTCTTCTTCTTCTTTCCTTAGCTTCCTCCTTTTGTATTCCTTCATTGCCATTGCCATTGCCATCGCCATCGCCATCGCCATAATCGCTCCATTTCTCTTTCTTTCTCTCTCTCTCTCTCTCTCACCTACTCATTGGCACGCACGCGTCGTCCCTGTCAGGCGTAGTAAGGTAAGGGGGAGGGGGGTTTCGAGCCTCATTCCCCGGATACCTTTTTGCCTGTCTGAGGGAGAGAGAATTGAAGAGAATACTATTAGAGAAGAGATGACGCCGATTGAGAAGGAGGATGCTGCTCTGAACCTAAGGAGATCTCATTCTTCTCTCAATTTTAGGAAGATTGTCCCAAGGGTATTGCGCACCTCTTCCGTTAAGAACTTGTTCAGACCTAAGAAGCCTCGGACTCCTGCCGAGATCGTATGCGACACTAGGGAATTGCTCTTGTACCTCGATTCTGCTTCTAACGACGCCGCCGTTGGCCATAAGCATGAAGAAAAGGTTTGATTGATTTCTTCCTTTTTCCTATTGCTATTGTTATTGCGATTGGATTTGGACATTGTGATTATTTGTTTGATACTGCGCCTCGTACGAATGGATTAATTGAATCTCCTGCATATTTTTGGAAATATGGAACAGATTCGATAACACAGTGCTTTTTGGTTTTGGAATGAGCTTGAATTCGGCATTTCCGTAGTTTCGTTAATAACATCTGCGCATTTCACGTGATTATTGAGAATCTTGCTGGAATTGCTTTTCATCAATGCTTGTTTGATCACAAGGAATTTCATATATATATATATATATATATCTTTTTTCAGTTGGAGCAGCTGGATGTGGATCTCATGGAGCTGAAGTCGATTCTTTATGGGATCAATGAATCCGAGCCTGTGCCAGAAGCTTGTGCGCAAGTGACTCAGGAGTTCCTTAAAGACGACACAATGAGGCTCCTCATTCTGTGTCTCCCAAAATTGAACTTTGAGGTGAATGCAAATAAATTCTTTCATTATTATTCCTCCATCTCTGACATATTTCAATTGTTAAACATGTGGATCCTAACCATTGTTTGTTCAACTTTGTCCCTGGTAGGCTCGTAAGGATGCTGTCCAAGTTGTCGCAAATTTGCAAAGGCAATCAGTTCAGTCTCGATTGATTGCTTCTGATTATCTAGAAGCCAATTTAGATCTTATTGACCGACTGATAGCTGGGTGAGTTATCCATCCATGGAGGTTGTTTTATTGAGAGAATGTTGTAAATTAGTAACTTCTATCCTTGTTTCTAAAGCAAATTTGTGACGTATCCTCTAATCATTATTGCTGCTGTGGTTATTGAATGGTCCAAATTCAAGAAAGAATCTGGATATTTTGTGAATGCAGAAATTTATCAGTGTTCTATGATATTTACTCATTGGTTTTTACAGGTATGAAGATCCTGTAAATTCTTTGCTTTTTGGGGGAATGTTGAAAGAGTGCTTAAGACATCAAGTTGTTGCTAGGTAAGAAAGAATCGGAAATGGAGATAAAAAGTAAATTCCAATTAACTTTGTCACCAACATCTCCAGCCTTACAAATGCACAATTTTTCTGTACTCTTAAGTCGATGCTACTTTGCATGCTTAACACTTGTGCTGATCTTTGGATTCAAAACTCTGTTTTTGTCCTGCAGGTACATTTTGAAGTTTGAGGAGCACATAAAGAAATTTTTCGACTACATTCAACTTCCAAATTTTGATGTAGCTTCAGATGCTGCTGCTACATTTAAGGTCCATTTTGCTCTTCGAACCATATGGTTTCCCTCATCGATTTTCTGCTACTTCAATAATCACGATTTCTTGTATATCAAATACGTACCTTTTCGCTACTTGCGCTAAAGTGCTAGTAATTTACTCTGTTCTATTTTCCGAATTCAATGATTTGTTATTTCCTTCAGTAGTGTCAATGAAGAAATATAACATTAAGAGTTCACAGCTTATAGAAAAAACTATAGACAAAGTTATTGCACATATCTGAGGTAAAGATTCTTGTTACAACAGGAACTTATGACAAGGCACAAATCTACAGTTATGGAATTTCTAGCAGAAAACTATAGCTGGGTATGTTGTCTCCTTCTTCTTACAATGTTTCTTGTCTTCTGGTTGCCGATTTACTCGAATGTTATCTGCTTTTCAGTTCTTTGCTGAATTCAACTCGAGGTTGCTGGAGTCTTCCAATTACCTGACTCGAAGGCACGCCGTCAGGGTACTTACTCACCATGGCTGCAATTTTTAGGTAACAAAGAATGGAAGCTCGAGAGATTTCTGACCAATCTGAGTGGCTATTGTTTACAGCTTCTTGGAGACATGTTGCTGGACCGATCGAATTCTGGCGTGATGGTACGATATGTTAGCTCAAAGAGCAACATGAGAGTGCTGATGAATCTTATGAGGGTAAGAATCCATTGATCGAATTGAATCGAATCAATCAGAATCCCTTTTTTTACCTTATTGTTGTATTGAATTCACTCTGGTTTTGGTGCAGGAGTCTCACAAGAGCATCCAGATCGATGCATTTCATGTATTCAAGGTATCATCATCATCACCTCTTCCTACAATGGATCGATCCATATTCGATCGATATTTCTGACAATTTAATGTTGTTGCATTGCAGCTGTTCGTGGCAAACCAGAACAAACCGGCTGACATAATCAACGTACTGTACTTCAACAAAAGCAAGCTCCTGAGGTTTTTCGATGGATTGACGACGGACAAAGGTACGTATGATCATATATATATATATTAAGATCATCGAATGAGTTAGTAATGGATGAATGAATGGATGGATGGATTGGTTTTGAATTTGCAGAAGATGAAGTGTTTGAATCGGACAAAGCTCAGGTGATCAATGAAATAATGGAGCTGGAGGCGACGGGGAGTTTCAGCTGCTCGGGAGAACTGTTCAAGCCCATGACTGTATAAATTTGTGTGTGTCTGTTCTTAGAGAATAAGCTTTCTTTCTCAGGCTTATTATATATGCTTTTGTATTATTTATTTATTTATTTAATTATTACATGGTTGTCTATATAGTGTCCGTCTCTCTGTCATAGCCTTCCAGTTTTGGCACTTAGATTGACTCTTCTTTTTTCTCTATATTTTTACACACATGTAATGTCAAATGAAAAAAGAAAAAATTTGGTAGAAATACAAGAGTAGTATATGTCTTTTAGCATTTTTTTTTTTAATGTTTTATGTAGCTCTTGTATTTTCTTAAAAATATTTATTTTTATAAAATATCACATAAACATGAACTAAACAAAGGGAACTCCACTCTTTCCCTATTTTCACATTACGTAAATTTATTCTATATAATTGTTTTAATTAAAATTACTTTTAAAGTAAATTACTTATAAATAAAAAAAAAAATGAATTGAATAAATGTTTGATTCAACGTACCTTATTGATACAGTAGTTTGAATATTTAAATTATTTTTTGATATAATAGAAAAATAAAAATAAATCTAATGTTTTTTAAAGAAGAAAAAAGGTGGACTTGATTTTTCCTAAGTGTGCGTACCTCCACAATTACTACCTTCAATTTATTGTATGGTCAAATTGTACGTCAAAAACTTCGTAATAATTAGGGTTTACACGGCGGTTGGACTGACCTCCGGCGGAAATTAATGGCTCCAATAGGAAGCGCCGCCGCCGGTCAGCAACTTACCGCCGTATCAACACTGATTTCAAACCTCCAAAGGTGGCTACCGGAGTTCCACAAATTGAAATCCTCCGCCATTGAAACTTCGTCGTAGATCATGTGGCGAAACTAATTTTGATTTATCAAAGAATGGGCATATTGAAGAAGCCCAATGCATAGTAAGAGGCCCAATAAGTAATTCTTACGGCCTTCGTCAACAGGACATCGGAAATCTGCTCATCTGCTGTGCTCTTCTGCAATTGCTACCCAGGGTAGGGTTTGCCAACAGATTTTTTATTCCTGCGATTCAGGTAACCATGCTTGATTTTATTGTCTAATTTTCCGTAGGTAATAATATATTGTGAGCCTTTTTTCCTGGTGAGTATTTTGAATCTCGTTTCCCTGCTATGTTCGACGAAATGCGGAGCGAATTATGAACTTTTTTTTTTTTTTTTGTGCGTACGGTTTGTTAATTGATTGAATTTGAAATCTCCAGCTTTTTCGGATGCGGATTTGTGTGCCTTTGTAATGCTCGGTTCGTTTTATTGTTCAAGTATTGTGCCTGATGTTTGTGCTTGGATTGGTTTCTATCAAAACTGTGAATCGTTAGTCGACTCGTGATTTAGATCGGCGTAGAACCGTTAAGATTGATTACGTTCGTTTCGGAGAGTATCTTCTAGAATTTGTTCGTTACAGATCATCTTTTCTTCATCATTGTAAGACTAGTGCAAGATGAGATGCATTACAATTTTCCTTGTACTCCCTAACTTTTGCATCTAGAAAATGTTGGTATTTTTTTTTTCTTGGATTTAAATGTTAGATATGAAATTGTTTTAAAGAAAAAATTACTTGCTTAGGGATTTAAGGCTGTAGCTAAACAATTACAGCAAACAAATTAGGCAAAAGTCAAGAAGTTACAATTGTGTCAATGTGATATACATATATGTATCTATTCTACCTTCTGCAGGTTGTGTTTGTTTGGGGGTTTGGATTTTGAGTTGGAATTTGAATAGTAAAAATTTTGAATTTGAATAGATGTATAATGTGATATAAATAGATGTTGATGTCATATTTTGAATGAAAAATTAATTTTTAGTATAATATAAAAAATAAAAAATAGGTATTTGATTTGATATTTTTTGGGGAAAAAAATGGGATGAATAGTAGAAATCTAATCCAATCCCCCAAACAAACAGACATTGATCTTGTGCTCATAACCTAATTTGGGTATTTGCTCGAGGGGATGGGCTTCCATTTTTCTTGTAAAGTTCATTGAATGATCGTGCCGTGTTTTAAGTCATTTTCCTGCAATAGGTTTTCTGGGCCATAAAGAGGTTGTCTTGATGGTGGTGGTGCCGTGCTCAGCTGCTACGCCGGGCAAGTTGGCAACAACAGCTGCCATCTTCCTTACTGGTGCTGGATTGTTCGGATTTGGCCTGCAAGGTCTATACGCAAATGCAGGTCCACATCAAGCAAAGATCAAGGCTCGGAGCGAATATGTCCGAGAGAGGTTATGTAAGAAATATGGGTACGAACTTTCTGGGCCATACTTAAAAATGCCGGACGAGAAACAAAAATGAGAATTCTTCAAAATATGCACACTATATGATGCATTTGTTGGTAAGAGAATAATATTGTTTTATTCATCCTTATACAATATTTATTTAGTATTTGAGCCATCAATGATTATAACCTCAATATAATAGTAGTCATTTGTAGAATTAATGATCCAAATCATTATTTAGTATTCCCTTTGTCCTACTCACTGTGTTTTCACTGAATTCCAAAGTGTAATACCCACTGCCTGTTCATCAAATGCCTGCTGTGTATGCTGTATCTTAAAACATATTGGTTTTGCTATCTGTGCCTATGTTATCACTTTAAAATAATGCATTTGCAATATACTTCATCTATAACCTACCATTTTACGTGTCAACTTTAGTTTACACAACTCATTGGAATGGTTTAAGGCAAAATTAGCAACTATACCAAAACCTAAAATACACAAAGCCAAACCATATGTATATCTACAGCTAATCTAATATGCCCTGATAATAGCACTGTAGTTAAATTCAATCCAAAGTGCAGGCAATTGCAGTTTATATATAATAGCAAAAGAAACACAAATTTATCAGCCAAAGCATCTATTACGCGTATCGAAATCAAAGCACAATAGTCGTCAAGAAATTATACCATTAACTAATGAAAAGGTTCAGCGCAACACTTCTGAAGTTCAATGTGTTGAGCACATTTCATAAACCGACAAAAAGGATAGTTTTGGGGGTAAATATTTGATGAGCTTTGAGACGACTTAAGCACCGCTGGCACCCTTGCCCTTCTTCCTCTGGATTTTCTTCATGTAGAACTCCAATTCCTTCCCTTCCAACACATACCTATTTCAAGAGGAGGTGTTTAAATAAGCACATGGAAGATACAAATGTTGGTCAATTGATGCCAATGATATCCTATCTCATGATTGTCTTAGCCAAATTAATTAGCAATAGAAATAGAGCATTTACTAAACTGAAGATTCAGCCCATAAAACTTCTGGACACATAACATTACCAAATACCCTAAATGTCATATTTATTAGTATTATTTTCACTCCAATTTTGCAACCAGAGCTCACTTAATCAAAAATTAGAAATCCAATTTTGTTCAAGTTATATGGGACTATGATTTCGTTTCATTGTTTAGCAACAACAATGAAAGCGGACTTGTAGATTTGAGGTGGTATATTTGAGGGGAAAATATGAACAATCATGAAAATTGACTTCTTTCCCCACTATATTATCACAAAACAAACTTGGCATTAATGAAAATTCTGAACAACAAGGCCAACAAACTAATTCAGAACAGATCACGTACCCATCAGCACGTCCACACTGTCCAGGACGGGAGGAGATAGCTGCTAACAACCTGCCACCACCAAATTGTTCCTCAATATGTTGGTCTATACTGCGCTCTTGTTGGCGCTTTTCTAGCTTTCTCTGGACATGGTTACTCTTCTTTGTCTCTTCAGCAGCAGCAGCCTCAACTTCCTACAACAGGTCAAGCAAGAACTGTGTTATGAACGGGGACTAAGATTAAACAAGGACTGCATATGGCCACTGCCTGAAACTTCACCAACGAGCAAAGACAGGCTTAACAAGTTAATCTATTCTGCATAGATGTCCCTTTTGCAGTGGAAAATTACAATGCAATTAAAGCTAGTATTGAGGCAACTACTACATCTGGCATACAAATTCAATCTAACCTAAAGAACAAAGTAATATATTATAGAGACCGTGATTCATCAACAGCTTCAACAAAGATGCAATGCAATCAAGGTAAAGATCTAAGTTTTACCTCTCCATCCTTCTTGGCAGCAGTCTTCTTCTTCCGACCAATTTCAACACCATAATGTTGAAGATACCACTGCTTGAAAGGTGCAGCATCCACTTGTATAATAGCACCTTTAACCAAAGTCTGTGTCCTAACCAGTTCATTATTCGACGCATTGTACACAACGTCGAGAATACGAGTCTTCCGCGTTACAGCTTCGCTTCCCCATGAGAAATTTCCAGTATCCAACCTCAGGGCACGCCATTTCACATTACCTCCGCGAACTCTCACCCTACGCACCGTCTTGTTGCTCGACAGCTTCGTGTTCGCCGGTTGCCTTCCGAGCTCATACCTGACAGCAAATCATAAAAATCCATCGATCAGGAACCAAACCCTACCTATCACCAGATCCAATCAGATGTAGGCAGACTCACTAACAAAAGTTTCAATTCAGAATCACAAACACAGAAACATGAAAACTTACTTTCTCTTCTTCCTCCAGGCCTTCTTCTTCCCTCCAGTGGCACGCCTCTTGTGCATCGAATCTCGTGAGATACCTGGAAACATAAAATTACCCACATCATCTTCTCCTCCTCCAAATGAACATCTTTTACATCTATAAGCTCACGGAAATGCAAATTCAATCCATTACCCATGATTCCCGACTGTGGTGTCTAGAGCGCCGATAAAGAACCGATGGAGTTCAGAGACTGAAACGGCGATTCAATTGCACCCAGCAAAGGCAGACGAAGAAGAAGGTTAGGCATTTAAATACCCCCAAAACCCTACTTGTGAAATTACGAATATGTCCTCACACCACATGCAAACGACGTCGTGTCTTCTCTATGTTAAGTGAAAAGACTAATATGCCCTGAAAATCTATTATATTGTCGACTCCACCCTTCTTCTGCTTAGGAAGGATCGGCGCACAAATCCCTTTCATTAATTTATTCATGGCTAGGAAGGAACCCTAATTCGAGTTCTTCGAACCAGCGGGTTTCTGCATTGCAAAATTGCGGAAATTTTGAGACTTTTCTGATAATAATCCGATGTAGTCTGGAAGATCCGTTGTACGAACCGGGTGCGAACTATAAAGCGGATTTCGGAAATGGGGAGTTCAGTTGCTAGTCCGTTTTCGTTGTGGTCCAGTTGTTCCAATGCAACTCGTGCGAATGGCGCAATGAAGACTATTTATGTTGAAAGAAACCAGAAGGCCAAGTTGTGTTTCAGGATTCCTGAGTTTTACAGGAGCAGCCAATCTAGAAGGCGTCTACAGAGCAAACTGAAAAGCATTGATTTTGAGGAGAGAAAGAGCCCTAATGAGGTACAATTAATGTACTTTTATCACCTCAAGTGAATTTACTACTGTCAAAGCTTTTGATATTTGCTACGGTGTTATTGTAATGATGTTCCATGCATGATGTTTGTCCCAAAATCAGCTCATGGTAATGTTGAATTTTTACTAGGTATTTGCTGATTAGGCTGTAGGATTCATTGGAAGTTCTCTTCAATCATTTATCATTGTTTATTGGTCATTGATTATTCATTTAGTTCTTTGATTCCACACATATTATCATTTAATTTTTCATGTAAAACACAAGCAAGCAGCTTCCTTTATGTTTGGTCTGCTACTGAAAAGTTATCCACATGAATACTACTTTAACAATTTTATTTAGGTCAATTTCCAAGACATGTTCCGGAAACGGTTGCTTGCATTTGACTCTATTCCAGTTTCAGGGATAAATGTTTCTCTTATCTATTTCAGTAGAATTTACACTAACAAATAACAATGATTCCATGGGAAAATAGGTCAAGAAAGAAATCGAGCTATGCTATCAACTTATAAATAGGCTTGGCAGAGGGGTGGTGTACTTGGGTTCATCGAGGTTGGGACCGAGCCATCCTCATTATACACAAGCATTTGAGTTGGGGAAAGACGTAAGTTAATTGTAACCTGGACTGCGTCTTGTTTTGTTTTCTGATGTCAAAGGTGCTCGGATCTAGTCTCTTCAATTGCTGTCATCTTTGGCAGATTGCAAACCTTTTAAACTGTACTTCATGGTCAGGGGCCGGACCCGGGCTTATGGATGCAGTAACTAAAGGTGCTCTCGAAGCTGGGAAGCCGGTTGGCGGATTTAAGATAGGCAAGGAAGCCGGGGAATGGACAGCCACCAATTTCCATCCCTACCTTCCATCAGGCAGCTATTTAACCTGCCGGTATTGATTTATTCTATCGCATGTTCTTATGCTTCTTTATGGCACATTGTAAGCTGTTTTATTTGATGCTCAGATTCTTTTCTGCGAGGAAACATGGGCTGGTGGATGCTGCTGTTAGAGCCACTAGTTTGGACAAGACGGCTGTCGTCGCCCTCCCTGGTGGGATAGGTACTCTTGATGAAGCATTCGAGATCTTGGCATTGATCCAACTTGGAAGAATCGGATCAGTCCTGCCCGTCCCCTTTCTTTTGATGAACTACCATTCGTTTTACTCGAAGCTGCTGGAGTTGGTCGAGGATCTTGAAGGATGGGGCACTGTGTCGGATGGGGAGATGGCGTCGATGTGGAAAGTTTGTGACACAAACTCGGAAGCTTTGGCATACCTGGCTGAGTTCTATGGACTCAACCAATGATGAAGGTAGATGAGTTTAGCACATTCAAGGTTAAGAAACTAATGCAAATCTTCATCCTTTATTTTTGTAGATTCAGATTGATACAATAATCAGATTCAATCTTTTCGAACTTGAACTCCCCAATCTTTAAGTCAATCCTCAGATAAATCTAAAAAACCAAATTCCAGTTCCATACATCCTGGGAGTAAGCCGTGCTTCGAATTCAAGGCATGGATTCGAAACTTACAACAAGAAATACATAAAAGAGAAGTATGCTGGTTTCTACAGTACAAAAAACATCTTTCATTTTGTCATTTTCTTATTGACTTACAAAATGATGAGAAGGATCCTTTCAGTTCACTGGGCAGGGGTAATGCCAATGGAGGAAGAACCCCGTGATGGTGCCGGTTGACCCTTGTAGATAACGGCGCCGCAAGGGCTGGCTGCTGCTTGTTAAGACCCTCTATTATGAATGAGAATGCTCCAAATGTGAGACAGCTTTGGAGCAGAGCTTGTGGTGCACCTGCAGTCGAGATGATCAAACAAAGAAGAACGGCTTCAAAGTCTTTAGCAAGGGAAATTTAGTCGCAAAATCTTGAAGAACTTCGGGCAAAGGTATTAATGCAGTAGGGAATTATATACACTTTAGGACCTTTGGCATAATATAAGCTTTGAGGTTTATGGAGCTAATATGAATATGCATCACAAAGATTGAACTGTTCGATATTAATACCTGGGATGCTTAGAGCAAGGCCCGTGCAGCATCCAGCAACACCGGCATTTATGACTGGAGAAAGTGATGAACAAAAAAGAAATTAGGGCAATCCATGCCGTAGGGCGCAAAGATTCCTGGTTAAGAGGATTACCGTCGTCTTTGCCTCGCACTCTCTTCAAAAAGCAGACGACTAAACTGTGAACTCCGGATAGAACTGCAAATGTCTACAATGATAGAGACTGCTTAAGAACTCCAGCAATCGAAACAGAAGCAAAATGATATAAGTATGAAGGGGATGCACACCTTCGCAGATGATCCGACCTCGGCAAAGGATCCTTTGAAACCCTTCTTCTTGATTATTCCAGAACCTAATGCAGATTACTTGCAGAGGGTTAATTTTGATAGTCTTGTTACAAAGAGTTACAAAGGATTTTCAATTCTAGTGAAATGGCAGCTTGTGGTGATTAAGGAGAATATTGATGGTTACAGAGAATACAATTTATATAAACAAGCCTGCAATTCTTGGAGAAATGGTGTTGAACAGAATGCAATCAAAGTTAACAAAACTCTTTCTGGAATTAAGAACATTTCAACATGATAACAATATGAGGGAAGAAGACAGTACCATCAATACAACTAATATTGAATTACTGCAAATAACACTGATATTTCTATAACCCTAAAGATCTCTAATGAAACGAAAATCAACACTCAAGGACAAGGAAACAGTAAAATTGAATCAACATAACAGTGAAGGAGGATGAAGATACTCACCGTAACCAAAAATGGATCCCATTACAGCACCGGCGGCGGAGTCACCGGCGAATCTGAGAAGGCAAACAAGTGGAGGGCTGGAAGAATAGCCAGCGGTGATTGAATCGGAAGGAAAGCCAGGATTGGAGCTCGGAACGGTCTCGGTTTCCGTGTCGGAGTCGGAATTCGAGGGGGTCGCCGCCGTCGACATCTAATTCCGGTGAATTGAATCCAAAATCTTCCACCTTCCTCACACCACTTTTGTGTGGATAATTTCATTTTTATTTTCACTCGGATAAATGCTTGTTTTTAGCTACTCGACAAAACACAGGGTTGGGTTGGGTTGTGTGTCTGTATCTTTTTGGAATTTTGAAGAGTTAAAAATAAAATACAAATATAAAATACGAGTATATGTTTTTATCAAAATATTTTAATGGAAACTATAGGCTTTATTTTTTAATCATAGCCCACGATAATTATATATATATATATATTTAATTATTTTTTAATATATTTATAAAACTATTTATTTTGATATATATATTTTTTTAATGTGACGGGCCAAGTACCGTTTGGCCATCACAGGCTCGGGCCGGGGCCTATTCTTTTTTATGTTTGGTCCAAATTGAATTTTTAAAATATAATTATTTCTACGGGCTCTATTTAAAATATATCTGAATAATTATATTTTTATCATGTTAGAAAATTAGTATTTTGGTTTAAGTGGTTTTATTTTTTTTTATTATCATTATTTTTTTTAATAAGGTGAAAATCACTGGATAAACCATAACCAAATTTAATACCGTGCAAACTCGGCGCAAAAGGCAAATCATATTAGCTCATTATTATTATTATTATTATTATTATTATTATTACAATAAATTGGCATATTTTATAATATCCCAAATAATCTGCTAATTTGATAATGTTAACAATTTCAATGTAACGATTGTACATGCCTAAGTATTATAATGAGCCCAAAAATAATAGTTACAACAAAATAAATAAAAATAATAATAATAAAGTATATGTATTTAAAGAAATGACAACAATCATCTTTTGGATAAAGCAGTGTTTTTGGACGTCCATTTTCTCGAACAGTGTGAAAAACAAAAATCTTTGGTTCACCAATCATTTTTTTTTCTTTTTTTCTTTTATATAATTCCAATATATACAATATTTATATTATATTTTTCATCAAAATTAATAATTAAATATAAAATATTATTTTTATATTATTCACACGATTTTTAATATATAAAAAAATAAAACTAAAATACAAAACAAATAAACTCATTTATACAAACTTTTTAACGTTTAACACTGTTTATTAATTTTTTAAATCAATTATTGTTTTTATTTTTTATTATTTTTTTAACTTATAAACAACTAGTTTGTTTTCTTGTAGTTTGAATTTAACTTGAAATAAAATATTTATTTTAATTTGTAGTTAAATAATATTTAGAGATGATATTTGTAAATTATATATATTTTCACAGTTTATTTTTAAAATATACATTTACTTTTTGGGCGACTGGATAGTTAAAATTAATCTATATATAATCTTGTTTTTTTTTTTGTAAAAATAAAACTAATATGATAGTAACGTAAAAGTAATTGTAAAAAAAAGATGCAAAATACATAATTATTAAATAAATAATTATTTTATAATTGAATAATAAAAAATAGAAATATATAACTCTATGAGTGACTAATACAATATATTTTTATTAAAAATGTACAATTTTTATTTTAATTAGAAATCTCGATGAACAAAACCAATATAATTACTATCTAATTTTTACTACTAACAATAATTTTCTAAGTTTAAGGTAGTGGTTGGATTTCAATTCAGCATATGCTGAATTTATATACATATATCATTATATGATCCAATTTTAAAAATTATTTTCATTTTTTAGGTAGCAATAAGAAATTACTCTTGATAGTTTAGTTAAAATAAATAAATAAAATTATTTGTATTAATTTTTGCTATTGATAAATAAACAACTGTTTTTATTTATTTTGATCCGATTTTAAAAAATTACTTTCATTTTTTAGTTATTCAAGAAAAATTATTCTTGATATTTTAGTTAAAAGAAAAATAAAAATTACTTGTATTATTTTTTACTATTAATAAAAAACAATTGTTTTTATTTATTTTTATTAAAATTTGTATCCAATTATATATGAATACATTTTTATAATGAAAAAGTACTATTTTTCTTTTTAAAAAATAATTTTATATCAAAAAATTATTTATATCAAATTCAAATTAAATTTGCAATTTCAAATCAAAATAAAAAGAACAGTTTTCAAAAGTTGAATGAACAAAATAATTAGGAGGTTTGTTCAGTGTGATTTTTTCGTCGGGTCTGATTTACAGAATATTAGGTTCGATTGGGATTTTACCTAATGCGCACTTTCAGATAACGGCTCCGTGTTTTCATGATATCTTAAAAAAAAAAAATAAAAAAAAAAAAATAAGTCTACATTTATTTGCTCATCCCATCCTGCAATCACTTTCAACATTACGCTAATTCCTTCCCAAACAAAATCATTATAAACCAAACAAAAATTATAATAATAAATCTCTACACTTCTCACCTTAGATTTTCCAACAAAGAAAAATTCGTGCAAGAGTGCAGAAAGTCAAGTCATCAATTGGAAAATATGTATGCATATACATATATACATATATATATATATGACTTATGTAAAGAATAACCGATTCCATTGGAAACTAAGCTCAAACAAACTCCATCCAAATCTACAACTATTTCTATAAACTATAAAACAATTTATCCACCAGTGTAATTATTAAAGCAGAGGGGAAGCAAAATTCAAAGGTGTAGGTGATGAAAAATGACAGATTACAGAGAAAAGAGAGGTGGTTTTAGTGGTGATTGGTCACATCAATGAATGCACTTTTCTCATAAAGGAACAAGACACCAAGAAAATGATGTGTTGATAAGTCTTGCCTTTTTAATCGCAATTATTTTTCTTTATCTATTAGTAACCTGGTAGCAATAAACAAAATATATGCACTGTTAGTGGGAGTGAAAGTTGGAATTTTTCTGACAATTTGGATTACTAAAATGGAATAAGCAGAACAGCAGCAGCTTTTGAGGAGTGGTGACGGAAGCACAAGCGTGCGAGTAGCAGACAAATTGGAGGGATTAATCATTAAGTGCAGGAATTTTTTTAATGTGGCCATCAATGGATTTCTTTTCTTTTAATGTGGTGCTGCTGTATGATTTGAATCGGGATCGGGACTCAATTTTCAAATTCGACGTGAATTTATTAAATTCTTGCATAAATTCGATATATTAAAAAAAAAGTTAATTTAGGGCAAAACATTTCAATTTATAGGTGTGAACGCCATGCGAGAGACGGAGGAGGAAGGAACAGAACAGTAGTGAATTCAAATTAAAATTTGGTGCTGGCGCGTGGGCTCACCCGGCACGTGCTCCGCACGCGCCGCCCAACTATGCATCGCACTGAGGCGCCTCCTGATTGGCCGGGCAGTCGCTGTCACGCCGCGTGACCCACCAGCAGCAACTGCGGGGAATAAAAACCCCTCATTCCTTCCACTCCCAATTTGCTCACTCCAAACGCGGAACGGACCGGAGAAGATTACGCAAATTCGAATGCGATTGCGAATGCGATCCCCACAGGCACAGGGATTCAATTTCCGCGTGATTGCTGGCGTTGGATTGTAGGCTGTAGGTGGTGGTGGTGGTGGTGGTCGTAGATATTTTTGGGGAAAGCTCCAGGGCACCGGTCGCTTTACTCTCGAGCACGCTGCTTTTCTCGATCTGCTGAATTGCTTGGATTGTAGTCGCGGATTCTGCTGAAATTCGGTTTTGACTTTGGAGGTAAAAGGCGAGATAAAGCAGCTGGTTAATCAATCATGAATTTCTAGCTGTTCATGCTTTGCTTTTTTCACCTTTTGCTTTTTTTCTGCTCGTCTTCCTCCTTTTTCTCTGATTTCGTGCTGCTTTCTGTTATTTTAATCATCTTGTTTAGTTTCATGTGTTCGTCTGTTGGGATTGGATTAATTTGGAAATCTATTTCGGACTCTGTGTAAATATACACATACAAGTACAAATACACACTTCTGCTGCTTGCGTGATATTGATTTCTACTGTTGGAATTTTTGCTGGTTTCGTCTTCATCCTTGATTTGGCGCCTAGGGTTTTGAATTGTGTAAGATTTCTTGTGGCTGAGATCATCAATTTTTAATTCTTTCTTGACTTCTAAGACTTCTAATATTAGCAATGTTACTTGCACTCAAGATTGACACTGCCTGTATCTATTAGTTCCGAGTGCTTAATTCTCACGGATTAACCATTCATGGCTTGTTGATTTTATCTGCTTCTGTTCATAAATTACACTTAATCCTTGTAAATCTTGACATTTCTGAAACTCTGGCTCTGATTGCTTTTAAGATCTGTAAGTTAATTAGTTGATTTTGTGGAAGAATTCCCAAATTAACATCAAATATGAATTCAGTTCCTCTGATGAAGGCAACCATTTCTGTCACAGGTGATTTCTTGATCATAAGAATGGATTCTCCACAGTCTGTTGTGTCGCCGCTCAAGAGCTCCTCTGTTCTTCCCGAATCCGAGAAGCGCAGCAACGCTAATTTCGTCGAAAACCTGCAACAGAAGGGGACTGAAAATGGCGATTCCAAGAACACCATTGGCGCATTGGAGGTGTACATTCACCAAGCTAGGGACATCCACAACATCTGCATCTACCAGAAGCAGGATGTCTACGCTAAACTATGCCTGACGAGCGATCCGGAGGAGACGGTGTCCACGAAAATCGTCAATGGCGGCGGGAGGAATCCGATCTTCAATGAGAGCATGCGTCTGAGCATCCGGAAAGTCGAATCTTCGCTTAAATGCGAGATATGGATGCTGAGCAGGGTCAGGAATTACCTCGAAGATCAGCTTCTAGGGTTTGCTCTGGTTCCGATATCCGAAGTCCTTCTGCAGAATGGGAAGCTGGAGAAGGAGTTCTCCCTCTCCTCCACCGATCTCTTCCACTCCCCGGCCGGATTCGTTCGCCTCTCAGTCTCATACATCGGAACGCCACCGGAAGTCATCCCAGTTCCCGCGCCGGCGTCGGAGAGTGATGCAGCATTGCAAGAGTCGGAGGAGTCTGCGAAGTCTGTCCCCGACGACTTGGACAAGATCGAATTCCCCGATCCAAAGATCGTCAACGAGAATCATCAGATGGTCGAAGAATACATTTCCATGCCGCGTCCCAATCTCGAATCTCAGAGTTCTGATACAGAAAACCGAGCAAATTCTGAGGTCAAGACTCCGGATTCAAAGATCGAATCGCCTCCAAGCAGCGTATCAACTAACGGGACTTCACCTGCCTCAGTCCCCGCAAGCGTTGAGTCTTCTGAAGAACACATCGTGCCACCTAAAGATAGCTCCAAGAACAACAATGGCGTCAATGCTGCTACATTCGTCAAACCTGTTGTCCCCGAGCCGGAGGTCATACAACAGGACATTGTCAATATGTACATGAAAAGCATGCAGCAATTCACAGAGTCGTTGGCCAAGATGAAGCTCCCTATGGACTTCGAAAGCGGACCAACAAGCTCCGAGAACTCTAGCTCGGATCAGAAATCTCCGGCATCCAAGAACTCTGGCTCTCGCGTGTTCTACGGGAGTCGAGCTTTCTTCTAAACTATCGCAAAAGTTCACCCGACTGCTAGTTTTTAGAATGGAGACTGATCCGTAGTTGTGTTCCATAACCAGATGTTTCGCTGCACCGTCATCTGAGTTTGTGTTTTCTAGTTGATTAAAACGAAACAAGATGTTCACTTATATGTCTGTTAACATGCTGTTCGCCGGCGTCTCAGTTAGCTACTTCGTGTTGTATATTCGAAACATTAGCTTTGGTATCGCCGTCTTCTGGGAGTTTTTATGCATAAAACATCATTCTTTATAATACTTTAACGATCCATAAGAGCAACCAGACGACAAAGAAACAGGCAAAAGAACCAACGACAAAACATAAACAACACAGAATTAGGTTCCTCGTTACAATTCATCGTACTAACACGAATGCAAGCATGAATCTTTGTCGAATACAACAGAAAACGAAAAATGGTGGTATCTGGTGATCTGTTCATTCTATCCGAGCTAAGAGAAAGCCGGAGGAAAACACCCTTTATGTATGAATCAAACAAAACCCCGCGAGTAAATAGACATTGCTGGTCATCGGAAAAAGAACGAATGCAAGCAGAAATATATATATCTACCTTCCCCACGGAGCCGGACAGGGACAGGTGCTAGAACCGATCTTCAATGGTGTGTGTATATCCCGTAATCTGATTTACATCTCAATCGAACTCGCGAACAAGACGAACGAACCTAAGTTACATGTAAGAATCAAACCTCATTCCTCTGTAAAATCTCCCGGGAAGAGCTCGCCCGAATCAAGACCCCAGTTAACTCTGTAGTATAGCGACAAACATCGATATATAAACTGAAAATTCACAATTCTCATGTTTCCAAGTCTCCTCTCTAATGCTGAGAATTCACTTCCTATGCAGCAATTCCTGAACAAAACCAATGGACACAAGTTTAGATTCAATAGATTCAGACAACGTTCGACAAACTCTACATCGACGTTCAATAGGAATAAATACAGCAAACCAATTCCCGGCATACGACCAACAGGCATAACATTATTCGGAAAAACTCCACAACAAAAGCTTCAAGAACGTAATGCATTATTACTACCTCTACTGGTTTGCCTGTTCGAAATATCATATCCCACGCCGTAATCCTCAGGATCCTTACCACCAGCATTCTCAGAATTCCCAATCCCGTAACCAAACGATCCCGGATTATCCAGATCAGAAGGCGTCGTCTGCCAAGTTGGATCGCCATACGCAGAACCACCACGATAAAAGGCACCATATTGATCCTCATAATCCCCAGCAAATGAAGATCCTGCGGCTACACCGATTCCTCCACCATTATTGTTTCTTCCGAATCCTCGACTACCTCCCACAGCATAACTATTCTCCCCGACATTGCCCACATTGTAGCTAAACGAACTTCCCCCGAGAGGCCCAGCAATCGGAGAAGTCCCCCAATTCACTCCATTGTTTCCAAATACTCCGAACCCGCCGCCGCTCGCAGAACCGGAGCTGTTTTGGGAAGTGTTAAGGCCGCCGTTTCCCCAAACATTTCTCGACGGCGAATTGACAAAAGAATCGCCTCTGTTTCCGCCGTTGTAACCAACGGGGGCGTTGTACCTCCCCTGATTATTGCCAAAAAACGGGCTCACGACACGGCCGTAACCTAAGCTGTTGCTAAAGCTAGAAACCCCTCCGAAGCCGGGATTTAAACTCTGCTCGATATTCACACCCATTCCAAAAGACGGCGAACCGAAAGGCGAGAATCCCGTACGATTTCCGGCTAAGGGACTATATCTACCGTCCATCCTGACCCCGTAGCCTCCGATGTTGCTCATGTTATAACCCGGGCTGTAGCTGTTGACAACGTTGTTAGCTCTGTTATAACCGTATGTGTATCCGATAAGTGGACTCCGGGTGGGGCCGGGCGACAATTCTTTCGGGACTGCTCGTTTTACCTCGACCATCTTACCCTTGAGCTCGTGAAACGTCTTGTGCAAAACTCTATCGACCGCATCCTCCGAATCGTACGTAATGAATCCAAAACCCCTCGGCCTTTGAGTGTTGTGATCGTACATTACTACAACGTCCGTTATGGTACCATACTGATCGAAATAGCTTCGGAAGTCGCTCTCGGTGACCGTCGACGGTAAGCCTCCGACGAAAATCTTTTTCGTCCGGCCAGGCCCTGGCGATCCCTGAATGCTGCCGGCATTACGAATCGTTTGGTGCTGGTCGTCGCGGGGAACGGCTTTCTTCGCTTCCACCTGTAAGAAAAGGACAAGAAGAAGATCATCAACATCGATCAACGATTATAAATTACACATAGCTTGAAATGCTTGCAATGCCAATCGAAAGGCAATGCCGTTCTTACAGTTCGACCGTCGATCATGTGCTTCTCTTTAACGACTCTTTCGGCGGCGGCGGGATCAGTAAAAACCACGAAACCGAAGCCGCGGGCGCGCCCGGTGGCTCGATCTCTCATGATCACTGCCTCCACCACTTCTCCATAGCTCCCAAAATACTCCCTGAGACGATCCTCATTTGTGTCCCAAGAAATTCCCCCAACAAAAAGCTTACATTGATCCATCTCCATTTTTCTTTTCTGCAAATCCAACAAAGGGGTTTTTAATATTCAACAAGGATAGATATCATCATCGTCGTCGTTATCAGAATTATCAGTATTCGATCGGAATTGGGAAATTTGAGAAATGATGTGCAAGTCTACTAGGCAGTCAAAGAACAGAGAAATCGGAGGGCAATTCATTTAAGCAATCCGCCATAACTGATCATCGAAAAAAATACAGTAAATCTCGCAGATCCAAGGGTTGCAAATGAACAATACCAAAATAGATAAACAGATATACTTTATCCTGAAAATCAGGCAGTCACCGATCAAAATATAATGCTGCAGCAGTGTTCAATCCAAAATCATCGGATCCTTCGCTTCATCAATCGAGATTCAATTTTTATTTACCTTTTCCCCATCAAACCAGGATGAGATTCGTAACTTGACTTAACTTAGATAGATCGGACAAAACCCACAATCAACAACAACAAAAACTGAATCCGAAGGGAAGCACTAACAGAAATTACAGAAGTAAATAAATCCATTGAATTGAATTGGGGCAGACTGAATGACTCACCATGAAATGAAGATGAAGATGAAGGAGAGACAGATTGGAAAAACAGGAATTATGCTCATCCTCTCACTTTCCTCTCTTTCTCTCCCCCAAAGTCCTTCTCTTCCTTTATTTTTCTTGGTTTATTCCACTTTTTATCCCCCCCCTCCCCTCCCCCTCCAAAAAAAAAACAAAAAAAATCAGGAGAATGGGTATTCAACCTTAGCTTATAGGGGATGAGAAGATATATATATATATATTAAATCTATTTGGATTTTGATACAATCAAGAGAGAGATATAGAGAGAGAAGGGGATGATGAGATAGATGGCCAAAATCTCGTCTGGTGTAAGAATGAATGAGAACATATGAAAGGTCGATGGTTCGAGTAAATGGAGACGATGAGCTTTGAACTATTGGTAAACAACGTTGGTTTGTCACTAAATATTTTTTAATGAAGTAATTCTAGATATATTGTCAAATTTAACTTTTTATTATTATTATTATTTTTATAGTCTATCCGTTATTTTAATGTCTATTAAATTTATTTTATTATTAATTGTGACAAATTTAACAAATAATATTTAATTATTATTTTTCGTTTATAGCTGTGAGATGTTATTCTCTTTGTCTCACTTACTTTATATTTTCACATTTTATGTCACTCTTGGAAAATAATTATATTTTAATTTCAATTTAAAATTTTAATTTAATTTGTTTAAATTTTAATTAAACTAATTATTTATGTTAATTTTAATTATTTATATTATAAAATAATTATTTTCGTCAATACATTCTCGTGTCTACGATAACACTGATATCTAATGTGGGAACAGAGTGAATACATTTTATCCTTTTTTTTTTTCTTTTAAATTTCTAACTAAAATTTTAAAAATATCTAATTTTTTTTTTTTTTACTTTTATCACTTTTACAATAAAATATGTAATTTTCTAATTGCAACTTAAATTTACAGAAAGAAATGAGTTAATATTATTTATATAATATATATTTCGATATAATTTTTTATATTTTATATAAAAAAATATTTTAAAACTAAACATTAAATAAATCAAATTTATTTAACTTAATTTTATAGTACAAACTACAGTGCATTTGCCTTTTATTTTAAGTTAAATAAATATTTAAATTTAAAACCTATTATTTGTTTAAAGAAAAATATTTAATTAAATATGTATCTTTAAAGTGTTATAAAAAATTCAAAAATCTCTTTATAAACATAATTAAGTATTTGGTTGTTTCTAAATTTATTTTACTACTTTATTTTTTTTAGAAATTTTAATGTATTTTTAGAAAAAAAAAATTACAAAAAGTATCAAATAAACATACTTAAAATGCAAAAGTAATTTAAAAGAATTATGGAAATACTAAAAAAAAAGAAAACAGTAGAGATTTAGGTTCATGAAGGAAAAGGAAAACAAAAAATATTTTTTGTTATACAAATTGCTCATCAACTTGACAAAATAGTTCGATTAAAAAATTATTCAGGTCAGATTAATGCTCTATGAATTCAGAATAAAATAAAAATCCTACGGGTGAGATTCTGTTCAGGAGATTGAATTTTAAATCTACTATTCATTTTATTTTTTTGTTTTTTATATTATATTAAAAATTAATTTTACATTCAAAATATTATATCAATATTTATTTATATCACAACAACATCGTGTAACTATCCAAATCTCAACTCAAAATCAAAACTTAGACAAACACACCCCAATGTTTACATTATTTCTTCTTCTTCATTTTTTTTTTTTAAATCTTTTTATTTTTATTTTTTAGTTTTATCAAACGACTTCTTCATTGGTTCCAGATGACAACTATTTGGCCTGCGTTGAATGTAGCCTAATTATAATTCAAACTTTGGATATTTTTAATATATTGAATATACAATTTCAACCTTCAACACATTCAATTAAAGAGCGACGACTTAAATCATCAATTAAAAAATAAAAATAATAAAAATAATAATAATAATAATAATAATAAAATAATAATAATAATAATAATAATAATAATAATAAAATCATAATAATAATAATAATAATAATAATATAATAATAATAATAATAATAATAATAATAATAATAATAATAATAATAGTAGTATTGTGGTATATGGACCACTGAAATTATTTGGGAAGATAAATGTTCCTCTTTTTGGTAAGCTCCAAAGAAAAATGCTTTACTACGTAATGAAAAAACAAAAAGGTCTTCACAGAATCCTCAACTGAAATGACAAAAAAGGACTTGGCTTCATCAATTGGATATTATTTTATAATATATTTTATCTAAAGTACTATTCAAATTAAATTTTGTATTATTTAATATATTTACAATATGACATAATTTAATATTTTATTAGTAGGTGATTAACTCGACTCTATTAATAATTGAGACGATAATTTAAGGAGACAAAGACAATGTCAATTTTGCCACCAACTATGACTGGGACAAAAAGACATTTATGTCCTCAATAAATCAGGACCGTCACTCTTTAAACCTAATCATGATCGGACGGACAAGATTGAGTTTAAGAGAGTGTAGAGTATTCATTGGGGAGGATAAATGGGTAATTATGGATAAACAATAAATAAATTTAATTAAAGAGGTTTAGGGTTGTTAATTAGGTGATTCCATATTTAATTCATTAATTTTTTATTTTCTTTTAAGAAGAGGGGCAGGTGTTGGGACCCACTCGGACAGCAGTGCCAGCTGTCCCACCACTATAAACGAATATATTTTTGTTATGCTCTTTTATAATTTTTTTTTATACTTTATTATTGTGAAAATAATAGTATAAAATTATGACATAACATAAAATATAAATCAAGGGTGTGTTTGTTTGGGAATTTGGATTTTGAGTTGGGATTTGAATAGTAAATATTTTGAATTTGAATAGTTGTATGATGTGATATAAATAAGTGTTGATGTGATGTTTTGAATGTAAAATTAATTTTTAGTATAATATAAAAAATAAAAAATAGATATTTAATTTAATGTTTTTAGGGGAAAAATTTTGGATCAATGGGATTTCGATAAAATCCTACAAACCAACACACCCCAAATGCATTCTTCTGGATATGTTCTTTCTATGTTTTGTACATATAATTATTACTATTTTTTTTTTAGATAAAATGATAATTTAATATTTATGTTTTTCTATTATCCAAAATTATATTTATTTTCTTTTTTTAGTGTCATCTAAAATTATTTATATTTAATTTTTTCATTATTCTTTGTACTTTTCTACATTAAAAATTAAATTAAAAAAAAAAATCATTTAGTATACATTCACATTAAAATATATGAATATATTTTTTATGACAAAAGATATGTATTTATTTGCCCAAAAATGTTCCGGATACTATTTTAATATATATTATGTATTTCTTTTATAAAAATCATAATTCAATATTAAATATTATTTTTCAAATTATCAACACAATTTTTTATATTTTTCAGACAAAAAAAAAAGTAAAATAAAAATATTAAACAAACAAACTTTTTGTACTTTATCTATCCGGGCTAATTATGATATTTTAAACACAAGAATTAATAAATAATAATGTTTTAATATAAAAATGGAGCGGGTAAAAATTAAAATAAGGATATTATAAAGAAAATCTTAAAGAATTAATTTTTTAAAAAAATACTAATATAAGAAGTAAAAAAAGAACAATAAATTAATTATTATTTATTAAATAATGAATGAAAAAATAATAGAGGTATAAAATTATTTACTATTGTAGATAAAAATAACAAACAATATAAAAATAAAATTTCACATAGTTATAACTGATTGATGAAGTATTTAAATAACTCTTTTAAAGTTTTTATTATATATATTACAAATAAAATGCATATTTTTACTAAAAATTATTTTTTTTCACAATTTTTTTTTTTGTATTAGCACAATTTTCTATAAATATTATAAAAAAATAAATATAAATATTTTAACGCAATATATACTTAATTCATTTACAATAAATAACAATTCAACATAAAATATTATTAACTATGCTCGGCATAAAAATATATTTATTTTAAAATACAAAATGAATACACCAAAATATATATATTTAACTAACGTTTTGTTTACGTAATACATTTTTACTCATTTGACATTATTTATTTTTTAAAAAATATCACATCAAATACAATTTTTTCTCGAACATTGCATAAAAAAATAATATAAAATTTGATATAACCTATAGGAAAGAATGAAGTTTTTATTTAATTAAAAATTAGTATCGTGCAATGCACGCATCAATTTAGAAATTATATATATATATTATAAATACTTATATTTATTTTAAATTTGTGTCTATTTAAATATTATAATATATATAGTTGTTATTTTTATTTTAAAAATTCAACATGTTAGTATAGTATTTCATTAATTAACTTGAACTTTACATTTGTTTTACATATTTTTGTATAATTTTATTAATATTTATATAATTTTAATACTAATAGTCGTTATACATAATAATTCAATACCGACGTGTAATATTTGTTAATGATTTAATTCAATAAATTTGGTGTGTATATATAATATATATATATATAACTTCACTTTAAATAAATTAACCTAAAAATTATAAAAATAGAAATACATATAGGTTTTATTTGATTTATTTATTTAAATTTGTTTACCAAATTCCGTGATTAAAAAAAACAACATATCAAAATACTATTGAAATTACAAGATCAAATCAAATACAATCCGAATATAATTGTTGTATCTTTAAATTAAACAAAAGAACTATAAGAATATTATATGAATTAATTGAAGATATTTTTATAAAGTTGTCATAAACTCATGTTTGCTTTTGTTTTGTTTTGTTTTGGTTTAAACAATGAGTGTGAATTGTTTGTGTGCATCGGCCCAATTCATTTTTATTTTTATTTTTGCTTTATCATATGTTTAGGCCTTGTAGATTTGGCGAATTTAATTGGATATTTTATAAGGAAAATTTATTTTATTTTTTCTGTCCTATTCGAGTTTTCAACTTTTCACTCAAAATTCCCGTTATATATTTGTCTTGAATATTATCTAAAATAGTACAAAAATTTAATAAAAATGTATTCAAAACTAAAATCTATACATATAAAAAAATGCATGCAAGGAGTATAATATAGCAAAAGTGCACGTATTCCTAATCTAATTTATAAGGGACGTTATAACAGCCAGTGACGAAATTAACATCTAAATTTCGAAAGGGGCAAAATGTTATAATTTATTTAATATTTAATTTAAATAAATAATAATACTAGAATTATATATAAATTTAAATAATTTTGAAGGAAAATAAAACAAATTGCATATAAATACATAAAAATTGGATTGGGTACCATCCAAGCTCTACTATAGTTCTGTCCTGATAACAGGACGATGAAACGTAGACGTAGTGTAGGTGCACGCAACAACATTTAACATAAAGCAAAGTAACAAACAAACAATCAAACTTGCATAATAGTTGTACTCCATATTAATAATAATAATAATATTAATATTGTTTCGTAAGGAATGACGAGAGAGAGTAAATTTGTAATCATAAAGTCATAATATTAATATTGTTCCGTAAAGAATGATGTGGAGAATAAATTTGTAATCATAGAGTTATAAATTCAAATCTCTTTTAGATTTATTTATCACACATGGCTTGCTTAGCCTTAGTCTGACTTGTTTTGTCAGACATAATTTACAAGTAATTAATTTCGACTAAAAATTTATCTAAAATATATTCGTGGACATGTGCGAATTTTCATATTAAAAATATATAGAGTATATATTAATATTAATATATAATTAAAACACGCCAAGCTACTCCCTGCGCTCCCCTCGCTTTCCGCGCACTCCACTCCACTAAAATCATCATCATCAACATACCACCACCACCAACAACAACAATAAATAATAGACCATTTAAGGAATTTCCACATTTAAAAAATAATATTTTAAAATAATAATAATAATAATACTAATAATCGTGACAACGGGATGGGAAGACGACTTTTCCCTTTTCAACGCCTCCCCTGCCCCAATTAATTGAATTTCTTTGGTAGTTACGTTACTACTATTAAAATAATATTAAATTTACGCCGTCGACCCCTCCAACTTCACGGGCAACGCGTGGCCACCGCCGCCGGACGTCCCAATCTTAACGTATCCATCCCACGTTACTTTGCCCCTTTAGCTTTTCTTTATTCAATATATAGTATATTTTTTTGTATATATAAATTAAATTTAATTAACCAAAAAAATTGCATGTTTGACCGAACGTTACTTCTACACTAATAAACCAAACCAACCTTTCTTCGTTGTAACAGAAAAACACACCACCCAACAAAGAATTCTTGCAAAAAAACCAAAGCACATAAACTCAAAAAAACAAAAAAAGAAAAAAACCTTCGAACAACATAACATTTACATCCAACTCGATTCTCCGATTATCGATCGCTATTTTCGTCGTCATCGTCGATAATCCCTGCGAAGAAGGGGTCGTTCAAGAGATCAATGGCCGATGGACGATCCCTCGGCTTCCCCAAACACTTCTCGATGAAATTTAGCACTTCCGGGTCCTTAACTTTGTTGATGGCGTCGGGCCTCTTCCCGGCGGTAACTTTTTTGTATATCCTCGCCACGTTGTCACATTCGCTGTATGGTAACTCGAGAGTCACCATTTCGAGCAAGCACATTCCGAATGAATATATATCGACTTGTTCAGTGTACGTCTCTTCGTAGAGTTCCGGCGCCATGAATTCAGGTGTTCCTAATAATGAATGAGCGGAGTGATTCTTCTCAACTATGGCGGCTAAACCTAAATCACCGATCTTCACCTGTAAAAGAAAGAAAGATCATTCACTAATCACTATTTAAAAAAGACAAACATAAAAACAAATATCGAATATACACAAAATTGATTATATTATACCTGACCGACGTTGCCGTTCATGAAGACATTGCTGCAATTGAGATCACGGTGGATAATACAAGGATCGTGATTGTGGAGATAATTTAAACCTTTGAGGATCTGTCTCGACCACTTCTTCAGAGCCAAAATCGAGACGTGCTTGTGCTTCTGCCGATACTCTCTTAGGTTGCCGGAAGTACAAACTTCTGTTATGAAATTCAAAGTATTTTTAACTTCGTCACGCCACACAGAGTACAGCTTGATGATGTTTTTATGCTTCAAGTTCCGCAACAACCGAACTTCAGAATACAGACGGTTGATCATCGTCTCATTAGAGGATAAGCTTCTCAATTTCACTTGGTTCCAGGCTACTTCAATTCCTTCCTCTTGATCGAATGCCCTGTACACTTTCTTCACCGCACCCGATCCGAGAAGTTCGTCATAGCGGCCGTACCGACCAGTCGGATCCACCTCCACAAACGCCTCCATCTCTTGATCCATTATATACGAATACAAGCTAGGCATCTACTACGAAGAAAATATCAAAGAATTAAAAAAATCCGCCATAATCAAATAGGTTTTCAAATTAAATCGAAAGAACAAAAGCAGACAACAATCACTTTCTAATTTCTCGTTCGATTTGCAATTATTCCTTTTCTACCAAATTATCACGAAGAAAACACAGTAAACCGATCAAAACAATGAATCGAAGAAAAACATTACGCGAAAATCGAAAACCAACAATCATACAAACCAGAACCTTAATACAAGAGAACAAAAGCAAAAAGCATCCAAAGTCTTTTAGAAAAAAGAAGAGTCGAGATTTTACCAGAGAGGTTGGACTCCTAGGAGCCAAATTGGAAGCAAAACCACGTATGATTCTCCAAAGTGATCAAAACGAATGTATCAAAAGCTAGAGGGCGAGTGGAAAGAGAGGTATTTATAGCGTTTTGGGGGGCGGTTAAAAAAAGATTGAGTCAAGTCCACACTTTGCTAGGTCTAGGTCTAGACTAGGAATAGGTTTTTGCAGTTGTATAAAATAGTCTTTGACCTAAGGATGTTTTGGGAATTTCAGGCGTATTCATGGGGGCGCGTTTGGATTTTCCCCATGTTGTTGTAACTAGTTTCGATTGATATAATCCATTTCATATTTTTATTCCTGAATCTTTTTTTGAGTAATATTTCAACTAATTAGGGGCTGTTTGGTTCAAGAATTTGATGGAATTCTATGGGATTTGAATTTTTAAATCTATGATGAGATTTGAAAATGGGGTCTAAAATCCTACAAAATAAGTGGCTGTTTGGTTTATGGATTTTTTTGTGGGATTGAAATTTCACATCAGGATTTATATGGTATAGGATTTATTATATTTAGGATTTGTAATCCTATCTTATGTTGGTTTGTAAAATTATTTGAGATTTATATTTCTCACGTCTTATTTGTTTTTTATATGAGCATAATGATTTGGATTTTTTATATTCTAAATGACATAATTGTTCCCCTATGAATTTTATTTATTTTGATAAATTAAACATCTAATTTATAATAAATATAAATTGAAAATATATTAATAATTTTATAGTAAACTCGAAACCCGACTCGAACCCGACCTATTTATTTGAAGTTGAGTCCAATTATTTGAGTATTAGATCTTGATCCTGGTCATATTATGGGTATTCTAATCGGGTCCGAATTGGGTCTAGGGTCTAAGTGAATCATACCCGCACCCAAATTCGATTTATAATATTAATAATATATCGACTATACATATGAAAAAATAATTTCTAACAATATAATTATATTAAAAATATTTTTTTAAGTTTAATTTATTTATTATTTTATTATAATAGTTTTTATAAAATACATAAATAATATATATTGGGTCGGTACATGTATAATTTTAAATTAAAATTTAAGAATCATAAAAGAATTAGATTCGTTAGATCCATAGGATTTTATAGGAATAGTTTCGGTCGGATCTGGTATAATCAGATCCAATTTGGATATAAAGTCTAACAATATATATTAGGAACGGATCTCAATTCCGGCTGAATCAGACTTATTGTCATTTTGATAATTTTATAATTTAAATAAAATTTATAATAAATAACAATTTAAAACAATAAATTTATTAATTTATTTAAAAAATATTTTACCATAAAAAATAATAGTATTAATTTAATTGAATATATAATTCAAATTAAAATTAATTTTAAAATTATTTAATTTTATTTTATATAAATATATTTATAGTATATAATATTTTGTTTTATATAAGGATATAAAAGTAAAATTTAAAATCCCATGAATGAGATTTAAAAATAATAGGGGTACCTCATTACAAATAAATTAGGATTTTGGATCATGTTTTAAAATCCCATTATTTTAAATTCCATTATCTGTTTTTGAACCAAACATGGATATTTTAAAATCCAAATCCCATGAAATCCTATCAAATTTTGAAACAAACAGCCCCTAAGGGAATTTTTTTTAATGGGATACCCCTGTTACTTTCAAATCCCATTCTTAAAATTTTAATTTTTACATTTATATCCTCTTATAAATAAAAAATAATATTATATTTATATAAAAAATTAAATAATTTTAACATTAATTATTATTTGAATTATATACTTAATTAAATTTATATTATTTTTTATTGTACAATATTTTTTAAATAGATTAATAAATTCATTGTTTAAATTATTATTTATTATAAATTTTATTTGAATTATAAAATTATAGGGACGACCATAAGTCGGGTTCAGTCGGAACTGATATTCATTCCAAATATATATTGTTAAATCCGAGATTCAAATTGGATCCGATTATACTAGATCCGACCGTGACTATACCAGTAAGACTTGATGGATTCGAAAAATCCATTTTTTTTTACAATTCTTAAATTTTAATTTAAAATTACACATGTACCGGATTCATTGTATATTAAAATTTATGTATTTTATTAGAAAAATATTATAATAAAATAATGAATACATTAAACTCAAAAAATATTTTTAATATAATTATATTATTCGAAATTATTTTTTGATATGTATGGTTGATATATTATTATTATATTACCCTGATCATGATCCGGATCTAGGCCTAATATTCAAATAATTGGACTCAACTTCAAATAAATAGGTCGGGCTCGGTCGGGTCTCGAGTTTACGAGAATCTATTGTTATCCTATAAAATTATTAATATCTTTTCAATTTATATTAATAATGAATTAAATGTTTAATTTGTCAAAATAAATAAAATTCATAAGAGGACAATTATGTCATTTAGAATATAAAAAATCCAAATCCACGAAATATAAATCCCACAACATTTTATCAACCAAACATAATATGAGATTTCAAATCATAAATATAATAAATCCCATCACATATAAATCATACTGTGAAATCTCAATCCCACAAAAAAAAATCCATGAACCAAACCGCCCCCGTCAGTCTTTAAATGAAATGAGCTGCTTGACATTATCTTTTCAATTTTTTTTATATTAACTATTTTTTTTAAAAAATTAGAGTTTGTTTAGAATGGAGTTTTTGAGGTTTTTGAAAATTTAGAAGTTTGAAAAAAATAAAAAATTAGTAATTAATTTGATGTTTAGAGAAAAAATGTATTTTACGTGATATTTTTTTAAAAAAATACAAAATAAATAATTATTTTGTCAATTTACAACAAAAAAAACTAATAAAAGCGTGTAAATATCATTAAGACATTAGAAAATAAAAATAAGAGAGTATTTGTTATTTCCTAAAAAGAAGAGTAAATTTTCAATTTAATATATTATTTTTATATTGATAATATAATTCTACATAATTAATATAAAATATATATACATCCAAAAACAAATAATTAATTGTCTCATGAAGAATAACTGATGGTGTATAGAGTAAACTTGTGATCCATAAAATCATGAGTTCATCTATTAATATTAAAAAGAGGGACTAGATGTATTAAAAATTAGTAAAAATAAAAATATTTTGAATAAATTTAAGTATAAGAAGTCAAAATTTTAATTTAATTTATTTATACTTATAAAATATATTTAAAATTGATTAATTTAAATATATCAACTATTACAAACGATAAAAGCTGAAATAAGATGAGGAAGAGTAATAATTAAACAAGGTATTTAAAAAAGGAAAAAAATTATCTGAATATTATATGAAATTTGAATTTAAAATTTAAATAATAAAAATTTAAAATTTACATAATTATTTGTATAATATAAATTTAAATATACATGAGTACAATATATAAAAAAATTTAAGAGTTTTATTTTTTTTTAGTAAAAGTTATTTTAACAAAAATAGTATATTTTACCTCAAATAATTATTTTAATTAAAATTTTATTATTCAAAATTAAAATCAAAATTTAAAAAATAAACATGCTTCTATACTTTTAAAAGAGTACGGTTTGTATGAATAGAAAATCTCATGTCTCATCTTATCTGCTAAATATAGTTCATCAATTTACTTATTTTATCGAATTTAATTTGCATATTATTAAGTTTGACAGAAAGTTTATCGATTAGTAACTTGTTAGAAAAGAAAGTTTAAAAAACTAAAAACAAACACGCTCTAGGTCGGGCACCTGAAACGGCAGAGGAACCCTAATTTATCAGCCCATCATCATTTCCGCTACAGGCTACACGTAAGTGAATCGAATCGGTGGTATGCTAATTGATTTAAGTTCGCATATTTGGGTCAAGTTTGGATTTTGGATTAATCAAGAAAGCCCAGGAAGCAGCTACAATCGAAACTGTGGCACCGCCGGGTGCTGCTGTGGCGTCGTTCTTCATCACTGTCACCGACGACGCTGATTTCCCTGCGAACGTTCTCGGGGCCATGCTGCGTGTTCGCCGGCTCTGTTGATTTGGGCGTCTGGTTTAATTTGATTCGGTAGGGTTTTCCTTCTTCGAATTTGTATGGCGTTGACGTCTGTGAAATCGATCGAGAAGGCCTTCAATCTCGTCGACACGAAGAAGGAGAATTTGAAGAAGGCTTTTGAGGAACTGCAGGCGCACTCGTCGTCGCTCTCCTCCTTTAACTTCACATGGAACGATCTCGACTCGTATTTCACCTCCGTCACATCCGAGCTTCTCCAGAAATTCTCGATTCTGCAAGCCCTAGCATCTTCCTCAGCGGATAATCCCAAACCGGGGAAACAAAGAGATTCGCTTCCGTTGGAATCGCCTGCCGCCAGACCGGAGCTGAAGGCTCTATGCGAGAACATGGATGGTTTGGGTCTGCGTGATTACGTCATCGACCGTCCCAAAGAAAGGGCCGCCATTCGGAGCGAATTGGCGGACGCGTTTAAGCACGCGCCGGATCCAGGCTCCATGGTTCTGGACGCCCTGGACGGCTTCTGGGATGTGAAAAATGCTGTACTTTCTAGGTCTCAGACTGCTTGCGTGGCGTTGATGGAGGAGCTGATGAGGTCTGGGGTAGAGATCAATGCCTTGGCCAGGGATCGCGCAATGGCCATGGTGATGGCGTGGAAGGGGAGGATGGGACCTCAGCAGAGCGGCAATGGTGGCAATGGGGATGATGAGGTGAAAGAGGGGGCTGGTTTGGAAAGGCTGGGTTATTTGCAGCTACTCGCGACATACAGGCTCTTCGTCGATGGCCGATTTGATGTGAATGAGCTTATTGATTGTGTTGTTTTGAGTGCTAGGTACAGGCAAACTGTCGACTTGTGCCGAATTCTTGGTTTAGAGGAGAAGGTTTCCGGTGAGTTTGAAGCTATTGGTTCAGTTATAAGTGAGCTTATATGATATGGTGTTGCTGCATATTATCGATATTGTTGGTTGTATTCTTGTATTATAGTGAGCTTGTTATTATCACGAATTGCAATGTGGTAGGAAAGTTCAATCTGTGTTTCTTGCTTTATCAATTGATCTGTTTTGATATGTTGGCACTTATTATGATGCACTTTCATATGGATCTCTGCTGAAAGCTGGGAATGAGTAATTGTATATGTTGTTTCCGACAGATATTATACAAAGGCTTATCAGTAATAGCCAGCAACTTATAGCTCTCAAATTCGTCTTTGAGTTTGGACTAACTGATAAGTACCCCCCGGTGCCCTTACTGAAAGCCTTTGTGATGGAATCGTGTAAAAGTGCTCATGCAGTTCGTAAGGCCGGAAAGAGTTCTCGCCAATCATTGGTAACTGTTTTGTGTTTTCCTATTTTCTGGACCTCACATTCTTGGAAAATTCATAAATTTCATGTTACTTGCAGTAAGTTTTTTGTGCTTTTATCCTTTTGAATGGGTTCTTGCCATTTGAGTGCTTCTTGGATTGATGAAAGTAGGATAATGTATTCTTAATCTCATGTGAAATGATCATGAAGTCAGTGAGATATCTATTAGTTAATTTTGTTTTATATAATAAAATTACATTGCTGCCAGGTACAGACAGTAATTAGACATACTTATCTTAGGCTCGAATTTCTTGGTGTTAGATTTTCGGTAATTCTCTTCCTTTTCTAGTAATGAGTTGGTGTTACCTTTATAAATGAGTCTTTGACTCTAGATTAGTTTAAGTTCAAGTACCCTTTTAACACTTCTCAGTTCAATACATTTGTCGTCTACATTGAGTTACTGCATAATCTCTTGATTTTTCTATCTGCGGGAGAAACTGTTATGAGACAGCCAATTATTTCACTTACTTTTGGTAAATTATGTTTGTTATAATCAATTCTTCTACTTCAAAGGCTTTCGAAAGTGTGTTATTAATTAAAGATTGTTAAACTTATGGCTAAAAAGATACTGGACTCACTTTGCTTATATTTTTCCTGTAGAACGATGCTGCGATGAAAGAAATAAGTGCCTTGAAATCCGCAATTAAGTGCATCGAAGATCATGGACTGGAACATGAATATCCAAAGAATGAACTCGTCGCCCGTGTTGTCGCATTGGAAAAGGAGAAGGCTGATAGGAAAAGGTCTGCCCAAGCCCCCATACCCAAACCTCCGCAGCAGCAGGCGAAGCAACCCAAGAAAAACAGTAACAAGCGGATGAAACCCTCGGCTGTGGCATCAGCATTCAAAAGGAAACATCCTTCAAATTTGGCTGTTCTCCCACCACAGCCGCCTTCCATGAACAGGGCAGGTTTGTTGCCAGATCATGCTGCTCCCTATATCAATTCATCTGCTGGTGCCTATGTCATGGCAGCACCACCCCTCATGAATTCTGCTCCGTATGTGGGCTCATCTGCGGATTTGTATGGGTTGCCAGGATCAGCCCCTCCTGTGGCTTATCCTGGGAACCTAAATCCGGCTGCACCCAATCATTATCCTTCGGAAGCACATGCACAGCCCGGTTATTATGACAGGGCTGCAGGGTACGGTGGCTATGACTATTCGGCTCAATACCACCATGCTTTCTATCCACAGTAAGATGTGCATTCTGTCCAAGTTCGGAATGCTATTGACAGAAGCATTACCTGCCCTTTTATGACTTGAAATTTTGGCATGATGTCCAAATATGGTTTTTCGTGTAGTTGTAGACCACGAACAAAGAAACACAGGCAGTCTTATCTGAACCCGTATAGACGGTCCGGATATTTGTTTCATTTTGATTGCACATATTAGTTTTGCCTTTAATTCATCCCGGAACACTTTCAAAGCGTTCCTAACTTGAATATGCATTATCCCTATGTTAGTTTTTGCCATTCCCGGTTCATATTTCCCCGTATATATATGCAGTTTGTGCATTTGGAATCGGGAACTTGAAAGGCCCATTTTTTAGATTTAAGCTTCAATTCCTAAAATAGTTGCTATTAAATGATATTGCACTCGGGTTACCTTTTCTCCAGGTTAAGTCTGTGTTGTTAGATTGCCTGCCATTAAAGTTGACTCTGCTGTTTGGGACCATCTGATGGTTGCCTGCAGATTGCCTGTGTTTAGTTTCTGCGTCGTAAGATAATGAAATAGCCCTTCGATTTGAGGTCCTTTAGTTGAGGAGAAAGCTTGTCTGGATATTAATGGAGTGGTGTCACATGCTGTGTCTGTATTCGATGTATACACGACACACATGTAGCGACTGCATCCCTCGTGTCCGAAGCCTTTTAGCTTCTGTACTAGCTTCTTTCCCGGACCATTGGATCATCGATGATGATCCCACATCACGGCACGAAACAGACACTAATCACACATCAGCCTGTTGGTATTTGACATTTAACTGTTTTCTCGCATTCCTTTGGTGTTCATGTCGAGAAATGAGATGAGAAGTCGGCGACGACTTCCCCCTCTCCACTTAGATTTACTACCCGGGATGCAGTAAAGTCCGGCATTCCTGTATTATTTTAGTTGCCGTTGTATACTCGAAGCGTTTCGGAGGTTGACGGCGACGTTTCGGACACAGACGTCCAATTCTTTTTAGCATTTATGTGTATTTTCTGTCTGTACAGACTATATAGATCCTGTCGTTCTGATTATTACGTTCCACATAGTGCGAAGAAAGGTTCTTGATATTTTATTTATTGACTGGAAAAATATATATAGAGGCAGAAATTAAAGTCGCAGTCTTTGAAGAAATTAATGTAGCAAGAAATTGGTTGGCTAGACTTAGGACTAGGATATTCACCACCACTACTATAAAAAAACTACTTTTATTCTGAGTTATAAACATCTGGGCCCTCGTGGGATGACTTTAACATCCCAAAATTTTATTCGAATTTTTATGAGTATGGGTAAACTCACCCTATTTGATTAGCCAAATTGATGAAAACACGTAGGTGGAATCTATGTCAATTTGGGGTGGTGCAGATTTTACGAGTAAGATGATTATTGCAAGTTTGAAAATGATAAATTGAAAAAAATTAGGGAAATAGTATTTTATTAGATTTGTAAAAACCTTTCGATATCTAGGATTGATTAATTAGTGTACATGGGTGCATAAATAAATTAAAGAATTGTACGATCTTACAGGATTGAAGACAAGATACTACTGGATAAGGACGTAGCAGCCAATCAAAGGCCAGATCCGCACCCGTTAAAGGTAATACCCGGATCCGACAAGCGTGGCTGAAATCACAATATTGCCCCTGCCCCCATTGATACATCCACTAGCTGCTTCTCCGTTTGGTCGCTGTGTCTCTGTCGCTCTCTTCTCTCTCTCTCACGCATTATATTATTACAAGACTGCTCCGCCTGTTGACTCGCAATTCCTCCCTTAGCAAAATCATCATCATCAATGGAAGAATCTTCTACTTCACTCCCTCACTCGCACTCTCTTGGCGCCACCTACGATAATGCGACGGCTGGCGTGGCTATCGTCGCGGATCAGCCGGCTGACAGCGGCGGCGGATCCACCAACGGGGCAAAGTATCGGCTCATGTCTCCGGCCAAGCTCCCGATCTCTAGGTCAACTTGTATTACCATTCCTCCTGGACTCAGTCCGACGTCGTTTCTCGAGTCCCCGGTTCTCCTCTCTAACATTAAGGTCCCGTTCCATTTCCCCCCTTTTGCTTGCAATTGAGATCATTTTGTTCTAGAGTTATTATGTCTACTTTTTGGCGCCTGGGCTTAGGGTATTTTTAGAATCGGCGCTGTTTGCTTCGGTACCTATGGAGATTCAGATTCGGATCCCATTCCAAGTTTGCTTGTTACGCCAAACTTTTTGCTGATGAATGAAGCCACGAAACTGCTTCGACATAGATGAATATGTTTTGTTCGTCTCTGTATTCGAGAGTATTCCGGGATGAATCACCCGGCTTTGGCCGATCTGTGATTTGGGCAATAAAAATATTTAATAAAAGTCACTGGGAAAACACTTCTCATGCCGAGGCCAAAGATTTTGTGACTATGTTCTTGGAATTTGCTGATTTTATGAGTGGGCTTATTAATGATTCGGTGGGTTGGTTCTTTTCGCCTTATTTTTGTGGTTGAGTTATTCCTTTTCTTTTCAGTGCTCAATTGGGAATATTATAGTGAAGTGAACAATATATGTGTCACCTTAATATGTGTTTGGGGTCCCTTGATATCTGATTATAATGTTCTATATTAGTTTATGGGAGGAATTATTGAAGACACCTTTAAGCTTTTGCGGGGACTTGGCCATATAAATCTATGGAATAATGGAGATCGAAGTTGGACAGAGATAGGAATAACTAATCTTTAAAGGGAACATGAAACTATTCTGTGTCAATAGGTATATAGATAAAGATTTTAGTTATAAATGAGTGAGTTTTTTTGGCATGTCACTAAGTTTTGATGTTTTCTCTTTGCAAAATGAGCTGTTCTTCACTTCTTGGCAGTTGGGATTTTCCACTTGTTCCAGTTGATCGATGTGTTCTAATCATTCAGTGTCTTTATTGAAGCATCATATGAATCTATGCCCTTTTGATTGTCAGAATCACATTTGGCATTTATCTGTTATGTTTCATTGCTTTGAATTGCGTTTAAATTTTTACTACTGTTGAGCTTTGGTAACAGATGAACTTTGTATTCTCTGAATCAAAGGACAAAGATGGTAGATCTCAGAATTTCTATTGATTTCAAGTGAAATTTGGTAGTGATAATCAGGAAAAGTTGTTGACTCCTTGTGGATTTTTATGCCAATTTTCCAGGCAGAGCCATCCCCAACCACTGGTTCCTTTTTCAAGCTGCAGTTGATGCAAGGCACGGGTCAAAATACAACACTCTCTGCAGAGAAAATAACCACCCGCAGAAACAATACTGATGAAAAAATGTCCAGCAGTTTCGAGTTTAGCTTTCATACTGGTGCTAGTTCTACAACTGGATTATCATCTGCAGGGCTGTCGGTAATGCCTAAAGCCTTTTATTTTGTATAATTTCTAGTAATTGATTTCCCTGACCAATAGAATGAGTTGTTAAATGATCTTCAAGCTGGTGGCTGTTGGCAAAATTGTAAAATTTGGTTTAATCTGCTGTAGTTGATGGTCGATTGGAGTTGGTTGCAATTTTCTGCTATGTTTAAGGACCGAAAATTATGGTCCATGCTGGATTAAATAATCCGTAACTAAGGAGCTGAAATATGTGTAGTTTTTGGAGTTTTGAGTATTTGGTTATCCACTTGATTTGAATCTGTCACTGTCTGTCAGAAAGTGTTTTTTGCTGGACTGTCAATCTAACTGAGTTTGTTACAAATTGCCATTATGTTCTCCACATGCATATGAAGAATCATTGTAGTACTAAGAAAGGTTGCATATAGCCATTGGAATATTATTAGGAAATTGAGAACCTTGCCTCTTTTAAGCACAGTATGGTTTTTCGATTGCTTTATGCAGCAGATGCAAAAGGTTTTCAAAATCAAATTACTCATTTTTTGCGTAAGGTCAATTGAGATTATTCGAACCTCTTATGACCCTATTATTTATTTTATTGCCTTGTCACACAAAATCATTTTTGAATTTCGATTTTCCTAAGGAAAATGCATTTTATGCAGCTTCTCTTACAAAAATTTTATGAATACACTTTTTTGGAAATGTCATTTAAATAAGAATTAAGAGATTGCTAGCTGAATATGAACTGTGTTTTTTTTCATCTAATGTTTCCTGTTATTGACTCCTTATTATAAATGTTATTTGGTAGTATCTTGGGGGAATGAATCCGAATGGACCTGTAATCCTTCAGGATCAACGCTTCACTCAATCTCCTGCACCTTCATCTCTGCCATCACAGTCAATGCCTGTGAATATAGCCGATTCATCTATATGCAGCACTCCCGATGATTCAAATCCAGGAGGACATTCCAATACAGGCATCCCGGCATCTTCTTCTGATCATAAAGATAGCATATCTTCAGTCTCGGCAGAGAGAACATCAGATGATGGGTATAACTGGAGGAAATATGGGCAGAAACTTGTTAAAGGAAGTGAATTTCCCAGAAGTTACTACAAATGTACATATCCCAACTGTGAGGTGAAAAAGATATTTGAGCGTTCTCCAAGTGGACAGATTACAGAGATTTTCTACAAGGGCTCACATGATCATCCAAAACCTCAAGCTCCGCGCCGGCAGAATCCTGGGGCTCTTATGGCCATTCAAGAGGATAAATCTGATAAGGATTTGTCATTCACCGGTCAAGAGGGTATGTGACCTTACTTTCTAAATATGATTCTTTTGGGAACTTAGAATGCCTCATCTTGTGCAGTCTAATATACTTTATTCCTTTTATGATAAACTGTAGTAGGCGTGTACATAAATACCTAATATACTTATTAATAAGGAAATAGGATTATTGCAGACTTAGGTAAGTCTAAATAGTGTAAAAGACAAACCAGAGAAATCAGACTAAGAAAAGAGCCAAAGAACTTACAAGAGAGTTTAACCGTTACTAATTGTCTACTTCATTAGTTGAATGATTATTGATGTGCATTTGCTAATCTGAGTCTAGTTAGTCTCAAGTTAGAAACAGATGCTCTATAAACTCATGTCTCCTTTTTACTCTCTAGCTAACAGTTGCTTTTATTGTTAATTTTCAAGTTCTTGTTTTTGCCCAGTGCACATAAGCTTGTGTTCTTATCTGCTGCTCTGATGCTTTACCAGTTTAGTGACAATTTGCCATAATGGATGTTGTGGAGAGGGGAGGTTAGGTCTAATGTATTTATGGAATTAATTTGAGGTTAATAATGTGGTTCTGTGTTCTTGGTTAATTTGTTGTAGTTTAATATATTAGCTGAAATCAGGAAGAAGTAATATAAGTAATTACGATTCATCTACTTAATTATTATCTGCTTTCATTGAAGACAAGTTGAACGCAAGTCATATGGTAGATCAAAACGGCTCCCCGGTGTTGTCACCCTTGCAAGCAAATGAAGATGGCGCGGATGGCTCGGGGTCACAAATTTTGGGAGTAAATGATGATAATGAAGAAGAAGATCCTTTTATGAAGCGGCGGTAGGTAGCTGCTTTACTAACATAACTATAGATGCTTCTCATACTTATAATGACGTCAAACTTGCTCAAAATCGAAGCAGGAAAATGGAGGATGGTATTGACATTACACCCGTGGTCAAGCCCATACGTGAACCTCGTGTTGTTGTTCAGACAGTGAGCGAGGTTGATATACTGGACGACGGATACAGATGGCGCAAGTATGGTCAGAAAGTGGTGCGCGGCAATCCAAATCCCAGGTACATGTTTTTAAATATTTCCGGTCATTACATTTCCGGCCACAACTTATAGTTCGATCTTGTGTAATCCAGGAGTTATTACAAATGCACGAGCGTGGGATGCCCGGTGAGGAAGCACGTGGAGAGGGCATCCCATGATCCGAAAGCTGTCATAACCACATACGAAGGCAAGCACAACCATGATGTCCCGACTGCCCGGAACAGCAGCCACGAATTTGCCCTTGCTGCTGCCGCATACACCGGAGCTTCAAAGTCGAGGCCGCAGGAAAGCGGTTCAGTAAGTCTTGACCTCGGCGTTGGAATTGGTCGCCATTCTAATAACAGAGCCACCGAACCGGTGCAGCCCTTCGATTCTGCAGGCCAAGTTTCTCAAAACCATTCGACAACGAGCATGATGGGGATTCAAGCGGCCCAACAACCACCTTGCTACGGCATCGTCAACGGCGGCCTGAATCTGTACGGAGGTGGTCGGAGCAATCACGGTGAAGGTAGCCATAATAGCTTTCAGGCACAGCAGCTACATCCTTCTAACCAATGCCCCCCGAACATTGGAAGAGTACAAACTGGACTTTGAAATTGTATCTGAATTGTGATATATTAATTATGGAAAAATATGAGAAATAAATTTTGCAATTTCCTTTCTGGGCTGCTTATTTGTATCTCTATCTTTAAAAATTATTACCCTTATAAAGGAAAGAAACACAGCAGAAAATTAGTAAAAGAAACAAACTGTATATCCTTTTTGTCATAATAAATCTTAACCAAATCTCACACAAATCTCACAAGTTATAGCTAGAACAGGCTGTTTTCTTAACCACATTCAATTTTCACAGCATCATTATCATAATCTTTGGCCTATTGAGCAGAAAGAAACACAATAACAATCCTGCAAGAACAAAAGAGGAAGGATGCACAGCTCAAGTTAATATCATATAAAAGATTCGATTTTTTTCGATGTCGAAGAAGATTTGATCTACCTGAGATTCTCTAAATCCAAGCACAGGAAGAAACTAAGTCTTTATCCATCCAGCCAAGAAACAGGCACCCGTCGTTCTCTTGCAGCCGGTAGTTCCCGTTGTAGCTCTTCAGCAGATTCTTAATTGTCATGTTCACGAACGAGCTCAAAGGAGCTTGAGCGAACTTCGCCATCGCAAACCTTAGTTTCCATTTCCCTAGAAGTTCATGTCGCTCCACTCTCTCCTGTCCTTCACAAGCAATTATGTTGACGATTTCCCGAGCCAGACAATGTTGCTCGACATTGACGCGCTCCTTATGGTCCCTCGGTAAAGCCACATCTATCGATTCAAATATAGCCAGGTAATAGTTCATCGTCTCGATAAAACGGGGCAGGAACGGCGCAGTATTGGTGTTCGACTCTTGCTCGACTAGAGTAACCACCTTGGGAGACAAGCTCTTCACCATCCTCAAGATTCTGTCGCGGTGGTTCTGAGTGCTGACGCTCTCGTCGGGGACGTGGTGCAACGTCAGGGCGAAATTCACGGCGAGCGCTTCCTCCGGCCGGAGATCAAGGTGCTTGCTTTCCACATCGCGGCCAGAAATCGCCAAGCCGTGAAACTCAAACGGCACTCCGCATGATTCAGCGAGCCTCGATAGCCGCTGCCCGACTATTTCGAGCCCGCCCCCGCGAGCATATGCCGACGCCGAATCATCTATCCCCGTGATGTGAACGTGCGGCGGACCCCCTGGCCGGGAAGCAAGTGCTTGTATAAGAGTCATCCATTGCGCGCCTTGCGCGATCTGAAAATCGACAATGTGTATCCAATTTTCGTTCTTCATCGCCTCCGCAATGGCGCCATTTGCGGATAAATAACCGAATTTGAAATACGGACAGACTTCATAGAGCAAGTGCATGTATGATAGAAGCTCGGTGCTCGTGGGCTCCTTGCACCTCAACGCTTTGTAAATCGAGCTTCCTGATTGCGCCAATCGGGCGACCAACCCCTCGAGCATGTAAGCTCCGAGCCTCTGCAATGGCTCCCCGGTGACCGAAACCATCGATCGAAGTTCAGACATTAAGTACTCCCTCATCAGCTGATTGTTTTCGGCTACGGCTTTCGCGCAAGTGATGAGTAACTCTCTGAGGTCCTTTCTCCGGACAGTTTCGATTATTCCTCTCGGCAACACCGATTCCGGCGAGAACTGATTGAATGCATCTGGGATTTGAGAAACAGAGTTGTTTGTATCCGACAGACAATCTGGTTGAGAATTTGAGCTCCCATTCGAGGACAAACTTGCAGTCGAAGAATTGTAGAATGGATTGCTCACTATTGCTGCAGATGGTCCCAAAACACAATGCTGCTCGTACGGTTGATCAGAGAATCGAATTCCGGGACTTCCTCCGTCGGGGCTGATGCAGTGATCGAGATCATAGGTTCTGTTTGAAAAGTAGGATTCAAGCTCCTCTTGAGGCTCTTGATGGAATCTTCCTGTTCCAGCTAGGTTTGGATAGTTTTGAGATGTCCCCATTTCCAGGAATCTAACTTAGGGTTTAGTTCAAATTCAAAGAAACACAGTTCGAGACTTCAGGCTCAGTGCAAGAAAAGTTTTGATTCACGTAAAATTATATACAGAAATGTATCTATCTAATCAGTTTCAATAAATTTGAAAGGCTCCATCAATAGAGAACAGTTTTAGGGATTAGGGTTCTTCAATAACACGAGAGCCAGATCTTCTTCAAATCAAGAAAATAACAATCAAATCGAAGTAAAAGAACACTCTTGAGTTCGACATACCTCTCCTCAAGAATCGCTACAAATTCATCATCACCATCATCTTCTTCTTCGCAATCGCCGATTTCGTGGGCTTCTTTAAGAATATCAGTCGACCAAAGCTTTGCAGAACCACCCGTTTATATATAAGAATTTTCAGCAGCTTTTTTTTTTTTTTTTGAGTATTACTTTTTTCCTTGAGCGTGAGTCACATTGCGCGTCTCGACCTCACTCTCGGACGCAATTGGGTGAATCTGCGGTGGATTCAAACAGAGGATTGTAATGTACAGTGGTGAAATTATTCAATTGTCGGGCCCCCGTTTCAAAAAACTGCCATAAACCGACAAGAATACTCTCTGGGAAGGCATTTGTAAATTTTGACAAAACGAGTTTTCGATTGGAAGAAAGGTCAAAAGAAGAAATTGGTGAGTCTGATTCCGACACCTGACCTCCCCATCCCCAACCAACGCCCCCCATTCAAGTCATCGTCTTTAATTTGCAATTTGCCTATTATGTTCTGTTGTGTTACTTGTGTGTTTGAATTTAATGTGGGAATTTGACTCGCCTGCCTTTAGGCTTTGTTTGTTCTTATTCTTCTAACCTTTTTTCCAGGTCTTCGACTCTCCGCGTTATCATCAATAACAGCAACTGTGGGGCTTTGCAGTTGCAGACAATCAGTCAACAGTGTCGTACCTACGATCATCGATTACACGTTCGATTACAGTAAGAGGAATTGTGAATTTTAAGGATAGCAGAGGAGAGGATGAATGCAAGACCGCACCAGCATAATTTGGTGGATGGATCTCAGCTCTTGCCATAACATGTTTTTCTTGGGTCAGAGCTTTGCAAAGAATTAATTATTAATAAACAGCAAACAGCAGCAGCAAACCAAAGGTCAGATGGATTGACTTGCTGAATGAATGGATGGCTATCTACCCCCACCTCAATTTCATTTTCAACCCCCCTTTTTTTTCTTCTTACCAATTAATTAATGAATCAAGATAGTACGGAAATTTTGGGGAAATTCTCATTCTCTCCTCCGAAGAAAATTCCTTATTCAAAGTCAACATGCCCTTTTGATTTGATTTCTATAAGAACAATTGCACTGTGAGAAAAATTGCCTGTTGGAATTTGGATGATGATCTCATCCAGAGTAAGATTCATTGATTATACTTTTCTTTTTTTCAACAAAGATGTGATCTTTAGGCCGTTTAGGACAAAACTTGGTTCCAAGTCTTCCGAGTAAATTATAAAGTATCAGCAGTATCATGAAGCCAAGCTTGATTGTGATGTGAAAAACAAAACAAGAAAACACACACTTACATATTATATATATAATCAAGAAGACAATGTCTGCATGTTTCATGGAACACTGGTTGACTAATCATCAGTTCGAGTGAATTTTTAAAGTGATCAATAAGTAGGCTGAAAAGTGGATATGTCAATCATGCAACAATTCCCGTTGGAAAGATCTCAAACAGTGGATTGATAAGTTCATTGCCTCTGGATTCTTGATTTGATTTTGAATGAATATAATACCTTTACACGCAGAAATACTAAAAACAATGTGGGCAAATTATCCTCTTACAAATACATAAACAGATATTCTCATTTGTGTGTATAATTGCTTGATACAAATAATTCAATGTAAGGATTACTTGAGGTCCTTCAATTTTGGGCATCATCAATCTCAGGTCAAGCCCATTTGGATCTAACCTGTGAAGAATCTTGTCCACGACTGCCATGGCAAGAATCCACCTGCAACAGTTCTTCCATGAATTTCCGCAGAAATAAAATCAATTATTAGGTTGTAATTAAAATCATGGATTTTGGTGGGTGTCATACCACAGGCAGGACAGCGGAAGTAGTACTTGTTGTCCCTAAGCACAAGCCCTGATCCTTTACATGTCTTGCAGTTCCTTTGCGCCACCTGCACAGATATAGACACACAGATATATATGTATGTATGAATATAATTGTATGTATTGTATATATTGCAGTTGAGAATGTATACAATTCTTTTGCCGAACTCAATTCCAGCAACCACAAATGGAGTAACCCCAGCTGAAAATGTTATACAAATACACCATTAGTATTCAGGTTAATGAATTGATTTTGGGCAATATTGAAATCATTACCTATAGCTCCAACGACTATCTGCCAAGAGACGTCGGCCGCCATAGCAGGGTCTGAAGAAATTGCAGACGAAACGTCACTCACAGTAGCACCCACAACCCTGCAGGTTTTTGCATCTGATGGTGTTTTTCTAATCCGCAGAATCGATGGTTTGTTGGCATCGGAGGAACTTACCAGTCTTGATTCGTTGAATTTAAAACGATGTTGACGATCATACGCGGTGAGCTGTGGGGTTGACGAATGATGGTTTAGGGTTGTGGTTAATTGCAGAAATTGGAAGACGGGGGAAGAAGAAGAACCCATTTCTGAAGAATCAAATAAATCATATCCCAGACATGAATATTGCTTTGTGATTTTTAGAGGAGGAGCTTTTTCCAGTTCCATGGCGTCCAGATGGTCTATTACATGGGCCTGTGTAGGGAAATCAATTCGTGGGCCTGAAATCTTTTCAGGCAAGATCGAGCTTTTGTTGGATATGGTGGATTCGATTTTTCTAGAACTCGGTCCAAATCCGATGACAAAGTTCCGCTCTTCTGCACAAATGGCGGAAATTTGAGAAATTAACACAATATAAATATGTGTTGGCGGGCGCCACTCCAGCTGATGGAGTTGCAGTGATGGAGGACGAGAAAGCAACCTGTTTAATGGCGACCAGAGAAAACAACGAGATAAGGTTGCTACCGTAGCCTGTAGGGCCGCGGAATCACCCATAATATCTCTCCTCCATTTCCTAAAACCCTAATTGGGTTTTAGAGCATTTATGCTCCTACATAGCTCTTTGTATGGCAGTTTCCTTCGTCTCCACCGCCACGCTTAGCCGTTCGGCTGCACACGCTTCTTCTATTTTCAATTTCACCGCCGGCTTCCGGTCGAGATCCATCAGAATCGACGGCAGAAATTACTGCAGCAAAAGGCGGGTAACGTCGTCGCATTCCAACCCCAAGATTTTGAAGTCCAACCGCCGCTCCAGACACGGAAAACCGCTCTCTCCGTACGATACCGAGGATGAAGACGGAGGCGGCGATGGCGCCGATTCTGATGAAGAAGACGACTGGTTTGCTAACGTAAGCTGTGTCGTATGTGTCCTTTTATTTTTTTTGTTCCCAATTCTGCCTTACTGATTGAGCTTTGCTGGAATTCGAGCTTAGTGGGAAAGACTCCATAGCCAATTTTAGGGTGAGCTCTGAATGCAACAAATTTTATCTGATTAGCAGCTGTAGCCGATGAGTTTTTAGCACTGTGAGTTTTTTTTAAAGAAATAGGATAGTGAATCTGGATCGATAGCTTCACTGATTTTTCGCTGCAAATTGAAACATCAAAAGGATGGCTTCTCAGATTCTTATACAAGTTCATAGGCATTGCTGATGTAGAGATCCTTTAAGCAAATTTTGTAATGAACTACGATTATTCAAATATCAAGATGTCTGTTAGATTTTTACTTATTCTGTTCTTCATTTTTCAATGTTCTTCGTTCTGACGATGTGACTCCCTCCAGGACGAGTTCAAAATTTCCGAGGTCGACAGGCAGCGGTTGAAGCTGAAGAGCACAGCCAGGAGCAGCAGAAAGAAAAAAGTTCGGGACTTGCACTCGTCCAGCCCCAGATATGACATCGAATCCCAACAGATTAAGTCTTCTGTAAAGAATGGTGCATATGCTCAAGGAAAGACTAATATGGATAGTTTCTGCAGTGGTTCGACACATATTCGCACTTCCAAAGACAAGGTTTTGCCATTAATCTAGCTTTTCACATATATGTCTCATAGTCCATCTTATTAAATTTTATGTCGAATCTGATCCTTGTTTCTTTGTTGTTTCCAGCAAATAGGAAACTCTGCTGGTACTAGATTCTCCCATTTTGCCGAAGAACTGGACTTAGACGAAAGATCCTTTCCACTTCTTGATTATCTAAGCACCTTTGGACTTAAGGAATCTCACTTTGTCCAGATGTACGAGAGGCATATGCCGTCTCTTCAGATTAATGTGGAATCAGCTAAGGAAAGGCTGGAATACCTGGTGAGTATTGGCGTTAAACACAAAGACATCAGAAAGATAATTTTGCGACAGCCTCAAATCCTACAATACACAGTAGAAAACAATCTCAAGTCCCATGTTTCCTTTTTGGTTAGCTTGGGCATTCCAGAATCAAGAATCGGGCAAATAATTACTGCCACTCCGTCGTTGTTTTCCTATAGTGTGGAGAACTCCTTAAAACCCACAGTTAAGTATTTGCTGGATGAGATAGGGATCCACGAGAAAGATATCAGTAAGGTTTTGCAGTTAAGTCCTCAAATCCTGGTTCAGCGGATAGATCATTCGTGGAATACTCGTCTTAGTTTTCTGATGAAAGAGCTCGATGCTCCTAGGCAGAGCATTGTGAAGATGGTCACTAAACATCCTCAAATCCTTCACTACAGCATCGAGGATGGATTACTTCCTAGAATCAATTTCTTGCGAAGTATTGGTATGCAAAAATCCGACATACTGAAAGTACTGACAAGCCTTACGCAGGTGTTGATTTTGTTTCGTTGTGTAATTGATTCGATAATTCTGCTCGATGTTGGAGTGCCTAAATAATTTTCTACATATTTGTATTTGCAGGTGCTCTCGCTCTCATTGGAGGGAAATTTGAAGCCTAAATATAAATACTTAATCAATGAGCTTCGGAATGAGGTCCATTCTCTGACCAAGTATCCGACATATTTGAGTCTCTCTTTAGACCAACGGATCAGGCCGCGTCACAGATTCTTGGTTTTGTTAAAGAAAGCCCCAAAAGGGCCGTTTCCTTTGAGTTCATTCATTCCAACTGATGAAAGCTTCTGCCAGCAATGGGCGGGAACTAGCTTGGATAAATATCTTGATTTTCGCCAGAGATTACTGCTCAAAGAGTTTGCCAAGAAATATGAGAAGCAGTGATGTGCTTCAATCCCCTTCCTAACTTGCGACCTCCAGGCAGATGTTTCCAACTTCCTACTAAATGGAATATAGCGGAGATGAATTAATTCAAGAGAATTACCCAGCCATGGTAAAACTGCTCGCTGTTTTGTGTTTCACCATGGTTTGACTGCAAGGAAGTGGTATAGGATAGATGTATTCAAATATTTACAAGCTGCCTGAGGAATTGATGGAGTTCCGTAATGAAGCTTGTTAAAAATGTATGCAAAGCACGCAAGGACTGTTCACGGACTGCTGCTGGCGCTGACAATCCAACCTACACTGAATATCGGTCTCCATCATATCAAGGTAATGTTCGGTACATTGACTTGGAGATGAACATAGATTCATGTTTGTGCGTTGTCAGATGGCTTTAAGGCTATTTTATCTGTGAAAAATTATTCCAAGATAGACTTTCTGGTGATGACAATGGAAAAAAGAAGGTTTTGTGAAATTTGATGAGTCAAAGTGGCAATATATGTTGTATCGAAGCACAAGATCATATTTTCAATAGACTGCTGTGCTCATCTAATTGTTGATTTTCTTCTCTTCTTCCTCCCAACAGGTTCTCGACAGTATCATCAACGAATGCCTACGTGACACAGCAGACACACATAACAATCACACTTTTCTCCACACCATGTAAGCTATGCATTTTGTTATCTGGCAGTAAAATACACAATCTGATTAATTGTACATTCTTTTGCTTCCTCAAAATGGGAAAGTGTTGTAATCCTATCGGCTATCCTGTCCTAACACCGAAACATATGTATGATCAATAGAAATAACGTATTCGTGTTTAATCTATTCTATTCAACCGCTTGGTCAATTGATGTATGGATTATATGTCATTTGTGAAAATAATACTACTTTGCTATTACGAAAGTTGAGCAGTCATTTTACCTTCTAAAGCAGTCTTTCCAGCTTTGTTTTCTCCAGAAAGAAAACCTCACAAATGTTCTTCAATAATTTTGCTGTTTCATTGCCAGTCTGTATTTCCATGGAATCAATTAATCGTGTCTATATTTCCTACTGGTGTATTTGAATGGTTGAAAGGTCTCTTTCAGCTTCATCCATGGCTGTTGTCCATTCCGCTGATTTCGCCTCAATTCCATTTTCTTGCAGCCAAACATGGTGGCCCTTTCTTTCTTGGGAACAACTTGAAAATCAATTCATCATCATCTTAGCCCCATTTTAATGATGAATTATTCCCTTTATTTAAATTCAATGGCCCGAGTCACTAATTTTTAATTTGATTGACATGTACTTCAAAATGGTGGGCAGAATCTGCACATTTCCATCAAGTCACTTTCTCCAAACAAGAACAAATTGGTGTCTTGTTTCCATGGCTTGGATGGGACAACCCTCAATCACACAAAACTATGTGTTGGTTTTGTGTCCACAAGATTTGCCATTTTTTCAAGGGTACCACCAAATTGTATGGACCAATGAAATCCCAATACACACATATATATATATATATATATATAGATATTCTTACACTTGGAACAGATAAAGAAAGGGTAAGTAACAGAAACAAGAATGTAGTGAAAACTAAGCAGGTAATAAAAGACACAATTAGCTTGTCTGAAGTTATTTGATCTGCTGACCCTTTTTTTCACCAGAGATTAAAACATAAGATTAACATCTCTGCTACTGTTATACATATATATATATACTTACTTATGGGGGTTCTATATTCACTCCTAGAGCTTCTGTTTCTTCCTGCTACATAAATGCTTCTTCAGTTTCTTGTTTATTGTTTGGAAACCGAATCGAAATCATCAAACTTCTTACATTTACCTCGCTCTGCTATCGGTTGAAATGAAATGAAATCCTTTCGATGTTGTTGTTGCTAATGATATGTACCTGCAGTGTAGCTTTCGACTATGTAGGTAGCATGGTCTGTAAAATAAGCTGTACGTCGCTCGCCTCTATAAACTCTATAATCTTGTATTGTGTATCAGACTAGATGACCGCAGATATACTGCTCGCCACCGCTGGAGCAAAGGGGCTGTCGGGAAGATTGAGTCCTTGAGCACTGAAAAAAAAAAAACGTTATCGACTCAGCAAGAACAACATTAGCAGAAAACATGTGGAGATGAAGATATTGCTAACTTCTCCTGATCGCCACAGGTGTTCGCCGGATATTCAGGGTGATCGTCCCTAGTCGAGCTGCTGTTCAGAACGTCGAGAAGATAGTTGTACCGCTCCGCAGACGGGAAGTTGGATTGGACTGCGCGAGTTTGGCTCGAATAAACATCAGGCAGAGTAGCTTGCGCAGCAAAAGGTTTGCTTCGCATGTTCAGTTGCGAGAGTCGCATTGTCTCGAGTTCAAGGGCATGCTCGAGTTCGTCTCTTTGTTGCTGCCTCCGGAACAGCCTCGACGGTTCCCATCCTGTAACGTTTTACAAAAAATTCGATTGAACAAAACCCGATATTTATATGTTGTTATGATGGGATTTATCGATTCCCATTGTCATACCAACTGCTTGAAGCTCCTGTTCGAAATCAATACGGTGTGGATTGTAGTACGCCGGATGGTCGAATCTTTCCATATACTTCCTGCATTCGAAAGGTGTTGAAATTAAATCAGCGCCTTCCGTCGAACTAACTCGTATAACGTATGAACGAAATGAACCTTTCAATAAGCTTCGACTTCTCTCGATAAGGTTTCACAAGAACACGAGCACCGCACACGTAGTGAGGATTTCCCTTCGACAGAATCTCCTTCACCGTGTCTGCCCGCTCGAAGGTAACAAATCCGAACATTCGTTTTTGCTGGCAAGGAATCCTCACATCTTGAACCGGTCCGTAGGAGCTACGAAAAAACAAAAACTTAGAACAATTACAATTCATCGATATAAAATCGAATGCAGAATCGGGGAAGATATGCCACCTGAAATAGTCGGAAACATCTTCCTCCGTAAAAGTACTCTCCGCCGGAAATGTAAGATAAATCTGCCTCGACCCATTGACGATATGCCCCGGCTCGTTTCTTTCACCCCGGACATCCATATACTTCGGTGCATCCTCAGTTAGTACCACGGCATGCTGTCCGTGAGGCCTGCAACAACAATGTCCACGATCAGACAAAAAGCAATCGAAGGACAAGATTATAGTCGTCGTAATTGTCTACCTGTCGATGAGCCGAATGCTGTTCCTCAGTCGAGCAAGAAGCTTCGTCAAGCTATAACCAGCTTTCCCGTGCCTTTGGCTCTCCGTCAAATACCCTTCGGCCTGCAATGTCTTACCATACTTCTCATAGTACAACATAGGCAACGACGCAATCGACAAAGGATTGCCTCTTCGGGACTTGAGCAGCTCCACAATTTCGACTTCTAGCTTCTCGAGAGATCCAGGCGAGAACGCTTGATCGTCTCCTCCTTCGTACAGATTAGGACAAAACATCGGAGCAGGGTAGCTCTCCGGGAAAGATTCGCCGTGCAGATACCTACAGCTGTTGCCGTGCTTGCAATAGCCCTTGCTGTAATAATGACAAGTCTTGACAGGATAATCGACAGGTCCCGTAGAAATCCTATTCCCCCTAACGCCCATACCGCCAAATGCAGCTTCGGGTGAGTAGAAATCATTCAAAAAACCAGACGGCATCGGTTTTACAACTTCCATTTGATCCTCCAGCCCCATATAATCAGCATAAGGCAGCAATTTGACACCCCCGGGATTACGAATAGGATGATCCCAACAAGAATCTAATCTCCTGAACATTGGAACGGGTCGAGGAGAAGCTGCGGACGAAAAGTGGCTACAAAATTGAAAGGTTGGATCAGGTAAAGAAGGGTTCGGGTTCATCGTAGGCGAAATAGGCGGCGAAATGGACGGCGCCGGAGTTAAGAAAGTCGCGGTTTTGGCCTTCTGTATCAAGTCATGGATCAAACTATCCGGCCCCAAGGCAATCCTGATCATGTCCTGATCGGTGTAGCCGAGGAAACACATAAAGCCGACGATTTTTTTGGCAACATGTTCGGGTTCCAGTCTCGAGAGCTTATCGAGCACAACTTTTGCAGCCTCGGAAGCATCCATTGCACATCAGACTACAAACATAAAATTACGAATTAAAAAGATGACATGTAAAAAAGATCTGATCTGGTGAGAAGCGAAGAACATCGACAGAATAGTTGTAGTTTCATGAACTTGACAAAAAACTTGTATTCTTATGTGCTAAGGAACCATAAAAGGAAAAAGAGTTCAAGAAAGCAAGATGAAAATAAGTGAAGTAAAACTTTATCCAAAACCAGGAGGAGATGTAAGAAGAAGAAGAAAGAATTGAATTTTATTAGTTTCTCCTACCCAACAACAATTCACATGCAGAGCAGCAACCATAAACAGCAGCAATTAAATCAGGTTACCCTCCCAAACAAGCTATGGAAAAACCCCTCCATTTTCAACAGCAAGAAACTCAAATATAGCCCATGGAGTTCTTACAATACAAAGAGGAAATGAAATTTTACACTCAACATAAGACCTTATCCAAACAACCATGGCTGAAAGAACAAAAAGAGACGAATCTTCCCCAAAAATTAGAAACCGAAATATAAGACAGAACCATCGTTGATCCACTAACTCCCCTTTACTTACTACCTTCTATTTATCGGTCTTTTCTTCTTTGAAAAACCTCAGCATAGAGAAAGAGAAAGGGACAGCATCTTCTTCTTCTTCATCTACGTCTGCAAAATGACAAGAGATGAAATGAACACGATGGGTGGAAGTTGAAGGCGAAGAGCAATACTCTGCTGCAGTTTTATTATTTATATGCTGCTGATTCCAAAAACCCCATTTCTTATTACAAATAGATAATGCTTATCTGTTGCTGATTGTTTCATTTCATACTCTCACTTCACATATTTCACAGTTCACAGCCATGGTGAATGAAATAAATCGATTTTCTTTTCTTTTCTTTTTTTTTAAAAAAAAGGTTTACAATTCCAGCTACTCTCTATTTATTATATATACTGCCCCGAATAAACTACTCTCTACTAACTTTCCTAGATTTACGATACGGTTGATGACAGCTCGAAAATTGTATTCCATTTTTGCCCCTCCCCAAATCATCAAATTCCCAGAACCAAAAATAAAAATAAAATTACAACTTGGATAAAAATAGTTGTGAAATTTTTCGGAAATTCCAATGTGCTGATTCAATATTTTATTATTATTATTATTATTATTTAACTACGCCGATTTTAGAGTTCGACCACACATGTTGGCCCCCAACAACGTATGTATGCGTGTGTTGTGTGGCTGAAACGTCGCCGTTTTGTCTCGTTGGACTTGTGGTCCTTCTTGAATTCCAGCCGTTGGATCATCTTTCTTGATTAATTATTATTATTATTATTATTATTGTTATTGTTTTGGTGGTGTTGTAGTCAAGTGGATAAATTGTGTGCTGGAAGCAACCAAATGATGGCATTAATCAATTGTTTGTGTGTATAAAAAATAAATTAAATAACAACATGAATGATTAGGATTTGATCAAATTATCACTAACTAGTCATTGACTCAAATTTTTATTTTAAATTTTTTAAAAATTAATTAATAAATTTAGGATGTACCACCAAACCATCAACAATATTTTTTTATTAGAAATGGGACCCGCGAAAATAATTGTCTTCCTCCATCAAATGTATACATTAATCTATTTAACTATCGTAAATAAATAAAATATATTGTCTGGTTATTTAAAATTAAATAATATAAAATTTTAAAGTAGGGATAAATTAGTAAATTCAGTGTAGGGAGGACCGTTTCAATTGGCGGGGGAGGTTTAACGTCAGCGACATGAGGGGAAAGCAGTTTCTTCCCTTTTATAAAAATAATAATAAATTAATTAAAAATAATAAAGAAGGGAGGGAATAGAATTTGAAATTGATAATTAATGACATGATTGGAGGATGTTTATTATTATATTTATTATTTATTTATAAATACTTGTGTGTATAATATAGGGCCCGTCAGTTATGGAAAATTTCAAAGCGCCTCCAGATTTTTCGTATTTACGGTTCAACCCATCGTATTTTTCCCTCTTCAATTACAGCTTGACTTGACTCTTAGGTCTTATTTACTGCTTATGAATGTTTTTTTAAATATAGTTAGTAAGATTCAGATAAACGTTAGAATTTTTTATTATTATTTTTTTTTTCTAATTTTTGCAACAAATTATTTGAAAGAAAATCAAATATTTTATAGTAACAGTTCCAATTTTATGGACGCGACTGAAAAATCGCCACATAGTCTGTATTAATTAATATTATTTAAGAAGAATGAAAGGATACCCTAGAAAAATAATACTCCCTAATTAATTAATTAAGAATGTATTAGTGAAAATAATTATTTTATAATATAAATAATAGAATGTATTAGTGAAAATAATTATTTTATAATATATATAATTATAAATTAAGAATAAGATAATTAATTAGTTTAATTAAAATTAAAAAAAATTAAAAAGTTTAAAATGAGATTAATGTGGATAATCATTTTTCAAAAAATGAAAATGACATAGAACATGGGATGGACAGAAACAACAACGTGACACTGGGACGGAGGGAGTAACAATAAAAGTTATAATTAAATGTCATGTTGAAGCTGTGATCAAGTCGTAATTTTCATAATTATGTTCAGCATTATGGTCATTAATTTGTATCATTCAAAATTCCAACTACATGGGCTCAGCCCAAGTAAGTAATTGTGGGCTTTTTAAAAAATCAAATCACTATTAAGCTTCAAGTTCATGACCATAATTACGACTAGGTTCGAGTTTAAGCTCAAGTCCAATCTGTGTTGTGTGTTATTAATTGGGCCTATGATATATATATTGAGGCCCAAAACAATTCCAAATATATATATATATTTATATATAATTCCATTAATTAATTAAATTTATTGAGTAAAAACCAAATTTTAGGGGTGTATTCAAATGAAATTTTAATGGATTTTTTATTTTATTTTAAAAATTTTATGGATTTATGTGGATTTAGAAAATCCACACCGCCTATGTTAAGTTTGATAGATTTTAGTAATTGATTTAGATGGATTTTTACGGATTTGATTTAATTCTTTATGGATTTATATGAATTTTGTAGGATTGTAAAATAATTTTTTTGTGAATATATATTAATTATATAAATTTATATCAAATAAAAAATTTTATAAATGTAATAAATAATTATTAATAAGATAATATTTAATATTAATAAATAATATGTAAGTATTAATAAATAATATATACATGTAAAAAGATTATATTAAAATAAATAAATAAATAATTTACGATTTTTTTTTCAAAAAAATATAAATTAACGGTTCAACAAAAAAATATATATTTAAATATCTATTTCACCGTTATCGTTATGATAATATAGTGTATTCGATATTTGAAAAGAAAAGATAACAACAATACATATTTATTGTGATAATAATATTTTTTAAAATTATATTTATAATACAAAAATATATTTTAAAAAATCATAATAATTTGCTAATATATTTTAGTTTTAAATTATTTTTATTACAAATTATAATAATAGTAATAAATATTATTGTATTATTGATCGCATCACTATAAGAAAAAATTATTTTTGTAACAAAAATTTTTTGTCTTTAAGTCTACTTTTTCCGTTACTAATGACATTAGAGACGGAATTATGAATGAAATTACGTTAGCTACGTGAACTTTAGGGACGAAATTCCGTTACAAATATATTAATTTTTTATAGTGCATACAGAAGAAGAAGAAGAACAACAACAACAACAACAACAATAATAATAATAATAATAATAATAATACCAAAACCCGTGATGGTCAAGAGAGATTCTTTTTTATACAAAATTTTCACATAAATCCATTAAAATCCGTATACTTTCAAAGTCTATGAATTTTTGAATATATCAAAAGACTTTTAAAAGTCTACGTTGAATACCCAAGATTTTAAAAGACTTTTAAAAGTTTTGATTGAATATACCATTTTAAAAATCCAACAAAATTCTACAAAATCTATATTGAATACACCCCCTTAATAAGTAATAAATCAATCATTTTTTTATTATTATTATTTTTTTGAATGTATTATATTTCTCACTCCCAATTGATAATTTATTATTATTATTATTATTACAAAATACTACAAATTAAACCATGCATTAAAGTCTCAATAATTTATTAAATCAATAGCAGATTAAAAATGACAATAAAAATTTATTATGGGAAAAAAAAAAATAAAAAAAAAAATTGTGAAGTTGTTATAATGGTGAGTTTGACAATATTATTCAAAACCATAAATAAATAGAAGGTATGCTAACCTCAATACATGTTTGATTTAAATAAACAGATAAACTTATTATTTCACTTAAAAGTGTGCATATAAAATCACAAGGTGACAAACCCATATTCTTGGTCGTTTTAGTCTTCTTTTTTTATATATTCATTTATTTATTTATTTTGGATGCCAATCATTAATTTATAATATTATATTATATTTATTTGCTACTGTCCAAATAATTAATTTATTAATTATATATACATACATAGAGAGGAACACAGCATCAACATATCCCAGCGGTGCTTGCAATGTGCGACAGCCATGACCTTAATTATCTTAACTATATATGTTTGGTACAAAATTATTTAAGGAATCATTGAGATAGTAACAAGAAGTCGCATGTTTGTGTCATCTCAGATAGTTTTACATTATTCAATCTATAGTATAATATTTTAAAAATAAAAAAATAAAAAACATTCCAAGATTATTTTTCATTAGCAAAAAAATCGAATAATAAACACCTCACGCCACGAGTCCATCCATGTATACTTAATTGTGTTTTGATTTTATTATGGATAATTTTTCATTTTAAAAATTCTAAAATAATAAATAATAAATTCTAAATAACTTAAAAAATAATTTACTATTCCTAAGACACTAATTTGATTTGGGAAATATAAGATACATAGCATTGTAAATTTGTTAAATTCAGAGTTAATTTGTTCACTTTCATTTTTACTTTTTTTTATTTTCGGAGAAGATGATGAGATCGATGCTGATTTCCTTTATTATTATAATTATTATTATTCAACAATTGTGCTAATGGATAAATTAATTATGCAATTACGTGACATGATTAATCATGTAATGACATAGTTGGTGGTTGAATTAAAACATCAGCGTCCATCTCCTTTTATTTTTTGAAATAAAAATAATTGTTCAATGGATGATATAATAAATACATTAAGGGTCTGTTTGTTTGGGGGTTTAAATTTTGAGCAGAGATTTGAATAGTAAAAATTTTAAATTTAAATAGTTGTATAATGTGATATAAATAGGTGCTGACGTGGTGTTTTGAATGTAAAATTGATTTTTAGTATAATATAAAAAAAAAAAAAAATAGGTGTTTAATTTGATATTTTTTGAGAAAAAAAATGAAATGAATAGTGAATTTGATCCAATCCCCAAACAAACACCCTAAAAGTGACTAAGAAAGAATAATAGCGGGCTTAAACTGCATTTTCTTATTATTACTCCCACCGTCCACTTCTCATGTCCATTTTTTCATTTATGTTAGTCTCACTTATTTTATTTTTTAGAAAATAATTATAAACTTTAATTTTATTTTTAAAAATTTAATTTATAATTTTTTAATTTTAATTATACTAATCAATTATTTTAATCTTAATCTATAATTATTTTTATTTTACGGGCATTATTTTCATTATTACATTTTTAATTATTTACTAATTATATCCCTCCTAAATTTATTTGTCTACAATAACATAGACAAAATATCCAAGACGGAGAAAATATTATTATTATTACAAATTCAGCCCCTATACCAGCAGATCATTAAGAGCATTTTTCATTTTTGTTTTGTGTGGTTGGAGTAGCGACACAAACATACAACAAATTAAACCATATGAAAAGGGAATAGCAAATTTGGAAAAACAATGGCCAACAATAGTGAGTGACAGATCATATGTGTGTAGGTAGGGTAAACGACTTTCCCCTATCTATGGATCATATATCCACGTCTGCAAGTGGCTAATTCTAAATATTTACAATTAATTATATTCTCTCCACTCTCCACTCACCATCATAATTAATTAATTAATTAATTAAATTAAATAAATACATACTATAATGTAGGAGTACTATACATCAACAGATCAACTATCCTGCCCAATTGTCTCCCTCTCTCTCTCTCTCTCTATATATATATATTGACTGGAAGCTAGCTACCCGACGTCATCTCTTGCATTCCTTGATTTTCGAGAGACTTCCATTCAAGCTGCGCGCGGATTAATCTAATAATGAAGGTATGTATGTATGTATGTATGTATGTAGGTGAAGATTCAAAACATGATCAAAATTAATAATGAAATGGAACCAATATATATATATATATCGTATATGTATGTATGTATGTATGCAGGTGAAGATTTTGATGGAAGTGCCAATGGAGACGGAGAAATGTAAGTCGAAGGCAATGCAGATCGCCGTGAGCATCACCGGTAGGTGTGCCATAGTCATAGATACATCGATCAATCAATTAATTAGTAAATTAAATTAAATTGAATAATTAATCGGAAATATATATGGATGTGGTGCAGGAGTGAGCTCGGTGTCGGTCGGAGGGAAAACCGGCAATGAACTTACGGTGATCGGAGAGGATGTTGATGCTGTGTTCTTGGCTACTTCCCTCCGGAGGAAGTTTTGTTTCGCTCGTATTATGACCATCGAAGAAGTCAAGCCGCCGTCTCCGCCGCCGAAGCCAAAGCCGGAGCCGGAGCCGAAGTGCCAGGCAACTCCTATTTGTTACTACCCGTGGCAGCCCCCGGTCTGTGTGGGGCCGCCGTCCCCTGAACCTTGCTCCATTATGTGATTATAATCATATATATAGCCGTTTTTGTGCGTTTTGAGTTTTATTACTAATATATATATTTATATATTTTGGTGTATTTGGCTACGTACCCTTAAATTCAATTCCAAGTATTAAGACTCCATTTAGACGTTGATTTTTCAAGGTTTTTGGAATTTTAAATATTTGAAAGAAATAAAAAATTAATATTTGATTTAATATTTTATAAAATGTTAAATAAAATATTGTCTGTAGTATCTTTTAAAAGATGAATATTATCAAATAAATGAAAAATAATTGTGTAAACAAAGCCTAAAACCATCTTTCCCACCTATTAATCATTAAGAAACCCTCGTTTCATGAATACAAATTTATAAGTTGTACTAGGATAGCAATGGAAATCTTCGTCTCCCCCAAATCCACGTTTTGTATGATATCCAGGATAATCATCCAAATCGAACTCCACAGCTTCAATCACCCTCAACCCACAACATAAAGCTAAAGAATCGATATTCCACTCGGAGTGGAATCCATTGGTCTTATGAGTCACGTGAATCTCACCATCTTCACTTACCATCTTCACTGCATTCTCGAAAAAGCTTCTCATCAGATCCCTATGGCGTCTGCACATGATTCCAACTTCATTAATTAATATGTGTATCTATCATTCAATACAGACAAATATTGCAAGGTAGCCATGCAGCCCTGACCCAAGCTGCTGGTATCGTGGCTCGTATTTAAAAAATCCTGCGTAAGGGAAGTTGTAAACTATTCGATCGAATTTGTAATGCTTGAGCTCCCAATGATTCGACATTTCACCGACGTCGATTTCATGGATCACTCGACATCCTCGGCTTTCCAGATCTTTAATGTTCGAGGGAGCATTGCCATAGTTGCACTGCAAAAAGACTGCAAACAGACATTTCATTACAATTATACATACATATATATATATATGTAGAAATAACGATAATACATACATCGAGAATCAAGTGAAGTTGCGACCATATTGGGAGCCGTAGTAAAAGCCCTCGCAAGACAAGATGAAAACGAAAAATCACCCTCTCCGACCAGAAGTATCCGATGGCGGTTGCTGTAATGTTTGATCCACCTGATGCCGTGGTCCACATTTTTTGGAATCTCGATTATTGTCTGATTCTCAGTTGGCTTTAGCCTCTTCTCATGGTGATCTTCAATGTCAGTTGTATAATCGTCAATTTTCGACTGATCAAGCTGTAGTTGCGTAGCCACATTAACATGTTCCCCACCGCCGCCGCCGCTATTATCTATCTGCAAATCGACCTCTGGCGATAGTTGGGAAGGAGGGTCAACATCGCCGCCGTGACATTGCAGTTGTTCCCGACTGCCGTCGTTGTTCTTCTGTGCATCGCCGGCGGTGACATTCTCCGCCGCGGGGACGGCGTCGATTTCGACCAATATCAGATTATCATTTTTATTAGTGTTTCTGAAGCTTTCGAATGAGTTTCCCATGTCAGGATCCGGTTGAGTAGAGGCTGCTTTTCTTGGACGGAAGCCATTAGAGAAAGCTCTGATTCTCTTCCGCAGGCCATTGCAGAAAGCTCGGCAGATATTAGTTATTTTCTTCAGGAAGCCATTGATGGCTCTGCGTACATCAGTGGTATGCAAAATCATTTGCAGAAGTTCGACGAAAATGTGTTGATGATGGTTGAGAGACCCTTCAATAAATCAAGCAATTTCAGGATTGGAATAATTTAGAGGTAATTAATATTTTGTCAGTCTGGCCAAATTGGCCTTTCACCTCCTCCAGATTACCTTTCCTCCATCGTAAATTACAGCAGATTTTAAACCTTTGAGTTTTCGAGGGCACAGAGGCATCTGATTCGTTTCGAAAGACAGTTATGACATGATGAGTTTTGGTCTTGAATTTTGAGTAACTGTAGTTTATTTATTTCGTTACGTGTATATATCTTGCTACTTTCATGCAATAATTTCATTAAAAGAATTAAGCTAATAGATTTTTTTGTTTTTTGTTTTTTTTTTTTTTTCAAAATTAATTGTAATTTTGTTATATATAATATTTATAAAAAGAAAATTCATATATTTTTATTAAAAGTTGTTAAAATTGCTTAGTAATAAAAAAAATAAAAATTGAAATAGAGTGCAATAAAAACAACCCAAGTGTGTTTCAAGACTATTTTTGTTTGAGAGTTTGAATTTGAGATTTGAATTGAAATAATTATATAATATGATACAAATATGTGTTAATATAATATTTTGAGTTTAAAATTAATTTTTAGTATAGAAAATAAATGTTTGATTTAATTTTTTGAAAAAATAATAATAAATAGTAAAATTTATGTGAAATCTTACAAACAAACAAACCCTTAATGTATTTCTTGAATGCACTTAATATTATACTTATATATATTTCATATGTTTTTAAAAAATAACCAATTTATTTAGAATATACTCCCTCCGTCAGCTTACAAAGTTATATGTTTCTATTTTGGGACGTCCAATTACAAAATTTACATTTGATTAAATACCTTACTTTTTTTTCCACAAATACCTTTATTTTACATCAGATCATTACTTAAAAAAGTAAAGGCAAAAATGTCATTACATTTAACTGCTCACTATAATTAAAATACTATTATTTCTTAAACACTGTATGGACGGAGGGAGTATTATTTTAATATTTAGAATGGTCTCCCATTACAATATAGTATTAATCTATTTGGGGTTATTTTTTATATGATGGTAATAGTATATATTAATATACAACCAACCCAATAAATAATATAATATCCCACTCATAATTGAATTCTTGATGCCTAAGAGATTGAAATGAAGAATGATATAGACGTGCATGTAAATTGTAATGCATGCATATAATTAATTAATTATTCTCAAAGTTTACTTTCCATATAATTATTAAAGCCAATTATAAATTACACTCTCAAACACGGCAGCTGAATATACTTGAATAGCCATGAACGTGGACTTGTTCAAAAAAAAAAGAAGTATGATTTTGTGGACTGAGTAATAATTTATATTTTCTTTATAGGCTACGTAAGTAATATCAATACTAACCACCACCAAAACTTTCAAGAACACAAATGCATATTCACTTATTCAGTAATACCCCGGTTTTTGAGGTCCCGGGAGCTCCCAAGAACAACAGCAACAGCAAAATTTTGTAGGCACAGAAGATTTACTTTGCAGCAGATGTGACTGACACAAACACACTCATCTCTCTCTCTCTCTCTCCGTCTTTGTTTCTCTCTCTGCCTTTTAACTTTCTTAGTGGGTAAGTATGTCACAAAAGAAATCAGCCTCGTTTTCCTTAATAATATTCCATTAATGTAAAATGCAAATTGAATTACTCCAATCATCATCATCATCATCATCACCATCATCCAGCCGTTGATTTCCTACAAAACAGCCCCTCCCATCTGACAGGTCAAAAATCTCACAATTTCAAGAAAAGTGGAAAGCCAAACCAGAATTCAAATCCATCCACACATCTCTCTCTCAATCCTCTTTTATAAAACAAGACAATGAATGAGTGAGCTCATTCCCTAATTATATTGGCCCCCATTGCCATCAAAAGCAGCTTCTCCTCTTTCTCCCTCTACTTTCACTCTCTCACTCCTCTTATTTATAGAGGCAACCAAAAGCTCCCACATTTGCCTGCCTGCCTTCCACCATAGGGTTTGCTTCAATTCAATCACAATATGCAGACACCATTACCACCACCACCACCACAATCATCATCATCATCATGTATACTTCCCTCACCCCTCAACAAGCAAACCAGAATGTCTCCTTTCAGGGCAATGGTGCTGTCCAAGCAATCCAGGAACCACCTGGACAAGCTCACACCAAAAACCCCTCTCTACATGATCAGGGACAAGCCAATTCTCACACAACCTCAGAAAACAAAGCCCATAGTATGGTTTGCTGCAATCCTCTGCATGATCTTCACTCTCCTCATCATCTTCTTTGGAGTTGCAATCTTGATTGTCTTCCTTGCTGTCCAGCCCAAGACCCCTGTTTTCGACACCCCCGGAGCAAGCCTCACTGCCATCTACTTCAACTCCCCGCAGTACATCGGCAATGACATGACTTTCCTGGCAAACTTCTCCAACCCCAACAGGAAACTCAGGGTCAGGTTTCAAAGCTTGTATTTTGAGCTCTTCTTTGCAGAGAGGCTTATTGCTGCACAGGCCATTCAGCCCTTCAGTCAGGGCCCTGGTGAAGTCAGGCTGGTGCCAGTCCATTTGCTACCCACCTTGGTCTATGCACCTCCAAATCTGGCCATGGAGCTTCAGAAGCAGGGGCAGAGGAATAGAGTTGAGTACAGGATGAAGGGGACTTTCAAAGTTAGGGTTAGCCTGGGATCACTTCACTATTCTTACAGGCTTCTTGGAGACTGTCAAATGGAGATGACAAGCCCTCCAAATGGTGTCCTGATAGCACACACCTGCAAAACTACGAAATAGAAGAAGCAGGATACACACACACATATATATAAATATAAATATTCTTTACCCCTTTTATTTTTGGCCTAATTGTTATTACACATATTGTTTACAATTTCAGAGCAATTATCATGTACATAGGTATGAATCAATATATATATATATATGTAGCATCTGTGTATTAATTGAACAAGGGGATACACTAAAAAAAATTTCACTGATGAGGGTTCAAACTATGAAGAAGATGCACTGAAGGATCAAAGAGATTCAATACCTGCTTTCCAGATCATGTTCTCGCGTATTATATTGCAAAATCATTTTTATAACAGCACCACAGAATTGTGGTTGATCTTATGAGGCTGAATTATTAATATATTCAATCACTAAAGAAGAAGTGGGGATGCCTATAGTTTACTGTGTTTCAAGCAGACAAGGAAAAAAGGCTATCCCACTTTGCAGAATATCATCCATAGGACATGCACTTACTTAAAAAGGATCACAACAAATTTTTATTTAAAATATAGGTTGAAATTAAACAGGGACTATCTAAATTCCTGAAACTTAACAATGTAGGGAACAGATTATGTGTACTGGTGAGTCTCAAATGGTGAATATAGCAATGGAATGAAACAAACTCTGCTGTGTAATTTGACCAGAAGTCTCTAAGACAAACACAGAGACTAAGAATAAATAGTAGAATTTCATCAATGGTATCACAGAAGTGAAATCAATTATCCATGGCACGCCAAGTTTTACAACTCCGGCATAAGCTTTTATACTACTCGCATATATATGTAGACAATTCTCAGAACAAGAAACGATAGAGATATGTTGAAAATAAGCTAAGTAGTGTTAGGATACAATAAGTCATCCAAAAAAAAGCGTAATCAAAAGTATTGGTCTTTAGGTACATTTGCCTTACTTGAAATTATATATATCTCTTGGTTTAAGCCACATTTCAAAAACGGGGTCAATGTAAATAATACAAGAAACCTCAACAGGTATACATGCCAGAAGACTAGCATTACTGAATTTCTGCCGCCACAAAAAAGGAAAAAAATAGTAATAATAATACTAAAAATATACCCCACAATTTTATGCTTGGATATATAGTCTGTAATGTGAATAATTTCATCGAGATATAGTGTACTAGGAAAGCATTGAGCGTATCGTCGCGAACCTTCCCTTTTGTTTGTGAGTAGCGAATAATTTTGCTGGAGCTTCAATTATCAGATAAATGTTGATGGGGAGTCACATTTTGGTGTTCAATCATCATCAGTGCCAAAGTATCGGTCACCAAACTCACCCATACCGGGGACAACCCGAAAATCTTCATTCAAACCAAACTCTATCTCAGATGTCACGATCTTTACTCGAGGGAAATGTTTGCAGACCACATGTACTCCTTGAGGTGCCTGAATGAAGAAAAGAAACTCAAATTAAGAGAGAGAGAGAGAGAGGGAGGGAGAGAGGGAACGGAGGCAGGGAGAGAGGGTTTCTGAAGTTGTAGGTACAGAAATTAGAGTGAGGAATATGATGTTCGACTCTGGAACACCCTTCTTGATAAGTAGAGAGATGGCCTGAACAGCTGAATTTCCTGCAAACAGATTGAAAAATAAAATGATCTAAGGGGCACAGTTGTTATGTCACGAGAATAAGTTGTATAATTCAAATTTGTAGGCACATTTTACCACATAGTTGGTTCTAAAGACGCAGACACAGACCGACAAACCGCCAGCAGGATAACCAAATAATTACTTAGGACAAGACGAACTACTTGGGAGAATTCAATGAGGCTAACCTGTGCCAAGAATTGGATCCAATAACAAGACATGTCTATCCGAGATGTCATTTGGAAGTTTTTCATAAATCAGCTGCATAAGCAGAAGAGTGCTTTCAAAATAACGTAGCAGCAAGCATTCCAAAGGATCAAAAACACATGATTGAAATCAACAAGAACAAGAGGATTTTATGCTTACCTGCTGACCATTGTCGCCTTCCCTGTGAATGAGAATCTTGCCAATTTTTATTCCTTTGCAACATGCGCGCAGGGCATTCTCCATGCTCTCACCACTGTAGGATTTTAAAAGCTAAGGCACAGAACCACCAAAATGAAGGATCTGCTGATCCCTCCAGCTATTGCAGCAAGTATAAGTTCAACAAAAAAAAAATGACCCGGGTGACAGGATTGAAGAAATAGATGAGCACCACACCTTCTGATGACAGAAACACCACATAATCTCTTACAGAAGTCAACTCCAGTGTATACAGAGCCTGCACAAATAGACAAGATTTCATATGAACCCAGTGCAAGTTTCTCTTGAGTTCTGAGATTGACACACCGACACAGTGTGGTGAGACGATGATATGTATATACACAGAGAGACAGAGATTGCAAAATATTGACAAGCCATTTTCTTATTGCAACATTTTTAATTATCCATTCAATTGAGATGAATTTGCATAATCAGAGATGCCATTTTTTAAAGCTGAAAAGGAGGACGAGATTTCTACTTAACAATGCTAGTGACTCATAGCAGACTCACAGAAAATGCTGCGAAAAAAAACAGAAACTAGGCAGAATATATAACTTTATCAGATGTAAAGCAAAAGGATTCAACAGCCCAGGTTACGCCTATCATCCATTGTAGAGATTTATGTTAAATTTTTTTCTTTTGTTACTTGTTCTATGTTTCCAATATGTACTCGATCTAATGACAATACTGATGCTGTATGAAACCAACGATTAATGGATTTAGTCAAGGGAATAAACCGCAAGGTTGTTAGGGGCCACCTGTGTCAATCACCACTCTAGGTGATCATTTGGTCATGTTTCTTGTTTCTAATATGGTTAAAAACACTTCCAAGCAGTGGTGCCAAGAAGATTCTGCTACAGACAATAGATAATCCAGCATTTAATTTTAGGATTGTGATCAAAGGTGCTAATCCGTTAATTAAGCAACAAATGGCATAAAATCGACATTCTCAAAGACTACAAAATATAATATAAATATTTCAGAAGAAGCCAGAAGCAGAGAACAGATACCAACAAGGGATAGCAGCTTACCGGTAGGAGTAATCACTTGCTTTTCTGTAAATGGGAGATGTCCAAGCCCATGTTCAACAACCTAAAATAAATCACACAATTCACCATATAAACAAATATAACCATGATGACAATTCAAATACAATGGCACTTCAAAATCCTCTTGAGTAACACAAACCTACCAATCGGATTAGCCGGTCAGAATAGAAGACAAAGTCATGTTTTGTTGTTTCAGAGTCACGTATAAGCGTATGCATTCCACGTATCTTGATAAATTAAAAAAAGGCCACATATTAATAAATGGGAATAATAGATTGCTATTTGCAAGAATGATCTCCAGAGTTTCAATGAAATCTCTGTGAGAACAGAAGTGCATAGAAAAATATTATAATGGATATAGCATCTCCAAGTGATTAAATAAGTAAGATTGAAATTATACCTGGAAAGTCGATTGAATGACATATAAATTAGGGTATATTTTACAAAGATCGTGCTGACCAAGTTTCGTCCGGATATGCTGAACAATTAAGTCGATAGCGACATGATTGTCACCTCCACGAGGAATGATAATATCAGCATACTTCTTTGTCGGGAGAATAAAATCATCAAATGCAGGCTTTACAAATTTTGAGTACTGCAGGCAGATAAAACCATATGATTAGAAAACAAACCATTGCATTTCAATTTTGCAGCTAAGCATTAACATTAAAACGTAGAATTCTTTTCTAAAGAGATGCATGTCTTTGGCCCAGTATTATAAGAAATGGAAGGTTAGCTATCACATAAAACACAAAAACTTAAAAAATAATGACAGATTAGCATATGTTGGGCCTAGTATAGTTAAAATTGAGGTTGACCATCACGTAAAGGTTTCTCATTATGCAAAATGCTCCAAATACTTACACAGCTTCATAAATTAAGGATATATTTGAAGCAAACATTACTAGGTATATATCGTCAAAAAATAGTCAATAATTAACTACCTGATCAAGTACCATCCCAATATCTCTACTTTTTTCTACAGTATCACGCCTTATCCTCCTGGCTAGCCGTACATCAGAATCTGCATTGTAAGAAAAACATAATGCAGCTCATAGCAAAACATGCGTATAGGGTAATCAAACAGAGATGGAATTTATCCATGATAGGGCTGAGAAACATTGTTAGTGGAGGCAAGAGAACTAGGATAATAAAGCACAGACATTGACTCAAAAAGTGCACACTGCTTTTGAATTAGATGAATGATCATTGATATGCAAGGAAGCTAAAAGGGGAAATGAGTAGATAATTTTAGATTAAGAATTGCTCAACTTAACCAGTATAGGCTAAACAAATTGATAATGACAATATAGAATGATATGAATAGAGTAGATGAATGAAAATAACCTGTATCAACAAATATCTTCATATTCATCAAATCTCGAACTTTAGGATCATGAAAAATGAGTATGCCTTCTAAAATGATGACATCTGATGGATTTACCTGCCATATATTAAAGAATAAAGATGTTTATTAAATGAAAGAAACAACAAGGGTCTTAACATAAAATTGAAGAAATATATATGTATGTACCCTTCGAGAAGGCAAGATGTCATTCTTGTAAGTTCTGAAATCATATCTTGGAATATCTACTGCCTGACCATGTTTCAGTCTTTCCATGGTGCTTAGTAGTAGCTCCGTATTGAAGGCATCTGAATCAAAGGAAAATTAAAAGAAAAAAAAAGAAAGAAAAGAAATGAAAAAGCTACCCTAAAAAAAACAAGAATTATGTCTGTGCACAATATGGCATTCAAGCGAAGTTGAAATTCAAAGAGGAAAGTCTAAAGCCCATATTTTTTTATTATGGAAAATGAAAATTATGGCAGAGGAGAGAGTAATTCATGATTTCAAAGAGGCACAAACTCTGAACCGGAAAACAACCATTCATGCATTGAAAAAGACATTGGGAATGATGAAACATGCAAGAACTATGAAATTCTATTTCAGTAAAGGTAAGCATGAAATAAACTTTAAGAAGCAATCAAGATCCTTAATATAACCATAAACAGTGTGAGAAAAAAATCCAAATTTCCAAAGGATCATCTGTAAGAGACTCAATCAAATCTGAAAAATGTGGTGAGAAAATATCATTCCAAACATTTGAGATAATACGCACCAGGATGGTCAAAGTTGTACTCATGAACTTTTTTAAGTTCTTCTGCTGTCAAATTGTAATAAAAAGAATCCTGCCACAATGTTTTTCCATAAGATATAAGATAGAAAGAGGTGCTTAAGATATACAAAGCTCCAAGTGCAAACATAATCAGTAAAAAACCCCTATGTGTCTTTAAATAATTCACTTTTGTTTGAAGACGATGAATAGATGAAATGGGTACAAGCAAAAGCTCAGCCATTTACTTCAGCTTCTTTTGAGTCGAAAAACACAGGAAGACTGCCAATTTCACCCTTTAAAAAATCATATATGGTGTATAAACTAAAGCACCAATGGAGCACTTCTTCTAGTCAAGATATATACACCAAAGGCCATCAAAAGATTGCCAAAGTTCAATATCCGATATGTGCATTTTGTGTTTTTCCAAAAGGTTTTGGTAGAGTGAGTAAATACCTGGTTTACAAGAACAACACGCTGATCATGAAGCTGCTCTATAATCATATCACAGACTGGAGTCTTCCCAGATGCTGCACCACCAGCAACTCCTGGTAAACAGAGCAGAGTGTTAATAACGATCAACACTAAGAATTGCAATAGAATTTTCAAAAGAAATTAATATCATTAAAGAAAAAAAAAAAAAAAGGCAGGTGAGTACTGAACACCAATTTGAATGATTTCACATGGCTTCCAGAATACCTAAAAATATAGTGTGTGACCACTGATTCACTGAACACTATATTGAATGATTTTTTTTCATGGCTTCCAAATGTTTACAACATCAAGCCTCAACATCTTTTGAAAAATAACAGTACTAATGCAGAAGTTTATTCGAATACAGTGCAGTCAGATTTCATCATCATAGATCACATTTACCGAAAATGGTCATCTTCAAAGGATTACAGGATTACGGACTTTAGGCCTAATGCTAATGCTGGATGATATTTCTCCCTCCAAATTGAATGATCCAAATTGCCTTTTATAGCAATGGATTCATGAGCAAAATCTGAAATTTGAATTACATCATGACGAAAAAGAATAAATTCAAGCCATTTCTTTACAATTTGAATAACAAGGATTGATTTACATCTCGACTTGTCTTGCGCATGAGCCATTTAGTTCTAAAGGCGATCACTTTTCAGCAATGCGGGACCTTACAGTCACACATCTTTTAAGATTAGAAATTGGAGACACTTTTCTTGCGTTCTAATACCATGCAGCTGTCTACTAGCACCAGTACATAATTTACCCATAGCTGCTTAACATTCAGCAGATCAAAAAAAATCATATCACGCAATTTATAATTTTTCGTGGAAATAAAATGACTAGATACTGGCTTCACCTATAACAAAGGGCTGCTTGATGTTTTCAGCTGCAGAAGCCATCTGCTGATCAACTACTGCAGCACTAAAATCTGTATTTTGCAAATGAAATCCAGAAAAATGAACCCTGGGGGCCTCCTGCATCAAATCATCGACACCAGTTGAACCCATTCTGTGTTTACTGCCAAAAAAACCATAAAATGTTAAGTTAAAAGGAACAATACCACAAACAAGCTTCTCAATATATGTATATGTATTCGGAAAAAAGATAAGTGAGGGAAACAGCAGTAATAGAACCTTAACAATTCTGGAAATGTTTTGAATATTTCCCAAATGCGGACCTTTTATTCTTCCCCGGATAAATAAGTTTCACAGCATCATTTCTGGAAAGAAAAGTGAGACGATCGGTGATAATACATCTTGCAGCCAAGCAAATAGAGACATCAACTCCAAAGAGTAAAAGTATCGTCGTCGTCCGGAACCCAATGTTGAATCACAAAGCTACCTATCATCAACACCCCCTTATCTTTTAGGTACCCAATCAAATAAGATCCCATCTCTAGTTACCATACCAGCAAATTGAACCAGAAGCAACAGATCAAATTATTCCAGTTCCAACATAAACAAGAAAGCAACTCTGCAACCACTAAGTAGATCCAAATCAAGCCATCCTAGTTCACTTTATCACCGAACTCCAAGATGAAAGCATATCAAGAACATACTAAATAGATCAAGTTTTCAGTGACTTCCAAGATACACTGAAACTTCTATTTGATTCAGTTAAATGCTCAACCTAAATAATCCTCTCCAAAAGCGTTGAGAATCAAACAAAACTAGCACTCAGAAATTCTATCTAAAAGCCCAAAGTAGGATAAAAATTTCACGAATCTTTCCTCAAAAAAAAAAAAAAAAAAAATGTTCATCTTTAGCATCTAATCCGAACGAACATACCCTTCCCAATAATGCGGCTACTGCGCTTCCTCTTAAGAATCAAAACTTACCAAACATCGTAGTTCGAGAAAACAGAAAGCAAAACGTCGTCGGAAACAAAAACACTTCATCAAAACTAACTAACCAATGCAGCTCCGAGTGAACCCCACGAGCACAATCTAGCAGCACATACTGTATTGGCGGCGATTCTCGGCTCGGGTTTCGGTTACAGGAGAGGTAGGGAACATAGGTTTGGTTTGCGGGGACGTATTTATAGCTGAACAAGTTTAGCCATAAATCAGGCATGAAATTCAGAAAATTTACAGCGGGAGCGCAACGCAAATCGAGTCTCGGGTACACACGCGCCATTGTCTTCTCTCTCTCTGTAATCTCTATCCTCCGTCGATGATTGAGCAACCCGACAAGCCCCGTCAGAAATTTCACCGTCATCCCCATCGACAGCGGGCGCCGTGGGGCCTCCAGCCGCTGGCTTTTCATGGGCCAGCTCCTCGACGAATCGCAGCCGTTGGATGTGGAGGTGCGCGGGTCCCGCCTTAGATACGCTCCACGTGTAGGGTCCAGATTTAATGCCAATGTTAACATGTTAGGTTACAAGTTGTGAGTAGTCTGTGTGCGATAGAAAATAACTATGGATTCGTTTGTTTATTGTTTTAATTTGATTTTTTTTTTTTCATAATATTTTATGGTTTTAATTTTTGTAAAAAAAATAAATAAATAAATAAATATAATTATTACATATATATATTGACAATAGTCTCAAAAGAAAATTTTAATTTAAATATATGATTTTTATATTTCATTTCAAGCAAAAATACGAAATAAATGTACTCAACATATTATATTAATATTTAAATATTATTAAATAATTGTTTAATTTTTGTTCCACTAAAAAATATAATAAAAAATCTTTAAGCATTTAAAGAAAAAATATATTTAATAATTAAATAATATCTCAATTTTGATGATAATTATACATAATTAATTATAAAAATATTAAAAAAATTGAAATCTATCAATAATCATTTGATTTACTATCACTAAAATATAAACATAAAGATTACTAGAAATACGGTTCGCATAGTTATATGTCTTTTCGGGTCTAATTTGTAGGAGGGTATTAGGTAACTATATATTTTTGTAAATTAAGTACAAATTATAGATATATTTGGTATTAATGTATAATTATTATTCTCTCCGTCAATATTTTCTATTTTCGTCAGTCTCAAAACATTTGTTATTTTTTTCTAATTTAATAATTGTCCTAAATAACATAATAAATATTATTTCAACTTACAATATATTGCACAAATATCATTACTTTTATATTATATCATATTAATAGGGGTACTTTTATCTTCTTTTTTTTTTTTTAACTACAATTCAATATAATACTAATATTAAAAAATCTACGTGAAAAAAAATATCACCCTTCCAATAGGATAGAAGAAGCATTTTTTAAATAAAAAGAATATATTTTAAAATATAATAGACGAAAATAATAAAAAATTATTTTGAATTGAAACAAATATATTACTATTTTATTTAATTGATTAGTAAAATTTTTACCTTTTTTTCTTATATTTAAAATTATATCTCGACAATATATATATATAATACTAATGATATTTTGTAATAAATTTATTTATTTGTATTATATAACATTTTGAGTGAATTTATATTATATTATTGAGTTAATTAAAGTAATTTATATTTATTAAATATATTTTAATGAGTATAAGTTATTTAAAATGGATATATATCCATGAAAATGTGTCAAATAATTGGAAAGGAGAAGTATAATTTACATATAAAATAGAAATTGCACATGATAATTAAAATAAATAAATAAATAAAACTCTAAAAAAAATCCAAATAAACATTCCTTTCATATTCAAAACTTAAATGAATAAACAGATATTGGGCTGGGCTTTCTATATGCGTCCAATAATAACTTTATATTATACTACAAACTTTGAGCCCATAATAGAAATGTTCAGTCATCATTGATTGTTCCTATCAATGAATTTAATCATACGCCGCCCTTTTACAATGTTCATATTTACTTTTGACGCCCTATTTAAAAAATAATAGTATTTTAATTATAATAAGTAGTTAAAAACAGTGTAATGATATTTTTGTCCTTACTTTTTTTTGTGTAAAAATAATGATGTGACGTAAAGTAAGGGTATTTGTGAAAAAAAGTAGATATTAAATGAAATGTTAACTTTGTAATTGGACGTCTCAAAATATAAATATGTAAACATTGTAAGTGGACGGAGGAAGAATTATATATTATCTATTTTAAAATTTAAAATAAAAAATAATGGCTGAATGTGGTGGAAAGTTTTTTTTTTTAAATATATATATATATATATATATTTAGCTTGGATGTATAATAATACTAAAGATGATGTTAAAAATAGATTGAGCAAAATTATAATTGATTAAACTATCATATAAATAAATTATATTTGAATCTAAAGTAATTAAGTAAATGTAAAGTTGCACATAATAATTAACTAGTATGAAAAAATAAAGAAAGAAAGAGATATGTAAAAAGGTAAAAGTATTAATATATATATATATATTCCCTTCGTCCACCGTCAATCTATCTATTTTGTCATTTTACTTTGTCCATCGCAAATGTATCTGTTTCAATTTTTAATAAATGTATCTTTCACTAAAATATAAAATTACCACTTATTTTATATAATATTACAAAAATGTCATCAAATAACACAACTTAATACCATAAATATTAAGGGGTATAATAGTCTTTATGTATATCAATTGTACCACGTAAGTATATATATATATAAGCTTTAAAATGTAATTTAGCAAACTTCAATAATAATAATCATAACTACATTGGGAAATACCGGCATTTATTAACTTTTAATATATTTCAATTTCATAAAATTTTCTTCAATAACATTTCATTAGATATTTATTTTTCATATAAAAATTACTTCTAAAGATTATTTAACTTAACAATATCAAATTAAAATTTTTAAAATACATATCAAAAGAACATTTTTATTCCAAAGACGGATTTGTTTACCCAATTAAAATTTTATATTTATAGTTTTTATAAAAATAAATAATTCTATACAAAATATTAATTTTTATATTATTTATATGATTTTTCATATTTTACGTAAAAGAAAACATTTTAAATCAAAACATTAAACAAACACAATATCTATTAAAATTATTATACTTAGTAGACCAATAATATCAATGTATTATTATCTATTAAAAAGATTATACTAAAACTATATATTTCAAAATTAAAACAATAATAATACTCCCTCCGTCCCATAACAAACTATCTATTTTTCCATTTTAGTCTATCCCACGATAAACTATTCATTTTTTTTTATAGTAATTGTAATATCTACTTATCATCACAAATACCATTATAACTTACAATATATTACATAAATACCATTACTTTTATATCACACCGTACTAATAAGTTATTTTAGTCATTTCTATTTTATTTCTACTATATCACATTATAATACTAATATTTCTAAAACTTCGTAGGAAAAACAAACGGATATATAGTTATGAGATTGAGGAATAATAATAATAATAATAATTCGGACTCAATGGACCATCATAGAGAAATCAACGGCGTGATTTAAATCAAGGCAATCCAACGGCATAAAATTGACTATGGGCTGTTTCTTTTGTTTTTCGCTCTTCTTCCTTTCAAATTGCAACGTACATTTTCTTATCTTTTTGCACCAGAAATTCAAATTTAATTTTAATTTCCAATATGCAGTGAATTATTATTATTATTATTATTATTATTATTATTATTATGCGTTGGGAACAGCAATAAATACGTGCTATAAAATATTCTGCACCTCTTTGTCAGCTCGTGTCTGAAAAATACTGTCACATTTTCCATAAATAATTTGTTTAATAATTACTCATACAAATTTGAATTGAAGTTGTGTAGTATGATGGATGCATCGAGGTAAATAAACTGATATAAACTGTAAAAAAAAATAAATTATTTAACAATGTATTTAGCCTAAACAGGAATATGCATGTATTTTAATTTAATTCGTACAATCAATCAACCAATCATCAATATTTATTTAAATTCAGTAACAACAGCAGTAATAATGATCAGATCACATTAAATTAAATGTATATATATAGTAATTAATATTCCAGTTTAAGTAAATAATTACATTTTATATTGATAATGTGCCAAAAAAACGTTACAGATAGGCACTTTTGTTATTATTATTATTTAGTTTCAAAATATCAAAATTGATGTAATTTCTATATTCTGTGTTTTTTAAGAGGAAAAAAGGGTTATATTTATTTGGAAAACATAGCAAACATAGTCTTTTCTTAATTATTTTAAATTCTAAACTTTAATTAATGAATAGATAAAATATAAATAACATATTAACATCAGATCTATGCCCTTAAAAAAATTGTTTGAAAAAGCAAATTAAGTGGGGACAAAGCATTTTATTTTTATTTTTATTTTTATTTTTTTAATTATTTTACAATACATTCAAGGGTTGCGCCTAATGATGCTTAACAAAAAAGCTTAAAACGTACATGAACATGAACCAGCATCATGATTCATTGCCACAATTTATTTATTCATTAATTAATCTAAATAAGTTCAGTGTATTTAATTTAGCAGTAGTGCTCTAATATTAATATAGCAATAATTATTGTTGTTAAAACGGTCATTAAGTAAAAAGAGCATCTACCCATCTCAAATGTTAATTACAGATCTTGGCGCCCAGTCCAACGTTCGAAAGGGTCCCACCCATATGCCCTCATCGCTTGACACGTGGATAATGATACCGAATCTCCACCGTTGGTGTTCCCTTTCTCAAATAAATGTAAACGGTGTGGGTCCAACCCGACCCGGAAAAAGCACAGACAACGGGTAGACGGGTAGGGCCCCCTTTTCCGCCCTTTTCTCTCTGTAAATGCAAATGCTCTTATTCTTCTTCTTCTTCTTCTTCATCTTCACTGCCTTTTCTTTTATTTCTTCTCCGTATCTGCATTAATTGAACCGATTCAGATTTTTCAATTTCTGGTGCTCTCTCCAACTCACGAGAAGCTCGCATGTACAGCGGAGATCCGTTGCTGGAGGATGGATTGAGAGATTTTTTTATTGGATGCCTGTCGTCTGATGCTTCTGCTTTATCTTCTCTTTTAGTTGTCCTCGACATTGCCGATCGCTGAATTCCTGAGATCGACAGCTTGTTTGTGATGCAATAATCTTCGTGTAAGTTTTTTTATTTCTTATATGTTTTTGTTCTTCTGCACGTTGGATTCAAATTTTAGATTTATCTGTTGGAGTTCATGATAATTTCATTCCGATTATCAAATTTTAAGAGAAACTGATATGAATTCAGTGGAACTGTTCGCAGTCTCCTTTCGAAGTGCCTGTGCTGTTATTAAGCAAGTCCAAATATATTTAATTCTTCCATTGATGTTAGCAGTTTCTCAGGATTAATACACAACTTGATCCTAGTATAAGTGTATAACGCCACAGAGTTGTTCCTCGTGATTCTTCTGACATCACTTACGATTTTTGCAACACAGGTTATGCTTATGAAATTTGAGCAGTCAGGCTAAGCATAAAGAACATCAAGCAATTTACAACAATGCCGCTAGAGAGCTACAGTTCCATATTCAATTCTCCCAGTAAGAACTTGAGAGGCCTAAAAAGCTTGATCTACAACAACGGTAATGCTCCAGGGGCAGAGGAAATAATCAATGACCATGAATTGGCTCAGAGGAAAGCTGAGGAATCAGGTACGCTCATACCTTATAAATCCAATCTCTATATTCAAATATTGTATTTAATCGACAAACTTCATAAAAACAAAAGACAGACAAATCCATCAATTCAAATAAGAACAAAAGCAGGATATAGTTCATAGAAGTCAAAAGGATTAGTTGATTGTAGCTACATCAGATTCCCAATTTTCATATAGTATTTTCCTGTTGTAACACAAGAACAAGAATACCCATAAACTAAAACTAAAACAAAAAACAGTAGCCAGACAACTCATGACATTAGCCCCGTCATAACAATGGTGAATTTACCCTTTCTGCTTTACCCTAACTAACAATTAAACAAACATGCCTCGAATCATATTGGCCACCAACATGCTTATACTTCACGCCGAGCATAATCAACCAGTTTAATTAAAATTCCCAATACAAATTCAAGAGTATCAACTTCTATATGAGAAGGATAGAGAAGATGCATTCCATTCAAACATTAATTCGGTGATAAAATCAAACCACTCCACGTTTAGTGCATCTAATTAGAAAAAATCTACAGTAATTTCAACCATTCCAAATCACAAACCAAAACCCTAGCCCCCAAATCCATATAGCGTACGGCCTTGCCTCTTGAGTGCGTAGACAACATCCATGGCGGTCACTGTCTTACGGCGAGCGTGCTCGGTGTAGGTGACGGCGTCACGGATGACGTTCTCCAAGAAGATCTTCAGCACGCCACGAGTCTCCTCATAGATCAGGCCGCTGATTCGCTTCACACCGCCACGGCGAGCCAATCTCCGAATTGCAGGCTTTGTAATGCCCTGGATGTTATCCCTCAGCACCTTCCGATGACGCTTAGCTCCACCCTTTCCTAAACCTTTTCCTCCCTTTCCTCTTCCTGACATTTTGCTGCTCTCTCAGAAGAAACGCCGCTAATCCTTTTCTGTTAGGTGTTATTTCTGTTGAGCGTTGAAGGATTTGATAGTTATGAGGGCAGGTTTTATAGTGGGAGTTGAGGGATGGGGATGCTTCTAAGCCGTCCGATTGATGTAGACAATCAACGGCTGTCGTTCGTGATCCGAGTTATTATATGATGAGTGATTCTGGAGCGTTGATAAGCATCAAATCGACGGTAGGTGGAGGCGTTGTAGGATATGGCGCGGATATTTTCTATTGGCAAAATTTCAGTTTACCGCCCAATACGACAAGGCGAGGGGCAAAATTAGAATGTGTTAAATCAATAAATTTTTTGTACTATTATATTAAATTTGTACTATTATTTAATTAATTTAATTAAGAAAATAGGGAGAACCGGCTGTTAACTAACTACATGCTTACACAGCGTCGAGGAGGTACCAGGCGGCGCAATGGCTGCGGCAGATGGACCAGGGGGCGTCGGAAGTGCTGCCGAGAGAACCGACGGAGGAGGAATTCTGTCTGGCGCTCCGCAACGGACTCATTCTTTGCAATGTGCTCAACAAAGTCAATCCTGGCGCTGTTCACAAGGTGCTGAGAAACGTCCATATATGATATATGTAGTGCGTTTGATTGCGAGGAAACTACTGATCCTTTGGTCTTGTGTTGCTTGTGAGACGTATAGGTAGTGGAGAATCCAGTGGTGGACGTGCAGGCCGCAGAAGGAGCAGCTCAGTCTGCTATTCAGTATTTTGAGAACATGAGGAATTTTCTTGTTGCTGTTGGTAAAATGAAGCTGCTCACGTTTGAAGCCTCGGATCTTGAAAAGGTTTGCAGCACGTTTTTGTTTTTCCTAGTTTGTGCTCAAATGGCGACGTGGCCTGTGAAAAATTTCAATTATATTGTGCACAAGAATTTACTACCCGCTGAATATGAATTATTTATTTTTATTAATTCCTAATGCTGGCTCTTGTTCAACGCTGACACTAGTCTTTTGATTTAGTTCCAGAGTGAGTAAACGAGTGGTTGTTCTATTTCATTGGTGTTTGATGTATAGATTTTGTAAATTTTGTTATGTTTTCTCGGGCTATGTAACCTTACGTAAAGTATGTATGCAGGACAACTGTTCAGTTTATACTTTGGGTAGATAGATAGGTAGTAACACAAAGACACTTCCATAGATGAGACCCCCAACATATTAATTTCTTAAGTGGTTTCCATGTTTGCTTGCTTATATTGAATCATCTACAGTATTTGCTGTTATGTTTCCATCTAGTTAAATATTTTGGGAGGAAGCTTAAGGCCATGATGTTCATAACATTTTTTTGTTTTGTTTATGGTATTCTGCCCTTGAGTTGCAATAGTATTGGTTATATAATATCAATATTCAGTTAAGATTCATCATGGGACTGTTTGCATGATTTTGGTGTGTCTGGTTGTTCAAACTTCTCAAAACTACGGAATCATTTGATTTTTAGGGAGGCTCATCGGGCAAAGTGGTGGAATGCATTCTGTGCTTAAAAGGATATTATGAATGGAAGCAATCAGGAGGCATTGGTGTCTGGAGATATGGTGGAACAGTGAGAATTACATCCTTTATGAAAGAGTCACCATCCTCTGCATTAAGTCTAGAGAGTGCGGATGAGTCAATAGATGGTTCTGACTCATCACAATATGATCAACTGATGGAGTTCCTCCAGTTATCTACAGACTCACATGAGGATTCCAAAGCAATCAATGTGCTCACCTTCATGTTTGATCATTTTAGTCTTGGCCTTCTTCAATCCTGTCTCTCTGAAACCAATGAACTTGATGACTTTCCTTTAAGTCCAATGGTAGGTAAGATTGTTCCCTAGCTGTTGAAATGTATGTATGCTATGTCCTGTGTTATGATGGAACTAAAGCATTTTTTCTTGAGAAGGATATGCAAAAGTTTACTCTAAAGAACACATAAAACAAATTAGATTACTAAAACAACTTCCCAGTTACCTACATTATGCAGCTGTTTAAATATCTAATTTCACTTTCTATTGCTAGTACTGGTAGAAACTAGTCCTTTATCAACTTCATTTAGTCTAATATTGGATGCATGTGTAGGTCATTGATGTTGTATTGAGGAAGGCTCTCAATGATTTCTCAGCAGCTCTGGTGTCTCAGGGAAATCAGGTGAGTTACAACAACATCTTTTTGCGGGCATGGAATGGTTGCCTTTTTTAATTCATTCTGTATTACAACTTACTTACCCAATTAGCTGCAGAATGAATTTCCACATGTTCCTTTCTTCTGCAGCTTAGCATGTTATTGAAGAAACTTCTGAGTAATGACTCTGCCCCTCACGTGAAATTGGAGTTTCTTGAAGCCATATCAAAGTACCTAAACAAAAGGGCTGGCCTTGTATCACGGGATATTTCCTATTTCTGCTTTTGTGGTGGGAAAGGTGATGAAACACGGCATCAAAGCTCCTTTCAAGGTGGTATGGAATTACTTGATCGTCAGCAAAAACAGTTAGAGGTATTAGCTCTACTTTTTTTCTTTGACTAAAAGAATAAATAGAAGAGACAACTAGAATTTCTGATTCTTCCACTGTATAGGACTTACTGTCTTCAAAAACCTGCTGTTGAAATCAAATTGTGATGGAAACAAATTATGAATGGTCTAGATCATATATACCTTGAATTAGATGGTATTACTACTAATTCTTTTTGTGGAGGCGTCTGTGTGAAGAACAGGATCAAAATGAATCTTTACACATAATATTGTTCTGCATAATTAAATGAGGCTTTGTATGAGTTCGTTGTTAATGCTTTTCTACCGTCTGTTGCTTTTGGGTTTTGGTGGACAACGTTTCATACATATTTTCCATCAGAAAATCTTTTTGTCCATTAGTTATAACTAAAAGAAAGTTATTTGTTGGACTCAGTATGAAGATATCAATTGATACACCTCCCTAACTTTTAAAATTTCAGATGTATTTCAACATGGTCTTAGAGCCAAAACCAGCTGATTTTATGTTATTAGGTGTACATTTTGCACAATGTTTTCATTCTCTTTTTGCATATACATTCTGGAGAATTATATTGTTCTCTTAACAAGAAGTAAATTTCAGGATTTAAAAGCTCTTTTTAGGGAAACAAAACAAGAAGTTCGTCGAGCAACACTAGGATGGGAGAATGAATTCCAGTGCCTTGGTAAGATTCTAACCTTTAGTTCCATATGTCATTTTATTCTTTAGGTTCATGCATTTGCTTTCTACGAGCTGTCTGCATGGTTAAAATTGGTATGCTTCTCATGAGAGCATTTTGCCTGGTCTTAAAATATATGGAATTCCTTTTAACAGGGAATAATGTCAAAGGCCTAGAAGTGGCTGCTTCATCATATCATAAAGTTCTGGAGGAAAACCGTCTTCTTTACAATCAAGTTCAGGACCTAAAAGGTGATCCGTTGAATTTTCTTACTGGAAGCTAAAAGTGTTGTAGCCCAAAGCATGTACCTATCACTTATCTAGAGTTGTAACATGATGTGATGATTTTCTTCACAGGCACAATCAGAGTTTACTGTCGAGTTAGACCATTTCTTTCAGAACAATGTAATGAACAGTCTACAGTTGATTATATTGGAGAAAATGGAAATATCATGATTGTGAATCCCCTGAAGCAGGGTAAAGAGGCAAGGAGGGTTTTCTCATTTAATAAGGTTTTTGGGACAAATGTAACACAACGTATGTCTCCTTATCATCTTCTATTTGACTTAGCATTGCATTCAGTTATTATATTGAAATCTATTTGGAAATCAGGCAAGCATGATAGCTTAAATTGGAGGCGTGAACACATTCTGATGCTATTCATTAATTCGTAAAATAAGCATTTACTTATGAAAGCTTGCAGTTCCACTTTGTTAGTGTATCATTCATTTCTTAAATATATATTCTATTCTCATAGGTTTTCTATGTTTGCAGAACATATATATGCAGATACTCAACCATTGGTTAGATCTGTTCTTGATGGCTATAATGTTTGTATTTTTGCGTATGGTCAGACTGGCTCTGGGAAGACATACACAATGGTAATGTAACTATTACAGTATTCTAGCCCCAAAGATATTTTCTGTGTCATGCTTATCATTATATATTTTTGGATTTATGGAACATGAACCATCCCACACCCCTGGAATCTCAATTATTTTCTCTTCAATCGTTTATTGGATAATGCATTCTGCAGAGTATAAAATTGTTCTGAAACTCTTCATTTGACATTTCATCGTTTATATTTACCCATGAATTGATTCCACTAAGCTGATTCTAATTATTTAATGGTCGGGATTCTCTATTAGACAAGCTATGCAATAATCTTCATGATGCATAAATGATCTCATTTTCTGTTTTTTAAGAAGGCTTACAGGTAATGAATGTATAATTTACATTTTTGTACAGAGTGGTCCGGATTTGAATACGGAGGAAACTTGGGGAGTAAATTATCGTGCTCTGCGTGATCTTTTTCACATTTCAGAGGCCAGAATGGACACAACCCAATATGAGATTGGAGTCCAAATGATTGAGATATACAATGAACAAGTGAGAGATTTGTTAGTATCTGATGGCAGCAATAGAAGATATCCTTAAACATTTGCTTTAAAAAATGCTAAAAGCCATTTGTTTATGATATGCATCTCTTAGAATTATTTGTTTATTCCCTTAATTACCTATACATTAGATATTAGAAACAATTCTCAGCTCAATGGACTTAATGTTCCCGATGCAAGTCTGATTCCTGTCATATGTACTCAAGATGTTCTTGAGTTGATGAGGATTGGACATAGAAATCGGGCTGTTGGTGCCACAGCTTTAAATGTGCGAAGTAGTCGATCTCACAGGTGATTCTTTTTCTCTTTTGTCCCATAAACTATTAGTGTTTCTAATTTTCTAAATTATATTGGTACATGAATAGTTTTCATGTATCCATATTAATGTTATGATTGATACCATTTTTTGCAGTATTTTGACAATTCATGTTCGAGGAAAAGAGTTAGTCTCAGGCTCATTGTTAAAAGGTTGTCTACACTTAGTAGATCTAGCTGGGAGTGAGAGGGTGGATAAATCTGAAGCTGTTGGTGAGAGATTGAAAGAAGCTCAGCATATTAACAGATCTCTGTCTGCACTGGGAGATGTCATAGCTGCTCTAGCACAGAAGAGTTCTCATGTGCCTTACAGGAATAGCAAGCTAACACAAGTGTTGCAGGATTCTTTAGGTAATTTATGGAAAGCTATTTTTCCCCATAGAATTGCTTTAGATGCAGTTGCTGGATTTTCTGGTTTATGAGATTAGTGAATACAATTTTACTCATGAAAATCTTTTTCAACTGTGTGTATCAATATATTTTACAGGAGGACATGCTAAGACGCTGATGTTTGTGCATATAAACCCAGAGGTCAATGCTCTAGGAGAGACAATTAGTACTTTAAAATTTGCTGAGAGAGTTGCTACAATTGACCTGGGGGCAGCAAAATCTAATAAAGAAGTTAGTGAAGTTAGAGAATTTAAAGAAGAGGTCTGCCCTCCAATCTCTTCTAACCTCTCTTGGACTTTGCTTGCTCAGATTCTTACTATCTTTGCTTGTCCATCAAGATCTCAAACCTTAAGCTAGCATTGGAAAGAAAGGAAGCTGAACTGGAGCTGATGAAAAGTCGCACGAATATTCGAGCAATATCACCACTTCGAGTTTCAAAATTCAACGGCAATGGTAACGTGAACCCCAGCTCCAGCAGCACCACCAGTCAGCTACATGATACTCAAATTACAGAGGTAATTCCACATCAGGACCTAACACTGGCATGATTTGAACTTTGGCTATATCCTGCTATTGAGTCGGATGCATAAATATTGAAAATTTCATTCTCAAGGAATATGCATGAATTACTTGTCTTGCTCCATCAGTTTTTGCCACTTTCCTGTTACTTGGTCAGCCATGAGTATGTCATCTCTTGCTTGCTTGATTCCAGGTAAGAAGCTGTTCCTCTGGTAAGCAAAGAAGATCTCGGCTCCCCTCAAAATTTGTTGACAAGGATGTCGGGACAAAAGTACCTCTTCTAGCTGGAGAAAGATCTGTAAGCTCTATAAAGCAAAGATCTCCATCTCCTCCAATTAGAAGATCAATATCCACTGATAGAGGTGCTGGCATCAGACCTAGAATAAGACCTGATACAGTTGAAAATCCACCCACCATAAAAGTATCATTTCCATCTGGTCTTTCAGTTATTAGATCTGTCCCCAATGTGCCTTCAATTATACTGCCTTCAGTGAATACACGGCTCAATCAGGGTTCACAAGAGCCACCTCCTCCAGATGCTTTGAACGGCGTCCAGAGGGTCACACTACGCAGAGTAAATTCTGAACATGAAGATCAACTCAGGCAAGCACTGAACAACCGACAAGGTGGCACCAGAAAAGCTAAACCAGATAATAAAGTCAAGATCAAGCAACAGCCATCCAGTAAAGCTCAGAAATCCAGTGCTCCTGAATCCCTGCACCCTGATGTAGGTGCGGTTAAAATGCATGCAGTAACTCAAAGGATTGATTCCTCGGAACCTGAAAACGATCAGGGACCTTTTGGGCCACCCGCCTGTGGTCCTACTAGATCGAAAAAGCTTCACAGAACCTACTCAAGAAACTCCCAAAATGTTGAACCAAGGTATGCCGAAAGCATTTTCTATCAACAATCACTATATTAATATTGATGGAACTTTGCTTGTTTCCCATGATACTTAAGTCATTCTTCCTGAACAGAGAAGCAATTCAAACTGAGGATCATCCATCATCGGGCCCGGAAAACAAACTTTCCAGTGGACGGGAAGCTGGGTATCAATATCCATCCGTGCCTGGTTTTGGGAGGAGTAGATCTACGCCTCGTGGGAAATTCATAACTTGAAAACATACATACATAAAGAAAATGAGGATAATTATTTGTACAAAGGCTTGATTGCTCCTTGACTCCAGGTTTGTATTGCAGCTTGCACAGATAAATGCTGGTGATTTGACCATCAACTTCATAGTTGTTTGTTTCATTGATGTGGCCTGCATGATTCATCATGATTTATTTATTTTGTTGGTTTATAATGCAAGCTGTGCAGACCACCCTTCATGGCTGCTGGATTCAAACTCGAGATATGTTTTTATTGTAGATGATAAATCCTATCTGAAATTTATTATTGGGTCACCAAGATATGGTAGTAAAGGACAACTCTTTTCGTTTTATTCTGACCTTCTGCTTGTCTGATTATTTGTGATTTATTTATGGAGAAAGGAGTATTTGTGTGTATAGCATTGTTGTTTAGCTAGAAAGAAATACATTTTGAATTGTAATGGATATGTGATGGCTTCATCTATGAATTCTTGATTTTACACTAAAATATTTCAGTTTTTGTTAATTCTATGTTGTTGGAATGCATATGCTAGTTTTGATCAAATCCTTGTCCATATTGGCTGTTGAATTTCACCTAAATACTGCCCTACTTAGCACATTGAGTTCCAGGAATGGGTCTTGGAAAAAGGAGACTTGTTAAATGGTTTATGTATTTAAGTATAAACTATAGATGTCAACAGCGGGGATAGCTCAGTTGGGAGAGCGTCAGACTGAAGATCTGAAGGTCGCGTGTTCGATCCACGCTCACCGCATTCCCATTTTTCGTTTTCTTTTGTTCATGGTATGGGATGTCAATTCAGCACTTACTGTGACTTTGCTTCATCTTCGTTGCAATTTTTTAGCTCGATACAGTTTTTATTAGTTTATCGGTTCGATTTGAAGGCCTAAAAGGAGTAATTTAGGTTGAGGAGACGGTGAGCGCTACAACAGTGCATATCAAATCATTGTTGAAAGTCCTTTGGTCACGGTATGGAATTTTGCATGTGAACTTATTGTTCTTAGTTTGCTTTAGCTTCCGTGCAATTCTTATGCTCGATAAGTTGTAAATACTTCATCTGTTCGATTTGAAGGCTTAAAGGCAGTGATTTAGGTATAGGAGATGGTGAGAGTTACAGTGCGCATCAAATGTTTGTTGAAAGTCCTCAAAGTCCTTTTCCCCTGTTTTCATCAATGCACATCGAAACATTGATATCTTGCTACTTCATTTATTCTCAGATAATCACTGATATTACATTCTTGAAACTATTAGCAAGAAACATATCTGCAAATTGCTCTGATGAATTCTCCTACAGGGGGAGGGGGATATGCACAAGGAGCATCTTTTTCTTTAGACAATCAATCTGAATCTTCGGACAGTGCACAAAGATTAGTGCTCTATACAATTTTCAAGAGCTGAACTTCAAAGATCAAAGGCTCCATCATATGAGACAAGAGGCTGCGCCGAGGACCGAACTGTGCAAGGTACATATACATTAATATACATCTATATTATATATATAGCAGCAAGTAACAAGGATGTGCAGCCACTGAGCAAGTTCATATGCGTTTAAATGTAGAGGCCTTGGAATGTAAATTTCTGCGCAAAAAGATATGAGCAAAGGTTAATTTGTGCATAGCACGAACCTCTTGAGGAATTGGCTCTAATGCTTCGCTTGTATATCCTACAGAAGGGGGTATCAACGCTCTTCGCTTTCCTGGAGCATTCAACCAGAGTTTAGGTATGAATATTCTTCATCAAAGTATGCTGCATTCTTTAGTGTAACTGTAAATAATTATGGTGGTTCCACGAAAGTGTTTCTGTGCCCACCTCCAACCTTCATGCCGATCAAAACCTCCTTTAGACCTTTGATCATCTATGGTATCATCGGAAAAGTGGCAGTGTAAGTTTTAATACATTACATGAATTATTTTCCCTTTGGTAAGATAATTCTCTGGATGGATTGTTTACAGAATCAGCTTGAGGGTTGCATCTAAGGCCAGTTTTATTCCTGGTGCGATTTAGGAAGAACATTGAATGAAAGTTCACCTCGAAACGAACCTGTTGATCATCCAGAGGAAGTGTGACAGGTGAACTCTCTCCGCTAAACTGATTGATAGTGCTACATATAACAGGGCAAGAAGTAGCCTCAGAAAATGTTAAGTCGTGGGCGCGATGTTTTATGTGCAACATGTTCAGAGATTTACCTATGAACAAAGTATCCGTTCGATCGCCTGCATACATAGTTAAACCTTACAGTGTCTCCTTCGTGCGCCTCCTGCCCTTGTCCATCGACAATGTCTTGAGACGGATGGATTAGAGATCCGTTAGTTAACATAAACATCATGCCTAAGATGGGCGTGTTTCAAGCACTATAGTTGGTAAAATTTAACCTTGTATTCGTACACCACTCGGAAGCTTGAATGTCCTGGAAGCTTCAAAAATCGAACAGCCATGGTATGTAAGAACCAACACAGATAGGTAGTCTTAAAATGAGGGGAAACAGCACATACCTCAGCACATCCGGATCTTTCATTTCCGGCATCATCGAGGCGGCAAGAACAGGGCAGACATTTGTAAGGATTATACTGAATCCCATGAGCCCAAAAACCTCCCTTCTTAGGACCTTGTTTGGATGTTCATCTTCCAAGCCTTTTATTGCAGAAACCTTACTCAGTTTCTCATGTTTCCTGTTAATGGCAGCCTTCAAAACATGATCCGGATTTGGTACTTTATGCTCAGCTTCCAAAAACAAGACTAGTTTGGCTTGCACATGATTTTGGCATTACTCAACATTCATCAAATTTTGAAATACTTGTATTGAGAAATTAGCCTCCACTTACAAAACTTCATTTCAGTTCAGGATAAGAATCAATGGCAGCTCACCTGGCGAGAAGAAGAGGCGACTGCAGGAAACGGATCTGAAACGCAGCAGCAGATTCCATTAGATTCAAATTATTGGGGGAGACGAAAACCAATAGATTAGATCAGATCAGGTGGCTTAGATTGTTTTTCCGATGGAACTAATTACAGCCACTGGTTCATATCAACGAAGAAGATGATGATGATGATGACGACGATGAAGTGAATTGGCGGTATTTGATTTTTTATGCTAATTAATTACTGGTTTCTCATAAATCCCCAATTTTACATCCACATCCATCTGTCTGTACATGCCCAATTTGGTAATCAATCAAACAGTTAGTTTGTACATAGATTAATTTGTACAGGTTTGGTGGTCCTTGGAGCCACTTTCCAAGACGAACTCCACGTACAGACCCTTGAGCGCAGTCACCACTGTCGTTATCACTGGTCCCATTATCGCTCCCTGCATTTCCATTTTCATACATTAATTAAATCGAATTTAATTAATTAATAAATTTTTATTCCTGCAGTCAGCCATTGGAGAAGACTTTGGTACCTCGAGGGCGGAGGGGAATAGCGTCATTCCGCCGAGGATGCTGAGGGCGGTGAGATATGCACTGTAGCCGGGAATGTCCTCCTGGATTTCGGTGTTGGCGTAATCCATCAGTATCAGATGGACCGCCGCCAGGGCCACGGCGAGCACGTACCTCCCCTCCACCACCAGCTGCACCGCCGCCAGGATCGTCGACAGCCACGCCGGAAAAAGTGGCTGCAGGGAGCCGAAGAAGGCGAGGGCGCTGCAGACGTAAAGGAAGTGGACGGAAAGTAGCCGGAAAAGGAGCCACGTCATACACCCCTGGAAAAAAGCGATCTCCACCGTCGCCAGGAGCACGCCGGAAATGGCCCTGTCGAGAACCTCCACGCTGCGGCTCCTGGCGGAGTTGGAGATCGGAAACATCTGCATGACCTGCTCGACCACCCCGCCGGACTCGGAGGTTATCAGGTAGTAGAGGACCCAGAAGAAAACCATCGTCTGCGACACGAAGTTGAAGATCTCCGCCGCGCCGGAGAGTATGGAGCTCCCCACCAGCGCCACCACCCTGGCGCCGCCGCCCACCACCGACTTGCTGCTGTCGAACACCCGGTGCATGACGTTGATCCCCTGTGACGCGTACTCCTTCGCCGCCACCACCAAATCCTCCCGGCTGATCACCAATTCCCTCACGATCGAATCCACCTCTGAGTATATCTGCCGCCATTCGCCGTCCCTCACCCTCCTCTTCAAGCTCATCAGCCTCTCCGCCGTCGGCGACGGGCTCATCGCCCCCCGCCGCTCCGACGAAACGTTCCCCGCCGGCGACAGCACCGACTGCTTGATTCCGTTGACTAATTCCGTCGCGTTGTACTGCGTCGCCAGGCTGTCGATCTGATCGGAAACGGCTTCGTACAGCTTTGTCGAATACGTGTCCACCATTCCGGCGACGTCGTTCTCCTCCATCCATTGCTTGATCCCCAATCTCTCTGCGTAATTGCTCTCCTGAACATGGGATTTTAAAGCAAACACTGCGTTCTTGCCTTCCATCCCGATCTTGTACGAGAAGAAGATCGTCCCCGTCACTGATCCCACGAACATCCCCACGATCAGCCCGAGCGCAACGACGGTCTTCAGCCGGTCGAGAATTGCTCTGGTGAAATTCGCCGTCGCCGGAAGCCGCTTGAAGCTGGTGACTCTGCTCATGGTGGACTCGACGTCGGCGGTCTTGAACACAAATCCTAATACCAGAATTGAGATCGACCCGACGGCGCCGATCTGTTCGTAAGCCATTACGAACAGCCAGAACGACAGAAGCCACCGGAGCAATTTGCAGAAGCCGCTCCGCCGCCGCCGCAATGGCGGCCGCGCCGCCCTTTTCTTCCTCCTCAGGGCGATTCTCAGAACTAAGTATTTAATCTCGGCGATCGTTCCCATGAATACTCTGACCACCGCCATAGGCACGGCGAGGATCGTCTCGGCGATGCCGGATTGCAGCGGCTCCGCCCAGAATCCGACAAGAGTCTCCTGAATCCCCCGGAGAGGTATGGAGCACAGCATCGCCCACAATATCGGCCGCCGGAAATCCTCCAGGAGTTTGCAGATTCCGTAGAGGACAGCGATTCCGAATGCGAGGCCGGCGTGCGCCATGGCTATGTACAGAGCCAGCCTCGCCTGAGGGTCGCCGAAGAACGTGTTGTTTGACGCCGCCGGCGCCGGCGATTGTTTAAGATTCCGATCAGGTGATTTGGGGGCGTCGGCGTCGGGTCTTCTGGCGGAGGCCGATCTGAACATGTCTTGCCACGCCGGGTAACAGACGCCGGAATTTTCTCCGTCGCCGGAATCGCAGGGTGCCGTTCCCATTTACAACAAGAAGACGACGATCGGAGCTGAAGAAGATCCGCAATGGATTTCCAAATTAATGAACATACGTACGTTTCTCAATAACATCTTCTTGGCAGTTTCTTGGCATTTTCAAAAAATTTCTTCATTTCATTCATCCATCCATCGTTTCCACGTCGAATCAAGAATCTAATCCAATTCAAACCTCCATGTTTCAGTTCCACGCCAATTTTTTGAAATTAAAGCATCGCCATTAATAGTAACAAACTGATGGTGTGCAATACAATGGAGAAGTCGTCATTCGTCACAATCTTTCAGATTCAAATAACAAATACATTCGCACATATATATATATATATATTATGTATATGCATTTCAGGTACTTTCAAAAATTGGCAATGTTGATCTTTCTCCTCAGACACAGATAAGCAAACATCCTATAAATCAGCGCCATACCCAACAAAATCCAGACTTCTCTAAGCCCTCCGCTCAAGTTCACCGTGTCGAACGACGGCGAGCTCTGCAGGCTCCGGCAGCCGGCGGGGCTTTCGCAGTCATAAACATCATCCCCCGAATACTGCACCTTCACCAACAGCCTGAACCCGTAGTACATGAACGAGACATACTTCATCCACTGCATAAACTTGGGTATGTGCTGCAATCGGTTCAGCTCAATCGTCAAGATTTCAGATGATACCAAGAACATTAGTCGCAGTCGAAAAAATTGTTCGATTACCTGAACATAGTATCCGCCGGTGAGAAGAAACAGCATGAGGATAAGGGAAGCAATCATCCCCGCTCGTTTGATGCTCATCACGGCTGCTCCGAACAATTCTCCGGCCCCCTGATCAAAGACAGAGGATTTTGTGTTTATGCTATGGTATTCGATCGAATACGAGAGTTTTTTAGGCCTTACTTGACTAGTTACGGCGATCAAGAGTATCGCGGACAAGGTGAGGAAGAAGCATTCTGCTGTTCTTTTAAACCCAGCCATGAAATACAAAATGCACATGAAAAACGTCGGATACAAGACGTGGGCGATCATGTCGCTCAGCGTGCTGCACGCATAGTAGACGCTCAATCTGTACATGTCCGCCTTTCTTTCCTTCACCAGCAGCATCTTCTCAAAGGGGAAGACGTAAACTGCTCCAAATATGGACGAAGAAGTCCAGAAAATGCATATGTAGAACAACAAACCGATCTGGAAACAAGAACATGAGAATTCGTCATAATTTGGCTGATTAGTTCGTCGATGATGCAAGAGAGTCGAGGATTTTACCTGATCTCTGAGCTGCGCTTCAGTCGCCGTGCTCGATTTCCACCAGAGAAGGCCTAAAAGAACAGCCACGCCGAACGACTGAATTAACCGGACATGATCGAAGTAGTCTCTCCATCGCTCTTTGAATGTCCTCTTGAACAATATCGCAAATTGGTCGAACCAACTCAAGGTCCAATCTTTCTTGATTTGCACGGCGAGCTGAAGTCGTTCTGGCACTTTCGCCGCGCGATGATTCTCTTCCTTCTCCTTCGGCTCCAAGTCGACTTTGTACTTATGTTGCAGATACTTAAGTAGCAGAGATGAACACAAAAAAAGTGAGTAACTAAAATGGTTTTCGAAAGAAATGTTTGCGAGGGAATTTTTCGCTCACTCTTATTACGGAATTTTCAAATTCAGCGCTCTGTCGCGACGCAAGCAATTCCTCGGGTACACTGATGTCATTCACTTGCCCAGTCGCCAAATCCAGCAAGAACTCTGCAGGATTCATCGGTATTTCTGGAATGAACCGCGAGCTCGCGAAGTATTCCATCGATTCTCTCCCTTTCCCATAGTAGATCGGATACCCTTCGGAGATTAACAGAATCTTGTCGAACATGTGGAACATTCGACTCGACGGCTGATGAATGGTTGTTATAATTGTCCTTCCTGCCTAGAGAGACATTCACAAGTTTCATATGATCAACACTTCATAATTTGGCATCGATCGAATGGTTTTAGAACCACCGTAAGACAAACGATAAAGCAAAAAACTTCTACACATATCGATTCTATCCTTTATAAACGAATGAGTGATAAAGACCAGACCTTTGCAAGTCCTTGAAGAAGCTGAAGTATTCTGTTAGCTGAAGTAGAATCAAGACCTGAAGTCGGTTCATCGAGCAGCAGAAGCGAAGGATCGACGAGAATTTCATATCCTATACTCGTTCGCTTCCTTTCCCCGCCAGAAATCCCTTTAATGAATCCCCCACCAATTTTTGTGCGACGACATCTGCAAAAGAGGACTAATTCTGTGATGTATGAACATTCGTCGACATTTAAATGAAGTTTGCGAGTGATCTAACCCGACCTTTCGAGGCCTAACTCCTTAACGATCATCTCTACTCTGTCATACTTTTGTCGTTGGCTCATATTGCTCGGAAGCCTCAAAAATGCCGCGAAAACCAGAGTTTCTTCCACAGTTAGCTGCGGATAGAGAATATCGTCTTGCGCTACAAAACCAATCCTGCGAAAACAAGATACATAATTACCAGAAAAGAACTCGACTTTGTGTTCGATTTTCTTTATGACGAGTTTAAGTTTTTACCTCCTCTTGAGAGCCGGCATATACGAGACATCGTTGTATGTAACAGTTCCTTTAACATTTTCCTGCAACCTACCACCTAAGACTTTTAACAACGTTGTTTTTCCGCTGCCGGAAGGCCCCATAAGGGCGAGGATTTCACAGGGGCCAACGCTTCCGGTAATACCTCGTAATATCTGCTTGTACTGTTGTTCGATATGCAGCTGCGACGCGACCTTCGACATTACAGCCTTAACAGGATTTCCAGAAGAAGAAGGATTCTGAACTTTAACCTTAAACTCCACGTCTGCAAACTGCACTGAACCAAAAAAGGTTTAGAAAAAAAAACACACACACACAAGATTTGATGATCCGCGAAAACACATTATTAGAGGTGTTTAAGGATTGGCCTTAAGAAAAATTGGGATGGCCCGATCTTGTGCCGCGCTCGACATATCTTCCTCTATGTCGATTTCTGAGCTCCAGTTTCTTACATTAGGAGCAAAGCCATTGCTGATCTGCCTCTGCTGCATGGAGCCTATCGACGACAAATCTTCGATCTCCTCCATTATTACTACAAGATATATAAGCTAATTTGTTGATACAAAATATTATGTTTTTATAGTGTATCATCAAACATGCAACCATGTCCTGCCGGCATTTCATTTCGAGTAAGAACAGTGGCTGTTGGGCAGCAAGCTTTTTATGCCCAACTGCAGACTCTGTTTAGATGACTTGTTTTTTAGCTGCCAATCGTGATTCTCGAGAATACATTCCTTAGTTTGTTAATTATTTAATTAATTCTTGCTGCTGCCTACCAATTACCATGCATGTTTGTTAATGCTTTAATTTCGATTCCTTGATTCCAGGAGATCAAATTGTTCGACTCAGAAGCTGCAGCTGCATATGGTGCTTCTCATTGCGCAAAATGCAAGCACCGTGAGCGTGGAAGCAGAACCAATTTGGTGAAATAATAATCGGAAACACATTTCACACATGGCGAGAAAGCCAAACCCTAGCGATCAAATTGGGGAATCGATCTGTATAATTATTTGTCGAAAACGACGTCGTCTGGGCTTCTCCTTACAAATAGTGTTTCTATTACAAAAATCAAAACAATTATTTCACTTAATATTAATTTTGATTTTAAATTTAAATTTTTAAATAATATCATTTCAAAGAAAATTGTTGAATATCTTTCACAATTTTTGTGCAATATTTTTACTACCATAACAAACTATCCATTTTTCTATTAGTCCGTCTCATAACAAAGTATTTATTTATTTTTTTCTGTCTATTTATCGTTACAAATACCCTTACAACTTAATATCAACGTGCATATCATTGTTTTAATAGTTTAAGCATGTTGTAGAAATATTTTATATTTAAAAATTTCTCTCGATGTGCAATTAGAATTAGAATTTATTTATAGAGCAAATCTACAATTATATTGTAGACGGATATGAATGTTAAAATAATATATTAACTTGACGAATAGTTTATTTAAAATAAGTCATTGTACTTACTAAATAATATTTAAAAAAATACACGTAATTAAACAGTGAATGACGTAACGCCTAATTAAATTAATGTAATATCAACGCATATTATTCTATTTTAATCGTTTTTCATCTCTCTTGCCCAGTATAAATACGGTGTTTTATTCTTGAAAGAAGACACACATTTCATTCAATTTTACGAAAGCGTGAAAAAAATGATGCACAATAATTTATGGCAAAATTTGTTGTATAGAGGCCGTGGAGCACTCCGGCTTCTTTACTGTAAGTTGGATGCATTGTGTGATCGTAAATCAATCTTTCATGTCAATATGAGTTATTTTGTGCATGTCTTGAAATTTTATTTTTATTTTTCAAAAAATATCGAACTATATTGAAATTATTTAAGAGCAAATACGTTACAGGCATTACTTATTGATTCAAAGAAAACAAATGTGTTGTCTTGTTAGCTCGAATGATCTTACTAATTTATTTTTATCATTATCATATGATATATTTATTTTCAATCTTCATAATATTTTATTTTTCAATTCATTTCTAATTAATTTAACACTAAAAACAAATAATTATTTCAGGAAGTTCTAAAAAAAATCTTAAAAAATAATAAGTGGTAAATTTTTTTATTTTTTATTATTATTATTATTATTCTTATTTATCTTAACAAATGTTATTGTTTATTTATCGAATATGTTATACAAATAATTATATTTAGGTACAATTTGAGATAATTTGATGTTTTTACTTGTTTTGTTGTGTTTTGATGATTTGATTTTGAAGTATTTGCAATGAAAATACTTGTTTAATTAATTTATTTAATTATTAATTATGTCTTTGAGAAGAAAAGAAATAATTTGAACAGTAAAAAAATATATAATTAAAAAATACAAATAAATAAAATAATAATCACAATCTGATTATGTGATTATTATCATGATAAACTTATGGATTGTTTTAATACAATTTTCATTTTCTTTATGCAATCAATATTATCTTTAAACGAATATAGATAATATTATTATCGATTAAGAAAATATGACAAATATGAGCTTTAATGTATGTCGATAATATTATTATCAAATTAAATCTAATTCTTTAAATATAGATAATATTATTATTATCTATTAATAAAATATGACAAATAGATACTATTAATTATTATCGATTAACAAAATATAACAAATATGAGTTTTAACGAGATAATATTATTATCAAATCTATTTTTTTTTTTTAATATAGATAATATTATTATCCATTATCAAAATATGACAAATAGATAATATTATTATTATTGATTAACAAAATATGACAAATATCTTTAATGTATGCAGATAATATTATTATATATTAACAAAATGTGTAATTATCATTAACATGAGCTTTGAATGTATGCATATAATATTATTATCTATTGACAAAATGTGCAATTATATATCATCAAATCTAATTCTTTGGATATACAAATAATATAAAATTTTGTTTCTACTATATTATATTACACCCAAATATTTGACTATAAATATTGCACCAATTTTTTTCAAAAACATCAAAAACAATTCTGTCAGTATATTAATATATTTGTATATATTCAATTGAATTTTTTTTAAAATATGAAATAGTTGTCGGATGCGATGTTTTGTATGAAAAATAAGTATTAAAGACAATGACAAAAAGTGCAAAAAAATTCAAAAACATCTACAATTGAGGACCGAAATCGCATTGCCACATCAGCAGATCCGGTAAATTTGCAAATATATTACAAGTTGATTAAATTTTCATTATAGCATCTGTATATACTAAAATTCTATATATCGTTTTTGTTATTCACTGTCTTTGATCTAATTGCCGAGCAGCAACAACGACAAGAATTGTCCTACCTAATCAAAATAATCTGTAAAATTCTTCCACCCGATTCCAAGATTGCAGACGATGCTAAGGAGGCAATTCAAGAGTATATCTCTCGGAATTCATCAGCTTTGTTGCCGGCAAAGCTAATGGCTGCCATGGGAAGCTCGGAAATAATCAGTTTAGATCAACCATTGTGATCCAATTTCCGGCATCACAGCTCCCATGGCTCTTGCATGTTCATTTTTTGTTTGTGCTTCCATTGTTCTTCCTCTAATGCATTTTCCGATCTTATTGTATTTGCATCTCGTCACTTACCCAAATAAATGAACATCAAATGGTCGAGCAAGGACGAGAAGAAGGTTCTGCCCGCGGTGTTCGAAACATTCTTAGTCGAGAGGGGATTAGAGTTAGTTGAAGTTCTTTTGGATGCGAATTTTTGTATAAAAATTGAAATTGTAATTAAAATGTTTTTTGGTATGAGTATAGTTATTGAATACTATGTATGAAATATAAGTATTGGATGTGTATGTTTTTCGAAAAATAATATCTTGAATCGTCCATAAAAATAGTAACAAAACACAAAAGAGTACGCCCAAATGTAATAGTTTTTTCACTATATGTTTCTAATTTAACTAAAAATTAATAGTATTTTGCTATTAATGTATGATATAAACAACGATCACATAATAAACTTCACATAATAAAAAATACAAACAACATATTGGTGTTTATTTACCATGTTCGGTCATCAACTAATTTACATCTGGAGTACCAACCCAAATATATTACATTATGTATTCGGAAATAGCGAAATACAATAATCCATATACAAACTTCATAATTAGTAGCTTCACACATAACTTAAATATATTAATTTTCCTACAAAATACAAGTGTCCAGACATGCAAAACCTTTCTCTATTGATTTTGATACGTTGATGTAGGTAATTCATCACCTTCTCCACCTAAAACTGCATAACTTTGGGTTTATTTCGTCCACTATCGGATCAAGCTGAAATTTTTAAAAAGGGTTCATAACTTATTATTTTTTGATCAAATATTGATAATTCCTACATCAGCATAGTAAAAAAAAATAAAAAAAATCCAATATTGATAATTCCTACGTCAGAATAGTAAAAAAAAAAGAAAAAAGAAAAAAAAAAAGTGAACTTCAAGGGGATGATGTGTTTAATTGAAATATATATAAATCATGGCCTGTTTGACGTTGATCCACTCCAATATTAGTCAATTATTTTAATTTAATCAAAGAGGGAAGGGGTTAAAGTAACGTGCTTTGATTTGTGAACAACGTCAAGTGAAGAGGGACAGTCTGATTAATTTTAATTTAATAAGATTCGAGTTCAAGAATCAAGATCCCTCTTTCTCTCTCTTCTCTTTCTGCTTCTCTCTCTTACACAGTCTTGAATCTCTACTTTCTCTTTTCCGAAATCCCATAATTTGTCACGCCCCGACACATTGGTTGGAATTGGAAAGGGCGTGTAGCTCACTCCCTCTCTCTCTCTTGCTGAGTGCCATCCTTTATGAGAGTTACTTCCTTTCCTTCTTTCTTCCATGGTTTCCGCAGCAAATCCTGGAAACCCTAATCCCTGTTCTTTGTCACTTCAAAGCTGCTTCTTTTACCTCCGAATTGCTCTGCTCTGCTCGCTCTTGAACTGGCCCAGTGGATTTCTAGGTGGGTTCGTCTTCTCTACATTTTTTTTTTCTACCATTTGGGGTTTGATTCATCGGATCCCCTCTCGCTAGGGTTTTGACGGAGATTAGGTGGGGTATTGTTCAAGATCTATGCTTTTAATGCCCGCTCTACACTTTTTTGCACTTGCTTTTATCGTAAACTCCTGCTCATCTGATAATGTTTGACTACGAAAAGCCATGGAGGGGCTACCCATTTAGCATTAAAGCTTAATCTAATCTTTCCTTATTCAAATCCTCTTTCTGGTTGGGATAATTTCCCATTTCCAGTAGTGCTTTTCAAACTTTGCTAATTTTGTTCCAAGAAGGGAGATAATTGGCGTTTCTTTCTTTCCATTGGGAATCGAGTGGTTTCATACATTCCCATTGGCTGCGTATGTTTGTATCTGCTTCTCAATCTGCTCTTAGATCCTTACCTGATTCATCTTTTTGTTCTTTCTGGCTCTGTGTTTCTAAATTACTTCACTGGTTCATTATTTGTCACTGGAGCTTGGCTCTGATTGTATGTATGATCTATTTGGTTGTGATGAGAAGTTGAGGACTTTGCTACTTTCGATTAATCAATGGATTTTCGAACGATTATTATGATTTTCTGTTTCTTTTTCGATAGCTGAATGAATTTTGGTGGTTTTGCACTTGTTTCCGGGACTGATCTCCTGATTTGAATGCAATTGCAGTTGCTGGCTCTGATTCTGATGTCTGATTTTGGGATGAGAGGTTTGATGCATCATATATGGATTCTGTTTGATGGTCTTAGGTAGTTAGATTAATCTACATAGTTTATTAACTTTCAAATGGCCTCTGAGTCGCGGACCAACAGGGCATCAGAAAAACATGGTAAAACTCATGAAGGGCAAGCTCACAAAACAGGAAAATCGAACCCTTCACCGAAAATCATATCAGAAACTACCGAAGAAAAAACAGTGTGCGATCGTCAACAAAAGAAAGCAGTCAGTGCATTGGCAGGTGCAATGGATTCAAGTTTAAGTTTAGGTAATGAAAAGTGCACGCTGACCTTTGACTGCCTTCCTGATAAGGAAAAGAAGCCATCAGATCTCGAAAATGTTAAAAATAGCTCACCACTTCCTAAGGTTAGTGATGGGAAGAATAGCGGAGGCCCCAAGGTAAGCGATCGGATTGATTTTGTTGAGAGCGGAAAGAGCAGTTTGTGTAGAGGTAGCACGAGTACTGATATCAGCGACGAAAGTTCTTGCAGCAGCTTGAGCAGCAGCATCAACAAACCCCACAAAGCAAATGATCTTAGATGGGAAGCAATACAGGTAGTCCGTACGAAGGATGGGGCCTTAGATATGAGGCACTTCAGACTGCTGAAGAAATTGGGCTGTGGCGACATTGGAAGTGTTTATTTATCGGAATTGTGTGGTACAAAGTGTTACTTTGCTATGAAGGTTATGGATAAGGCTTCTTTAGCTGGTCGGAAGAAACTTCTGCGCGCCCAGACGGAAAGAGAAATACTGCAGTCTCTTGATCACCCATTTCTTCCTACTCTATACACTCATTTTGAAACAGACAAGTTTTCGTGTCTGGTAATGGAATTTTGTCCTGGAGGCGACCTGCATACACTTCGGCAAAGGCAACCAGGGAAGCATTTTTCCGAGCAAGCTGTCAAGTACAATTCTGCCTCATTCCCTGTTTTCTACTACTTAATAACCTATCCATTGAATATTTCCATTACATTGCTTCTATTTGGACATGGATTTTAAGTCAATGAATGATTAAGATAGTATTCATTTCCTCTTCACTTGGCGAGCGATGTTTCTTGTGAAAATATGATAAAATGGTAGAAGTTGAGTTAGGATATTCATGATTGGATTCTTATGTTTGCTTGTATAGCTCAACGATTTGTTTTGGCACTTTTTGGTTCGCAGATACTAAGTAATATACACCATTTGCTGCATGTTCTGGAGCTAGTACTCTTCCACTTGTTATAGTACATATTCCTCGTTTATATTTTCGCATATTTATTAGTTGACTTTGAGGTGGTTTTTGTGAAAACTTTAATTAGGAATTGTGTAGTTGTGTCATTTTTGGACCTATTCTTTATTCCTTAGTTCCACCGAATTTATGACATCTATGCCTTATTCCTCATTACTAATTCTGTTCTTAGTTACACTTCAATGCATAGAAAAAACATGATTCCAGTAAACATGGTGATCCACCATTAATTGATCCTGTCGTTCAATACTTGATAATAACTCTCCCATGTTTTTCAGTGGATAACATACTTTCTAAATCTAATTTATTGTTTATTGAAATTTGTTGCCTCTTTTTTTTTTTGTATTAATGAGCTATAGAAACGACAAGTAGGCTTTCCACAGTAGATCAAATTTAGATATGTTTGATGGTCTTTGCTCTTTGCTTCTAAGTGTTTTACTTAGTAAAGTGATTACATTGAGTTGCGGTGCTTATACAGAGAATGGTTATGAATTCTGGTAAAAGAGACGTAACATTTCACTAAGTTTGAGTTTTAGTTAACAAACAAAAAATACCGATTCGCTGATTATTTTAAATCATTATTTTCTTGACAATAGTTGTGTTCGATGCAATGGATGTTCCTGTCAATAATTTTTTTTTTTTTTTTTTTTTTTTTTTTTTTTTTCTGGGTGTGCCGCGCAGGTTTTATGTAGCTGAGGTCCTTCTTGCCATGGAATATCTTCACATGCTCGGCATTGTCTACCGCGACCTTAAGCCTGAAAATGTCCTTGTGAGGGAAGATGGTCATATAATGCTGTCCGACTTTGACCTTTCTCTTCGTTGTACTGTCAGCCCGACTCTGATTAAATCAGCATCGATCGATCCCGATACGTTGCGGAAAAACACATCATCTTCCTGTGCCCAACCCGCCTGCATTGAGCCGTCCTGTATCCAGCCATCCTGTATCAGCCCCACTACATGCTTCGGTCCTCGCATATTTTCAAGAAAATCGAAAAAAGACCAGAAACCCAAAACCGAAATCGGGAATCAAGTCAGCCCGTTGCCAGAGCTTATTGCGGAACCAACAGATGCTCGATCGATGTCATTCGTCGGCACCCACGAGTACTTGGCGCCTGAGATCATCAAAGGGGAAGGTCATGGCAGCGCTGTTGACTGGTGGACTTTCGGGATATTTCTGTACGAGTTATTGTTCGGCAAGACACCGTTCAAGGGGTCGGGAAATCGAGCCACCCTCTTCAACGTCGTCGGTCAGCCCCTCCGTTTCCCGGAGTCACCAGTCGTTAGCGTCGCAGCTAGAGATCTCATCCGAGGCTTACTTGTGAAAGAGCCACACAATAGACTTGCTTATAAACGCGGAGCTACCGAAATCAAGCAGCACGCTTTTTTCGAAGGCGTCAATTGGGCCCTAATCCGCTGCGCCAGCCCTCCGGACGTACCTAAACCGTTCGAAATCGTCGAAAGGGTTCCCGCGATGCCTCCGTCGACGAGTCTTAAGGTCGCCCCTGCCGCCGCTGCCACCGCCGGAGGCGGCGGCCCCTCTCCCCAAAGCTCTGATAAGTATCTGGAATTCGATTTCTTTTAGTACTACCCTTTTAATCTGAACTTTTTTGTCCCTGTTGTTTTCAACTTTTTTAAAAAAATGATGTATAATTTTTCAGGGCTTCATGTGATGTGATATTTGTAGTGTTCTTGATTTATAATTATGTGTTTGGACATCTGAAAAAAAAAAAAAAATTGTTGCAAGCAATTGTTGTGAAACTGTTTGTATCAGATTTCTTGTTTTTAATCGGCAGGATAATGAATTCTCAGTTGATCATCATATATCAACTTGTATGTTCTATTTTTCATTGTTTAGTACATTAACTTATATGTATATATATATGTGTATGTATACATATTCTTGAGCAGACAAGGAATCAATTCTCCACTTTGGATGGATGGATATAGTTAATCAATATTTTGGCAATGAAAACTCACAGAGACACACACCTGCCATTGTGTGCACTGCAAATTCTCACTTTACACTGAAAAGGGTTGTGATAACAAACCATAATAATATAAATATTCATATTCAGACAGCCCATAGAAATCTGAGAAAGGGCAATGCAGTGAAAGTGATAAACTTGATTTGTATTATCCATCAAGACTTTTGCCATTAATGGTGGTTTGTTTTCTTTGTGGCTATGCTTTTCAACACTAAAAAATAATATTTTCTTCATTGTTTTAAGAAATTTTAAATGGTTGGGAATTCCTTTTTTATCTTTCATGATTATGAAATCAATCTTTAGGAATCATGTGCTGCTTCATAATGGACGAGTAACAAACAACACTCTCAAAAGTCAAATATAATTTTAATATTTAATCTCAATTATTTTCCACAGCCATTAGAAACTCACAAACATGCATGTTTGTGTGTTTTGTTAACGTTAATGTTAATGTTTTCTTCTTCTTTTTTTTTTTTTTTTTCCCCCCACTTGATTCCAGCCTTTTTTATTCCCTACCAGACTCAATAATCAGATTTGATGAATATTGGAATCTTGAATTAATATGGAATCCAACACCCATCTATGGGGGTTTCATTGGACTCCACTAAACAATAGTACTATAAACTATCAAAATTTCATTTCATTTTATTTTTTTTAAAATAATAAATGATTAGTTGAGCATGTCTAAATAATAATTATTGCATCATCAAATTGACTTGTTCCATTTCTATCTCTGCACCGTATTACTGTTTATTAGAACCCTAAACCCTATACACAACATCTTTACCACTACTATCAAATACTCAAAGCCTTTCTTTTCCCTTAAACCATTGGTATTTCTTAAACATGTTATTTTATTTTTATTTGGTTATGAAGATGTCAATCTTACCATTGCCATCCATTATTAAATGACCAAACTTTATTCTCTTAACTTACGTTGCATGATGAGTCTCTAGGCCTTTTATATAAAGACAGACATCCCAAGAAAGCTATAGATACCCCCCATTGCCATTAACAACAACCAACTGGTTGGTTATTACCAGAAACTAGAGAGAGAAAGAGAGAGAGAGAGAGAGAGAGAGAGAGAGAGAGAGGGATCAAGAGGGTGCCCTTTTTTTCCAGTCCTTAGTCGAAAGCCCCCGGCGAAGGCCAAGGTTTTCCGACGACAAGTGAACGAACGATCGATCGATCCATCGGTGGAATCGGGAGAAATGGCATTCATAAGTGAAGATATGATCAAGCAACTTCAAGCCCAGATGGAAAAGGGTGTGATTTCTCTACTCTTGTTTCGAAAAATTTAATCTTTGTGTGTTGAATTATGATTTCATGTTTTTGCTTAAATGTGTGCTTTGCAGTTGATGAACCCCTCAAGAAAAGCTTCTTGGTTTGTTCTTCTCTGCCCTTTTATTTGTTTAGCTAAGAAGCATTCTCTCTATTTTGGTAAAAAAATTTTCAAGAATTGAGTTTTGGTAAAAATTATGTGTACAGAATGTACACAACGGCTACCAAAGGGAGAATTTGGTGAGGTTTCTTAAGGCGCGGGATGGCAACGTAGCGGATGCCTATCAAATGGTATTATTTCCTTTTCTCTTGTTCCCATTTCCGGTCCGAGTTTTAATTTTTCACCGGTGTTTTGTTTTTCAGCTTCTCGATTGTTTAAACTGGAGGATCGAGAATGAGATCGACGACATACTAGAGGTCAGTCTTGCCACGACGTGTTGAATTGTCGAATTTTTATGTTTTCGGTTCCTTCCTCGATCGAATGATTCGATCCTTGCAGAAGCCTATTCTCCCGAACGATGTTTACCGTGCAGTCCGGGAATCCCAGCTGATCGGAATGTCCGGATACTCCGAGGAGGTAAGTTTTTACCTTGTTCGAACATGTTAAGAGTTGCGACAATGTTGGTCCGAAGCTGAATCGACTTTGCCTCCAGGGTCTTCCCGTCATTGCCGTTGGCGTTGGGCTCAGTACGTACGACAAAGCTTCTGTAAGGCTTCGGGTTTTTCTGCTGTTTGTTCGTTTTCTTTCGTCGATTGTGCTTTCCAATCGTTGTCATCTGTCGTCGTTGTATCTTAGATTCATCACTACGTCCAGTCACACATCCAGATCAACGAATACAGGGATCGCGTCGTCCTGGTGAGTTTCAGTCATATATAGATATACATACATAATATATAAGTACCGTCATCATCTCTACATTGCGTCGCGTGTAGCCTTCTGCTTCAAAGAAACACCGGCGATACATTGGCACCTGCATAAAGATTCTGGACATGACTGGCCTTAAGCTTTCTGCACTCAACCAAATCAAGGTATGGCTTATTTCTCTATCTTGATGACAATCATTCAGACAAGTTTGCGCAGAGCGAAGAAGATCGTAATACCTACTTGCATTTCCGACAGCTCCTGTCCGCAATATCAACCATCGATGACCTGAACTATCCCGAGAAGACAGAAACCTACTACATCGTCAATGCTCCCTACATCTTCTCCGCATGTTGGAAGGTTCGCCTCGCCTTCTTCACACACTGCATTTAATCAATCACGGTTAAAAAGTAAGTAAATCATCCTCGCGCGTACCTCTGTTTCGCAGACCGTTAAGCCTCTCTTGCAGGAGAGGACACGGAAGAAAGTTCAGGTGCTTCCAGGCTCTGGAAGAGATGACTTGTTGAAGGTAGGCGCATTCGCCACAATGAGATCAAACAAAATTGTTGTTTTCCCGTGCTTACCAGTAATGATCTCGGTTGCAGATCATGGAATACGAATCCCTCCCGCATTTTTGTCGAGGGCCAAGCGCAGGAGGGTCATCCCGGCATCGCAAGAATGGCACGATCAGCGATTGTTTCTCCCTCGACCATCCATTCCATCAGCAGCTTTACAGCCACGTCAAGGAGCAAGCCGATCGTGCTCAGTCAGTTCCTCCAGGTTCCGTCCACGTGGAGTACCCTGAGCCTGATCCTGAAGACGTGAAAATAGCACAAACTATAGAATCGGAATTTCACAGACTCGACAATGAAAACAGGACATCCGACTTGTTACACGAGCTCAAGATCAGTGACTGATTACCTGGTACAAGTAGTTTATAGCCCTTCGATTCAGTCCACAGCAGCTTACATTATCATAATGCTGCCTTCATGCTCGTTCGCCCATCTGTAACCTGCTACTGAGACGATTATCGGGCAATGACATATATGCATTCATTAGTACTTAAATGTACAACAAAGGCGCCAAGTATAGTGTTCGACATATTCAAATCACGGAACAAACTACTTAACATGTACAGAAGATGTTATGTTTCGACTTAGCAGCTTAAAAGATACAAATGAAGGAAAGATCAAACAACCAGGATCAAATCCGCCATATACAAACCAGAGTTATCTTCGAATCATCACGTAATGCATAGGCAACAACTGTTATATCAATACGAGAAACTAGCTTAACTGCTTTAAGTATCTAACGGCAAATGCAACTGATGCCGCAGCACAAATGACAGCGAGTGCAGCATAGGTATCTTCGCGCTCCCAGGTATCATACCATGTCAAGGAACAAACTTTCCGAGGACCAGTACCTTTGCCGCTATTACTTTGCGGGATTTGCTTCTTTGAGCTCTTCTTCTTCTCGGGCGTAAGGTTTGCTGCAAAGTCAGTAGAGTCGGAGCCTGATCTCTTTTCTTGCGACATCTCATTCTGGCAGCACGTAGGGCTTTCATTCACCTGACAACATCCGATACCCTCCACTTGAGACGAGCATACGCTGATATTTCCTCTGGCCGTAGGTGCCGACTCTTTCGTACTCCTATCCGTATTTGCTCCACCACTTCCCTTAAATCTCAGTTCCTGAGATTTTATCTGGTCATCTTCTGATAAACCCATCTGTCCCCTGCAACGAATGAACAACCAAATACTAAGTGAATCCAAAGTAATAAACCCCTATTCACGACGACAAAAAATGTCCAGAGAGATCACACATAACCAGAAATGCTAACAGAACCTCAACGAATAAGCTTTAGTAAAGGAATAATAATCTCGGAAACCCACCTCCAGAGGAAATCTACAATTTCTCCTTTCCCAATATGCTGTTCAAGCAAAAGGGGAACATCATCAGGCATGACGTATCCATACCTGCATCATAGTAATATTGCCGCCTTTTATATCCTTTTTTTGTGCAATTATCATGTAATGAAAGCCAAACAACTTCAAGAACCTTAGCGAAGTGTAAAGCACCCAGCCACTTACCAATGGCCAGTGATTTCTTTCTTGATATTTGATCCAAAAATGATCACATTACCGGCATACTTATGCCCCCCAATGTGTGAGCAGGGTCGAACAGAAACTTTTGCTTGTAGACCATGTAATTCTATCTCAGTTTTGAACCTACTAATGACAGATGGTCCGCAAATACCACATCTTCGATCCCTTGAACCATGGCAGCATACAAATATGTACCAGCCCCTAAGAGCTTCAGGACTTCCAGGCGTCCACTCACCATCCTTAACAAGCACTTCCTCAACAAATGTCGCCACATCAAAATGTGTCAATCTCCTGCGATTTTACTCGATATTAAGTATATGCAGTGGCAAACTGAAGTAAATGCCAAGGGTTCCTAAAGAAATCAAAGATGAATCCTATCTCTTAACCTGTATCGAACCATGTCTGGAAAGATCAACACATCGCCATTTGATGTCTCGGTGCCATCATGCCCTTCACATATAGTTAATCGAGTCTGAAAAAAGGACACAAGAGACACATTAACACAATTTAAAACATGGCTGATAAAATGTTAAGGCATGTGCCATAGCTAAGGCTCCTAAATCGCAGGGATAAGTCTTACCAAAGATTTCCTCCCTGTATTTGTCTATAGTAAATTTAGCACTGATAACACACTACATAAACTCTTAGCACACTTCCAGGAAAAACAAGGATGAGAAATGTCAAATAAACTAATGTTTGCTACTCTGAGTAAGTTCATACAAATATCTTTGAAAATGACCTTTTAGACATACAACACAGAACCAAAAGGCGAAGATTAAAAGCACGCCGGAGACAAATTCTGAAAGTTCACGAGATGATTCATCTTCTTGAACATAATTACTGCCAACAAATAATTATAATTCCGGCATAAGCTAACCACATTTTCATTTCAGGTACATAAATTTAGTGAAACTGAGAGGTCTGTCTTCCATCCTTAATGTGCAGCACCAAACCTTTCCAATACTGTCTTCAACACAAACAGATATATACTGAATAATCCGAACACCAAAATCATGAAGAAAATGGCAACTAAAAAATGCAAATAAACAGTATTCCCTAATCATCGAAAACTAAAAGCAAGAAACCCTAAACCAAAAATTGAAATCAAGATTCAGAGAAATCTTTGTACCTCTCGCTTCATATCCGCCTTCCTAGCAGTCAAAGCGGCAGCGAGAAGCCTAGGCAGACGATCGAACTCAGCTGCCTCGATCCGCGGCGGCCACACCTGAGGGTTCTTGTAGCACAGGAACAAGTGGCGCTGGTACAGCTCAACTGTCCCGACGAGGGCACCCTGCCTGAAATCGGGCCTGGAGTATCCGTACTCCGCTTCGCTAATCAATCCGGCGTCGTATCCCCCGCTGAGGAAGCCATCGTTCTGGAAGCTGCCGGAGGCGCTGCCGATCTGAGAAGCGTCGACTAGGTAACCGTCCGCATCTAAGGCGGGGTTGGGAGACGATGAGGAGGAGGCATGGTGGCCGCTCAACAGCAGAAGAGGATCGTCGCGATTCGCGGCCAGCAATGGATTCGACGACATTGCAACTGTTGCTCTTGCAGAGAAACACACCGACTTATTTACTTAACTGTAAAGTGGGCTCTGAAAGAACTATTAAAATAACAGAAAGGAAGTGTTCGATACAGTTAATACGTAAGAGATGAGGTCTAATCTAAATTGATTGATTTGGGAATTAGGGTTTTTGATCATTTTTCTTTCTTGAAGATGGATTTTGTTGTTTCTTTAAGTCAAGTTCGTTTATTACATCAAGATGTCATTTTTACACACAGTAATGCCTACTATGTTCAAGGGACCTGATTGTAATACATAAACAGCCAAAACCATCGAGCCTTTTCAAGCATTCTTGTTTACATTAGAATGGCTTCTCTGTTTCAGACACAATCAGAGAAGCTGCATTCTTTGAAGCTCTCCATAGAAATCCGACGCATTTTCAACTCGTTTTGGCACGCTTTCGCTGCTTCGTCTTTCGTATTGGCTAATGTTTCAGACTCTTCGATCTTTCGGATCAGAGACTCGAACTCGTCTCTGGATATTGTAATCCGGGCAGTAGCATTTTTCTTCGACAATGACTTTATTCTATCGAGGGCTCTAATCTCAGCCAGCTTGGCTTCTTCAGCTTCCCTCGTTGCGATTCTCAGTTTCCTTAGAGCTTCTTCGAGCTCAACTCTCATGGCTTCCGCTTCTATTTTCAGCACTTCGGCTTTCTGGCTCATCTCTTGAGCATCATGCTTTGCAGTCCCACTCTCGGAAACCAGACGCTGTGTGGAAGCACCTAAAACCTCAGCTTCTTCTAGCCAAGACTTAGCCCTCTGCAGCTCCGTCTGCAGATTACTTACGATCAATTCAGTTTCTGCTTCGTTCAACTTCGCTTCAGAATGCTCCTTCTCGACTTTTTCGAATTCTAACTTGAGCGAGACCACCAGGCTCCTCAGCATTCCTTCCTCTTCTACCATTCGATTCAGTGCTTCTTTAGCATCGCTCAACTCGACTGTAACAATCTTGGCTGAATCGAGATTGCCCGAGTTAGTACTGCACATCTCATTTCGTAGAATTTCAGTTTCATGTGAGGCTTCACTCTGTCGAGCGTCCAGATCCTTAGGATCAACTTCTTTCTTCAAAGCAAGCAACTTCTTTGCAGATTCTTCGAGCCTCGCTTTATGATATTGCTTCTGTTCGTCTCTGTTGGCACAGATTTTCGACTCCTCCTCCAGAGTCTGTTCATCCAACCGAACTTCAGTAGCCTTAAGTTTATTATCCAAAGATCCACAAGTTTCACCATTATCTTGCGAAAATTGCTTCACTACTTCGGAGGCCCTAACTGCTGATTTCTTCAACTCATTAACGATTTTCAGCTTCTCATTGAGATCAACAACACTTCTATTAGCCTTTTGGAGTTCTGCTAAAGCTTGAACTTTAGTGCTCTCAGCGCTTTGCAGCCGTTCCTTCAACTTATCCAACTCTCTCTGCGCCAAGTGGAGCCGTGTCTCTTTTGCCGGAACCCGCTGCAAGTAAGAAAAACAAAAGCCCGAAACAAATCAACAGACATCAACTGATAAGACTCACAACAGCAAAGTAGAATTGACTAACTTCGCCGGGCAGCGAATTCAACTTCTTAATGGAATGCTTTTCCCCAGAAAATGTGCCTTCACCGAATAAGCCGACAGCATGTTTGACAGATCGAAACGGCGCACTGGTATCGATTTCTCCCACCTCACCTCTTGTTGATCCTCTCAAGGTTTTCTGATAATCCTTAGACACCATAATCCCTCTCTTCTACTCAAGTTCTTAACAGGAAGTGGACATAAGCAGAGAAAATTAGACCAATATGAATTATGCATAATGCATTCGGCATTTGGATAATCAAGAACAACAAAAACAAGCATTGCTAAACAATCCATAAATTTCTAGGATGAATCTTCCAAACAGAGCATATGCTGGAGAAATTCAATACCACAAAGATGCAGTGTAATAAACACTTATTTAAGCTATCAAAGTTGCAAACGGTAAGAACGATATGGAAAACATTCCAACAGGATTGATTGATTGACAATGGCAATGAATCTGTAGATGACTTCAACATACAAATAGATAATGTAAACACTGTTTTTCGATGCAATGGCAGTTAAGTTCAGTTGAAGCAAGTGATTTTGCCGAAAAATAATGTCGAATCACAATTGGGGAAAATCAGTGCAATGCAAATGTTACCTGAGAATTAACCTTAAAGGAGAAAGAAAGAGAGGAAAATTGGGGAGTGCAGAAGGTAATAATGAGTCGATCATAAAACCTAATGAGAAAAGCAGACAAAAGGAGAGCATCTATGGCAGGAATCACCGACGGTAAATCATGGAGTAGCAGCGGAAAGTTGAGGTGAGTCGGGAGACGAGTGTCTGTATCTGAAATCTGCCGACAAAAGTCTGGACTCTGCTGGTGGGTGGGAGATTCGGCCATGAAAATTACTTGGATTGAGAATAAAAAAAGTAAAAAGTCGGGGCTTCCATGGAAGATCCAATCCAATCTAACCCTACCCCGATTATCCACAATCGTTGACTTTCACTCCCCTAAACAAATTCAATAAAATTTTGATAATAAAATGCATAAATTTTATGAACAATTAAATACATAGATATAGTCATTGTCAAATTTATTTTTATTTTATTTTTTATTTATTTGTTAAATTTAACTTGTTACCAATTTTAAAAATATTAAACTTTTAATATTTAATTATTATCATAATTCAACATTTATTTAGTAGTATAATTATACAGTTTTTATTACATTCTTTCTTTTTTTTTTTATATAATTTATTACTTAATAAACTTTTAAAAATACTTTAAATTATCTTTTAATTTTTATCATTTTTTTAATAAAATATTTATTTACTTCTAATTTTCTAGTTCAAATGAATTATTTTTATTGAATTGAGAGAATATGTATATAAATATTTTTATCTATTGTATTTTAATATAATATTTTATAAAATAAAATAATATATATTTATGAAAAACTGTTTAATGACTTTTGTTTAAAAAATATATATATCTATATAAAGATTTAAAATAAAAATATATATAATTAACACGAGGACAATGCGAGAAAACCAAAAGAGACCAACAACACCCTTACCATCTTTTTTTTTTTTTTTTTTTTTTTTTTTTGGGGGGGGGATTTAGATTTTATTAAGAATAATTGTTTTTATTGGATAATTGGACAAAGCCCAATAACAATAATAATAATAATAAATATCCAGCGGCTGCCCTCCTCCTGTTCTTCATCTCTTCCGTCAATAGTTCGTCTCGTCGTCTTCAACAGGGCTCTTAGTCGACTTCCGTCTTCTCTTAGAAATTGTAAGTCTCGGTGATTTCCTCCCTTTCGTTAATCGCTAAAGTGAGAAGAAAGTGTGTGAATTTTCAAGCATCTACATGAATTTTGACTTAATGTGATTTCAATTTATGCCGGAGATTATTGGAGGTATCGGAGAGTTGTTTTTTTTCTTTTCCTCGATTCGTCGGTATAATTCGTTTATTATCAACCTAGTCTGACCGATCCATGCGCGAAGTAGTTATTTTGTTGGTTTGGTTGTCGACATCGTATCGTGATTTACAGATTTGCGCCGGCCGATTGGTTAAGCATGTTCTGCGTTGATTTTTTAGTTTTCTGATGTTTAGTTTATAAATCGATGGTTTTGGGGGTTGACTGGGGAAATTTGGTCTAATCTCGATCTATTAAAAATTTGGTGCCTTGCCTCTGGAATTTCTTCACATGAATTTCCTTTCCCTCTCGCTAAATCTTGCTTTGTTTGGCTGAATCTTTTTTTTTTTTTTTTTTTTTTTTTTTTTTTCTGGTTACATTCATATTGTCTAGAATTATACAGATGAAAATTGAAAGTTTAACTTGCCTGGATTTGTATTGTCTTTTATCTCCTCTCTATTAAGGCTTGGTGGAATCATCAGTTATCTCAAGGTTTTGATCAAACCTAGCCCTATAGACTGCGTTTTTAGTTCTTTAGGGTTTGGCATTCGATTTTAATTGATGAGGCTAGCTCTTCTACAGCAGTGTAGTTTTTTATAATTGAGCTAGAACAGCTGGGATGTAATCTATCATATGTCATTGATTTGCTACTTCCCTTGTAAAAACACATCTAATTTCTTTTGGACTTCTAAAATTGTTGTCGCAGGATACATTTTCCATTTTGGTCCTGTTTGAGCTTTGAGACACAGAGCGATCTTGGATTTAAAGAAATTTGTGTTATTTTTAGTTCCATATGTTTGAGTCATGTGGTAATGTATGTAATATTAATGAATTCTTTTGTAAGAAGAAATCTTGTCAAATTGTTCACATCCCTTCGTTCCTTGTATCCTTGTTACAAACTGTTGTCAGTGGGGCTGTCAACAATTTGAATTTTTGCCCTTTTCCTTTATCTCAAAATCTAGTTTGAACTGGCATTTTATGCATGTATGTGTTCATATATTCTCTTCAATATTCATTATACATATGCATTTCCATTTTTTGATGTACCAGTAAGGCAACAAGATATGTTTTACATTGGTTTTCACCTTTTCCTGAATGATGCTGATAATATTTTGAAATTTTGATTCAGATGAAGTTTCCAACCGTGTTGGTGGCGTTGTTGGTAATGTTAAGCAGTTTTGAAGGAACCTTTGGGATTAGATTCGTTATAGATAGAGAGGAGTGTATATCTCACAAAGTGGAGTATGGACAAACTGTACATTTATCTTTTGTGGTGATCAAATCAGAGGGCTCTTGGCATTACAATGAAGAAGGTGTTGACCTTGTGGTAAGACCCTCTCTTCATTTTCCAATTCCATTACTTCTTTGCTAGAACCAACAAGTTTGTGTTTTTCCTTCATGTAGATGAGTATATTTGCTTCGGATGTTGGGCAATAATTATTTATTCAATTATCTCTTCTTTTTTTTTTTTCATATGAAACACGGTTATATTTGTGATGTGAATTGTTGGTCGCAAGTCTAATTTATATCTCATGGGCTGATTGTTTTTAACATGTTCCTGGGATAGATTAACGTCTTACAATAATTTATGTTAAAATCATGTACTGAAATAACTATTGATTTGTTGGATTCTAGGTGAGGGGGCCAAATGGTGAACAGGTACACGATGTTCGTGACAAGACAAGTGACAAGCACGAGTTTGTGGCTTATCATCAAGGAGTTTATCGGTTTTGTTTCACAAATAAGTCCCCCTACCATGAAACTGTAGACTTTGATGTGCATGCCGGCCATTTCTACTACCATGACGAGCATGCTAAAGATGGTGATTATATCCTTCAAATATCTATAGACTGATCCATCCCTTGAGTAATTAATTGTCCGTAGTTTCTTATAAAACAATTCCGGTGGGAATGTGCAGAGCATTTCAAACCTCTTTTTGAGCACATTGGGAAGCTAGAGGAAGCTCTATACAACATTCAATTTGAGCAGCATTGGCTCGAGGCTCAAACCCAACGCCAAGCAATAGGTAACAAACAAACCCTTTTGTTTATTCATGATGACATCACTCCCCGTTATTTTTGCATTACAATATTATCTGGTCTCTTGTGTTTAATGGTCGATCATCATGTAATTGGATTTCAGTGAACGAGAAAATGAGCAGTAGGGCAATCCACAAGGCAATATTTGAATCAGCTGCTTTGGTTTTAGCCAGCGGTTTGCAAGTCTACATTATGCGCCGCTTGTTTGAGAGGAAGCTCGGAGCGACGAGAGTTTAACATGGGGAACCACCCACCCTACCCTACCCTGTTTTGTTTTGGGAGAGACTGTTGATTATTACTGTTACATCACAGGTAAGTTAAGGAGGTATACATTATATTGCACATGTACTCACTTTCTGAAGCCCCTCGGCCGAAACCTTCCTAGACACATTTGGTCAATCATTAGGACATATTTACAAGTGTTTTCGGGACTTCTGAATGTTCTGCAATAATATATATATATATGTCATAATATTAGCTTGGGGAACGTCTTGAGCTATCAAAATCCAATTGCAAAACCCATTTAAGACATCTATTTCTTTACCAAAATTGTTACACCCAAACAGTTTCTGGTGGCTTCCAGATTATTATTGCATAAGACACGCTGAGCGTAGTTCAAATACATACACTCACACGCACATATATATATATATATATAGAGAGAGAGAGAGAGAGAGAGAGAGTAAAAGCAGCAAACAGAGAAGTCGCATATAATCCTCAAAACAGCACACAGAATGTTGATAATAATAATAATACATTTTACAACCACCTAGCTGCAGAGCCATCTTCCTGGCTCTATTATCTTATCCATTTTTTTCTTTTTTTTTTTCTTTTCGAGGGGATGGGGTGGGGGATGGAATGTGCACTCATTTATATATCTTTCTTTTCATCATATATATATATATATATATGTATATGTATATATTCGTCAAGATTCTGCCTTTGGGCTCTGCATACAGCAAAGCCATTTTTTCTGCAAATGAAGGAGAGCAGCAGCGGATTAGATTTCATATAGAAAACACCACACATAACCAAATTTCGATTACTGAATATACTTGGATCTAGAAGGTTCTATCTTCAAATCATTTATATTCTATGTTTCACATCATAAAAACAAAAAACATACAATTTTGAGTTTTTGAAAACTGAATAATCAAGAATCTAGAGTTGAAAGGAACACTAATAATAAAACAGATGGCTGGTGCAAAGTCAGCTCACATCACATGATAAAACAACTTTGGCTAAATAACCAATATTGATCCATGTGTGTAATATTTAGGAGGTCAAGAACTTACACCCTGAGGTTTCAAAGGCTCCACTCCATGATGTGCGTCTGTATCCACCTTTGTAGGAGACTCGGGCTTCCCACCCGTCTTCTTCTCATCCCTTGCTTTGTTAAATATTACAGTAAAACCCTCGGCAGAAGCTGGATCGTTAACATCCCATTCGCCAAATTTAGGCAGTGGCTGACCCTTTTCCTGTAGAAATAGATCATATAGATCTTAGTGTTACAAGTGAAAATATGCACAGGATTGAAGCTACTAATTTTAGACAAACCACTTCTAAGACTAATCGAAATTCAAAACCATAAGAATGAACAATCTAGCATACTATTACTAACCATATCATCATCCAACAGTTTAACCTAAACACTGAAGCAATGCACTGAAATGATCTAACAGGCTACGTTTCAGGTCCTGAAATGGCAGGCGGTATACTAAACTTGTGCCTCCATAGGAGATGATATTTCAAATTTGTTTATTATATTATCTAGACAAAACAAGACATGCTTATTGCTGTAGAGTCGATGCTTTTGACTTAAGAAATTTTGCCAGTCGCTTAATTTGTCCCACTTACACTCCATTCCAAACAAGGTTTGATCTTCTGTTCCTGGGAGAATTCCATCCCGATCATATCCCATCAGCCAATTATCTTACTGCAAGTTCGATTCCAGGTGATTAAATAAGTTGGCCGTAAGCAGAGATCATAAGGCCACTTACAAAGTACACTGAAGACTTTGTGGCATCATAAAATCTCTCCATCGCCCAACGAATTTCGGAAGCTAATGAACAAACAATTTTGTCTCAAGAAATTATAGATGTGGATGATGAGAAATGAAGGATCAGTGACTACTTGAGCTATGCCTATAGGTAATCTCCTTGCCTGATTGATTGATCTAAGGTATTTTCAGTCACTAATACTCTCTTCCGTGAACAAATGATCAAGGCCAAAAATATGTGAATAAAGACTATGAAAAATCTGAAAACTGGTTTCTCAACATCTTCTAATTATTTGCTACGCCATAAGTTCCTCGCATCAATGATGCAAAATTTTTATCAACAATTCTGCGTAATCCACCTCAATCACAAAGCAACTATCCGCTAATTCAATTCCAATACATAAAAACACAAACCAAAATCAATAAAAAGATATACAGCATAAAGATCTCAGCGGAAAAACAGAATAAAATTCCAATTAGAACACACGAAATTCGAAGCAAATCGCAGTTACTAACCAAAGTAAAGAGAAGTAGCAAAAATCACAGAAACCGACTCAAATCCATTAATCGGAAATAAGCAATAATCAGCGAAAAAGAGGCAGATGTAAGTAATGATTTACCACATACCGACATGAATAATCCTCCGGAAGATATATTCCCTCTGAGCTGACGACAAAAAGAGCGGTGAAATGTAGAGAGAGAAGAGCAAAAAGCTAGAGCGAGACAGGTATATATAGTCGCCACTCAGCACAGAAGAATATAATATATATAAACGGAGCAGCTCAACAGTATATATACGTGTAGTTACTGCGTAATAATAAGAATAATAATAATAATAATAATAATGAGATGATTATATATACATTCTGGAAAGTTATTTGACTGATTTTGTTTTATTATAGTAAGTAAGAATATGTTTATTTTATTTATGTCTTAGGTTAGAGGGTTTGTTTGTTTGTCTGTTTGTTTTTGTCAGAGTCAGAGTCAGATGCCAATATGTTGATTAATCTATTCTCGTAAGTCGTAACCAAACACAAGTGGGGTGGGGGTGGGGGTGGGGGTGGGGGTGGGGGTGAGGCATTAGAATTTATCATCTTCTATTTATTTTATTCATTTGATGAGTGGCGATACACAACACAACCATCACAAGTTTTATGAGATTAAGACTTGTTTATTTATATCTTTGTTTTGTTTTTCAATATGTCAAAGCTAAAAGTATACATGCATTCATTTAATATAATAAAGATAATTATTAGAAGCAAAATTGTTTGATGTTTTGGCTTAAATTTCACTAAAAATTAGAGTGTATATTTTTACACCTCAAATTTCAACTTTTTACTATTTAAACTATTATTTTTTTAAAAACATATTTTTTTTCTCACAAATATATATAATTTTAATATCAAATTTAAATTAAAATTTACAAATTCCATCAAAACAAACACACCCAATCTATTATCTAATTTAGACAGTTTAAAAAATCTATTATTTTTTCCCATAAAGAAAAATAAATTCAAATTCAAATAAAAATAATAATTTCAAATCAAAATCCAATAAATTCTTTGCACAACCAAAAGTTGAAGTATATGATTCTTCACCTAGTATTTAAAAAAAAAAATACAAAATACAAAATACTTCAAGCACTAAAACAAATACACACTTTATCGTACCTCATATTTTATAAAAAAAATAAAAATTAAAATACTTCAGCTATAACACTAGACACATTTTAATAGAAAAAAGTGTATTCCTTTTTATATTTAATAATAAAAATAATAATGGCAACAATTATATTTGTGTTATTGAGACAGGCTGTGTGCTTACTAACTCCAAGTTGCTGGTGCATGTCAATGCAAATATGCAGTGCAATGCAATCAATCTTATGTAAGCAATGACGCAGAGGAAAGGTTGCATCATATTATTAAATGAAAAATAAATAAATAACTAAATAGAAGTGAACAATTGGAAAAAGGATCTACTAATTAATTAATTAATTAAATAATTAATGAGAGCATCCATCCATCCACAGCAAAATCACATTTATTCTATGCCACTACTACTACTAATATCTATATCTAAAACTATATCCATCATGTGAATTAATAACAATAATAATAATAATAATAATAAATCAATGGCTAGATGGATAAGATAGATAAGATAGACAGAATTCTTCATCATTCCCAAAATCAGAAAGAGAAAAAAAAAAGAAGGAAAAAACAAGCATTCAACCAAAAGTAGTAGTAGTAGTAGTAGTGTATGAGAGAGAAAGGGAGAGAGAGAGAGAGAGAGAGCAGCAGCAGATTTTGTATGTACACAACACAGGTCAGGATGAAAACACTCACCACTGCCTGGTTGGCATAATAATAAACCATCTGCTGCTGCTGCTGCTGCTGCTGCTGCAAGAATCCATGGTGCCCCAAGCCAAGCCAAGCCAAGCCAAGCCGAGACCAGCAGCTGTTAATGGGATGGATGATTTAATACCACCTAGAATAACAAACCAGAATTTAATGAGTTGCTGAAGAAGAAGAAGAGAAGTAATCATTTATTTGTTTTATTATGTTGACTTATTTCATCCTAGACAGAGAGATATGGACAAAATGACATTACATGAGGAGATTCTGAGGTTGAGCATAAGCTTACTTTTTCACAGCAAGTCCAGCCAGCAGCAGTGACGCACACCCATATCAAACCATCATCATTTAACCGAACCCGAATCCTTCACTAGCTTCATGAATCGCCAGGAGCAAGCGGTCTTGAAGTTGTTCTTTGCTAGAATACTCCGGGAGGTCAAGTTGGTTAAAGCTGGAAAGGAAAGACCATCAAGACAACATGAGAAATGAACATATTATATAAATTGCAGATTTAAAAATAAAGGCTAACCAGGTATGAGCTGAAGGAAGTCTCTCGGGAGCTCCATATGCCTTGTGGATCTGAAACTTTTGTGGCCCAGATATGCCTTGCAGCGCTCTAAAACCTTCCAAAGGAACCTAAAATGCAATACCGATGATTGAAGAATTAGTGCAATACCGAAACCATGCTCATCTCTGACAGAATACAAGAGGCACAATTTATAACACAGATATACGCAATTTTGAGGTTCAGATTAAACACTCACCTTTGAAGTTCCCGTGACAAATTGGAGCAATCTAGCTCTGTCTTCTTTGCTAAATCCCTCAACCACCTCCCAAAACCACTGAACAGCATTAGATGCAGCAGTGTAGCCTGTGTACTCAGTGTTGGCCTTCAGATCAACCACTGCAAAGTAATCAAGGCTGTGAGGAAATTTCATGAGGATAAGACTTAATAACCACAAGATAAGAAAAGGTAAAAGTCAATTACAATCAATTTCCGGAAGTCCACTGATCAGTAACTCCAGCTCCTTATCGTTGAAAATGGATATAAGTTCCCTTGGAACTAATTCATTGAAACCTTCAAGGAATGCAGTAATTTGGGGACGGATAGCATTTGTCAAGATGTGATCAGCAACAAGGTCTACATATTCATGCTTTGTTTCTTCTGTCACTCTTATATTTCTTCCTCCCGGTTTAAGCTCATAGTCAGTAACCTTGCATTACAAAATATCCAAAATAAAAGTTAAGATGAATGTGCAATCATTACAGGAATATAGGTCAATTGAACTTCATAAAATAAATACACGGTAAGATTCAGAAAGAAGTAAATGTAATGTCAAAACATAAAAATAAAATAACTTCATCAAAGTACCTGAGTTTTTTCATAAAGGATATGTTTCTCTTCATCAGCATCCATGGAGAATGTCAGATCAGGTATGTCACTCACATCATTCTGAGCAAGGCATTGAAAATAGTTCAGAAACTCACTACTGAATTTAATCTAGAGTACTGAGATTAATAGTAAATATTGCTCTTAATCTATCTCACCTCCAGCATCCACTTCAAATTTTTATAGTAATCGGGATCAACGGCTTCAATATCATGATATGTCACCTTTACACCTAGAATATGCTTGTAGAAGGAGCGGGTGAAGTATACATCAAGTAGCTGACTATCAAATAATGCTTTTGCTACCTGCAAATTGGGATGTTATAAACTGTTAGAGAAACCAATAAACATAAGACGTAAGTGTTGAAATTCAAAGAAAGGTCCTTCAATAATTACCACACGACCAACAAATCTGAAATAAGAGAGATGTTCTGTCTGATATACAGAATTAGGATTTGGTTGAAAAGTTGCATTGTTTCCAACAGTGGTGAAAAGCAAAGCTCCTTTATCAAATATGACCCTTGACAACAGTTGGTACCATTCACGAGTCAAACCACCAGCATCAATGCCTTCTTCTCCTTGAAAATGCACATTCAGACGTCCTTTAAGGTCTTGACTAGGTCGCATCCGAAGCTGGTTATACGAATCCTCCAAAATATATGCCCTCCTAACACTGATTCGAAGTGGACCTGACAGATGCTGATCATGCTGTTGCCGAATCCTGGACCGGAAGTAAGCCCTTTTGTTGTCAAAATCAATTAATCGAGGAGCTTTCAGCATCATTGAGAGTGACTTTTCCAATAAACCTGGGTTCTGCCTAACAAAGGCATTTAGCAGGCGACGATGCTTCTCTGCAAACCTTACAAATGTAACGGACCCCTCAAATCTCCTGTTGGAATCTGTACTCTTAATAGAAGAAGGAACTGAACTTCCAGAAGACTCCTTCACTTCTCTTGCTGTCACATTAGATTGATCTTGCTGATATAATAAATTGTTAGCCTGTAGTTTTTCACACAGAACGAAAAACCCCTCAATAAAGGGGAGGAGCCTCTGAGTTCCAGGAGGAAGAGCTGTGGACGCTGAAGTAGAACCTTGAATCTGCTCACCAATATTAGCCAAAGAGTTCGAGGAACTTTGATTTTGATTTAACTCTAATTCCATTGTACTAATGCATTGACTCAGTTCTTTCCACAGCGGCTCCAGCGAAACATTTAACTTACACATGGTACCATGCTCTTCCTGTTCTTCAACACTTAGCTTGTCTTTGTCACCGTCGCTCCCAATGGATGTAAGTGAGCTGAGAATCTGCAGAACACGAAGAACAGCAGCCCCTGCCATTGAACCGGCACTCAACCCAAGCATCCGTGTGTCCCTAAGAGTTACCAGTTCATTGACAGCAGAGCTGCTCAGCCTCTGAGCCAACTCTGACAACTCCAAAATAAAAAATTTACGATGAGCAGGAGCAGTAGAGGCCAATTTCTTCAGCACGTCTCCGGAAAGTGTGTAAACTTTATCTGAAAGCCTAATTACAAAAAATAAATAGCATTTAAAAGAAACTTTCAACAGTGACCATCAAACTTATAGAGCTGATACTAGCTTAAAAACGATGATTCAACTAAAACAAATAATATTGAAATAGAGGTTGATCAAAATTAAAGAATAATACCCTTCGTGACCAAGAAGACCACAAAGACTATGCAAATCCGATTGAGGTATCAGTAAGAAGATATCATATGGCTGAAGACTTCTTTGAACATCAGATGTGGACTTTATACCACTGGCACTTTGATCAACTTGATTAGGTTCTCCTTCTGCAGTCGGATCTTTCTGAGTATCACTAGTTTCATTGCCAGATGGGGCTTCAATTTGAGCTGTAGTTTCTTCAGTATTAGACCGAATATCAGCCTTCGATGCTGCAGCATACACAACCACTTGGAGCAGGCCCATGACCTTCCGAGAACCAAACATACATAGGTAAAACCATATAAGATCACATTTTTTACATTAATAATCTACAGTTAATGAAGGACAAACATACCTGCTCAAGATGAGCAATGCTCCGCAAGAAAAGTGGCTGACTCAAAAGTTTAAGAAGCAATATCAAAGGAATATCCCCTTTCTGCAAGCCTCTAGAACGCCCAAGATCATGCTGTCCTTCAATGGCGGTGTCACCTTCATTTCTGACTTCTGAATGGTTTGTGGGCGTAACTTCAGGAACATTAGAGCTCTCAAAATGGAAAAGAAGGCTGGAAACACCAGAATGATTAGTGGCAAGATAGGTGAGGATCTCGAGTACCCGCCGCAAAACCAGTGGAGGAACACCTGAATGAAACAGAACTATCCATTTTAACATCTAAAGAGGCAAAATAAGATTTAAAATTAGGAGGAAAAATTACTAATAAACCAGTACCATCACACAACTGAGATCGGCCATAAACAACATCGGATTGGCAACCATAAAGCCTCTGAGCATTTGTCGAAGTCAGTCCACCAACGGTGCCTACAGTCTCAGGGTTGATCATATCAAGCAGAAGACGAACTAGAATTGCTCTTGTACAGTTATGGGAGCACAGGTTCAACAGAAGTCTCTGCAACAGACCTTTCCCAAGGGGCTAAAAGAAAAGAGCAGAACAGCATTCAGTTTGAATAAATTTTAGCTTATATAAGAGATTCATTAAATACTTCATAGATTGAGCACTTCACAAGCAATCAAAGAGTATAATTTACTGCGAATTTCAGACTACCTGTGCTAGACGTAATAAACGAATTAATGCTTTTAATCCATTAGCATCCAAGAGTGGTTCTCCATCAAGTTCTTTCAGTTTCAAGTTATCTGCAGCAGATGAAGTCCTCCTTCCAATAGTGACTCCAACACCCCTATCCATCACTGTCTGTCTATCAAAACCCAATCTATTTCCTCGACCACCGAGTCTTTGGCTACCTCCAAACAAGCTGCGAGCATGATAATGACTCATTGCTCTGTCTCTCAGCATTTGTGCTTCTGCAAGTAAGGGAGATGGAAGTGCTGATAATAGTGCCTCTGAAGAAGTCAAAAGTACCTGATTGACCAAAAATATGCAAGAAAATTAGTTAAAGGCAATAGGCTTGGGAGGAGTTACAGAGAACAATAGAGAGAGAGAGAAGAAAAAGAAAAAACCTCTTCACGAAGATCAGCAGGGAAAGTAGCAATAATTGATGCATTGTCCATGTCAACTGGCTGACCCTCCGATTGATTAGCAATTCTTTGAGCTCGTTGTTGAGCGAGAACTTCAGCTTGAATATCAGGAGGAAGAGCAGCTAAAAACTCTGGATCAATGTCTTCAACTGTAGGCGGTGCATAAGTAGGAGTTGCAGTGGACTGAGAGTGTTGTGAAGCAAGAACCTCAGCACGAAGATCTTCCGGCAGTGCCTCCAAAAATGTGGGGTCTATACCATTTGCATTAGAAGCATCACTATTCAAGACACCTTCATCTGTCTGCAAAGCATCCTGTTCAGAAGGATTATTTTGATGTGATGATGGCTCCTCCAGATTAATCTCAGGAGGAGGTAACTGTGTGGGGTCACTATGATCTCCTTCAGCTTCAGGGGCATTCATATCAACATCAGTACCTTCTGGGACTGAAGAAATGTGGTGATCATCAGAAACAAGCATCTCAGCCCCAGAGGCCGAAGGGGTAAGAGAATTAGAACTGAAATTTTGCCCCAACGGTCTATCAGAGCCCTCCCCTTGAGATGGTATAGCAGAAGAATCTACATGGCCGCGAGCAGTCTCATCAGAGGTTGCAACATCCTGAGAAGCAGAACCAGATGGTGTCTCCAAAGACTGGCCAGGGACACTTGCATCTGCTGTTTCCATGCTATCATTACCAACCTCAATTGTCATGTCTTCCATTGCTTGCTCCTCACCTTCGCCAGCTTGATCATCAACATCTTGTGTTGGTTGATTGCCTTCATGATCAGTATTAGTATGTCTATCATCATTTAGTTGAGTACCAGTGGTCCCTGCTGGCAGTTGATTACTAGCATCCACAACAGGATCTCCCTCCTGCTTCTCTGGTAGATCTGCATTCTGCGAATTGCCAGGATTTTCAGGACTATCATTTCGCAATACAGATATGAATTGTTCTTCTACTGCCTGAGCAATTGCAGCAGCTTGACCACCACCCTGAGGTTGGCCATCATCAGTCCACCGTCCATCACCATGGACTCTTCGACCTGATCCTCGCAAGGACTCTAACCCAACAGAAAAATCAGCTAGTTGAGATGGTGCAGAACCACCAAGCCGATCACCAAACAGATTAGTAGGTACATTGTCATAAGGAAGCACAGGAGAATCAAACATATAAAAATGCGCTACATCAAGGTTACCAGAAAGGCCTTCTGAATCCCTGGATGAATTCCCAGCAGACGACCATATAGAAACTAAATCACCAGAATTGGATGGTCTCAAAAGGAGAGGATGCTGAAGAGTATTTCCTTCTAATCCTGATCGCTCATAGGAACTTCTATTAGCCTGACGTCTACGTTCAAATCCAAAAGGTCTACGAATTCCAAAGAAATCATCAACATTCACCCCTTCAAAGGCTTCTGCAGAGACATCAATTAGCCCTCCACCAGCTCCAGGCTGTCCAAGAACCTGCAAATGATCCAACCCATCAAGGGCTTCCCTCCATCTAACCTCAATCACACGGTTTTCACGAAAATCATCATCTTCTTCATCAATCATGTCTTCATTATACTCATCTCCCAACCCAGTATCCTCATGATCTTCCACATCTGTATCAGCTAAAGACATTAAACCAGTGCCATCCTCAGCTATATCTTCATCCTCATCCTCGCCATCATCATCATCCTCACCATCATCACCCATGTCATCCTCTTCATTCATATCATCATCTACCCTATTTTCTACATGAAAAGCCATCTCAATTTGTTCCGAGTTCGGTAGGGCACCACTTTCTTCCATATCTTCACGCATATAATCTACCCCAAGATCCACAGGTGTATCAGTAGTTGGATCCTCTTCAACCCTCATTTCTTGCTCAGCATTCTCATTTGAGTTGTCATTCTGTACATGTTCATTTTGGGAGGTATCCTGTGCTTCAGAACCAGAAGTTGCCAAAATCCCATGTTGGGTGCTTCTATCTTCAGTAGATTGTAATTCTTGAGAAGCTCCAGTGCCTGCAAGCTGAACATCAGACCTTTCATTTGTATTATTCATTTTCTTCTTACTCAATGTATCAGCCCTGGAAAGTTGCTCGCTAGCATTGGCAGCTCTGGTCAGGCTTTCCAAAGACTTCAGTATGAGATTTACAACTTTTGGTGCATCAGGATGGTCCAAATCAATTACTTGAAGAATGCCTGAAAGGCAATGCACAATTCCTCCATCTATCATGCTTTTGGCAATCTCAGGCGAACAACCAGAACCAGGCAAGTTCCCAGAAGAAGAGTTCTTGGAAAGAATGGAGTATACTAAATCAACAAAGGCAAGGACTTTCTTATCAGGCAATAAACTACTTTTAGATGAATTGCTCTCAAGATTTACAAATAAGGACAAGGCTTTAACAAGTTCATTCACTACCCTTCTTCTTCCTTCACTTGATCGACCAGCCAATACAACCAAAAACCATGAAGCTTTTTCAGAAAGCTTGTCTCTCCATTCATCAGGGCCAGCAGATTTATCAGTTGAGAGGGGAACAAGATGATGCAAAATATGATGAACAATGCCACCCTGTCCAGAACATTCAAAATGACTAGAACCACGTTGCTGAGACATTTCTAGATCCCGTCTCAAGATTACACCAACAACATGAACATACATAAGCAGAATATCACTCAATAGCTTCAGAACAAATGTCACCTTAGCTAGGGATTCAGATTTCCCTGATATATTGTCTGATCCTATCTTTATTGTCTCATCCACCTTTGACTTACCCTTCATTTTGTTAGTTGGTTCATCAATCTCCATAGCACTTGGTTGGCCTGTGCAATCATCTTCACCATTGCATGCAGGATATATTGATACAATTTCAAGAAGATAATCGATCACCTGGGTGAGATTTGCTGAAACCTTCTTGTGGCCTTTGGGGTACTTACTAGACACATCAGGTGCTTTATTTTCAGTAATCCTTACGCACTCATTTGCAGATGCTGCAGGCTCACCACCAGACGTTTTTAACTTCTCTTTTTCTTTCTCTCTGTCTTTATCTTTAGATAGCACAATAAAGCTTCGTCCCCCAGTTGACTCCAGCTGACATACAGAAGCCACTGCTTTCATGAAGACACCTGGATCGCGGGAAATAACAGGTGCCATTGATGTCAGAAATGTTCTTGTTGACACACGGCCAGCATGCCTGCTTCCACCCAGAGTTTGGCGAATCTCCAGTTCCATAGCTGTTTGCAGAGTCTGAGGATCCTCGAGTAGATGTCGAACGATGGCAGATGCTAAGGTGTCATAACCTGGAAAAAAGCAACTTTTGGGAAGACCAAAAAGGGCCACCAACCCACCACTTTCAAGAAACTGTACAGCCAAGGCATGGGACTTAGTCAATCGAGCACATAACTGAAGAGCAGCTTGCATAACCATTGGGGGCACATGTCTTTTAATCAAATTACAAGCAATCACCAGCAGACTACCACTCTCCAACATTGTCAAATAACCGGTTGGTTTTCCAAGAATTTTCTCAAAATCAAAGCCATCATTTGTAGATTCATCCTTGTCAACATCAGCTGCAACATTTTTTTCTTCCATTACCCCAGCTGATGCCTCATTACCCAATGTACTGGATAGAGATCCACTTACTTTTCCCTCCTCAGCATCAGAATATATTTTTGGCCTGGGCTGCACCAAATTATCCAATATAAGAAGTAAAGCGCTGATAGATTTAGGGGCTTGAAATTCTTTTGAAGCCTCTGTCCTGGCCATAAAATTTTTCAAGATGTCAATTGCAATCAAGACAACATCATTTTGTGCAGCAATTTCTCGAGCATTTCCATCTTCAGAGAGGAGCAATGCTAGAGTATGAGAGATCATACCCAATGCAGTGCCATCCTTTGAAAAATCAAGTGGGCAAAGTTTTAGCTGCTGAACAAGAAAAGAAATTACGGTTGTGCGCTCTTCCCCTTTACTCCTGCTGCAGAGGGTCCCAAGCAGATCTGTCAGAGGGAATGCAACAGAATCTCCACGCTGGAATAATTTCATCAATACAGATAGGATGTTATCAGCAGGAGGTGGTTTCGCCTGTTTCTCCTCAACCATAACATCAGCAGGCTTATCAGCACCATCAGCTTTAGGTGTTTCAGCTGAACTTCCAAGAGATAAAGCCAGCGCACGAGCTAGCTCATCATCCTCCTGCACAGGGTCCTCAGCATGACTAAATAACCATTCCATTGCCATCTCAACACTATTTGTTTCCACTCTTCTGAGTGCCTCCTCCGCTCTTGCTCTTGAAAAACCCATCTCAACAATGGTAGCAATTGTAGCTTCATCAGGGGGGGGAGGCATAAAGCGTTGATTTGCTGCTACAGATGACCCACTGCGATTTTGTTTCACATCATTCACTCCACTGTATACATGAGTTATTAATGAAATGATTGAAGTGATGAAACTGCTGCTACAGTTGGGGAACATTGGATGGTTCCAGACGGGAAGTATCACATCCAGAACTTGAGACTGCAACATCCTAACAAATGCTTCAGGATCTCTAGGAACAGGAAACAGTCCTATCGACAAACCAGTTGCACCTGGCTGAACAAGTAGCTGCGTCTGGGATGCTGATGTTGATGATAGTAGGGGTCCAGAATTCACAAAATATTCAAGCTCACGACAATGACTCTGCAATGTATCGAGCAACCAAGAGCTGTGAGACAGCTTGCTCCCCTCAGCATTATTATCATCACTTGATGTGGAAATAGCACAAGGCACAGTCCACAACAACTGACTTGTTGCTACAAATGTTGTAAGAAGCTCCTTGAAGGTTCCATGGACATAAAAATTGTTAATCATTATGGTAAAACAAGTGCGCCGCCGACTATCAAATGTTAGAGCCACCATGTCATCCACAACCTTCCCAAGATAGCGACACTTTACTGGCAATGATATATCTACTCCAGCAGAGTTGGAGTACCCTGAAAACCCCAGCGCCTCAAGAAATACTTTTGCAAGTGCAGCACCAATACTCTTTGAGGCAGAACTCAAGGATCCAGTTTCAGTCCTTCGACGATTTGGTGAAGTAAAGCCCTTCACAAGCGCAGTGAAAAAAGAGCGCATGGTTGAAGCAAGTTTGTTAAGGTTATCCAAAACCAGCATTTCTGGACTTTTCTTCTTCGCTCCATTAACAGAAGTCTCTGCACTACTTGTTCCAGCTTCAGAATCAATTTGGAATGCTTCCAAATGCCTTCCATTTCTGCCACCTCGAAACCGAGCCAAACTGTGTCGACTGCGACGATTAAAACCCTCACCACGAACCACAGATATGAAGTCACGCTCCACTCCCCAATGTGAGTGAGCATTATTTCTGACTGAAACAGGATTCATGTATCTAATAGAGGGAATATTAGCATCATCATCACTCTCCCTTCCAGCAATATGAGAGGGACCCACATCAGCACTGTCAGACTCCACTTCTGTATTCACCTTCTCCTCCACCTTCAGCTCACAGCACAAAGATACTTGCCACAAAATTTCCCTATAAGCCTTCCCAAGATCCTTGAACACATCGGCATCTGCAGAACCCAATTCAGAGACTATAGTAGTCGTACCTTTCAACAAAGAATTGGAAAGGGACAGGACGCCTTCCAAAGTACAGAGACACTTCAAAATATTTGTTCTCTTAGAAGGTTCCACCTGAGCAAGCTGCGACCCTCTGATTGAAATCAGAAGTTCCTCTGTTGACTTAAGATGTTCTCTAAGGAAAGAGCACACCGCACGAGCAAGGGATGCAGAATGCTGTGGGGAGAAGTTTTTAAAGGCAACCGCTATGCTTTGGCCCACAGAAACTGATGGAGGCAGAAGTGGTAAAGTGAACAATTGCAGGACACACTCAATTCCCTTCTTTTCAACAAAAATTCGGCAGGTATCAGAATTCTGAAGAACTGTTTCAAGAAGACGAGCAGCATTGCTTATACAATCAGGCAAAAATGACTCGATATTGGAAGATGCATCAGAGACAGTATCATTTGGTTGTTGCTCAGAACTACCGGGCTTGCATGAATCTCGGTCATCCATTGGTACCACATCTTTATTATCAGATTCAGTTTCCATGGGAACAGGTTGAGAACTTGGAGAATCAGACCCGGATGGTGATTCAAGCCCAGACCCAATTCTTGAAATTTTAGTCAGTATTTCAATCAGCATATCAACTCCAGGTCCACGCAATGAGGAAGCATGCCGCATTAATTCATCCAGGCCACTAGACAAGGAACCTGAAGTATCAGCAGCAAGGGCTCGCAGGTACTGCTTGGAAGTAAAAACTTTCACAAAGCACCTCAAAGCATTGGAATCTTTCACTGCCTGAAGACCATTGGTGTTCAAACATAAGGCATCAAGGCACTGTGGAATGCACGTGATTGCCTCAGCAGAGCAAAGGACACCATCCATAATGGCATCTATAAAGGCAGAAGGAAGTCCTGCTGCTTCTAGGATAGGAAAACAGGTAGGATCTTTGTGAATTAGATCACTCATCACCGTGGCTGCTAGGGAAAAGACACCACCACCAAAGTCTTTTGCCCTTTTAAATATTATGCACAAGCAATGTGGGAGCAAGCTCTCTTCCGTACCATACATTCGTGCTGTTGTCCCAGGTGCATAAGTTCCCAATGATATAGCACGCAGCAATGCTTTCATCAATAAACGGCGGTGATATGAAACCAATCCTTCAGAATAAAGAGGCTGCAGGGTATCAAGCTCAGCAGAAGAATCAGAAACTTCTTGAGAACTGCTACATTCAGAATTGTCAGCATCAACAGATGTGCTCTGCTGCTTTGTACCACTTTCAACATGAGAGACTTCCACCATTAAGCGCGAAATGGTATCATCTAAACCACCCAAATCTCGGAAAAGGGCAGCAGCTGGATTGCTGTAATCCATAAAAGCTTCCAGAACATGTACAGCTGTGCTAACTAAATGCAAGTGCTGAGGGTCTGTATCTTTCAATAAAGGTAGAAGTGTGGGGATAAATCCAGCTTCACGCATGGCTGAGCAGCCTGATGATGATGACACCAATACCGTTACAAGAGACAAGAGAGCCTCAGCAAAAACAACAGACCACTTAGATGAATTATTAACAACAGAGCCAATCGCTTTCTGCATAAGGCTAGATAGAATGCCCCGATGCCCACCAGAAGTCACAGCAGTCAATACAGTAGGCTGTCGAGATCTATCCTGACAAAGGGCAACCAAAGAAAGAAGACATAATATGCGAATCTTTTCAGGCACCACATCTTCGTAGCTCAACATGGTAACTAATTCATTGATGAACTCAGGCTCCGTATTGAAAAAAGAAACTAGTGTCTCTGTATCACTACATGCTTGAACAAGAGCAATGAAAGCATAGAGTCGAATGCATGTATACTGCTGCCGAGCCTCCAAAGAGTGAAAGGCCCTGGCAAGCCGTAACCTTGTCAAAAGTGAAAATCTCAAGTTAGTAGGGACCTTATACTCTACAACCAGCTTATTCAGGAGTTCAAGATCAGTCTCTTTTCTTGCATTGACATCAGGAATGTGTATAATTTCTAAGCCCTGTGTCTGATGTCCAGATAAAGGGGGTTCATTTGAAGAGTTGTTGATAGCATAAAATTCAAAATGCAAAGCCCTGCCCAACTCAAGAGCAATTGGGTCAGAGCTGTTCTGCAAGATACAGGAGATCAGACCAAGGCCTTCTTCTTTACCCCCCCACCCCTGGGCAAAACAAAATAGTCTTGAATTCAGAGAAGCATCTCTTATAATGTATTTTCCAATGGACTTCTTCAAAAATGCAGCTAAAGTCTGCAGGCAAGCCTCCACAACATCAGCATCAGTGGAAGCAAGAAGAGATGATAGGTGATGCTGCAAAACCAAACAATGTTGGATAAATATAACAGAAGTATGAAGTGGAAGAGATTACACATGCAATTAAGTTCAAAGGAACATACACTATTCTATGATAGAAAAGTATGTGAATGGCAGCTAACCACAGAAAGTGGATCATTAAGCAGGTGAAAATAACAATAATATAAAAAGGATATCAATATCATTTTTTCACATTATTGATATTGGAGCGTCCTCCTACATTTGACATAGCATTTAATATTGTGATAATTACTCCGTCTTAACGCATATACCATGCACTCTCTCCCACCAATCAGTTGGTGTCAGCAGGTTCTATAGTTGGAGAATATTATTAAACTTTGTAGCAAATCAAATAATCTAGAGTCCTATCAAAAACATGATTTCATCAAACAGCTCTATCGTCCTCCAACAGGTATCAAGGATCCAGTCAACAGCAAGCATTTCCAGCATAATTAACTGGCTTTATATTTACACCAAAAGCACTTTTTTATGCTCAACAACAGAGCATTCTCCATTCACCATATGCCAGGGGTAAAACGAATTAACAAGCAAGATTACTTTCTTCAAGGAGAACCATGAAACATACTGCCTTAATAGGAAGGGCGTTGTGTTACAGATGATAAATAAATTAAGTGGGACCTTTTCTATTGCGATGAGACAAGTACATTATTCATCATAAATAAATTTATAAAATCCATTAAGAACATAAATGAAAACTAAAAGCTACATATGAAGGCACCTACCTCATAGGAGCTGTAAAAATGCTTATTGGTGCAGTTCTCCAAAATTACTCTTATCACTCGCAGAATCTGTAGAACAGCTTCTCTTGGGAAAGGTGGATCAGATTCTAAAAAGTTATCTTCAAGCTGTAAATCCTTCCTTGGTTTAATGTGTTTCTCAAAATAGGTGTCAAAATGATTAAACAAATCAACCCAGTGATGAAAATCTCCCTGCATAAACTCAAATCAGAACCAATGAAGAAGTATAGAGAAATATAATAATATCTGGTCAGAGTTCATGAACTCACCTTATCAAACTCCCAGGAAAAACTTTTCAGTGGTTCTTCTATATTCTCTAGTGGTGTGGCGATAACGTTATTGATGAATTGTTTTATCCTTGAAGGCTGGAAATATAGAATAAAGAGCATGTTAGAAGTTGAATAAGCAAAATAATATCTCATGCCAAAAAATTGCATATTAAAATAATATTGAAAAGATAAATCATTACAGAGTGGGAGTAAATAGAGAAAACACATTAGTAAACATCATAATCCATTCCCAAAAAAAAGTTGGCAATCCCATAAAAGTTCATCTGTTTCTTCAGTCGTTTTAGCAGCACCAAAGACTGCAAATTTGTGTACTCCAACATACAGAATCCACCAGAAAAACAGCAACTTAAAAGCATTACTCATGGATGTTTGCTGAGAACGGTAGAATAATTATGATGCTGGAATGAATGGGAATAATGCTCAAGTTTCACCAAATGCATTTCCTGCTTATAAATAAATTAAAAAGCAAATAATATATCAACCAACAAAAGAAAATGGGAGAGAGCATTGCCCGTCACAGAGGTATTAGAGAAGTTTAATACCTCTAAAGCAAATCAATCAACCACAGGTTGCTGACAAGATTTTATTCTTCTAATGTAGTTTTCGACTACACATTCAATGTGCCTACTCGCATCATCATTCAAGTAATGTAAGCTCTCACATTTATTACACGCAATAGGTAAGGTATAGTACATAAACAATATCACATAGATATGGTTCGGCATCGCAGTCGAACATTACACAAGTTGCTCCTCAAAAAAGAATAAGTTAATTGCACCAAAATATTTTTTTTTTTGAAAAAAAAAAATGAAAAAAAAGCTCTCCACCAATTGATCGGAGTTCCGATATGTCAGAGTTCCTTCAATTATATGAACGCAATTCCCAGCTCAGACAAACACCACTACTCCACTCGAAACGTAGAAAGGAAATTGAAAATTGCCCTAACATTAACTCCGTTCATATAATCGCAACACAATTAAGAATGATCGGAGCACGAAACAAATAATCAAAAAAATAAAAATCACTGACCACTTCCAGTGCCCTCCTACGCTTGAACTTCATCGCGGAAGATTAACCAAATGCAACCATTGGCCGATTCAAGTAGCAATAGATGTCCAGCCGACGAATCGACGGATCCAAGACGTTCGAAAATCGATCAGGTATCAATCACGAAAATAGGGCTTGGAAAACACTCGAGTGAAGTAATCGGTGCGCAGAAATCCCCCAGAAAAGAGGGCGAAATTTAACGATAAGTGAGCAATTCGCGGCCAGGAATCCACAGGCAGCGAAGATCGCGAAGCTCTAGGGTTTTCTTAGATAGGGTTTTTAGAAACGATCGCAGAGAAGAGAGAATTGTAGAGAAAGAAAGAAAGCGATGAGAGAAAAATCGCAGGAGACGGATCTCTTTCTCTCCCACTCTCTATCTCTCTCTATACACACATCATATATATATATATATAGAGTGAGAGAGGGATCAACTCCGAACGATAACATGCCACGGCTACACTACACCCAAATTCGATTTTATTTTATTTTATTTTATTAATAATATTAACAATATTTTATTTTTACACAAATTGCCTTCTACAATAATCTACATTAATCATTGAATAAGTATAACAAGTTATATATATAATATATAACATACAATGATCAATGATAAATTTCATAAATTTAAAATAATTTTATGTATCTTTTTAATATTGTAGTATGTAACAATTAATTTATATTTTTAAAAAATCCAATACACTTCAAAATATATCCACATCCTTCGATTATCTTTTGATTCTTTTTAAATTATTATAATTATTTTAAAAGAAAAACACTTTCCAAGGTGCATTCATATTTTAACTTCTAAGGAATTTCCATACCAATTCATTATATATAGTATGATATAACGATTAAATTTTGCACGAGTTGACTGAATTCATTTCTAATTAAAATTTTATAATAAAACTATAATTTTTTGTATTTCTTTTAAATTAATGTCAATCACTTGATAGAAATATTTCTTAAATAAAGATATATCATACAAAATGATACAACTATTTTTCATACAGATATTAATTTTAATCATTTTTTTTTTTACCCTATTCAATCTATAGTTTATCTTATTAAGAAACTATATTCGACTCTGATTAAAATTAAAATGAAAAAAAACTATATTCCACACAAAAAAAAAAAAAATTGTTCAAAAGCACAAAATGACACAATTTGTAAAGTAACCGTCGCAAGTCCAACTCCTAAGGTAACCACGTGTGGCAGATGACATCGGAGGTTTAAACCCATGACCTCATAGGTCACAAGTCCAACCCAACACATATACCATCGGATTGTAAATTCGAGAAACTTACATAGAAGCACCTATCAACATATCATGAATTGAGTATGAACTTCATCTCCGCAACAGTCTAATTCCACTTGGAGTTCGAAAAACACTTTAAAAAAAAAGAAGAGCTCCGGCGGATGGATGCTCTTTGTTTTAAATCCTGCAAGAAAATAAGTATATTCTGCTTCTGTTCTATAATGTGGACGATAAAATGGGTATCTTTTAAGTCGAAGCCTATTGATTTTTCTTTATTTTCAACTTAGTAGCCGATGGGGAAGAAGGGGATAGGCGATCTTGGCTAGAGGAAGATCTGAGTATGAACAAAAGTGTCTCGACCAGCATGGCGCCAACCAAACCGAGGATGCCCCCAGCAGCATTCTGATGGATAAAGGTTAACAAATCCAATATCCATTAATAAACAATAAATCATGTATCGTGCTGCACCATTAATATTCTAAAAAGTTACCATAGCTGGACTGTGGTTAAACAGGGCTCTGAAAGCAGCATATCCAACCAAGTAACCGGTGAACATTGTAACCACAACATGAAGTCCTGTAAACATTGCACTTCAATTAAGCTGCAGATATAAGTAAACATGTTTTGCAAGAAATCGACACGGAAAATTAGAATCTTGACATCAGCCAAAAGCAAATGAATTATGAGGGGTAAAAATTTTGGGTACTGCATATGGAAGGGACCCAGATTGTGATATGGATGAGAGGAAAATTAATGCACCAAAAATGTAAAACTTAGCTAAGAAGAAACCAATTTATTAGAAAGAGATTTAAGGATATTCTAAGTAAGAAAGGCTGCTGAAAAGTAAACTGAAAAACTACTCCTTTCATCTGGTGGGTCGGAATTACATAAAGCCACTCCTTTCAGGGTCCGGCCTAAGCATTAGTATATGTGTAATTGATTCTTTTATCATCGGCCATGTAAGAAGTGAAAATAGAAAATTTTGCCAACATAATACTGGCCATCACTTGATACTTCCTGACAATATTCCACCAAATCAAAGCACTCACAATTGTGTAGTTGAAAACCTAGGTGATCAAACAGTACACAACCACAGAGTTCATTCACTGGAAAATTTTATCGAGCAAACTCACAGGCCATCATAATTCCAGGTTAATTGATGCATCTCAAATTTACAGTTGTTCTCTTTTATGGGGAGGATCATTAACTTGGAACAGACGTCAAACAACCATTTGGATTGATATTCAAAGCTCCCTCTCAAAACATAATGACATTAAGTTTTGAATCCTTTTCATTTTATTCAAGAAAGAAATTACATTTAATGTGCAAAGTATATATGAGCATGACATGAAGTAATCAAATGAGACGTATACGAGACCAATGGCAAAACAACACACAGAAAGTAGTGAAACATTTACCAAAGCCCAACTGATCCTTGTACGAAGAAAAAGGTTCCTCCACACCCTTTTTAGGAGTAATGTCCTTCACCAATTCATCATATGCCTTCCTCTCAACAGCTTCCTGTAGCTTTTTCAGACGCACCTTCAATTCCTCACTCTAGAAAAGAAACCACAAAAAATTATAACTATAAACTAATTAAATGAATTAGAAGAAACAAACAACCTGAATTCAAAATGCATGAGCTTTCATGAATGAACTTAGAGATCTCTTTAATTCCAATTGTAGCTACCTTCTCCCTGGGCTTAGGGCTAGTGAACAGAAAATTGGAACCGGAGAGGAGAGAATACAAATCCGGTCGAGTATCCTTTTTGGATCTGAGCCATATTGTTTTGAGGGATTTGTAAGGAATGGTCGAGTGCTCTTTAAGTGAAGACGATAAGTCTCTAAGATCTTCAGATAGATAAGAATCCATGGAAGATGCAGAGAGGAACGACTGGATGGTCACCGTAATAGATATGATGAGCCCACTGCCCGCGGCCTCGACGAATTTGGGCGAAACAACACTGTTTACTTCACTAACCATTGTGTTGATGTTGTTTAATCAGAATCTAGATACATTCCTCAAAGGCTGTAGAGAAATATGCAGAAAAAATATCATAACTCTGAATGGCAATTGAATGAACTCAGGAATCAGTGGAACAAATCATCACCACAACAAAGAGCTTTTTACACTCCAAATCATGAGAAAACATAAGATAAAATGTAGCTCTGAGGGTGTCTTTGTTCAGGGTTTGAATTTTGAGTTGAGATTTGAATCGTAAAAATTTTGAATTTGAATAGTTGATATAAAATGTGATGTTTGAAATGTAAAATTGATTCTTAGTATAATAGAAAAAATTGAAAAATAGGTGCTTGATTTCATATTTTTGGGGGAAAAAATTGAGATTGAATAATGTATTTAATTTCCAATCCCCAAACAAACCCACCCTTGAAAATCACTATCGCTGCCTATACAAAAAATGTACACAGTTGTCCAAAATAATGGAGTAGAAAATGATATTAGTGCAATAATTTCCCACTCAAAAGATTGGAGCTTCAGAAAAAGAAAACTAGTTCCATTCAATCGATAGACATTCTCAGATTGCTAAAATTTAATTAAAAAAAAATTAACAATGCAAGTAGCATACATAAAAGAGCAATCGCCAATATGAACCCTAAACATCCATCCCCAAACAATTTCCTTTCGCTGACAGGGAACATCAACCAAATTAGATAAATACCTGATTCTAACATCGATTGACAGTCAATCTAATTTGATGGATGGATAATCAAACAAGAAAAGTGTTTGAGAGGGAATAATTTCGAATAAAATATGTGGAATAATGGATTGGGAATGGTGGAATCGTCTGTAATCTGAATCGGAGAGATGAACTTCTGCATGAATTGAATTAACAGAAATCAACTTCAAGATCGGAATCGTGGTAGCAAACTTGGGATGAGCAAATGGAGAGAGAGATAGAGCGCGCTACGAATCAATCGTCGATGGCTGACAGCAATGCTCTGTGGCGCGTGTCAAGACGCGACATCATGATCGGGTATGCCGGCCTGTGATCCGACTCGACCCGAAACCTTCCAAGGTATCCAATTAACTATTCGGCTCTATCCGGATCGACCCGATGGACCCGTGAGAATTTGGGGGAAGAATCCCAATAAACAAAAAAATTTAACGGAGGACGAAATCACATGCCCACATCAGTATGAAATTTTAACAGTTGACCGAAATAAATACTAACTTTTTTAAAAATGTATATATATAACTAATTTTAATAATTATTTTTCAAACGGGACCAAAAATAAAAAATATATAATAAAAACTATATATAATTTTGATTTGAAGTAATATTAATTTTTGCTCATTTATGTGTTTATTATATATATATATATTATATATTTTTATTAAACTAATTTTGATAATTATTTTCAAAAAGGCCAAAAACTTTAAAAATATTAAATTTATAATTTTAGATATTTTTTTTTATTAATTTTTATTAGTGCGAGCATATATATATATATATATATTTTGATAATACTATTTTTTAGATTTACCTCAATGTAAGCATACACACTTCAAAATATTTCAAAGACACAAATCCTTGATATACAAGCCGTAAGAAGCATCACCTAATTGAGAAAAAAACTCTTCATCCTTTTCAATAGCTGAAGCACAATTCTGAAGCCCAAAAAAATCCACAAATGATAATAATTCAAATCAAAAGGTAATGAATTATTATTCAGATCAACAAAAAAGAAAAAGGCAAGCAGTGAAAACTCATTATAGATATGCTCATATGCATGGCTACGACAGTACAACAGACTCCAATAGTGTGTTCTTGGAGGTGAGGAAGAACTTAAAAACCATAGAAAGTGTCGGAACACAGTACTATAATTTCCAGAAGCAAAGCACCTGAAGAATGTGGCTATGATTGGGCTGACAGCTAGGCGGGCGATAGATAGCAGCATAGAGCATTGGGAGGAATATGGGATTTACTCGGCCCAACAAAACATCACTCAAGTATGTACAAACAGAACTCTGAATATTGGCTGAGTTATCATCCTTCTGCAAGGAAAGATCAACTGCTCATTGATTAATTATGTGTTTGGAAAGGAGAATAAACAGACAGGATGGATATTAGAAAGTATATGTCTAATTGAATATGATCGAGTATAAAAGCTGAGGGGGTAAGTCACCTCATTGTAAAATAAATTGACAATATAAATGAAGATAGCAAGTTGAGAGTGAAAGAAATAAGCAAAAAAGTACTACAACCTGAGCAAATCAGGGCCATATCCAGAGTCGACAATTGCAACAGGTAGGAGCTATACTCGTGTAGCCATCTCTTTCTCCTGTTGCTTGCGAGGAAGCAGAACTAAACAATAACGAGTATTTTCAGTTTTAAAAGATATAAATAAACTTTTCCACAAAATTGAATCTTCAGCGAATATTTTACCTTCATCAATACTGCAGAAACTTTCAGGAAGGAAAACCAAATCAGGGTCCACATCTTTCTGCTGTGCTAACAGCAGAGCCACAGACTTGGTGCTGCACAAGGAATAAAAAACTTGGAGCTTTAATATTTTCAGAGCATGCTATGACTGAAAATTTGCAATGCATTTCCGAACAAACAAAAAGGTAACTGACTATAAATTATTATTATTATTATTATTATTATTATAGATTCACAAAGAAAAATGGGTAGAAATTTGGTGTGAACAAACTCCATTGTTTTATTGTTTGCAAAAAGAAGCAATAGATCTGCTGCAATGGTGGAATTTGAGGCACCTGTTTTTACATTGGTGCAGTGCACAGAGTACATGACAAAGTTCTGGAGTTAGAGAAATTAAGATAGCAAGAACACAGTTGAATTAGTTGTAGTAGCTAACCAAGAAAAGAAATGATATGCATTGAAAAACATTATCATATTCTACCAATTAAGCAACTTAGATTAAAAATAGCAAGACGAGATAGTTGGACAAGTTAAAAACACTATTTCTGTTCAGCCTGAAGATGTAACTAAGGAAGTTCCTTGAATTTAGTTGATCTTAGCTTCACAAATCTACATGCATATGTTGTGTGCGTGTGATAGCATTTCATTGTCTGTAGTACATGGAAATCAAGCAAGGAACATGCTCTCTTTACAGTATAATCCCAGGCCAAAATTATACAATGGTTGTATGTTTGGAATTGAAAGTGAATGATCAGCATCTTGGCCACTAGTTAATTAAGAGAAGAACTAAAGAAAACTTTTCACATGGTGTCCCCGCATTGCACCGCACAAAATCATGCAGTATATCCAAGCTATCGGTTTAGGACTGAGACTACGCCTGATATACTTGTGAATTGTGATTATTTGAGCATTTGTTTTATTGCTTTCAAGTTTTTCAGACTCAACAGGATAAAGATTTCAAGTAAGATCCTCTGTTATATCTCCAAACCTTGCAATTTTATCTTAATTATAAAAAATAAGAAGAATAAACTTAATTGATCACCTTGCCCATGAAGGAATAAATTTCGCAGCTCGCAGCTTATCTTCTTCTTCTTCTTCGTCTTCATCTTCGTCATCGGAGCACTGATATGGAGAGATCTCATACGATTGCTCTTGACAATCCTGAATTATTAAGTCCTTCCTTGTAGGTGTCATATCCACTGTGTGCTTTGCCTACCAACATAAAACAAATAAACTTAATTGAACAAAAGAAACTACGGCAAGAAGTAGCTGATTAAGTGCAAAACCATTGTAGCAGTTGTCTTGATAATTAATTACTAGTTGCGATATTAGCAACCACTTGAATAGTGAGGATGGCCACAAAAAAACATGTTGATTTATTCTTGTTTATTTCTTTACTTTAAATAAAACATTTAGCATCAGACATTCAACAAACTGCCAGTACAAAACACCTACCTTTTCAGGTTCACATGATTGACTAGAGGTACCACAGTCTTCATAGTTCAGCTCATCACTTGTCCATTTAGTTTGTGTCTTTTCAAAAGCTGTGGCATCTCCTTTACTGGTTTCCACATTAGTTGGTTTTTTGGACTCGTTGAGAAGTTCCTTCTTTGTGTTCCTCAGATCATCCTACAAGATTTTAGAAATTAGCAGGTCTGCGTATAAGAGAAATGGAATATATACTAGATCAACAGAAAAAAAAAACAAAAACAACTTTGGACTGCAGTTTTTCTTTCCCTCCTTGTTCTCTTTGGCGCTGTCTTGTTTCAAGTTTAATCCTTTTCTTCTCCTTTTCCTTTTTTGCTTCTTCTTCTCTGTGTCTTTTCTTAGCCATATTATCAGCATCTCTTTTCTTCCGTTCCTCCTCTTTCTTTTTCTTCTCCAATTCCATGTTTCTCAAATTCCTTTCCTCCATCTTTGCCCGTTCAATCTTCAATGCTTCCTTCTTCATCTTACGTTCATTCTCTCTTTTCTCTGCTAAACGTTTAGCAGCTTCAGCAGCCTCAAGGGCCTTCACCTTAACATCTCGCTTTCCTACATTATAATGTATTACACACATGAATAAAGGAAAGTGAACAAAGAGAAAATAATGCCATCAATTTCCAACTTCACATTTCCCAGAAAAAATAAAATAAAATAAAAAATACTACTTCACAACAGCACTCGAACATGCAGTTCACATTTCTAAAATGTAGAAAAGTTTAACATTTTTATCCACACCAACACAAAGGGAGTGTGTTTATGAAGAGCTCTAAACTTCTACTGTTGTAAAAGTCCAACTAACCTAAACAGAAGAAAAGTAAAATGAATCCTAGTCAGGCAACAGAGTCAGGACAAAGCTTCATAGGCAAAGATGACTGAGAATGTAGAGTCTAAAATATGTCGTCAACTATTCCTAATCAGAAGACCAATTACATATAAAAAAATTAAAATTAAAGAAATAAAACAAGAAAAACTACCTGTGCAAGTGACAGCTGCTTTTTTCTGTTGTACAAGTGGGATGAAAGAATCAACATTCGAAACAATGTTATTCCTCTTGGACTCTTTCAATGAATTCTTCTGATCCAGGCCTTTTAAACTGGCCTTATTCAACAGAGTTGGTTTTCTGGTGCTGTTGCTAATCGATTCTTTGGTCTTTCGAATTGAATTTGCACCATTTGAAGAGGTATGGCTAATCCTTCCATTATTAGTAGACCCAACATATGGCATCTTCTTTTCCATGGTTTGAGACCCATCCCTGGAATGATTGTTTGTTGACAGCTGAACCTCCTCTTGTGCCCCAGTGGCACTCAACTTGTTGCTTGCAATATCTCCATCTTTCGTCCTCAATATGTCATCTTGTGCAGTAACCAATAAATCAGGATTTAAATTCAAATTCGTCAAATCCTTAAGGGGTTGCCTTCTATCATAGCAGCTAGCTGATGATGGATCACTTTTTTCTTGTACATCATCTGCATGCTCATCTGCACATTTATTCTCTTCACCAGTACAAGGATCTTCCTCAATTGTGAAGCATACAAGTTCAGGATTTGAACATGAACTCTTTCCTAAACTCCCACCATGTGATGAGGGTTCAAGATCTCCCCATGGCTTACCAACTGGAGAACCATGAAGGTTTTTTGATTTCCAATCATAATGCACACCAGAATAGCCTCGGAGATCACAGTAAGGAATTTCACTTAAGGGATCGTTGTAATCATCGGCCAGGACACTACCAGATTGGAGTTGATTCTCAATATCAAAACTCAAAGGAGAAGTACTCTGCATGTTCAAGTGCTTGTACTGGTCATCAGATACAGATTGAAATAAACTTTGTGCTCCCTGAAGTTCAAAACTTGATGAGAAATGCGACATAGGTGTATTCAAGCTAGCAGATTTGCACATTTCGGCGAGAATGCTAGCGCGTTCTATAGCATTCCTTGGAAGTTCTATTTGGCCAAAGTTAACACCATTTGCTTCAAACTTCAGTTCATTATCTGCCTCAGCATCTGCAGTGAATCTCTCAAACACAGCCATGGATTGATCCAGAAGATTCAGGTCATCAAAACTTTGAGAAAGAATAGAAGACTGTGCCTGTGGGTCACTATCCCACTTTTGAGATTGCAACTCATCAACCATTGAACTGGCAAGAGTCAAAGTTTTGGAGCTTGGATGGTTGGAATTCCTTTCTTCGTGGCTATATTGTCCACCACCAGTCTCTCCTCCATCATTGCTACTCGAATGTAGAGTACTTGTACTCTCAACAAAACATCCATGAGAATTTCTAGCCTCCTCCTTGGTCAAGCTCGGGATAAGTTCCACCGCTGACTGCACAGTATTGACAACTGATGAGAAAATTTTCTAACAATAATACTAACGCAAAGACAAGGTAGGTCAAAACATAATTGAATTCCTTTACCGAAAAAGAAGAGCATCCAAGGTACCCACAAACACATCTAATTTAGGGTGTGTTTGTTTGGAGGTTTGGATTTTGAGTTGGGATTTGAATAGTAAAAATTTTGAATTTGAATAGTTGTATGATGTGATATAAATAGGTGTTGATGTGATGTTTTGAATGTAAAATTGATTTTTAGTATAATATAAAAAATGAAAAATAGGTGTTTGATTTGATATTTTTGGGGGGAAAAAATTGGATGAATAGTAAAAGAAAAATCCAATCCCTCAAACAAACACACCCTTACAATAAAAAATTCACAGAAGGTTGAGTGTCGTCACATTCACAATAAGCAAATAAAATTCAGATTAAGTTACATTTTCCACTGTAGGTCTGATCTAGTTTTATTCAGGTGAGCTACACCGGTATGCAATGGAAATGGTTACCATAATGGTTAAAGTATACTTTTAATCCATTTCTTTTCAGACTGATTTGTGTAAGGATATTAGAGCTACCTTAGTAGAAATCATCTTCTAATAAAGAAAGAGTAATTCATAAATATTCATGACTTAGGTTCCACAGGCAATGCATCACAAGAATAGTCTCTGTCCTCTGATTGGGCACTGATTAGAAAACTAGTATGAAAAAATCTAAACATCAAACACATATTTCACTTGGTGACAAAGAAAAGCATCATGTTTAAGGTTTCTGCAAAGACGATTATTCTAATAATATTTACTTGAAATTCAAAGTATCTAATTGAATTAAGTTGAAAAAAATATTAAAGAGTTACTGAGAAGCATACCTCTGGCTGGTGAGAAGACAACGTTGTTTCAATTCCTTTTGTCAAAGTGCAGTCCATATTTTGGAGGGTATCAAAATTCATTTTCAGGTTCTCTAGGCCTCTGCTAGAGGGACTTCTTAGGATGCTCACACCCATTCTTGCTACAGGGCTTTGGGAAGCAGTAGAGCTTTGAGCTTTTAGGTGATCATTCTTCCTTCTCTTTAACTGTGGCCATGATTCCCTACCAGGTATATATCCAACATGTTTTTCACATACTCCATCCCCCTGGCAAGAAAATCTTCGAGATTTATGTGCTGAAAACTTTTCTATTATGTCAACAACAGCTATTGAACTTTTCATTACCAGTTTTCCAATTTGTTTGCTACAGGAGTCTACTCTTGGCTCTGTTGGACAATTTTGGTGAACTGAAGAGCCCAATTTCTCACTTTCTGGAGTATATGACAGCAACCGACCATTATCCATTCCCTCACCAGCTGGATTTCCCTGTCAACACAGACAAAACATAGATCAAGATGAATTAACCTTCTATAAAAAGAAAATTGTGAAAAAGGGCAAGATACCAAAGACGTGCATCTGTCTACCTACAATCCTTATAGATAATTAGCTGTATATAATTTCTACCCACTTCAATTTCCTGGAAATCTTAAGGTGGAAGATATCTAAATGCAAAATTTGCTGAATTTTGTCAATTTCATGAATCCCATGATAATGAAACACATACAGAAACAAACCAGGGAAATCGAATGTTATGAGAGCAGCTAAAAATTGTTTAGAAGTGATTACACAGCATTAGGTGCTCTCCCTTCAAACCTGCCAATTGCCCACGTCTGTCAAGGATGCATACATAGATGAAAAACAGGCCGAAACTGCAGATACATAATAATCCCTACGTCCACCAAATGTATATTTATTTGGGTTACACGTGGGTTTTAATAAATATAGTATTATATTGGTTGATTGTGACATAAAAGCAGGGATATTTTGAGATGTATACGGGTGAGTTAATAAAGTGAGAAAATTTTTGATAGATTGAGCGTGTAAGTAATTGTGGCATTTTTGTAAAGAAGTGTAATGATATAAATAGAAGAATCTTACTTCTTCCTTCTGCTGTTGATGAAAGGACTCAAGCTCATGGTCCAATTGTGAGGTTGGAATGTCAACCAGTGGTGATGGCATAATATATGCTTCCTGATGAGCTTCAGAACTTAAATAACTTGTATCAGATTCTAGATTATCTTCAGAAGTTCTCACTGCAGTATAGTCACTTACAGCAGCAGAACTACCAGATTTATCAGCCTGAGTACCAAGCCTTCTCTTTCGAGAACTAGAAGCTGAGGCTTCCAAGTTGGGGTTTTCATTTTCAATAACCTTCAACAACAGTGAGTCCAAAGCCTCAAAAGAACCTAAGGGAGCCAAAACAGTGTCAGACTCCAACTGATTTCTCTCGTTAACATTACTGGGAATTGAAATGCGAGCCATTTCATTCTTATCAAGCGTATCATGGGTTTCACAAAGTGGGAAACCTTGTACAATTTGCAGCCCATCATCTGCAGACTTACGTTTACGATTTGATTTGGACATTAGCCTCCCTGAACAATGACTGTCATTATAATCTGAGGGCTCTGGTTTTTCTTGGCCACTTGAGTGAGTTTGTGACCTTGTCATTCTGTGAGAAAACCCAATAGAAGGTTTAAATAACCCAAGTGGCTCATTTGAATAATTATAGGAATGGGAAGCATCCTCCACACAATTGAGTTGGCTAGAACTCGAAAATGGAATTGTAGGCCTTCCCCCATGACTCTCGACATCTTCAGATATTGGTTCTCGGGCTTCACTAACCACACTACGAACATCAGATGAACTGACCCCAATTACTGATTGATCAGCATTGTCTAGGCGTAAACTTTCAACCCCAGAATCCACTTTGGCAGCACCTAATTTCTGATAACCATCAAAAGAACCAACTCTTGAAGTATTAGAAACAGAACTGTGACATTTAACAGAAATTTTAGACCTAGTAACTCAACCACAATCAGTTTCCTTATACTTGTTTATGATATCTACAGTGCTCCCTTCATTGTTTCCACAGCTTTGACCACAATCAATTGATACATTAATTGAAAATGACATTGAAAGGAAACTGGTGCAACAAAAACATATAAATTAAGTATATTATTCATAAAATATAACTTAGAAATCAATATTGTTGTCAAAGTTATAGATAAAATTTTGTTAAATTTTAAATTTCAAATTTTTTTGGATAATAATTAATTTTTTATCATTTTTTTTGTGGAGGTAATGAGTTTTTTAAAAAGGTAATATTTGTGTGGGACCTATACATTTTGAATAGAGGTAATAACTACATTGTAGAAGAAACTGAGAAGGTAATGGCAAAGGTAACAAATGCTCTTCGAAAACTATGGTATGAAAAAATCAAACGTCAACAAATTTCACTTGATGACAAAGAAAAGCATCATGTTGAAGGTTTCTGCAAGGACGATTATTCTAATAATATTTACCTGAAATTCAAAGTATCTAATTGAATTAAATTGAGAGGAATATCAAAGAGTTACTGAGAAGCATACCTCTGGCTGGTGAGGAGACAAGGTTGTTTCAATTCCTTTTGTCATCTCTAAGCTCTTGCAACTTTGACTAGCAACAGCATGGGTTTCTGCCAATTTTGCCACCTCATCTTTCTGGGCCCTCAGGTTAGTAGAGAGAGAAAAATTGATCTGGTTAGACAAAGATTGGCCAATATTTTCACTGCTTGAACAACTTTTAGCTTTTGACTTTGCGCTATTGCGAAGCTGAAGTGCTTTCTGCCTGCATCTGGATCTCTGGATTCTAGATAGGGATTGCTCAGCTTCATTAGGCCTTTTATTTATCTTGACCTCAGGCGAGGTAACACTGGTATCTGGCTCGGGAACACTGTCAATGGCACATCCAGCATGGTCTTCTCCACTGCATTCTGGTACCATTGTGCCATCTTTCCTATTGTATTCCTTATTGAAAGCCATGCTTTCCATGGGAACTTGTTCGGAAAATGCTTCATAATCTCCTATAGTTACTAAGCTATTTCTAAAGGGGTAGTAGTTTACGAGAGAGCATCGAGCTGAAGAATGTGGCTGTGGCTGTGGCTGTGGCCGTTGACGTGGATTTAGAAGTTTAGAGATCAGCTCTTCCTTGTTCAGCTCTGCCATGGCATAATGACAAATAACAATATTAGATTATACCACTGTAATTAAACATTTCTGATGGTGAGCTCCATCACGCGGGAGACCATCTCAGATTATAATGAAAATCATTGTTTGGGAAGGCCAATGTCCACAGATGTAATAACAAGGGTAGCAAGCAAAAACAATAAGAACAATGAACAGACGCAACGACAAGGGTAACTGCATAAACCATGCCCACAAACAAACGAAAGCAACTAAATCCCTAGCCACCTCGAACGACAGACACCAGCTATACCCAATTTCAAACTAAGTCCAATGCCGAGATTGCAACTCTAATCTACACTAAGATAAGAAACTGACTAACCTCTATCAGATCGAAACTAGAAAGGCTATATTTCAGTCTTACACCACCAGAACTAGCTAAACAAAGCCTAATTTTAAATGAGAAATCGAAAAACATCCTTGTACCAATAATGCAACAAACAAATCGCGGATACCTTTCGAATTCGATGGGGATTCGGCATCCCAGAGCCATGGAGGAGGCGTAATTCCATCGATGAGAAGTTTTGAAGCGCAGTGGTGGCCGTACAATTCCGTCTGCTGTCTCACCTGTTCGATTATCGAATTCTTCCGCTCGAAGATCTGCACCAACAGCTTCTCCACCGTCGTCATCTTCCACCAGGAGGCGTAGTGTCACAACAAATCCATCCGCCAGTACAACAAATCCATCCGCCAGTACAACAAATCTCACTATCCTGAAAGAAAAAAATTGCGCAGAGTGACTGTCTGCGTGTGCGCGGACAAAAGAATTTCAAAAAATTTCTGCGAAATGGCCGACGAGTTTACATCGTCTAAAAACCGACCGGAATATCGGGCCGGGTTTGATCCGACCCGAACTATTATGGAGCTGGGATTTAGACTAATGGGCTTCGGTGCTGTATCCTAAAATGGGCTTAAAACTAGACTTGCCCAATCGGTTTTTGAATGATAAAAAAATTGTGTACATGTGAGTCGAAATAATGCAGGCCCCGCTCTGGACTAGTAATGTACTATTAATTAGGGCAAAAATGTTAAATAAAAGTAAATATTTATAACAATAATTTAGTACCATTATAAAATAAAAATAATACGAGTATATTTTACTATTATTAATATTCATATTTAAAATTTTGTGTTATATAATAATTATATAATATAATATTATTAAGTATATATATATAGTGATATGTGTGGTGGGTGATATCAATATAGATGTATGTATATATATATAAGTGAGTGGAATGTAAAGAGACAAGAGAGAGAGAGACATTACAGTACACCGTCCTAATGAGGTGTACAAAATGCATCCATATATATTAATATGTACATCTGAAACACGCTTTCTCAAAATCAGGTTTTAATAGACAGAAGAGAAGAATTAGGGCGTGCTTCTTTGGAACAGCACAAAAAAAGACAAAAATGGCTTAATTTATAAACAATTCATATCCCAAAGAGTTCAAAATTTCTACAAGGATGGGGACAATTTGTAGTCATATCTTTTTCCAGTGTCCTAAAGGGAAAAGTGGGCTGAGTCACTATCTACCAAAAAACATATCTCAGACCACACACACTTACTTTCCATTGTAGGAATTAAATCCCAAAAGGGGGAGGGGAAACAGAAATCTCCAAGCTGTTTCAAATGCTACAGCATAAGTATGTACGGACCTTAAATCATATCATATTCATATCACAGGATGGAGTCATCTTTTATGTCTACTCCTTGGCTTCCTTGCCTTTGTCCGCTTCCAAGATATCCCGCTGTCGAATGGGCTCTCGTTCCTCCTCTTGTGCGTGGATGTATTGGTCAGGGAAGATACTTCCTGCTCACCGGGTAAGATGCTGTATTCGATAATGTTGGTGACAATGGCATGGACTGAGATTTCACTTTTGGGGACTAAAAGGGATAGCCTCTCTACGACAGCAGTCTGCCCGCAAGATGCGTCGTGGATGGCTTGGTCTTTCAAGCGGCTAATGATGGAATTCTTGTCTTCTTTGGAACAGTCGGTTGGAATCTGGAGAGAATAAACAGTTAGGAATATTTTCAGAGGACTTAGTCCAATATGCTTCATTGATTTATCCATTAACAACGAAGTTTAAAAGAAGGTGAATGTTACAGAGATGAGGCGATTAAAGCAGTGGAATAGTACTGGAAGGGTGTGTTTGTTTGGGGGTTTTGATTTTGAGTTGGGATTTGAATAGTAAAAATTTTGAATTTAAATAGTTGTATGATGTGATATAAATAGATGTTGATGTGATGTTTTGAGTGTAAAATTGATTTTTAATATAATATAAAAAATAAAAAATAAATGTTTGATTTGATATTTTTGAGGAGAAAAAATGGGATGAATAATGGAAATTAAATCCAATCCCCCAAACAAACACACCCGAAATGTATTATACCTCAAAGTCGACTGGAATCTTTAGGTTGGTAGATGAACACTTGCAGCCAGCACCAAAACTCAGTTTCAAGAAAATATCGAAGGGTTTTGTGCTCCTTGCCGTCCTTCTGATAACAAGAAGGGAATTGTGAGGAGTAAACAGAAAGGAAACTCAATGTATGGTTGTAGAAGAGACAAACTATAGTGCGATTTCTTGATGGGAAAAAATAAAGTTTGATCACATAACAGAACTTCGGGAGCATTCTATGCAGCCCCAAAACCATGCCCCACCCAGCAAATTTCAATACCTTTTCAGGTGAAGAGGTTGGTTAACTAGAACTGCTGCTTTCATGTTCAAGCTTTCAGAGAAGGATACCTGCCAATAGTAAGCAACAAACAAATTGACCGCAGTCTGGATGAAGCAGAATTGAAATTTAAATTTCAGTCAACAAAGATGATGTGGCTAAGAAACAAATTTAAATTGTTTCTTACTGAAACACGAATTCAGATATCAGTAGCCTGGTTTAACAGATTTGTGTTACTAAATCGTTGAACCATGTATGTTAGATCTACACATTCATGAACCCACCTCAACAGATTTAATAAAAGGTAAGGGTGCTTGCTTCCCATGCACACTTGCTATCCTGAGAGTCCAGTTCACATATTTTTTATCTGTGAGACAAGCGTGAGACGTCAATCAAAACGAATACTGACACTACTGGGTAAAATTTGAATACAATGCAAGTGAAAAGGAAAAAATAAAAATAAATAAGATGGTATGAAAATGATTAAGAAACAATTATATCGAGCATTTGTTGGCAGTGCCACATTGCAGAGTTTGAGAGCACATTATATTAGAAAGAGAGAAATTTGCTACACTTCACATAACCTCCCCATATGTGTACACTCTTGGTTTATCTTTATTTGTTTCAACTATCGTTGACAATATAAAATAACCACAGAAAAACTTGTTAATGCCCCAAATAAACAATGGCAGTGGAGTTATCTTTTGGAGCATGTGTAGAAAAACAAAGGTAAAACTGAATTCCATGAGTACAAGGAATACTAAAAAGGGTATAAAGAGAAATTACCTACACTTAAGGCCTCAGATAAAACAATCTGAAAAAGATCAACCCTAACAAATGGAGGAATACGCATGTTGAGCGCGTTCATGACTCCTCCAATCACCTGTTAAACACCATTTTAGAAAACTCCACACAGAAAGGTTAATTATACATCAAACTCAATATACACTTAGAAAATGCTATTCCAAGAACCAATGGTTTTTTTTCCTTTTTTTTTTTTTAATTCGGGAGGGGGGCTTAAATAATGCATTTTAGTCAAAATGAAGTGTAGAGAATAAAATATCTATCAAGATTGTTGGTTAATATTTTTGATTTAGTTGGTAATTCAACCGTGACATTTGTCTTTACTCTTGAGCCTGGTGCATATAGACTATACATGCTTATTGTCTACTACAATTTGGCAATACAAGGAACTAATGGCAATGAACTTTAATGTGAGAACATAAGTTACATAACAGCACGAAATTAAATATTTTATTGTTCATTTCCATAAGCCCAGGGCTGGATGAATTTGAGGTTTCTCTGGATTGAGGAAACTAAATAAACAAGAAAAGACAATCACAAGAGTGGCTCACCTTGTCTACACGCCCATGTATCACCAAACTTGCTTTCTTGTCCTTGGGTGTTTTCTGAAAAGTTAGATAAGGTGGTAACAACTAACAATGATCTACATATACCCACAAGTTATCATTTAGCATCAATGCATATTAAATTTATTTCACATGATGAAATCCAAGCCAATGGAGTAAGAAACAATTCCGCTGTCAAACTAGGCAGTAGATGCAAGGAAGAACAAGGTACCTGAAGATTCACTATCACAATCTCCCCACCACCTTTGAGACATCTTAGGGGTAAGTTGCATGCTGGTGTAATCTGCAAACTGCACATCGCAGCATCATTCAATAGTCAATATGCTGAATCGAACAAGATGAATAAATTACACATCTAAAAATGTTAATGATAAGTAACAACGCTCAGCTTTATAGAAACTCAAATACTAATAGCTAAAGAATACATAAATAAAAAGCACATTAACATATAAAGTGACCATCAATAACTCTGCACTAAAATTGAGTGTCTATGAATTGTGAAGTGGATTGTTGCATTGTCCTATTCTACGCTTCCTTGATCCTAAATTTTGAGTCAATATCAAGATATTCGAGGCCTTATGTTTTAGCATCCATATGAAATTACTGACCAATGTAAAACATGACATGAGTGGACCAAACCACCAGTAACAGTCGAGTTATGCATTCACATAAAAACCAGAACTTCAAAACTAAATCAAAATACAGTGTACTCAAAGACATGAAGATCGTATATTTAATTCAATTTGGGATCTCTGATCGTTGAGAAGAAACATTATCTAGAATAAAGTAGCTTCAAGCTTAATATGGTGAACTTAAACATTGCTATAAAACTGTCATTACTCAGACAAATATGTTCCCGGAGATATAACAAGGATTGACGTTTGATTGTATGTTTATTGAACTACGTGACTTCTTTATGCAAACATAAAAAAAATAAAAAAATAAAATAAAATCAACTACATCCCAAGACAAGCAAATGCATTTATACTAAGGCCCACATTATTTTTACCTTGTTCCTAGGCATAACACAAGATCGGCCATTTTGCAGTGTTTTTCAGCTGGATTCATCTCCTTTGGTGGCAAGGCATCCTTTTACAGAAAAAGAACATCAAAACAGGGACTTGAAAATATGATATAGATCTGGTATTTGGCCCATTATAATACACAACACTATGTGTCTATACCATGCTCTAAGTGTTTTACATTTTCATCTAGACCTAAGCAATGTACTGGTATGTACCTTTAGGTCATTATATGACCCTCATCCATTTCAGTACATCCTGTTGTTACAACTAAGAAGTTTGGTCTATTGTGTAAAAATCACCAATCCCTCTTCATCATACAGACTCATAAACGTGGGATTGTAACTAAGAACTAGAGATTTCATTTCTACAACGAAAGGTTCATACCTCCCAGTCAAGGACAGAGTCTCTTAATTTTGCACCACAACCTGCCTTGGAGCAACGGCGTGTAGTCTCCTTCAAACCAATAGTCTCAATTTCGAAGTCCCTCAAATATCTTCACAGGATACAGCCATTCAATTTAAGCATCTCCCAGGGATACAAAATCAAACAAACACCTACACATAGAAATGATATCAATCATAAAACTTACTCTGTTCCACAGGATGGGCATATTTCCATGAAGGAATTTCCATGTAATTCAGCAAACTTTTCTCTCGGTATTCCAGATCGAAGATGGAGGCCGTCAACATTCTAGCAATTTTAGGCAAGAGGAGAACATAAAAATAAAAAACAAGGAAACAAAAAATTAAATGGATGGAAACCAAGCAGTGCAAAAAAGATTTAGAGTTGTTAGTCCTAAATATGATAAGCCAAAATTGGATGTCAGGGAAGAAAAAAAATAGATAACATACAGGCAGTTGAACTTTTTCTAGAAACAAGTCAATAGTGAAAGCCAACCTGGCTAATCAGGAACTTCAAGATACCAGCCTTCTCAAGCTCAACTAATGCCATGTGAGTTGCACTTGGTGTTGCACGGTGGAAAGGTAAAGCTGCTTCTGGTAAGGCTTTTCCCAGGCGCTGTAAATAATAAAATAAAACTAATAATTAAGGATAGGCAGAAGGGAGAGAAAAGGGATAGATGTCTTTGACTTCCCTCTGGTGAATCAAGCAGCAAGGAAGTGCATACATACATACATACATACATACATACATACACACACCAATCACATTTCTATATATGGATCGCTCTAAACAATATTAGTTTTACCATCAATTGGAATGTGGTGATTCAAACAAAATGTTCTTTAAATGATATATATATATATGTATAATTAAAGCATTATCGAAAGCTTAATACTCTAACCTATCCATTATATTATTCTACCAAAGAAGGTAATCTGCTGAGAAACAACATGAGTAAAGTTTTGGATATAAACAGACATTCCATCAGCAAATAAAAGAACATTTATAAAATACAGAGAACAGTGAGGATTGGGTAACAGAAAGCTCAAAATGTGTTTAAGCATCCTAATATTGAGAAGATTACGACCATTACCTGAAGCGTCCAGATACCCTTGGGGCCACGGAAGTCAGGTATACCACATGAAGTGGATATCCCCGCTCCAGTAAATACGACTAAGTGCTTGCTCTGCACGAACAAACAAGAGTCTATAGATAATTGAGAGAATCAAACTGGTTGTACATAAATCATTGTCAGGTCAGACCTTTTGGATCATCTTGGCAAGTCGCTCAGCCTGAAAATACGAGGATCATACAGATAAGCAACCAAATTAGAGGTTAAACAATAAAGTCAACGAAATCACTCAACTTGCGCACAATTAATCTGGCGTAGCTTCATAAGGTTTCCACAACCACATTCATCAGGCAAATTAATTTACAATAAGAAAAAGCACAATATCTATAAAGTTAATAATGAATCCAACCTAAGTAAAAAACCTCAAACTGAATTCCTCCATATAATGTACAAGTACCAATCTCATCATTATCACATAATTCCAGACTCATCCAAGCACAAGCCCATCAAGACAAGTAAATTAACATCAATGAACTTTATGTATAAGCTGGCGCAACCATCATTTTCGAGAAATTTTGATAAAAGAAAATTCTTGATTTCCCAAGAACCAGCTTAATATCCAGAACTAACAAACAATGAATCCAACTACATTTGGTTTCAGAAATCCTTAACAGAAAAATTAGGCTTCAGACCACTTTTGCACCACCCATACACTCGATTCGAAATAAAAATGAGACGAATTCAATCCGCTCAGAATCAGATCGCAAACAATGAACTAGGTTCAGAGTGCCTGATGGGAGAATGCAAAAATCACAGGCAAAAACAAGAAAACCCTAAACGACAGCCCTAAATCAAGAAATGGCCGAACAAAAGAATAGAACTAAAATCAACAAAAGAAGAGCACGAAAGATCATCAAGCAAAGAAAACATCAGTACTGGCGAAGAGAATAAAACACATTGATCGGGACAAGACACAGGGTATAAGCATGAGAGGGAAGAAGACATGAGTACTTTCTCGCAAAGAACGTTCGGCTGATCAAAGAACTCGGCCATTCCGACGTTGCCCACATCCTCAATGACGGAGAGCTTCTCGGCATAGCCCAGAGACATGGCTAGTGCTTAGGGATTTTCCCTTCTGGGTGCCGAATTGTCTTGAGGTTCTGGGGTTTTCACTTTCTCTCTCTTTCTATAGAAATCAATCGATCAAAATGCAAATGGAAGGCAGGGAAAACGCAAAGGGACGGCACTTGTTTATTGCTGCGCAGTACTACCGACGAGACGATGCTTGTGGGCTGTGGTTCTTTCAATAGGACCTCCAAAATCAATCCTTTATTCATGAATTAGGGTAAATTTTTGGAGATGGCTGTGATGATGTTAAACTAATTTGAAATAAAATGTGATTTTAATATTTATTTAAATACTATATTTTTATATGATATTTTATAAAATGCAAAATTCATTCCAAAACTATTCATTAGATTAGGTTTTTCTATATTATATTACTATAAAATTATTTTTTTCTATTACATTTTAGTTATTCATTAAATTAGATATTTTTAATAAATTTTGATAATTAAAATAATTTATTAAAATAAATTCAATAAAAACCTTATTACATTTTATTTATTCATTAAATTATATATTTTTAATAAATTTTGATAATTAAAATAATTTATTAAAATAAATTTGATAAAACTTTAGAACCAACTAAAAAAGATTTGAACTATATCGAAAGACTCGTAATATTGGATTTGGATCAGGTGCTGAAAATTTAATTTTCAGCACTGTACTGAAAATAATTTTAGCTCTCGAATTTTGGAGGATGATAAATGATAAATTAGACGATGACATGATGATGATGAGTAGGGTTGTATTGGTGGTGGCAATGTGAAGGTAGTGGCAAACAGTTGAGTTTGTTGATTGTGGACCGGTGGTGATGACAGTAGCACACGAACAATTGGGTGGAGGAGAAGAAGGGGGTGGTGGTGGTGGTGGAGGAGGAGGTGGCGGCGGCAATGGTGGTAGAGGAGGATAATTTAGTGGTGATGTTGGAGGACAGCTTGGATGAAAATGGAAAAGGAGATAACCAGTGTGATAGTGAAGGAAAATAAGAGAAGTTGGTGGAGGTGGAGGTGGCGGTGGAGGTGGAGGTGAAGGCGGAGGGAGTGGTGATAGGAGGGCTGATTTCTAGGTGTTCAGCACACGATCCGGATCCCATAATATTAGGCACCTCTACCCTTGGAGTTTAATGTCAAGTCGAAACCGTCGGCGTCTAATGTCATGTAACCTTCGGCCTTAAACCGTCAAAATCGTCTGTCATTAATTCTGAATAATCATTTATTATACATGTATGTAATTATTATTTGTGAACTATATTTTTGTTTTAAGAAATATACTTTTTGGACCTCAACAAAATATTTTGTTGTTTAAATTTGACTTTAAAAATTAATAAACTTCATCAAGTTTAGTATTCATTAAACTCAAGTATGAACTTACGACAACAACCAAGAACTTCAAGCCCAATATAAACTCATAACTTCAAGCCCAATATAAACTCATGCTCGTATAATTGTTTTATTATCAAGCGGACGGCACACACTTGCGGCATTTCATATGCTCAAAGTACATCATTAATAATCATTTACACATGTGGCTTAACGGCATTCATACAATCTAAATTACAGCATTAATAATCACTGTATAATCACATGCATTTCAACAAATTGGTTTCAAAAATCACGAATTAAATTCAATCGATTAAATAATTAATAAATTTTCCATACTGCTTTTACATTTTACTCAATCTATGATATGTGCTCAATGAAAAATTCAGCATTATACTATCAACATATATGTGAGTTGGTGTAATGTATTGAAACAATATGTAATTTATTGAATTTATATTAAAACATACATAAATACTTATTTAGTTTGCATATCACTATTAAAAAAAATACATATTAACAACAATACTCACGTAAATAATAACAAATAATAATATCATAATATAATATTATCTTAAGTATCGTATTGATAATCAAATGTGCCGCAACTGAATAAATATTTGTTATGTTATTTTAACAAATTTACAAAATTTAATAAAAGTAAATGAATTGATATATCTAGAGTATGTTTATTTTGTAAAATAAAATTGAAATATATTTTTGATATGTTTTCCCAAAGTTATTTTTCAATTGCAACTGCCCACAATATTTTATACAAAAGTTAAAAAGTTAAAATATTAATTATAAAATAATCTAAAGTCATCACAAAATATCAAATATTCAACTTAAAATAATATTTTTCATCCGTCTCAACTGAAGTTATCATTTTTACTATTTTCTTATGTCCATTCGTGGGTATTCGTCTCTTATTTTAGTAAAATTAATGATACACTAATATCATTAATTTTTACCCAAATTTTAAATATATTATTATTACACATACAATTATTTTATACATAAAATCAAATGACAAAAATTATCTTAAATATTTTCACTAACTAATAAAATATTCTAATTTTTTAATCTATTATAGAATCTCGAAGGGCTCTTTTGGAATGGGACGAAAAAAGTATTTTATATCCCACAAAAAAAAAATCATTTTATTCAAAAAGCTAGTTAACGGAGCAAATATTATTTATTTCTTATTGGAGTATATAACTATTTAATAAGATAATTTAGTTTTAAAATTACTGTATAGAATTATATATAGTTTTTTAAATATAATTAATTTATATAATAAAAATTAAGAAATAAATTAGTTATTAGTTAAAAATAAAATCTTTGATAATTTTAAATTAGATATTTTAAAAAAATATTAATAAATATTACTATTCTCTCCTCTTACATAAAATATATTTTCATTTCGATCCGTCTCATATAAATTTATATTTTTATATAAAAAAAAATTATATACTTTAATTATATTTTAAATTTTATAATTCACATACTTTATTTTAATTAAATTATTTGTATTATATTATAATTATATGTATCAAAATTATAATTTTTGTATATTTTCGTATCTACAGCTATAGACATTCATATGAATTGTATGTATATATATATATAATTATTTTGGATGCTTATGGTTTTAAATCTAGATCATTACTATTTATTTTGATTATCAATAAAATTTTATTATTTTTGTTATAAAATATTATATCAAAATATTATTTAGATAAAAAAAATTAATTCAACACATTATTTTAAATTAATTCAAATCACAACCAAACATACTTTGTTTTTATAATAGTAAAAATTAAAATTAATTTTAAAAATATAATATTTAAAACTTATTTCCTTTTTAATTAATATTATGAAAATTATATTATATATTTATATTAAATATTAATTTTTATATTATGTTAAAATATTAATTATTACTCCATTCATCCATTAAAATTATCATCTGAGTCGAGTCATTAGTCCACCCACACGGCCATCGTGGCCGTACAAGTACAACTGTATATACTTTCTCATTTAAATAACTATGTATTCATTTGTTTTTTTTGCATGAAATTTTAAAAATATTAATATTATATTGAAATATAAGTATAAATTAAGTAGAAATGACTAAAATGACCTTATTAGTATTGTGTAATATAAATATAATAATATTTGTGTAATATATTAAAAATTGTAAGGGTATTTGTAATATTAGGTAAATAGTACATTTACTAAAATAAAAATATATATTTTGTTATAGGACAAACTAAAATAAAAAAAATAGATACTTTGTTATGGGATTGAGGAAATATAATTTTTTATCTATCTTTTGAAAGAGAGTAATCAAATAAAATAAAGAAATTTTTACAAGGCGCTCAAACTAGATGGCAAACACAGTCCAAATAATTTCAAATTTTAAATACGTATGTATTACACAACGGTAGACTTTTTTTGAATTTTGTTTTTCTTTATTTCTTACTTTTTTTTTAAAAGAAAAATTATAAAAGAGAATTTATTTTTCTTTTTAAATTTAAATATTACTCCCTCCTTTCCTTTTGTGAAGTTTTATAGTAAATTAAATTATTATATTTTTTATCTCAGCTAAATTGTCTTATTTAATTTATACAATAAATTTTAGGTATTATATAATTAATAAGTAATTAAAAAATATATAAATAAAAATAATTATAATAATTATAAATTAAAATTAAAATTTAAATAATTAAATAATTTAATTAAAATAAAAAGGCACTTTATTATATACTATTATATAAATATATATTAATAAGATATAATATAAAATTAATACTATAATAAACAAAAAGTAAGTACTGCTATTTGATTTAATATTTTTTTAAAAAAAAAATACTAAAAATAATAAAATTAAAATCCAAGCTTGCAGCACGCTTGATATATTTTTACTAAAAACTAATAAAAAAGTTGTGATAATTTTTATTAATTTGAAAAAAAAATTAATTTGAATTTGATATTAAAATAATATTTAATAGATATTTGTTAAATAAAAATATATATGTTTTTAAAAACAATACAGAGACCAAATAATAAAAACTTAGATAAAAACGTAGTAAACAACTAATATACGTATCTGATTTTAATGTAAATAACATTTGAGCACAGCCATACAGACATACGTCAGGATATCTGCTGCATTGGCACTCGCCGTGAATCGAAACTTGAAAACTTCAAAATAATAATAAAAATATTCATTCCGTCTAAATAAATATAGTCTTAATTGAATTAAACACGAAATTTAAAAAATATTAATATTATATTAATAATTATTAAAAAGTATGAATAAAATATTTTTTGCCCTAGTAAATATATCAGTATAAAAAATAGTGACAATTGTGTAATAAAAATAAAAAAGTAAAAGTAATTTTATGGTGATATCGTCATTTATAAAAATAAGATTATTGTTTTAGGACGGACAAAAATAGTAAATAAGACTATTGTATTGGGACGAATAAATAATATTTAATTTGATGTACTCCTTCCGTCTGATAACAAAAAACTATACATTTCATTTTTTAATACCGTAATGTCTACCAAACATTACAAATATCCTTACAACTTACAATATATTACCCTTACAATTTACAATATATTATATAAATGTGATATCTTTATATCACACAATACTAATAATATTAATATACCTTAAACTACTTGCATAAAATAAATATGTGAAAAATGTAATTAATATGATGTTTTAAAAAAATTAAAAGTGCCCAAATTTTCAAAATTATAATTCTAACAGAAGAATATATATTGAAAGAACGAACATGAATATGCAAAGAAAAAAATAAAATAAATCAAAACGGAAACATATTAAGATTCAACAAAATATACAAATGGAATCTGAAGAGCATGGCAAAAATAAATGAAATATGCAAATGGCTTCAATTATTCCCCACACTAAATGAAATAAAATACTAAAATAAAGAGAGAAAAGAAAATGAATAAGAAAATATCAAAGTGGAAGCAAACGCCGTTAATTATACCATAGATTTCACTTACAGATTTAACAAGGCAAACAGCAGGCTCAGAATAACGGCGCCAACGCTTCCGCCTCGGAGACTAACGGCGCCGTTATCATCGGCCGCCTGATCTGCTGCGTCTCCGTCAGGAGCATCCGCCGGAGAATCGGACGGCGTCTCTACCGCCTTGTGCTTCTTCTTCTTCTTCGCCGGCTTCGGAGACTCGGCGTCTGCCTCCGGCGCTAGAGCAGGAGCCGGAGCAGGAGCGGGCGGCAGGGATCCTTTGAACAGCTCCTTCGGCATCAAAACCTTGTTCAATTCGTAGATAGCTACCGGCGGTTCGTCGAGCAAGGTGTTGACAATCTTCGCCGTCACGAGCTTGGTGACGATGGTGACGTCAGTGCCGTCGTTCTGCACGTTGAAGTCGTACTTATCGGCGCCGTCGGTGGCTAGCGTGTTCGTCAGACCGTTGCTCGACTTGAGGCCAGGAACCGATTCATAAATCGGCATCGCGTGGTATTCAAGCAGGCTTTGCTTACCGGAAGCGGTTAGGTTTTTGAATTTCGGCAGGAAGCTCTTCATCGCGTCGTCGCCGGGGCAGAAAATGGTGAGTCCGCTCAGTACGTTGTCGTCGTACGTCTGCTCCGCCGGACTGGCCGCCAGCGTCTCGGCGAAGACCTTACATCCGTGAGCAGACATCGCCGCCGTGATATTCGTCTTGCTAGGACCAGGCGCCGGCGCCTCCGCTTCAGGAGAAGGCAAGAGCGACGAGATCTGAATAACGGAGATGTTGTACGGTATGGCTTGAATCGTCTTAACAAAAGTAGCGGCAAACCTGCCGCCATTGTCCTTCGGAGAGAATCCGACCTTTCCTCCTCTCAGATCCGTGATGTTAACAAATCCGGCGGTGCCTGTGGCGGAACCGGTGGCCTGAAACATGGTCGCCGCCAGAGCACTACCATCAGTAATATCGTGCAGCTTCTTCGCGTCAAAATAGTCCAGCAGAACATGAAGCGAGAGAACCTTCTTCATCGCGCCGATGGTGAGGCTCTTCGCCAACAGATCCGCCATTGCGGCATTGTCCACAGCACAAACAGTGATCGTCTCTCTCCCATTGATCTCCGAAGCCAGCTGCGTCACAGTTAAGTAGTGATTAAAAGTGGAAAAGCTGTCGTCCTTCTCCAAAATGCGAGTGATATTGTGCGCATCCACCGCAGATCCGAGGAAAACCACAAAAACGCTCAAAACCAAAACCGCCGCCGCACGGAGCTCCATCGCCACCAGACCTCCAATTTCTCCAAATTTTGCAGAGTGAGCGAAGCAGACAGCCGAATTGGTAGCTGTAAAAGTTACAGGATTGGTATAGTTTATAGAAAAGGGACTGGAAATTAGGGTAAACTACAGCCAATGCCACTGGGAGAGAGAGAGAGAATCTTCTGGTAGCCGCACCACTGCACCACACCACAATCACAGATATGGCTGATGACTGCTGTCTACTGATAGATAGGGTTTATATATAAATAATTAATTTAATTTAATTTGGGTTAGGGTTGGTCGGAAATTTGAGGAAGAAAATAGAAACCGACACTCACATTCACACCTTCGCTTCGCAACATAATAAAAATACAATAAATGAGACACTAGGCTGTGTTTGTTTGGGATTTGTATTTGAATAATAACAAATTTACATTGAAATAATTTTATAAATATATACTCCTTCCGTCATTTACGTTTTGGATTTAAATTTTTTAATATTAGTATTATATTAGATTGCAGTAAAAATGATAAAAATATCCCTATTAGTATAGTGTAATATAAAAGTAATGCATTTTTGTAATATATTGTAAATTGAAATGGTATTTATTATGTTAAGTATGTAGTACAATTACTAAATTAAAAAATTGTAATCTTGTTTTGGGATTGACGAAAATAAAAAATGGTAACCTTTCACTGAGACGAAGGAAATATAATTATTTGATATAATATTTTGAATACAAAATTATTAATTAATAATTTTTAAATATTATTTAATTTAAAAGATATGTGTGTTCTTCCAATAAAGTTTTTTTTTTCTACATGATTTTTTTTCGATATATATAAGTATATATTTTTTTATCATTTCATCAAAAATTAATATTAAATAAACAAACTTAATAAATTTCGAAAAATAAAAAATATTATGTATTTTTTAAATAATATCTTAATTCTTCATATATTTCAACCAAAACCTTTAAGGTTTTATTCATTTATGGTTTGAAATAGGATTTATATTTAAAATGTTATTTAAATAATATTTTGTAAATAAATAATAATATATTTTTATTACTAATGTATCATTCAAATTGTAAAAGAACAAACCGTAAAATTATAAAAATAAAACAAGAACACTTATCTCCGCGCTTTTTTAAAAGATTAATTTAAAATGAAAATTAGGGAAAAAATTAATTTTGGTCCCAGTATAATTAAAATTAATCAATTTTGATTTCAATATAAAAAATTCATCAATTGACAAATTTTTTTCTAAATAGTAGAATTTTAGACAAAATATTCCAAAAGAACATCGATAAATACTTATATTTGAACTAAAATTGATATATTTTAATTATATTATGATTATTATTATTAATTTTTTTCCATTTTAACTATATCAACTATTTTAAATTAAAAATAAAAATTAAAATATAACAAAAAATTAAAATTTTAGACCGAAACAGAAAGATACACGGCCGTGTAACAACATGATCATGTATAATTATACACTGAAATATACATGGTCATGTAACAACATGGTTGTGTATAATTGTACATGGCCGTGTAACAACATGACCATATATAATTATACACTGAAATATACATGACCCTGTAACAACATGGTCGTGTAACATGACCATGTATAATTATACACTGAAATATACATGACCATGTAACAACATGGCCGCGTACTTTCCAGGTCAACTGCCACGTCACCTCCGTCATGTCCATGTCAGCAATTTTCGTTAATTTTTCAACGGTAGGACCAAAATTGATAAAAATTGTTTATAATATGATCAAAATTGATTGAAATTGTTTATATTGGGACCAAAATTAATAAATTTTGGTTGTATTGGAACCAAAATTGATTAATATTTTATATTGGGACCAAAATTGATTAATTTTGATTATATTGGGACTAAAAATTGATTTTTTCCCTGAAAATAAATACTACTATAAAGTGAATTAATTCTCCAATGCTTTCCTTTTAGGGTGGGTTTTTTATGGAAAATCCCCCAAATATATTATTCATCTAATTTTTTTTTAAAAAAACATAAAATCAAATATATATTTTTTATTTTTGTATATTATACTAAAAATTAATTTTACATTCAAAATATTACATCAACACCTATTTATATCACATCATATAACTATTCAAATTCAAAATTTTTATTATTCAAATCCCAACTCAAAATCCAATCCCCGAACAAACACAACCTTAGTACAAATGTTGTGTTTGTTTGGGGGATTGAATTAGATTTCCATTATTCATCCAATTTTTGCCCCAAAAATATCAAATCAAGCAACTATTTTTCATTTTTCTATATTATACTAAAAATCAATTTTACATTCAAAACATCACATCAACACCTATTTATATCACATTATACAACTATTCAAATTCAAAATTATTACTATTCAAATCCAAACTCTCAAACAAACACACCCTTAGCAGAAAAAAAATGTTATACCACTAAATTCTCAATTAATGTAGTCTCTCTTTTTTTTTTCCTACTATTGTATTAAATATCTATATATATATTTTTTATAAAAGAGTCTTATATAAGTAACCACTGTTTCACTTCTTAAAATTAAAATCAATATGTATGTTTTTTTTATGGGATTTAATTTTTTTTGTTGTTTGAATTTAGTATTAAAATAAATATAGTAGGTTTTAATTATCTATGCTTTGAATTAATGAGCTGGGGACAGCTCACGTGCGCATAATAATAGTAATAAAAACAACACCATTAACAACAACAATAATAATAATAATAATAATTAAACATACACAGCTGCTACACATTAGTAGATGATTAGCATTGGTTCTTTTTTGGTTATATGTGTTTGTTTGTATTGTACCGTCGAAATATGGTGTAAAATTTCGAATTTAAATATACTGGTATGATATTTTTAAATTAAAATATATGCTTTTTAATTGAAGCTTTTAATATCAATTTCAAGTGCTTGGCTTTATTTATTTTTAAAAATCATCTCAATTTTTTTATATAATAAATATTCTCTTCTTCTACCAATAGTGTTCATCATTTTTGTTTGTCTCATATTTATGTCACTTTAATTTTTTCTTTTAAAAAATGATTAAACACATTTTAATCTAATTTTAATTAGATTAACTAATTATCTTAATTTATAATTATTTATATTATAAAATAATTACTTACTAATTATATTTATCATAATTTTTTGCATGTACACAAGGAGTATCTCGTACTATCAAATACTACTAGTTTTTTAAATTTTTAAATTTTTTCTAAAATTTCAATACTTTTAATAATTTAAAAACCTATAATCTAATCAAAACCTAATTCTAATGTATAATAATTTAAATTATAAATAAATCCAAATATAATACTCTCTTCGTAACGTGTCCGTCTTATCTGTCCCATATTTTATGTCATTTTTTCTTTTTTAAAAGTAATTACAATCTTTAACGTCCTTCAAAATTTTTTAATTTAGGATGTGGGACGAAACGGGAGTAATAAAATAATTGAGTGGTTGGCCCGGCGGTCACGGTAAAAGTATGGAATACGTTAGTGGGGCCCACCGAAAATATATAGTCGGTATGCCAGCTGGAATGTGCCAATTGGTGGGACCTCCATGACTCCCACCGACACATAAATATGCTTGTCTTTTCTTCTGTCCGGTTATGGCGTTCATGCGAATTTATCAATTATCACTGCATTGTTCTCAATAGTAAAAGAACACTATAAATAATATCCGATAAAAAAAAAAGAATAAATTCTATAAATAAGTAGTAGTATGTGTACTCCATTGTCCCGAGATATTATCTATAATTTAGGTAAAATATAATTATTAATTAATTAATAGAAATTATAATTACTAAATAATTAATAAAAATAATTATTAAAATTAAAATAATTAAATAATTTAAATAAAATTATAAATTATAAAATTTTAAAAAATCCAATTAAAGTTTATAATAATTTTTCTAAAAATAGTAAATTATATGAGACGAAAATAAAAAATAAAAACAAATTATTAGGACTTAAGGAGTAACATAGGGTTTATTTTATTTTATTTTATTTTATTTTATATGATGTGGGAATCCGGCCGCTATCGAAAGTGTGCACTGGGTAAGCCTCCGGCAGAATCTAATACCCTGCAAACCAAAAGACACTAGGCAAAATGACCTCACGGTCACAAGTACTACTCCTACACCACCAAGCCACGACAAACAAAATCCTATGTTGGTTTGTTGGTTCATCTTGTTGTTGCTAAGGTGGTAAAAAAAAAAAAAAAAAAAAATCGAACACATTTACCTCGAACTAAATAGTTTAAACCCCCATACACAATACAAAAATTAGTATATTTTGAAATGCAAAGTATGTTCGGAGTGTGTTTTTTTAAAAAAATTTGTCACATTTTCACTATTCTATCAAATTTGTTCTCATAAAAATATTAAATCAAACATGTGTTTAACAAACACACTGTTTTCTAATCAATGTTCACCGAAGAACATTGATTCACCAAACCACAAGATGCGAGTAGAAAAGCTATACTTTAGTTCATGCCGGCATAAAGAGGCATAGAAAGAATAACACCAATACTCACTACAGTTAAATGACAAACTTGATTTCCACATAGTAGTAGCATGTTTGATATCGACATCGTATATCCAAGAAAAGAATCGAGACAACAATCACTTTCCTACGGTTTTGGTCTTTTACAGCAACTGAATCCGACTAAAGAAACTACAAAGGAATGCAAACAAGCAAAGCTACTACAAATTCCTAAGAAAAGAGACTGTTGCACGTAAAAATTCATTTTTGTACTATTCGTTCTATATTCTACGGTAAAATAATTTTTAAGAACATAACATTTGAAAAAAAAAGAAAAAACTTCTAAAACACAACAAGCACACATTGTTGATAGATACCAGACTCTAGGCGGTGATGCTGTCTATCTTGTCATTGGCAAGGACCTCCTCTATAAGTCGATTAAGAGAAATTTCTTGAGCCTGTATATCCCAAAGTGAGGCATAAAGACCTTAGAAAGCGCAGGTGAATATACAAAAATTCGAAAACATGTTCAGCATGGGAACTCACCTTTACACCTATGGCAATTGTTGTTTTGAGCTTTATCAACTCACCTAATCTTAAGGAGCCTTCTTTCCTATCTTTCACCGAGATTATTGGGACATTCCGGGATGCAGCTAATGTGGGGAGATGTTTTGTTAGCCATCGAGGATTGCAATCAGATGCCATCAATATTGCCTGTGACTCAAATAGAAACATAGAGATTCAGATGGAAGGAGAAAATATCAACCAGATCATTTATGTTTCTCTAATATTTTCAATAACTCGAATTCGTGCAAGCTTAAATGTAGGTGTCTCGGTTTTTGGTAAATAACTACAACAATTAGGCTCCGGCAACATTGCACCAGTCTTTGAGAACGATTAGTGATGTAACATCAGAACTTTTAACAAGCCGACGTGATTCCACCGAACAATACAGAGGAACATGAGTAGTTTTGACAGCACAAAATTCATAGTTTAGTGTTATCTCAAAGATTGTGATCTCTTGTTTTTCACACCAAGCCAAAGAACCAGACAACTAATTACTCCTGTTATTTTTAACTATGAAAGCCAAAATACTTGTCCAAACTGAAGTATTTTGAAACCATGATGAATTTAAATAGGCACAAGGAAAATTTGCTAACAAGAAGAAACCAGACGTACAAAAGAGCTAACATATGGAAGCAAGCAAGCAACCTGAAGGTAGGCACAAGTGGGTTTACTATCATTACAATTCGTCTGAAGTTGTTCTTCGGAAGAGATTCTACTCTCGTAATTGGGCGGCATCCGCTCCAGCACACGCGTGACTTCATTCACTCCGACTGCAAAATGTTTCTGATAAATTCCAAAGATGCGTTTTACTATAATGTCATCGTAAAAACACACGAGTAAATCACGAAGCGTAAACAAAAACCTTTATCCAAATCTTGTACGGCAAGTTTTCGTTCAACGCTCTCGCTGCTTCAATCTCCCTGATCACACAAAAGACCACTAATTTCAAAGCCAATTTTAGACATTGCACTTTTTTTTGGCACTTAAAAGCACCGCAATTGCCGTGTGGGGTTGGGGTTTTATTCTGATTTTTTACTCTTCAGTCAATTAATTTTCGTCTGCAAAATAAACGCATCCTACGTACCTGCGGAACGATTCGAGGAAACGAGTGAGACTCTCTCCTTCAAAGCTACTGCAGAGGCATGGCATGAGTTACCGCATTAGAACCAGATACACGAAAAAAATCGATCAAACCGAAAAAAAAGGAAGGTATTTTACGCGTGAGGCAGAAACGACCGATCGTCAATAGGTTCCGGCACAACGCCGGCGGCCGCACCACCGGTTTTCCTTATGCTCCGCATGTTATAGCGCCTGCCGCCTGAGATCCTGAAACGCTTGCTAGGCATGATAATAAACATATGTTTATACAATGGGCTATTGAGCCCAATAGTTAGGCCCAAATTGATATTTTGGCCCCAACTAATGAGACGGCTGTGAATGAGTATTATTTATTCTATTTTTTTAAATATACAAAATTATTTATTGAATATCTTAAATTTACTTCAACTAAATTTGGGAAACGAAGGCGCAGCCGCGAAGTTGTACCGCACCGTACAACCCACGCGCACCATCTCTGCACGACGCCCCGGCCGAATTCCACGAAGAGAAGAGGGAAGAGGGTATCAAGTAAGCAATCGTCCATACCAAACCCATGTTATTGGGGTTTATTTCATAGTTTTTAGTTTTGATTTTCGTATATGGCTGTAATGACGAATACTAGAATTTTTTTCCGATTAGGGTTTCTCACCATTTCCAATTAAAGTGGGAAAGAGGACCAGCTTCTGGGACGATTCTTGGAAATTCTATCGTTTTCTTGTTTCTTTACCCAGTTACCTGTGGAATGCTCTCAATTATCGTTTTAACTATCGGGATTTAGATGGTCTCTAGATTGCTGATCCTAACCCTAAGTATATGTTTGTTTGTGTCAAGTTATGGAGAAAAATGAAGCGGGGGGTGGGGGCTACGGAGGAGATCCTGGAGATCAGTTCCACAGGAACGAAGCGATTTCCGCTGTTGCTGACGAGGGCTTTCTTGGAGAGGAGGACGATGACTATGAGGATCTCTATAATGATGTCAATGTTGGTGAGAACTTTCTGCAGACGCTTAGGAGGAACGAGGATAACGTAGGGCAGAGGAATGACGATAAAGGGGGGCGGGCGAACGAGGGTGTGCGGGAGAACACAACTAATCTTGCTCCGCCGCAGCAGCTGCCACAACAACAGTTGCAAGTGGATAGCGGTGTACCTCTGCATAATCAAGGTTATTCATCTGCGGTTCCAGGTGGAGCTGATGCACATGAGCATGTTGTGTTTGGAGGAAATAGCAATGCAGGTGATATTGGCGTTGGGAGAGGAGTTGGGCCGCCAAGTGGTGGTGGGGCAGGTGGCCATGGGGGTGGATTTAGGGTTGATCTGCAACCATCAAATAAGGTAGTTGAGCTCGAGCGACCTCTGAGCAACCCTCTCCCTAATAATCAACCAATGGTTCCTCACCATCAGCAACCTACTGCTAATATAGGGAATTTTGACAATGTTAGGAATTTCGGAAATGTTAATGGGACCGGTGGAAATGTTTATGGAGGTGATGCTGGAGGTAGAGGGGCTGGCAGAGTGAGTGATGGTCCTGTGGGAATTGGTGTTGGTGTTGGTGGAGTTGGAGTTGGAGTTGGTGGTGGCGGTGGAGGAGGAGGGGGGACAGTTCTTTTTGTCGGTGACCTTCATTGGTGGACAACTGATGCAGAGTTGGAATCCGAGCTATGCAAGTATGGGTTAGTAAAAGAGGTAAAATTCTTTGATGAGAGAGCTAGTGGTAAATCAAAGGGTTATTGTCAGGTTGAGTTTTTTGATCCTGCAGCTGCCACTGCATGCAAGGAAGGAATGAATGGACATATTTTTAATGGTCGAGCCTGTGTAGTGGCATATGCATCACCTCAGACTGTTAAAAGAATGGGTGAGGCGCAGGTTAATAGAAACCAGCAGCAGACTGGTGCTGCAGCTGTTAATCAACCACGAAGAGGGCCTGTGGATGTGCCAGGTAAACCTGGAGGTGTTGGTGGCAACCTAGCGACTGGTGGAAATTATCAAGGAGGTGGTGATAACTATAACAATATCAACAACAATAACAACAACAACAACAATAATAGAGGTTTTGGGAGAGGAAATTGGGGTAGAGGCAACTCTCAAGGGGGGATGGGAAATAGAGGACCAATGGCTCTCATGAGGAACAGAGCTGGTGGAATGGGTGTGCGTGGAATGTCTGGCAGTAATGGATTTGGGCAGGGTATTGGTGCCGCCCCTCCCATGATGCATCCTCAGGCGATGATGGGTCAAGGTTTTGATCCTGCCTTTGGAGGTCCAATGGCTAGAATAGGCGGTTATGGTGGATTTCCTCCTGGTGCCCCTGGAGCACCCTTCTCAGGAATGCTATCCTCTTTTGGGCATGTAGGAAATGTTGGTTTGCCCGGTGTTGCTCCACATGTTAATCCAGCATTTTTTGGGAGGGGAATGCACATGAATAGCATGGCAATGATGCCCTCATCTGGAGTTGAGGGGCCTAATATGGGGGGAATGTGGTCGGATCCGAATACGGGAGGATGGGCAGGCGATGAACATGGAGGGAAAGCAGGAGAGTCTAGCTATGGAGAAGAAGCTGCATCTGACCACCAACATGCAGAAGGAAGTCAAGATAGAGGGCCGTGGCCAAATTCCATAAAGGAAAAAGACAGGGGATCAGAGAGGGACTGGTCTGGATCTTCTGAGAAAAGGCACCGAGATGATAGAGGAGCTGCTTATGAAAGAGATGTTCCCAGAGAAAAGGATATGGTGCGTGATCCGGATTGGCCTGAAAGGAAACATCGTGATGACAAAGATGTTAGCAGGGATAGGGATAGGGAAAGGGAAAAGGAGAGGGAAAGAGAAAGAGAAAGAGAAAGAGAAAGAGAAAGGGATAGGGAAAGGGAAAAGGAAAGAGAAAGGGAAAAAGAGAGGGAAAGGGAAAGAGAACGTGAACGTGATAGGGATCGTGAACGGGAACGTGACAGGGATCGTGAACGTTCGTTAGACCGTGGTCGTGATCGGGAACGTAATAGGGATGAGAGAGATAGATATGCTGATCCTCATAGGCACAAGAATCGTGAGGCAGAACGTGATGATGAAATTGACAAGGGAAGATCTTCGAGGGCTCGGCCGAAGTCACGGGCATCTCATGAGGAGGAGCACAGATCAAGATCAAGGGATGCTGATTATAGTAAAAGGCGACGCCTAACTTCGGATTAACTCATGCACTCCTTGAATATTATGTGGTTAGTTCAGAGAGAATGACTAGACACTAAATAATCGGTGTTAACCATGACCACTCACTGTCTATTGCTAGCTGTACTGTTCGATGTCTGATATAAAAAAGCTGCTGGACCCTTCTTATGAGATCCATGGCTTCAGTTATCTTATGACACAATTGAGGACGCATGCTCTTTGGTGCACGATTCAAGTAAGCGCTTCACTTAATCAGTAATGTAATGTTCCTGTATAGCTTTATATTTTCTTAACATTAATCTTATTATAGGAGTTCAATTTTCGTGAGGTGGGAAATATGGACTAAAGGCTTTTACATCTTATTGTTGTAAAATCTAGAATTTGTACAGCACCATGGCATTATATTTCCTTGTTTACATCTCTTTTTATACACATTATTTCTCTATTATCATTTGAACATTCTAGTTTATTCAATTCATTGCTAATTTGGTGTACGGAACCTGCAATTTGAGTTAGTGGGGTTATATTCCTATGATATGCATTTGCTAATGCCTATATTTATGCCTTTGCAATGATTGAGAAGGTGCGTTTGTTCCACTTCTGGTGAGTCTTGAAGTTGACTGTCCTTGAGATATTAGAATAGTTCAGAATTGGTCTCGTAAGTCAGGTGAAATTCGATTTAGTTAAAGGCAACAGCTACGTAGAAATTTTGGTCTGTTCTACATGGATTTACATTTTACTTTTAAGCAATATGCTTTGTGTTTTACTTTTTTGTGTGTGATTCAGGCTTATCAGCCTAAAGAATATCACACTAACCTGAAATTAGGGACTGTTTGGAATGATTGAGTGTAAAATAACTACATTATTTTGTGGAATTGTCGAGATTATATTCTTTTGACTTATAAGTTGGCAGGAAAATAAAGATGGCCTTTTGACCTCATCCATTATAGAATTAAGTGGCAAATATGAGTCTTATCTGTTTATTTGGTTGTGCTTTTGATGTATTGGTGGTAGTTGGTGATGATATTATGAATCTTACTTTTATTGTTGTTGCACAAAAATCCACTAGTGTGCTACACCAAAGTTGTTCTGTAAGGGGAGAGCGTGTTCAGTTTTGGGTGGGAGAATAATTATTATGGAGCAAATGATGTTTTCAAGGATATATAACATACTCAGTTGTTATATTTATACAAGTTAAGCTACTTGAACACTTGGCTCCTTATGGCTTGAGCTTGACCTGTTAATCATAATGAGTTGGACCAAGGACCGAGTTCAAGAAAAACACTTAATTGTTAGGCTTTATAAGATGATAGATTTGTAATTTTTTTTATCATATTTTTGTATATATAATAGGTAAAGGTAGAGCTTTGTTTTGAACTAATATGTTTTTAATCACTCTAGCTTGGCTCAATCAGGTTCAGAAATGAGATTCTTGATCAACTCTACTCGAATAACAACTTTATGTAATACCATAATTTGGTGAATTAGCAGCAAAAACTACTTACTTTGATTAAGGAGCCTATGTGTTGAAGCATGAAATCAATGACTTAAAACATTAGAATTTCATATAGTAGAAAACAGTTCTTTTTCTATTCTCTTCCAACATCATTCTTCACCTGAAATCCTTATGAGACATGACAAATGTGTCATATGAGGGAATTATATTTTAGAATAGATCTTTGAAACAATCAAAGCAATCAAGGTTGAATCCTATTAAGGAGCCTCTATGTTGAAGCATGAAATCAATGCCTCAAAACTTTAGAATTACATATAGTAGAAAACAGTTCTTTTTTATTCTCTTCCAACATCATTCTTCACCTGAAATCCTTATGAGAACATGACAAATGTGTCATATGAGGGAATTATATTTTAGAATAGATCTTTGAAACAATCAAAACAGTCAAGGTTGAATCCTAGTACCTTGCTGAAGAAATTAAACTGAAATTCAAAGACCTTCATTTATCATGTAGTGTTTACTTGTTGTATGCTTTGATTTTCTTCTTGTGTTGTTTTATGGATGAGAATTACTCTGAAATCTGTTGCAACATCCAACCCTTCGGATATATTAAGGGCTTCATTGTGTGTTTGTCAAACTTATTACTTGTATGCAATATATGGTCCTCGCTCTTTGCCCCCACACCCTGAACAATATATTAACATATTATAGCCCTTTCTCTGTGATATTGGAGTGCTATCATTATGTATTGATTTATTGTTGATTGTTGTTATTTTTGAGGAACTTGTTGTATTTTGACTAACAATATGGACTGGGACTTCTCTGTTCATGTTGCGAAGGAATCTGACAACTCTTTTAATGATAGCCTGTAGGATGTGAAGCTGCTCTACTGAAGTCTGGATTCTTGGGAAATGGACTGTTCACATAGCTTCTAGATGAGAGAAATGAGACGGCATGGTGACACTGCGTAGCGTGTGGTAGGGGGGCCTTTTATTTCAGTTACTGGATAATTCGTTTGTGTTTTTAAGTTCTATATGACTTTCACTACGCTTTATTGTGGATGATGGGTTAAAATGCTTACGCCTGAGATCTTGGTGGATGTTTGAGAATATATTGCTGTGTGAATGTGATGTATTGGATTAAAGACACAGGATGCTGCCATTGCTGCCCGCCTTTTCAGGGTCTTTTTGTTGTTGTAATTCCTTTGGGTATGTCATGTTTTAAATCCCACACTTTTAATTATATGCAATGATCATGTAGAATTCACCGTGTAGCCCTTAGAACAGGTGTAAATCCTTGATTTTGTTGTTGTTTTTGTTTTTTATTTTTGGGTGTAAATCCAGGGTTTGTAGATAGAAAGTGCGAAGGTTTGTACATTGCTGTATAAATCATCCTATAGTGCAACAACAGTTTTGTTACTTGCATCTATTCAATCTCTATATTGTAAATATCTAAATTCCAACTTATATTTGTTCCAGCTATTTGAAATCTGATACAGATTGAAATATGTCCAACACAAAAGTGAACTGGGAGTAGATACAACACAACTATTTCTTCACCTATTCTGTTCAGTCCTTTCTTTGTTGCCTCTTAAGATCTGTTTGATACATAACACATCTGTTTCTTTGTCATTTGGATTCTTGTTTTTATACTTTTCAAATGCTATTATTGTGGCTCATGTTATTCCCCTTTTTCCTTGGAATGATTGATTGCTTTAGTTTCTTAATGACACAATTCAATCTTTTTATCTGGGACTGAAAAGTTGTCTACATCATTTACTCAATGAAGAAACTCAGGAATTGTTGTGAGGCAATGTTAATTGGCTCATCTTGTTTGAATATGTTCTTGGTATCTCAGATTCTTTCGCCATGGAAGATAGAAAGGAAAGGGAACATCACCTTTTTCTCTCTTTCAGCAAAAGAACCACCATTTTACATATTGTACATATGTATGTATGTTTGTAAGAATTTGGAAAGGTAACTGGTGATGCTTTTCCGTTTTGGTAACATTTACATTTTTTGGTTTGGAGAATTTTTAATGATCTTATTATTCAATAATACTTACTTGGTAGTTGCTTCAGGTGTACAGACAGACCCCAAAACAAACTCCTCTTTCCACAGACCAGTTATGTCTATAATGGCAACATATGTTTCTTGCCTCCCATTTATTTTCAACCTCAGCTTTTATATTGTGTATATATTTTATTGTAAAATTGTTATAATGTATGATGATGATGATTATAAATAAATAAATATGAATAATAGTGTTGTGGTCCAAATTCCAATAGTGAATTATAATCAAAGAAAGAGGAAAAAGGCAGTTAGGATTGCTGAGTGGGGCCCACTTCAGCCACCAGCTCAATCCCCATTGGACAATCAGTCCAGATGCTTAATCGACGGCCCAGAGCCTTCCACTCATCTCCAATCCGACGGCTCATAATTTCCCTCCAGTTATCGACTTGGAACGGTCCACAGTTCTCCACGTGTCGCAGCCGATCCGTTGTTATATTACTTGATCCGACGGACCTCACATTCTTCCCGCAGACGTTAGACCTCTTCTCCCAATCCTCTCTCTTTCAATCAGATTTCCGGCGCCGGAAAGTTTGTCGGAGGTGTTCTATCGCCGGACATCTTCTGTCTTACCAACCTGGTTTTCGTGTCGAAGTGTTTTTGTTATTATTATTTTTTCCTTTTCCCTTTTCTACTCGATTATGTGGAAGGAATGGTTTGAATTTCACGTATATAGTTGATTATCGGAGTTTCTGAAGCTGATAAGTTGAAGCTTCTTTCTTCGTTTTCGTTTCTAATTTTTAGTTACTTTACTGTAATTGGTTGCATTTGTATGTGCGTGTTTTGTGAATGCTGGTTGAATTTGTATGATTCAGTTTTTACAGTAAACCCTAACTTTTATGTTGAAGAACTGCTATATCGTACTTTACAACTGTACTGTTCGTACTGACAATTCCCTGTATATTTCTACAAAGCAAAAAATCAACAGAGAAGTTTTCACAAGTTTCTACTCCTAACTTCTCCTAGCTAATCAATCGTAGTATTTCACTCCCGGAGAGAAGGAAAAATTGTGGAGAGTTATAGAACGCACCTGAGCGAGCGATTCACCGAAGGAAGAAGTAATGGCGGATTCCGACAACGAATCAGGCGGAAACCGAGACCACAACTCGCAGAGCGAGATGTCCCCGCGGGAGCAGGACAGGTTCCTCCCGATCGCCAACGTGAGCAGGATCATGAAGAAAGCGTTGCCGGCGAACGCCAAAATATCAAAAGACGCGAAGGAAACGGTGCAGGAGTGCGTGTCGGAGTTCATCAGCTTCATCACCGGCGAGGCGTCGGATAAGTGCCAGCGCGAGAAGAGGAAGACGATCAACGGCGACGATTTGCTGTGGGCGATGACCACCCTAGGGTTCGAGGACTACGTGGAGCCGCTGAAGGTTTATCTGCAGAGGTTTAGGGATATGGAGGGGGAGAAAAGCGCCATGGCGGGGAGAGGCGAGAAGGAGGACGGCAGCAGTGGCGGCGGGAATGGCGGAGTCGGCGTGAACATGGGGAGTGGCGGTGGCGGTGGCGGTGGCGGTTACGAGGGGATCTATGGTATGAGTGCGACTGCAATGGGTGGACCCGTTTACGGGTACGGGCAAATGGGCGGGCCCGGTAAATCCGGGTCGGGATACCACATGGGATCCGGGTCGGGTGGAAGGCCCAGATAGCTGAGGCTGCTTTTGTTCTCTTTAATCATTAGTCTTAATTGGGTAGAATATATATATACACTCCATATATACATAGATTAATTAATTAGTGGAGATGGAGCATTAATTATTGTATATTTAAATATCTAATAATTATACTTGTCTATGATTAAATTAAATATTTATAAATATATATAGACATTATTTATAAGGAAAACTAAATTATTTTATTTTAAATAGCGGGTGGGGTTAGTGATTCCCTAAAACTTGGGCAAAATCATTAATATTCGGGCCCAGTTTGTTGGTGACTCTATTCATTATTCACTGTTTACTTGTACGTATGTATGTGTATATATATTATTGTGAGAGGGCACGGAGGAGGAGGGACTGAGGATCCCATTATGGTGTGAATGTGTGTGGTGTTTTTATTTGAAATTTGGAATCTTTGGATTTGATATTTTTTAAGTAGAAAATAATAATATATGCATATATAATTTATTTATATATAATATAAAATTTAAGATACAAATATACACGTACTTGTGTTGCCATAAAGTTGAATTTAGTCCCACATTTACTATATGATATACCAATTGGGCCGCGCCATTGAACAACTCCAAGTGTGCCTATCAAAGTAGCTATCTCTCAAATTATGATTTATGATTGAAAGGGAATAAATACATAATTGACATAAACCATGATATAAAAATTTTGGGTGCTTGCTTTAGTTGGTTTAAATAATATATTTTGGATAGAATATTTTATATTATTTTACTTAGCTATATAGTTTCGTAACAATTAGTTTTTTAAAATTCACTTTACACAAAATTTGCATTTCCATAGAAAAGTCTGATATTAAATGATCGTCTCATCTATATTATAGAATATCAAAAATTGAACCGTAAAAATAAGTGTCAAATGAACGCGACATTTGTTTGTATATACTCGCATCTAATTTTGCTAAAAAAGATTTACCGTCAAATACATAAGTTAGTCTATGTTGGAATATACTTTTGAAATTTTTAGTATTATTGTTAATAATATTATATATATATTTTATTTCAATTAGATTAAAAAATAATAATATATTATTAGTTAATAATAAAATATATAAAATAATTTTAATATTTTTTTTCTTTAAAAATATAAAAGATATTAATATTTTTGTAAAAAAAAATAGTTAAATAATTAAATATAATTACTTTATTATAATTAAAAAACAATTTTTTAAATGAAACAAACAAACATAATAAAAAAAAATACATTGACTTGACAAAAAGAATATATTTTATAAAATATAAGATCAAATACTCATATTCTTACTATTTTTGAAATTTTACAAAAATTTTCAAATTCCAAAAACATCTGCACAAACCGTATGAATTTAAAACGTAGCACAAAGAAAACTTTCATGGCTCAAAATTGGACACATTTGAAGAAAAACAGATCCACTTTCACTGAAGAAAAGAAACTAAAACAAAAGAAAAGTAAGTGTCATCCTCCTTGGTTGTGTCACCACAGAAAATGAACTGCATTGACACTTTATCTCCACCTATTTTATTCAAAACAAATTAAATTCTACGTCTCTTCTCTCACTAAAGGAGGCAGAATTTGCCCTCATACACTACACTGCTACATTACAGACATATAGTAAAATTACAACACTACAGCTCACCAGAATAAATACATACACATTGATTATTCGCCGCCGGTAAGCATCCGAACAAAGCTGAAGGCGGCAGCATTGGGTGCAGGTCATTGTATACCCCTCTGTAGGATCTTCTGCATTTTAGAACTTCAAATCTTTGGCTGAAGCCCGGTTTTGGTTATTCCTCGTGTTTTCGCCCACCTCTTTATTACTTTCCTCAGTGGCATCAGCTAGTTTCGTAAGTTCATCCTTAATCATGATCTTTATCGCTGATTTTCTTGGCGTGAAGTCTGTAGCGAATTTCTTGTCTGATGGCAGCAGTTAACAGGCAGAAATCAGAATAAGAACCAAGGATTTTAAATTTCACCCATAAATGGAAGCATGGGGTTCATGTGCATTTCTGTCGCACAAATTGTGTCGAAGATCACATGATTTTGCTTAAGTAATATAACATTCACATGAAATTGTATACATGATGCAGATACAAAAAAACAAAACAAAAAAAAAAACATAGCGCACATCACTTTCCCGAGTAAAAATATAGAACTTACCTAGCATCTTGAGAATGTCGGTGAATGTAGCCTGTTGAAAAAAGAAATAACATCAGGTGTTTTGAAACCAGAATTAACACTTGGGATTAACAGTCTATGAAACAATATCGAATGCTTTAATTTTGAGTAAAGTCCATAATCAACATTCAAAACAATATCCAAAGGAAAAGGACTAAAGAGAAGTATGAAAAAATTTCGAACAAGTGGATTTTTCTTTGACCACTCTGCAATAAAAACATACGGATACCAACCTTATTGAAATCAACCCCTTTCAGGATTTCAACGATTCCATTTCGGAGTTCATTGTCATCTGGATCCGATTTCTTGTCCTTCTTGTCCCCTACATTCGAACATGAAGAAATATGTATATAATATAAATATACATGTAAATTCTCTCTTCAGATGTATTGGAAGGTCACAAATGAGATCCAAGTTTAGAGAAACTTCTATCATTCAGAACACCATCAGCTAACAGAAGAAAACTATGATTCTCACCAGTGCTTTCCTTAGATGCCAGCCGCCGAGGAACCGGAGCTTTCCTGGTCTTAACACCAGAATGTTCCAATTCAGTGGTCGAATCATCTTTCTTCTTACGAGAAGATTTCTTTGCAGGGGTGGATTCTCCCTTCTTACCAGACGATTTGATTGCAGTTGATTTCTCGTTGTTTTTGCCAGTAGATTTTTTCCCAGTGTCTGTATCTCGGGTGTTTTTCATGCGGCTCAGAGGTGATTTTGCAGCTCCCTTTTTGGGTGGAGGACTGGTTGTTTTCGACCTTGCCTTTTTATTGCTAGCGGCTTTTTCAGCAGATTCTTTCCTTACAGCGGACTTTTCTGAGACATGCTTCTGCTTTCCTTTGTCATCGTCACTGGGCTCTTCAGTTTCAATTTCTTTCTCTTCACTTTCAGCTAGTTCAGACATCTCATCTCCTGATTTTCTTGGCGCCCTAGCTGTTTTCAAGGTAGATTTGTTCTTGGTCGCGGCTATGCCTTTTTGAGAAGATCCTTTCTTTGCAGAAGACTTTACTGAACCATGTTTCTGTTCTTGCTCATCCACATCCTTTTGTTTTTCAGTTTCAGTTTCTTTCTCCTCACTTTCAGACATCTCATCCCCTGACCTTTCTGGAAGATCATTGGCATCTTCTTCTTCTGATTCATCCTCCGAATCTGGCATGGTGCTTTTCTTCTCACCCTTCTTAGATGCACACTTTCTCTTGCTTGGGCCCTGGGAATACAGAAGGCATGATACTGGTGCAGGAATAAATGCACATTTATCACCAGGATAGTTTGTAAAGGATTTTCTAATTATTTCGTATCTTCATAATAGTTAGTCTAATTTCAAAGAACAATTCTATCTTCGAAAAAAGTACAGCCAATAATGTCTCCATCAAATTGAGAAAGCAGATTTCTTTGTCGTGTAATTCTTATATAGTGAAAATCAATGCAGGGCATAAAAGCACAAGTAATTATTTGAAAATCTCAAAAGATAGTGAGAGAAGTCAAGCGATACTTCTAGCCAAGGTTGTCACAGCACCCTTTTGCGAAGCAGTGCCTGCAAACCGCCATGGCAACAAAGTGGCAAATACACGGCACTGTATAAACTATATGTAATATAATACATATCTTATAAGTATTAGATTATCAATTATCAAACATGTCAAAATACAACCCACAAGTTTTCCAAAACCAACATCGAAGCAAACCAAAATGTCCATTGAAATAAATTAGATTTACAGATAAAAAACAAAAGTCCCAGCGCAACATATGATAATGTAATACTATAAACCAAAATAAGTAGAAATATAAATCACAAATTAGGATAAAAACCAGCAGCAGCCAGCAACATCATGGGAGGTGAAAAATATACAAAAAAACTCATGGGAGTTGCAGCCAGCAGCAAACGGCGCGGCAGCAGGGGAGAGTGCAGGGAGGATGAGAAATGAATTAGGGTTCTGCTTCGATCGACCTAATTACTGAACTAGGCAATGTTTTGGGCTGAGGTAAGAGTGGGCTGGGCGGCACAGCCCATGGCATCGCCAGGCCTTCTTTAAGAAGGTAGGTGTATTGCTCCCGGCCCTAACAAGTGCCGGGACGCCCTGGCGACACCGGGACAACTATGCTTCTAGCCCTAATTTGATAAATGTCACTTTAGAAAATGAATAATCAAATCAACACAATAAAAAGGTACCTTAGCCAAATCTTTTGATGCTTTATCATCACTGTCAGCAGTTGATTTGCTTGCCCTTTTTCTCTTTTTGCTCTTACTTGACTGGATATCAAAGAAGAAATGCATGTAAATAAGCACAGGGATAATTTAAAAAAAAAAACAAATTATGTTCTAGGCATTTTCTCTCTAGAACCTGCTCCTTCTCTGCAAGTAATTCTGAGGTTTTTGCATGAGGCGCCACCAAAAATTCAACCAACTTGCTGATAATATCTTCCTGAAAAACAAAATATGTTAAGATATAATATAGCACTCATGATAGATATTAATGACCAAATTCCAAATGAACTACAGGATTACTCCTGTCGTAGCCTTAGCCATCGAACGCTAATCAGAAACATATTGAGTCACCACAATCAAGGAACTGCACACTACTTCAACTCAATCAAAACTATGGAAGCAATGTACTGAAAGGAGATAAGAACAATAAAGCCCCAAGGAGCATCAACTAAGGCTTAAATATGTTGTGCCCATCCTGCTGCAGTAAGCATAAAAATGTAAGGAAACGGCTGCCATGGCTGGTTGGACTTCAGACTGTTCAATGGATGGGCTTGCCAGTGTTCTTATGTTGCTATCAAATTGCGTTGCAGTGCTCCTCAATTAATAGTCATGATTCAGAAAAAACCTATGCATTTTTTTACTAAAAAGGTAGATAGATAAATAGATAGACCAAGAATTAAAAAAATATATTAAAGCATGATTTCCAAATGAGGGCACGGGAGAAACAGTTAAATGAATATGATTCCATATTCTTAAGTTGACATTTAGAAATGTAATCACCTTTCTTGTAGTAGCCTTGGAAACAGTTATATCAAGGACATCACATAACTCCACTAGTTTCTCCTTGATGCACTTATCTAGTTTTTCCTTCAGTTTGGTAATCTGTTTTTCCTGAGAATTTTCAGTGGAATACAAAATTATATAAGTTTGGAGGAGGAAGACCAATGAGATGTACAAAATCTATCATCATGCTAACAATAAATTTTTGTCTTCACCTCATTATCATGCCAAACAAAACCAGAGAATCTTGATATATTGTTCTTCACTTCAGCAGCCTAAATAAGTCAAAAGAGTAAGAAACAAGCAGCACATTAAATTTCTCAACCAAATCACAAAATCTTGGCAAAGAACACTAGATTACTTAAGCAAGATTCACATAGTGCACAAGGTATTAAATCTGAAAACAGTATGATCATGGATAAATCCTATGGGGTTAGCATGATATCCAAACATAGAACCTCAATAATGAAAGAACATTGGAAATGTAACCTATAGTTTATGGTACATATACATACAAGCATACGACAAGAAATACAGTTGAAGAAAAAATAAAACAAGCAAAATTCAGCCTGACTAGATATTAAGAAGCTTAAGGTGTACTGAGGAAATAAAGACCAGGCAAACACAATTTAAATAGGACTTCTCAAAACTACTAAACTACCTTTAATAGATGTAACTGACAAATAATAGAACCAAATAATCTGAAGCCAGAGCATAAAGGAGCTAAGAACAAAAGTCAAAAGCATTACCTTTCCCCTCCTTCCAAACAGAATAGTATGCAACAATTTGAACGTGTCATCAGTTTTCTTTCTTGACAACTTGTAAGCCACTAAAAGCATAATGAGGTTAGATATAAATCCAATAAACTCACTCAGCTGGACAATATTTTAAGATGTACCAAAAGGCGACATGTTTATTCATAACAGCACATGAAAAACTTCCTAGTCAAACTGCAAAACATTGGGCAGAGAACCACAAGAATTATGGAGTACTTGGATATTAAATCAGAGAAAAATCTAACATGATGTATGAACTTTACACACCCATAATTAGTATGCATGTAAAAGTGCATTAAATGTGCATATTTTTTGGATTTAAGTTATTATGAATCAAAGCAATCCTAAACATAACTTCCTAACTTTTTAGATGTGCTCATTCGTGAACTGGTTTAAGTGGAAAGTTTTGAACGGTAAATAATCTCAGAAGACAGATGCGGTAACAAAATAATGACAGAGAACTTTTTATTAGATGATCAATTTAGGAATATCAGTCCGCTTGTCTTTCATCCTTGGAAGGCAGTCACAACAAATCCAGGAGATGGAATTTTGATGTGGCAGCATCTTATTTATTTAGAAAAGATACAAATACTTGGCAGGCTAAGACTTGTAAAATTCTTCATATATCGTGGTAATCAAGCACAAAACATCTCAAGTTCTTTCCATATATGATCCCGTCGAATCTTTTCGATATGCAAAAATATAATAAGCCTTTTAAGTGCCGTCAAAAATACCAATTACATCATAAATGCAACCCCAAGATTGACACTTGCTTATATATTAAAGGGTGTGGAATATTGTGAGTTTTCATGATGTTATACATACTACAGCTTTAGATAATCAATGAAAGGTATAAAAGAGTACGGATGATTAGAGCAGAAGTGGGATTGCATGAGTACAGGAATATGCACATAAGTTTGAAGTTGACTCTCAACAGACATAATGACTTAACCTAAACATATATTTTGTATATACATGAACATGAGAATAAAAAAGATATCATTTGACTATAATTTGCATAAACATGTTTCCTTGGAGGGGCATAAAATATGGGGAGACGTTAACCAAATAAACATTTTATTTTGTGAAGCTTAAGTTCAACCGAAAGGCCAAAAAGAGAGAGAACAAGATAATCTAGCAAAGAAAAAAGATGCAAGATTCATCGAGCAAAACTGACAAAAGCAATGTGAAAGCAGATTTGATATAAATGCATCTAAAGACTAAGATTGTACCATTTGGAATATCTTTAAGTGCAGTTCCACGACCCTGCAAGTAAAGCATAATTCATCATGTCAAAAAAGACCTTCATTAAATGTCATTTAATTTTGTGCTATGGAGTCAGTGGAAACTAATTCATACTAAATGAGGACACCAAAACAAATTTGAAGCCGGTACCTTTTTGATGCGGAAATCCTTTCCAGAATCTTTCAGAATGGTATTCACCAACCTCTCAACAGATTTCCTCTGCCGGACAGGGCGCTCAATTGTGGATGCTGCAGGTGTTTTTGGTTCCTTTTTATCTTTCAACGCTTTACGACCAGTTTTATTTAATGGTGTTTTTTTCTTTGTTTTCTCTTCAGGTTCGCAATCATTGCTTATGTCTTTTTCCCCAGGGCTACCCTTACTTCTTCCTCGTGTCTTTGATCCCTTCCCTGTGCTGGGTTCCTCTGTACTTCTTGTATCCTCATCCACGTCTTCAATGCCATCTTCAACTTTAGTCTCTGAAATATTATGGGTATTCTCCTCGGTGTCTTCCTCCATTTCCTCACTCTTGGTTCCCTTGTCATCGGTATCTTTTCCAGCTGCTTCCTTTACTTCCTTCTCTTCTTCTATAAACTTTTCACCCTCCACAATTTCATCAATTTCCTTATGTTCATCAACACTTTTCTCCACATGAATCTCTGACTCCATGTTATGTACATTGTCTTCTTCCATTTCTTGAAAGCTTTTTCCATCTTCCCCTTCAGTACCCATCAAAGCATCATTATCGACATCTTCCCCTTTAGTACCCATCAAAGCATTACTATCGACGTCTTTCCCTTTAGTACCCATCAACGCGTCACTATCGACATCCACCTTGGACGACTTCTCCTCATCAGCATTACCATTTTCCTCTGGAATATGCTGCTCTAACACTGCACCGCCTTCACCCATACCAGCAACAACTGAAGTGGTGACCTGAGATATTTAGTATAAATTCTTGCTCGTATAGTAATTATTACATTCCATATCAATCTAAATGAAAAAATATAGATATAGAAACCCAACCCTAATATAAATAACCCAAATGGGATAACACTAGATGCATTGAAACCAAAAAGGCGATCCACACCCACGACTAATGATTCTCCATAGAAAGCTACGCAAGTCATAAAACTGACGCAAATTCCAATTAGTATGAAATTCCAAACCAAATTAACACATAAATGGATACTAACACATACATCGTCCGCACGTTCCACCTATAGTCTATACACGATCACCATCACAGCAACTAGATAGTTAGAAACACAAAAACGTACGCTGGCAAAACGCAATAAAAGAAATAAAAAACCCTCACAAACGGCAGTAACCCTAACCTCCAGATACCGAAATTCTAACACCAAAATCACAGCAAAAAAAATATATAATAATAATAATAACAACAAAGCACAGTGCAGAGTTCCAAAAACCAAAACTTCACAAAGAAATTGCAATATAATTGAGGCTTACAAAGTTCAAAAAGGCTGAATTTTCAAGATTCCTTGCTGCCCAATCTCTCCCTCAAATCCTAACGAAATCCTAGTTTTCGTTTTCCCTCTTCCTCCGCTGTCTGTGTCTCTCTGTCTTCTCTAATTCGCGCTCTCTCTTATAATAGTCCAGGACTCCAAGTCCAGTTTAAAATGCCACGTCGGATTGCTGACGTGACACACTATCACTATGCGGAAGAAAACGATACATAATTTAACGACACAGATCGGCCATCGGGGGTTTACAATCGACGGCCAAGATTTCATTTCTTTTTGAACGACCTTCCTGTCTACAGCAGCCCGCTTGGCCGTTGGGCTAATGTGGGCCTGTTGGGCCTAAATGACTAGTGGATCGTCAGCCCATTTTACAAATGGTGGCTTTTTGTGTGTGTAACTATTAAGATCAAAATAATTTTTACATTAATAAAAAGATGGAGATATAAAAGCAAGAACAAGATCCCGCAATAATCTAAAACTTTGAAGTTTCATCAATCTATGTCTTATTGAGCCCATTGCAATGTCGAGCTCAATCAACCTGTCTTCCCCAGTGATGATCTCATAGCTAACATCTGTGAGGAAATCTTGCAGCTCCAGGCCATGTTGTAATAATGCAGGTTCTGCCAATTGATCATGTCCCTTCCTTTGCTCTGGTGAGGCTATTTCAATGATGTCTTCATCCATGTCCTCCGAGGCAAGCCGAATTTGATCGTCTTCGACTTGCAAGCCCTCGTGGATGAGAAAGCTGTCTTCTTGATCATGCTTTACTTGAGTGAAGAGTAGGAAGGAAAGGGAGAGAGCCACTGCTGGAAAAGGGTGGATGTCGAAAGTCGAAATAAGCGATGAGAGGCATAGCATGGAAGCTCTGAAGAAATGGATTGTGGATAGTGTAAGAGAAGAGTTGTGATGAGGTGATTTCTTGGATTCAGACATGGGACTGTGACCTGTCCCGGGATGTCGCCTGCGGCTGCAAGAAAGAAGTATGATGTTAGATGATAAGCAAAGAAGCCATAGAAGTAGGGACTTAATATATACAGAAAGTCGGACCCCTTTTGAGTTCTGCTTGTCTTGACGAGTTTGTTGAGGCGAATGATGGTCCTTGTCTGCGATGAGGAAAGCCAAGACGATGATGGCGCGGTCACTTCTTGTTGTCTGCAACTTTTATCGAAGCACATTTGCTATATTATGATGGAAGTAGGAAAAAATGTCAGAATTTCGCACCTTGGGTATCCCATGTTGTTGGCAAAAGTGGCCTCCTGTGATGGAACCTGTCTCAAGTTACCTTTGAGAACAACAATTATAGTGTAATTCACTTCATTTAAAAAGGCTAAAGCATTGGAGCAAGAAGAGCAATTGCTTCTATATACTTGTCTCAGAAGAAATAATGCATTGAATCTCTAATCAAAACTGTACAATGAAGTTGAACTATGTAACGCTAAGTGTCTAATATTTGGTAATGAATTCTGCTGATGAACACCTTCTGATTCTATGATTAAATACGAGATCGAAAGAAACGAGAAGAAACCTCGACAATTTCACCAACAATGTAAACCAGTGAAACCAATGATAGGATGAATTATCATTGTGATTCGATCTTTCAAAAGTTCAGGTTGTGTAGTCAGTGGCGAAATCTGCTGATGGGCGTCAACCATGTATGCCGTTTGCCTCGCGGGGTCCGTTTACAATCTTCCCATCTGCACTCGGGAGGTGTTAGGACTTGAAAATGCAACAAATGTATGTAATTTTAATAAAAAAATCTTACCAGCGTCGAAACCAAGGAACTCTAGTCCAACAGCTGAAGGTGTCAAGTTGTACAGGGTCAAGTACTCGGCGTTGTAGAACTTACTCAGGTGCCTCATCCCGCTGTCGCATAAAATTGTGACGATGGTGTGACCTGGACCCAATTGTTGAGCCACTTTGACAGCTCCAACACAGTTCATTGCCGAAGAGCTGCCAATGAAGAGGCCGTCATTCTTCATTAAGTACCTGGGAGATAAACAACCTCACATCAAGCTCCAACAAATTCAAAGAAGGCGCGTATATGAATCACTCCAACCATAAAACCAAAATCCTAATTACTTTTAGGAAAGTACAAGTAATACTAAATCCGTAATCCTTGACAACCAGTCACCAATTATAGCATAGCACGGATATTCAATTTTATCGTTATAAGATCTCATTCAGGATCAACCCACCAACGAGAAAATGGCAGGCTCTATCACATAAACAAGTAAATAAACATAGAATGCAATAGGGGAGGAGACCTCTGCAGGGCCGTGAGGATCGCCTCGAGCAAGGTAATAATCACAATTTATCAAGCCTGCTTCTTCCAAATGGCATTGAGTTCCACTATTAACTTTCTTAAGCTCTCTCAACTAAAAACTCATGTGACTAGGAAATGGGAATTTCACACGATGTATCCAACAATTGAATTAGGGTCATGGCTAACCTTGACATTTCAACAGCATCCTTATCAGAGCCTCGGAATGCCCCATCAAGCACAGCCATTTTAAAGTTCTCGGTCAATCTATTTATCCCAATTCCTTCAGTGATGGTATCAAATGGATTTCTCAGTCTTCGGCCCTCAGCCTCCTCTTTAGTGTACATGACTCCTCTTGTCACCTTGTTGAACAAACCAGAACCAGGCGGATCAATTAGAAAGCACTTGACGGCTGAATTCTTTTCCTGTATAATAAGTGAAACGAAGAAGGTTATCTCCCAACATCAATTATGCTTGGAATAATCTCGACAATTAGCCAAAACAGACCTTCAAAAACCGGGAAACCCCTGCTACAGTACCACCCGTGCCAGCAGCTGCAACAAAAGCATCCAATTTGCCACCAACTTGCTGCCATATCTCAGGTCCAGTATCTTCATAGTGCGCCCTAAAATTGGCAAGGTTCTCAAACTGATCGGCAAAGAAACCACCCTTGTAGTCGGCCGGGCACTTGGTTGCCAGTTCATTCGCTTCCATCGCCCTTCTTCTTGCAATATTTACAAAGTGATCCTTGTGAGTGATTGAAACAGGTCTAACCCTTTCGACAGTGGCACCAAGAGCTTCCAGAATCTGAGACTGCAATGCATAAACACTTTATTGATAACAAACCCCAAGGATGAAATTAAATGAAGAATTTTTGTAATCATGCAATGGATCTATACCTTCTCGATGGCAGCATCATCAGGGATAACCACATGGCATTGGCATCCATAAGCTGGAGCAACTGTGGCAAGGCTAATAGCTGTGCTTCCTGCACTTCCTTCAGTGACTACTCCCCCTGGAAACAGACCTCCTGATTGCAGTGCCTGTAAAGTAGTTAATAGATGTCCAAAAATAAAACAACACAAGCTTTATCGAATTCGAAAAATAGATATCAGAAACATCAAGGAGTTCTCCAGCAGTATAATTAGAATGCATCCAGCATCCAGCAAGGTATCTAAGTTCAGGAAATTTCAAAGGAGAACCGACGTACCTCTTCGATGATTTTGACAGCCACTCTATCCTTCACGCTCCCTCCAGGATTCAAGAACTCTGCTTTCCCAAGAATCTGCTCGCATTAAATATATATATTAGGAAAAGGAAAAAAAATATAAAACGATCGGGAGAAGGTAGAATGAATCATTACTTCGCAGCCGGTGGCGGCGGAGAGACTATTGATCCTGATTAGAGGTGTGTTGCCAATGGCAGCGACGAGTCCACTTCTAGGACTTCTCACCGAAGACTTCCCGCTCGAAGATTTTGAACGGCTCCGCTTGCTGGCTACAATTACGTAAGAAAGTACCGCTACTAGGGAAAGTGCCGACACAACTGCGCCGACGGCCCTTACCGGTGGCGCCATCCTTGAACCGCCCTAGATTGGTTGAGTTTTGGTCGGAAAACCAACTGTAATCGACCACAGAGGAAGTCGGCAAATAATCACGAGATTGGATTGAGCCCAACAGGCACTGGGCTGTTATTATTATTATTTTTTTTTATATGAATTATAGTGAATATATCCAAAATAAGTACATCTAAGCGTGTTAGTTTTGTAAAAGATATTATTTTTTATTTTTATATGGATTATAGTAAATATATAAATAATATAAAAATAGCGAAATATATTTATCGGCCCAATTGTTAACTCTTAAAGCTTGATGTTTGAAGTGAAGACTAGCAAAGAGTTAATTGCCATTGAAAAATATAAAGATGGGAATTACAAAGAATTTTGAGATGGATTAACTACAAAGAACAATTATAAGGGCGTCTATGAGAATATTTTATACTTCCTTACTTCCAGCTCATTTGTTCATTTTAGTTAGTAACCAAGCAAGTAATTTAAAAAATATATTAGTAGAAATAATTATAAATTAAGATTAAAATTAAAATAATTAAATTTTAAAAATTATAAATTATTAATTTTAAATGTGATTTAAAGTGTAATTATACTCTTTTGTTCCTTAATAATCTATTTATTTTTTTTATTTTGATCTGTGTCGTAACCAAGTATTATTTTTTTTTAATTGTACTATTTACTAATATTATAAATACCCTTATAATTTATAATATATTATACAAATATCATTACATTTATATCATACAATACTAAAGTTAGTTTAGTCTGTTTATTTTTATTTCTATTGTATCTCAATATAATACTAATATTTCTAAAATTCCATAAAAAAATAAATGAATAGATAGATATGAGACGATGAAAGTTTTTTTTTTAAAAAAAAAATTAATTTATGTGGAACAAACAAATATAAAAAGAGTGAAAAAAATAAATGTGACGGAGAGTATACAGCAATAGCCGTGAGGAAGTTTTCAGTTTGTCCATCCATCACATTATGTTTTGATTTTCCTTTTTTTTTTTGCAATTTTTCTTTGTGTATTTTATAGAATAATACTTCCTCCGTTTCAAAACTATAATTTTAATTGGGTTGGACACGAGATTTAAATAATATTAATATTATATTGGTAGTCGGTAAAAAAATATAGTTAAAAGACTTTTTTGCCTTTGTGAGTGTATTAGTGTAAAAAATAGTGACAATTATATAATAAAAATGAAAAAGTATTGGTAATTTTACGTTGATATGGTTAGTTATGGAAATAAAACTATTGTTTTTAAACGGACAAAAGTGATAAACAAGAATATTATATTGAGAAGATAGAAGTACCTAGTTTAATTACTTTTGAATCAATATAACTTGTTTGCGCTATTTGTTTGTAGATTAGTTTGCATCCCTTTTCTTAAACTTCTCTTGTAGCATTCGGGATTCACATCTAATTATCCGAAAATTCACCAATCACCCCAACAAAAATTTTTAGACCAAAAATTATTTTCAAACCAAACACAAATGTATATAAATGTAAAATATATTACGTCATTGTATACAACAAGGGTTCTTAGGCTATTGCGTCATTATTTTTAATTCCAACAATAGTATTTGAAACTTAATAGGCAATATTATTTTGAAACTCGAACATTGATTCAATGATATGATCTTTCGAAGTTACAAAGTCAATAATTTAGTCATAAGAGAATTACTATTTATCATCAAATTATTATTGCATATTGGTCAATTTTTTGGACTGTCGCTGTTAAAAAAGAAAAATAAAAAAGGGAATATATAATGAATACGATGCAAAGTGAAGTTGCAGACGAGAATAAAGTTAGATACTCTCCTTTATAATTTTCATACACACGCATATATATTATTTAAAAAAAAAAAAAAAAACTAATTCATTACTAGAAATTAGTATTAGCTTTATTAGCAAACCATGCATCATTATTATTATTATTATTATTGTTATTATTTTTAAGAAAACTTCAGATAGAAATTATATATCTGCTTAGATTAATTTTAAGATAATTTATTTATTATTATTATTTTTTTTACGACGTGAGAATCTGCAATCATTACCTGAAAGTGCGCACTGAGTAAATCCGACCAAATCTAATACTCTGCAAACTAAGCCGACAGACAAGTCATGCTATGCCAATCCGCAATCATTACCTGAAAATGCGCACTGAGTAAATTCCGACCAAACCTAATATCCTAGAAATTAAGTCCGACAGACAAGTCAACCATATGTGGCTGGTGATTTAAAATGTGGGGGTTTTATTTATAGGGTATATAATATGATAAAAAAGAATACATATGTTAATATATATATATATATATATATATTTATATAAATAAAGGACACATGTGTGAATGCCATGAGCAATATTTTGGAATAAAATAGTGTTGATTTATAATTTATAGTAATGTTTTTTTTTTTGCTTTTTTATGATTTGAAAATTAGCGGCTGTCACCCGAAAATAAGCACCGGGTAAACCCTCGAAGAAAAAATCATAAATTCAACCCTTATATCACGAGACTATCCTTACTGAACAATATTCTAATTTACTTAGAAATGGTGTAAAAATATATCTTCCTAATTACTTGTGCGATGTGGAAAAATAATTTTATCAATGAATATAAACGTATCGTAATTATTATTTTCATTAAACCAATATGTGCCATTACAAGACAAAGTATGATAATTTTACACACAAATATTATTTGTACGTAGACAATGTCATACAAATAGTAATACATAAAAAATAATAATTAATAAAAATTTACAGAGACGTAGCTTAATCAGTCGTCGTTAATGGCGTCAGTGGATTCAGCAGCTGCTTCGTTCACGATGATCTCCGCCTTCATCCTCCTAATGAATTCTTCAATCCTCTTACTCAACTCTTCACCGTCATCGTCGCCGTCGCCGTCGTGTCTGCCATAATTAAACTGATCAATATTATTATCGTCGTCATCGAAAATCCAGAACCTTCCAGGCTCGTCTGCATCTCCATCTCCGTTCTTCTCTGCATCAATTTCCTCTTCGCTCTCTGCAATATTAACAACACAAGTTTCCTCCGGAGGTGGTTTGGTCCTCAGCGCCGCCGCCGCCGCATCTTCTTCTACTGATTCAGGCGATTCCTTCGATTCGTGTTCCATTAACAGACTATTCAATTCTTCTCTCGAATCGAAGGATAAGACTGCTTGCAAGCCATGGCTGCCGATGAACCTCTTCTGCGGCGGCGCGTCGTCGTCGTCCTGCAGGCGGTGCGGCTGAACTAGGCCTGAGGTTTTAGCTAGGAAAACGAGGAGGCCGTTGCATAGGAGAAATAGGAAGTTTTTGTTCATAGCCTGGGTGAGGAATTGATAGGAATTTGCAGAGATGGAGTGGTGAAAGTCGGCAGAGAAGTGGATTAACAGAGAAGGAAATACGTAGGAGAAGACGAAAGAGAAGATAGAGAGGGAGAGAAGTAGCTGAGGAATCATCGTCTTCTTTTTCACTGGTGATTGAATTATCGCCATGAATGCGTTTTTCGAGCTCCAATCATTCATTTTTGCTGCTGTGCTCTGATACAGTAAGTAATGTCCGGTGACTTTATATAGGCAATATTGGGTAACTGATTTTACGAAAATAGCCCTGGGCCAATGCGGTTTCCGTTTTCTGTAAAACCGGTCCAATTACTAAAAGCGCTAAAACCCTAAAATAGCGCTTTCAAGAAATTTCAGTTGCAGCCTGCAAGCTCGGTCTTTCTCCTCCTCCTTGTTCCCGACTCCCACCGCCGACCTCCGTCCATTTCGGCTGTCTTGTCATCGTGCCCTCCTCTCTGCTTCGGCCTCTGTCTCCATCTCCGCATCCGACTACATTGAGCACGGTCGTTGCTCCGTCCGCCTCTGCCGACCTGCTCGCTCGCTGGTCTGCCTCCTCCAATCCAATACTAGGTATTTTGCTGCAAGATGAAATCGTGCCGTTTCTGTTTTTGAAACATTAGGCTGAAGCGTCACTATTTTTGTAGTGCAAGATCTGTTTAGGGTTTAGGTTTGGTTCGTGGTATTAGAGAGGGACTCTCTTTCTTGCAATCACTAAATTAATTGATCTGTTGCATTTCTTGAATTTATCTTATGTCCTTGACTATTCCAAATGTTAGATGGACCAGCTTTAATCATGTTTTTTCAAATTAGAATAGAAAATATATTTGTCATGCACGAATGAACTGTAATCTTATAATTTGAATTTTTTTATTTTAATGGAGAGAATGGTTGGTGCATAAATGAGCTGTAACTTATTTATTTGTTTCATTTGAATTTTCTTCTGGATTTCTGAAACGATGTGCAGTAGGATTCATGATTTTAGTTTTGGATATGAAGGTGGTTCTAAGTTAGTTTGTTTTTTTTTTTAGTCTTTATTGACATGAGATTTATTTTGAAACACACTTTCTCTGTAGTCCCGAAGCTTGGCACTGATTGAAGAGCCAGTGATGTCCACATTAATCCGATCTCGACCGCATCTGTTCTCAATCCTGACGAGGAATAACCGCCGACTTTCCTCAAATTTGGCCACTGAACCACCGAAGGAATCTATCATTTCTGACTCAATCCTCCGTGATCAGCCTCCACCAAGCGCCCCCCCGCCACCGGTTGCAGAGAAGAATTCATGGGGTTTTCTCAAGTATGGCCTCATTGCAACATTGACTGGTGGCGTTGCAACTGCAGGTTATGCTACCTATGGTGGGTGTCATTCTGCTTATTCAATTTTTGGTTGCATTGTTGAATGGATGGAGCTGGTTCATGTGAATATGGTGGTTGTGACTTTATATTTTTGAGCTAATTGTTTTATGCTCAACAAACAGTAATGGGAGGAAACCACTGAAACGATTTTTATACAATGATCCATATTTGAGTTTGGAGAGAAAAATAAGATGGGGGGTTTAGAAATGGTAAAAAGATTGTCCAGACATATATTTAGCTTGTTTAATGGTTTCCTCCCATTACTGTTTGTTCAGCATAAAACGATTGCATGACTTTTTGTTCTCGCATTTTTATCTGAATGCAGATTTAAAGGACAATGAATCAATTTCCTGTGACTGATTTCACTAATTTGATATTGCGCTCTCCTTGTGTTTTTCTTTCATTCCACAACTACCATTGTGTTATTGAATTTTGCTTCACTTTCAGATGTCTGTTTCTGTGTTTTAACTTGTAAATTTGTTTAGTTAAGCCATTGATCTATGCTTCCTGAAAGGCACTCAGGTGGACATAGAGTTTAAGAATAATAATATGCTTGCTCGCTTGCTTGCTTTTCAATGGAGTTTGCTTTTAATAAATGCCTTGACTGAGGGTGCTGCTAGTATCTTGCATTCAATATCAATGTTATATGGATATTTGTTTGCAGCATATTCATCGGATGAGATTGATCAGAAGACTAAAGCACTTCGTGCATCTGCTAGTTACTCTGTTGGGGAAGATGCATCTTCTTTTGATGTAAGTCTGACAGCACCCTTATTAGTTCTCATGATATATGCATACCTGAAGTTCTTTGAATCTTTTCTTCTTGACTTGCCTATATGCTACAGTTTCTGGGGAGATGTTCTAGTATTGCATAAGAATGAAGCAAAGTGAATAATATATATTGGAAAATGGATGAGGTGCATTTACTGACAAGTGCATGGTGGGAGAATAGGAGCATAAAGCTTTTTTTTTTTTTTTTAATTTCTCAGGGTTTTGGTATTAAAGGGTAGGTTTGGAATTGTGCGAGTGTAGCTGAATATTATTTTGTAATGTGAGTGAAACATATACCGGACATATCAGGAGCAGCCTGATGATTGGATACCCCTTCCTTAAATTGCATTTCTTGTACCTATTTCCAGCCACCTGGTGCCTTCTACTGGATTTACATGTGCCAACTTTTCTGTATTTATCTCTAATTTTATGAGATACTGATTTTAGCCATCTAATGCCATGCAGAAATTTAAAGCCTATCTTCAAGCTACTGCAATGACAGGTGAAGCTCTATCCATTTTAATTTTGTGATTTCCACCCTTCAAGTTTTTTGGAAACCTACAATTTTGTCTCTTTATATTCTGATAAGACCTTTAGGCAGTTTGTCAATATCATTTACCCATGAATATTCTTATCCTCTTTTGTTTGTTGCAGTCCCTGCCAAATTAGTTGATGCGTATCTTGATTTGAGGACATGGACTGAAGAACAAGTTCGGGTAAGTGACTCTATGCATGTTCAATTGTTAGATTTGGAATGTAAGATGCTTATTCGTGAAGTCCTTCACAAATCTTGTTGCTTCATGTAGGGTTTTACTGAACCAACATCAGATAAGCTCCTGCCAGATTTGCATCCTTTGGAGCAGCATGCGTTTACCCTTGTTCTTGATTTGAATGAGACATTGATATATTCTGACTGGAAGGTATATCTCATCTGCTTCATTCAGGTTATGTTGGTATATATTATTACTTTACACACATTCATGAATCATGATACTGTCCTTTCTGCATTACACTATATAGGGTTTTTTTGCACTTTACTCTGTCCATTACTCTTTAAGTGAATGGTATCAAATATCTTAGTTTGACTTTGTGATCTCCTTTGATTCCCTGTTCCATAGCGTGATAGAGGATGGAGGACATTCAAGAGACCTGGTGTGGATGCTTTTCTAGAGCACTTAGCTCAATTTTATGAAATCGTAGTATATTCTGATCAGCTAAGTATGGTGAGTTCCACCTTTCAAAAGGAAAAAGGAGTTTAGGGTTTAGGACTGTTCCTATGATTTATTTATTATTGTTTATATGCCTTTATTAATTATTTAGTAATAATCCAAACCGTTTCTGATATATGTGAATGTATCAATATTGCAATTGCAGTATGTTGATCCTGTTGTTGAGAGATTGGACCCGAAGCACTGTATCCGATATCGGCTTTCAAGGGGGGCAACTAGATATATAGATGGAAAACACTATAGGGTATGCCCACTCACTTGTGTAGAATTGTGCAAGCGATTTTATTATTCATGTTTCTTATGAAATATCTAAGGTATGCCCACATAAATAGTTACCGTCAAGAGTTAGCTAGAACATGCAAGGATTCTTGCTTTCCAGTTTCTGACTTGCTTGTTTATAAGTTTCTACTGATTTGAGATTTATCTGTTGCACATCAGAAATCCACACATGCATACAGACACACACATACACAACATTACTGGGGTGTACCCCGAAGCTGACTCTTAACATATGTACCTGATGATATTCCATATAATATGATGCTAAAAGTTCTACATTTGAGGGATTCTCCATGGCTATAATCATTCTGGATATGTAACTGTGATGTTTTGATCCCAAACACAAAAACCAATTCACTGGCCTGGTCAACTGTGAAATTCCCGTTTGGCTTCATTCCTTCTTTTCGCGATATTGCTAGATGACTTACTGGTTTATTCTGAAATGCTCTCATAATGTAAGTAAATGACCTTAAGCTTTCTTTATTGCTCAACTTTTGAAAAGTTATGGTAATGTATACTTATCCTTAGTTTGTTTGGATTTGCTATTAATCAATAAGCACATCTGGTCATTTCCTACTGAATATATAATTGAAAAAAAGTTGCTTTAAAGTTCTGTGGATGTATGGTGTAATGAGTGCACATTACACTTTATTGGTTGCTGACATGAGTGCTCTTTCTCATCCTCATACTAAAAAAGATACAATGCTATTGGTCGCATAAGATATTAAGCCTGCATAACTCTTACATTTAGCTTCTTTTCGGTTGTACTGCTTCTCATATGTCATAAACATCATTTAATTAAGATACCTCTGCTGCAGGACCTTTCAAAACTGAACAGAGATCCAGCAAAGGTTTTATATATTAGTGGTCATGCACTAGAAAGTAGCCTTCAGCCTGAAAATAGCGTCCCATTAAAACCATGGCAGGGGGAAGGAGATGACACTGCACTTTTAGATCTTATTCCATTCCTAGAATGTAAGCGATTGTTATACTGTTTCAATTCATTATACTTTCATTGATGGAACTCTCAGGTTGCTTTACAGATATTTTCAGTACTTTTTCCTCTGCAATATAAAGTATGACTTCTTTCGTTGCAGATGTTGCCAAACACCGACCTGCTGATATTCGAAGTGTTCTAGCTTCATATCAAGGCCATGATATTGCAAAAGAGTTCATTGAGCGATCCAAAGAACATCAAAGGTATTTCAATCGTTTTCCTAATTTATTCTTACCTGTCAAATATAATATGATAGGTTTTATGCAGGTCACCATGTCAATTTTCCCCTTTGTCTTCTCCCAACTCTTCTTCTTTTTTCACTTTCCCTTTTTAGTAGGGAAAACTTGTCATTAGTTGGGTTGGAGATTGGTTGTTTTTCTGTACAACAACGACAACAACAACAAAAAAAAAAAGGAAGAAAAGAAAGGAAAAGAAAATTCATTTATAACCAACAACTAAATGGTTTTCTGACCTTATCTCTTGCCGATTTTGTTTGGCGTAAGACTAGTTTCTCTTGGTGAGGCTTGTGTACTTTTTACTGTTGGGTAATGTTTGATATTCGTTTTTGTGTCCATTATGATCTCTTTTGATGCAATGCTGGCCGTTCCTCTCCTCAGTTTCTGAATTATGTTGTCATTTTATGGCTGGTTTGACAAATAGCGGTGTATCGATTATATTGCTCTACTTCTGAGTGCATTTTCCATGGTGCAGGAGGATGCAAGAGCAAAAACAGCAGGGACGTAGCCTTTGGAGACGCTAGACAAGTATCAAAGAAATCCAGTTGAGAGAAAATACGGGCATATGTTTCAGTCGCAAGTATTCTCCTAGGCTTCCCATATTGATGAACAAAAAGTCTTTTATACGCCACATATTCTATCCATTTATAGCGTGTTATCGATCGATGGATCACTGTCTTGTTACTCAGTTAGCAATAATTCTCGGATCCAGCCAGCATTTTCCCAATAGGCCGGAAAGTGGTGGATAAATTTTGCAAAGCATGTCCTGTCCCGGTCGTAAAGTTTTTCCAAGAAATATATGATTGTCCCTTTACACTGCTACACCATTGTATTCATTATTTTAGAGGTTCTCTGTGATGAGGTTTTTAGTTTGGGAACCCTTTTTTATGTGAGAACATATTATATACTATTTTAAGTACAAGTAATGTCTGGTAGGTAAGACCGAGTCTACTCATCGCATCAACTCGGCCACAGGCCTGGTCGTTTAACAACGGGAACAACCAGCAAAGGATCCTGCCGTCTAGCCGTGACGCTCGGCTTCTTGCCGGGTCTCTGCTGGTCGCCAATGACTTCTCATTTACGAGTCCATTCTCAAACAACAATCAGACAATGCTTATGGGACGAAAACTTTTTTGAGTGCATGTAAGATGATCTCTTTTGTATTCACACAAAGCTTTTCTTATTTAATCCGTCATGGTTGATTTGTTGATACTTTTAGATGAAAATTTATTATAATTATTATTATTATTATTATTATTATTATTATTATTATTATGATTTAAAACAACATTGCATGTAAATTTGTATACAAACCAGGGTATTTTCAACCCACCAAAGCCATTAATGTCAATTTATTATTGTTATTATTATGATTTAAAACAACATTGCATGTAAATTTGTATACAAGCTAGGGAAATCTCCAACCCAGATCCATTAATGGGTTGGTTGATTTGACATCGATTGTCTCTAAATTGTCATTTTTTGGCATTCTTTTCTTTTAAGGAAAAAAAAATTAAAAAATATTTTAAATTATAAAAGTAAAATGTTTGTTTAAAATAATAAAAAAGTTAAATATTTAAGGGGAAGTTGGACTAAAATCCCTGTCAGACAAATACACTTGCAATTCAGTCCCTATTGAAAATTATTTAGACTGCAGTCCCTACTTTATTAATTAGGTTTGTATAACTCCCTAATGTGTATTTTTCCCTCAATCACGTTGTATATGCAACATGTACTCGAAATAGGTTGATCAATACTTCAAATATTGTAATATATACCTATATTACTTCCCGCTCTACCCCCATTATAACCTTATATACTTCTAATTAGAAATCGCGTACCTTTTTTTTTTAATTAAAAAAAAAACAATTAATTTACGATTAATAGAGGTAAAGATGAGAAACCTCTCATAACTCCTCTCACATCGATTTTAAACCATTTTTCTTCCATTTTTAGGCGAACAGAGGCTCTCCAACCTCCGACGATCAAGTAACAACCGATTCGGTGCAAAAATGTGAAGAAAACAACAAACTGCTCCCATTCCCCAAGACAAGCTCGAATAAGTAAGTGTCTGGTTGGATCTTTTTAAAGTTTTGATTTTTTGACATTGATATTTTATACCGTAGTTTGTTCGATTATTTGGGGTGTAAGTCTTGATCCCGTGTTTGTATGCATTGGTTTGGTGTTGAGAAGCCCTAATTGATCGGTGTAGTTTTCTTTGTTAATCGGATTTGAAATCGTTCGTAGCCTAGATACACCGAGTTGAGTGTTTTATTTTGGCACTGATTTTGGATGATTTTATTTATTTAATTTATTATTTTTGTTAATTTTGTAGATGTACATTTTGCTTAGTTACAGTTTTAGTTTTTTTGTTTGATTGTTCGGTAATTAGTCATGTTTGTGGGTTGACAAATATAGTATTGTTAAGTACCCCGAGTTGCATGTTTCAAGTCTAGTTTTCTAAGTAATATACTTTTATGAGACTACTATGTATCGAAATGTGTTGTTACGTACTCCTGATAAATTCTGATAATCTTTTAAATAAATTTGAGGTTCGGGTAATGTGGACTGGTGGTATTTATTTACAAACCGGTGAAGGAATACAGATAGGTTATCATCCGATTTGCGATACCATTTTTTCACGAGGTGGAGAAAATAAAGAAACGCATATTGGATGAATATATTAGTGCCATCAAAATGATTCCATTCGGTCATTTTTTGGACTGCCCAAAAATGAGGTTGTAATGGCAGCGTCTGCTTGCCTTGATTAATAACTTTAGCCCGGAGCACACCTTATTCAACATCGGAGCTGACATTATAGAAACAACATGATATTATATTTACCATTTGTTTCCACATGTTAGCATCACCAGATAGCTTCGTCCATTACCAACATCCTTGCATTATACATATACATACCTCTAGTATTAACATATATAACTTCATAATAGCAATGTAATTGTGTGGCATGTGGAAATTTGGTGTTTAGTTGTGCTATATAGGTAATGGTTGTACTTAGCAACAACAACGAGTTTTAATCAACTATTAGAACTCCAAATGATTACCCAATAATGGAATTCAAATGCCGTAGAAATAACAGGATATTTATATTTATCATTCGTTCCTACACATCATCAAATACCTCAGTACATTATTATTATACCTTCAGAATATATTTACAAACCTCTACTATTTCATTATATACCTGTGTAATAGAGGTATATACCACTTACTACTGTAAAATATGCCAGCGGATCCAACCGGTTATATTCTATCGATGCATAAAGTAATTATATTACACCCATTGAATAACGTTACATGCTTTGTGATCATGCTATTGAAAAATATGACATAAGTTGTTGAATGTAAATATACTATACCCAAACCTTTCCACCGAGGCTAATAGAGGAAGTTCTCTCACCGACTTCCTTAATTGTCTCATCCGTCAACGGATTGACTAAAGTTGACCACATTTTTAAGGATATCTACTACTACACAAATAATAAAGCAACTCCAATCATACTTTGATTGTCAATGCTCGTACGCGGAGCACATTGTTACATACCTGCATTAAAGACATACCCCGCAATAGTTTTTACGTACCTGTAATATGATCTCATATGCTCTCGTAACGAGTATCTATGCTCTGGTAACTTGTGTTTGTGAAATCGACCGTTCTTTATTTGAAACATTCAATTATCGTCGGTAATCAGGGATGGATGTATTATTATAGTATTCCTGTGAATCCCAGAACTGTATGTAAAGATAAACAATACATATTTACTATATATGACTAAACAAGTCATAAAAGACTTAGTTAAACTATGATTGATTGTTACTTGTACATGTTTTATCGTTTTGCCATTGAAAAGTGTGGGCATGTACTGTCGAATGTAAACGTACCATGCCTAAATTTTTTCATCGGGGCTGGGAGAAGAAATACTCACATCGAGTTCGTGAATTGGCCCCTCCATAAGAGGATCAACTACAATCAAGCACATTCATGACTACCTGCTACTACACAAATATTACCTAAGCAACCATTATTTATACCTACCTAACATACCTGCATCAAATACCGATATGCCCTAGCGCAGATCTTATGTACCGATAATGTTGGTATCACATGCTTCAATATCGAGTATATATACCTTGGTAACTTGTGCTTAGGTAACCGACCATTTTTGGTTCAAAATATTCATTTATTGTCGGTAATCAGGGATGAATTCATCGTGATAGTATTTCCATGACACCCTAAATTATATAAAGAGATAAACAACATATATTTACTATAGATGGCTAAACAAGTAAAAAAATGACTTAATTATATTGTATATATGTAGGATTATACTCAAACCTCCACTTGTAGATGACTAAACAAGCTATAAATGATTAAGTTAAATTATATTAGTTGTTAGAATACATGATTGTTGTCATGAATTGAAAATTTTTAGACTTATTACATAATAATCTTCACCGTAGCACAAACAACAACATTCAAGTGAAAATGCTAGTTGTAATATACTATTAGGACTGCAAGTGTTTTCTGCGTAATTGGACAAACACATCTTATCTAAAATATTTTGACCCATGACATAATAATCCAAACTATTACACACTTATAAACTCAATATCAATTAGCCCGGAACATTTTAAAAAAGTATAACTTGGTTGAGTAGGCAAGTACTTCAGCATGGCTCTGATGTACCCCCTATTGATTTTAATGTACCAATTCTTATCAAATTATGTACCCATGCTCTGCTTTCATGTATATAAAGAATGTAACATTATGACATAAGTGGGTAATTATGTAGCTGCATACTTTAAATAAATGCTCGTTTCAATGTACTCAAGGAAATAAAGTGAGCTCGATAGACTTCGATAAGAAAAAGAATTTATAACTCTTTTAGTATGGGTCTAACGAATGCAACACAAAATACTACTTACTTTTTTCCATTTAGAAAATTAATTAACATAAATTTACTATAATTTTTAAATGGGTAATACGCTACAGACCCATGTGTTTCGTGACATCAACTATATATTCTTCAAAATAAACAAAATACTAACCCACAATTTGTGTACCTGTGTTACATTTTAAGAAACCTCTATTGTTAACGAATCATATATAAAAGATCATCATCACATACCCGTAATTTACAAAATAGCATCAACACTTTTATTGTTGTATATTTATATACGATATTACATTATGTCTAGCACATCAAAAATAATTACAATGAAAGGATTGACAAACATCCTATAAAAATATAAAATTGCACCTTAAAAAAGTCTACAACAACCGCGTCTGACTTTAACCAATTACCACGGACCAAATTGGATACTTCTGTAGCTGCAATTAAGATATCAGCTTCACATAAAATTTGTTCTGGATTTTTGGCAAATTGATGAAGAATAGTCACCGTAGCATGGCGCGCCTCTGCCATAAATGGATAAAATGTTGGAGTTCAGTAAATTAGAAAAAATATATAATTATATAATTAATTGCACAATTAAATTACATGGATATATATCTTTACACACTAATCTAAACCTACAAGACTAAGATCAATTAAATAATATATATATCAATACTTGGGAAGTAATGTTGCAAGCAATCCAACAATGTTAATCTTACCAATCACCACAATACTTTTTCCCATAATATCAACATCGGACTATTGAAGCAACTTAATGCAACATTTAGGAGTACATAAATTAAATAATGGTTCTACTCCTTCATGCTCAGATTTCTAATATTCAGAGGATGAAAACCAATATTTCTCTCAATTTATATTATTCAGTATTTTAGCCTCATCCATAATTTGTTCAAGTCAAATATATGCTTAAATTAAGCAAGTCATCACACAATATATTGGTTTTATAATTCTATTGCACTATCAAGTCTATAATGCTCCACAAAGTAGACATACAGTATACGACAGACATTTGTTTTGGAAATATAAAGTCAAGCAAAACTCATACATTTGTTTTGGAAATAAAAAGTCAAACAAAATTTAAATATATGATAATAGTTTATGTTCTTAATTAGAACCAAATTATTGATCAGTATTAAGATCAATTGAAATTGGATAAACATAGATAAAACAAATTTATTTATTATTAAGTTTTAATTCTGTAGTAGCGCTTCAGCTCCATTTGCATTTGATCAAATACAAAATTGCAAAACAATTTACACTTTGGGAAGTTTCACAAAATTAATAGAATCTTAGAAGTCCAGGCTTATGTATATATATACAAACCTCACTAATAAAATTTTACTAATGTAGTGAATCACGCACAAGAATGAATAGCGACAAATTTTTAATGATTCGATATTTTTCTTTAATATTTAAAAAAATTCACTAAAAATTTCTCAAATCACAAAATCACTGCTTCATATCTACAATAAAACCTACTTGTTTAACATAACCAAAAGGCTTCTAGCAACATTTTCTACAAAATAACAACTTTTTTTCTAACCCAAAACCTACCCAACCTATCCAATCGAAATAGAGTAACTAACCTTGCAAAAACATCGATTTCAATCTTCGCCAGGGACAGATGACAACCTGGGTGATGACAAAAGATATGAGGAGAGAAATGGGTCTTCGAGCGCGCCGGCAACTAGCCCATCGGATGGCACTATGGATTTCAAAATCGCCGATAAATGCCCCACTTTCGTGCGAAATCTGAAACGATTTAGAGGGTGGAGAGAGTAATTTAGAGGGTGGAGAGAGAATTGGGATGGTGGGGAGTGAGAACAAAGAAAAAAAAGAAAAGGGGGGACTGCAGTATAATAAATTAGAAAAAGGGACTGATCTTAAATCAATTTGTGAAATTGGGCATTTAACCCCAATTGTCCGAATATTTAAAGAATAACAATTAAAAATTAAATTATAATTAAAGTAAAAATTATTGTAACATCTGCATATTTAGAATTAAAATTGTATAAATAAAATTTATGGGCTGTAGACGGTCGCACTGACAAATTATCACGCATTCAAAATCTTCTAAGTTTTGTGTATGGATTCTGATAAGTAAAAGTCTATACATTTAATATTAGTAGGTAACTGTCAATTCATTAAATTTAGACCAATACTTTATTTTAGTTATTAATTGTTATAAGAAAAAATGAAATCACTTTAATTATCAGTATTCAAAAGATCATTATTCAGGTCAACTAATCATTAGAAAAATCAACAATTTTTTTTTTAGTTTTTTTAACTTAAAACTAAAATTGATTAAGATTATTTATAATATTACTAAATTTGATAATTTTTTTTTTTAATATTGAAACAAAAATTGATTAATTTTATTACATTGAAACCAAATTTGTTTTCCTTATATTAATAGTATATAAATAATATAATTATTCTGAATGAAGAAAATATTTATTTTTTATTTTAAAATAATTTGAAATCAACATGTTACTCAATCCGCAGCTATCTGCGTCCTATTATTATACATCTATAAATTATTTCTTATTAAAAATGATTATACTATAAAACATTTTTAATTCAAAATATATACGTATCAGCTTAAAATACATCATTATTCTTTTCAAAAAGCCGGCCCGTACCCATACTATTTTAAAAATATATATATAAAAAATACATAGCTGATGCAATCGAAATTTTTATAAAAAGTTATGAAATGGATCTTCTTTAAATAGTATTTCCTCCGTCGTGGCCGTTTCTGTCCGTCTCACTTACCATGTTATTTTCTTTTTTCGGAAAATAATTACACACTTTACTCTCATTTTGAATTTTTAAATTTTATTTTTTTAAAATTTTAATTAAATTAATTAGTTATTTTAATCTTAATTTATAATTATTTATATTATAGAATAATTATTTTCATTAATACATTCTTAATTATCTACTAATTATATTTCTCGTAAAATATCGTGTCTACAGTGTAGCAGATACGGTATCTGGGACGAATGGAGTAATATATTGAATAATATATTCAATGGTGACAAAAATAACAAATGGCATTAATATAGCCTCGTGAGTCGTGACTTCAGCATATACAATAAGGGTGCGTTTGTTTCGGGAGATTGAATTTTGAGTTGGGATTTGAATAGTAAAAATTTTGAATTTGAATAGTTGTATGTGATATAAATATGTGTTGATTTGATATTTTGAATGTAAAATTGATTTTTTTAGTATAATATAAAAAATAAAAAATAAATGTTTGATTTGATATTTTTAAGGAAAAAAAATGAAATGAGCCAAATAAACACACCCTAAAAGTATTGTCCTTTTCTTATACTATTAAATTGATTTTTTTTAAAAAAAAATGTAGGATTTTTTTTATTAATTATTGAAAGTGTTAGTAAATTTTGTGGTATTATTTAGATCAGTGATGTAATTTTTATTAAATATTTTATAAAATGAATAGTATTTCTTTTTTCTAGAAATATGAAGAACAAAAATTTTATTGAAAACATTGTAAAACTTAAAAGAATAAACCCTATTTATGCAAGAAAAATATTCTTTCTTATTATTGATATTTGTTATTGATTAAGTTTTATTTTATTTATTTTTTATAATATTGTTCCCACTTAAAAGAACCAAACCTAATCAAATTGACTTTGTTTATGCTATTGTATTTTAAATTTTATATATTGGTTATATTTGATGTTCATTATATATATTTTTCAAATTTCGTTTTGTTCAATTTAATCGAAAATTTCAATTGAAAATTTGAAATACTATTCAAAATTTGGACTATTTATTTGTCTACCCCATTATTATAAATTATAAATATACTCCCTCCGTTTCAAACACCGTGTCAGTGTATATTAGGAGATATGTAATTAGTAAATAATTAAGAATATATTAGTGAAAATAATTATCTTACAATATAAATAATTATAAATTAAGATTAAGATAACTAATTAATTTAATTAAAATTAAAAAAAATAAAATTAAAAAATTTAAAATGAGATTAAAGTGTGTAATATTTTAAAAAAAAGAAAAAAAAAAGTGACATGTGAGACTGACAAAAATGGCAACGTGACATAATATCTTACACGGAGGGAGTATAACAGAACGAATCTCATGTTATATCATCTCATCTCATCGATATCTAAAAAGTAAATTCTTAGGTCGGACTTACCAAAATGGTTTTTCTCATATTTGCTTCCTTCTTCTTCTTCGTCGTCGTCTTCCTCAAATTCTCCCCCAAATCAAGAAACCTCCCTCCAGGGCCATGGAAGCTACCTCTCATCGGAAACCTCTACAATCTCGCCGGCGACCTCCCCCACCGCGCGCTGCAGCGATTGTCCCTCAAATACGGGCCGTTGATGCACGTCCGCCTCGGCGAACTCTCCGCCGTCGTCGTCTCCTCCCCCGACGCCGCAAGAGAAGTAATGCGAACTCACGACGTCAAATTCGCTTCCAGGCCACGAATTCTGGTGGCGGAAATCATGCTCTACGACTGCACCAGCATCACTTTCAGCCCTCCGGGCGACTACTGGCGGCACCTCCGCAAGATCTGCACGTCGGAGCTACTGTCGGCGAAGCGCGTCCAGTCGTTCCGGCCGCTGCGGGAGCAAGTTTTCTCCGATCTCGCGAGGTGGACTGCTTCCGGCGAAGGATCGCCGGTGAATCTGTCGGAGAAGATACTCTCGTCGACCTACGAATTCACGACGCGGGCGGCGTTCGGATCCAAAACGGACAAGAAGCAGCGGTTTCTGGAGATACTGACGGAGGCTTTCGGGTACGCCGCCGGATTCAATATTGCAGAACTGTTTCCTTCCATCGGAGTTGTCCGAACCCTGAGTCCGGCGAGGAAGAGGATGATGGTTTTGCGCCGGGAATTGGACGCCATACTCGACGAGATCATCCACCAACACGAAGAATCCGACAATGATAAAGAAGATCTGGTCGACGTTCTTCTTAAGTATCGCCACGATTCCGATTCCGGGCAAGAACTTGCTTTGACACCAGACAACATCAAAGCTGTAATCTTGGTCAGTTACTAATTTGAAAAAGAACAAACTCAGTTCATACATAATTAACGATAGTTAGTGATGAATCGGGCAAAAATTAGTCCCAATTGAGAACAGAGTTATGTTTTTGCCCCATGAAACAGGACGTATTAGGCGCGGGAAGTGAGACGTCGGCGACAACGATCGATTGGGCGATGGCGGAGATGCTAAAAAATCCCATAGTCCTGGAAAAGGCCCAAGAAGAGGTCCGGCAGGTTTTCGACGAGCAAGGGGGCCTCATCGACGAATCGGGCATTCCGGAACTCAAGTATTTGAAGCTAATTATCAAAGAAACTTTGAGATTGCATGCGCCGGTGCCGCTATTGCTGCCTAGGAAATGCGACGAGGCGTGCGAGCTTATGGGGTACGAGATACCGGAGGACACGAAGATCATCGTGAATACGTGGGCTATAAACCGGGACCCCAAGTATTGGCGCGACCCCGAGAGCTTTAAGCCGGAGAGATTTCTCGACAGCCCGATTGATTACAAAGGCAGTAATTTTGAGTACACCCCTTTTGGGTCCGGAAGAAGGATATGCCCCGGGATTGTTTATGGACTCGCCAATGTCGAGACGCCGCTGGCAATGTTGCTCTACCACTTCGACTGGAAATTGCCCGACGGACTGAAACCGGAGGAGATGGATATGGCGGAAAGGGCTGGCATTACAGCTAGCCGAGCAAAGGATTTGGTTGTTGTTCCCGTCGTTAAAAGGCCCTTACCGCCTGTCGTTAAATGATCGTACATATGACGGCTAATACGACGGCTGTTACATTGCTGATAGGATATTAATGTAATAAGTGAAAGAGATTTATGGTGCGAAAGGGTTGAAATAGGCACAATACAAATAAATGACACGGTAGTATGGGGTTGAACGTGTGACCATAAAGTAATAGGTTAAAAGCCTGAACCCCGTAAGGGGATTCGGATATTCAGTAATATATATTTTTTGTTGGACGGAGAAATATTATATTTAGATGACATTGATTTAAGTATATCAATTTGAAACTATTGGAAAATTTTAAATTTATAAATAATTTAATCTAATTCAATTTGAAAAAATCAAAATTAATTACTCCCTCTGTCCCATAAATAAATATCTATTTACTTTTTGTAATATTAATATTATATTGAGATATAGTAGAAATAAAGTAGAAATGACTAAAATAATATATTATAAGTTGTAAATATATTTATAATGTCTGTTAAAACAGTTATTAAAAAAATATGAAACGGAAAGAATATTAAATTTGAATTTGATTGGAATCTAATATTCTAATTTCGAATATTTTACTCAGTTGAATTAGCCGTCCAAAATAGCGATTGGCTTATAATTTAATTAGGCCCGAAGTAATAATGGGTTGTTTAGCTCGGTTAATGCATATGCTTTATTTTTTTGATGACGTAATCAATGTGCTTTATTGGACTATCAAAAGAACATTGTGACGTCACCCAGCACTCATAATTTATAGTACATGTATAGAGTAAGTATTGAATTTTTTATGCATTGTATAATTATTAGAGAAGTTCAAAGATTGTAGAGTATTTTTATTTGATATATATATATATATATTCATTTTTTACGGTATTCAATTAGAATAAAAATATTTATTTTATAATAAAATAGTAATATTTTTAAAATAATAAGAACGATTTCATCCAAATATTTTTATATTTTTCACTACTAACAATTAAAATCTCATTATTTTTAAATATAAGTACTAAATAACACAACTTGAGTGGTTAAAATTTGCTAATAACTCTAATTATTAACCTGTCTCTAAATTCTAAAAACACAAACAATGCATGGGATTATTTATGATTTAAAAGAATAATAATAATAAGTAAGTACCCTGTCTATTTGTTTCAAGGTTAAAACAAGTAAGCAAAAATATATTGAGATAGTGTCTAATGATTTATTATTCATGATAACCGTTATGATGGTTCCGTAAGAAATGGTACGGTGGTGTGTGTTCAAATTTCGACCCTTCCAGGCTTTGTCAGTCACACAGAATTGCAAATTTTTTATGTGAGATATAAAAAATTAATATAAAAATTAACATGGTAAACCGATTTTCTTGTAACTGGACCGGATAATTTATCATTTTAGTCTCGTAACTGGACTGGACCATTTATCATTTTAGTCTCATAACTAGATCTTTTATCATTTTAGTTTGTCGCAAATTAGTTTTGTAATTGAAAATTTTTTGCACTTTTAATCCTCCGGCACCAAAGATGCTTACGTGGTACCGCATGACTCGTCTGAGGACACGTGTCCGCCAAGTCAATGATACTTGGCGTACACATAACTATATATCAAAATAAGATAAATATATACATTGTTTTTATCCCTACAAAAAATTATAGCATCCATAGACATATTTCTCGATATTTTCTACTAGAATTCGATCAAACTTTGCATTATCCCAATACGAATTTTGTGTAACCCTTAGTAGAAATTGAGCCAAAATATGATACGCTCATTACGAAACAGCGTTATATCCAATCTGTTAACTCAATAAAATCCGCTAATATTTTTAAAGAATTAAAACATTAAGGTGGAATACGCTTGTTGTGAAATGAAAACGGCCGTGTTGAAAATACCAGCGACTTCAATAGCGTTCTCCAACCGGAATTGATTTTGGTTTGATCTTACTCTCAAGTCAAGTTCCTGTTACACGATTACTGGCTCGAATTATATCCGCGTGTTTTGAAAATAAAAGAGTTAAGAGTGGGACATGTTCAAACTTTTATTCTTTCCAGGGATTATTCTAACGTATCGTGGGGGTTTTGGGCTTCATTTTAGCAATGTAAAAAAAGTCTCATGCATTCACGACTGTCCCAGCAAGACTGCAATTTCTCATTCAAATATATATATATATAGGCAGTTCGATTCTAACCTGCAACTGAAATCTTGGATCCATGGAGACGACGACGATCCAGTTGGTGATCCTCGCTTCATTCTTATTCTCAATCTTGATGCTTTTCAAACAAGCTAAAAAATCACGACCGAATCTCCCTCCAGGGCCGCCGAAGCTGCCGCTGATCGGGAATCTCCACAACCTGATCGGCGGCGGAATGCCCCACCATGCGATGCATCAATTGGCCCTGAAATATGGCCCCCTGATGCACCTGAAGCTCGGCGAGGTTTCCACCGTCGTCGTCTCGTCGCCGGACGCCGCCAGACAAGTCATGAAAACTCACGACCTGAACTTCGCGTCCCGGCCGCCGCTCCTCGCCGCCGAGATCCTCAATTACGGCAAATCCGGCGTCGTCTTCAGCCCCTACGGCGAATCCTGGAGGCATCTGAGGAAGATCTGCACCCTAGAGCTGCTGAGCAACAAACGCGTCCAATCATTCCGGCCGGTCCGACAGAAGGTGCATTTAGAGCTCGCGAGAATGATCGCCGCCGGCGAGGGCACCGCCGTCGACTTATCGTCGAAGCTTTATTCTTCCACTTACGACGTCGTTTCGCGGGCGGCGGTCGGGGAATCGAACAAATCGAGGAAAGCCAGGTTAATGGAGATTATCAACGAAGCCAGTGAGCTCTCAGCAGGGTTCAATATCGCCGAACTGTATCCCTCCATTAAAGTCCTCGGGAAGATCACCGGCCTGGAGAAGAAGCTGCGGAAGCTCCACCGGGAAACCGACGAACTTCTCGAAGGCATAATCGGCGACCACAAAGAAGCTCCTGAGGAAGAAGATGGAAAGAAAGTCGACGATCTCGTCGACGTTCTTCTGAAATTACAGGGTGAAGAGCACCAATCTTCATTAACCTCCAACAGCATCAAATCCGTGATCTTCGACATTCTCGGCGCCGGCAGCGAGACATCCGCAACGACATTAGATTGGGCGATGACGGAGCTGCTGAAAAATCCACCGGTGATGGACAGAGCTCAGCGCGAGGTCCGGGCGGTGTTCGACAGGAAAGGACATGTCGACGAATCGGACATCAACGAGCTCAAGTATTTGAATTCGGTGATCAAGGAAACGTTGAGGTTGCACAATCCAGGGCCATTGTTGATCCCAAGAATGTGCATCGAGGCCTGCCGGATCAACGGTTGCGACATACCGGAAAACACCAGAGTCATCGTGAATGCTTGGGCCATTAACAGGGACCCTAACTACTGGCAAGATCCCCTGTCCTTTACGCCGGAGAGATTTCTTGACAGCGCCATGGATTACAACGGCAACAGCTTTGAATTCCTCCCTTTCGGCGCCGGCAGGAGGATCTGCCCCGGGATTTCCTTCGGAGTTGCGAATATTCAAAACCCGTTGGCCGTGCTGCTCTACCACTTCGACTGGAAATTACCCGACGGAATGAAGCCTGAAGACATCGACATGTCGGAGAAATTTGGAGTGACGACGAGGAGATTAATAAACTTGCGCGTTGTTCCGGTTATTACGAGGCCATTGCCGTAATCTATGTTCGTATCTATCGAAAACATCATGAATTGAATAAAGAAAGGACTCTGTTTTAGTTTATTACATCCATAGAATAGAATAGATCATTCAACAAGCAACGGCCTTTTCACAACGGGAAGAACGAAAAACAAATGATTTGCTCGCCGGGCCGTAAGGCCAGCCCCTTCCGTCATTTTCATCTCCTCCGGATTCAGTCCTTGCGGCAATTTCCAGTCGAAGAAGTGGTAGAGCAACAACGCAAGGGAGAGCTCGACGTTGGTAATAGCAAAGACAATCCCGAGACATACGCGTCTCCCGGATCTGAAAGGTGTGTATTCAAAATGATTGCCTTTGTAATCAACAGGGCTGTCGAGAAACCTTTCGGGCTTAAAGCTTTGGGGATCCGACCAATACTTTGGGTCGCGATTTATAGCCCAGGTATTCACCATGATCTTCGTCTCCTCCGGGATCTCATACCCCATAATCTCGCATCTCTGCTCGCATTTCCTCGGCAGCAGCAGCGGCACCGGAGCGTGTAATCTCAAAGTTTCTTTGATAATTAGCTTCAAATACTTGAGCTCCGGAATGCTCGATTCGTCGATGAAGCCGCCTTGCTTGTCGAAAACCTGTCGAACTTCTTCTTGCGCCTTTTCTAGGACTTGTCGATTTTTCAGCATCTCCGCCATCGCCCAATCCATGGTTCCCGCTGCCGTCTCACTTCCGGCGCCCAATACGTCCTGGTTTATTGGAAAAAGCTCAGATTAAGGATTTTGGAAGTTTGGATTTTATTTTGAAGCTGTAACTAACCAGGATTATAGCTTTCATGTTGTCTGTTGTTAATGCGAGTTCGACTCCGGCGTCCCGGCGAGATTTCAGAAGAACGTCGACCAGATCTTCTTGCCCTTGTTTCTGATCGGATTCTTCGTGTTGGCGGATGATCTCGTCGAGAATGGCGTCGGCTTCCCGGTGCAAAACCATCAGCCTATTTCTCAGCCCGCTGAATCTTTGCAGCAATTTGATCGAAGGAAACAGTTCGGTGATGTCCAATACTGTCGCCAGACCGAAAGCCTCTGTCACGATCGCCAGAAACATCTTATGCTTTTCCGTTTCCGTTCCCAACGCCGTTCTGGTGGTGTAGTCGTAGCTCGTGGAGTGCAGCAGCTCCGTCAAATCGACGGGCGATCCTTCGCCGGAAACTATCCGCCGGACGAGGTCGGAGAAGACGTGCTTCCGCAGCAACCGGAAGGACTGGATGCGCTTCGCCGCCAGTAGCTCCGACGTGCAGATCTTTCTCATGTGGCGCCAGTACTCGCCGGGAGGGCTGAAGCTGATGCTGTTGCAGCCGTACAGCATGATAGCGGGAGGGATCCTCTAGTGGAGTGCTGTCGAAAGGAGCAAGTCTGCAGTTCCCTTCGAGAGGAGTGGATGCAATCTGGCTATCAGTCAGACCTGAATGAGATATGAGATCAGATGCATATTTCGTCTGAGATAGATATATGTCATCTGGAGCGTCAGAAATCTCAAGTCCGAGAAAATAGCGGAGCTGACTAAGACTCTTCATGTCAAAGTGTCGATGAAGGTAGGTCTGTAGATCGGATATACCAGAAGTATCGTCACCGGTAATAACTATGTCATCCACTCACAACAAGAGAATAATGATCCCAGCAGGAGAACAACGAATAAAGAGAGTAGAGTCATAGGGAGATGCAGAAAAACCATATTGAATGAGCGTAACACTAAACTTGGCGAACCAAGCTCGAGGTGCATGCTTCAGTCCATAAAGGGCACGGCGCAGCTGACATACCTTCCCTGAAAAATCTGAGCCAGGTAAAGGGGTCATGTAGACTTCCTTAGACAAATCTCCATGAAGAAACGCATTCTTCACATCCAACTGTAATAATTTCCAACGTCGAACAGCGGCAACAACAAGGAGACAGCAGACAGATATCAAACGAGCAACTGGTGCAAATGTCTCCTCATAATTAATATCATACTCCTGTGAAAAACCTCTGGCTACAAGGCAAGCCTTGTAGCACTCAACAGAACCATTAGAGTGAGTTTTGATTTTGTACACCCACTTGCATCTAATAGGTTTGTTGCCATGAGGGAGATCGACGATATTCCACGTGCCGGTCTTCATAAGAGCCTACAATTCCTCAAACATAGCGTTGCGCCACAAGGGACCACAGTTCGCCTCAAGAAAGGTCTTGGGTTCATGGTGAGATAAAATGGAAGAAAAACAATGATTATCAAGTAGATGAGAGGGAGGACGACTTACACTAGTGGGTCGCCGATCAGTGGCGGTAGGAAGCGCAGAAGGGTTAGCTGGTGGGGAAGGATCAACATCAGACAGACCAGCAGGAACGGAAAGGGGTTCGGGACCTGCAGGAGGAGGAGAGGAATCCAGAACAAAAACAGACGGGGGTTCGGGACCTGCAGGAGGATGAGAGGAATCTAGAACAGGAACAGACGGGGGTTCGGGACCTGCAAGAGGAGGAGAGGAATCCAGAACAAAGAACGGGGACTTTGACTCAAAGGGAATGGAAAATTTAGACTCAGAGGAAAATAACTTATACTCCCAAAAAGCAACATCCCGATAGATACGTAGACGATTCGACACAGGATCCCAACATCGATAACCTTTATGTTCTATCACATACCCAAGAAAACAACACAGACGGGTGCGTGGTTCTAATTTGTTACGTTCATGAGGAGGAAGATGAACAAAACTGACACAACCAAAAGGATGAAGATGAGAGTAATCAGGTACCTGGCGGAAGAGCCTCTCAAAAGGTGTGGTATCCTGAAAGACAGAGGAGGGTAAGCGGTTAATATTATAAACAACAGTAAGAGCAGCCTCGCCCCAGAACCGATCTGGACAGTTGGCAGATAACAACATAGCTCGAACTGTGTCTAAAATATGACGATGCTTGCACTCTGCCCTACCATTTTGTTGAGATGTGTAAGGACAAGAACGCTGGACAAGAGTACCTTGGGTGGATAGAAAAGTAAGAAAGGCAGAATCATTATATTCAAGGGCATTGTCAGTGCGAATAGTCTGAATAGGACATGAGAAGTGAGTTTGCACCATTTTAGCGAATGCAGAGTAAATGGAAGCAAGTTCAGAACGCTTGCGCATAAAGTAAATCCAACTAAAGCGAGAGTAATTATCAATAAAAAGCACAAAGTAACGAAACCCAGTAAGAATAGCAACAGGAGAGGGCCCCTAGATGTCAAAATGTACTAATGAAAAAGGTTTATCAGCAATACACAAGTTATTCAAAAAAGGTAAAGCTGGTTGTTTTCCAAGTTTACAATGCAAGCAATCAAAAGACTCAAAACGAATTGTGCCTAAAACACATGTATTTGCAAGAGACTTGAGTTTAGATAAGGAGGCATGACCAAGTCTGAGGTGCCAGTAATAGAAAGAGGAAAAAAAGACTGCAGCAAAAAGAGATGGTGTCTGGCGAGGGCAAAGATAGTCAAGCTCAAATAGGTGGCCTGTCTTGCAACCCGTCCCAAGTATCTGACCCGTCTGCGTGTCCTGAACCTGCACACCAGAAGAAGAAAAAATTACAGTAAAACCCTGCTCAACCAACTGACCGACAGACGCAAGGTTTAGGGCTAATTTGGGAATGACATAAACATCATCTAGGTGGGGGACGATATATGGCCAGTATGAGTAATGCGCATGGAAGTGCAATCAGCGGTAAGTATAGGAGGGGATGAGGTGACAGGTTGGAAGGAATGTAAAAGGTGAGGGTCAGGTGTCATGTGATTACATCAGGTAGAATCAATATACCATGTGTTGTTACCTGATGTCGAGGCTAATGAAGGATGAATTGATAAAACCTGTGACGTAGGTCCTCAAGAGTGGGAAACGGTTGAGGCGACTGAGATAAACTAGTGGCAGCAACAATGACAGAGGAAGAGCCGGAAGAGGACTGACAAGCCTTAGGATTCTTGGGACAATGTGGACGGATGTGGTCTTTTTGATGACAGTAGTGACACTCAACCTTAGGACAATAGATATAAAGATGATCAGCATTCGGGCAACTGCGACATTTATCAGACTGCGGTGGTCGGGCATCCTTGTGATTATCTCTGCGATGAGGAGTAGAAAAGGGAACTGCCAAGGCCGAATCAAGAGTAGGAGCCTTGAGCATCTTGAGGCGGGTGTCCTCAAACAACATCTCCTTCATCGTTGTCTCCAATGAAGGTAAGGGATGACGATGAAGCAAGGAAGCACGCACAGACTCATATTCTGGACCAAGCTTCATCAAGAGCTGAATCAACCGAAAATGGTCAATCTGTATGTCGGCCTCATCAATGCGATCCCACATAGACTGTATAGTATAGAGGAACTCATTCATATCTTGGCGCGAGTCATGTGTCAATGCATTCAATGACCCTATAAGTTGAAAATAATGCATGCCTTCAGTGCCTGATATCGATGTTGCAAATAATTTCAAGCTTTCTTGGCAGTGTGCATGCGGCGAAATTGAATCTGAATGGACTTAAAAGAGGTATTCCGAATCCAAGTAAGAATAATGTGGTTCTTACTATCCCACTCATCCAAGGTATTCCGATAGTCCGTGAGATCCTTGTTGTTGAGGGGCTCCATAGAAGTGACAACAGGAGCAACCGGTGCAAAAAATTCGCCAGTAACATAGCGCCATAATCTTTTACCAATCAAGAAACTCTTCATGAATTCAGCCCACAAATCATAATTATCACCAGAAAGAATAACAGTAATCCCAGAAGCGTCTACACGATCTATATTAAGAGTCATACTATGAAACGATAAAATCAAATAATAGTATAGAGCGCGCATAAGAATCATGCAGAAAATCATTCTGCGGCTGCCACGCGCCGGCGTTGGCGGATGTCTATCCCATAAGAAAAATAGGCTCTGATACCATGTTTGAATATTTGCGAAAAATAGAAAATTATGTTTTAACCTAAAAAGAGAATGCATATATATAGACATATATATGTGGGGCCCAAATAACAATATATAAAAACATATGCTAACATATTTTGCAGAAACTCTAAAGCTTGCATTATTGATAATCAAAATAAGGGGCCTATATATAGGCAACTTAAAACAGACTCGATAGACTCAAATCTAAATAAAGAAATCTAATGGATATGACCAAATCTAAATCTAAATCTAACAAATCTAAAACTAAATATCGAAAATCTCTCGACACCCCCTCTCAAACTAAAGTGAGATCGCAGAAATCAACTTGAGTTTGACAGAAAGTTACACAAAAACCAAAAGACACAAACGCAGATAACAGTTGCTTGGTTCGTCTTTGGAGCCACCGCTCTTGACTGAGCTCCTATTCTCTCACATAATAGTTGTTCGTCTGACGTCGCCTTTGCCACTCTCAACAAAGCTCCTGTTCTCGAACGCAGACACAAACTCTAATGCAAACGCAAATAATAATTGTTTTGTCCGTCATTGCCGCCGCCGCTCCCGACTGAGTTCCTATTCTCGCAGATAATAGTTGCTTGTCCGACGTTGCCTTTGGCCGATAATCTCGTCGAGAATGGCGTCGGCTTCCCGGTGCAAAACCATCGGCCTATTTCTTAGCCCGTTGAATCTGTGCAGCAATTTGATCGAAGGAAACAGTTCGGAGATGTCCAATCCCGTCGCCAGACCGAAAGCCTCTGTCACGATCGCCAGAAACCTCTTATGCTTTTCCGTTTCCGTTCCCAACGCCGTTCTGGTGGTGTAGTCGTAGCTCGTGGAGTGCAGCAGCTCCGTCAGATCGACGGGCGATCCTTCGCTGGAAACTATCCGCCGGACGAGGTCGGAGAAGACGTGCTTCCGCAGCGACCGGAAGGACTGGACGCGCTTCGCCGTCAGTAGCTCCGACGTGCAGATCTTTCTCAGGTGGCGCCAGTACTCGCCGGGAGGGCTGAAGCTGATGCTGTTGCAGCCGTACAGCATGATCTCCGCCACCACAATTCGGGGCCTGGTGGCGAATTTGACGTCGTGAGTTCGGAGCACTTCTCTGGCGGCGTCGGGGGAGGAGACGACGACGGCGGAGAGTTGGCCGAGGCGGACGTGCATCAATGGGCCGTATTTGAGGGATAATCGCTGCAGCGCGCGGTGGGGGAGGTCGCCGGCGAGGTTGTGGAGGTTTCCAATGAGAGGAAGCTTCCATGGCCCTGGAGGGAGCTTTGATGATTTGGGGAAGAAGATGAAGAAGAGTGTGAGGAAGAAGGGAAGGAGTATGAGAAATTGAAGCATTGTTAGGGTTAGCTAGTTGAGTAGAGTTCAGTTATGTATCATCTCACTCTGGCCGACTTATTTTGGGCTTTATTAATAAAAATAATTATAAATTAAAAATTAATATAATTAAATAATTTAATTAAAATTAAAAAATTTAAAAAATTTAAAATTTAAAATACGATTTAAGTGACTAATTATATTTTTAAAAATAAAAAAATTAAATTATATGAAACAGATAAAAATAGAAAATAGAAAATAGAAACATATTATATTATACGAAAAAATAATTAACTAATAAGCTAGGCTACGTAAACATTTATGACGGGACATTAGACATAGCAGAGGAGAGGAGATGAGAGGTGTAATTTAAGCAATTCAACTTATTTAGGTTAATCAGCATCAAGCCTAGTCCTTTCCTTATATACATATATGTATTCGTTGATTTTTTTTGCATTTAAATTATCAAATCACACCTCTTTTATTAATTTAATACTCGAGGAAATAATTAGTAAATAATACTATCTATTTAATATTAAAAATATTTTTATATTTATATAATTTTTTATATAAATGTATTTTTACGAGTATTATAAGACACTAATTGAAATATTTTTGTAATTTTTTTTAATTTATACTATGTTTTGATATAATAATTAATATTTATAAATGAACATAAAAAAAAAATGAGACCAGTCAAAGGTAGTAAAAATATATATTAGTAAAAAAAAATAATAAATTAAAAAATTTAGAGATTAAAATGTATAATTTTTTTAGTAGATAAATAAAAATATTTATTTATTTATTTTTATTAAATAAAATTTTATTTTTTACAAAAATAATACTCCATTTATATTACATAGGAATATGTTATATTGAGAATGTTTGAAATATTTAAATATATTAAGAGTGTATTTGTTTTTGGGGTTTGGATTTTGAGTTGGGATTTGAATAGTAAAAATTTTGAATTTGAATAGTGGTATGATGTGATATAAATAGGTGTTGATGTGATGTTTTGAATGTAAAATTGATTTTTAGTATAATATAAAAAATGAAAAATAGATGTTTGATTTAATATTTTTTGGGGGAAAAAATTGGATGAATAGTAAAAATCTAATTAAATCCCTCAAACAAACACACTCTAACTTTCTTTGAATCCTAACTGTTAATTTTTATTTCAAAAATATAAATTTTACTATTTGCATAAGAAAAAATAATATAGTTAACTACTTATAACTTACAAAATTATACTCCTTTTTCCCTTTATTCTTTTTTATATTATTGTATTAAACATTAAAAATGTATATATAATATTTTATACAAATATTATTGTATTTTTATTATATAATGCTAATAAATATTTTTTTATTTTTTATTTTTTAATTTATAGTATATAATATTAATATACAAAGTTAAACATGAAAATATATATATATATAAATACTTAATTAAGAGATAAAAATAGAAATTTTTTTGTTTTTAAGTATAGTACACTTAGGGTGTGTTTGTTTGGGGGTTTGGATTTTGAGTTGGGATTTGAATAGTAAAAATTTTGAATTTGAATAATTGTATGATGTGATATATGATGTTTTGAATGTAAAATTGATTTTTAATATAATATAAAAAATAAAAAATAAGTGTTTGATTTGATATTTTTTGAGGAAAAAATTGGATGAATAATGGAAATCTAATCCATTCTCCCAAACAAACACACTCTAACCAAACCCATCAAACTGTAGCGGGCGTGTAGTGGGACAGACGAATTAGGTGTGTTTGTTTGGGAAATTGGATTTTAAATTCACTATTCTTTTATTTTTTCCTTCAAAAATATTAAATCAAATATTTCTTTTTTATTTTTTTATATTATACTAAAAATCAATTTTATATTCAAAATATCACATCAATACCTATTTATATCACATCATACAACTACTCAAATTTAAAATTTTTACTGTTCAAATTACAGCTCAAAATCCAAACCCGAACAAACACATCCGTACGTAAATTTAATATAAATGGTCCAAACACACCAACCATTCTATTCAATTATCTGTCACTGCCGACAATAATAAATAAACGTGCATCCACAATCACTATTATTTTTAATATATATAAAAATATAAAAATTTATATTATATATTTTTTTAAAAATTAATATATATATACATATAAATATTTTTATTATATAAAAACTATTATCTAAAATTAATATAATAATTAAATATATTTTTATTCAAATATAAAATTAAAAATATTAGTATAATTCATAAATTTAATTTAAGTTTGTAAATATAATAGATGGAATTTTTACTTAAGTTAATTATCTTATAATTTTTAAAATCTCAAAACTCCCACGTACTCCTATGAATAGATTATACTCCCTCCCGTCTCACATAATTTGTCTCTATTTTTTACTTTCGTCCGTCCCATATAATTTGTCCATTTATTTTTTGGAAATATAATTATACACTTTAATCTCATTTTAAATTTTAAATTTTATAATTTTTTTAATCTTAATTAAACTATTTAGTTATCTTAATCTTAATCAACAATTATTTTTATTATACAATAATTATTTTTATTAATACACTTCTTAATTATTTACTAAATATACCTTATTTAAATTTTCGTATCTGCGGTAATAGGCCATAATGCATGGGACGAAGGGAGTAGTAACTAAACCTGAATTTGAACTCTTAAATGTAAATCTTTGTATGACTGAACTGGATAAATATTTTTATGTATTTTTAATTTTTATTATTTTTTATTAAAATTTATTCTTTACACTTCAAATATCAATTCAATTGCTGCCTATGAAAATGTTTACTTTTCTTTACTGAGAAAAATATTGTGGATTTTGTTGTAGAAAATTACACATGTAATTTACCAAATTTGATATTATCAAAATAAAAAATATTCCATTTGTCTAGATATCGTGTCTGCTACACCGTAGATACAGTATTTTAGGAGGAATGTAATTAATAGATAATTAAGAATGTATTAGTAAAAATAATTATCCTATAATATAAATAATTATAAATTAAGATTAAGATAACTAATTAGTTTAATTAAAATAAAAAAAATAAAATTTAAAAATTTAAAATGAGATTAAAGTGTGTAATCATTTTTCAAAAAACAAAGTGACATAGTACGTGGGACGAACAGAAACGGAACGTGTACATGGTATATGAGACGGAGGAAGTACTACATTAATATTAATGTAACTGTAGTCTCAATTAAAATAAAATAAATAATAAAAACATTCAATAAATAAAATTAAACCATCATATTAAATTAGTATTTAAGTCTACAATTGAAAATATCAACAACAATTATCCAAATTCTTTACTTGAAATTAAATATAAAAAATAAATTATTATAAGTTTTTTAAATTAAAAAAAAAATTTAGAAATTTGAAACTGACTAAAACTATTTAGAATAATTAGAATAATATAAATAAAATTTTCTAAATAACTTATCTGAAATATTTTGTTCAATTTCAATCACCCACAACGATTAAGCATGATTAAGCAACAATTTTCATCGTCCACACTATGAATAAATATTACCTCAAAAAACAAAAAAAAAATAAATTAGACAGTAAAAATAAAATAAAAAATAAAAAATCTTAGGCCAAAATAAGAAATAATAATTATATTATGCACGAGATTATTATAATTAAATTTAAGTGTTATAATATTTTTTATTAAATTTTATAAATATTTAAAATAAATAAAAAATATTTATATATATTTAATTAAAAATATATAAAAATAAATTATTTTTTATTATAATTTTATTGTTAATAATTTAATAAAAAAAAATTGTAAAAAAAGAATTGATCATATTAATTATAAAAATATATAAAAATACATATTAAATTATCTATACAAAGTAGATAAAAAAAAAAGTTATAAGATTAAAGTACAATTTTATTATTATTTTCTAAAATTTATTGTACAAAAGGAAAAATTTGAATATAGCAATGGAAATTAATTATAAATTTTAAATTATTATTTCATATGACATGATCTACATAATCTATCAAATATTATTTTTAATAAATAAATACTCATTCTGTTATTCAAATTTATTTTCACTTTTTTTTTTATTATCATCCAAATTTATTCCCGTTTTTTTAGTAAAAAAATACCATTTTTATTTACCAAAAAAAAGTAAAAATTTCTATTATTATATATTTTTCTTAAAATATGTACCTGATCAAATGAGCACACAATTGAATGATGGACGGAATAATATTTTTCATGAAGTCACCTAAATATAATAATTAGTTAATAAAATAATACAATAGATTATAGTAATTAATAAAAAAATATATAAAGCAAATTTATAAAAATATAGATAAAATAAAATTATAATATCAAACTATTAATATTTATAACGATAATTGAAAGTGTCAATAATTATTATTTATTTAGATTAAAATAAATGAAAAAAATTATATCATATATAAAAATGTTTTTAATTAGAAAAATTATGTAAAACAATTATATAATTTAATATTTTATTGGTTTTTTAATAGTTTTAGTAATATTCTTCATCGTAGTATTATTTTTTGTATATCTGATTAAAAATAAATAAATTAATTTGTAATTATAACATTATTATTAGTAGTCAAATACTGTTTAACAAAATAAAAATAAAAATACACACATCATATATAGAAATAAATACAAATTTTCAGACAATTTTTCAATGGCAACGGCACTACTAAAACGAATATAATCAATTCGTATAAAATAGAAAAAAAAATGAGAAAGAGATGAAAAAATCTATTTGAAAAATAGATTGGAGAAAAAAATGCAAAAATAGCATCTATTTTTTATTTTTTGCAACTATTGTAAATTTAAATAATTTTAATGTTACCTTGCTCTGCAGCATTATCATTGATAAAATGATTGTCATTGTTTTGGCCATTTTCCGAAAGTGAAGATGGAATAACTTTATTTTCTGAAAATTATTTGAAAATAATATTATATCAAAATAATTATGTTATATAAATTTATTTTATAAATTATAAATAAATAATATATATTTTAAATAATATATGCAAAATTTTAAAAATAATCTTAATATTTATATAGTATATACGTTCGATCTATAATATTTATTTACTTATATATAATATAAAATACTTATATTATATATATTTATTTTATAAATTATATATAAAATTATGAATAAAAATAAATAAATTCAAATAACTTTAATATAATCTTGCTCTCATCATTATCATTGATAAAATGATTGTCGTTGTTTTAGTCATTCTTCATTAGTGAAGATGGAATAACCTCATCATCTGAAAATTATTTGAAAAATAATATTATATCAAATTATGATTTAAAAACTAAATCGAAGTAATTTTATTGAAATAATTATAAAAAAATAAAAAATAATGATATTTTTTTTTTTATTATATACATAGATGTGTACCTAACATATAGAACATCAAGATAGGTATTATTTTAATAATAAATCTAAAAAATAATCTTAATATTTACATATTATATACGTTACTTCTATATTATATATATAATATAAAATAATTATATTATATAAATTTATTTTATAAATTATAAATAAATAATATATGAAAATTTTTAAAAAATATAATTACATTACAATATTATTTTTACTATATTTTGTAACATACATGAGTAATATTAATATACATGAGTAATATGATATAAAATAGTATTGATATTATATACCGGAATAGGAATAAATCAAATTATAATTTAAAAACTAAATTAAAGTAATTTTATTGAGATAATATTAAAAAAATAAAAAATAATGACATATTTATTTATTATATGTATAGAACTAAAAATAGGTATTATTTTAAAAATAAATCTAAAAAAAATATAAATATTTATATAGTATATACGTTCTATCTATAATATTTTATTTACTTTTATATATATAATATAAAATAATTATATTATGTATGCGTTTAAAAATATGAATAAAAATAAATAAATTCAAATAACTTTAAATGTTATTTTACTCTGCTAACATATATAATATGTAGGTGTTTAAAAATATTATCCTAAAAAATATTAGGTTGAAAAAAAAAGATTGTGAAATGATAAAATAAATAATATAATAAATATTATTCTAATTTGTTTTAATTCAGTCACTGTCATTCAGAAAAAGAAATAACATATTCATATTCCACAACATCATCAATGTTGAGAATTGTATCACAAGAAAAAATTAAAATAAAATAATTAAAAAAATTAAAATAAAATAATTAACGATTACGTATAGAAAAATATAAAAATTGTTCTCAATTTTTGAGACAACAATAGAATTACCTTTGTATATTCAAGCACATTCTTCACACAGCCATGTATAGGATAGCATAGGATTCCCTCCGACTCTCAGACCACACTTTGTTATATTAAAGCACATTCTTCACACCCCGATGTATAGGATAGGATAGGATAGGATTCCCTCCCGACTCTCACACCACACAATAGGATTCCCTCCCCACTCTCACACCACACAATGGGTGTTTATGATAAGATACAGGATAGGATATAGAATATATATATATATATATATAGGCAGTTCCATTCTAACCTGCAACTGAAATCTTGGCGCCATGGAGACGACGACGATCCAGTTGCTAATCCTCGCTTCATTCTTATTCTCAATCTTGATGATTTTCAAACAAGCTAAAAAATCACGACCGAATCTCCCTCCAGGGCCGCCGAAGCTGCCGCTGATCGGAAATCTCCACAACCTGATCGGCGGCGGAATGCCCCACCAGGCAATACATCAATTGGCCCTGAAATACGGCCCCCTGATGCACCTGAAGCTCGGCGGGGTTTCCACCGTCGTCGTCTCGTCGCCGGACGTCGCCAGACAAGTCATGAAAACTCACGACCTGAACTTCGCGTCCCGGCCGCCGCTCCTCGCCACCGAGATCCTCAATTACGGCAAATCCGGCGTCATCTTCAGCCCCTACGGCGAATCCTGGAGGCACCTGAGGAAGATCTGCACGCTGGAGCTGCTGAGCAACAAGCGGGTCCAATCATTCCGGCCGGTCCGGCAAAAGGTGCATTTAGAGCTCGCGAGAATGATCGCCGCCGGCGAGGGCTCCGCCGTCGACTTATCGTCGAAGCTTTATTCTTCCACGTACGACGTCGCTTCGCGGGTGGCGGTCGGGGAATCGAACAAATCGAGGAAAGCCAGGTTAATGGAGATTATCAACGAAGCCGGTGAGCTCTCAGCAGGGTTCCATATCGCCGAACTGTATCCCTCCATTAAAGTCCTCGGGAAGATCACCGGCCTGGAGAAGAAGCTGCAGAAACTCCACTGGGAAACCGACGAACTTCTCGAAGGCATCATCGGCGACCACAGAGAAGCTCCTGAGAAAGAAGATGGAAAGAAAGTCGACGATCTCGTCGACGTTCTTCTGAAATTACAGGGTGAAGAGCACCAATCTTTTTTAACCTCCAACAGCATCAAATCCGTGATCATGGACATTCTCGGCGCCGGCAGCGAGACGTCCGCAACGACATTAGATTGGGCGATGACGGAGCTGCTGAAAAATCCATCGGTGATGGACAGAGCTCAGCGCGAGGTCCGGGCGGTGTTCGACAGGAAAGGACATGTCAACGAATCGGACGTCAATGAACTCAAGTATCTGAATTCGGTGATCAAGGAAACGTTGAGGTTGCACACTCCAGGGCCATTGTTGGTCCCAAGAATGTGCATCGAGGCCTGCCAGATCAACGGTTGCGACATACCGGAAAACACCAGAGTCATCGTGAATGCTTGGACCATTAACAGGGACCCTGACTACTGGCAAGATCCCCTGTCCTTTAAGCCGGAGAGATTTCTCGACAGCGCCGTGGATTACGGCGGCGACAGCTTTGAATACCTCCCGTTCGGCGCCGGCAGGAGGATCTGCCCCGGGATTTCCTTCGGACTTGCGAATATTCAAAGCCCGTTGGCCATGCTGCTCTACCACTTCGACTGGAAATTACCCGACGGAATGAAGCCTGAAGACATCGACATGTCGGAGAAATTTGGAGTGACGACGAGGAGATTAATAAACTTGCGCGCTGTTCCGGTTATTACGAGGCCATTGCCGTAATCTATGTTCGTATCTATCGAAAACATCGTGAATTGAATAAAGAAAGGACTCTGTTTTAGTTTATTACATCCATAGAATAGAATCGATCATTCAACAAGCAACGTCCTTTTCACAACGGAAACAAATGATTTGCTCTTCCGGCTGTAAGGCCAGCCCCTTCCGTCATTTTCATCTCCTCCAGTTTTAGTCCTTGCGGCAATTTCCAGTCGAAGTGGTAGAGAAAAAACGAGAGGGCGAGCTCGACATTGGTCATAGCAAGTCTCCCGGATCCGAAAGGTGTGTATTCAAAATGATTGCCTTTGTAATCGACAGGGCTATCGAGAAACCTTTCGGGCTTAAAGCTTTGGGGATCCGACCAATACTTTGGGTCGCGATTTATAGCCCATGTATTCACCATGATCTTCGTCTCCTCCGGGATCTCATACCCCATAATCTCGCATCTCTGTTCGCATTTCCTCGGCAGCAGCAGCGGCACCGGAGCGTGTAATCTCAAAGTTTCTTTGATAATTAGCTTCAAATACTTGAGCTCCGGAATGCTCGGTTCGTCGATGAAACCGCCTTGCTTGTCGAAAACCTGTCGAACTTCTTCTTGCGCCTTTTCGAGGACTTGTCGATTTTTCAGCATCTCCGCCATCGCCCAATCCATGGTTGTCGCTGCCGTCTCACTTACGTCCTGTTTTATTGGAAAAAGCTCAGATTAAGGATTTTGGAAGTTTGCATTTTATTTTGAAGCTGTAACTAACCAGGATTATAGCTTTCATGTTGTCTGTTGTTAATGCGAGTTCGACTCCGGCGTCCCGGCGAGATTTCAGAAGAACGTCGACCAGATCTTCTTGCCCTTGTTTCTGATCGGATTCTTCGTGTTGGCGGATGATCTCGTCGAGAATGGCGTCGGCTTCCCGGTGCAAAACCATCAGCCTATTTCTCAGCCCGCTGAATCTGTGCAGCAATTTGATCGAAGGAAACAGTTCGGTGATGTCCAATCCCGTCGCCAGACCGAAAGCCTCTGTCACGATCGCCAGAAACCTCTTATGCTTTTCCGTTTCCGTTCCCAACGCCGTTCTGGTGGTGTAGTCGTAGCTCGTGGAGTGCAGCAGCTCCGTCAGATCGACGGGCGATCCTTCGCCGGAAACTATCCGCCGGACGAGGTCGGAGAAGACGTGCTTCCGCAGCGACCGGAAGGACTGGACGCGCTTCGCCGTCAGTAGCTCCGACGTGCAGATCTTTCTCAGGTGGCGCCAGTACTCGCCGGGAGGGCTGAAGCTGATGCTGTTGCAGCCGTACAGCATGATCTCCGCCACCACAATTCGGGGCCTGGTGGCGAATTTGACGTCGTGAGTTCGGAGCACTTCTCTGGCGGCGTCGGGGGAGGAGACGACGACGGCGGAGAGTTGGCCGAGGCGGACGTGCATCAATGGGCCGTATTTGAGGGATAATCGCTGCAGCGCGCGGTGGGGGAGGTCGCCGGCGAGGTTGTGGAGGTTTCCAATGAGAGGAAGCTTCCATGGCCCTGGAGGGAGCTTTGATGATTTGGGGAAGAAGATGAAGAAGAGTGTGAGGAAGAAGGGAAGGAGTATGAGAAATTGAAGCATTGTTAGGGTTAGCTAGTTGAGTAGAGTTCAGTTATGTATCATCTCACTCTGGCCGACTTATTTTGGGCTTATTAGGAAGTTTATTAATAAAAATAATTATAAATTAAAAATTAATATAATTAAATAATTTAATTAAAATTAAAAAATTTAAAAAATTTAAAATTTAAAATACGATTTAAATGACTAATTATATTTTTAAAAATAAAAAAATTAAATTATATGAAACAGATAAAAATAGAAAATAGAAAATAGAAACATATTATATTATACGGAAAAATAATTAACTAATAAGCTAGGCTACGTAAACATTTATGACGGGACATTAGACATAGCAGAGGAGAGGAGATGAGAGGTGTAATTTAAGCAATTCAACTTATTTAGGTTAATCAGCATCAAGCCTAGTCCTTTCCTTATATACATATATGTATTCGTTGATTTTTTTTGCATTTAAATTATCAAATCACACCTCTTTTATTAATTTAATACTCGAGGAAATAATTAGTAAATAATACTATCTATTTAATATTAAAAATATTTTTATATTTATATAATTTTTTATATAAATGTATTTTTACGAGTATTATAAGACACTAATTGAAATATTTTTGTAATTTTTTTTAATTTATACTATGTTTTGATATAATAATTAATATTTATAAATGAACATAAAAAAAATGAGACCAGTCAAAGGTAGTAAAAAAAAATAATAAATTAAAAAATTTAGAGATTAAAATGTATAATTTTTTTAGTAGATAAATAAAAATATTTATTTATTTATTTTAATTAAATAAAATTTTATTTTTTACAAAAATAATACTCCATTTATATTACATAGGAATATGTTATATTGAGAATGTTTGAAATATTTAAATATATTAAGAGTGTATTTGTTTTTGGGGTTTGGATTTTGAGTTGGGATTTGAATAGTAAAAATTTTGAATTTGAATAGTGGTATGATGTGATATAAATAGGTGTTGATGTGATGTTTTGAATGTAAAATTGATTTTTAGTATAATATAAAAAATGAAAAATAGATGTTTGATTTAATATTTTTGGGGGAAAAAATTGAATGAATAGTAAAAATCTAATTAAATCCCTCAAACAAACACACTCTAACTTTCTTTGAATCCTAACTGTTAATTTTTATTTCAAAAATATAAATTTTACTATTTGCATAAGAAAAAATAATATAGTTAACTACTTATAATTTACTAAATTATACTCCTTTTTTTCTTTATTTTTTTTTTATGTTATTGTATTAAACATTAAAAATATATATATAATATTTTATACAAATATCATTGTATTTTTATTATATAATGCTAATAAATATATTTTTATTTTTTATTTTTTAATTTATAGTATATAATATTAATATACAAAATTAAACATGAAAATATATATATATATATATAAATACTTAATTAAGAGATAAAAATAGAAATTTTTTTGTTTTAAGTATAGTACACTAACCAAACCCATCAAACTGTAGCGGGCGTGTTGTGGGACAGACGAAGTACTACATAAATTGAATATAAATGGTCCGGAGGGGTGTTTGTTTTGGGATTGTATTTTGAATTGGGATTTGAATAGTAAAAATTTTAAATTTGAATAGTTATATGATGTGATATAAATAGGTGTTGATGTGATATTTTGAATGTAAAATTAATTTTTAGTATAATATAAAAAATAAAAAATAAGTGTTCAATTTGATATTTTTTAAGAAAAAAAATCGAATGAACAGTGTAAATCTAATCCATTCCCCCAAAACAAACACACTCCAACCATTCTATTCAATTATCTGTCACTGCCGACAATAATAAATAAACGTGCATCCACAGTCACTATTATTTTTAATATATATAAAAATATAAAAATTTACATTATATATTTTTTAAAATTAATATATATTTAATATAATATATATATATAAATATTTTTATTATATAAAAACTATTATCTAAAATTAATACTTCCTTCGTCCCGCTGCAAGATTGATGTTTACTTTTTGTACGTAAATTTTTGAATATTAGTAATATAATGGGTTGTAGTGTAAAAAACAAAAATCCTATAAAAGTAATGGTATTTGTGTAATATAATGTAAGTTGAAAAAATATTTATTATGGTAGGTAAGTAGTACAATTACTAAATTTGAAAATAATAAGGGTAAGATGAAAATGAAAAATAACAACCTTGAAATCAAACCGAGAGAGTAATAATTAACTATATTTTTATTCAAATATAAAATTAAAAATATTAGTATTATACATAAATTTAATTTAAGTTTGTAAATATAATAGAACTTAAATTGAACTCCAAAAAAAAAAATAAAAATGGCTCGTGACAAGATCGAGAAAATATCTAAACCCGTAACACACGTCCTTGTTTGATTTTAGTATTAATTAAGTCTTGTCACGTGGTAGATATTAAGAGTGGAAAACAAACACTATTACAATGACTCATATGACAATTTTAATGTATTTGATTTTTAAAGGGGTAAATTATATAGTAACCTGTAAAAATGCACAAAAGTATTATTTATTGCGTGAATTCTTTTTGTTAATGTAAAATTTGTACAAAATATTTTTTTGTTCAAAATTGATATTTAGTTCTAAATAAATACTTAAATTATGCAAGTTTTATACAAATAAAAAATATAAAATATCTTAAATAATTTTTTTGTATTAAATAAATAAATAAATAATTTATTAATCCTTCATTTTATAATTTTTAGAGATATATTGTTGTCTGATTTTTATAATAAAAATTATAAAAATTATTTATTTTATTCAAAAAAATTATTTAAAATATTTTACGTTTTTTATTTGTATAAAACTTACGTAATTTAGGTCTTTATTTCGAACCAAACATCAGTTTTGGACAATGAGGGTGTTTCATGCAAACTTTCCATTAACACAAGGGGTTTCACGCAATCAATAAACATAGAGTGTTTTGTGCATTTTTAATAAAATATAAGGATGTGTTATGTAATTTACTCTTTTTAAAATTAGATACTAAAATTGATGTTAGTAATATAAAAAAATAATATTTTATATTAAATTATTGATTTTTATAATAAATAAAACATATATATATTATGCTAATAAATGTATTATATTTTTAATATATTTATAAGAAATTGTATCAAAAGAAAAGTAAATGTACTTATTATACATATTTACGTACATTTTAAAATTTTATTGTATAAGATTGGTTGGGTTGGGTCTATCCATTTCAAATATATATATATAATAGTTCAAAATTTTTAAAAATATATATATATATATATATATTTAAGAAAATGTTTGAACAAATTCTTATAGACTTCAAAGTGGACATTGTTTAGTTTTATATAAAAATATCTTCTCTTCCAAAAGTATAGTCTTATTATGTTGGGTACGATATTTAAAAAATATTGATATTATATTGGTAGTCGGTAAAAAAAAAAAGATAAATGACTTTTTTGCCCTTGTGAATATATTGGTGTAAAAAGTAGTGGCAATTGTATAATAATAATGAAAAAGTAGGGATAATTTTACCGTGAATGATTATTTATGAAAATGAGACTATTGTTTTGGGACGGACAAAATAATAAATAAAACTAATAAATAAATATTTTGTATCGCATGATATAATTAAAACTGTTGCAGGGTACGTGGAGGCGGTTCACTCTCCCACACCACTGCCTGATCATTTTTTACGGGACTGATTTTTTTTTTTTATTATTTTTTATATAATAACAATCTTGCTCATTATTCATTTTGTTAAATTAATATTATTTGCTTATTTACCTTGTTAAGTTATTTTTAATTCTATTAGAATTTTAATAATCACAATTGCATGTTTATTTATTGAATCATCATTAGTTATTTATTATGTTTTAATTCTTAATAATTTATAATTAAAGTCATAATAAAATGAATATAAATTAGTTCAATTGAACTGACAATGTGAATCAAAAATCACAAATGATTAATTGATATAAAATAGAAAAACTTTTTACCATTATAAGGTAGATGAATTCCAATATGAAATACTTTCGACAATAACATAAATTTTAATTTATATAATATATATATATATTTTTTTTTTAAAAAAAATCAATTTATTCAATACAAAATAAGTTTTCAAACTAAAATAACCATTATAAACCTTAAAATTAACAAAATGTATCTATTTATAATATTAATCAACATATTAATTTTAGTTAAATCATAAACAACAAGAATTAAGTTTGAGGTAAAACATACTCTATATGTCCTTTACCTAAATATTCATTCACTTTTTACAGAAAATTTTATGTATATTAGTATATGAATAAAATAAAAATGACTAAAATGACATTATTAGTATCATATGATATAAAGGTAACGACATTTGTGTAATACTACTTCCATCCGGCTCTAAGGGTCTCATTTATTTTTTATATGTTTATTTTTAAATATTAATTATTATATGAAAACGTGGTACAAATTAAGGAAAAATGACAAAAATACAATGTCTTATAATACTATTATAATGACATTTGTGCAAAAAATTATACAAATATAAGGATCATTTTAATGTTAAGTACAATGATGTAAAAGGTAAACAGAGCTCTTAGAACCAGACGGAAAGAATATATTGTATGTGGTAAAAATATTTGTAATATTAAATAAATAGTACAATTACTTAAAAATAAATGAATATTACATTATAAAATGGAGCAAAAAAAAAAAAATTTGTTAACAAAAGCATGTTGCGTATACTTTTGTTTTGATATTGTCATTATAAAATTTTAAAATAATTATATCAAAGAATTATTATTTTTATTGTGCCATATTACACATGATCTATTTTTCTTTTTTATCGGTCCCATAAAAAATGACTTCATTTTTATTTTTTTTAGTAAATTTATTAATCTTAAACATATTTAATAAATATAAATCAATTTATCACTAATTTAAAACCTCTTTATTTCTATCTCTTTTCTCACTAAATAAATATTTTTATCTATATATTATAAACTTCTCATTTTTTATAAAATTAGTTTTAAATAATTATATTTATTTGTATTATATAAAATTTTATTAGCATATAGTATTTTATTGAAATATAATTATAAAAATATTTAAAATACCAACAACACTACTCGTATAAAATAATATTTTGTTTGTTAGTGTTTTACTTTGATATAGGTTTTTTGTTGTGATATATACCGTCGAAAATATAAAAAATTTATATTTTGTATTGAATTATTTATTTATTTTATATAAAAAAATTAGAGTATATATATTATTTATATTGTATGAATGTATACATATTCTAATTTTTATTAATATTTATCGAAAATAATGTCAATACAAAATTGTTAGGCGAACAAAATATCTAGAGTTTGCTTGTTTAGTATTTTGATTTGAAGTATTTTTTTATATAAATTATAAGAAATCATGTAGTTAAGATATAAAATAATATTTTATATTGAAGATCGAAAATTTACAAAATTGTCAAAGGATTAAATATATAGTATATAGGTATGTTTGTTTTGCATTTTAGTTTTTTTTACGTGAAAATATATAGAATTGGGTAAATATTATAAAAATAATGAATGTATGTATATATAAATTATTAATAATAAGTTAATATAATATTTCATTATTAGATGTTTAATTAAATTAATTTATATTTGTTAACTATATTTAAGATTGATAAATTTACAAAAATAAAAAAGATCTAGCTTTTGTGTGAGGTACAAAAAAGAAAATGGAGTCGTGGCGGGAGGAAGTTTTAATCCCTTACAAAAAAAATTATTCATTTATATAAAATATATAATAATAATCGATTTTTTATTATTTTCTCTATTTTGTATTAATTATACAATAAATGAGTATTTTTAATGGTGCCTAATATTAAAATATTCTTTATTTATTTAGTATTTAACCATTTATAATCTTAGATAGTTTTATTATAATGAGTAAATAATCATAAAAATATTATACAGAACAGAATGATATATTTTATATGTATATATGATAGGATATATTCTTGGATATATATTTATTAGTCATGTGAATATAAAATTCTGAGTCGCACATTCTAAATAAAATAAATCAATTAATTCGTTGCTAAACTAGAGAGAGGAGAGCATATTCAAATAATTTATCGTGAACTTCTTTCCAACGATTCCTGGAATCGCGTCGCGCCGTTATTCCGTAAACCCTTGAATCTTCTCTTCCAGGGCCCCCGGCGATTTGGTCACTGCAAGCAGCAGCACCAGCAGTCATGGACGCCGGACTGCTCTGGTGTTAGAGATACAAATAATAATAATAATAATAATCTGCAGTGTTCCGGCCGAAGAATAATATATATATATATATATATTCTTAACAGCTTCGATCAGGACGTTCGACTAAAATGGCAGGCGATATCCTCCTAAGCCCGACGCTGTTGCGTTTATTCTCCGGCGCATTGCACTTGATCGTGCTGCTGACGACGTCAATCGCCGGTGTTCGCGCGAGAATTCGAAGCAATGACGGCGAGAGTCGGGAGGACGCCAGGCCGTTGTATTTCAGGCGAACTCGGTACTCGTGTTTGGCTCTATCCTTGTTTAATCTCGCTTTGTGTTTGTTTGACGTCTTTTATCGATACGGCGGTTTGTGGTCGATTGAGGATATCGTGATTTTGTCGGATTTTGGAGTAAGAGCGCTGGCGTGGTTCCATTTATTTATTTCCTTGAACAACCGATGGTGTTTGAATGCAAGTGGTAAAAAGTATTCCGTAGTTTTGAGGCTTTGGTGGGTGATTTTTGCGTTGATGTCGTGTTATTGCCTGATGGTAGACGTTTTCTATTATGAGAAGCATCGAACTATTTTGAAATTGTTTTGGGCGTCTGATGCAACATCCTTGGCCTTTGGCTTATTACTCTGTTACTCAGCCCTTTCGATGAAGGGCGAAAATGCCGGTGATCTTGGAGAGCCACTTCTGCATTGTGATCATAGAGATGATGGAGGATCAAACATGGTTATTGAAGGGGGAGAAAAAGGGGGAGTAAGAGTGACCACTTTATCTAATGCCGGTGTGTTCGGTTCAATTTTCTTCTCTTGGATGAGTCCTTTGATATCTCTAGGCTACAAGAAGAAATTGGATATGAAGGATGTTCCTAGTGTTTCTAGTTATGATACGGTTAGGGAGACATTTCCTGTTTTTGATGGTAGATTGAGGTCTTATGCCGGAGAAAGCAATAAAATCACCAGTGCTATGATTGCGAAGGGATTGTTTTTCGCAACTCGATGGGAAATTGGAACTTCTACTGTCTTGATGATCATATCCACACTGGCCTCATACGCCGGTCCAGTCCTTATTGACAGCTTTGTCCAATACATGAATGGACACCGGGAGCTACCGAATGAGGGCTACAAGTTAGTTTCTGTTTTTATCGTTGCGAAAGTGGTGCAGAGCGCCACGCAGAAGCATTATAACTTTAAGGTTCAACAGGGTGGATTTCGAGCCAGAGCAGCTTTGGTTGAGAAGATCTACAATAAGGGCTTGAGCCTTTCTTGTCAATCGAAGCAGGAGTATACCACCGGCGAGATTATCAATCTGATGGCGGTCGATGCACAGAGGGTTAGCAGCTTCTATTGGTATTTGCAAGATCCTTTGGAAATAACTCTAGACCTTGCATTGTCGTTGGGGATCTTGTATAAAAATTTCGGGCTGGCTTCCTTATCTGTGCTCGCTGCAGCGGTAGTAATCATGTTAACAAACTTTCCGCTTGGGAAATTTCAGCGAAAATTTCAGGAAAATCTGATGAAAGCCAAAGATGAAAGGATGAAAATGACAGCTGAAGTTTTGAGCAACATGAGAATTCTGAAGCTTCAGGCTTGGGAGATGAAGTTCCTATCGAAAATCCTCGAGCTCAGGAATGTGGAGGCTAAATGGTTGGGTCGATATCTTTACATGACGGCTGCTTCGACCGTTGTCTTCTGGGGCGCCCCTGCATTGTTGTCTGTGGCTACTTTTGGCAGTTGTGTACTAATGGGAATTCCTTTAGAGTCTGGAAAGATACTATCGGCCATTGCCACCATTAGAATTCTTCAGCATCCTATTAATAGTCTCCCCGACTTGATATCTATGATTGTTCAGACTAAGGTCTCTGTTGATCGAGTTGCAGCGTTCCTTTCCCAGGATGACTTGCAGCCGGAAATTGTTGAAAAGCTTCCATACAGTAGCTCTGAAGCGGCTGTTGAGATAGTTGGAGGAAACTTCCAATGGGATAAGTCGTCTCCTGAGCCAACATTAAAAGATATTAATTTGAAAGTGTCTCATGGGATGAGGATTGCCATTTGCGGCACAGTTGGTTCAGGAAAATCCAGTTTGTTGTCCTGTATTTTAGGCGAAATGCCAAAGCTGTCCGGCATTGTTAGGATCTGCGGAACTAAAGCCTATGTCGCGCAGTCTCCCTGGATTCGGAGTGGATCAGTTGAAGATAACATACTGTTCTGCAAACCAATGGACAGGCAAAGGTACAGCCGAATACTCGACATATGTTCACTTAAGAAAGATCTGGAAATTCTTGCTTTTGGTGATCAAACAGTGATCGGAGAGAAAGGGATCAATCTAAGCGGGGGACAGAAGCAGCGAGTGCAAATTGCACGTGCTCTATACCAAGATGCCGACATTTATTTGTTTGATGATCTGTTTAGCGCGCTAGATGCACATACAGGAAGTAGTGTATTTAATGTAAGCCATCACGACCTTGTCCTTTTCGATATGTTTGTTTCTGATACACATGAGTTTCGTCCATGATCTGCTTAATCATGTTGATATCTGCTGTTTCTAATGGTGTGCAGGAATGCATTCTTGGTTTTCTGCAATCGAAAACTGTTATCTATGTAACTCATCAAGTGGAGTTTCTGCCGGCTGCAGACATCATTTTAGTGAGCTATACATTAATCTCTACTATGTTGCATCCTTTGCTTATGTATGTTTCAATCCAAACCTTAATCGAATTTTCTTACATCAGGTTGTGAAAGATGGAGAGATTAAACAAGCCGGTAAGTATGAAGACATCCTGAAATCCGGAAGTGAGTTTGAAAAGCTCGTTGGCGCGCACGAGGATGCTCTATCAGCGATCAATTCATCTGAGATGAGGAAAATAGGAAACGGAAACGCTGCCGAATCCCTTGAGATGCAAGAACCTCTCCAGGACGGCGAAAATAATGGAAAGGATGATTGTGTTGTGAAAAAACAGCAGCTTGTTCAAGAAGAAGAAAGAGAGGAGGGAAGAGTGAGTTTTTCCGTTTACCGGAAATACCTCACAACAGCATACGGCGGGGTTCTTGTACCCATCATCTTGCTAGCACAGGTTTTATATCAGGTGCTTCAGATTGGAAGCAATTATTGGATGACTTGGGCGACTCCTGTGTCGAAGGATATGGCGCCTTCTGTTGGATCCATGAAGCTTATCCTCGTCTACATTGCTTTGTCAGCTGGGGGATTGTTCTGCATTTTGAACCGCACGGTGCTCTTCGCAACTGTAACTTACAAGACTGCGAATGCGCTCTTTAAGAAGATGCATCACTGCGTATTTCGCGCCCCCATGTCTTTCTTCGACTCCACCCCGAGTGGAAGGATTATCAACAGAGTAAGAATGTTTCGACGTCTTTTAAGTTGTTCTGTTCCTACAAAAAGCATTTAGTTAATCAATCTTGAGCTGCTGCAGGTGTCTAAAGATCAAAGCGCGGTGGATTTGGAGGTCTCGTATCTTCTCATGCATTTCGCCGCAGCTTCAGTACAGCTCCTGGGAATCATTTTCGTCGTGTCACAGGTTGTGTGGCAGGTCTTCATCATTTTCATCCCTGTCGTCGCGTTCTCCATATGGCTCGAGGTAACGGAAAACAGTCGTTCTGTCTCTTTGTTATTTCTATAGTCAATGGGTTTCATGGCCGCGTTCTTACATAAGCGTTTGGATTCAAAATTGTTTCCTCTGCAGCAATACTACATACCATCAGCTCGGGAGCTGTCTCGACTGTGTGGACTGTGCGAAGCTCCGGTCATCCAACACTTCTCCGAGACGCTCTCAGGATCAGATACGATCAGAAGCTTCGACCAGGAATCGAATTTCCAAGACATAAGCATGAAACTAATCGATGACTATGCTCGGCCAAGGTTTCATAGCGCTGGTGCGATGGAATGGCTTGGCCTTCGCCTCGACATGTTGTCCCTCATAACATTCTCGTTCTCGCTGATCATCTTGGTCGTGCTCCCGCAAGGCACAGTCAATCCGAGTAAGTGTGCTGTGCAATCTCATCACATTCATCGACTAAGTAGACACACGTAATTAATGATGTATTTTGTGTTTGCATTGATGTTAGGTGTCGCTGGCTTGGCTGTCACATACGGGCTTTCCTTAAACGTCATGCAGGGATGGTTTATATGGGTCCTTTCCAGATTGGAAACGACGATCATCTCTGTCGAACGGATGCTTCAGTACTCTTCCATTCCGAGCGAGCCTCCTCTCGTCGTGGATTCAAATCGACCGGAGAGCTGCTGGCCGAGACATGGAGAAATCAGCATCCAAGATCTTCAGGTGAACGCATTTCTTCTGCATTGTTGTCCTCGATTATTTACAACGATCCTAACGGATCCAAGCGCTGTTTACAGGTTCGATACGCCCCCCACATGCCTCTAGTCCTCCGAGGACTCACCTGCACCTTCTTCGGAGAGAAGAAGACGGGGATCGTGGGGCGAACCGGAAGTGGCAAATCAACACTCATCCAGACCCTCTTCCGCATCGTCGAGCCATCTGGTGGTCGAATACTCATCGATGGCTTTGACATCTCATCCTTTGGGCTTCATGATCTCCGGTCGCGATTGAGCATAATCCCGCAGGAACCAACCATGTTCAAAGGGACCGTAAGAAACAACATGGATCCCCTCGAAGAGTACAGCGACGAACAAATCTGGGAGGTACATATTCATTCATTCATTCTACTAATGTTTTTAACACCCCGATACACACTAAACCGAACTCAACCCTCCCTCGGTTTCAGGCGCTCGATAAATGCCAGCTCGGAGATATGGTCCGGCAAAAGGAGCACAAACTCGACTCTTCCGGTACTCCAAAGTTTTCTCACCTGTCTCTCCCTGCGTTCCTCTATTGCTCGAGGTTTCGAACTAACCACATTTTGTTTCGATCAGTTTCCGAGAATGGCGCGAACTGGAGCACCGGGCAACGGCAACTGGCGTGCCTCGGGCGAGTGCTGTTGAAGCAGAGCAAGGTTCTGGTCCTCGATGAGGCGACAGCATCGGTCGACACGGAGACTGATAATCTAATCCAGCAGACGCTGAGGCAGCACTTCACCGGATCGACCGTGATCACAATCGCTCACCGGATAACGTCGGTACTCGACAGCTGCATGATCTTGTTGCTGGATGAGGGTGAGGATCGATCACTGTGAATTTGAATCGAATCAACTTCGTAAAACTTATCTCGAGAATATTAAATAATATATATATATGTATGTATGTATGTATGATGATGATGTTGTCCTGACCAGGTATTCTGAAGGAGTATGACGCTCCCGGGAAGCTGTTGGAGGACAAGAACTCGTCGTTTGCCCAGCTCGTTGCAGAATACAGCAGCAGATCAACACTTAATTAGTCTCTAATTTATTTTAATTTAAATATCCATTTTTAGTCTCATATATATATTTTGAACCTGCCAAGAACAAAAAACTTTAGTATACTATTTTTTTTTATTAAATTATGTAATTGGAAAATTGGTTTGCTTGCTTGCTTGTTTTCTATTGTTAAATTATCGGGCATAGTTAGAACACTACTCAGACTTTAGGATTTAAAATTTAGAAGGGTTTAATGATTTGGCGTACATCGCCTGGTTTAACTTTAAAGTATGTCTTTATGGTTTGAATACTTAGTGTGGTGTAACACTATGTTAAAAGTGATCTAAATTATAAAGTCAAAATATTTATTTTTTATTTTTATATTATTACATTTAAAATATGATCATCAACACCTATTTATATATTTTCTTGTAAATGACAAGTGGAATTTTCTAGTAATTATACTATTTACTTCACATAATAGAAAGAATAATATAAATGCATAGAAGTGGTGGAATACGAGAGGGCTATATATGTCAATTCAGCACGGCAAGTTGCCGGAGAGAGGAGAGGAGAGCAGCCAGTCTTGCTCTCGGACAACAACCATAGCTACGACAAAGCCATGGTGACATTCTCCGCTGCATCCTTCGAACCTCCGCCAAATCCCTAGACTCCTTTCTTTCTTCCCTTCCTTCCCCCTTCAGTGCACTGCAATAATTGAGCGTTTGTGAGTGTATTTCTATATAATTCATAGAATTAGAAGGGAATTACATGGATGCAGGAGCGGCAGTCGCCGCCGCGCGTGAAACCGGCCGAATTTTCAGCCGATCGACTTTTATCACCAATTCGCATCCTTCCTCCGCCGTTTTTCGCACTCCTCTGGTAAAGTTATCCCGTAAAATTTTTCCACGGAAGCTGCGGTGCAGTACTTGGCAGCCTTACACCGCTCCGGTCTTCTTATTCAACCCTTGCAGAAGGGTCCCGTTTTGTTTACTCTCTGTTGATTGCGGTTGCGTGAAAAATGACGGCAGTAATGTCGCCAGTGCGGCGAAGGACGGAAGCTTTGGGGTGATTTTTTTGCGGAAGGGGCTGGTGATGGCTGCGGCGGCGATTGGGGTGGTTTGGGCATTGAATTGCCAGAGGGCGTTGGCGGTGGAAGGTGTCGTTAGTGCGGGATATGGTGTTTGGGAGCGGATTTTGATGGCTTTGAGGGACTCATGGCCTAAGGTCTCCCAGGTTTTGACCATATTCAAAGAGCAGGGTTTAGTTCTTGCTGCTCTGTTAGGACTCTCGGCTTTCTTTTCCATGGCAGAGACCTCTATTACCACTCTTTGGCCTTGGAAGGTATCGAGGAATTACGATTGTGATACATGTTTTGTGTTGATATTTTCACGGTTAATTGTATGCATCTAGCTATTGAGCTGCTATTATTTTGCATTGCCAATTTGTTGCTCTATGTTAGTTTTGGGATCTGGATTAATCATTCCACTTCGAATACGGATGCTACTGTTTTTGCTCATCGGAAGTGTTCAGGTGGTAGAGTTTGCCCCAAATTTGTTATAATTGTGATATTTGGGTGTATTAGTCATTGCATTTCTAGCTTTTTCTGTAGTTCTATGCACTTTTATGGCTCTGTTGTAGTTAAGAGTCAGAGATCTATGGTAGGTTTTTTGTTGTTAGCCATCAGGAATACCTTTGGGAGGCTCTTTTGCTTTGAGTGAGAATAGTTTTGGCGAACTTTTTGAGTGATCTTATTCTGTTTTGGATCTGGTTGGCTAATAGTTATAGTAAATGCAGGTGCGGGAGTTGGCCGAGAAAGAATCTGAGAACGGTGTTTTCAGAATGCTACGGAATGATGTTACTCGGTTTTTGACGACGATTCTCATTGGCACCACGTATTACTCTTCCTGTTGATTTGGCTTGCTGCTGTTATCTCTTCTTTTGAATGAAAACTTGTTTACTTATTTTAGGTATTTTATATGCTCAGAGTGGTAAACATTGGCGCCACAGCATTAGTCACTGAAGCTGCGACTACAATATTTGGGGAAGCTGGTATCAGTGCTGCAACCGGGGTTATGACGGTACATGCTGAGCTTGTTTGACTTTTTATGATTGTATTTGTTTATGTTTTTACTGTTGATTTACTTGTAGGTCATTCAAAATTTTCTTTTGTTAGATTTCTATTATCTAAAACGTGTAAATGAAGCAGGGGTTAACTACTGTGATTTATTGAAATTTGGATTAATCTTTCTGAACATGGAATTGTGATCTTTTTAGGAAGATTTATTTTACACCTGATGATATTATTATTGGTCTTTATTTGCACTTAGATGACTGGATTTCATATTTACAGTAAATGGATGCATAACCTTTGCTGTCGTTATCTTCAGAAGCATTTTATACATTGCTATATTTGGGAGAATTTTTGTTTCCACATTGTGTGAAATGAATATGGATTCTGTTTAACATGTGGAAATTTGAAAAAATTGCTGGTTTTATCCAATTGCCCCACGAGACTGAAACTGTCAATGGTGCCAGGTAGCTATTTTGCTCCTCACTGAAATTACTCCAAAAAGTATAGCAGTTCACAATGCCACTGAAGTTGTGAGGTTTGTGGTAAGTTTTCAGATGCTTGAGAACCAAATTTGTGTTGGTGATTTCATTTTCCTCTTCCCGTAATAAATCATAAAAGAAACTAAATATAATTCTAGAGTGGAAGCTACTTTTGTACCTTTCATGAACTGCTACATTTCTATCATCTTTAGGTTAGGCCAGTGGCGTGGCTTTCTCTAGTGCTGTATCCTGTGGGCAGAGTTGTAACATATCTGTCAATGGGAATGTTGAAACTGCTAGGCTTGAAAGGAAGAAGGTGTGGTTTAACATTCCTTAATGGATATTTTTTTAATTTGTTGTTCACATCTTGTCCATGGAAGTTTATATGTACTATAATGTTATGGGTTGTAATCGCTCAACCAAATTCCCAGGCGTTGAATTTGTGTTTGGTGGTGTTGTCAGTTTAAAACAGAAGATATGGTGGCCATGAGACCATCATCATCCTTTATTAGCGATGATTTGTTGCAAGTATTAATTGCAAGAATGAAATTAATGTCACTTTTGCTATGGAAGCCAAAAAGTGTTAGTGACGTAATGTATGTAGATATGAGTTTTACATATATCTATAACTACTGATGCTATTGCATTTTTATCATGTGTTGTGCTGTGTTAGTGAACCATATGTAACTGAAGATGAGCTTAAGTTGATGTTGCGTGGAGCAGAGTTAAGTGGCGCAATTGAGGAGGAGGAACAGGTAAATAATGAGTGTGTCTGGATTCAGGAATGTCGAGATTGCTTTTAGGGATTGTAAATATAAATGTAATACATGGAGTGAACTTTTGACAGGATATGATTGAGAATGTTTTGGAGATAAAAGATACACATGTTCGAGAAGTGATGACGCCTCTCATCGATGTTGTTGCCATTGATGCTGGTGCAACCCTTGTTGATTTCCATAATTCGTGGGTGGATCATCAGTATTCCAGGTATAAACTGCTTTTCCATTTGCTTGTGTAGTTGATATTGTAATTGATCTAAGAAGCATTTGCACTTGCTTGTAGAGTTCCAGTTTTTGAGGAGCGCATCGACAACATTGTTGGTATTGCTTATGCGATGGATCTTTTGGACTATGTGCAGAAGGTGCCTAATTCTCACTGTTCTTCATTATACCCTAGTATGCCATTCTCTCTAGCATGAGGAATTATTTTTTCTGTTGGTTTTGAAGGGAGAGCTTCTTGAAAGCTCTAAGGTGGGAGGCATGGCACACAAGCCAGCTTACTTTGTTCCAGGTGAAAATAATTAGGCTTTTGCAACTTCACAATTCCAGACTGATGCATGCTGTTCTTGGTTTGTTGATGTGTGAATTATAAAATTTTGTTTGTGCTCGTTCCTACAGATTCCATGTCGGTGTGGAATCTTTTAAGGGAGTTTCGGATCAGGAAGGTGCACATGGCTGTTGTTCTAAATGAATATGGAGGAACTGTTGGGGTAATTTGTTCTTCTACTTTGCTTATGCACTAAAACTCGTGATTGCAAATTGATGTATGTAATTAAATTGTCAGCAATAAATTCTATGTTTCGGACCTGTGAGATGAGTGATCATTTTCTTTCAAAATTTTCAACAGATAGTTACCCTTGAAGATGTAGTTGAAGAGATTGTTGGCGAAATATTTGATGAAAATGATTCCAAGGTGAGCCTCTGTAATTTCGTGTATTATTATTATTTTTCTAAAAGCAAACTTAATACTTTCTTATGAAAATTTTGTTTGATAATTGCAAGTAGTTGTAGAAAATGACCATAGGTGGGTTTTTTATGTTATTTCCAACTGCCGCAGGAGGAAATTCAGAAGAAAACCGGTTACATTGTCATGCGCGCCGAAGGCATATATGACGTGGATGCTAATACAACAATCGATCAGCTCTCGGAAGATCTTAATATCAAAATGCCCGAGGTATTCCCCTGTCCTGTGTAATCCTAGATTCAGTTTATCATTAATTGTGGATATGAATCACTATCACTAAGATCTACCAGAAAACACTCATTTGAGTCCATACGTGTTCTTTGAGCTGAGTACTCAGATTACATATTTTAAGATTGTTTTCATGCCTGTTGTCGAATAAACACATTTGTTGTCCACAAATGCAGGACATTCAGTATGAAACAGTTTCAGGTTTTGTGTGTGAGGCGTTTGGGTATATCCCAAGAACAGGTGAAACCGTAAAAGTGGTTCTTGAAAGAGCAAATCGAGAAGATCACGGCGACTACAATGGATCAGAATCAGATCATCAAGATGAAAATGAAAAGACCCAAATATATAAGCTCGAGGTAAGCCAAATTTACTGACTACGATCGATAAAATCTTTTCCCAATAACCAGTCGAACTTGGAATTTCTTTTACCTTTCCCCATTCTGAGTTAGCCCGTGTGGTAATGCAGATTCTCGCGGGAAATGCCAGAAAGGTCAGCGCTGTACGATTCGAACGAGACAACAACAAGGAAGCATCACCAGATGCCAAAGACATAACTCGTTTGTTACCAAAGTTCAGGCGAAGAAAATCAATCAACGATGATAACGATGACAACTCAGAAATGTCGGAGCACAGCGCCACAGTTGGGGCACAAGCGGAAATGACAAACGATTACGCAATGTCCGTCAAGGAAGACATCAAGAACCAAGTAAGCCAACAGTAGTTAGTAGTAAGCCAACAAAAGTTCACCAGTTGATTTGCATTTCTCTAACATTTTCTCAGAATTCGAAATTATTTTGTGTATTTACACTTATTCATAGCTGAAAGAAAGTCAATAATTGGACAAGGCATGATGGAAATGGAAAGAAAGTTTTTTTTTTAACAGTTAATCTTTCCTATATGTTTAACAGCATGATGATACTCTCCATTCTCCCTGAGCTGACTCACCATCTCCTCATCCATGTCCTGTAAATTAAGCTCCTGCAAATTGCCAAGTTTGTCGATTCCCAGAGGATGCATCTTCAACCGAGGACACTTGCAGAGAGATAGCTTCTGCAGATCAGGCATTGCCCCATGCTCTATTAAAATTACATCGACATTTTCGAAATCTTCAATTACTAACTTCTTCAGCTTCTCGAACAACATTTCCTCAAACACCAACTCCTCGCCGATGTAACAGTCGACCAGATGAAGCTCCAGCAGGTTCGGAAGAGCGCCAAGAGTCGTAAACGGACTTTCTTTTAGTTTCGACCACATGAGACGAATTTTGAGCAGATTATGAAGCTTCGACATCCATGGCGGGAGGTCCCTCAATAGGCCTTTCAAGTAGAGTCGTTGGAGCGTCGCAGGGGCATCGATCTCCTTCCCCAGTTCAAGATACTCTTCTTTACTGGCTACGCAGACATTCAACGATACAAGATGCTGCATTTGTTCGATAGCGTCGCAAAGAGCTTGGCCATGGTCTTCTTTAAGCTCAGTCACTCCAAGCTTCCTCATTTGGGACAATTTATTCAAGTTCTCGAGGATTGCACCTTGTTTGTCTACTTTAACCAGTGACAAATCCTGTAGTTTTGTTAGACTATCGATTCCTCCAGGCATCTTAACGCCCTGCTTTGCGCCGGAGAAGACATCGCCAGATCCGGAGTTTTTGTAAACAAAGAGATGGCATAAATTGTACAAATCAGAAATCTCTTTGGGAAGCTCCACAACATCAGTTTCCTTAAGATCCAATGTTTCAAGGTGCAAAAGCCTCTTTATCCAACTCGGGATTTTCTTGATTTTGGTTCCTCTGAAGCAGAGATACTTAACAATGGTGAGATCATAGAACCCCTTGGGGAACTCTGTGAGAGGTGCAGATTGGAAATCAAACACTCTTAGCAACTCCATGCTGCTTAGATAATCGTTGAAATCAGAAGCTGATGCTCCGAGCAATCTGCGAGCGCAAAAATCGAACGCACAAGTTAGAACTTTATGGTAACAACAATCAAATGCTTCAGGACAACAAACCTCATCAAAAAGATGGATCGGACGTAATCGAAATTTATGTTCGAAGGAAAACTGGTGTGATCATGGTGGACTGAGAGGCGTCGAATCTTCCAACTCTGGCTCGAATTCTCTTTACTGAAAATCGAAACGAAGTTTTCTTCCTCGCATTTCTGGATGATGAACTTAAAGACTAGGTTGTCCACTCGGCATCTTTTGGCTTTTCCACACAAATCCCATTCAGAAACATGAATCAAGTTTCTTTGAATAAGCTCATTGAGATAGCCATCGGCAACCTCCTCGGCTGTTTCGTAAGACGTAGCCCTTGCAAAGCCTTCGGCAACCCAAAGGCGAGCCAGGTGTGCGCGCTCGATAGAATAGTCCTCCGGGAAGATGCTGAAGTACAAGAAACAGCACTTGAGATCACTGGAGAGATCCATGTAGCCAGGCAAGAGAGAGTTGTAGATAGTTTTTAACTTCGACAAATTCTTCCATCCTCTGTCGCATCCGAGATTTTTGTTGAATTTCTCCCATTCGCCAAGCGCTCGTTGCTTCGATAGCGAGCTACCGACTTTTGCCAGCGCAAAAGGCAGCCCCTCGCATTGCATGGCAATTCTTGTCGCAAAAACCTTCAAATCGACAGGACATTCGCCTCCGAGGTCCGGGAAAGCCTTTCTGCAGAAGAGCCTCCATCCGTCGCTCCACTTTAGTCCTTGTAGTTTAAATATATGCTTCGTAGATGATGCAATGGAGGATGCAACGTTTGAGGATCTTGTTGTCACGATGACTTTGCTCCCAGGAACTGCTTTCTCGACGTAGTTATGATCTATTTCTCTCCATAGATCGTCAAGAACAACGATGTACCTCTTTCCATGGAGGAATTTTTGCAGCTTCGCCATCTTCCTCGAGTGGCTTTGATCGCTCAAGTACGAGTTTTCATTCCATAAGTTAAACTCCTTCAGCAGATTCTTAAAAATCTCCCCTGTTTCATGGCGTCGCCCGACGTGAACATAAGCATGGCAATCGAATCTGTCCCGGATTTCCTTCTTCCAATATGCATTCTTCACGAACCTCGTCTTCCCCGAGCCACATGGACCGACCACGGCGATCCTCGAAACTTTAGGATCGTCGTCTTTCAACATTTTAATGAAGTTTGCTTCCTGTTCGTTGTACCCAACCATTTCTTTTTCTTTATCGAGGATGAGAGGACTTGTGGTGTGGTACGGAATTTTGGCGCAAGAAGTCGATCCTGCGACGAGGAACTTGTCGCCGACGCCGTATGTTTCGCGCTTTTCTCTTAGGACATCTATGCGGCTCTTGACGCCTGCAATCTTGTCGGAAATTCCGTAAAGGGGAAAGTTGTGCTTCACGTTGTGGGCGATGCGGTAAACCTTCTGAGTGAAGCGATTGTGAAGGTTGCTGTGAGCGAATCCATGGCGGTGGAGCAAATCGGGCGGCGCGTGGTGGAGAATCTCCTCGAGAATGTCTTCCATGTCGTATGCAATTTCTCGAACTTCCTTCATGTACTCTTCCAGTGTCTTGCCGCCTTCGCGGCCATCGTTGTCTTCAATGAATGCCTTTGTTGTGGTGAGCCAGCTTTGCACGATGTCCACGTCGGGCTTCACTTTCTTCCCGATGTCGAACTCTTGCAGGAGAGGGATGACGATCTGCAGCAGAAGCTGCGTCGAGCTGATAGCAAGTTCTGCCATGGAGTCGATCTCTCTGTGTGTGTTTTGATTTTGTTCTTCTCAATTTGTCTCTGTAGGGATCATTGCCATTGCTGCTTATCTATTGGAGCTCGGCATCGTTGAAACGACGATGATTGGTAAGAATAAATATAATGCATGTGGTGATTATAAATTGAAGTAGAAATTCGTAATCATAGGTGGAGTAAAAGATTCCAGGGCAGGATGCCCTCCGTCGTGTTCAACGACAACGACGACAGACGACTTTTGGACATTTTCTCTTCCCATGGCTTGACTGGAAGCAATATCTTATTCGCCTGGACACTCTCTCAGTACCTTAACGGATATAATATACACGGGTGACGTTCCGGTGCTGATTTTTATTTGGAAAAATCAGTAATCAGTACCCATAAAATAATACAAGAATAGCACAAGTCTTTATGGAAGACAGTCGCGTTTTGTTTATAATAATGACGCGATGTTTGTTTAAAATTACATGTGATGATCATGTTAGTTCATATGTTGTATTTGTATTATATGAATATTAATGATGTGTTGTCACTAAGGGTGTTGTTTACTAGCTATATATGTGTTGTTAGTTCATGAGCTGTATTTGTATTTTATTAATATAAATTATGTGTTATCACTAACATTAGCTTGTATAATTTGCTAGCTATCTGTGTGTTGTTCAGCACTCTAGCCGCGCCAATATGCAACATACGTGACGGTCATCATGCCGATTGGATCAGCTCATGACAAATTAACAAATATTCACTCCGTTCTGTCTCATATCTATTATAACTGTGTATTTGTAATATAGTGTACTGTTTAAAAATAATTTTAATAATATATAGATATTAAAGTTACTAAAAAAAAAATGAATATTTTGTTTTTAAAAACCGACAAAAATATAAAAATTGATAAATAATTAAGAAAACGGAAGAACTATGACATATTTTTAAATAATGCAAACTATATTATTTAAAAATGTGATGTATTGTACCGAGTATAGATCATCTAGTGAAATTAATGAGAGAAAGTATATGTATAAATACATATTATGAATACACAGTATGTATTTACTTTTATGATTTGGTTTGGAGTTTTATTGTAAATAGTAAAATTTTGAATTAAAATAATATTTTTTTTTTTTTTTTTTTTATGAAGTGGAAATCCGCAGCAGCTATCCTGAAGTGCGCAGGGTAAACCCTCGATCTAATGTAATACCCTAAAATATAGATGTTTGATATTATATTTTTAAAAAGAAAAAAAGTTGAAATGATAAAATCTTACAAGTAAATACAATCTATATTATTTTAAAATAATAAATGATTTTATGTTTATTTTTTTATTATTAGTAAAATAATACAATCTATTAATTATATTTGTATTAATATACTATTTTTTAAATCAAATTTAAATTATTGTCCTATTAAATATTAAATCAATATAATATTTCCATACATAATTTGTACATAAAAAATTACCAAGACTGTTGTGATGTTATATGTTGTAAAACATCAGCGCTGATTTAATATGCTCTATTAGATCAAACACGTATAACATTTAGGGTGTGTTTGTTTGGGGGGATTGGATTTGATTTGCACTATTCATCTAATTTTTTTTTTTTTTTCCAAAAAACATCAAATCAAACACCTATTTTTTATTTTTTATATTATACTAAAAATTAATTTCACATTCAAAGCATCACATCAACACATATTTATATCACATCATACAACTATTCAAATTCAGAATTTTTACTATTCAAATCCCAACTCAAAATCCAAAATCCCAAACAAACACACCCTTATGAGATGTAACAAGATTAGTTCAGTAATTAGTTACTTAGTTGTAATGCATTATTAACGTATTACGTCAGTGTTATTGATGTGCTTATTTGATATTCTTACAATGGCGACTTAAACCAAATAAGTATATATAATGACTAATTAAAATATTTAAAAATGTTGATTGATACCTACTAATGCACATATATGGTCTTATTAATGTATTGACTAAGGTTATGTTTTTTTTGTTTTTAATAAAAAATATTATATCAAATAATAATAATAATTTTTTATTATATTACAAATTTATTTTACATTCAAATTATCACATCAACTTATATTTATTAAACAACTATTCGAATAATTATTTGATATGATATTTATATTACATCAAATAACTATTTGCAGTATAATATTAAAAAAAATGTATTTTACATTAATAGTAATGATCAAATAATAGAGATGACAATTCGAGTCGGCCCAGATTTATTCATACTGGGCCGGCCCGACTTAATTCCAAAATGTGTTTTACAAAGAAAAAGTGAATACACTATAGTATGCATCATTGTATTTGTTTGGAGGATTGAATTTTAAATTTATTATTCATCTAATTTTTTTTTTTCCAAAAATATTAAATTAAGTATTTATTTTTTATTTTTATATTATATTAAAAATCAATTTTACATTCAAAACTCACGTCAACACTTATTTATATCACATCATACAACTTCAAAATTTTTACTATTCAAATCTCAACTCAAAATTCAAACACCAGCAAACACGCCCCTAAATTATTTTGTATTTATGTTTACATATTTATTTTTTATAAAATATAGACATCTAGAATAAATGGTGAATTCTAACACTTATCTCTTCCCAATGTTTAGATGTGATTTTGGAAAATTAGGCAATTTTTTTTAAAAAATTTAAAATAATAAAAAATTAAGTACTTAGTATCAATATTATTTTATTTTATCTTTTTATCCCTAAACGTGAAATATTTTTATTTTTACTATTTTTGGAATTATTAAAAAGTTTCAAAATTTTCAAAATTTTATCTAAAAAAAAAAGGCCAACTTTCAAATTTCTAATCTAACAAAGCCTTATAAACACAGCCACCAGTAACATTACCGTCACAGTATAAATTGAGTATAAATTAATGTGGCAACAACAAATAGAAATTTCTTTGTAAAATCAGTCAACAGAAGGGCGTTTGAGCTGTCTTTGGCGATACGAAACTGCAACGCTCTGCAATTATTGAATTCCTCTTGTTTCCCTGCGATTTTTCTCTGATTTAATTTGCATCGCCAAAGTTCAATTCATTCCCGGCAAGATGAAGATCACAGTAATGACTGCCGACGAACAAATCGTCTCGCTCGATGTCGATCGCGATGAATCTGTAAAATTTTACTGCTTTCTAACTAAAACCCTAATTTTTCTGTTATTTCTCGCATTATCTTTTCCGGGGTTGCACTGGAAACGTTAAGGATTTTTTCTTTTCCTTTTCCTTTCTTCTTTGCGTGTGTACTGGTCTTAGGTTGAGAACTTGAAGGCTTTGCTGGAGGTTGAGGTAAGATCGAACCCTGTTCGCATTGTTCTTTTTTGTTATTGGATGTAATGCTACGAAGTCTCGACGTTTGATGCGATTCGACGTTGAATGAGCAGACACAGGTGCCACTTCAGCGACAGCAGCTGCTATATAATGGAAGGGAGATGAGGAATTCTGATAAATTAAGTGCCCTTGGCGTTGCGGACGGGGATTTGATTATGATGGTTTCAAACGCCTCGGCTGGTGGTGATTCCGGGTATATTTTTAAAAATTTTGGCTGTAAATTCTATGTTTTAGGTTCAAAGCTCGAGATTCTTCTGTAATTTACAGCTTCAAGATCATTTACTGCGTGGAAACTGAAAATTTGTATAGAATGTTGATCGACTGTCCTCTGTATTCTCTCTCACTCACTGAGTTTCATTTTTTTTAGTCTTCCTGGGTAGAAGTCACTTATAGTATAATAATTCCACCTGGGATTATGGATTTCCTCTGTTTATGGAAAGAGTTCATATTCTGATATGTTGTAGATCTGGAGCACCTGCAAACCATGTGGGCTTGAATCCTGATGGTTCAGCAGTAAATCCATCAGCCTTCCAGCAGCAATTGCGGAGTGATTCTAATCTGATGGCCCAACTATTTCAGGTAAAGCTGAGTATTCAGAGATAATGCTTGTCAAATGTATTTCAAATAGAACTAGTTAACATTGTATCCCAATAGTGTAGTTTCGGCATTAACTTATCAACGGCATGCTTTTAGAGTTATCCGCAATAACTGCTGTTAAAATTGTTGTTATCATGTTGAATATGCCAAAATTTGGGCATATTATGTGAGATTCATTTTTTTTAAGCATCTTTATAGTTGTGTTTCCTGAAGAGTTATTAAATCAACTATTGATCTATTATTGATATTTCATGCCCTTTTTCAACTGATAGAATGATCCAGAGCTAGCACAAGCTGTTCTTGGAAATGATCTCAACAGGTTGCAAGAGCTTCTACGTGCACGCCATCAGCACAGATCTCAATTAAGACGCCAACAAGAGGAAGAGATGGTTAGCATTCTTTCTGTTATTCTCTCAATATAGAAACAAGTTAATCTCTCAGTATAGAAACTTGCTTTGATACAGTTCTGACATGCAATGAATAATCTTGAAAGATCATGATACTAAAATCATGTAGGAACTTTGTTAGCTACTTAAGTTCATATCTTGGCTCACTGATAGAGGGTTATATCTTTATCAGAATTCTTTGATCAAATTATCTTTGCTAAATTTTTGAGTCATAGTCAGTTGTGAAGCTGATATGTTTCTTCATTTGCCTAGGCTTTACTGTATGCAGATCCTTTTGATGTGGAGGCTCAAAAGAAAATTGAGGCTGCTATTCACCAGGTGAGTCAGTTGCCTTTATCTAATAGTCTATGCGACTGACTTTTATGATTCGTCTTGCATGGATTGTTTTGTAAGTGTCCTGCTTGCCTTTTCCCTTTAGAATTTTTCCCATGTTTACTTTAGAGTAATAAAATCATATCTTGCATGTTAGTATTGTGGTTAACAACCTACAAGTTCTTAAGATGATGAGGACTATCCATTGTCTGCCTCCTGAAAGATGTAATGACTATTTTATGATAATATAAATTTTTTTAGTTGGTGGCCATTTACAATGATTTAAAAACATCCAATCGTGATAGTGAATTTGGCTTGGAAAAATGTTTACATTTTACCTTCACAACTATCATATGATATTAGAACGAGAAAGATTGAATATCGCACTAGCTCTTTTCATTTTTGGTTTGTCTTATTGTTGCATTGAACTGTCTCTTGAGGTGTCTCAAAAATTGCATGTGTTTAATGGCAGAAAAGCATTGATGAAAATTGGGCTGCTGCTTTGGAATACAATCCTGAAGCTTTTGCAAGAGTGGTGCGTAAGTTTATATTTTTTTTATATGCATTTGGTTGTTCTTTTTATAGAGCACATATGGTCTTCTCTTTTCCAGGTTATGTTGTACGTTGACATGGAGGTTAATGGTGTTCCATTGAAGGTATTGGCCTGACTTTGTTAATTATTGAGGTTTTATCTTCTTTTTAACTTCTCTTTAAACTTGCTTATTTAGAAAGTAGGAAATCAAGGGGAGACATGTAGGTAAGTAGGTTTATATGTTAGGAAGGATAAGGATAATGCCTGTGCTAATGTGCCATTTTGTTCTCCATTATAAACGAGGGGAACAATTTTACAGTTTTACTCATCTTTCTTTTAGGCATTTGTTGACAGTGGAGCTCAATCAACTATTATATCTAAAAGCTGTGCAGAACGTTGTGGGTAAGATATCTCTTGGATTTTGATTTTTTCCAAATAAAAGTTGGGTATAGCTGTTAGTTGATGTGGATGCTAGCTGCTCTCTTTTCTTTTCAGATTGTTAAGGCTTATGGATACACGGTACAAGGGTATTGCTCATGGAGTTGGCCAGTCAGAGATTTTAGGCCGTATACATGTTGCCCCAATAAAGGTATTTACATAGCATACAGCTATTATTATATGTTGATTGTTGTCTCTTTGCATCTCTCAGTCCAGGCCTGTGCAATTTCTTATTTCTCATAAAATTGATGTATTTGCTTTCACAACATGCCAGATTGGTAGTATATTTTACCCTTGTTCCTTCCTGGTACTTGATGCTCCAAACATGGAATTTCTCTTCGGCCTGGATATGCTTCGCAAGCACCAAGTAACGTCTTTAACTTTAGGTAACTATGTTCTTGATTTGTTTATTCAACTTGACTATAGATCTACTCACCATGATGTCATTTGCAGTGCATTATTGATCTTAAGGAGAGCGTATTGAGAGTTGGTGGTGGAGAGGTTGCTGTACCCTTTTTGGCAGGTAGTTATTAGGCCAACTATGTTGTATGTTTTGAATAGTGCATGCTTTAACGTTGTTTTCAAATGTTGGTATGCTACATTCAGCTGTACGAGGGCTCAAATATTGAATCATGTTTTTGTTTATTCGTTCTCAGAAAAGGACATTCCACAGCGGTTTTTGGATGAAGAAAAGTATGCGAAAGAAGCATCTAGCTCAGGAACACAAGTAAGGACATTGTTAATCATGCTGATCAGATGTATTTGCATCTTTTCACTCAACCTATTTGCTCTTTATAATTGATCTCAAATCAGCACTAGATTGTTTGGTTAGTTAAAAACCTATGTTTTTAAGCACCTTGTAAGACCCAATTCATACTCTGGTTTAAATTTATGATTGTATGTGGTTTACATGCTATTATAGCGGCAAATTACTGTGGTTGTCGCATTTAATTTCTTCTTCCCATTCTTTGTGTGTTTTTCTTATACATTTTTATTTGTTCTTAAGATCTTCCCAAGGGCAGGTTTCCATGTAGCCTTAATAATGTTTTTGTGATTTCAGGCATTGTCTGCAAGTAAAGAGAATACTAGCACTCCAGGAGGACCTTCTGGTAAGTTATAATTTACTTAGCACAGCATGTCCGATTTCTGTGTATAAATTTAAAGCTTTCTAATTAATAGTAGCTTTTCATGATTTATAATAATGATATCTTCTGAGTTTATCTTATTCTATTCTATTCAACCATATGTAACCATTTTTTTCTACTTGAATTTTTTATAATATAACTTCATCAGAGTTTCTTTTTTGTGTATATATACTTGTACATACTAAAATCTGACATGGAGTCAAACTTTTTCACCTTTTATTAACTCTTATGTTACACTTCCATGCCTTTTCTATGAAGATACTGTTTATTTCTTTGAAAGGTTTTATCTATGATACTAATAATTAATCTCACTCAACTGCAGGAAGTACTGCCAGGAATGCTTCCCAGGTGACCCCTATTTCCTGATATCTTAAATTCAGTATATAAATAAGTTTTTCAATGATCGTTTCAACTATGAGCCCTTATTTCTTGCACTCAGTTTTCAGTTTGAACCATGAACAAGATATAACAGACAAGTCAGTTTATCTTGCCACCATAACTCTCTGAACATCGAATTTGTAATCTTTGCAGGGTCCAGAATTTGAAGCTAAAGTTTCAAAGCTGGTCGAGTTGGGATTTCAACGGGAACAAGTAATTCAAGCTCTGAAGCTTTTTAATGGCAACGAAGAACAAGCTGCTGGATTTCTCTTTGGCGGCTGATGCTGATTTGTTTTTCAAGTCATGGAATTCACTTTGGTTTTTTGCAATGTACACTACACTACATTATGTTCATCAACAACTGCAGGAACAATCATCATGCAGTTATACTTAACCTTTTTTTCATTAAAAATTGGATTCGGAGGAACGGGCAGCGGAACTAACTCCTTATCATCTTAATTATTGCCAAATCCATAGGCTGTGTTTTTGTGTCTGTGTCAAAGCATGTGATCATTGTCGAACAGATATCTTATTTTCTTGTGACCAGTTACATTAGACCATTACCTGCACAGGTAAACTTACTATGGTCATGGTTATTACTCTACTCGTCGTCATGCAGGATTTCAGAATCCCCTCCAGGCATCAAGAACTTCGTTGAATACTTCAGCTACAAGTTCTCTGTCCCCGCATTGCAGGAAAGTATTGAACTCATCACGAACATCGAATATCTTTGCAAACTTCACCAGGTATGTTGTGCAGCTAATCTTGAGTCTTGGCAGATGGTATAGTGCAGCATATTGTAGTCTTTCTAGTGCGTTCCCATTGTCAATATCCTCGATCAGGCTTTCCTGGCAGGCCTCCTTTAAATCTGAAACGTCGTATTTGTCAGCTGCCCTAACCAGGGCCAGCCTGTGCATCAAGAAAGTGTCGTTCCTTATGTTGCCGTAGATGTAACTTAGGAAGGCCTGGCAGGCCTCAATTGACATGTCGGGTATGTCAACGGCGGAGAGTTCATTCTCCATGAGGTTGTGCGAGAACATGCCCCGGAAAACAGGTGACCTCGAAGCTAGAACTGCGCGGTGTGCTGCAATGCTTCCATCGGATGCATTGATCAGTATGTCTGTATGAATACCTTCGGACAGCATTCGGCCGAGCAATGTTAGGGCTGTTTGGTTCGACTGTCTTTCGCTCGATCCTTCCCCCCAAATCGAGCACACCTCGTTTCCCTGTGTAGTGCAGATATTATGTAGAGGAAGCTGAGGTGTTTGTAATGGAGATAGGAATTGATCATGTATCGTGTTACCTGGAGAGAGGAAGTTTTTAAGTCGAGAAACTCAACATCAATGATGAAGTTTTTGGTTAATGGAATCTCAATTGGCCAGGCGAAGTCCTCGTTGCATTTGAGAAGCTTATCGACGACTTCTGCATAATACAGGCGTCACATGGATGAACAGGCAATGGAAGGGAAGGTTTCTGTCAGTGGAAGAGAATGGTTAGGGTTTTTACCTGGATGAATCAAACACTTCCGGTCCTCTGTGGAGGAGACCACTTTGATTACGAACGATGCAATTGGGGGATTATCTCGAGTGGATTTGGAGATCTCAGGGTACAATTTGATGATCAGCGATCGACTCTTCTCCACGGACAAATGCCTTCAATCCATCCAGATCAATCAAGTTTCGATTAAGAAGATGTAATTGCAGAAGAGAGGATCGGAGAAGAACTGTACTGACCAATTCCATTTGCCGATCCTGAAAGGATCGGACTTCCGGTACGCAAAGGAGGCTAGGTTTTCAATACGCCATTGTGCGAGACGCGACGTGGTGTCGACTCTGTAGGCGCAGCAGCTCATCCTGGAGAAGGCAATCGCCGCCGTGACTTCATGGATGCAATTCAACAGGCCATCCAGCAACTGATCCCCGTGGTTTCCCAGCTTCGCTTATGGTCGACCTGTTCTTCCTCTTCATATATCAATTCTTATCGATTTTCTGCGTAATCCAGTGGTGAAACCTATTTATAGACGATGAATAGAACAGGAAAATCAGTCTGGTGACGGCGACCCGATTGAAGGTGGAGGATTGCCGGCGGAGCAGGGAATGGATGGATAATTTGATTGCCGTAGATTATCTCTGATTAGAGAATGAAATGGAGCTTTAAGGTGGTTGGAAATGGTATTAAATGTTGCCTGCAGTTTCTGGTTTTGTCATCTGAATGACATTTGTTGTTGCTGCTGCTGCTGTTCCATTGAAGGTTGAATGGGAAAGCTACGTGCTGCACAAATGCCAGATAGCTCTTCGTCTTCTTCATCTTCTTCTCCTACCTGTCAAGTAAGGTAAAGTATCATTCTGCTCTTCATCTTCACCATAGATGTTATTAATCTGTTCATTCAGCAAGAAAGGAATCATCACTTCATCATACCCAACTTTCCTATATCCAATAAAATCCCCAAAAAGTGTATCCTCATTTTTCACACCACACATACACAAGATTCACATAATTCATTTAGGCCGATCACCAAGGGGGAATGATAATTAGCAGACAGGTTTCCTGTTAAAGACATGAAATTGATGATTGATGGATGGATGGATGTCGTTATTAGCTGTTAGTTTGAAATTGAAAAAAAAAAAAAAAAGAAGGCATTTAATTAATTAATGCCCACAATCCTATCCTCCCATTCCATTCCATTCTACTCGATCCTCATTATATGTTTTGTCATTAGATTTGGATTAGATTAGATTAGACAGACAGACAAAACTCCAAACGTGTGAAATTTCTAATTTTGTCGGTTGCCTTGCCATTGCCATTGCCAGCCAACGCCACCCTTTCTTCATGATCATAATTTGGGAGGAGACGATGAACTAACTTTGATCAATCTATTTTCTTGGCAACAGGAATTTTACAGGCTTCGATGCTTCCCATGATATTAGAATATTAACCTCCAAAGAAAGAAAGAAATGGAGGACCTAAGTAATTAGGAAGTACTCCTACTCATTAATAAAATACCAATCGGAGATCTGACTTCTCTCCGCAGTAATTTTCATTACAGGCAGATGGTAGGTCAGGTCAGCAATCTGACTTCTCTCCTCCTTCCATTAATCTCCATTCAACATTTGCAGAAGCAGCAGCAATCCGATTGCAATAGCTAGCCGGACGCCATGGGAGGACCACCCGACGCCGCCGAGCCCATCCCATTGCTGCAATTGGGCGGCCTCCCGTCGCCCCCCGCCGGCGACGACGATGTACTCGATTCAGAGCAGTTATCCACCGTTGACTCCAAAAGAACAGGTTAATTTAATTCGTCGTCGTTTCCGATCGATTTCTCCTGTTCTTTCCCCCTTTTTTAAAAATCTGGATTTGATTTTCTTCTCTGGCAGGGAAAACATGGACGGCGGTTGCTCATATCATCACCGGAGTTATCGGATCGGGAGTGCTGTCCCTGGCGTGGAGCATGGCTCAGCTCGGCTGGATTTGGGGCCCGATTTTGATGCTGTTCTTTGCTGCTGTGACTTTGGTGTCTGTCTTCCTCCTCATCAGTTTCTACAGATCTCCCGATCCTGATTACGGCCCTGTCAGGAACAGATCTTACATTGATGCAGTGAAGAACAATTTAGGTATTCTGGATTAGATCTGGTTCTGTGATTGTACATTAGATTTTGCTTCTTCGTCAATGATTTATGATATTTGATTTGGAGTTGCAGGCAAGAAGTATGCTGGAATATGTGCCATTTTGATACAGATGAATCTGTTCGGGACCGGAGTTGCATACACCATCACCACTGCAATTTGCTTGAGGTATTCCGATTTTTTCAATTCGACGATGTTGTGTCCGAACTTGTCGAATGATTGTGAATTCCGATAATGTGACGATGCAGCGCGATACAGAGATCGAATTGTTACCACGTGCACAGTCGCGGCGCGCCTTGCGAATTCTCGAACACGCCGTGGATGCTGTTGTTTGGATTGATTCAGGTGTTCATGTCTCAGATACCTGATTTCCACAGCATGGAGTGGCTTTCAATGGCTGCTGCCGTCATGTCGTTTGCTTACGCTTCGATTGGTTTCGGATTGGGCGCCGCAAAAGTTGTAGGTATATATATATATATTACACGGCTCTTCGATTGGTTTCGGATTGTCCTTTCGACATTTTTATCCTTTTCCAGGAAAGGGAGCTGTTGAAGGCAGCATTTATGGAGTTCCGACTACGACGGCGATGCAGAAAGTGTGGCGAGTCTCTCAAGCAGTCGGAGACATTGCGTTCGCCTATCCTTACACTATGGTTCTTCTCGAAATACAAGTAAAGATTCTCCGCTATTTTCAATAAAAGTATATTTCATCGACACTATTAGAAGTATTTTTGTCATTTTTCCTGGATTTGTTGAAAAAGTAAATCTGACCCTTAGAGTCGGAAGAAAATGGTATAATTTTTCTGGACAATGCAATTAACTAAGAAATTCGCAAATTGCAAAACTTTAGGACACCCTCAAGTCTCCGCCGTCGGAGTCGCAAACAATGAGGAAGGCGTCGGTGGTTTCGATGGGAATCATCACATTTTTCTACCTCGCCTGCGGAGGCTTTGGATACGCCGCGTTCGGCGATGAAACCCCTGGCGACCTCTTGAACGGATTTTCCACCTACGGCCCTTATTGGCTGATCAACTTCGCCAATGCCTGCGTCGTTTTGCACTTAATCGGCGGCTACCAGGTATATACATATACGTAAATACGTATTTATATATAGCTTCGCTAACTATCGAATTGCGATTCAGGTCTACTCGCAGCCGGTGTTTGCCATGGTCGATCAATGGGCGGAAGACCGGTTTCCGGGGAGCCACAGAAGCTATGCGGTGGAAGTGCCGGGGCTGCCGGCGTGGCGGTTGAATATCGGGAGGCTGTGCTTCCGGACGGCGTACGTTGCATCGACGACGGCGGTGGCGATGGTGTTCCCTTATTTCAATCAGGTTTTGGGCGTGCTGGGTACCATCAATTTCTGGCCGCTGTCGATTTATTTTCCGGTGGAAATGTGGCTCCGGCGGAAGAATGCGGCGGCGTGGAGCGGCGAGTGGGTGGTGTTTAGGGGCTTCAGCGTTGTTTGTCTGGCGATCACTCTCTTCATTTTGGCGGGATCCATTGAAGGAATTGTTTCTGCCAGGTTTAGTTAATTAACACAGATTGCATAGAGAAGAAGAGTTTATACAGACGAGGTAATGTTTTATTGTAATGTTGTATCATTTGTATGCATACAGATATTTTAAAATATAGTGGTAATTTTTTGGTGTTATATATATAAACCAATTTAATTAAATTAAATATTAGATTAAAGATAGGCCCTTATTTGACTTATAATTGCCCAAATTGTTCAGGGTTAGGCTTGACTGAAAATCTGATAAACCCAAACTAATATAAGTAACTGATTAAAAATTCCCTTATTCTGACATATTTGTAAACTTAATTCATACTTTTAAATTGCTTCTAAATAAAAAGATGTATTCTGAATAATACTATAAATTACAATACTAAAAGATTCATTACCGGTTTTTTTCATAAACAAAATTCCATTTTTTTAAAAAAAAATAAATAAATTAAAAGTATATGTGTATTTCTTCTTTGACCCAATCTATTTACCATTTAAGTAACCAAATATTTCCCAATTTAAGGTATTTTTATCATATTTTTACTAATTTATAACTAAGTTAATTATGATTAATATAATTAAAATTCATATTTATAGCATAAAATTAATAATTGAATAATAAATACCTGACCGTTGCGTGTTGACGGCGTTCTCCAGTGCCAGCGTGGCAGAAATTCGACCGTTGGCTCCCTCTGCGTATTAAATACGTTTTTTTTTTTCCGCTGCGACCAACGCCATATCTCCAACAAAAATTTAAATTATTTTCTACTCATCTTTTCAGTTTTCTTAAAAAATGGCTGAGAAAATCGAAGCCTGCGTAGTCGAAATCGACGTAGATCGGCGGCGGAAGCTGATCGCCGGCGGAGGAGCAGTTACGGCGGCGGCGGCGGCGGCGGCGATCCAGCACCATCCGTTGGCGGAGATCGCGCAAAGCTCCGGCCATTTCCTGCTCCTCAAGCTCTGGCAAAGAGAAGAAGAGCTCTATAGCCGAGGATTGTCGAGGAAGGAATTGAGGAAATCCACAATCGGAGGCGAGATCTTCCAGCTCTGCTGCTTCTTCTTCGTCTTCCACGGCCTGTTCTTCGCAATTTTGCTGGCGTCGTCCTCGGAGGACCGCCAGTGCAACAAATGGTGGATTCCGTCGGCTGTTTCTGCCTGCACCTCTCTGGCGATTGCGTTCCTCGTCCAATTGAAGCTCCGATGGTTCTGGAAGGTAGATCGGCAGGTGCAGAAGGATCGCGCGGAAGGACGCGCTCTGGCGCGGTGCGTACAGGAGCTGAGGATGAAGGGGAGAAGTTTCGATCTGAGAAAGGAACCGCAGAACGGGAAGAAATTGAAGAGCTCCAGCGTGGAGATCAAGTGGAGGCCCCTGGCCTTGTGCTCCAGGTATAGAGTCACTGTTTGGCTCGTGTGTTTTGCTGGCTTAGTTTTGCCGTGCTACAGATTCATCCTCTGTAGCTAATTATAAATTCTGCCAAACAGGGTATTAACTTGATCTGACCTTGATTGAGCAGAGCAGCAGCAGATCCATGGCGACACTGCTTGTGTTCTGTTTGTTTGATAAAATGGCTAACAAATTTGTAAACTCTTTTGAGTTCTTATAAGTATTATTTTATTTATTTTGAATTTATAAATGATTTCAATTTCAAAAATGCTATGTTAAGTTTGAAAATGATGTGTTAATATAAAATTCGAATAATATTTATATAAACTGAGAAGCTGACGTATTGAAATTTCAAAAAAAATTCAATCATCCATCCAACTAACAAAATCAATTATTCCGACTCAATTATGCTAGAATTAAAATGGAAATATTAAATTAATTAAGAAACGTATTATATTCAATATTTATTTTAATATTTTTTATATGACTATGCTCGAATTAGTTTACAAAATTGATTTCTATAAATGGTAGTATTATTTAAAATATATATGTACACTTTATAGCATAGGATTCCATGGCACAACGTGACAAATAAGTTTTAAAAATCATGTTACTATAATTCATAAGTATGTGTGTATTTATAATATTAATGTAGACCATGTGTGGATGAAACTACTCATTTTTTCTTTTAACATAATATTTTATTATTTAAAATATAAAATATAGGTGCCGCTTTTGGATATTCTTTGATCCAATAGGCAAAGATAGTATATTTATGGGTCAATAGGTAGAATCGATTTTTTGAATGAATAAAAGATTAAAATTAAATAATACACACAACTTTACACGAAATTAATTTTTTATACTCCCTCCGTTTGAAAGGTTGTCATTTTCTATTTTCGTTCCCAAAACAAGATTACCATTTTCTAGTAATTGTTCTGCATATTTAATATAATAAATACATTTTTTTTTTAATTTACACTTTATTACACAAATGTCATTACTTTTATATTATATAGGGATATTTTCGTCTTTTTCACCGCAATTTATTATAATATAATATTCAAAAATTTACTTGCAGAAAGTAAACGGCAACCTTGATCGGAAAAGGTGGGAGTATTTGTATTTATATTGTTTTTTAAGAATCAAAATGAATTATTAGGAAAATATGGCAAGAAAATTCAAGAAAGTAGATCCAAAATGGGGAAAAGAATGAAATACTGAAATGGCTGGCTAATGATTGATGGCCACTTTAGGCACCTCTATCAAAGACAAAGTCAAATACAAACTCCAATCATCCAATTTTCTCTATTTTTATTTTACACTCAACCATTATTATTATTATTATAATAATAATTTTATAATTATATTTAAAAAATAGTATGTGGTAAGTATATTGATGGGTGTTACCGTAGAAAAAAGCATGAGGCTTGGGTAGGGTTTCACTGTCAAATGAGGAGAGTGAGATGAGATGAGAAGATTGATTGTTCTTACCATTGAAATTGAAGGTGAGATGAGATGAGATGATTAATGGTAAAAGATCGGGGGAAAGAGAATATTGACAGGCGAGGCAAGAGGAGCCATCTATCTGCCAATCTGGGGCTGCTGAATCATTACCAACTGGCACTGTGGTTGTGGAGAAGACGACACCCTTTCCATTCCATTCCATTCCAATCGATATATATAAATAGCAGTCACTCGTCGCCTACAGTAAACGCTGCTGTGGCGGTCGGCTATTGCGCTGGACCAACTCCCACACCAATAAATGCTCTCTGCCCAACCCAACGCTCCCTTCCTCTGATTTTGTTCCACCGACGCCGCAGCCGCACCGCTTGAAGGAATACGCTGCTTCTTTTCTAGATTGGATTGTTGGGTGGTGTTTTGGATCTGACGGCTGCGATCATATGATGTCGTCTGGAAGGTTTATGGCTTACTCGCCGTCGCCCTCGGCGCCCCACTCTCCTCACATCACCGCCGGAGGAAGCATCCGTTCCGCCGCTTCTTTACTCGAGCAGGAGAAGTAATTTTCCCGATTACTTGTTAGGTTTTTGTTTATACCTTGAGTTTTGGTTGACCGGTAACAGTAGATCTTTTGGGATTCACTAGACTTTGGGAAGTAATTCAATCGCTGACAGTTTTTTTTTTTCTAGACTTGGCTATGAGAATTCATGCTTATATGCTTTGTTTTCCTTTTCATACCACGAATTTATCTCTCACTGGATCTACAGTTGTAGCTGATGATGTTGGAAATCTTTTATTTGGTTCTTGATTCGTGTGACTTGAATTTTCGGTGTTGAATTCCATGATTCTGTTCTAAGTGGAGGTTTTAGAAACTAGCACCATGAACTCAGCTTCTTCTTTATTATTTTTCAAGAAAGCAGATTCTTTTATCGTGCTGACTAACGGTGGAGAATGTTTTGTTTTGTTTAGTCCAATTGACAGGTATCTTGCAGAGTTACTAGCAGAGCGCAACAACCTGAATCCATTTTTGGGCGTGCTCCCTAATAGCTGCCGATTGTTGAATCAGGGTGAGTCTATGACTCTGGATCTTTAGGTTCTACTATAAATATTATGTGGCTATGTGTTTTATAATGAAAAAGATTTTGCTTGCATATTTGATTGAGAGTACATTTGTGGATGACCCCTTGTGGTGTATGTGTTGTTGCAGCGACTGAATGTAACGTTGACGCTTATATCCCTTTTAGAAACTTAACATGCATTATAGATCGACTTTTCAACTAGAAGACAAGGAGGGAGAGTAAGGAGAAATGAGACGTGGAAGGGGGAAAAGAGGATTGGTGATAGGAAATTGTATGAGGGCAGTCCAAGAGTGTTACACATTTGTTTTGTTTGTTCTCATCAGTTGGTAATTCAGAATCCCAAGCCATGGTTACTTTTTCTTCCACCTTGGCCATTTTTCAATGTACACTTGGACGAAAGTGGGGTTTTCCTTAGATTTTCCAGTATCTCTCTCCTAAATATGCTTCTGGTCTCTTAAAAAGTAACACTTCTGGTGCAATGTGCCATGCATGGCTCTACTTTCGGTTTGGGTATCATTTGCAGTGGCTAACTGTGTGTATTGTGTATATGGTATTTAATCCAAAGTGGAACTTTAGTTATAGTATATTGCTTGGCTTTTGACATATGTGACGTTTTTAAACATCTTTAACATCAAGATATCATAGACTTTTTCTTTTTCTTTTATTTTTTTTTTATTTCCCTTTTTTTTCTTTTTTCAAAACATTTAACTAACCAGTAGTTAACAGTCCCTGTTGTGGTGACTGCTCGCAAATGTCTTAACCAATGCTAACCCGCACATCTTATTCTTGGAAATTGACCTTTTTGGAGCAGAAATATTGCGTGTTACTACACTGTTGGGGAATGCATCGATTTTAGAACAAAGTGGGCTTGAACATGCAAGCCCCCTGGCTTCAGGAGGAATATATTCAAATGGAGGAGCTAATGTGAACAGATGGGCATCACCATTTCAATCAGAAGTATGGATACTAACCATTAACATAACTGCTTGTTTGATCTAATCCGTTACTGTTTTCACAAGGTCTCAAATCTGTTTTTCTTTTCTCTTATTTTTTTGTCCTAATTCGTGTTTTATTCTTGGTTTTTCTAACTTCAAAATTTTTCTCATAACAGGATGTTTCATGCTAACAACTTCAGGAATCATAAAGTTGTAGCTGGACATGCTAGGAACAGTATTTTACTTGCAGTAGGATAGTATATTGCCTATTTATGTGGCAACAATCTGACCTCGATACATAACTTCTGATTAATAGCTTTCAAGCATCACTTAGCGCTTTGATTATTTTGAAGGACACCACATTGGAAGTGGTGTATCTCTAGCCTTAACCAATGCCTTTTTATGTCAATAAAATTAGTTTTTGTTTGGCTAACCCAGTCGAGATTTGACTCCTAACATAAGGTCTTTCATGCTAACTCGGCATTCTGATTGCTCTTGCATATTGTACAAATGATAATACTTCCCTAGCGTGAAGTTTTCTTTAACACTAAAAGCTATTGTCTTTTGTTATCTGTTGTCTATGAATTGTCTTTTGTTTGAATGCTTGCATGGTTATAATAAACTGCACCGACTCTTTTTCCCTCAATGTTATTGTGGTTTCCAGGTCTTCCGTGTTTTCTGTTGTCTCTGTATTAATTTTCTTTTGTTTTAATATATGTAAATAGTTCAAGCTTTAACATGAATGAAGAGGAGATATCTCTCTGCTGTACTTAATATCTTCTTTCTTTACATATGTAGAAATATAGTGCGCAATTGTCCAATCTGATACAGCCGTCTTCTGCACAAAACTGGCTTAGTTCCCATGGTAGTTCTTCAGGTCTTATTGTCAAGAGAACAATCAGGATTGACATTCCAGTGGATCAATTTCCAAATGTATTACTTCTTCTCCAGTTACTTCTTCACAAATCTGATATTTCCCCACAATTTAGTTCACTCGTGTGTTATGATTGCAGTATAACTTTGTGGGGCGTGTCCTTGGTCCTCGTGGAAACTCTCTTAAACGAGTTGAAGCAACTACTGAATGCCGTGTCCTGATTAGAGGTCGTGGCAGTATCAAAGATCCAACAAAGGTAATTCGACTGCCACCTTCAGCATTTCTCTTATATTTTCATATACGATTTAAAATTTAAATTGCCTACCTCAGAAAACAAGTTAAAAATGTAGCAAGTTCTTCATGCTAAATATAGGGACATGATTCATATTTGTTATTCTGACACGATTATGTTGTCTTCTCATTTTAAGAGACTGGCAACTATATATGCTATGATCTTTGTTTACACCAAGTGTAATTAAACCAAACTTTTCAATAATGGGGTGTTTTTGGTTTCACTATTCAAATCTGAAGGAAGAGATGATGAGGGGAAAACCAGGATACGAGCATCTCAATGAACCTCTTCACATACTTGTTGAGGGAGAACTGCCGGTTGAGATTATTGATGCCCGTCTGATGCAAGCTCGTGAGATACTTGAAGATTTGCTCAAGCCAGTGGTAACTCTTAGCCACCATAAAATTTCCCGAGTCTATAGCAACATACATCATGTCATCTCTCATCTTCATCAATCCCTCTTGTCTAACTCTCATCTGAATTTGCACCTCCAGGACGAATCTCAAGATTTCTACAAGAAGCAGCAGCTAAGAGAACTGGCTATGCTTAACGGTACCCTCAGGGATGATAGCTCTCAAATGTCAGGTTCAGTATCTCCCTTCCACAACAGCCTCGGAATGAAAAGAGCAAAAACTGGGGCATAAAATCGGTAGATCATGTCTTCTCATCCACCCAACAGCAGTTCCCATGGTACCGGCCTCGCTGTGTCACAGCCAAGGCTCTTAACTGCCATCGGGCGCTGCTACTCTCGACTGCTGGTTTGAAAGTCTCTCATAATAATATCAAAGTGTGCTTGGTTATGCAGTGTGGGATAAATCTAGTAGCAAAACATTTTAATGTAGGAATAATGGTTTCTTGGTGTGGGGCTTGTGTAGTCTAGTCTCTTACGTTTTGCCTGTTGTCGGGGAGCATCTATCCTCATCCTATTATTTTATTTGTTGTAAGTTTGATAACTTGCTGAGCTTGTTTTGATTATAGATGCTGGAAATGGATCCTATGCTATGTAGCAGATGTCTGATATATTATTATTCATTGTTTGAATCCTATGAGTTTGTTTTAATATTGAGCATCAATAATTCATTATTTTTGGATCCATTTATTGCAAATGTGGCAACCAATTACAGAAATTTATTTATTTTATTACATAAGGTAACAAATTTCAGATAGGTCTTGTCTCTTTCCCTTGGTGTTCTTCTTCATCAATGTCTTCTTCTTCCTCAATGCCAACCCAATGAGTGAAAGCAAATAGAAACTCCTTGAAATTCACCATCCCATTCTTGTCCCAGTCCATCTCTTCTAAAATGCACAAACATTGACACCCTGAAAAATCCCAGAAACTCATACATACACATGACATACATAAGAGTAGCAGAGGACTAACCAAATCTTTTCATTGCAATCCTCCCCGAAGACCGTTCTCCCGAAGAAGTTTCATTCATCGCTTCCACCATTTCGCTCTTGCTCACATAACCATCGTTGTTCTTGTCGAGAAATACGAATGCATCCACCAGTGTCTCGAAAGTTGCCTCCAGATTCGGAATTCCCAGCCGAGATCTCTGTCAAGAGGCCATGGAACAGAGCATGCAACTCAGAAAAGGATGATATTCAAATGGAAGAAACTCAGAGATGATATACCGCATGCTGAGCAGTCGGATCTTCCCCGAGCAGGTACACAAGGCAAATGAGAACTATGAACTCGTTGAATTTCATCCCCATGTCTTCGTTTATATCGCAAGCTTTGAAGAGGTCATTTATCTCGTCCTCGCTGAAATCAATTTCCATCTTCCGGAAGCAGCGCCGCAGCTCTTGTGGATCAACGGCGCCATTGCCATCCTCATCTGTCGAAAAACCAAACCAAACCAAACCAAACACAACACAACATGTGATCGATCCCGATAACATTTTAAAGATCATTGTTGTGCAGAATTTGATGTTTTCTTGGCTCAAATATAATGCCCCTACCAAAGTCTTGAAATGTAGCTTTACATCTTCTCAAGCTTTTATCAATCTTAGGAAATTTCAATATAATGCTGTCCAATGATTTGATTCTGCTGCTCCCTTCACTCCCTCTTCTCCTAATTGCCTCATTGATTTTGGCCTCCATCTTCGTCTCCGACGAAGCTGAAGATTTGTGGGATTCCTCCTTGCAGACTACACCCCCCATTTTCAGACAAAGCTCGATCTGTTTGCTTCTTTCTGATAGATCATAAAAAGAGACAGACATCAATGAACTAACTAATTAAGCCATTTCAAGAGTTCTTGAAACTAATTGAACTCCATGGATGAGTTCCAGAATCGTGTTTAATTTAATTTCTTTAAAACAAATAATGCACACGTTGATGAGGTGCCAAAGCTCAAAAACCCTAAACCCCAAATACATCTAAACCTAAATTCAATCATTATAGCTGCTAACAAATACCTTTTACAGCTAGTTCCGAACAACTGGAAGACAACCCAACCCAAGTGATGATCTCTTCTGAAGAAGCTTCATTCTTTCTGTGAATCTGAGAAGAGTTGGCAAAGTCCTCCAAATGCAGCAGTCGCCTAAAAGTAAGATATTTTTATTTTATTGTTTCATCAACAAAACAGAACAGAAAACTATTAATCACTCTTAAAAGGAGTGGGTGCTCAATGGGGTGCAAGATTGGTGCTTTCTCCACCAACATGCCACCATTAGTGGTCAATCCTCTCCTTCTGCACTAACTCAAGTCCACCCTGCTTTCTTGGCTTATTTCTTGATTCCGATTCTAGAACTAAAACTTCAAACTACCTCTCTTCTAGGGAACAAGAAGAATTCGATTAATCAGATATTTTGTTTATCGAATCTCACTGAGATCAGATCACTGAGTCCAGAGGATATTCTTCAAGCAGATAAGTGGACTTTCGATTCACCAAATTGCAGGCCTTGTTCGTCAGCCCTCTTAACTTTAAAGTATCTTTTAACACAGCAAATTCTATATCACATGTGCTCCGTAAAATGTTTGTCTTTCTATCATATACTATATTTGGACTTCCAAAATAAAGAGATTATTCCAATTTCCAGTGTTTGGTATTTAAATGGGCTTTCTTTTAATGGGCCCTCAATTTAGTGTAATTATGGGCCGAGCAGAATGCTAATTCTTCTGCAGGTGGGTTGAAACTGTTTTTTAAATAAAAAATTTATTTATTTATTAATAATTGGTATGAGCTATGAGTTATGACCAATTTGGAAATTTCTGGAAAAATCAAGGGCGTTAATTGACCGACGTATGTACGTCTCTCTGTATGTATGTATTTGTGTCATATATATGATAGCTGAAAATGACGGGTCCTTTCCCAGTCTCGAATTCCTTAGCTTTCAAGGGCTTGCTGAGCCTGAGCACCATTCGATAAGGATTGCCAAATTTATGCGTGCCCACTCTCCCCCTTCTCTCTCTCTCCTCTTCTCTTCTCTTCTTGAAGCCCTATCGTGATTCAGCGATCTGCTTACCAGATTCTTGTTCCGTTTATCCTTCAATTATTATTTCAGTTTCGTAATCGGAATCGGGGGGGCGAAGCTTCGCAACCTTTTTCTGTCCCCACTCTCTTCCTTTCTTCGGCTGCGGAAAGGTTGTAATCTTTATCGTTTGCGTTATTTGGACGGGAATTTGGGTTCTAATTTGTTGTTGCATTGCTTGGTTTTTTAATTTGACGCGGGCGTAATTGCATTTTGTTTTAGGAGTTCTAGGGTTTATAGTTTTATATGTTTAATAGCATCTCGCCTTCGTTTTTCTGTTTTGTGTTTGGGGAGGGCGGAGTTTCTTTCGAGAAATGTTAATTGATGGCATATTTGTTTGTTTGTTTTACCCGAATCAGGAATCTCTATGCGTTTAATGTTTTTTGAATTGTTCGACGTGCTTTTAATTGATTGTTCTGCGATACCGTATGCTTGTGATTCTTTTGGCTTCTGTAATTTGTTCCGTTAGTTGATAAGCTTTTCCGAATATGTTGTCTTCTGTGGTTTGGTTTTTTAATTAATAGTCTTCGTTTGGAACTTTTGATCAATCGCGTAGGATTTCCATCATTTGTCTTGTCTTCCGGCGACAGTTCAATAATTTGGAAAAATAGTTAGATACATATGCAGTATTTTGTTCTGGGTATGAAGTAATAATGCTTGACTCAACAGGAAAATATGATTGCCACCGATGAAAATTTTAATGGTTGCGTCCACCTTTTAGGCAGTTGAGATTATTTTTCTCCCTACTCTTTGTTGAATATCTGGAGTTACGAAAATAACTACAAACTTGTGTGTGTGTATGTATGTATGGTTCAATACTGAGATTTGAGAAATATTTGGGCGTTAAAAGTAGATATTACTTCCTTTGTTTGCAGACTGCAGACATTATTCTGGGTTCTTAGGCCCTTCAAGTTGATCTTGTATTGTGCTTTTTGTTGTGTATTGATGTCATGTTGAACAGGGTACTTAGATTTGTTAAACAGCCTGCATATTGTTCATGATGATGATTGAAGGTTTAAATTGCTTTTGTATTTGTTATTCACAACTCATGTGTGTTAGTTATAAGAGGATTCCCGGATTACTTCGCTATGCGTCGTTAAACATCCACTGCACAATGTTGTTTCAAAGTCCACATTTTTTGTGCATTGTATTTAATTCACAAGAATTTAGGCGACCACACTGTCAAATATAGCGTATCAAGTAATACTGTTGCCACATGCTTAAAGTACAATGATGGCTGAGTAACCTGGATCTTGATATATATAGATTTCATATGCATGTGTTGGTATATATATATATCTTTTCCTGTATGAGAAATACAAAAACTCTTATATGCTTGACATTCTCTGTCATCCATCTATGGTGCTGTTAACTGGCATCAAGTGGTGTATTTAATACTGTATGATGTAGTGTTTCTTTTGGCTTTACTATTATATTTCAACTGCTTAAGGCTGAGACTTAAGTGGCTGGATGTTGCTACAGAACTTTGGAGTTGATGAGTTGATTTTTGCATTTTTTCTTTGTTTTTTTTGCTCTATTTTATTTTTCTCAGGACTCTATCCATTAATGATGTCTCATCAGCAAGCAAATGATGCTGATTACATGGAAGAGGAATATGAACTGGAAGCTACTGATGATGATGTCAACGAGTTTGATGGCAGAGATGCTGGTGGCTCAGATTCTGAAGATATGGATGAATATGATTACATGGTTTGCTCATAAGTTTTACATGTGATTCTAATCTTTTAGACAGTTGTAAATGGCACGGCATGTGGCAGCCTATGGTGACGTGCGCCGCCATTTCCATGGAAGATGGCGCAAGGCATGATTATAATATTATTAATTTTTTATATATTAGGGTTAATTAGGATTAAATACGGTTTTTTATTTATTTTAAACAAATAAGAATATGGAAAGTTTTATTTTATCTTTCTAAGTTTCTCCAGCTCAGCCATTGTCGTCTACCCTCTTTTAATGTCTCTTTTGTAACTCTTCACACTTCCTTTTGTCTCTTCTCACTGCACTTCCTGTCTTCTGCAAGGTAAGGCTGCCTGCTGCCAATATTTTAGTTTTTCATATAAGCTATTACTTTTCTGATTTTGTTCTCTATTACTATATTCAATTTATTTTGTTAGTTTTATGTTCCGACATTTTTATAAGATACTTGAATGGCTATATTTGTTTGTTGAAATGTTTCACATTAATTGCCCACGTGTGTTGTGTATAATAAATAGATATTAATAGTATAACGTACGCCGTGCACCATGACATGGCAGAGGCCGTGAGCCATGCTGCTATGTGTTCCATTTACAACTAAGGACTTGTGTTTCCCTTCTCTGTTGTTTCCAATCTGGTCTTCCTTTTTTTTCCCTTATGACCTCACCTTTTTTAGAGGATGCCAAAATGCTAATCATCACTGGCTGTGTTCTTTCCCCAGAATAACAGATTGCAGGACACTACAGCCGCCCTAGCCAGGAAGGGCAGAGATATCCAGGGAATTCCCTGGGAGATGCTCAGCATCTCAAGAGAGAAGTATAGAAAGACTAGGCTAGAACAGTATAAGAATTATGAAAATATTCCTCTATCTGGTGAGGGATCAGAAAAGGTTGGTTGCTTAATTTATTGCACGCATTGTTTCCTTGCTGCAATCTTCAATCATAAAATAGTCACATGGTCTTTTATTAATTAACTTTGCGCCCCTTTTTCAATGGCCAATAGGAATGTCAAGTCACTGAGAAAGGAGGATCATTCTATGAATTCAGACAGAATTCGAGATCTGTGAAATCAACTATTCTACATTTTCAGGTCAATGGAAACTGCATAGGAGTTTATTTGCATGTATTAGATTGGATTCTTGAAGCCTGGAGTCTTTTCATGCATGTTAAATATGTATTTTGTGCCACTCGTATTTTGTGATGCACCCTTCTTTTACTTTCTACTTCATTGTTTGAAGGCCTGTTAAATTGCGAGCGAAGGCTTGCATGCTTAGTATTCATGGAAGTTGGGGGCATGTGTATCTTAATAAGTGTTCATGTTGATGCAGTTGCGAAATTTGGTATGGGCCTCATCAAAGCATGATGTTTACCTTATGTCGCATTACTCTGTTATGCATTGGTCATCATTAACTTGCACAAAGACAGAAGTTCTCAATGTATCAGGACATGTGGCACCTTGTGAGGTCAGTTGACTTAGCAGTGGTATCTGCCCCTACCCTCTTCTCCCCATCATTAGCGTTTTACAATCTTCTTATATGATGCAGAAACACCCTGGAAGCTTGCTGGAAGGATTCACACAGACTCAGGTCAGCACACTAGCAGTGAAAGATAAGTTGCTTGTTGCAGGAGGATTTCAAGGAGAGCTTATCTGCAAGGTTTGAGTTACTTATTAGTCAGTGTGTGTCCAAACATTTGCTGCAAGATTTATTTAACTTGAATTTAGCAAATATTATATGAAGTGCCTTGATTTTTTCATTGGTTGCTGAGATAACACAGGACTAATAATGATTGGAAGTTTGTGATATGTTATTTGGATGGCATTACGCCTTAGAACTATGTCTTTAATCTGCTTGGCTTCATTTCAACTGGCAACACTTCATTAAATTTCTGTTAATTGAGTGTGGTCAAATGTAATCCTATGTGAGAAAACATATACAGAACTATTGGATTTGGTATATATCAATTATTCATATTATTGAGTCATGTGGTTCCACCTGTTTTCCTGCAGTATTTAGATAGACCAGGGGTATCTTACTGCACAAGGACAACGTATGATGATAATGCCATCACCAATGCAGTTGAAATATACTCATCTGGAAGGTATTTGTTTTTCTTCTTCAGGCTCATTATTGATATTCTATTCCTGCCCTCCCTGCCAGTCTTTCTTGTGGCTGACAGTTGAAAATGCCTCTTTTCAGTGGGGCAGTGCATTTTATAGCTTCGAACAATGATAGTGGAGTTAGAGACTTCGACATGGAAAAATTTCAGCAGTCCAACCATTTTCGCTTCTCTTGGCCAGTTAACGTATGAGTCTCTGTCACTTGCATTATGTATTTATGCATCTATATATTTGCACAACTCTTATTAAATGACTTGCTGTTATGTAGAATTTGAATTAGCAATTTTTTTCTGAAAACATGGTCTGAGCTATAGATTTTCTGAAATTATTTGTGGATGCAGCACACTTCTCTAAGTCCTGATGGTAAACTACTTGTAATAGTTGGAGATGATCCAAAAGGTTTGTTGGTGGATTCAAGATGTGGAAAGGTATGCTAATTTTACTAGCACTGTAGCTGTCCAGCGACCAAGTGCTGTACCATGACTGACTCTGAGGCTGGCTTCTGTTTTGCAGACAATTGGAACTCTGCATGGTCATTTGGACTACTCATTTGCATCAGCTTGGCACCCGGACGGCATGACCTTTGCAACTGGGAACCAGGATAAAACCTGCCGCATCTGGGATCTGAGGAATCTCTCCAAGTCTCTGACAGCGTTGAAGGGAAACCTTGGAGCAATTCGCTCCATACGCTACACATCGGATGGAAAGTTCATGTCTATGGCGGAGCCTGCGGATTTTGTCCATGTTTTTGATGTGGAAAGTGGTTATCAAAAGGAGCAAGAAATTGATTTCTTTGGGGAGATATCAGGGATCTCATTTAGCCCAGATGCAGAGTCTCTTTTCATCGGAGTGTGGGATCGTACATATGGCAGCCTTCTTGAGTTTGGGAGACGCAGGGATTACTCATACCTTGATGCGATTGTATAAATTCATAGAGGGTGTGACATATTGCTGTGTGAGGGGGGTGGGTACATGGTATATGCAAGCAATGCTTCTGTTTGTTGCAGGAGAGCATTTTGTGATATCATGGTGAGTTTGTGAGTGGTGTTGTATAGTGTGTGGGTAATATTAAGAAGCTTTCTTGGTCTCCTCCTAGTGTTTGGTAGTGAAGTCATGTCCCGGTTTTAATAAGGAAGAAGGATACGTTCAAATGGGAGTGGGCCTGTAGCGAGTGAGTGAGGTGTGTGTGTGTGTACAGCAAGGGTAGATGAAGATGATCAATCCAATCCAGGTGGTGTGTGTGGCCCTGTACTGGCTGGCTCTGGCTCTTTTTCTTCTTCTTTTGTCTCTTTAAAACCATTTGGACGTTTCTTGAGGTGATGATGATGATGATGATCAATTCATGTATGCGAGTTTCTTCAAAATCATTCATTCTACAACTCAATTCAGCAGCAGCTTCTTGCTATGCAAAAGTTTAAAAAAACCATTAGGATCCTTCGTAATTAAGGGATTGAACCCGACGTGAATCGAACACGCAACCTTCTGATCTGGAGTCAGACGCGCTACCATTGCGCCACGGATCCTTGCGTATGCAATATTGTATTTAGTTTTACTTATATTGGAATGTGTATATATATATATATTAAAAATAAATCTGTGATCAGGAGAGAACCAATGAAAAAGAGGCAGGTCAGCGTGGAAAATCTTGGAAGCGTCTCTCCGCTCCTCACAGAGAATGGTTAGTAATAATCCCAATCCAAACCTGATCCATCCACCCATAGTCCAACTGAAGCTCTCTCGTTCCCAGCCATATAACCAATACTGCTAATAATTTGTTTGTTTCTTTTAATCGAGCTTCTTCTTCTTCTAAGCTTAGGTTGGGTTGTGTTGGGTGTCCTCCTCCAATCCGTCAGTGAATTGAATTAGTTAATTAATGGCGTCGTCATCGTCGTGCCTGTTCTCCCCCCCGACCTTCCTGCGGGGATTGAGGCCTCTGGAGAAGGCGGCGGGGCCTGTGAGTGTGGGCGTTAGGAGGTGGAAGAAGCTGGGGGCGGGGGCGGGGGCGGTGAAGGCGGAGCTGAACCCATCGGTGGTGATAAGCCTGAGCACGGGGGTGTCGCTGGTGCTGGGGCGGTTCGTGTTCTTCAACTTCCAGAGGGAGAACGTGGCGAAGCAGGTCCCGGAGCAGAACGGGGTGTCCCACTTCGAGGCCGGGGATAAGAGGGCCAAGGAGTACGTCAGCCTCCTCAAATCCAACGACCCCGTCGGATTCAACATCGTCGACGTCCTCGCCTGGGGCTCCATCGGCCACATCGTCGCCTACTACATCCTCGCCACCACCGGCAACGCCTACAACCCCAGCTTCTTCTGATCCCTCCCCTTCAATTTCATATTATTATTACTGTATTATCGTCATCGTCGTCTCCCCTCCCCTCCCCTCCCACTGCTGTGAATTGTGATGTAATGTAATATATATATATTGCTGTTGTTTTTGTTAATTTCTAATTCGAGCTCGCTCCACTTTGAATTGTGTAAAGATGATGATGATGATGATGATGATGGCGATGGCGATAGTTAGTAAGATTTGTTTTTTTAATTTGTTTAATCTATCACAGCAGATAAAAAATGCACAATATAATTACAAAACTAACTCTTACAAAGAACAACAATTTATCTTCAAATCTTCCTAAATTTCAAATCTAAACCAAATATTCAGAAGGCAATGTACTCCCTATAAATTAATTAATCAAGATTCTTTTTTTTTTTTTTTTTAATGTTATAAAATACATATACATAATCTGAAAAATAAAAATCAACTCACTACTCACTCACTCAGTCACTTGACCAATGCAATCAAACAAAATTACAGATTAAAATTTAATTTATATATATATATATATATATATTATCAGTTGTGGGCTGAATGAAATCAAATGCATAAACAATCAATTTTAAGAAAAAATATATATATATATATATCATTTATATGCAAAACAAATGGTAGGCTTTTTTTTTAAAAAAAAATAATAATAATATTACTCGAATGATAATATTAAAAAACAAATAAACAGTAAAAAAATTGAATAAGATAAGGTAGTGGCAGTCAATTAGAAACAACAAAGTCAATGCCCAAACTCAGATTAAATACTCAGCCCTATTTATTTCAATATATATCGAATGTGGTACAATAAGAATCCTATGAAAATTTGGTCACTTTTTGAATTGGTAAAATAAAATAATAGTAACAATAATTATGTCACTGCCTTATATATATAACAAAAACGTGTGAGCCCTCTAACCACGATTTTAGGGTATTTCTATTTATCGACTAAATTTAGGATGAACATCATTTGGTAATAAAAATGGGTATATATGGAAAAATATCATTTCCATAAATAATTTTGTAAAATTATGATAGCAAATAAATTAAAACCGCGTGGAAAAAGGATCCCATTTGTGTAATTATTTATTAAGATTTGCACAACAAATATTCTCCTCATTTAATAAAAATCATAAACATTTAATTAGATGTCACTCATTTCTATACTTATTTTTGGATGTTTTCACAATTGTTTGTTAATTTGTGCTCAGCAAATATGAGCCGTTTGATCATAATCCTATGGTCCATAGAAGAAAAAAAAAAAAAAAAAAAAAAACAGAGATAAGGATAATGATGTAATTAATTAAAAGATATATGAGTTTTTAATATAGTATAGACATATTAATTCAGTTACGATTATAGGTTTATAAAATATTATTGATTTGATTAATTTTTTTTAGCTATTTAACATATGAGAATTTTTTAGGAGTATATTTTATATTTAATAATAAATAAATAAATAAATGATCATCAAATAAGTAATTCTGACTCTATTTAAATAGAGACTTTAAAATTTTGAAAAATTTAAAAATATATATAATATTTGATATGATATTTTTTTTTTTATATAAAAATTAAGTATTTAACTTAATATTTAGTTATTTATATGTATTTTAATTGTTAAAAATATTGAATGAAAATATATATCTAATGAATAGAGGCATAATATTTTTTTGGTAAACAAATACTAATAAATATTGAACTAATTGTAGTAGGATCAACGTATTGATGATCATATTTTTACAAGATATTGATTTATTGAAATTTATCTATAATTGTTAGGCTGCGTTTGTTTGGATTTTGGTATTGATTTTCTTACTGTACAATCGTCACAACTCTATGTATGTATTCAAATCAAAACAAATAAACTATTAGTACTATTCTTCTTAAAGTTCTATTAATCTTTTTTATTATTTTATTGATATTCATCTTACACTGATATAATTTTTTTTTCTTCTCGTATCATCGAACACTAAAAAAAAAAATGAAAATAAAAATTGAAGGGCTAGTGTTTTCCAACTAATACATTTATATCAATTTTCCTAAATAATTTTTTTTATATAGTATATAATTTCGATCATCCATAAATATATGTAAGAATTAATGATTATAAGTATGGTAAGTTGATGATACATTCCCACAAATAAAAAAAAAAAAAAAAAAAAAAAAACCCACTTTCCTTTTCATATTTTAAAAATATGTTTACTGTAAATTAATCAATGTGGTATATGATATGCATCAAAAAAATAATAATAATAATAATAATAATAATGATAATAATAAAATTTAGTTATAAATAGGCACAATTAGAGTGACCTTATTAATTTGCAGTAAATGAGAATCAAAATCCACCCAATGAATTAAATGGAAAGAAAATTTCAATATTGACCAGACGTGCACATTCATTCCAAATTCAACTGCATTTAATTCAAATGTTTATATTAAATAAATAGAAAACAACATTTAAATAAGGCAGATTTTATTTTTCTCAATATTAATAAAAATAAAATAATAATAATAATAATAAGGGGCAAAAAGACTGGAAGAACGTGACCGTCAATCTCTGCCCAGCAGTTGCCAACTGACTCTTGAGGTTCCTCATCTTCTTCGTCGTCGTCGTCTTCGTGCTTCTTCTCCATTTATATTTCTCTGAGCTCCGATCATAAATTCTATTCACATATACATATATATATATATACGTTTTTAATTAGGGCAGCTGAATCTTCTTAAGCTTCTTCTATTTTTATTCTTCTGTGCTTATTGTTGTCAATCGATCGACGGTTTTCCCCCATTTTCATCTCTGCATTTCTTCCATAGCTCAATCCTTCCATTAATCAACCAATCAATCCAGTTTAGCGTTGTTGTTGTGCTTCTTCTTCTTTCAATTTTGATTTCTTTTGGGTGTAATTTGGTGATCGGGGAAGTAGAAATCTGTGAAAATGTCGGTAAAAGAAGAAGAGAGAATGGAGGGTTGCAGAAATGGCGGCGATGAGATGAAAAGGCTTCGGAGGAACGATGTGGAAAGGGTTTGTCGTGTCTGCGGCAAAGTTTTCAGCTCAGGTAAGGCTTTAGGAGGTCACATGAGGGTTCATTTCCGTACGCCAAACGACGTCGTTAGAGTTAGAGCTTCTCCGGCGGCGGTTTCCGACAAGGAGCATATTCCGGCGACACCTACCGGAAATGTTTGCGTCATCTGCCGCAAGAAGTTCCCGTCGATGAAGTCGCTGTTTGGCCACATGAGGTGCCATCCCGACAGGGGTTGGAGGGGAATCCACCCGCCGCCGGCGACGGCTAAAAATAGTACTTCTTCATCCTCACCATTTTCCGATCCATCGGAAATCGACTACGACGAAGGCGAATGCAGGAATATTCCGGCGGTCGATTTAGCAGCGTCGTTGAGGGGTTGGACAGCGACAGCAAAGCGCGGCCGCAGACCCGCCGCGGCGGCGGCGTCTTCTTCATCGGCGCTGTCGAGCTCCGGCGACGATGATCGGCTGCACGACGCTGTTAATTATCTAATGATGCTTGCTCAGGGGAACCCGGCCCGGCGAGAAGAGTTGGAGGAATCCGATGACGGTGAAGGTAGCTTCTGCAATGAAGAAGAAATCGATCAGGTGTTTGGATCTGCAGGGAAGACGACGATCACTGATGGAGCAGTAGTCAATGAAGTAGAGGAAAAGGGTAGTGGAGAATCTGTCAACGAAGGTTCGAACGACCACGAAGCCACGACACAGCTAAACGACAAAAGTTGGGAGTACGAGGATCACGTGTCGATGATGACGAAGAGTAAGAAGAGGAAAAGCATCAGCAGCAGCTTATCTGAGGGTCCAGGAGCTCCATCGAAAGTCCTGGACTTCGATCTGAACGAGATTCCACACCCCGACGACGAAGAACCTCAAAATTGACTCTTTTTGTCATAATCTTTGTTCATAACACAACTTCTTGATGATGATGAATTTCTGGCCGTTGATCTTGTTCGATAGATCTCGTCGGCTTGTAGTACTATATCAACTATGGTTAGTTATATATATTACATGCAGTTTGATTTTTATTTTTGTAGTATTTACAATTTCTTCATGAAAATGATAAAAATCACAATCTGAAAGCAAATTATTGCATTGTTCACAGAAAAATAAAGCAGCTTCAAAGCAAACACAGCAGCTAATGAAGAAGTTGCAAAACAGTGTTGAAAATTCCCTCTGTAACAAAAACTGCAGCTCGAGTTTTCATCCTCGAATAAGAACTATGTCGGGAGGGGGGCTGCATGATGATGATGATTTTGCGCTATGCGTTGTATGAAGATGGCAAAGATAACTACCAATGCAACGAGCTGAATGAAGAAACACGAGCTGTGCTTCCAAATTGTTTTCTGGAGATGTAATATTTCGTCGGCTCTAGAAATGTTTTCGCAAACATTTTCCAGCTTCTCAGCCTCATTCCGCAGCATTTCAGCGTTCTTTTCTGTATTTCCGAGCATTTGTTTTTGCTCTTCCAAAATTGTAATCTGAGCAGCTTTCAGCTTCTGGACTGTTGTTGATATTACCAAATATTCAACCTCAGCTTCGATTTTTTGCTTAAAGAGGTCTTCAAGATCTGCTGAAATGTCTTCGCTTGCTTCTACTATGACATTGAATTGCTCTACCCGGGGGAAACCATTAGGTGTGAATTCTGTGTGTAGGCCTGAAACATAATCATCCGCAGAAATATCTTTGCCGACATCCTTGAACTTTAGCACCTCTGCAAAAGAAACAAAAGCTGTTCATTAAGAGAAGAACATTATAAATAAAATCCAACAGTGAGTACAAAAATTTGGACCAACCTCTTTCCAGAGCATCTTGAGCAGATTGAAGTGTAAAGATGGAGTCAACTAGAGTATCGAGACCTCTTGAAGAGAAACTCAAGTTTTGACTAACATTCCACGACGAGTCAGCCACCACGCCCTCATCATCATGTTCATCATTGATGTTGTGTCGACTGCCTTGAGGTATGTCACCATTTTCACCACCATTGATCTTTGACATCGGATTTCTCCTATTATTACTGGCAGAGTATGTTTCGTGCAAAAACACAAACTTGGAGCTTCGTGAATCTGATTCCAAGCTCGACTGAGAGTTTTCCATCTCAATTTTGCTGTGTTCCCCTCTAACCTTTTTCATGGTCTCAATCCTAACCTTTCCCTGCTGATGATCAGACTGCACTGAGTTTGTGTAACTCTTTCCACTCAAACTTCTTCTTATCCTGTTTTTGTCGCGCCCCGTCTCATATTTTACCTTTGGTGCACTGGCTGCTGTGGAAGATCTACTACTCTGATGCTCACTAATCTCTGAATCTATTCCAGCAGAAAATGGAAGCCCCAACCCAAATTCAGAATCATCTAGTGGAACAAGGCTGCCTAACCTCCCAATCACAGCATTTGTGGAAGAAAAAGAACCTTGGCTCTTTTGCTTCCGCTCGCTGTTAACTAGCATTCGTTTGCTCGAATTTACAGCTGAATCCAGCAAGTCTTCTGTCACCTGCATCTCACCAAGATCCAAACTGTTGTCCCCAACCTTGTTGGGATCTCTCCTGATCCTTCTCCATTTCCTCAACCCAAGGCCTTTCTTGGTCTTAGAAACTAAGGAAGACTGGTCATGTTTGATACCAGAAGAAGTTGAATTTACAGAACCTATAACTTCAGTTTCCTTCAGCTTCCCATCAGGAAGCAGCAATTCATTATTATCACCATTTTCTACTGCAGCAGCTCCGTTACCGTAGCAATTCGAATCAGGACTAACTGAATTCGATCTATCAGACACAGAACCATTCGTAATTCCGCCATTATCTTCCAGAGATTCAAGTACCAAACACTCGCTTCCCAAATCCATCTACAGTAAACGTTCCCGAATCCGAGTCAGGAATAAAGATCAAATTACTATTACTCAGATCAAGAGCGAGATCAATGAATAATCAGACCTTTTCTATTATCAAAAAAACACCGCAAGATGCGTAGAAATATACAACGCTGCTAAAGAAGTAAATTCAACACAGAACTCGATTCCAATAAATAATAGTACAAATTCAATTCCGTTTAATCAGAGGAAACGCAACATACCGAGGAACCTAATTAACTCCAGCAGAAACATTACCAAAGCGTACCTTAGGCGTGGACTCCAGAAATGAAAGTTGAATATTTTGGGGAATGAAGAAATCAACAGCAACGGAAACCCTAAATTAATGAATTTGTATACTTAGAACCGTAGGAAAATTATTTTCACCTTCTGTCAAACTTATCATCATTATTACGTTAATTATTTAACTTCAATATATATGTTCGATTTTAGTTTATTTATTTATTTAACGGGGTATATCTCTACTAAATTTTTATTAATTTAATTTAATTTAATTTTCGCTGTATTTAATTACTACGGTCGTTAAATATGTATTTGCAGTAATGTCACGGAAGTTGTCTAAATTTCAATTGAGTTCAATTTGAATACAAAATTGCAAAATTGGGGCACTTTGATCTGACCGGTTTAGGTGGTAGTGCTAGTGGCGGTGATTAGGATAGGGCCCACACGACAACATAGGTATGATCTGGCAATGCGAATAATAAGTCGGTTAGTGGGCCCACTCCTGTCCACGTCAAAGTCAAAACAAACAAATATAATTATCGTATTTTAATTTTTATATATCGGGAATTTATTACATGAAATAGTCACAACCCACAAGCAATTTATTAGTTTTTTTAATAGTTATTTAAATCGAGTTTGCCATATTGAATAAGGATAGATATAGAGAGTCATTTGTTAGTGGTAAACAAACGGTCATGGGAAGGGATGGGATGGGGTGTTTTTGTCGATATCCTTTTTACAACGGATACATTTCATGTAAAAACCAATCGTTGTACTTGTACACACACGATATTGACGCAAACAAAAGGATCATAAAAGCAAATCAAGAAATCAAGAAAAAGCTGTTGGTGCTCATGTGCCTGTGTTGTGCATATACTAATATATAATATTGTACACAAAACTGATATCATTATTATTATTATTATTATTATTATACATACTAAAGTGAATAATTATTTGTGTTTAATTTAATGAAGGAATAATCCAGAAGGACCCCACCAACGTGTTACGGGGAAACTGCACATTACAGTTGAAAATTGAGAATTGAGATATATTTTATAATATTTATTTCTGTAGTTAATTTGAGGAAAGATGAGTTGGTTCTTTTTCGTTGCTGCATTGCATTGCATGCAATAATGGATGACAGACAGACAGAAACGTTTACATACCCCAAAATTCACACCCACACACAAAAACCCCATCCTGCAGATATGTCTAATCTGATCATACTAAGAAGGAAGAAGATAATAATATCCCTAATTTGATTCACATAAATGTCTTCGTCTTCGTCTCCATCTTCATCTTCATCTCCCACTGTCTGCCTCTCCATGCTTTCAATACACAGCTAGGAAAGCAATTTTAATTAATCTCTGTATCTGCATTCCCTAATATACATATATATGCATACGATGAATGATATTTTGAAGCTAAAACAATGGCTGATGATGATGCATGGTTGAAGAAGAAAAACTCCATTATTGAAAGGTTTCTTTGTAGCTAAATCAAAATCATCCTCAAAACTGCCTAACTCCTATCAGAGTTTAACTTGAAATGCTGATATACAGTATAATAATCGATCGTCTTCATCACAGAAAATTATAGAAAATCTCATTCATCTTTCGACAGTTGCTGATCGATGATCAATTGTCTTCATCATACTTTGTTTTTCATAGCATTTAAGAAGGGCATTAGGCAGCTATAGCTAGCTTTCATTCTAGCCATTGGTATCGACCGATCACGAAAATCCCGAAGAGAAATACAGCGAAGCAGGCGGCGCTCGGGTATTATTTCCATTCTGCGCCACAGGCAAAGCGTAGCCTCCCCTCGCCATCTGGTAATGGTAGTAGAATGGATCCACTCGCCTCGACTCGCATTGCAATCCCATTGTCGCCGAGGATTCTCCAAACCTCATGTTCCTGTTAAGCTCCTGAGTCGAGGTCATCCCTTTCATGGCTGGATTGGCAGCAGCTTTGTTTCCTGGCTGTTCGTCGATTACAATCACTTCCTTGTGTTTCAGGCCGCCGGGGATAGGGCTTTGGGCATGCTCAATATCATATGATGCTGCAGAAGACGGCGCGAAATTATTCCCACCAAAATTCTCATTTCGAAACATGGCCGGAGATTGATGAGCAGATAACCATGGAAGCCTAACAGTAGCAGGGATTTTGAAACCATCATAGGAGCTGAAATCGAAGGACTGCGCCGGCGCCGGAGAACCGCTGCTCAGAAAAATGGAAGGGACTTGAGAGACATTAGGACAGAAGGAATAGAGCTCATTGAGATTCTTGCCGGAGGGGAGATGATCGTTGACATGAAACGTCGGGGTCGGGTGGTTCACAACCGTAGCCGAACGTGCCGGCCAAGCATTCAACGAAAGATTTTCGCCTTTGTTCGCTACCATTAAGTTTTTCCCCATCAGTCTCAGGACAGGATTCGGCGTAGACGGGCTAGGAGACTCGCGATCTCCATGGAAGGAAAGCTTCATCTCGGAGTGATTAGAAACTAGCCCCGGACAATACCCGATTGACGAATCTGGATTAGGCTCCTTTGTCGGGATAGTTTCTGATCTTCCGTTGAAAAGGTAAGATTTTTCAATCCGATCATCGAGCAATTTCTTGTCCTGTTGTCGTAACTCTTGATTTACGAAGGAATCTGCAGGTACAGCTGCATCCTTCCTCGAGCAACAACATGGCGAGTTGCTCTTGAATCTGTTAATAGACATCTCATGTAATGCCGAGCTGGATTTCGCTTCAGGATCGGATTTTCTGTCTGCAGTAGCTACCTGCTCGATGGCAACAGGTTCGTTGCGCAAGTTGACGGAGACAGAAGTGGATCTTGCAGCGACAGAATCAGACACTGCCGAAGTAGCAGAAATCGGAGAATCAGAAGAATCATTATCCACTGGTTCATGATCATTTTCTGAAGATTGTATCATACAGGCGGTTAGTGAAGAGTTTCCCTGAAGTTCTTCCGAGCTCATTCGCCCCGGACTCGGCAGAAAGGAACCGGGAGGCCCTGGTATGGGGATTGGGTCGACATCGACAAAATAATTCCCTTGCGCCTTGTTTTCGATTTTATCGGCGCAGAACCCCTCTTGCTCGCCATCCAGTGGCGGCTCAGCCAGGCAACTGTATCCACCACCGGCAGGATAATGGAGCGCCGGAAATCCAGTTTCCAAAGATTTGCTGAAGGCTGAGAAAGTTTCTTCATCAGCTACCTTATGGGATGCGTCGAAAGCATATTCGTCATGTGTTTTATCGTTTTCCAGGACATTGGATACACCAACTGCAGAATCCTTTCCGGCAGCAGAATTGTTGTTCTTGTCGACGTCATGGCTATCAGATTCAGGAGATGCATATGATCGATTCAAAGCCATGTCTCCTTTCTTCTTGTGAATCTTTGAAACCCTAGCTCCATCATCAAGTGTCTTAGCTGAGGCTCTTTTAGATTGAGCTGCATTGTCTTTCGAACTTTCTCGACGATAAGTTTCATGCTTGGAGTTTATCATTTCTTCCTCTGATCTTGAAGGGTTCTTGAATTCTGAATGCTTTATCCCTAATTTCTTGGATTCTGATGTGGATGCCTGCCGGATGGATAGAAGCTTCTTCTTTTTAAAAGGCGAAAACTGCTTATCTCCAGATCCAGTTGCAGGTTTTGCAGTTCTAGAGCTGAGTAAAGGACTCTCCTCATTTACAGATGAACTGATATTCAAAGCCTTCTTTTTGTTTCTCTGAGACAAGACATCATTTACTGTACCATTCCGAAGATCTGCGTCGCTTGCATGAACCAACTGATTATCTTTCCTCGGCCGTTTGCCATGATTCATCCGATCACCAGATTCCTCGTAGGAAATTCCCGGCGCCTTCTTCTGACAAGGGGGCTTGAAAAATCCATCATTGGAGTCACACAACAATTTCGCCTTTCTTTTGTTGCTTTCAGTAGGTAGAATTGGATCTTCATCACACAAAATTGGCGACACAGACGAGCTCTCCCTCCCTAGGGCGACGCTCTTTAATGACTTCTTCGTTGGACGCTGATTTTCAGGCTCAAGATTGATCTTGTTTTTGAGACCACTCCTTTTGGAGCCTACCCACTGTTTTATCATTCCAATACCTTTAGATTTCATCTGATCACGACTTTCCGGAGGCTGCATAGAATCATCCTTGTAACCTTCATGAAGGAGACTCTTTTGTTGGCTACATTCGACCTGTGATTGTTACACATCGCAAATTTCATACGTTCTTCCCATCCACGAAAAAATTGTAAGCAATATGCATAATATTCAATGACTACAGCCATATTTAGCTCAAAAACAAATAAGGAAACAATCAATAAGTACCAAGATGCAACAAAATCCAACAACAATCAAAGCCGGGATATAAAAGGAAACGAGACGTACCTCCAAATGATGTCTTAAAGAACTTCTCTGTACCCGCGGAGGAGATTTTATAATCTTGTGTTTCTGAGAAACTAACTTCTTCTTACTCAAGGCGTGTTCGATTCCTTTATCCTTTTTGCTAATCTTGCCTTGATTTTGAGCTGGAGAATTCGCATTTGATGGAAGATCACTGAGCTTCGACAGTATCCGAAGCTTTGTGCCATTGGAATCGATGTACACAGAACCCTCCTGATCATCATCCTCGGCGTTTATGTTCTTCTCATCTGCGTACGTCTCCAGATCCTGATCTTCAGAAAAACCCAAGTTCGACGCCCAGTTTGTTCCATTCCTTTTGTCAAGATCCTCCAACGTACACGGTATAGCCGTTTCATATATGTCCACCATTAATCTACTCTTTCTCGGCTTTATTCTATGCTTGTTCAGTTTTGAATTCATTGTCCATTTCACTGAGGACTCCTGAGAAAGGCACTGATCGATATGAGCATTTAAAGTGGTGTTCGAAGAGGACGAGAATGTCTTGCACACCGGGCATACTTTCGTAGCCATTGTGTCCGAAACAACAAAATTGTTCGCGGACAAGTCCTCGGGCCCCTTCGCCTCAGCCGCGCTTTTCAGTTTCACAATCAATTTACACTTCTTTACAGGGTTTTGGTTACTGCTCTTCGCCTTGTTGGATGCTCCAGCTGCAAATCCGAGCTTCTTCGAAGAAGGAAAAGACTCGGCTACCGGCTCCAGGTTCGGACTTCTAACCTGGCGAGTCGAATTTACATCGGAACAAGTTCGATCACTCGTTGTAGTAGATGGCAATGCTTTATCCTCTTCTTCGAATCCACCTGAGTCGATGTTCTTATCCTCAGCTACTTCCTGACCAATGCTTCGATCACTCACCTCGAATTCATTGTCACCGGAAGGTTTTTCCGGCGACGGATTTCTTACAGAATCCAGAGACTGGAATGGCGGCAGCACTTCCTTCACGCCATACTTGAGACAAAGCTGCAAGTTCTTCAGAGAAAATGGCCAATTGTTCTCGACATTTTTGCCCCGAGTGTTGAAGACATAATCTCTGTTAAGAAACACAAGCAACAACAAACTTTTGAGACTAGAAATTAAGTTCTTTAACACAGAATAGTAAAAAAAGAAAAAGAAATCTTTGTTTCTTCTTCTGTCGGCAGAGGATTCGGGCCACCTCAATCTGATCAAACGGCACGGAAGTTTGAACAGGCGAGAAGGAAGGAGAGTTTGAACGGGATGGGGGTTTTCGTCATCCATGAAATGACCAAATCAAAAAGAGATGAACGGTCAAGATTTGACTATGATGACAAAGAAGGGAGACAAGAGGAGCAGACTTATTAATTTCGAACACAGAACAACAACCAAAGAGGCGTTTAACCCGAAAACCCCGTCGTCGATAAAAAGGAAAAACACCGTGATTAAGTAAGTTCCAGAATTAGCCAGAAGAAGGGATCTGGTTTGAAGCCATGGCGAGGCTGATGAATCGAGAACAGATACTATGTTGCCTGGATCTGACCGACCAAAGGAAGACAAAACCATCACCAAAGAGGAAGTTACAAGAGGTGAAATTAAGATGGGGGGATTTTACCTTATGGAGAATTTGGGAAGTGTATTGGAGTCATCGGGGCCTGACCGGAACAGATCTGCAGCTACCTCAAGCTGGTTATGGCGATTACAGTCATCAGAAGCCCCTTCCTCATCATTATTGCTCTGCGAGATTAATTCACCGCAAGGACATGGGAGATCTGGTGGAGGGTTTTCAGTGGATAACATCTGCTGATAGGATTTTGATTTCTTCTTGCGCTGTCTACCCAACAGTCACAAGAACAAACAATCGCACATATATATAGATGTCTGTATCTATCTCCTTCCCCAAAAACGCAGCAGCAGCTCTATCTTGGGGATTTTCTAATTTTAATTTATTTATTTTTTGTTTGGGAATTCTGCTCAGCCTTCAAAACAACAGTAACCCGAAGTCCCTCTTCTCAAGACAAAAGTTCGCCCAAACCCCACCACCACTCACCCCCAAGATCTCACCTTTTCGTCATAAAAATCCATCCATCAGATCGACCCTGCAAAACAATTGGTTTGAAAAAACACGTATGTTAGCAGAAAACTCAGAAGTTTTTAGGGGAAATAAATAAACACACAGGCAGTGATTATCCCCCCAACCACGTTATTTTATGTGCTCGGATTGGGTAAATTGGAAGCTTGTTTATGTGCTAAATCATCACTGAGCTCTATGGGGAGGGCCTGATCAAGGAGGAGGAGTGCCTACTTTTGGGAATGATCAACCCTAATTAATCGTTATTTTATGTGGGCAATCCACATAAATTTAGCATATTTTTGCAAGATTGGAAACCCACTGCGACGCTTACGACAACCCAAAAAATCCAAGTACAGGAAAGAAAATTAAAATCGAGGTCCAAACACGAGTGATGAATCAGAAAAGATTCCCTAAATGAAGCAAGAAAATCTCAGGCTTACATACGCATAAAATGATCTCAAAATCAAAGGCATCCGCCGGAGGCTTTGTAGGGTGGGAGACAGATTTCACAAGAAAAATATATATTCAAGAAAATCAGGGATCGGTAATCATCATATCTTTCGCCAGATTGAGTGAACAGTAGACACAAGAATAGCAAAAGCCCAGTATCACAAACAAGCACAGTTCAGATTTATACATTGTTTAGGTCAAGATAAGAAAGAGGCTAAGGATTTTCAATCTAAAACCCAAATCGCCAAAGAATCACAGCAAAGTACAGATCATAAAATTACAAAACAATACATACTAGTTTACAGTAGATCAGGAAAAATAAATCCAAACAATTAGAAGCCCTGACCAAAAGAAAGGAACAATCGAAAGAGTAAAGAGATCGAACTGTAGAAAAGAAATCAAAAACTCTTGAATCCATTGCGAGAAGAAAACATCAAAATCGAAGGATTTATCTGCCAAAGCAAGTCGAGAAAAACCAGTTTGTGAACACAGAAAACGCTAAAGAAAGAACCCTTCGAAAGAGAAACAAAAACCCAGAAGAAGAAAACACCACATCACACTATATACAGACCTTCTCAGCTTTGAAACTCTTTAAACGTAAGAAGAAGAATGGGAGATCGAAACAAGGTTTTCGGATGGAGAGAGATGGTTGCAGGAGATTGAGAAGAAGAAAGAAAGAAGAGGGATCCAGAGAGAGTAGAGAGAGAAAGCTGTATGTATTGTTGTATATCAGTGAGATACAAATCGAGGAAGGAAGAGAAACAAGCACCACCCACTCATACATCATAAATAAAAATACATTAAAATAAAGACCGGTGAGGTATCGGGTTCTCTCTCTCTCTCTCCTGGTTCCTCTTTCTCTCTCTAAAAAAAAAAAAGAAAAAAAGCAGGTTTGTACCATTCAACACCGCACGATTCACCTCCCTTCTGTGAACAATGCGTGAGAGAGAAATTAAAAGCTACAGCTGCAATATAGAGAGAGAGAGGGTAGAAAGAGATATTCAAGAAAGAAAGAAGCAACAAAAGATGAGAGAGAGTAGAGAGAGAGAAACAAGAATTGCAAAGCTGTCCTATCTCTCACACCTAACCTACAATACATCATTTTTTTTCCCCTTCCCATATGCTAAAAAAAAAAAAAAAAAAGTGAATTTAACACTAAGCATGTTGAGGATTCATTTTAATTTTTTCAGCTAAATTAGGTTGAAATGATAAATGATTGAACCAAAAGAACAATAATAATTAGAATTATTATAATAATAATAATCGAACATAACTACATCAGACATATGCCTGTGTTTTTTTTTTTTTTTATTTCGTACTGTATTTCTTTTTATTGCTAATAAATTATTAAATGGCGTATAATAATATCTTTTTATTATATGTATGTTTCTGCTTACTGAGTTGTCTATTTTGCCCTCGCCTTTACCCTGAAATTGCAGCCCCTCACTACACGACAGTAAAAGGGTCCTTTTTGTGCCATTAATCCATTTAGGTATTAGTATTAATTTATAAATATAATTACAAATGTTGATGGGGATAGCCATGCATCATGATGCTCCATTTATACATGTCCAAATTAATCATGTCGATTTTTATTTTACTTTTTAATTAGCTTCAATAATAATAAATAAATAAATACATTTTCAGTTTTTTTTTCTCTTTAATTTTCATTGCACGGTGCAATCATAATTATTAAAAATAATATAAACAATAATGTTATCCTTATTTTAAAAATAATAATAATGTAAAAATAAATTAAAATATTTGTAAAAAAAATATGGTACATAGTTATTAAAAATAAAAAAAATTATTTTATATTTGAACAATTCAAAATATGTAAATTAAGTAGTATTTGTTAGAGTTGATTGAGAATGGCACAATTATATATTTCAATTTACTCAGCAGAAGAAAATAATCAATAATAAATTATTAGGGGAAGTACTAATAAATATAAATTTAAGTTAATGTAAATTTCAATTACTTTCCGTCCGTCGTGTAGTAAATAAGAAAATGATGTGAATCACGAGAGGAAATTAATGCTTTGAAAATAAGACCAATTGACAAATGACTTATCCATCATTTACGTTGCTTTTAATTCCTAACAAACACATTTTAAAATAATAATTAAATAAAAGGGTATATGTCATATAAACTATGTTGATTTTTTTATTTTTTATTTCTTAAAGATAAGTGTGTTACCTTATGATTATTTTTGAATTTGGGTTTTGATTTTTTTGATTTTTTTATTTTTAATAGCAGTTTAAATATAGGTTTTTTTTATATATATAAAATTTGTTCTATTATAAATTGTCTAATATGAAAAATAAAATATAATGACAAATGTTAGCTTATATTTTATGCCTAAAACGTTTCTGTTGAATTTGAATTGTTTAAAATATGTGTAACATATTATTTGTTAAATAAACTTATCTTGAATATTGGTATTAAGGAACTGAGAAGCCTTTAAAAAAAATGTGTACAATCTTTGGTTTAATGTAACACTGTATTTAATAGGATTATGAAAATAAGTATAAACAACAAAATGAGTGCATTTCAGAGGAAATAAATCCAATATAAAAATTGGGCATTAACAAAAGCTTGTAGCTGCTCAACTGCCCAAACCAGAAAGGAAAAATCACAACATGTTATGCAGTTAAAAATAAGAAAATAAAAAGAATATGTGGAAGTAGAGAAAATTGCTGATTATCTTGATAATGAATACATGGTTTTTATTTTTTGGTTGAAAAAAGAATACAAAGTTGAAACTTTGACAGACCCACTAAGCAATAAAGTCAATTCAAGACTCGAGAATCATCAAATGATGGATAAATAGCTAAAAATAAATAAATAAAATAACTAGAGATAAACAAAAACAAAAACAAAGGATACCCCATTGATCTATTCCTTCTCTCCACCACCACCACAACCACCCTTTGATCACCTCAAAATAATACCAATATTACTACTCATTTAAATTCATCCCCATCAAAACAATCACTTCTACAACAATAATGATAATAGAAATAAATAATGTTTGGAAGCAATCAAAGCACAATCTGGTTAAGGGCAGAGCTGGGAAAAAAACATCAGGGCCCATACGATGTCACATATCACATAATATTCTTTCATATTCATTTGTTACTGCTGCCCAAGCATACCTACATATATCTATGTAGTCCTAAAATTATACACAATACTTTTTAACCATTGATAAATACCTATATTCAAATGGCTTCCACCACAGCGCCAGGCATAGTCAACAATCTCTGCTCAAGCTAGAATAAAATATGGCAAAAAACAACATTGGATCACCTATCCCAGCAGAAGTATAAGCTGTGGCCACTAAGATATCATATCCCTCCCAAGGAAAAAAAGCACCGTATATGTGATTAGCAACAACTTGCAAACACAGCTTTCATTCATTCATGTATTGGGACATATAACATCAATTCACAATTATTAGTATTATATATGTGCTTTCTCTGTCGACCATGGTTGAGTTGCTACTGCTAGCTGTAAAAAGACTGTGCTTGTGTGCTTCTGATGGACAATACATATCTGTTTCTTTTATTTCATTCAAGTGGGTAAGAAAATCAATTACCAGCAGCCACCACAATCTGTCAGCTACTTGAATCTTTGATGTTCCTGAATCTGGAACTGGGACTGGGACTTCCAGAGGATCCATGCCTGTAATAATTCCAACACGTAATACAGAAAGGATTGTTTCACAGAAAGGTTAGTATAATCGCACCCACCATGAAAGTAATGATAATATGAAGTGTTCTAAAGCTTGAAAAATTTAGCAAGGATTCTTTGTGGTCAAAGCCTTTTAGCTAATTTGCGGTCAAATGTTGAAATTCTACAATTACAAGCTGTTAGGGGCATCATCTTACATGAAACTGCAGCTTAAATACAAAAGAGCAATTTCTATACATAACTATCGATGAGATAAAAAGCTGATTTTGAACATGGATCATAAGAGCAACAGCAAGCCATGTCACAAGATCCTCAAGGAAGAAATATAACCACGAGGGTCAGTGGTTTGCCCAGATGGGATGGAAAATTGCTTGCCTCATTAAGGCCGTAGAGCAATCAATATTGATGCACTGAACGATGTTCAAAATGGTTTGCCGTAGTCCTGCATTGGCTGCTCCCAAGGTCCCAGAAGACCTACAACAAATCAATAAAAAGTGAAAATTGCATATAAAGATGAGGCAACTTATCTTTGGTGATTCAATGAAGAAATAAGATCCTCTTATATTTGCATGGCCATTAGAAATGAAACTAAAAAATGAACGCTCATTGACAGAAGAATCCAAGGGCGTTCAGCAAGAATGTCTATATAGAAAGGGAGACAAAAACATGATATTCCATAGCCATAATCTTCACCATTTCACTAAAATAAGTGTGAGGCTACTTCTTACTTCTCATAGTTCAATAATTCTACTCTATACAGGCAATGTATTACCAAAAAAATTACAATGATTTCTATTGTAGGGGCTCACTCCTCAACACCTACTTGCATACTAAATAAAGGATTCGTTCGTAAAAGTTTGTTGAATATTTGAGAAAATTGGAAGAAGTAGAATGCAATTTGTTATCGAAAACCACATCTTATGTTATCTGAGAACATTAAATTTTAAGACTTAGAAAGCTACCATAACTAAAATTATATAAAAACAGATGCGACAATAAGGATATGACAGCATTGTAAAAGCTTAACTTAATAATATACCATAGTATTTCTACCAAGTTGAACATGTGGAATATTAAAATGTTTGACTTAAAATGAAGTATTGAAGGAGACATATAAATGAAACAAATTACATGCAAAGAGAAACGAGTAGAGTGCCAGAAGCGCCACCAAGAAGACAAAATACAATAAGGGTGTGTTTGTTCGGGGGATTGGATTTTGGTTTGGGATATTGAATAGTAAAAATTTTGAATTTAAATAGTTGTATAATGTGATATAAATAAGTATTGATGTGATATTTTGAATGTAAAATTAATTTTTAGTATAATATAAAAAGTGAAAAATAAGTGTGTTGATTTGATTTTTTGGGAGATTTTTTTTTATGAATAGCAGAAGTGCGATAAAATTTTATAAATGAACACACCCTAAATATATAAACATAAGCCACTGCATAGCCAAAAAACGGTCCAAATAGCCCAAAACAAACAAAAGGCAAAGTGACATAAAATAGCAAGCTAGAAATCGCAGACAGTGGACAAGATGACATAACCAGCTTATATTTCATAAAACCTATACCATATTAAACATTGGAAAACAATTTGAAGTTATTACTGAAGAACTAAACTCAGATTATGGCATGAAATCAAGGTTGGAACTACAAGACAATAAGATACCGAAATATTAGAGAATTAAAATAATATTTCCAATAAAAAAAGAATTGTATTCTCATCAATTGAACAAATTAGACTATTAATTGAAATCAGTATCCTTGCATAATTTTTGAACTTTTCAAGCATTAATTTTGAGCAGGCTTAAAAAATATTTCAATGTTGGGTGGTAGTGAATACGGGAAGGATTATGTAGCAATAGGAAAAGACACAGTCCACTCGTCAAGTAAAGGGAAACAAGCAGTATGGCAAGACTGGAAAAGTTACGGAACTAAGATATAGGCATTACTTATTGGTATTTCCCCCAGGGACATGTAAATCGAGTCATCATCTCCAAGCATCCCCTGCAACACATAGAATAAGATTAAACTCATTCTCGATTTATTTTGTACGAAAAGAATTGTTGTCAATCATCCATAACTGAGGTAAGTATAATTAAAATCATTTGAAAAGAATTAAGAGAAAATTGCTTGTTAACACAATATGTATAGGCATAATTATACACGTATATGGAATGCAAATGCACACAATGAAGCAAGTAATTCATTGACTGCAACATCTTCTTTAATAGAGGCAAGTGCTCTATATTGATCATGAACACAGACAGAGTAATCGGAACTTGACTAAATACACAGGGAGGTATAGTAATCAAATATGTTACCTCAGTGTTAGAAAGGGCCATATGGTTGTTGAGGGAATTCAAGTCCGTTTGTGCAGAACAGCTTGGGCTGTCATTTCCAAGAAGCTCAGAGATCATAAGCCCATAGCCGTCCTGAACGTCGGGGATTCCATCAGAGTTATGCATGTTATTTGGAAAACCATCCAGATCAGTGAACAAAGTGTCTGCCCTGTATAACCATGTTCATTAGTATTAATAGGAAGACCTATACAAGTTAGCCAAACCAACAAGAAAACTGAGGCTACAAGAATAGTAGTGAAATGAGTAAGCGTTCAGTGTGTTTAAATTCGAAAGTTTAATTGCAACAGCAGAATTCAACAAATACTAACCTTCTCTCTGGATTGCTGAAGGCTTTTTGCACTTCTGCAGAATCATTTTCGAGATCAATAACCTCAATATCAATGCTCTTAACACCATGTTTACAATTTTTATCAGGCATATTGTGATTATTGCCCATAGACAAATCAACATCAATGGGTACTCCTTCCTCAGGTTGAGTAATGGATGGAAAAATGATCAGCGGATCAGCATCACGATTCTCAGTGACATCAGAAGATCCAGATAGATTCAGATCACAGGTCTTAAAAGAACCTGGAAACAGCTGCTTCTCTTCCATGGATTCACATGAGTCAGCTTTTGGAGGAAGTGAAGTATCCACAATTTTCTGATCAGAAACTAAAGTCCCAAGAGCACTATGTGAAGTGTTTGGCTCTTGCAATTCTGGCGGATTTTTAATTGAGCTAGAGAGAGGAGAGGATACATTAGACTGAGCATCCACTGGAGAAACCCATTGTCTAATCTTTTTAGAATCCTTCATATCATCAGTCGTATAATCTATTACTCGTTTGGTACTTCTCTCTCTACGTATTAAGTTAGGATTTTGCAATCCTGATGTGCCTTCATCTGATTCTTTCTCTTTAGATGCAGATTTGTCTGGAAATGATCCAGCCTTCAAGCACTGTCCTGGCTTTACTGTGCACGTAACACCCAGGTCTTTCTCCATAGAGGGGTCACTTGATACATTCGATTGAAGGCTGTTAAGCTCGCGGCTCTGATGAGATATATCATTACAACTGGAACTTCCAATACCAACGTTCATCACTTGAGCTCCAGAAAATTCTGAAAGTTCACTAGCAATTTTCCTGACTTCATTCATGGAATTCTGAGCACCTTTTGGACCCTTTGTTAATGACGAACGAGCTTTAGTACGAAGATTTACAAATTTGCAGTGCTTTGCTAAATCAAAATGGTCTTCACTGACCAAAGTATCATCCTTTGTGGAAGACTTGACTTTATTGTCAACGTGTCTTTGTGGCAAACTGTCATGATTTCTGCCTGTTTTAGGAACATGAGACTCATCATTGAAATCAGTAGCATCATCGGATTGTCTTATGTGTTCTCCATCCACTTCCAATGGAAGACTCTTCACAGAGTTCAAAGCACCATTGTCGACATGCATATCATCTGCTGAGTTACATTTCTCTGATCCAGATTTAACAGGAGATTCACTATCAACTCCTTGAATTGATTCACCAGGAGATGAACTCTGCATCACAGGATTGCCATCTTTACGTTCATGCTGCTGAGCATGATGCCCAAAACTATCATTGTCAGCTTCCATGCCAGAGGAAGCCCCGCTAGCCTCAGCCAATGATCCACTTCTTCCCAGCTCCCTGTTTATCTCGGACCCAAAATTTTTAAAGGGCCCGGTTCTTTTCCTTCCTCTCACAGATGATCTCGAACCCATTGAATATTCATCGGAGTACCTTCTCCAACTTGGTCCTGCTTCTAGAGCAACATTTCCCAGACGGGAATGAGCCGATGCACGCCCATCTGCAGCAATCCGTGTTTTGTCTGCTTCAAGTTGCCTAAAGCCCTGAAAGTTGTTCACCTGGTCCTTCACATCATTAATCGTCCACTTTCCTGAAAGGGCGTTTAGAGGCAGCACCCCCGTAGAAACCAAATATTCAGCAGCTAGTTTACCAGCTTCCATGAATATATCCGTCTCCCGTGGAGGAAGCCGTGGAGAGTGTTTTGAGTGGCCTCCACGACTATAACCACCACGAGCATTGTTCCTATAATCGGTATTGTACATTCTTTGACCTCTCATTGAACCCTCAGGAGAAATTCGGGAAGCAGCAGCCATGCCCCCCACCCCGACGTTATTTGACCTGTAGCCATGCCCAGGTCCATTTCGATGCCTCACATGCATGTCTTCCAGATCTTCGCATAAACAGCCTATAGTTATGCATATACAGTTAGTTCAAGAAACAACAGCAAGCATTGAAACCTCATATTGACAGGCAGACGCGGGACTTGAAATTTCTGCATTGTAATCTTTGATTAAAACACCAAATTTGCAACAATACTACAAGCAAACACCAACAGAGACTATCTACCTATCCTTTATATTACATGAGTTTTCCTCTGCTGTACAAACACAAGAACCTAATGTCATATTAGCAATTTCATTGCTGGATCTAAAAATAGCATCCTTCTACCGATACTAACACAAAGATAGCCATCAATCATAGAGTCATCTAGACGTTTGTTTAATATCCTTTTAAGGACTTCCTACAATACTATAAAATTAAATATGCTTGTGTCTGCTATGGAGATACAAGTTCCAAATATTCTTCAAACCGTCGCCGTTCTTACAGATCTGCTTTCAGATCTTGTTATTTCTGAACCAAAATTCGAAATTCAGCTCGGCAGGGGGTGTTTACCTTGTCAATTTGAATGTAGTCAGTCCAGAGCTGAATTTTAGGGTTTCTGTCTTTCAGATCCAATTCAATTGCAACATCCCTCAACAGATCTGTTCAAGTCCGTCAACATAAAACACAAATTCATTACCCAGCCAAGCCAACGTACGTATTCCTCAACTCACGAGTCACAAAAACGTGTTCGTAAATATGCACAAGTGTTGTCTGTCTATAAATCTGCAGCTTAAAAGCGAAATATTCGCAATCCAAGCACGGTCCAGGAATAATTAACGGTGTCTGGTTACAGATACATGCGGGGTTCGGATTCTGCCATTTTTACAGAATAACGCAAAAGCAAATCCGGGATCGATATCAAGAGCTCATCCCTGGCCTCCCCTTTTTCATATTTCATTTTGAGGAGAGATCGCTCACGAAAAGAAGCTCGGCGAGTGCGATTCGTGCCGACCTCTTCACCATTATTCTTTTCAAACACCCCAAAAAGGAAGCTTGTGTTGGGAGCTTTCAAATTAAATAAATTAAATTAAGCAAAAGCAGTTAAATAAATTTTACATGGTGAACAACTGTTTTGTTGGATTTTGATTCATAATTTAAATAATATTTTAATATTCCATAAATATATATATATATATATATATCAATTTAAGATTGGTTGAATATTATATAATTTTTTTTCTCTCAAAAGATATGGATATTTTGAATTGGATGATAATACTATTATATTGATAGCGAGTGTAACAATATTTTTAAAAAATTAAAATGCATATTTTGAATAATTATTGTGAAAAAAAAAATATAATTTTGTAAAAAAATAAAAAATTATTACCAAATTGAAATACTTCGTTAAACTAACATTTAATTTGATTATAATTAAATTTTAATTTTTTTTTAATAATATTTTATGAAATAAAATAATATATTTTTATAAAAAATTTAAATGATATATTTATCTTTACATAAAATTGTTATAAATTTTTGTAAGCAAAGGCATCCATTCCTATGGCCATTGCATACTTTTCATGTTTGCATTGACTTGTATTTTAATTTAAATAATAAATATAAATAACACATTAAAAGGAGAAATACTGTATTTATGATGGGAATGTATAATTGTAGTATTGAGGAGAACACAGTTCAATTTGCAGTCAATTTCGGCATTATTTTAAATAGGGTCGATAGTGAAAATAATAATTACTACTTCTTCTGTCCCAAAAAAAAAATATATAATTTTATTGTATTGGATATAGTTGGTAAAAAGTAAAGATAAATAATTTTTTTACCCTTGTAAGTATATTAGTGTAAAAAATAGCGACAATTGTATAATAATAGTGAAAAAATATGGATAATTTTATGGTGATTTGGTTATGTATGGAAATAAAGCTATTGTTTTAGGATGAACAAAAATGATAAACAAGACTATTAGTATATTGGGACGGTGAGAGTATAATTCTTGCGGAGATAAGACAATGGTGTCATGAAAATTTTTTGTTTACGTAAAATGTAAAAAATTATATAAATAATAAATATATACTCTCTCCGTCCCACGTACTATGTTTACGTTGCCGTTTTTGTCCGTCCCATATTCCATGTCACTTTTCTTTTTTTGGAAAATGATTACACATTTTAATCTCATTTTAAACTTTTTAATTTATTTTTTTTAATTTTAATTAAACTAATTAGTAGTTATCTTAATCTTAATTTATAATTATTTATATGATAGGATAATTATTTTTACTAATATATTCTTAATTATCTATTAATTATACCTCTCTTAAAATACCGTGTTTACAGTGTAGCGGACATGGTATTATGCATATAATTTATTAATTTATTTAAAAAAACATTAAAAAAAATTTGTAAACAAAATAAAAAATTTATAGCTTTCTAATCAAGCAACAAGCCGATGTTAGGTGAGGTGAGGTAGGTAATAGGTATGATGGTAGCAATAACATTAATTCGTATCTCTATTTTTATATATATTTGTGAATATTACTCCAATATTTATTTCAATTTTTTTTTCTATTCGTTAAATCTATACGGCAGTATATTTAGTATTTATTTAATAGTAGATGATTTTATATTTATAACTTATTTATTATTTTTTATTAATAATATTAATTTATCACTATTTTTCTTTAACTTATCATAAAATGTTTTTGTTAATTTTTTAATAAAAATTTAATAGTATTCTTACTATATATATATTTTTTATTGTACAGTATTTTTATATTAAAATATTTTTAAAATTTTTGTACACAAATACAATAAACATAAAAAATTCAAACAAAAAATGCATATTAAATTTTTATTTTGAATTTGAAATATTATAATGCAAAAAAATACTTCTATGGTGTGGTTGGTTGGAATATTTAATTCAAATTTTACTATTTATTATTTAAAAAGATCAAACCTTATACATATTTTTTTATATTTATATATTATAATAAATATTAATTTTATATTCAAATTTTCAAATTAATATATATTATATTACATTTTACAATTATTTAAATTTAATTTTTTACTATTTAAAATTTAAATTCTCTTAAGTTTGTTTGAGGGTTTGAATTTTGAATTGGAATGTAAATACTAAAAATTTTGAATTTGAATAGTTGTATGATGTGATATAAATAAATGTTGATGTGATATTTTTTAATGTAAAATTAATTTTTAATATAATATAAAAAATAAAAAATAGATATTTGATTTTATGTTTTTAAAAAAAAAATGAGATCGAACAGCGAAAATCTAATTCAATCCCCCGAACAAACACACCCTTGGTATATCCTATCAAAAGCAGTCACACGGCTACACTTTTTGGGTAAGAGTGGAAATTTAAAATAAATAAACAACTCGCCCAACCTTTTAACCTTTTACTTATATGTACGAACAATTACCAATTTAATATTGCAGAAAATAAAATATTACTACCTCAATCCAGATAATTAAGAATATATTAGTAAAAATAATTAATATATAATATAAATCATTATAGATTAAAATTAAAATAATTAATCAATTTAATTAAAATTAAAAATTTTTAATAAAATTAAGATAGATAATCATTTTTAAAAAAAAAAAAAAAAAAAAAGTAATATGATGAGATGCGAGACAAATTGAAACGGCAATACGGAGATGAAGTACTATATATTTTTATATTGATTCATTTAGCAACTACTTTCTTTTATAAAAAAGAAAAACAAACTTATAAGTATATAAAATATACGGATAACAAAAGGACATACAATAAGTTTTGAGTTATACTTCAAAGTTAATATAGAGTATGTTTATTTTGGTGGAGTTTGAACAAAATTGGTTTGAATTTGATATTAATATAATGTTTGATGAGATATTTTGTGAGACAAAAAATTATATATATTTTTTTTATAAAAAACAGAGTCAAAATAATAAAATGTGAAAAAAAAATTGGTTAAAAAATCAAACTCATACTATATTTTGAAATGATACAATGAATTAACAATATGAGTTCAAACTCCGACGCCTACCGATCCACTTGGCTCACATGGTTCACTTAGCGTGACTTGTCTTGTCGAACTTAATTTACAGAGTACTAAATTATATCGAGGATCTACCGGTGTGCACTTTATAAAATTATGTATAATATTAAATTATTAATAATTTTTATATAAAAATATATATTGAAGGAAACATTTTTTCTTAAAAAATGTTAAATATTAATACAAGCCAAAATTTAGAATATAGTCTAATGAAATAATGCTACAAACTGGGCTGATGTCATTCCAAATCAAAACCATAAAAAAAAAATTGGTCGCATGGATTGTTCTACCCTAATGGGCTCCGCCCGGCCGGTTTCGGGTGGACCCGGCTGGGATTCATTGTATGGGCCTCTCTTGGGTTAGCCGGGCTGCGCACTGAACCGGACCGAGCTACAATGATATAGGTTTGATATTTTGCCTGATAATTTTTAATTAAAAATAAATAAATAAATAATTATATAGGGCGGCCCGCGTTCTGTTTGGAAAATAAAAAATAATTTTGGAAAATATCTCTGAACTTTGTAGGCGGCGATGATGGAATTGCTCACAGCCAAACACGCCCCAAAGCCTATCGCCACGCCAATGGTCTCCTGCACCTAGGAGAACGAAACGACCAACCCCCCTCCCTTCCCTTATCACAAAAATCTTCCACTCGATGCTATTGTAGCCTCTGTTCACCGTCTTGTTCTTCTCCCACCTTCGTCTCGACGCGGGAATTCCATTCGTCGTATGCAAATTATTGTGCATCGGATTGATCGGAAGATTTTAGGTGGCTGCTGCTGCTGCTGCTGCTGCTGATTTGCAGTTGGTGGGGTCGGGAATTCTTGACGTATAGGGAGTTAATATGGCGATGAGAGACTTGGTGAACGGCGCCGCCTCATGCGCGGTGCCGGGGTCGAGTTCATCGAACCCTCTCGGTGCTCTTGCCAACACTTTGATGGGCTCCTCCTCCAAAACTCAGGTTCTTGCGTTCTTCCTCTATCGTTGATCGATTCTGTTAGGAGAGTTGTTTGGTTAATTTTTGGCGAGAAGGTTGAGTTTTCATGTCAGAAGTGGAGAGACTTGCCCTAATTGTAGATTAGAATGAAATTCAGTGTGATTTATATGTGATTTTGGATTGAAGATTGATCACTTGTACACCTACTGGATTCATCATCGTACAGGAAAGGCTTAGAGAGATACCTACTGCAACACCTACAGTTTCAGGTGGCAATTTGTATGGGGAACAGCCCTTGGCCGCCCTCCCGGGATCAGAGCTTGAGCACGCACAGCATTCCAGTGCACAGGTTTGATTTTAGCCACTGTATGTTCGCCACTTGAATTTACTGGATCACTATTTAAATATATGTCTTGTCCAGGGTTCAGAATTTCTTCAAGGCTTCCGTTCTGTAGATCAAAATGGGTTTTCAGATGCTTGGGATGAGATACAGAGGCCACAAATTCCTCAGTTCCAGGGCAGGGATGGTCTTCCTTTAGAGCAACCTTTTCATCAACAGGATTTAATAGGTTAGTTGGAAATTTATTTTTATCTTCTCTTGCTTTGAGATTATTACTGTAGTTGTTACCTGTGGTTTGCCTTTACCTTTTTGTTATTTTTATCTATGTTCCATAGAACCTAGAATACTTGGTTGCTTTCTTTGTAACCCTTGTCGTAATTATTTGGTTTGCTTTCATTGCCCTTTTTCTTAACTTCGTCCCTTTTCCATGGAAGTATAATACTTAATTGATTACTTGCTGTCCTCCTGAAATTTGTGATCTCCCAAGATCTATCCCTCAAGTGTCCGTGTAGTCGTATGATTGCTTGATTGAATTATTGACTTGTTGCAGTTTCAAACTTTATTTCTCAAACAAGATGCTAGTGTTAATTAGATAATGGGTGATGCCCGGGGAACCTTTTCTCATTAAATTATGTAGAAGCTTTGGCATTCCAATCAATAAATTTTAATAGTTGACCCTCATACTGCAGGACCACCTCAAAGAGTGTTGTCGAATTTTTTGCATTCATTTATTCACAGCAGCCATGGTAGCATGCCATTTCGACCGACTTCTCTTCCAGTTTTAGGATTATCTGAAGGTGATAAGCAATGCATACGCGATCGTACTAGTATTATGGCTCGGCACCTGTTTGCAGACAGAACTGAAGACTTTATTCAATCACAGGTTTTTTCCATATGTTTCTTCAAGCCTGCACTAACTTTTTAATATGTTGATATGTTCAATCTTTGTCGATTCTGTGTAGTGTGTATTATATGATTGCTCATTTTATATTTCTTGAGCCCTGGTGGATCCTTTGCTTTTGCCTGCGTATGCTTTCTTACTCTTAACTACAACTGCAATCTATTGTAATTGGCAGTTCAAGCATGCGGTTTTAATTATCTGTGTAATATATTGTTGACATTAAATAGATATATGGTAGCGAAAGGCCTAACTGTCTGAACTCCAAATGGAAGTAATTAATTAAGTTCTTTATGTCCCATGGTAAAAATGGGAAAAAAAATATTGACGCTTATGACAGCCTTGATTGCAACACTATTTTTAAGTTGCACTAGTGTGTAGTGATTCACATAATTAGTGAGACCATGACATATGTTTTGCTTCAGACTTCAGTTCAATGCTCTTGTTTGCTTCTTAAAATAGATATTATTTACAACTTTGTATGTGACATTTAATTTAGAATTTGTAACTTTCAGGTTAATGCCCTTTTGTCATCTTTGGATATTGATAATGATGTTCGAGCTAGAGGACACATTCCTGGGAGATTTTCGGAGCTAGAGGAGTTCTGGAATGAATCACAAGGCATGAAACCTGGGCCACATGGTGTGGATGGGTGGGTTTCTGAATTTTCACAGCATCAAGCAGCTCGTGGTGATCCAAATATGTGGGTTCAGCAATTTGAACGAAAACATGGCGCTAATGGTTGGGCATCTGAATTCGAGCATGTAAGCATGCTTCCCTGCTTATTGTATTTTCTCAATTCTGAGACTACATCATTCGGTGCATGTTAGTTACATGGCTATTTCTGCACTGGATGTCTTGAGTCACTATTATAGGGTATTTCACATTGGGACAGACACTTTTTATAAAAAAGATGGCAATTGTGTTATTTATCAATGAGGGAAAAAAGTGGATAGCCATTTGTTGTTTCACTGCAAATGAATCTTTAGATGGCTGGTTTGCCTGTGTGACATGGGTTACACTAAAAATGGTGCTTGTGGGGTTAATAGCATGGGCAGGAAGAAAAATAACATGTGCCGTGTTATTCCACCCTCTTGTATTCCGTCCTTCTGTATGGCAAATCTGCCTTCTTTAATTGCTTGTATTCCACCCTTTTGTATGTGCCTTGTTTTGTGTCCATGTGGTGCTTTTAATGATATTTTTACTTATTTACATTAAAGAGAAAGGGTAAACAGTTTTATCTGAAAGAGAATCTTTGATAACAAGAGTAACACCCGTACTTCAGTTTTTCATCTAATCTTTGTGAGGATTGCCAAATCTTCCTACAGAGTTCTATACAACACCATAGTCATAAATATGTACTACTTACTAAATAGGAGAAGTATTGAGGAATTCATGTTCTCACCCTATATTGAAAGTATTCGCTCTTGTAGGTTTGCCTGCCCATCACCTTGAGCCTTGGATTTATGAAAGCTGTTTGCATGCAGGACTTTGTGACACTTACATTTTTCAATACTTAGTTACATTTCTACTCTAATTTTCAGGAACAGTCTCAAATTGCTTCAATTGATCAAATGAGAGGTTCAAGTATCCCTAATGTGGCTGCCATGGAGCAGAGTCGCATGCTTGCACACACACTAGCTCAGAACAATGACCCAAAGTTTCAGGTTGTATATCATTTTTTGCACATTGTACATGGTTATTCATTGAGTGATCCATTTCTTTGTACATGCACAAGCCTTCTTCATTAATGGAGAAAGATAGCGATATGCAGTCAAGCAAACAACAGGCTTGAAATAGGATTGATTATATATCCCTAGAGAACTAGAAACGAAATTGAGAAAAATAAATACTTGATCCAACTGGGCTTATAACGAGACCGAGATATATGGGTTTCCTCTTGCACCCATTTTGCATAGATATCTTGGTCTTCCTTCTGACCATTGGAATTATGTTAACTAACTAAATGGATAGATAAACAGCAGTGTCGCTCATATTTGACTTGCAAGTAGACCACATGCGACCTGGATTATCCTAGTATGATGATCATCATGACTTTAAGTGTGTTTTGATTTTGATGTTATAAGATAATGCACAAAGGCCTTGTCAATTAAATAATATTTTAGTTCTGTAGATATATTTTGACCTTGTTTACTATTTACTCTTTGACCTAATTAAATAATATTTTAGTTCTGTAGATATATTTTGACCTTGTTTACTATTTACTCTTTGACCTGGTTTAATATTTACTTTGATAGTGAACAAGGTATATATACATATATACACACACAAAGGGCCTAATAGTTTTTTCCCTCTTGTTTTTTCCTAATGTTTCTGCTATCTTGTGCAAACAGAATTCAAAATTCCTTCAGTTTGTATCAAAGATGAGCCGTGGTGAACTCGCAATTGAGGACAATCAGTTTAAGCCAGCTGCAATCTCCAAACCTGGTGACTGGGCAAATGAATATGAGCAACAATATAGCGGAGGTCAATCATGGGGTGATCAGTTTGCAAATGAGCAGGCAAGTACTATAGTCAAGTGCTATTATCTGCATTTATTTTGATGGTACTTGTATGTCAGTCCAGTCAGTTTTCAAATGAGCATGCCTTTCTGTTTGTGAGTTTTTAGCATTAATATAAGGGCGAAAAATAAATGAATCCATTTTAAGTTGTTGGTAGAAAAATTACTATATTTCAGCATTTGCATGGACCTCATGGCTGGGCAAATGAGTTTGCTGCGGAACGTGAGCAGCACAGAGCGACTGAAGATGAATGGGCCAGCGAATTTTCCAAGTTAAATGTCAATGATTGGGCTGAGGAATTTGAGCGTCATGTTGCTGATGGAACATTTGCTGATACTTCTGCTGATAGTTGGGCAAATGCATATGATGAGTAAGTTCAGTGTTGTTTCAAAATTGGGAGAGAATAAACTAATAAACTTCTAATTGATCTCTACTAGTCATTTCCTATTTATGAATCTCATTGTGCCTTTCAACATTTGCATTCTAGAAATGTGTCTGTTCTGTCCCAGGTATCATGCCATGTTCCTCTCTAAATAAATGTCCTCGTGCTTAAGAAACTATTTTAAGAAATAGTATAATTCCATAAGAAATTTCTTTCAATATCCTTAATTGTGTGGATTGCATTAATGTTCACAATTGCTATTATAGCTGCACCATTTCTCACTCTGTTGACTATTACAGATAAACCCAAACTCATGAATGCAGTGTATTCATCAATTCATTTAGTTGATCATACCTGAAATCGAATTCAAAATAATTTTCAAATATTTTATGGCCAATAGATGTTTGACATTCTAAACCTTTTCAATTTGGTGCCATGTTCTCTTTAACTGTCCTGCACATGCACTGACTTTTGTTCTACTAGGAATTTCATATGGCGGCATGAACATAATTCTTGTTTTGATATACAGGTACCTAAATGAACAAGTAGCATTAAAGCAGAAATCAGGAGCATCGAGGGGGCTCTATGAGTTTTCTGATTTAAATCCTTACGTTGGCCATCCGAATCCATTGAAGGAGGGGCAAGAACTATTTCGTAAAGGACTTTTGAGTGAAGCAGTTCTTGCATTGGAGGCTGAGGTTATGAAAAATGCTGATAATGCAGAGGGTTGGAGATTGCTTGGTATAGCACATGCTGAGAATGATGATGACCAACAGGTATATTTTTTCCTACATTGGACCTTGTAACAGTTCTTCTCTTTTCTTTTTATTTTTTTTTTTATTTTTTGTCTGGTATACTTGTTATCTCCTTTTGAATTTCTCTGAGTTGAAAACACTTAGTTACCTGAGAAATTTTTATTGGATAGGTATAATACACTTGACTGTATTAGATTCTTACAGAATGAACCATTGGAGATAGTTTCTTTTAACATTTCGAACACTATATTATGATGATGATGATGGTGTTATTTGAAGTAATAAATCCGAATGCTGTGTTTCAATTGCTTCTTTGTTACCCTAATATTTTACTGTTACGTGCTTGTCTCAGGCAATTGCTGCTATGATGCGCGCACATGAGGTTGATCCTACTAACTTGGAAGTTCTTCTGGCTCTTGGTGTGAGCCATACAAACGGTTAGCATTTAACATTATGTATTTGTCTAATGTTTTGGTGGGTGAAAATTGGAAATGCATATACTTTTGGTTTGGGTAAAAGACATTATGTGGTTGCATAATGTTGTACGGGATAGTAATTTGATTATATAGATGTGTATGAGTTGCGTGGATGTGCTGAATGAAATTGAATATTTGTGTATACATATATATATATAATTTGAAATAAATTTAAATATTAGTTTGTTTAGAGTGTGGAGCACACTTGGTTTTGTAGCCTTGTAGGCTCTTGAAATGGTTAACTAAGCCTTTTGTCTTTCAATTTCTATATAAAAATGAAGGTTAGGCATTTAGCTCTTGATTACTCTTCCATGTGTATAATTTGTGTTGTAAGCAAATTATGCAATGATTATCCTTTTTATGAAATTTCAGAATTGGAGCAGGCAGCCGCACTAAAGTATTTGTACAGTTGGCTGCGCCATCATCCCAAGTATGGGAGTATTGCTCCTCCAGATCAACCTGAGAATCTGTATTATGGTGATGTAAGTGTCTTCACTGACTACCACAAATCAACCCATGACCTGTGCTTTCATGATTGTATCTGTTGGCCACTGTATTTTAAATGAGTTTCATCTTTTTGGTTTTTCTTTTGGTGGTACAGGTGGCTACACTTTTTAATGATGCAGCTAAACTGGCACCTGAAGATGCCGATGTGCACGTAGTTCTTGGAGTACTGTACAACTTATCTAGAGAATATGACAGAGCAATTGAAGCTTTCCAGACTGCTTTGAAACTCAACCCTCAAGATTATTCTCTCTGGAACAAGCTTGGTGCTACACAAGCTAATAGTGTCCAAAGTGCTGATGCAATTTTGGCCTATCAACAGGTAACTTGGTTGTGTGCTATCTACATTTCTCAAGTCATGCACATATATTTGAATTGTATGCGTTTCACATGGTTTTACATATAACATGAATACATGATGATGTAATTGGAAAGTGTTGATGTTGTCATAATTGCCATTTTGTAGATAAATAGATGGTATAGCTGTCGGGAGATCTATAAAAGGGAATGCTTGAAACTTTGAAAATGTTAGGATGTGTTGACACCCTGGGTACCTGAGTATGGAAAAAAAGGATTTGTGAGAATAATTTGGAAACATAATTTGATTGCTTTCTTTACTCTTGTGAGAATAATTTGGAAACATAATTTGATTGCTTTCTATACTCTTGTGAGAATATTTTGGAAGTAATTTATTTTTTGTTTGTAGTTCCAAGAATTTAGGTGCTTTGCTAGTCTTAAAAGTAGCATGTCGAATTTGGAAGTGCAAAGCGATGGATCGCCTTCATGTTAACTTCCTTGGTAATTGTTATAACTAAGGTGTATTAAGCAGTAATGAATCAAATCTCATTTCAAGATGAGTTGGGTGAGTTAATAGAACAGAAATTCAGTTTGATATAACAAAACCGATGACACTGTGTAGCACTTAGCTTTTGGTAATTTTGTGAAAGCAATGTGCATGTTGTTCATATTTTCTGCACTTTTTTTCCATCTTCGCTGACTATTATGCCGAGTATCAAATGGTTTTTGCTGTTTTTCAGGCTCTAGATTTGAAGCCAAACTATGTACGCGCGTGGGCAAACATGGGCATCAGTTACGCAAATCAGGTCTGATTAGTTCTTATCCATCTTATCGGTTTAACTGTAACATATAATCCTAACACATCTATTCCGATCAGGGTATGTACGAGGAATCAATTCGGTACTATGTCCGGGCACTGGCAATGAATCCAAAGGCGGATAACGCCTGGCAATATTTGAGAATTTCTCTGAGGTAAATTTCTCAACCAACTTCACGCATCTGTTAATTCACGCAACACTTTATATTAATTCTGTACTCCATTGTACAGCTGTGCGTCGCGGACCGACATGCTGGAAGCTTGTGATTCGAGGAATCTTGAGGTTCTACAGAAGGAATTTCCCCTGTGATGAAATTACAACCTTGCTCAGGAGAATCCAAATACTCTACTCCGGCAGTCAGTCGTATCTCCGCCGCCGCCATCCACGCCAAGGATGAACTTCACAGGTATGACATACGACGGGGATACAGTCCAGGGATTATGAATAAGCTTGAAATTGACAAACATGGTTGTTGATATGTACCATAGAAATGTTGGGAGGGATTGAAATTAATGGTGCTGAAAATTCATTGCCTGTTTGCAATATATACCGTTATTTAAACATAAATTTCAATACCATTGTAGCAATGGCTAAGTTTGACAAATGATCTCATTATGTGGTCACAATTATAAAGGCAAAAAAATCATTAGGGAAACTTGAATCAGATTGGTGACCTATAGAGGTGTGAATGATTTTATATTGCACGCCTAAATTTTTCATTAAATAAAGAAACCAAACAGTAGCATTTTTATTTACAGACAATCATTAATACCATAATTCAAAATATTCCATCTCCATGGGGAAGCAGATTGGGTAACTTCTTCTTCATCTGCTTCTAACACACAACAAATTAAATGAAATGCAAAAACAAAATTCTTCTAAGTTCTAACAACACAAATGCTAGCGAAAAAATGTTAACCAAACAACGATGTTCTTTACCTTAAATTTTGAGTCAGGAATGACACAGGCAATCCTCCAGGATTTGTGTTCGGGTCCGGTTCAGGTCGGGTACTCGAATCGTAACGCGATTTCATAGCCATTTTCTCCAGCTCAGCGATCGTCTATCGAATGGCAAGAATCTTGGGAGACTCAGCAAGCTATTAACTCGGGTAATACCTTCAAGCGCCGACCATTCTTCATCGTCCGCAGTGGAAATGCACTCCGCCAAGCTCCTTTTCGACTGTCCCAAAGCCTTGCCAATTTCCTTATCGACGACTTCCTCTGCAACAGGCACTATTTCGCTGGACTCTTTAGTCGTCCCTGATCGCATGATGCCGTCAACAGCTTGTTCATCAGAATCTGTTTCTAACGGAACCCTCTTCGTTTCCTCTTCGGGAGAGACATTCGCTGCATTGTTTCTTGATCTAGGGGCATCGTGCATGCCCGCATGTTTGAGAAACAGACACACAACGGCACAGTCGTCATTCTTGGACGTCGGGTACTTAAGCCTCCAAGCTCTCGTAGCACAATCGACGAGAGCTCTAGCAGCTGTTCCTGGGCCAGGCGCCGAGGCCACGATGTCTACCGCTTCTTTATTGGATAGAACATCCCACACCTGATTCAAAAAGTTTAATTCTTTCAAAGAAATTTCAAAACATATTCGATCAACGTTGTGACAGGAGAGTATTATTACCCCATCGGTGGCAAGAATGACGAACTCATCTCTCTCAGTGATGTGATGGTGATACACATCCGGCATCGAGATTAAACCGAAATCCTTAAGACAGAAGTCACCGAAGGCTCTAGCCATGGCCAATCCCGGCGTATCGCTGTTCGGCAGCCATACCCGCGCCACGTCAGGTTCGTCCTGCAACGCAAAAACCCTCCCTAAACATTTATGGATCCTCGCAGCTTCCCCTGCGATTTTGATCCCAAAAAAGTAAGTTACACAAAGATTGCATACACAACAAAGTTTTCGGATACGTATATACTTGGAAGATTCGGTTTCAAGTCCACAGTCAGCTGTACAGCCTCTAATGAATTGTCCTCGCCCCGCGTCCCCAGGATTGCTCTTGAGTCGCCGATATTTCCAATTATAAGATCCTGACCCTGGATAATTATAACTCATTTCCATCGGTAAATCATAGCCAAATCCTTGTGTAGAATGGAATTTGTTAAGCAATCAGTAATGTTGATCAGTAGAGCTACGACACGGTGACGACCCAATGCACTCATTATCAAAACAAGAACTGTGATCGATCGAATGCATTTATTAAACCGAGATTCGTGTATACCTGCTTGATCAGAGTCACGGCAGTCGTGCCGCTGCAGAAGCAGTCGATAGTCGGATGCAGCTTCAGCTCCTTATCCATTAGCTTGAAAGCTTTAACAAACGATTTCTTGAGAGGAATATGTATCTCCGGGATGCCTTCGCCATCGTCTCCTTCGACTGATTCACATCCATCCTCATCCATGAAGTCGTCGAATCGTTTCATTCCTTCAACACTTCCATGGTTTTCATTTTCATCACTCTCAGGATTGCTTTCCCACTGCGTACGTAGCAGTATCGGCAGCGCGTCGCGCACCCTTCTCGAAACCATGTGTCCGTACGGGCCATGGCCGTCGAACACACCGCAGAAAGTTGCATCAGAATTGAAGCCTTCCGAGCAGAAATTCTACCGTGCAAACAGTCCAAACAAGTCATGAACTGATTCAAATTATCCCCAATAACAACAACAGCAATCGTAATAATTAATTCGGTGTTCTATCAATGCTACCATAAACGCAATTCAATTCGATCGAAGAATTAGGTATTCGGCAAATTCGAAGGAATTTCAAACAGTATGTGATTTTCTTCAGCAATGTTCAACAGAAACTGACCTCCCAAACGACCATGGAGTCTTGATTGGTTCCTTTCTTGCCTTGCTGAGTGTACAAGCTCGCGATGCGGCTCGACCCGTTCGAGAACAGCCTGCCGGGGATTTGATGCAGCGCTCGCTCCTCCGCTGCTCCGCCGCCGCTTAATTTACTGATTAAAGCGGCCAAGTCGCCGGAGCTGCTCTTCAATTTGAAATCAGGGTTTCCAATTCCATATCCGCTCTCCTCCCACTCTCCCTTTCTCTTCCTATTCGACGAATAACAAATACCCATTTAAAAATAAATAAATCCACCAAATGAAAGCTCACCACTCTCCCCTCAACTAACAAGCTGTTCATCAATAGAAAAGATCAAACTGCAGGGAATTTAGAGGAGAGAAAACGAAAGGCTAGAGCTAGAGAGAGAGAGAGAGAGAGAGAGAGAGAGAGGCAGGATTCAGGTGAATGGGGGGTGCCAGTAGGTCTGGATTTTTATGACTGTAGCTTTTACTGCTGGTTTTTGCTTTAGCTACCAGTGGTTTCGAAAATTATAAAGATTTTGCTTAGGATACTGTTTGTCCGAACGGACGAGCTCGTAAATATATATATATATATATATATGTAGTGCCTTGACTTGGGAGTCTCTGCAATTCAACGAAGATGGAGGTCAACACGTGCATTGGCAGCCTCGGGAGCTCTGAAATTATTATTTTAATATTACATGGAATATATATAATAAATAAATAATATTATTGCCATTGCTGACTTTCTTGGCTGTTGTATCCCAACCACCTCAGATCCTGCCGTTGATGTTTTGAAAGGTGAGAAACATTCGTATAAGAAAGAAAGAAAATCAATTACATCGAAGAAGAAGAAAGCACAAAAAGGCCATGCTTTATTTCATCTGCAGTTTTATGCATAATACTTTTATGAATGAATGTACACAAACACAAACACCATGGCTAAGCTGTTCTTATATTTCAAGCTCTTGTTGAAGCTGCGCAACCGCAAACCCGATCGATTTCGACAACGACGAGATTATTTACAGAAACAAGTATATGATAAGCAGCAAGATGAGCAGCCTACTAGTAATGGTGATGATACCGGAATCGTGTTGTTGTTCTTCTCTAAGATGCTGTTGTTGTTCTTCTCTAAGATGCTCGACGCCAAAGCTTCTTCCCCTTTTTCTGCGGGAGCTTGAAGGGACTCCAGCTTTTCCTGTGCTTCGAAGATTCGCAGAATATTCCGGAAGCAAGGGCTTGCTGGAGCCACAATTCAAAGTCGTCGTCTTCATCCATCATCTCGGCGTCCAAATCCCATGGATACCTACTTGAGTTGGACCTCCTCGACGACTTATCCAACCCAACCATGTTTACGTGGAAACTCGGCCGATGGGTGTTTGGCCTGCAAGCCATCCCCTGAATTTTCAAGAAAAGAAATGTGCTTAATGGATAATCTTGGTTCTTTATGTAAGAGCAAGAAAGGAAAGCAATGTTGGATGTTCAACCTAAAAGTGAATCGTTTAGACTAACCTGACATATAGCCCATTCAGAAACATCGAAAATTTTGCCTTCAGCACATACAAAAGCACGAGGTATCTCCACCTACGTATAGCAATTAAACATCGTATTCTTCAACTGTTAATGAAGAAGGCAACTCAGTACACGAACCATACCTTTTGAGGGCGGTCAAATACGAGGGAACCTTTGTACTCAACCCATCCATTGCCATCTTTGGCTTGATGGTATTGACAGCAATCCTGACACCATCTCGCCTTAGCTTTGTTTCTAGTCGTACAAACCCAGACATGGGAGTTGCCACACTTCGTGCAATGTATTCGCCTTGAATCCTCCGAGCAAACATCAGCAGGATTCTGTTTCACAGAAGAAAAATTATAAATTTCTCAATTCGTTCTTCACTCGTAATAATGTCAAAAAGCCATTACTTGATGCAGCATATGCTTTACCTGATGAGAAGTGCTAGATGATTTTCGCATTACACACCTAGATACTTCTTTTTTGAGCTGTTCGTCATAGTCCCTCTTCTTCACATCATCGGAAAGAACCTGCCATCAAGTGAGATTTGCATGATAATTGTACAATTAAAACAGCAGCCAAAGGTTCTATTTCAGGTTAGTGAACTGACGATATTGTTACTACCTCGTATGCACATTGAAGTTTCTTAAATGATTCGCTTGCCAGTGGACTACCCATATTTTTGTCAGGGTGCACGAGCATGGCCTAGGAAAAGATTAAACAAAAATGTTATTCAAAGAAAAGATATCTCAGCAGTGCTTTGTAGAATATTGAGATGTCATACATTTCATTATTGAATCAAATAGAAATCTCGATGTGAATAAGATATTAAATTAAAGGCAGAGAAGACATGCATCTTGCAGCACTGACACCTCTACAAGCATCAACATAGCCAAAATAATCGATCCAATTTAGGCCAGACAAACAGAAGAAGTGAAAAAGCAAACCTTTTTATGATATTCCTTCTTCAGTAACACAACATCGATCTTCTTTTGGCATGGAAATCCAAGTGCTTCATAGTGATTGGCACTTCTTATAATTCTCTGCATCTCAACTACAGAATTCACATCTTCTCTAACCACTTTTTTCACAGCAGCTTCTTTCGGGTTTTCATAAAATGATGACGGGCTTGCAGGTTTGGTAGCTGATTTAAATGAATTCAACTTTTCATCTTCTCCTTTTACTTCGGTAGGAGCAGGATACTCACACTCCGAAGAGAAACTATCTTCTGTAAATGTGCAAGATTCCTTATGATCCTCGAAGTGATTATTTTCACTTAGAGTGTCGCCCCATTTGATCAAATAGTTCAATACATCATGTGATAAGAAGGCAAGGTTAATCGCAAGAAAAACTCCAAACCAACCTGCTCGAACTCTCACACAGTACACAGCATATAGAGTTGCCAATAAAACCACTATACGTGCATGATTCAATGAAAATAGATAACCTGCATTTCACAAAATCAAGCTTGTAACAGCAGGTCAAACAAGAAACATTAGTGCATAGGAACAAGCTAATGCAAGGTCTTATATATAAATACACAAATTGAAAAGGAAAAATAAAAAGAAAAGAATCAAGGCATACCACCAACTACGAACAAGGTACCAGCTATCCAAAAGTTAGCATACATCCACAAAATCAAAATAGCAAACAGCCCCACGATAAAAAGTCCAGGGGTGTAGCCTAAATACTGAACAGTAACCCCAGCTGCTCCCTGAAATGCATTCCAACAATCAGAACACTCTACTAAAATTTTTTTGCTAAAACATAGCAAGGGGAACCTTCAGCTCATAAATCATCATGATAATAGGGGGAAAATAAACCGGCATCAAGTGTTCTTTACTACAAATTGATCATAAGCAAATTAATAAACAAGAATGCACATAATATTCGAACACATACGCATTTAAAACCAGATATTTCAAACACCCACGATGAGAGTATAATAGCATCTAAGTTAACTCAGATGTACCATAAATGCAAGTGTCATATGCAATCCCATTTGCATTTACATTGCTTAAAAAGGAGAAAATGTGTTTGAATTTATCACTCCAGCAGAGTGAAGGTTTCAACGGTCACACAAGCAGCAGCACAAAGAAATAGAATGATTGGAACTCTAAAAACAAATTGAGGAGCTATCAGATAGAAGTATATATTTAAATGGATCATTTTCCTTTACATGTAAAATTTAAAATGGTGATGTAGAATGTTCTATAAGACAGATAACATATTCAGTTTAGTTGATCTATATGGAAACGGACATATAAAAGTAGATGGAAAGTTCATGCTTTAACTACTCATATTCTTTGTTTTTTCCCAAAAAGACACTGAATCACAGATAATTTATGCATCAAATAGAATGGATTCAAGGAGTCAAGAGAGCATAAGCACCATGATTCAGGTCTAACTGTGCGAACACATAAGCATAGACATTGTTTCATCAATGCCATGTTAAGAAACTGCTGACAGTTCAAGTAATTGTTCCAACAATGCTTTAAATATTTCATTCTATCATTTTGGAAGTTGCTGTAGGAGAGAGGAGCACCTGTCTTCATCGAGTAACAGTATAGAGCTTACATAACAACTTCCACTAACCCCACATACGCAATTTTCCTTTGCTTACAACAACGATTCAAGAGCATCAAGCCAGAAAATATTCAGATAAATAGTTGCAAACAGATAGCAGATCAATAAATTTATAGACTAAGAGACAAATACTAAAATACAAAATGCAGTGTATTCATAATAACTGGAGTATACCATACTAAGAAGCACGTAGAGTAGGCACGTCATCGATGTTAAGCTTAGAAAGCAACTCCACATTATGATAAGCAGAGCGGCCGATCCCAGCCCAATAAAAGACTTGAATCCAGAAACAACACAGTTCCTCCAAAAAACCAATAACAGCAGAAAACTGCTTCCAAGTTTAGAACACCCACAACAAACCATTGGCCAATGCCTCTCCATAAAAATCCCAATTTTGTCTCTTAAACAGCTCAAAGCAGCTCTTGACACAGAACAACAAGCCTTTGACTGCAACCATTTCCAACCTTGATTGAATAATCCAATATCCTCCATCACCAGTCACACCCAAAATTTTGGTTAATAAACCCCAAACTTAACTCCAAAGATCAAACGCAATACACAAATGCCTGGTACTATGTCCATATTCCATATATATATATATATATAAAATTTTGTAAGTCTCAATCTCCAAAAGGTACTTGAGCTACAATGAAGTCTAAGTTCTCGTGATCACAAGCAAGCAAGCAAGCAATCCGAATTGTGAATCCAGATTGCTGGACATGCAGGGAGCATTAAACAAAAGCCATAGATATCCAAAATCTTCCCTCACCGCAGAGTCAAAAGCCAAGATTAATGAGCCTCAGCATGAAATTAGTAAGAAGTGCAACTAAAACAGCATAAATTGCTTCACATGTACGTCTTCCACAAAGCAAGAACCTCATAAATGAAGTCACAGCATTTCCACTTTCTTTTGACCCCAACAATACCCACTCAAAAGAACCTCCATCAAATATCCTCCCCCCCAAAAAAAAGTAGCAAAAAGCCAGAAACCCGCGGAACTACATACACAGCACGCACAAACTCAAAAAATGAAACTGAAACTGAAGGAAACGAAAACCAGAACGTATTCTCTGAACCAAAATCGCAAGCCCGAGTCCCTCTAATTATAATGCAACGCACAGAAAGGAGGGAGAAAGTAGAACCCTAGGCTTGTACTAACACTTATTCAGAGGAGACGATAAAGGAAAAGAAGATGTTAGAGAAAAGTGGAGCCGACTCGAGACATGATGAGAGAGAGTGTGCAAGAGAGAGATATAAAAAAGATGCAATGATGAGAGAGAGAAGAGAAGGCAAGAGAGAGAAAGCATAGTGTAGTGTCTGTGTGTATTAATGTCTGCCTGTCCTGTCTTATTTAGGGTTAATGTCATAATGTAACATTTGTTGGAATTAGAAAATTTTGGCTCTTTTTATTTATTTATTTTTTAAACACTATATCAAATATATTTTTATTCTTATAAAATATTAATTATTTATTTTTTGTTTTAAAATTTCAAAAATTTCAAAAAAAAAAATTTAAAATTTTTTGTCTAGACGTAATCTTTATTATTTGAATTTTATAAAAAATATATATACTATGTATTTGTTTGGGAGATTGGATTTTATTTTTACTATTTATTTCATTTTTTTTCAAAAAATATCCGATTAAATATATATTTTTTATTTTTTATATTATACTAAAAATTAATTTTACATTCAAAATATCACATCAACATCTATTTTTATCACATTATACAATTATTTAAATTCAAAATTTTTACTATTCAAATCTCTAACTCAAAATCCAAAACCGTCAGACAAACGCACCCTAAATTTTGAATCAAACACACCCTAAATTTTGAATCCAAATTATCCAAACTAACCAACTAATTAGTTAATTCATATTTGACGAGAAGATGCACTTAAATTAATTAATCACGTGACACCGAGAGTAGGTACTGCCAACACTTTCTTTTTCACTATATATTATTACCATTATTTAAATAATAAAGATAGAATGTTTCGTGATTCTTATCACCTGTGCAAATATAATTTTTAATTATAAATATATTTTTTTTAAATGAAAAAGAACGCGAATCAATATTCGACACGTCTCCTGGGCCTTGGTTATATTTACTTATTTTAGGCCTATTCGTCCCATTATTGGATTTGGGCTTCCAAAACTGAGCCCATTTTGTTATATTTACTATACTACAAAGCCCAATATTTAATTAGTCGAGTTATGGCTATATATTTACATAGCCCATTTTAAATTAAACTTATGTCCAACATTAGTATTTTTCATTTTTATTGTTTTCTTGTTTAGGGTGTGTTTGTTTAGGTGATTGGATTGGATTTACACTATTCATCTAATTTTTTTCCCTCAAAAACATCAAATCAAATACCTATTTTTTATTTTTTATATTATACTAAAAATCAATTTTACATTCAAAACATCACATCAACACCTATTTATATCACATCATACAATTATTCAAATTCAAAATTTTTACTATTCAAATCCCAACTCCATTCTCCGACGTTTGCTGCAAATGGTAGCAAAATATTTTTTTTTCAAATATTATATTTATTTAATATTTATAATAATTATAAGATAAAAAAATATATACAGTGTATATGTTATTAGAATAAAATTTTCTATAATACGAATAAACGAAAATTTAAATGTATATATATATTGGGTATAATATAAATTCATAATCAAATCATACAATATAAATTTTATCAATTAAATTTAATACACATTTGTATTATTTTATTCATTATCCATCAAATCAATATACATCAAAACTCCCAGAACCCAACCAAACTCAAACACAAAAAAAGAACAACAAATAAAAACCAAACTCAAACCCAAATTCCCCAAACCTCTCTAAAGAAACACACCCTAAATACTTGCCATAATATTAAGAGGCTATTTATAAGTGAAAATCATATTTGAAATTTGATTTCAATATTTTTATTATATTATTTTTAAAATTTTATATAATATATATTTACATAATATTATATCCAAATAACTAGTAAAACCAAAAATCTAAAACTAAAATACAAATTCAAATCTCAAGCAAACAAATCCTATTTTAGTGAAATGTTTTACAAAGGACAAAATAAATAAGTTCCAACCAGACAAAGAGAATATACATACATATATATATATGAGTTCTAAGTTTTGTGTTTGGCTTCAATATGTTATAGATTTGGCACAACAACTAACTATAATATATAGTTACTCGGTGCGCAATTTCGGATAGCAGCTGCAGATTCCAAGTCATAAAATATATATATATATATATATAATTAGTGTATCATCCGTACAATTTATTTTGAATAGGAAAATGGCATTTGAATATATGATGTCAATTATCAATTCCATCATAAATATAATTCAACCTTATCCAAGAAGATATTATGCACCCAAAATTTCAAACAGATAATTAATATTGAATATCGAATTATTTATCATCAGCCAAATCTAATTGACTAAACTAAACAAAACAAAAATCATTTGCAGAAATTATGGTAAAGTTTGTATTTTATTTATTTATTTATTTTTGTGATAAACAAGAAAAATGAAGGAAAAGATTAGACAAATAAATGGTCGAAAGCAGACAGTAGAATTGAACACACTTCTTTAGCATAGTACAAATTGAGAAAATTAATCCACATAAATAATACCAAAGTATGAGTATATTTATTTAATATTTTAAAATAAAAAAAATAATTGAATATAAATATATAAATAAATAAATAAATATTTTTAAATTGAATAAAGAAAAACTAAATAAACAAACATTTAATTAAAAATTTCACAATCCAAAGGAATACTCAATATTCAAATTCCACTATGTGTGTTTGTATCAGGGATTCCCCTCAAATTTTACTATTAATTCAATTTTCTCCGCCCCAGCAATATTAAATCAAATATATTTTTTATTATATTAAAAATTAATTTTATATTTAAAACATAACATCAACACCTAATTATACCCCATCATACAACTGTTCGCGTTAAAAAATTTTACTATTTAAATCTCAATTCAAAATCCAAAATCTCAAACAAATACAAGTTACTAACTTTGTTTTCTGGGTTTCGGAATTAGACCCTAATCATTTTTTTTTTCTATGTTTTTATATTTTATTTTTTCAAATTCTACTCTAATTGGATTGTAATGAACAGAAACCTATAATATTTAAGAATCGGGCACTCTTTGGTCGGCAAATAGAGCATCGGGAGTGAAATTATGTCCGAAATTTAAAAGAATTGGAGCGTATAGAGACAAAAGAAAATGAAGAAATTATAGGTAAGTTTGGTGACGAGTTGCTTTCAAGAATCCCTTACATCTCGGGAGAGCACAATTATTGAATTTTATTTAACAAAATTACGATAATAAAACACATAACCTAACTCTCTACTTTAATATTAGGGTGTTTGTTTGGGGATTTGGATTTTCAGTTGAGATTTGAACGGTAAAAATTTTGAATTTGAATAGTTGTATGATGTGATATAAATAGGTGTAAATGTGATGTTTTGAATGTAAAATTGATTTTTAATACTCCATCCGTCCCAAAAGTATAGTCTTGTTGTGTTGGACATGGGATTTAAGGAATATTGATATTATATTGGTAGTCGGTAAAAAGTAAGGATAAATGATTTTTTTGCTCTTGTGAGTATATTAATGTAAAAAGTAGTGTCAATTGTGTAATAATAATGAAAAAATAATGATAGTTTTATGGTGATATGGTTATTTATGGAAATTAAACTATTGTTTTGGGACGGATAAAAATGATAAACAAAACTTATTATATTGAGACGGAGGAAGTATACTATAAAAAATAAAATATAGATATTTGATTTGATATTTTTGGGGAAAAAATGAGATAAATAGTGTATTTAAAATTCAATCCTCCGAACAAACACACCCTCAATGTTTACCATGTAATCAATTTTCTTTGTAGTATAAAAATACATATATAAAATTAAATGAAATGAACAAATAAAAAATTAATTTGGTTGTGTTTTCTTTAATTTTTTTCCAACTATTGTTGTTATTAATAATTTAATCATATATCCAATTTTCATACATTAGATACAAAAAAAAAAATATTTTCTACAAAATATAAATTCAAATATCTATTTATATTATATAGAAAGCAATTCATATAATTTAATTTTTCTACTATTTCAAAACACACCTAAACATACCAAAACACAAAGGTTTGGTTATATATATATATTTATCAATAAAAATCTTTAGTCATCTTGTCAATAAAAATATTGTTGATGTAATTTTTCAACAAAAATAAAGTAAAATTCAAAGATATAGAAAATATCCTTAAACTTGATTAATTAGTGCCTGAGATTAGGAATCTCTAGACACTGTATGGTACAGAAAATAAACTGGAAAATAAAAGACTGAAATTTAAAGTGGTGATCCCCAAATCTGACTTTGCTTTGTTGAAGTTGATTGAAGATGCCTTGCCAAATGATGATCCAAATTCTTAAATATTCTTTGAAGAAAACGTACTGAAAACCGTCGCCCGAACGGTTACAACGTCTCCTTCCCAACCGTCTTCCAACCCTTCTCCTGCTGACACGTGTCCTCAGCAGACCAAAATTATCCCTATATTTCACTCTTTGAGCCGACCACAGACCTTCCGCCCTTTTGGCCCGACTTCGTCCTTCGCCCGACCTGCTTCTTCGCCCGACCTCACTTGGGCCGACCTCCGCATCAGCCGCCCTCCGTCTTTGACCGAAAACCTCCGCGTCTGTCCGTACCTCTTCCTTGCCCGACCTTCCTCTTGACAGACCTCCGCTTCTGCCCGACTTCGCCTTCTATCCGATCTACGGTTTACCCGACCTGCGGACTTCCCATCCTGATGACTTTCCGTCTTGAGGACCTCCCGACCTGAAGACCTTCCGACCTGAGGTCTTTCCGTCTTGAGGACTTTCCGTCTTGAGGACCTCCCGACCTGAAGACCTTCCGACCTGAGGTCTTTCCGTCCTGAGGACCTTCCGTCTTGAGGACCTCCCGACCTGAAGACCTTCCGACCTGATGTCTTTCCGTCCTGAGGACCTTCCGTCTTGAGGACCTACCGACCTGAAGACCTTCCGACCTGAGGTCTTTCCGTCCTGAGGACCTTCCGTCTTGAGGACCTCCCGACCTGAAGACCTTCCGTCCTGAGGACCTTCCGTCTTGAGGACCTACCGACCTGAAGACCTTCCGACCTGAAGTCTTTCCGTCCTGTATTTTCCTTGATTTCCACACGATGTCCTGCAGCCAGTTCAATCAACTCTATTGCCAGGCCCATTCTTCTTTTTACCTTGGGCTTTTAACCTAATTCTAAATTTCGTACGTAACAAATATATTATTTTTTTAATAAAATATCATATCAAACAACTATATATATATCAAAGTAATGAGTTAAATGTATTGATATTTATGGACCAAACTATATTGGGGCTAGGGGTACCTTCCCCAACCCCCAAAATTTGTTTTTCTTTTCTTTCTTTTTAATTTTTTTAAAAAAATTATGTATTTTTTATAATTTTTCCTCCCAAATTTTGAATTTTATTTTTATTTTTGCATAAAAATAATAAAATTTATGTGGTTTTGTTAATTTGTTCTGGTATTCATTTTTTTTAAAAAAAAATTATATAATTATGTAATTTTTTTTCTCCAAACATATTATTATTATTATTATTATTATTATTTCATACTTTACACCAATGTCACCAAAGAGAAAAAAAAATGACATCGAATTGATTGAAAGAAACTTATATTTTGGCCCTCCAAAACTTATGAGCTAGTTCCGTGGTATATGTGTTAAAAGAAATAATTGAAGTAATGAGGTGAAATGGATATGAAAGGGAAAATAAATAAAAAAGGATTTCGAGGTAATTAAATGTAGTGGTTTATTTGGTTGTGATTTGAAATTGATTTGAAATAAAAATATATATATATTTAAGGCTTTTTTTTAAAAAAAAATTATATTTGTATTAAAAATTGTATTGAATAAATAATTATGATTTTATTTTAAAATCGCCTACCAAAACAAACAAAAATAGTACTAGTAATAAGAAGAATTGCTCTAAAGTCTATTTTATTACACCCATCCAATTAAGAGAATTTTAGGTCAATGCCAGTTCCCCACTCGTGCGAGAGTGTTTGTTTTAATTTTATTTGTTTTGGAATTGAAATCATTTTAATATGATATTTTTAAGTTTTAAATAGGAACTTGATTTAAATTTTATATAAAAGCAAATATTAATAATAAGTTTATAAGAGAATAAACCAATTGCCAAAATACAAACACACACACATAACAGCCAGATACTAAGTCCTCGTTTGGCTCTTGAGGAATTGCGAAGCCCAGTTCCTAAGTCCATTAAGCGAAAGGCAAACACGGCTTTAGGACGAGGCAAGAAAAATCAGAGTAGTGATGTCATCAGGATTTAGTGGGTATGGATACAAGTGGGACCCAATGGCTAATATTGCTATTTTAATTCTATAAAAATTTTACAAATTATTGATTTTTTTGTATTCTTAATGATAAAATTATTAAAATTATTATACTCATTTTCACTAACTCATAAAAATATTTATTTTATTCTATTCATATTTTAAAAGTAAATTTATAAAAAAAATTAATTTAATCCTTTTCTGCAGAAAAAAATGTATAGTAAATGTTTTTAGGGAATTTTCCAAACAAAAAGTTGTAATATTTCAATTTGAAATCACCTCTGTTTACTCTATAGTTTCAATAAAAATTTATTATTTTTTATAAAATATTTATTTAAATAAAATTTCAAACCAACAATTTCAAAACAAATCAAACTAAGATGTCATACAATGTTATTTTTTAATACAGAATAAGTGTTTTATATGATATTTGTACAAAATACATATATATGTATATATACATTCCTATATTTTTTTTTAGAAAAAAATGTGTTTTTTTTATTTAATTTTTTTTTAGCTTATTATTTGTATATTATTTATATTTTACATTGAAAAATATTCTTTTAAACTAAAACACAAAACAAATATATTGTATAATAAAAATAACTAAAAATATAGTCATATGTTTGTTTTGTAATTTTGTAAATTTTATTTTTTAATATTTGTTTAAATAGAAAATTTAATGTACTGCTTTATAATAATAATAATAATAATAATAGTTTGCAAATTGTACAAATTGCATAGTAAAAAATTAAAAATAATCACTAAATAAACACATATAATAATTTTGAAATAATTCAAATTTAAATTAAAATATTTATGCAATGTAATATAAACAATTAATATGATAATGTAAATAAATTATGTTATTTAAATATAGTATCTTTTATAAAAACTTGATTTATTAGTATGGTTTTAATAAATAAAAATGGGGTGATATGATGCTCTTCTAATATATATACATTTATATGCTTGTATTCTAAACTTTATTTTTTAAAGTAAAATAATTGTGAAATGTAAATTATAATTTGTATAAATATATGTTTATATATAATATAGTATTTTTAAATATATATATAATAATAATAATACATAATTTAAAAATTGAAAATAAATAAATAAGAAATTAATCCAAAATTTTTTATATTTAAAATTATATATTTTTTACATAATATATAAGGTCCACAAATTGTGTATTGAAAATAAATAAACTTAAAATATTAATCCAAAATACCATTTGAGTTTTGTTCAGTTGCATTTTAAAAATACTTTCTTTCAAATCATTTTAATAAGAAATATTTATTAAATTTTAAATAAAATTATTTTAATATAATCTTTAAAATAGAAAGTATTTATTTTCCCTGGTTTGTTTCAAGGCTGTATAATTTTGATGATTTTTTTTTTATATATAAATTTATCTTTACTTTTTTGTTTGTGATCATTCTATTAATTATAATCACAAATGTATAAGCAAAAATTATAAACATTTGGATACATTCCAAAAATTAGTACTATTAAATATAATACTTACAAAAAAATACTATTAGTAATCTTTTAAAAAATAGATGTTAAAAAATTAATTGGAAGTCTAATTTGTATTGACTAGGCCGATTTTTAGCAGCCGACATCCAACTTAAAAATACGTGTATATATATATATATATATATGTTGACTATATTTTATATATATACAAAAATTTAACTATGCAAACCATAGCAATTTATATATATATATAAATCATAAAATATTTTATTTGAATTAGTAAATAAAAAAGTAAAAAATATATCAAATGAAAGAAAAACCAGAAATTATGTGTGAGTGTGAATATTTGATTTGATTTGATTTGATTTAATTTAATTAGTTAGAAATGTGTTAGATGGATATGAAAGTGATAGTCAAATAATTCTGATATATTTATTTGAAGAGTAACGTAACACATTTGTTGTGTGGCGTTTGGCAACCAAATTTTTAGGTCATTAATTACGCAATTAGCACTGTGTATGATTTCATTTTTTTTTTCCACAATCATAAGGTTAAATCGAAATTATTTATCACTTAAAATTATAATAAACTCCAGGTGTCGATTGATTGCAAATACATTATTATTTTTAAAAAATTAATAAAATTTATGTGATTATTTTATTGATGTTTGATGTATACATACATGTGTCCTCTCCAGAAAGCTGATTAATCAACAATTTGTAATTTCGGATTGAATATAATAACTTTAAAGAAAAAATAAATGATTAAATAAATAAATTATTCCAAGTTGGAAGCAGAAATTAAAATTTAACCGTCATTGGATAATAATTAATTAGGTAGGCTAAGTGTCATTAGCTTTGAGAGAGATATGTGAGGCAGAAGTAATAACCATTTGGGAATCATTTTGACTTTGAATTTCAGCAGCACAATTAATAATAATAATAAAAAAAAGGACACAGATAATAGTTTTTTAAAGATTATTTAAAGTCGTAAAGATCAAAAGTAGGTAGCCTTGTTAGCTAATAAAAACTATTCTAAAAGAAAAAAAAAAAGCATCTACACACTGAACACATAGACATCGAAATTTCAACCAATAAACTATAAGCTGCAGTATCCAAGTGGAATCATTCCATCAATAAATAAAATAAAATAATATAAAATCCACTGGTATGGTATGGGATTTCAGGTAAATAAATAATAATAATAATAATAATAATGGAGAAATAAATTATGGAGAAATGCTAATGGTACCAGTAAGTTCAAACATGTATCGATCATAAAGTAAACTGAAAATCTACATTTCATCACTTAGAAATTAGGCAGAGATGACCAAATGTTGATTAATTTACACATGCTGTCCATCTTCCAAAGGCCAAGCAAACAAACCGACAATAATTATATATATTTGTAGAATTGAATGCGATGCAGATGATGATCAAGAATAGTGATTCCAGAGGCCACCCACATCAGAGAGATAGCTGCAGTCAGAGGTTGGAGGAGAGCCCTTCATCATCATGATGGAAAGATTGTCAGTGTCAGGTTGGCTCTCCATTTTGGTAAGATGATTCAGAATGGCCTTAAGAGTCTTGTGGTCACAACAAGAAGGGTTGTAGGGTGGTGCAAGATTTGGAGTAGTTGTTTTGGGGTTGGGGTGGGGTGGGTGGTTCATGGCCATGTCTATGTGGGAGGAGAAAGTGGGGCTGAAAATGGAGAAGCAGGGCACTTGCTCATGAAACTGTTGATCACTAGCACAGGCCTCTTGACTCTGAGACTGGTCAAATGTTATGTAGGGTTGTGGGGGTTCCATTAGAGGTGGCAGAGATAGAGATGGAGATGGAGATGGGGATGATGACGTGGCATCCTGCAGGGACTTTCCTGGAATTTCTGCTCTGCTTTTGAAGAACACTCTGCATAGTACCCAATCCCCCTGCACATTAATTCAGGAATGATTATTGTAATCAAGAATGGATCAGATAGGACAAAGCATATGAGACAGAAAGATTAGTGACGATGGAATTTGGGGGTTAAACAATTTGCAGATATTCTCACATGTCCTTTTCCATATGAAAACAGCCTGTAACTCTATGACGTCCACAATATTGACAAAATTGATCTTGAACACATATTTTAATATGTAACTAATGTAATATAATATCGTATGTGTGTGGTGTGTGCAGAATAAAGATAACTAACTAATAATAATAGCAATAACAATAATTTAACGAAAAATGAGAAATGGAAATGTGTATAGTTGTTTTTACCTTGACAGGAGGGGATAATTTCTGGCAATGGCCATGGTTTCTGTGAACACGAAACTCGTGCATCACCCAATCGGTTTTTCTTCCTTTTGGAGCCCTGCCCTGGTAGAAAACGAGTGTTTTTCGCATTCCGACAAGGGCTCCTTTCCGGGAGATGGATCGGTCCTTTCCGGTGGCTTTCCAGTAGCCGGAGACGGTGGCCCTGTTTGTTCTCAGACCAGTGGCATATTTCCTGTCCTTTTGGCTGAAGAAATACCATTCTTTGCCTCCTACACAGGCACTTTCTGCAGGATAAACAAGGTTGTTTTAATCATGATTCAGGGTTAAATGGTGCAGTAAAATAAGGCACATCTGTGAATTCAGCAACTATTGGGAAGTAAAAAACTATGGATGCAGATGTGCATATATATATCAAGAAACTGTACGGTGGCCACGCGTATGGTTTCAAGTTCCTCTCTTTAGTTTTACCTTATCTTGAATTGCTGTCCCCATCGTTTGGTTTGAGACAATGCCAACAGTGTCAGCTTCTTCAAAAAGGCAATTGAAAGAGAAATCGGACAAAAATCTAATACACATCTTGAAGGAGAAAACGCCTAACATCTACAGGAACATGCAGGATTTTACTCTCTTCTAGCCATATGCATATTGGCAATAATAAGTATGCAAAGTAATGAAGAAACATTAAATTACACCAAGAGGAGCTGTACGTAGATTAGACTATGCTGAGAGCTACACGGATGAACAATATCACGACGCTAGGAAATGACAAAACTGCTTTGATCATCACAGGCGGAAGCACTCAGCCACAGTATTCAACAGTTGTTATTGGCTATATCTGGAGTAAACTTACACAACCTCTTATTTCTACTCGGAACCTCACAATTTTTTTTCTCTAACCTAATCGCCGGAATCTGGAAAACTGCAACTACAAATCAGCACATGAATTACCAACGAAAGCTCGGGAAACATGTAAACACAGTCGATCAACGTTCATCTGATCAGTAAAACATATAATCTAAATCCAAATCGAATCCCTCCGACTAAACAAAAGGCTCGCGAGTCAATTCCAAATACTTCACGCCGCAAAACACGCGTGAGGAATACGAAAAACACAAATCAAGCCACAGACCGTTAATATAGTCATAACCAGTATGTGCAAGCAAATCATGCATCCGATCGGAGAACGTTTACGAGGAGGAGTAACTGAAGCAGCACTTACCAGGAATGTCCCACGGCTCGCACTTATTAAGGTCAACCTCGATGAGCTGAGGGAAAGGGTGGGAGCTACCGTTCATCCACTTAACCAAGTAGTCGCATATGAGTTCATCATCTCTCGGGTGAAACCTGAACCCCGGCGGCAGCCTCGCCTCCACGTTGCTCAGACTGCTCATCTCCGACGACGACGGCAGAAAGGTCTTCGTATCTATACTGCAGAAAAACAAAAAGAAAGACACAATAATATCAAGTGATGGACAAACGCCCAAACGCGCCTTAAATATACTTACAGCAAATAAATAAATATATATATATATATAAACCAACATGTCGCATTAATCACTAATTATTATTATTATTAAAAACGAAAAGTAAAATTTATTAATGAAATAATAAAGAAGGAAGTCAAGGAAAGAATTTGGTGTGCGTTCGTGTGGGTTTGAAAAACACCTAAGAGGATAGTGGCCACGTGGATCATGATGACTTAACCCTAATAGAAAATAATGTACTTATACATCCAAATAACTGTGATAATTGTATAGCAAAAAAATAGAAATTATTTTTTTTATGTATATATACATGTACATTCGTACGTAAAATATGTGTCCAAAATCCAAATAATGGTGGGGAAGTTTGGAGGGCTTGTTTGTCAGTTTGTGCATGACAAGAATTCCTCGTTGCTGTTATTCATACTTCATTCCCAACAAACATGCACTTCATTGGTAATTTTGGTGAGCCCACAAAATAATAATAATAATAAGGGTTTTATTGAGTAGGTTTGATTATATTAATGTGGGGCAAAATTAACCTACCCTTTTGCTAAAAATAATAAAAAGATTACTATTATTGTTGATGTGAGTATTTTGTTAGGGAATAGAAGTTTAAGGTAGAAGCAAGAAGAAAAGAACAAGTTATGGAAAGTCAAATTACAGAACAACTTTCTGGTGGCATTTGTAGAAATTTAATACTATATGATTTTGCCCTTTTCAAATAATGGTGTCTCTTTTTGCTGCTTCATTAATTCAACTTGGATTGCATCTTCAACAACTAGAGCTGAAATTTATGGAGAAGATTTACAAACTCAGATCTTCTTCTTCTTCTTCTTCACGGATGTGGACTTTTAACAAGACTTGAAAACTTTCTCTACAACTTCAATAGACAAAATGGTAAGAACCATATGGATCAGATGAACATTCCTGGCTGCTATTGTGATAAGAACCAGAGCACTTTCATCTGCAATAATGCTGATAATGAACCACTGCTATGATGCCAAATGATATGGGCGCTGTCGAAAGCTTATTTTGGCAAAAGCCCGAACATCGTCATCATGGCCACCAGGCAGCCAAAAATGGAGGTGATTGTTGCCTTTGTCCTAGTGCTTTGAATGATTTAAAATTCAAACAAGCCTCCTTTTCAGAGATGGATATGCATGAATGGATATCTATCTCAGTTTTATCTGGTTCCATTTATCATCTTTCTTCCTGAGTTTTGAATCCATTTGCACCTGCCAGAAATGACAAATTTGTCAATGCTAAGTGTGGCTACAGTTTTGTTTAATTTTTTCATTCACTTTGCAGCCAGGTTCTACAAGGAAAAATCAATCAACACATGCTGATATTTCAACAAAAATGTAAAGAAGGGAAAGTGAATACCCGGAAACTCTGTTCTATTATAGATCCATTTCATATTATATTATGATCAGAGGTAAAAGTAGTACAAAATCCAGTTTTATAGAAAGCAATTAATGTGTAATGCTGCCATTGAGTTTAAACAGCTACCAAAGTACATATAATGGTGTTTAATTGGTGGAGGGGGGGGGGGGGGGTGGGGTTCGGAAGTGTGCCTATATAAACACCTAAACTCGTGTCAATCATGACAACATAAACAAAAAATTTCTCCTTAATTTGTATAATTGTCCTCAAATTGAACGCTCCATCAACCAGTGAAAATTCCAAGATCATATGGACTCCATTTCAGCTTCTCTTCGAGAAATTCACCAAAAAATTGATTAAACTCCATGCCTTTCACCAGTTCAACTATTTTTCAACCTCCCATACCTAACTTCCTTTGCAAAATTATTGTGTTTTAACACGTTTTCAAGTACATAAATTCATCTGAAGAAAACAGACTTGGAGATTTGACAGACCAAGCAAAAAGTTGATGTAAATTGATGAAGGAAACGGAATCAATGGGTCCGATAAAAGAATATGAAATATTTTACTTCAACTGCTAACAAGGGACTAGGTGATGGAGCTCAAATCACAAATAACTATTACATTGTTTCTCGAAGCTTTGAGTGAGAAGCTTGAAGGATATCTGAAAAAAGTTAATTAGATGTGGACCAGGCTTTAAAACAAAGTATGAAAGAAACTAAAATGTTCACTGAAGCAATACAACTACAAAAAAATTAAAATAAAAAATCAAAGAAGGTTTGATAAATGAATCCATGGTGGTAATAGCTTTTATTATTTACAAAAACGTTGCATATTAAGCCCCAATGTTAAATAACTTGTTGTAAGATGCAAGACCTGCATCCTTGAAAAAAGGAGTCAATCATAAGGATGATTTTAAATTGATGCAAAGAGCTAGATATGACTGTGCTTGTTAATGAGGAATAGTTGCTGCAAAAGAGAACTAAACATTAATCAATATTCCAGGGAATTGCTCGAAGAGAAGCATACTTATCAAAAGAGTCAGATATGTTGGAATGATCTCAAATAGGTTAAAGAATATCTTGACTTGCTATCAATAAAGGCCAAACAAAATCATTGAGAAAATGCATTCAGCAAGTAAATAGTTCTATTCAATTGATAATAGTTTCGTTAATGGATCAATTACAATGCTACACATATGAGAAAACTACAGGTTCCCTATTACACAGATTGCAAGATTTTCAAATGTTCCATTTTGAAGATTTTTATGCAAGCAACCATGAACAATATACACCAGAAATGGAAGCTCATCAAGATGATATGGATATTCATTAAACAACTTGGAATACCCCATAACTTTGAAGTTTGAAATGTAAATTTCATAATGATTTATAATTTAACAACAAAAAGATGTTCTCAAGATGCAATAACAATATATTTTAATGATCCTCAAATCAACAGACTCCTGAACCACTTCAAGTTGCTAATGTGTTGAAAGTCCATTCTACAGCAGGCAGAGTGTTCACATTTTTAGATGAAACACACAAAGCAGAAACGATTCAAACGCAATGCGTATAAACATACCTAAAAGATAAGATCCATAGCCAGCAAAGGGGGAATCAAGACAACGCAATCAATAAATAAACAACCTGAGCGACGCCAATCTGCAGAAGCTCCACCAGTGCAACTTTCCGCAGTCAAGTGCGAACATTTACCACGCCGCTACCAAAAGCCCCGCCGCAGCGCGCGCCATTCTTTCAACGCCAAGCACGTTCCTCCACCTGTCCTCCTCATGAAAATGCAGCCATTTCGATAAACCCAAGAACTCTTGAGATCGGCATTACTGTAACGCTTTAATTATCTACCCACCTACCTCTTGATTTCATTAATTATAGCTGTTTGCATTTAATATTTTCACTTATTTCTAGAACTTTACTTAGGCCCAATTTAAATATCTGGCCCAATAAGCATTAATTCTCAATTATATAACGAAGTTATTATTATTAATATAAACAACATAAACAATATAATACAAATATGTCATAGTCAAAAGGCCGCACAAATTTTATGTATATTATTATGTGTTAGTTTGAATAAAAGATTTTTTTTTTTTTTTTTTTAATAATATCATACTCGACCAACGCACTGTGAATAAACCTAACTTAATATAATTTGCAAATTAGATTTGATAAGACAAGTTATACTTATACTTATATTGTTTTTATGTTTCATATAGTATATCGAATATAAATCAATATGATGTTGATTTATTCTTATTTGGCTATGTAAGTAATTTGGATTAATTTTTTTATAAATAAAATTATTTTTATTTTTACAAAATATTATATATAATTACATATTAAATACTCCCTCCGTCCTACATAATTTGTCCCTATTTTATATTTTCATCCGTTTCACGTAAATTATCATTTCTATTTTTGGAAATATAATTATGCGCTTTAATCGCATTTTAAATTTTAAATTTTATAATTTTCTTAATTTTAATTAAATTATTTATTTATCTTAATCTTAATCTATAATTATTTTTACTAAATAATAATTATTTTTACTAATATACTTCTTAATTATTTACTAATTATACTTTACCTAATTTCTCGTATCTACATTAATAGTTCATATTTTCTGGGAGGGAGGGAGTATAAAATATAAATTAAAAAAAAAAAAAAAAAAAAATAGAAACCCCCTTAGCCATCCTTGCTTGGTTGGGTGAATAGGCACATTTCACTGAAATATATTCCTTTTTACATTCAAATTTGTACCACATATCACTTTTTTAATTTCATATTCACTCAAAACATTAATATATCCAAAGTATTATTTTTTTTTAAGAAAATATTGGTGAGGTGCAAATCTAAGTTCTAGTTGTAAAGAAAATTTTACATTCCTAAGTGAACTTTATTAGTACGATGCTTTTGGAGAATATTCGAAAATAAATAAGCCCAAATCGGACAATATCGTATTAGTGTTAGTTGACCAACCCAACAAATATAAATTGCAAATTACATTTAAATACACTGAAGAGCTATTGGACTCAACCCTACGTATATATACGATTTTTTATTTTTTACTTTTTTCAAGAAAAAAGATTTTTGAATTTACGCAGTAATTATAAAAAAAAAGAAAAAGGCCTAAATTCATTGCACAGTGTTGTAGGCGTCAGTGCAGCAAAGTACAGAAATGCACAAACCTGTCTGGTCCCTCTGTTCCACTTCAATAATTTATGCGTCTATACAGTGCCTGAATTTATTTATTATTATTATTAAAAGATTACAGCATTCCTTTATGGAATGATTACTGTTCTTGGTGGGGAAACGACAAAAAAAAAAGACTATATGGAATGAGAAATGGTCACGTGATTTCCCAGTGCCCAGTGATGGTGTGGAGGGGGACCAAAAATTGAACACTATACTATGCTGTAATTCGAATATGGTTAGGGATGAAGTTCATCTGATTCTGATTCAGATTCAGATTGTATATAACTACCCAATCATTAAACTACTAACCACATAACAACGATTTCCCACTTTTAATTCTACCCATTTACATTTCTTCTTCATTATATATCCTTGTCTTCAAAATCAAAATTTTCATTTTGTTTTTATATATGTATGGATGTTGAATTTTATTGGGAGTAAAAGGTGTGAGATTCTGAGGCAGAAAAGAACACATTGCGGTTCCAAAGGTAATCACATTGTTTGTTTCTTTCAATAAAAACAACTTTTTTGATATGCCCTTTCGATGTGCATTTCCAAAGTATGGATGCACTTTTCACCTTAAAAGAAACTACTATGTAATATGTTTATTTAGACTTCTTTTTCATAATAAAAACATATACTAAATTTCTCATTTTTCATCATACTATGTCCAAATTAAAATTTTATATTTCCCTTTTTTATAAAAAATAATTCTCAACCAAATATCAAAATACTTTTATTTTTAACTTTTCACATTACTTTTTTAAGGGTAAAATAGACATTACATTACTTTTAACACTACATATTTATAAAATACTAATTTCGTGCAAAAGTAAAATGGGAAGATTGCCATTGAATGGAGAAAGTATATGCTATTTTTAATAAAGAATATTACACTAAAAATATCTTCTATACAAAGCAAAAATAATATTCAAAATGTATTACCCCTTAACAATCTTGTCCCTTAACAATCTATTTATTTTTCTATTTTGATAATTTTATAACAAAATATCAATTTCTTTTTTAATAATGGTACTATCTACCTAACATTACAAATACCTTTACAATTTATAATATATTACATAAAAATCATTACTTTTATATCATATAATACTAATAAAATTAATTTAATTTTTTTATTTTATCCTAACATAATACTAATATTTCTAAAACTCCTCCGCAAGACGGAGGGAAAACACAGCACTAGCCATATTTAATTATTTTGGGTATGTTGTATTACTCATTTGTATATTTGGAATGATTTGTTATTATGATATGATGATAATTGGAGGTTACAATTAATTCCAGAAAGGAATCTCTCGTTCAAAACAGCTAGCCATGAAATTACACGCGCGCGCGCACACATATATATATATATATATACTTCTTTTTAATTAGAATATAACACATATATATATATATACATTATTTATTAAAAGCAAGTAGTAGTAAATGATAATAACAAGAGGAGACAGAGCCAGAGATGGGAAGCAAATGGGAATCTCAAACAGCGATACGACAGTTCATCAGTCACGTTCTTTTTCCCAATCCCTGATTCCAATCCACGATCCCTACCTACAAGCTAATCTATATATATACACAGCCCACACACAAACATCCATACATACATACATATTGGAAATAAAATAATTAAATCAGACTTATTATTATTATTATGCATGACACAAAACACACTAATTGTGAAGCAAAAAAAAGACAAAAATGATTTGCTCGTGTGGCAAACAGCACATTGAAAATATGCATGAGAAAACATAGAGACACTTTCATCAATATGGAAGTAAATTAAAAGTAGTGTGACTGATAAAAAAAGAAAAGAGGGCCAAGTAAATGTATAACAACAAGTTCAAAAACACATAAAAATTTCCTAATAAGCTAATCAAAGAAAACCAATAATCTTAGTGAAAAGCAGCAAGTGCAATTTAATGTGATGTTGTAGAAAGATGCAGTCAAGAGATACACAGGCTAGAAAGCAACATTTCATTATTGAATGGAGCCAATCAAGGGGTCTGCGTCCACAAGATATTCTTATGCTAAGGGAGACAAGCATTGATGATGAGAGACAAATTACCCAGCTTCCTATTCACGCAACCAACCCCTATTAATTAATAATACACCTCTTTCAATTTGCTAAATCACAAATTAATTAAACTGAAAATAAATTTAATAAAATAAATACATTCACCATGGATATGGATGTGCAAGAAACAAAGGACTCAGTGAGTAAAATGAAAAATAAAATTAGAGAAAGCAATTTACGAGAGAGCATGTGTACTACCAATGCAACAGTGAATGCGAAATGTGCGGAAAACGGAGCGCGTGTCATATATATATATATATAGTTATTGAAAGGCGTACCCAGTCTCACAGGGGCGCGTGGGACGGAAGCGCGGAATGATGTCAATGACAGAAGAATTCACATGCAGGAACAAACTCATGCTATCTATCTCTATGCTTATGCTCCTCAAAGCAAGCAGATCGATGAAAAGGAGAAAACAACTTTTTTGAAAAGTGGAAGAAACAGAGATTCCATGTCACTTTCCGCTAACCAAAAGCAACGGATGGATGCGATGGGGAATAAGAACAATCTTAACAGCTACGCCAGGGATTATCTCGATTAGGTTTTTGAAATGGACTCGATTAAGAGAAAAAAGCAGGCGAAGTAAGCGATGAATCATATGCAAACGCAAATCAGCTAGAAAAATACAGATCTCGGGTTCATATAGCATATGTACATACAGTAGAAAAATCTGAAAATGTTAAAAGGAAAAGGCAAAAGGAGGAGCGAACGTTGAAATCCAAGCAGAATGAAGAACAAATTAAGGAGAGTGTTGATTAGGTATTAGCATGAAATTAGAGATCTGCTTACTTTGTTAAATTCGATCCGCGCGGCTCCTGTTGTGATTATGGTGAGTTCTGTTTCCGGTGTGTGTGCTGCCTCCACTTTCCTTCTTCTGTGGCGAGGAGAATAGAGGAAAACCAAACACACCAGATTTGGATGAGCCTCGAATTGAGCAGACAGGAACATTGAGAACCGGAGTTACTCGGACGTTGGCGGAATACGACCTCTCCATCCCTCGGTGTTTATATCTGGGTCCGCCATTGAATGTGCTCGGACTGCTGGAACTTCTCTCCAAGCTGTGGAACACAATTTTACCTGAAGCGTTCATTCGAGGACTATCAACGGAAACTCCTCGTACTGGAACGTTAGATTCAGAAGCTCTTCTTATCGGACTCCGGCCAGTTCGCGTGGGAGCTGTAGAGTTTTCCGATGACAATGCTGACCTGCGCTTGACCACTCGAACTCTGGAGAGATTGCTGGTGGTCTGAGAGTTACGAGAAATACTACTCGGTCTATCTGAATCGAGAGAAAGTCGAGGAAGATCTTCGTGTTCATGGCCTGATGAAGAGGATGATAGAGAAAGCCGAGAGGATATCGAAACGGACTCACTATCGGGGTCCTTCAACAACGGAAGGCTTATCGATGCATCATTTGACGCATTTAACGAGGATTTCGAGCTGCGGTGTAGGAAGTTCTTTAGGCTTCTGGAGGTATAGTTTTTGCTGTGAGTGTGACCATGAGAGGATAATAAAGATTCCTTCCTAAGATCTTCCTGCTTCGAGCTGCTATTCTGGTACAATTTCTTCAAGCCAAGCAGCTCCTTCCAGCGACTTGAGCATCTAGGTGCCTTCGGAGAGAACAAATAGGTCTCTGTGGAGGATATTTCGCTTCTGAGACGAAACACAGGCGTATCTGGGGATTTGACATCAGACGATGCTGGCACCGATTCCATGGACTGCCTGACCGTAGACTGCTGCAACGGAACAAGTTTTCCGTCCGAGAACAACTGATCCGCCGGCAGCATTATCGCCGGATCTTCGAGGCGAAACTCAAATTCCAGGTAATCTTTCCCAGAGAATTCTGGATCTGGCTCATCTAGCTTCTCATTCCCCGCATTGTCCGTCGCCGAGCGATTCTTAGTAGCGGCGGAGGTTTTAAATGCATCCTCATCTGTAACCTCACGACTGAAAGAAATCCTCGGACTCAACCAGCCGTAAGAGGTGAACTTCCCCGTAGAACAGTCCAGAAAATTCTCCGTCGACATTCCGACATTGTTCACGCATGCGGATGCCATCTCCGACGATCATGCAACTAACTATAATTCCACAGCAGAATTACGCAACAAAACTTCAGAAAAAACACTCTCCGGCTAAAAAACAGTAAAACGCAGCACGCAAACCACGTCAACAACAGAAACCGCCAAGAGATATTAAACACAGCAAGAGGAAAAATAAATAAATGTGGTTATCTAGGGTTTGCAGATACCTCAACTGCGAAAGTGTATGGCGTTTGTTGTGAAGCGGTCGTACCAGCAGCATCCGGTGGTACGCAGAAATAGCAAATCTGGTACAGCGGGGTCCTCCTTGCAATCCAATGGCGATAGAACACGTCACGTCGGTCCGCGGGTCAAAGGAAAAGCAAGGATGACATATCTCTCTCTCTATAGCATCTGAATCTCGAATTTGGGAAGGTTCTGGGAAGCGGGGAAGCAAGAGGAAATGGGTTAAAGTGAAACTGGCACCAACCAGAGGGTAACAGTAAAATATTGTGGAGATCCATCCATGCTTGTGCTTATCCGTTAAGATCTGAAGAAGAAGAAGAAAGAAGAAATGCGGTTTCAGAGGCGGGCGAGGAGCTGAATTGAAATTGAATGGCCATACATACATACATAACTTATACATACTGAGAAATATATACATACATAATGATGGGCAACGTGACTGCGTCACTGACCATTCCATCCCTATTTTATTTCTATTTTTTTTTATTTAAATCGAATAAAATTAATGGAACCGCTGCCACTATTATTGACGCCTGTGCCGTGGACAGTAAATAACATGCCTGTATTTTATATAGGTTCAAATTGGGTGTGTTATTTTATAGTTTTAAATTTTTTTTTGATGATAAGTACACACAAAAAATATTTACACTGCAGTATAATATTTCATATTAAATATTTTAAATTGTTCATTTTCTTTTATGAATAAATATAATTTATATATTATATATTTTGTATTTTTTATGTAATATAATCAATAAGTTTTTTTTATTAGTTAACACCTTTGTTCCACATGTACCTTTAACCAATTAATGAAAAAATAGATATTGTATATATATAAAAAAAAAATGTTGCACGCTTAATGTTCACCTAATGTGATTTGTCTTTTTTGAATTTAATTTGCATAATATTAAGTTCGATCAAGACTTTATTAGTATATATTATTATGTAACGGCTGCTATTCACATGTTATTAAAAAAAAGAGAAAAAAACTAATAAAAAAAATAAATATTGTATAAAGATATTTATCTTTTATTTAAAATATTGTGCAAAAACTGTTTTATTTTTAAATATAATCAAATTGGGTGGAGTTATAGACTAACCTATATTTATATCATATTAAAAAATTATTTTAAATCAAAATTTTAATATTTAAAATTAAAAACCCCATTACAAACGGACCCATGTTTTTTGGTTTATTAGTTTTGACTTGAAATAGGATGATAATTTTATATATAAAAAAGATTATTAAATATGTTTTTTTAACTAAAAATAGATGTTTGTTTTTATTTATTTTTTGTTTTTTAAAACAAAGTTATTGCTATTTCTTTTTTTTCTTAAAAAAAAAACAATAACAAGTCAAATATACATTTTTTTTAAATATCAAACCTAATAACTATTTTACATAAAAATATCAAAAAATGGTAAAAAGGAAAATATATATACACACAACAACCCACTACAATAACAAATCATAGATTAAAAAATGATGGGTAGTAAGGATCAATGAAACTTATAAATTTAGGACTTCTATTTCACTATTAATATATTTAATTTCTTAAAGATATTATATTTAATATATATTTTTATGTCAAGAATAACATCAATATTTTATTTTATTTTATTTTAAAATAATAAAAATATGTACAGTTTTTAGTTAAAAAATAATAATAATAAATCTATAAACAAAACCTTTATTTATTTATTTTTACTAAATTTATCACAATTCTTGGTTTGGGCCAGATGGGCCCAGAAATATATCAAGGACTCCTACTGGGTAATTAGGGTTTTGCTCTTTTAACGATTCATATATAGTTTCAGAGTAGAGGCGTTTATCACAGATCGTCGGCACCAGTTCGCATCGACGGAGTGAGGAGTGTTCGGAGTGAGGAGTGTTCGGAGTCAACATGAGAGCGAAGGTTGGTGGTTCTGCTCTTAATACTTGATTGATTGTTGTATGCATTTGCAGTTTATGTTTATGTTTAAGTTTCAATTGTTATTGGTACACGAATCGTTGTATCCGTGACCTCAATTTTTGTATTTTACGCCGAACGACTTCGTCTAATTTTTTCCGTCGGTCTATTTGCTTTTGTAGTATTTAGCTTTCCTTGCCAACCTGTGAAATTTTCCCCCCGTAATTGTTCGTTGCAACGATTTTTATTTATTTATTATTTATTTATTTTTGGCATAATAGTTGTGCTAGGTTTGCGTACACTTAAAGGTGGACGCTGTTTTCAGCTTGTGCTTTTCCATGGTACTGTTCGTATTTTGATATCAGGCTCTGGGAAATCCTTCTGGAGTTCTGGAAGAATTTTGAGTCGACATGCTCAGAGTCCAATCTGCATTTGTATTTCTTAGTAGTAGAGATGCAAATAACCATTTTCTTTATATTGGAAATATAAGCCATTCTCGTTTTCTTATAGTTAAGCCGATTGAGTTGTTGGATCAGGAGTTGAATTGTGCATTGTGGTATACGTTGTTCTTGAAATAGTACCAAAAAGTATCATCAAAGAATGCTTTGAGTGTTGTAATTGACAATAATTTCACCATTAATTTAATCATGTATCTTACAATGCATTTCAGTGGAAGAAGAAGCGCATGAGAAGGTTGAAGAGAAAACGCCGAAAGATGAGGCAGAGATCCAAGTAGGGAATTGGAATGGGAATAAAGATGCTTCTTTTGCAGTGGCCAGCTTCTATTTTGCCTTTGCCTGATACTTGGAAGCAAGGTTCCATGGGAGCAAGTTCTCTGCTAAAGAAATTTACTTTTAACCTATTCTTTTCTGTGAGAGATTTTGTTTGACTATCAATTTATGTTTAGGTCGATTGAACCCATTTACATGTTTTCTGAATTTAATAATTAAGAGTACATCTTTGTTATACTTGTTCTGCCATCCAATCCATTTCCAAATTATGCTTCAAACTACTTGCCTGTTGATTATCTTGGTTGTGATATTCGTGGATTGATTGATACGTAAGACATGTTTGATTTTGCCCTTTGCATCATTTTTTGGAAACACAGGATTTTGAACTTTTAATGTTCTGGATTTACATAAAATAAAATGCCTTGTTTGTGTTTGTGAGGGCTTTCCCATGTTGCACACAGGTGGAAGATGGCCACAGAACTTAGTAGCCATCAATGGAAAATGGATATTTGATGGCATGTTTTGAATAAAAATGATGTGTGGTATGTTGTAAAACACAGCCATGGAGAAGATGAACATTGTATGAGTTTCATATATTCTTCCAAATGTTAGAATACAATAGAACTAAGAACAACTGTGCATGTTTACATAAAGCATGATGGTAAGTGTTGTACCAAGTTTTGATTTCAGCCCGAGCTACAATAAAATGAATGTGGTATGAAGCCAGTTATCTGTCTCAAAATGTACGCAGTGACTTACCATTGTTGATGCAGCCATCTCACAGAAGGAACACCGGATTCTTAGTCTTGTCATGCCATGAATTATGACTTAATTCAAATGACTTTCAAGGTCATATTGCATAGTAAGCCTCTCTATTGTGTTGTAGCTAATGACTCGTCTGGCTTGCAACTCCTTCAACAGATCTGTTGCCAGCACCTTCTCTTGCTCGTGAATGATCCCTTCGACTAGAATTGTGTAAGTAGTCTCATTTGGCATGTAACCCTTCTCGATCATCCTCTCCAACACTTCAATTGATAAATCTGTTCTTTGCAGCTTGCAGAGCCCGAGCACAAGAGCGTTATAATTATCAACATCAGGCAGAAAGCCGTGTTCTTCCATGACTATGAAAACCTCCATGGCAGCATCCAACATTCTCTCTGAACACAATCCTCGTATCAGCGACGAATAGGTATAGGAGTCAGGAGTGAACCCGCGGGATGTCATTTTATACAGCAACTGGAATGCCGCGTAAGTGTTCCCTTTCTTGCACAAACTTGATACAACGGTTCGGTAGAAATCATGGATAGACGAATCTAGCTTAGTTCTCAAACTCTGAATGATAGAGAACGCTTCTTGCACCATACCTTCCTCGCACAGCAACGCTATAGCATTATATGTTCCCTCATTCGGATTACAGTTCCTAACTACCATTTGATCAAGACATTTCATAACATCATCCACTTTCCTCTCTTTGCAGAGACGCACAAGAACTGGGTTGTAGCTCGCGGCATCCGGTTTGAACTGGCCATCCCGGAACAGCTCATCCAAAACCTCGATTGCCTGGTCAACTAATCCGTGCACAGCAAGTGAGCCAATCAAGATATTGTAGGTCACAATGGACGGCAATCTGTCATCATCACCCATCTCCGCAAGAAGCTTATTCGCTTCATCCCAACGCCCATCGTAGCACAAACTCCTCAACAATATATTGTAGCTCACAACATTAGGATTGAATCCCTTGGCTGGTAATTCCCTAAAGAACTGCATCGCCTCCTCAACCCGGCCCTCCTTACACAAACCGGTTAGAATCACATTGTAGCTCACAAGATTCGGATTCCCACCTTTGGCTATGATATGATCCAACAACCTCATGGCCTCGTCGACCCCCTTCTCCTTGTAAGCTGCCTCGAGCAAGATCGAATAGGTGAATGCATTCGGGACCAGCCCTTTCTGCATCAGCCTCTCGACGAAATGGAGGGACTGGTTCAAGTTCCCCCGCATGCATAACCCTCTAACAAGAGAATTATAAGTGACTGTGTTCGTCGGATAGCCATACTCCTCCATTCTTTCGACTAGCTGCATCGCGTGGCCAACATTCCCTCGCCTGCACAAATGGTTCACCAGGAAAGTGTAGGAAGCAGCATCAGGTATGGTTCCTGATTTAACCATCATCTCCATCACTCTAGTAGCTTTCCTCACCTTACTCGATTTGCAGAGATCGTACAGCAACTGAGTAGCATTAGGTACATCAGGTTTGTGGCCTTTCTCCACCATATACTCCAGGTATAAAAATGCATCATTCAGCTTGAGTTCTCTGGTTTTGGGATCATTCTTGCCTGACCTCCAATTCGGCAGAGTAAAAGCAGTTGCAGCTGCAGTGTCTTTTGAAGCTATGGCTGCCTGGGCTGTAGACATACCTTTGGAAAACACATTGTTGAGTGGAAAGGTTTGGGACCTCGTTACTTGGGTAAGATACCCTGAAAATTTTCCCACACGTTCTTGCGACGGCTTTGCCATCGGAGAAGATGAGTGGAAAAGCATCGCCATGGCTTCAGGAGTTTATCAATGTCGGTAAATGTTCAACCAACATTAGAAGAAGTAACAAGAAGGTAAAGTATTTCGAATCGGTGGGATTAAGATTTAAGAAGATGAAAAAACTATGGCGTGCCCAACTTTTACCAGACGACTGCTCTTCACCGCCGTCCGCCGCCGTTCTGTCTTTGAATTCGTTGATTGGGTGCGTAAGATGGAGGAGAAGAATTGAGGAGTTGGATTCGATGGCGTCCACATCCTTCGTCCTGTTATCCAAAAGCTTTGTGGATAGAGCGGATCGGGCCTGCGGTTGAAGATTGGGCCTTGGGCTCTTTTCTCGGCCCTAACCAGCAGAGAGTGAGAGAGAGAGAGAGAGAGAGAGAGTTGCGCCTTCAACCGCCAGTTCAGAGAAAATTGAATTTGGTTATCTTTCGCTCCTACAAGAAGCTCTGAAATGCTTCCATGGAGACTCCGCCGTCGAAGTCAATTGCCAAAGTCTTCCTCAGCAGCATTCTGGTGCGTCTCATTTCGTTCTGCGTTCTGGTTTTAGTTGCTCGGTTTGCTTTCATCCTCGCCATCAAGGCTCGGTCGTGTTATTCCCCGGACTTCTCCTTCTTCCCACAGTCTCTCAATTCCGCCGCCGACCGCCGTCGTCTGTACTACTACACCTCTGTTTTCCAAGGTCTCGTTACGGAAGGCATCCTCTCGACGAATTCCAATTCTCTCTGCATCGAAACTCAGTCCGCCGACGAGGTCGGCGCCTTGAGAGAAATCGGCGTCGTCAATTCAATCGGAATTTCTTCCAAGAAATTGTCCTCCCAAGGAACTCGATACGCTGATTTGTTCAATCAGCCATTCAAGAACGATACCTTTGATTTTGAGTTCTCCGGCGCCGCCGGTCTCGACCGGACACGGAAACCGGTTCAATTCGCTCGGGAAGTCTCCAGAACCCTAAAACCGGGCGGATTCTTCGTCGTGCACACGAAATCGTTTAGGGACAAATACAGACTCCAGTCCTTACTTCGATTGCTCGGAAAATTCAAGCTGATTAAGTTCCGTGAAATTGGGGGTTTAGATCATTTACCTCTTCACGAACTCGTACTCAGGAAGAAGAATCGAGCTTCTGATCGTGAAGGATCTGCAGGTTCTGTGAAAGGTAAGAGTGGACGCAAATGTTCTGTCCCTCGCTACAAGCTTGATTTGATTAGGAATGCAGAGCCATTGATTGAAGAAGAGCCATTGAAGCCATGGATCACGTTGAGTAGGAACATTAAGAACGTGAGGTATCTTCCTACAATGGCTGACATAAGCTTCAAAAACAGGTATATATACATCGATGTTGGAACACGAGGCGATGGCGCCAGCATTCGCAGTTGGTTCGAGAAGCTCTATCCGAAACAAGATAAACAGTTCGAAATGTATGTGATTGGGAGGGCAGTCATGGATGCAGCATTTTCTGATGAACGCTACGGGAAGAAAGGCTTCACCGTGTTGCCGAATTCTGCTTGGATTAGAAACGAGACATTGTTTTTTGAAATTAGCCGGGAGCAGAGTAGGAAGAACGACGAAAAAGATATAGGGATGGGGAGGACTCAGTCTGTTCAACCTTCCAGTAATTTCATGGCAGACACGAACAAGATCCGAGGATTCGATTTCGCAATGTGGTTGAAGAGCACGGTAGGGCAGATGGATTATGTGGTGGTGAAGATGGATGTGGAAGGGATCGAGTTCCAGTTAATCCCGAGACTCATCGAGACAGAAGCTATCTGCTTGATCGACGAGATGTTCCTCGTTTGCCATTACAATCGATGGCGTGGATGCTGCCCAGGAAGGAGACGCCAGAAGTATCGAAAGACGTATGCTCAGTGTTTGGAGCTCTTCTCCTCCCTTCGACAGAGGGGAGTTCTCGCGCATCAATGGTGGTGATGGCAATCCCTTTCCTTCGACATTTTTATTGTTCATATGCAGAATCAGATCGATGTTTTCATCTTGTATATTAAGCAAATGCAGGTACATAAACATCATTGCAGGGTGCATACATATTGTGAATACACCAAATTCTGATACTAATCGTTCTCGAAGAACGCCGACAGGTTCCTTCTCCGTCGAGCAAGGTAGCTTTCTGTGATCTTTTAGTTTGTTAAATTGCTGCTTAGTTTTCTCTAGCTTTGGAAACTCACAATGGCTATCTTATAACATCTGCTGGTTAAATTTTTCAGCAAAATGGCTATGAAAACAGTAAAATTGCTCCCTGTTTGTGTTTCTGCAGAGTATTTAGTTAGAAGTTTTGGTAACATTGTTTGATTTGTGATCACATTTTGAAGTGCTTCTAGAAGAATCTGCAGTCACAATTACGTCATGAACATGATGTTGAAGTCGATTTCGAATCGTGATTTTTCATGTGGTTGGTTGGTTGCTTAATAATATAATAATAATGATTATAATAATTAAATTTTATATTTAAAAATAAAATTGGTGAAAAGGAGAAGATAATTAAGTGAGTCTATTTCCATGATTTGTTTGGTTAATGAATCTTGGAGTGGGAGAGATTGGGAGCTAAGTGGATCCCAGGTCTCCTCCAATATGCTGCACTAACTAGTACGTATTTATTTAGTTTTTTATACGATAATTTAATACAAAATATTATTTTTTTATACGATACAATGTTTTGTACTATACATAAAAAAAAATCATTTAAAATTAAAACATTAAACAAACAAACTCTATATCTAATACTCCTAGTTAACATCATTTTCTAAGGTTTTAGTATATATATACTTTATTTCTCTCTTAAATTTATTTTTATTTTTTCTAGAAATTCATATATATTCTTTTATTTATCCTTTTAAAATTTTTAATTATAAAAGGTAAAAGCTAAAATTTAAAAATACATACCATATCAAAATATGTATTAAAAAAATATGAACTTAATATTTTTAAGAGTATATTTATATTTTGTAATTTAAGATAGTATAATATCATCAGAATGGAACCCCATACTATTATTAGTGATGCAATTCGGTGCAATGGCGCTTTTTTGTCCAATATTTGTTGAAGAATCTTTAATGTAATCCAAAATAATTAAAAAAATAAATTTGATTTTTAAAAATAATCAAATATAATTAGGAAAATCAATTAAAGTGGATTTGCGGGAAGTTGCGGTCCCAGTACACTGATCACTGATATTAGATTACTCATCTACATACTAGTTATACATTTGCCTTTTTGTGCGGCATTGTGTAATTTTTTATTTATTTATAATGTATAATGTGACTAAATATATATTTATATTTGAACCACTGAAAATGATAAATGCATACATTATGGATTAAGTATTACTTATTTTCTAAATAAATTAGATTTTGTTTACGTATATATTTTTTATGCTTTGGTAATATTTATTAATAAAATATATATATATATATATTTACATCAGGCTAAATATTAATTACAAAATATTATATCAATTTTATTATTATTATTTTTTTAAAAATCCAAAATTATAAACATTAATTAACATAACCATAGACATGTATTAAATAATTACACTATATTTCTTTATAAATATTAGTAATTTTTTAAGAAAAAGTCATTTAATATATAAATTTATTGAAAATTACTTTTTAAATGAAAACGCTTCTAAACAACTTAGTGAGAGATTGCTAAGTGGTGTTGGCAGTGAACTTATAACTTATTTTTATTTTTGTTTAAAATTTGAATTTAAATAATAATTTGAATGAAAGTATTTTAATAAAAAAATTAATTTTTTTAGATAATAAAAAATATTAATCAATCAACTTTTTAAGATAATAGAAAATATGTTTAAGTTTGTATTTGGAACTTATTTTTTCACCTTACAAGTATATTGTTATAAATAAAAGTATTTATTTTTAATGAAATATCCGTATATTTATATAAAAATCAAATTTAAATTCAAATCAATCAAGCCCAAAAATACATCATTATACGTTAAGAAATATTATTGGGTTTGTTAATTTTAAGTTTTTACTTAACTTTTAACTACTTTAACTCTAACAATTTTTTTAAATATATATTTTCCATAAAATATTAAATTAAATATTAGTTTAATAAAAAATTAAACTTTCAAAGTCAGAGCAGAAAGAAATAAACCCATGATTATTGCTCCTTTCGTTCCGATCCAAATGGATTATTTGAGGTTTTATAGTATATTTAAAAAAATAATACTCCATTCGTCCCGAAAGAGGGATGATGTTTGCTTTTTTGCAGATAAATTTTTAAATATTAGTATTATATTGGATTGTAGTAAAAAAAAAGACAAAAATACTCTTATTAAAATATGGTATAATATAAAAGTAATGACATTTGTATAATATATTGTAAGTTGAAAGGGTATTTATTATGTGAAGTAGGTAATATAATTACTAAATTAGGAAATGGTAACCTTGTTTTAGAACGGACGAAAATGAAAAATAGATATAATAAACAAATGGGTCATTTGAGATTTTATAATATATTAAAAAAAATAATAGTATTTTATTAATTAATGAAAATATATAAAAAGTTTCGAGTGTAATAGTATATTTATAATTTCTATAAAATTAAGGGTGTGTTTGTTTGGGGGTTTGGATTTTGAGTTGAGATTTGAATAGTAAAAATTTTGAATTTGAATAGTTGTATGATGTGATATAAATAGGTGTTGATGTGATGTTTTGAATGTAAAATTGATTTTTAGTATAATATAAAAAATGAAAAATAGGTGTTTGATTTGATGTTTTTGGGGGGAAAAAATTGGATGAATAGTAGAAATCTTGTTAAATCCCCCAAACAAACACACCCTAAGTGTATTTTAGTATTGAATATGATTACTTTAAAGATATTTTGAAGTGGAAGATAAAAAATGACAAAAATGGTACTCCTCCGTCCTATATACCATGCAACATTTTTTTTTATATCTCAAACACTTTGCAATATTTCTAAATTAAGAAATAATTAATTATATTTAATCTATATCTCACACTTTATCTCATTACATCATCCTGATAAAAAAATAAAATATATACTTATCTCTCTATCACATCTCCTAATTACTCAATTATCCTACTTACTACTTCTCACCTAAAATCACGTGACCAACTTAAATGTAGCACTTTGTTTGGGACGGTGGGAGTAGATAAATTTAAATTCTACACAATTTAATTATAACACATTGGTGACAGAAAGTGAGAAAGATGATATATATGTGCAAGTTTTTTCTTTTTCTCTTAAATAAAATATTTAACCGACAATAATAAATAAACAAATAAATAATGAATTTGGTAACAAAGCAGCTACTGTACAACTGCAAGGAACCGGAGTTTAGGAACCGGAGAGAGCACTTCATGCTTCTCATTCTCGTTCTAAAGCACTGATAAAGCTTCTGCTGATAAAAGCGAAAATTAATAGTAAAACCTTTCTCTTTCCTCAGGGTTGTGCTCAGAGGAAGCTCTAATTTCCGCCAGCCGTTGCGTTTTTATGGTCCGGAAGGTTTTTGTATTATTGTTGATTCTCAAGAACTGAGAGATTCTCTGCTCCGTGATTGGGGTAAGCTCATGAAAAGCACTGATTTTCCTCTCCGCTGGATTGCAATATTTTTCGCTACTCTATATTGTTCTTGCAAACATTTTGAAGTTTTATGGTCAACTTCGTGCCGCCGAGAGTTTGAAATTTAGAAGAACGAATTGCTATCTCTTGTCATAATATTGTTTTGATCAGTAAACTTAGAGGTATTTTTCCCCTCAATTCATTTGCATCTTTCTCCAGCAGCGCGTAGCTCGGTGTCGTTTTAATTTTTTGAAATCTGCAATTTCGTGTGGATTTGAATATCAGCTTCCTCAGCTTCATATGCAATATCATGTTTACCTTGTAAGAGAGTTTTTGTTTTTTAGTTTGATTGGAGGATCTCGATAATTTATTTTCTGATTCAAACTTCGTTGAATGATAAATTCCTGTCGAGTCTTCGGTTTTTTAGTTTTGGTATGGAGATAATGTTCATTGCATCTTCTACAAGTGTTATACCTTAGGCTAAGCAGCAAGCACTGAGTAGAAGGTACATGCTATGTGATATCTACATCCATTTATTGTGTTCAAAATTTTCATCTTATATTGCTTAAAAAATTGCTCTACATCTGGCCTTTAGCATACTATTAAGTTGTTTTATGATCATCATTACTTTATGTTGGGAAATATTTCAGGTGATATTTAATGTTCAAGAAAAGTTGACTAGTTGTAGTTGTCTTGGATGATCTTTTTATGAAATAGAGAAGTATCTTTGATCAAGGATTCTGATTTCATGCTAAGCAGGAAATTGAGCCTTGACGAATACTGTAGAGTAAATAAAAATGGAACAGGCTAGGTCACGTTCAAGAGTTCGAGGCTCGGGCTCAACGCCATCAGAGGAATCATCTTTGGATCTTGAGAAATACTCTTGCCAACCTTCCTTCAGTCCACCATCACTTCAACCCCATGCATCAGCTGGGCAACATTGCGAGAGTAGTCTTGCATACTTTTCATGGCCTTGCCGAATAAAAGATGATGCTGAAGAGAGGGCAAATTATTTTGCGAACTTACAGAAGGGAGTCCTACCCGAAAATCTTGGCCATTTGCCAGAAGGGCAGCGAGCAAATACCTTGCTGGAGCTGATGACAATAAGGGCATTTCACAGCAAAATCTTGCGGTGCTACAGCCTTGGTACAGCAATTGGTTTTCGTATTCGGCGTGGTGTTTTGACAGACATACCAGCAATACTGGTTTTTGTATCACGGAAAGTTCACAAGCAGTGGCTTACCGAAATCCAATGTCTACCAACTGCTTTGGTGGTAAACCTCTTTTACTCTAGAATTTCATTTTTCGGAATATTGTTCAGCTTCTTATTTTGTTTTAGGGGAAAAACAGAAAAGTAGGATAAATCCAGTACATACACTACCTAAAAACATTCATTTGTGCTGTTCTTCTCTATATTCTATTTCCAGCGTTTCTCTTTTTAGCTTTATATGTCAGTACGATTGGAATGTTAGGCTCCTCTGTCATGAGGGGTTTGCTGACTTAATGGATGAATGTTTGACTCTTCTGCTTTGAAGTTTAAGTGACATGCTTAAAACACCAGGGACCAGGAGGCGTATGGTGTGATGTAGATGTGGTGGAATTCTCATATTTTGGTGCCCCAGAACCTGCGCCAAAGGAGCAGTTGTACACTGAAATTGTTGACGACCTCCGTGGAAGTGATCCATATATTGGTTCTGGTTCTCAGGTATTTTGTGAACCTGTTCTTCAGTAATCACACATTATTGGGAAGATGCCTTTTCATACCTTTACGATGATTTCTATATGGTTACCTTAAAAAAATTTTCAGGCTTCCTTTTAATGTTTTTATCTGAAAACATGTGATCATTTCTATCAACATCAAATTTTAACGTTGCAGTATTATTGATTCAATTCATTTTCCACCACTCAATATACATGTGGAGCAACATTTCTGTAGCTAATAAAATTTTTAGCGACCATATTATGCTTTATATGTTTGGTTTTGCATGTTGTCAATCCCATCGATCCTGCATGATAAAAACTGATCTATCAACTGAGCTCATGGGAGAAGGCGGGATATTTTGGTTTGGAGCATAGCCTGGCGATATGAAATTTGCAAATTGGAATCTTTTAGTTTTATTGTATTTTATTTGGTGCCTAATATGAAAAGCCTTTCATATGTCATCAAAGGTTTTAGTCTCCGGCTATGTGAGAATGTGTATTTCTTTCGGATGCTATTTTCTTGTGTTGAACTCTTCCTTTTCTCGAAGTCAAATATTTTGACACTGCAGTGCTTCCATCTTGCAAAGTCCTTAGCAGCTTATATTGATTGCCACAATTTCTGGAAAGTTAGGTTGCGAATCAAGAGACTTATGGGACTTTGGGTGCAATTGTGAAAAGCCAGACCGGTAGCAGACAAGTTGGTTTCCTCACAAATCGGCATGTTGCAGTCGATCTAGATTATCCAAATCAGAAAATGTTTCATCCTTTGCCACCAACCCTCGGGCCTGGAGTTTATCTTGGTGCAGTTGAAAGAGCAACTTCATTCATTAGAGATGATCTCTGGTTTGGGATTTTTGCAGGCATCAATCCAGGTAGTTAGTTTTACTTGTTAATTTGTGAGGTACATAGCTGATACCAAGAATTAGAGTATATATGGAAAATATTCCTTTTGGTGTGGCTCCATACGTTGCTACTGCATTTTGGATTATCTGTCTTTGATTTCTTTCAGTTTTTCCTTGCCTACGTTCATTATAATCTATAAAGCTGATGGGCTGCTTGCACAACTTGAATGTGTGCAGAGACATTTGTAAGAGCCGATGGTGCCTTCATCCCTTTCGCAGACGATTTTGACATGACAGCTGTAACTACATTTGTGAAGGGGATCGGAGAGATCGGAAATGTGAAAACTATAGACTTACAATCTCCAATAGACAGTCTTGTTGGAAAGCAAGTGATGAAAGTCGGAAGAAGTTCTGGATTGACTAGTGGAACTGTATTGGCATATGCTCTTGAGTACAACGACGAAAAGGGGATATGCTTTCTGACTGATTTTCTCGTCGTTGGTGAGAATCAACAAACATTTGATCTCGAAGGTGACAGTGGAAGTCTGATCATATTAAAGGGCGAAAATGGGGAGAAGCCGCGACCAATTGGGATAATCTGGGGCGGAACAGCCAATCGTGGCCGTCTAAAGCTAAAAGTTGGGCAGCCTCCAGAAAACTGGACTAGTGGTGTTGATCTTGGCCGCCTGCTCAATTTCCTCGAGCTTGATATCATCACTTCAGACGAAGCCCTGAGAGGTATCCCTCGAAAAACATTAGGTAGTGCATGCAAATTGTTAGAAATACCCTCTAAATCTTTTGCCTCCCCTGTTCTTGCTTTTAGTTGCAGTTCAAGAACAAAGAGCTGCTTCCATGACAATGGTTGGATCCAGCGCTGGCGACTCGTCACCTCCCGATGCAATGCTCCCAAAGGATAAATCTGAGCCTTTAGGCCTCCACATCCAGCACATCCCTTTGGAGGATGCTGCCGGCGCACCAGACATCAACTCGTCCCCTGCAGAAACTGCATTTGATCTGGAAGAAGGGATCAACACAGGCCCGAGCTTCGAGCATCAGTTCATCCCCAGCTTTATTGCGACGCCTATAATGCATCACAACGATCAACAAGATAGGCCGGAAACTGAGAATCTCTCTGTGCTGAAGAATGCTTGTGGTGAGGATCTCAGTTTTTCGTTGCAATTAGGGGAGAATGAACCGAAACGGAGACGATCGGAGCCCTCGCCGAGGAAGGAAGAACCAAAATGAAAAGGTAACTCTGTTGTGCCTTCAATGGTTGTGTGATTCAGGCAACTTTTTTGAGCTCTTCTTGTCCTGTTATTATTTACTTGTAACATTCTGCTCTTGCCTGTAATGCCCAGGTAGTGAGAGCTATGCTGTATTGTACCCTTAGCTGAATTATTCAAGAATTGGTTGCCTAATGCTTGTTTTCATTTTTCCAGATTACTATATATATCGTCGTCTTTGATTATACATGTATGCGGCACGTGCGGCACGTGCTTACAGTTACAAGTTTGATGGGCCTAAATGAGCCCAGTGGGCTAGACAAATTAAATAAAATGTGGCCCATTTAGTTATTGGGCAGCGAGCTGTAGAAGGGAAGGTCTTAATTTACAGTTTTTTTACTCATTTCTTAGCTTTCACATTTCTGTCTTTCGAGTTTTTAGGGTTTATTGGGGAATTGAACTCGACTGCTCAGGCTATCGACTGCTCCGATGGCTAAACCCGCCCGAGGCCGTCCGGCGTCTCCGTCGGGCTCAGACTCTCGGTCTTCCTCCCGATCTCGCTCTCGGTCCCGTTCCGTTTCTCGTTCTCGCTCTCGATCCCGTTCCTACTCGGGTTCAGATTCGCGCTCCAGCTCGCGTTCCCGCTCTCGCTCGAGGTCTCTCTCGTCTTCCTCTCGCAGTGGGACCTCTCGAAGCGGTAGCCCTTCTGCTCGGAAGAGGTACATTAAATTTTGTTCCACATCGTCAGATGAGCGTAGTTTTTGTCTTTCCGCGTGGAATCTTGTCCAGTTAAGGAGTATTTAGTGTCTAGTGAAACTGATGCTCAAGTTTCTAAAACACTTTAGAATGTCGTCAATTTGCAAACTCGAAAATGCATTTCCAATTAATAATGCTATCAAGACGTTTGATATCCTTATTCCAGGAAATTGTCGTAGATGACTAATCATCTTCATTTTTTTTTTCTTGAAATTTTCGAAGGGGGATATCTTGTTGTACATGACTAGCAAGATATCTGAAAATATGTTGTTTTAACTTTAATGGTGCTCTTACCGTCTTCTTTTTGTTCAGTTCATTTCCCTGATTTTGTATCTTCACTTTAATGTGATTTTGTTTAGTCCGACCGAAGGAGCTAAGAGAGGTCGTTCACCCCCTCCACAAACCAAGAAAGCTTCCCCACCTCCACGGTGAGTCCAGTTTTTCATATAAAATGGAAATAGAAGTTTATTTGTGATTGAAGTGAAGGAGCCATTTAGTTTTGTTAATGCCTTCTTCTTTTATGAAACTATTACCGTCAAAAGAACACACCCTAAACTTTTCTATCGGTTCTTTTGGTACTGGAAATTATATATGTAATGCTTATCCTTTTCTCATGTGTGATGTTCTATTTTTTATTTCTTTATTTTTACTTCTTTTTTTTTGTTTTTTTTTCCCAGGAAAGCTTCACCTATTCCTGAATCTCTTGTGCTTCATGTTGACCAGCTCAGTCGGAATGTGAATGAGAATCATTTGAAAGAAATTTTTGGTATATTTCAGTCACCTGTGAGACATTAAATTTCTACACATTCTTTGTTAGTTATGGACAAAGAAATCATATACCTAGTGATGTAGTATGATGTTGTATAATTTGCATGCAGTTTCAAATAATGTATGTATTTGATGTTTCAATAGGTAGTTTTGGCGAAGTGGTGAATGTACGGCTGGCAATTGATCATGTTGTAAGTTCTATGCCTATTTTCTGGTTGATCCCTTAACCTTCTATGCGCTCTTTAACTGCGATAACTTTTTTCTTCTTTTAAATCTCACACAGGTTAATCTTCCAAAAGGATTTGCTTATGTCGAGTTTAGGAGCAGGCCTGACGCTGAAAAGGCTCAGATATATATGGATGGAGTATGATTGTGATGATCTTGTTACTGAATGTTTGGTGTTGTAGTCTATTGGTTTTCATTTCAAGTTTCATCTTGTGCAGGCTCAAATTGATGGAAAAGTTGTTCGGGCTAAGTTCACATTGCCTGAGAGGAAGAGAGCTGTCTCTCCACCTAAAGCTGTTGCCACCACATCGAGAAGAGATGCTGCAAAATCTGATGATGCTCTAGCAGATGGAAGTAAAGATGGAGCAAAGCGACCCAAAGATGGTGAGTTGTATTTTTTTTCTTTTTATTTTTTTACCTTAGTGCTAATCAACTTGTACAATTTATTTTATTCCCTTGAAAAGTGATGTTGAGCAAATATTCATTTATTATCAGTGTCTCCTCGGAGGAAACCTGCTTCTCCTCCTAGAAGGAGATCTCCTGTACCCCGAAGAGGATCTCCTAGGCGGGAACCAGATTCCCCTCCCCCATCTCGCAGGCGGGCAGATTCTCCTGTTCGTCGCAGAGCTGATTCCCCTTTCCGAAGAGGTGATTCTCCACCCCCTAGGAGAAGGCCTGCATCTCCTCCCAGAGGTCATTCTCCCTCCTCTACTCCAAGACGCTACCGATCACCTCCAAGGTTGGGATTATCTCAAGCATTTGTTTCTTTTTCTTTTGTTCCCTGTTTTTGTCTGGAGCAACTTTTGATTTTTCTTATTCTTCAGAGCATCTCCAAGAAGGATGCGTGGAAGCCCACTTCGTCGGCGCTCTCCACTTCCACCTAGGCGACGGTATGTAAAAGTTGCATGTTAATGTCCTTTGTTATGTCATCATTGTTAAAATATCTAGATATTCTGTAAGTAGATTATTTAGAATATTATAGAGAAACTAAGATTTGGGTTTGATCTTTTTGGAACAACTATTATTAATAGTGCTGTATTTAAACTGAAGAACTTGTGTTTTCACCCTATGCTTGAATCTCTTACTTTACTCATTCTTCTCATTTCATTGCGGTAGTTTCTTGTTTAAAGGTGATTGTTGAGTTTTGTGCATCACCTCTACCTGATTTAGTTTTTTGTTTGCTGTGTATGGCTTATGCCACATCTCTGTAAAGCAAGATTGTGGAGTTTTTGCTGGAAATTGATTCAACATCTTTGCTAGTATAACTCTTTTCTTTTGTGACTCAGGTTCAACTGAGGGAGTTTTAAATTTTATGTTTTATATGATTGGAATTCCAGTAATTTGGTTTTGTTTTTTTATCATTGCAACAAATCCCTATAAATAAGGTCCCATTCCATATTTTGTATTCCTTTGTTTCATTGCTAGTTTGATATATGAATGACAAATTTTGTATCTATTATTTATGCGAGACTATATCCTTTTTGACCATTCTGGTTTACCCCCATTTTTCCTATTTAAGTCGCTAATCAGACATTATCTGCTTGAGTTGTTAAATATAACTTGTACTTGGGATTTTATAACTGAGTAAAAAGTCCAATATATATATATATATCCATGGCTTTAGTGTATGTTTTCTTAGGGACACTGAGTGGTGGCCCGTGAAAATTCTAATCTTTGCTTATTTTTGTCAGTGCCTCCTATCACATTTTAGAAACCACTCATTCAAATTCCAACCCAAACTATATCATCGAATCATGGTTTTTGTATCTGATATTGCATCATTAAAGACACTCCTACAGATAATTTTCTTTCAAAATGATATTCAGTGGCATAGTATTTTTTCTGCTTTGATTGCTAGAAATATGTAAATATTGAAATTTGAGGCGTGCTAGGGCTGTTATGTACAACAAATTCTTCATCCATCTTTTCTTCTAGTGATTTCTTTTTTACATTGCATCATGGGGTAAAGTTGGAACTCTATTGTTGTACATGTCTATGCAGATGAATATGCTTATTCTTTCGGGGAATTCATGGTTGGCTGATCAAGTTTGATAATGAAGCATTTTCATACATTAGTTTGTGCAGCATGTTTTATTCTCTTTAGCCCTTCTTGTTAATGTTATTGATATTATGCCTTCAGTTCTCCAAGGCGTGTTCGAAGTCCTCCAAGAAGATCTCCCATTGGTCGCAGACGCAGTCGTTCTCCTGTTAGGCGGCCAATCCGTTCTCCATCACGATCACCCTCTCCAAGAAGGTGACATGCGGATTGCATATACATACTTTTGGTTTCTCTACCTTGTGCAAATTCTTGAAAGCTTCACAGTTTATTTTAAAGTTTTTGCTTTTACTGGCAATTGGTAGTGGTTGTCTGACAGGTGAAAGAATTTATTTGGTGGAAAAGTTGCTATTCTCAGTCACACTTAGTTATTTTCACCGCATGTAATTCTATGGTGTTTGTTTGGCAATGTGTGCAGGGGACGTGGACCACCAGCCAGACGGGGTAGATCATCCTCTTATTCTTCATCTCCTAGTCCTCGCCGGGTTGGTAAAATTTAGAAATTTTTACTCTCAATATCTCTCCCCCTCTCCCCCCTCTCTCTATTCATAAAGTTGGTGAGTTCATCTCATTAAGTTTGTTGTAGGCACCACGGAGAATATCTCGCAGCCGTAGTCCTAGGAGGTATTTTCCTTGAATCTGTCTACTATTCTCTAATACATAATATATATAGTATTTTCTGATAACAAGAAATGCATAATGAATACATTCTGATTTGATTTGTCAGAATCAATCTGTGTATGTTAATCCTACCTGTCTTTCTTGACCTTACAATCTTGCCTTTGATTTTGGTTGACATTATTGTTCCAGGCCGATGAGAGGTGGAAGAAGTCCTAGCACTAGCAGCCCAAGTGCTTCCCCTCCGCGCAAACCTTAAGCCAGGATTGAGGATACTGATTTTGCAACCAGTGGGATGTTGTTACCTGAAAGGGATAGCTATCTGGTTGTGGTGGTGGAGGATATCTTTCTTTGTATTAAAATGCCCCCTTGATATTCACCCTAAATTTGGTTTAAGATAATTTCCTTTCATTTTAGATTTCTGACTGAATGTGCTTGGAGGAAAATTCGCTACTGGTACTGTAGCTGAAACATGTCATGATGCTTCTGCCTTCTTATGATCCTTTCATCTATGTTACGAACAGGATTTCTCTATACTAGATAAACCTTGATGTCATTCTTGATTATCCTTAGCATGGAACTTATGATTTCCGAATTCTTACATGTTGAAAATTTCCTCAAGCCAGAGATACATGAATTATCATCAGGGATTCTGTTGAACCAGTTCTGATCATGAATATATTATATTGCTACAATCTTCAAAGAACTATGGTGCTATGGTCTCTTTATAAGTTGGATCATTGAAGGATTTGAGGCAGGGGGATGGCCAAGAGTGGCTATGTCATCGTCAACTCCGAAATGGTTGCTCATTCTCGAATGGCAACTCAATAGGTGTTGCATTGGCATAGAACTCTTCCAAGTTATAGAAGGTTCTCTGGTGAGGCAGAAATATATGCACGACAACATCACCTGCAATGGGTAATTTATCCATCAGTTTCAGTTAGGGAGGGACCCATCTGTTTCGATCTTTTTTGACATCCAATGATGTTCGCTCTGTTTGATTAGAGTTGGAGTGATAATCTGCACAAACTACTCACCAAAATCCAGTAATGTCCATGAGTTGGGTTTGACATCCCCAGATGCTGATCTTCCATATTGCGATTCGGCTAAATCTCTAATTCTTGATCTGCATAAAATCAGAACGAGCTAGTGAGTTAACTGCATTGCCAAAGGTGTGAACTACTGGATTGGCAAAAAACCTTCATACCCAATGGCATCGATTTGAGGCCTAGAAAATGCTGTGGCAATGACAAAAAACCGAGTCCAGTACACAAGAGGTTTCACAAAGAGGAGCCTAATATCTGCTGCCTTGACATCGCTTGCAACCTTAGCTGTCGCCATGGCAACTGAACCAACAAACCAACCACAGAAACCTATCAGTTCAGAAGCTGAGGGATTGAAAAAGTTCAACACTAAGCCAGCCACTCGACGGCTTAATCAGCTACAACAAATATCAGACTAACTTTAAAAACCAGAGTTCATCAGCTACAACATCAGAAACTGACAATGCCGAACCACTGCACTTTTGGTGAAAGGGATAGCTTACACGACAAACTTTCGGCATCATCATCAGCCTCGGTGCTGGAAGACTTTTGGTCGTTTCTTTTGAACACAACCTTTCCATACTTGTTTAACAAGTCGTCGAACATGTCATCAGTGTCATCTTTGCTCACTTTCTGCAAACAATATACAGAAACTGTGGTTCTTCAAGTACTTGTACAACCACAGTAACAACTATGGCCATGGCACTTGAAACGGAGGCAACAAACGGAGCCTTATATTGTCAATCACAGTATCTTTTGTAAGCTAGAAATTAGAATAAATTTCCGAACATCTAATCTACAGAATCAGCTGCAAAACTAACCCCCCAGTCACTAATCAAATTCAGGTAAGAAAGAACAATACAAACTTAAGTGTAAGTTATTACCGGGCGGACGGCCATCCGCCGAAGCAAAGACTTCCGGCAGCCAGGCATTTGTAAAGATTGGAGTCTTGGTAAAAATTCGCATTCAGGGAGGGGGCGGCGGAGGTCGCCGGAGATCGGTGTTTTGCAGCAATAGAGGGAGCCTGCGTAGATAAGCATCTCTTACGATGATTACCACCAATCAATACATTAAACGCACTGAGCTTAGATTGCAGAGGGGAACTTGTTCGAGATTATCACGGAATTTGAGAGGGAAGCACGGAAAGATCTTTTTGAAGATAGAATTTGATATCTCCACTGTTAACAAAATCTCATCCAAATTGGATTCAATTTGGGATTTAGGGTTTTGTTCATTTTTATTTTTTTCATAATGGGCTCGAGTGGCAGTACTCCCACCCATTATATATTCATCGGCACATTTGAAAATAGATCATGGGCCTATAATCGGGCCCAAATGTATCTATAAATAAGTTTAGGTTCTCAAACCCTAGTTTCTCCAAGGCCAACGCAGAGCTCATCTTCATCGCACCGCCGCTTTGTTGCGCTAGCCAATCAGCAGGCAGAAGAGATGGTGAAGTTCCTGAAGCCAAACAAGGCAGTGATCCTGCTGCAGGGACGGTTCGCCGGGCACAAGGCTGTGATCGTGAAGAATTTCGACGACGGCACCCGCGACAGGCCGTACGGGCACTGCCTTGTTGCTGGCATCGCAAAGTACCCCAGCAAAGTCATTCGCAAGGATTCAGCGAAGAAGCAGGCGAAGAAATCGCGTGTCAAGGCGTTCATTAAGGTCGTTAATTACAACCACATTATGCCCACGCGTTACACCCTCGACGTGGATCTCAAGGATGTCGTGACCGGCGACGCACTGGTGTCGCGTGACAAGAAGGTGACCACGGGTAAGGAGATCAAGGCCCGGTTTGAGGAGAGGTTTAAGACTGGGAAGAACCGTTGGTTTTTCTCGAAGCTCAGGTTCTGAGGTGAAAGCCTTCATAATGATGTTGTGCTCGAATTATCTTGCTCTTTTAGGTGTTTTGATTGATAAGCTATTTCTCGCGGACTATATTAATATTTTGGTGGGAATTTGAGGATTTTGAACTTCAATGAATTGTGGTTTATAATTTGGGGTTTTGAGCATGCTGTTTTATTGCTTACTCTACAATATCAATGATTTATTGCTTATTACAATGTGTGATGCCGCATTCGCTCGATTTTTTTTTGTGTCTTTAATTCTTTGTCTTTGCTCCTATTTCATATTCGATTTCTAAATGATCCTTTGATAAATTTCTCTGAAATGGTTTTATAGATTATGCCTTGTGTTGATATATCACTTTCAGGACATATAAATAGAAGCTTTTAAAGGTGGAGAAACAATTCACGAATTAACAATGTTCTAGGAATTATGCTCAAAGTTAAGAACTTGAATTTAGTGGATTCAATCTAGTGTCGCTTCATTTATCAGTGCATTAATTGGGGACTTTTTGTTTAGGAGCCTTGGTTAGTTGCATTCTTCTATTATGTGTTGTTTACATAAACTATTATTAAGCTGTGCGAATCTGCTGTTTGTCTGAAATTGAACTACCCAAAGTATTTGCATGTTTTAACTAATTTCAGCGGTGGCATGTGTTTGTTTTTACACCCGGTATTCTTTTGATAGACTTTGTTGGTATTTATGTAATGATCAATGTCTTTCCACTTCACAAGTGAATTTCTCCATGGGATGTCGACATTGCTATATCATCTTTCTAGATATGATTTGTGTAGCAGCCTAGATGCAAATGCAAGAGACGTAGCACTTAGTTTGCATAGTTTTGTATCAATTGGAAACATTTATATACACAGCAGAAGTTTATGATGTGTGCCCGTAGGTATGTAGTCACTAAGTTTTTCTATCAAATAGGTAACCAAGATTATAAATGTATCATTTGCTTATTCATTTACGATTCTTGCAATCTTTCTCCAAAGTCATCATCTGTTTGTGTTATTTGGATGCTCATGGTCACCGGTGAATGAGCAGTAATTTTTAATTTTCATACGGTGGTCGGGGTCTTTATTTACTACTCATTTAGTAGAGTGTTGTTCAGAAAACTAAATGAAGCTACCCTTGTTACACATAGGTTCGAATTTGGATCACAACCCTTCTTATCATAGTGTCACAGTCATCTTTGGTCACGGACTCAGTCCGGGACAATAGGATGCTGCCACTAGAGTATAGTCAAATTCTCAGATTCTAAAACAAATCTCTAAACCTTCAAACCAATGTCAGTAGTTCTTGAAAGCCCAACTTGAAGTAGCCTAGTAGTCAAGCCCAAGATTAGTAAAATGAGCAAAAGATAATAACTTTTAGGGAGGCCACTTGTAGCATTATACTGATCTTAAATCTTGCAAAATAAATAATCCAGCCTTTGTTTTGCATAGTAGTGAATCTAAGTTCTCATTTACCTTAATCTTTCTTGATCATGTTAGAATATATCCATGTTGCATGTGTCTGCCACAGGACTTGTTGGGCTCTTGATTAGGGCTAATCAATACATAAAAAGTAGATGTTTCAATTAAAACAATATCTGATGTCAGTTATATTATATATATATATATGCTGTATTAGTATTTTATTTCATTTTTTTTTTTTGTTGTTGAAATTATTCAGCATGGTAACCCTCTCTTTCTGCCACTAAATAATGGACCATACGATGTATAATTGCCTAGTATCTAATCTAATTATTGATTTGATTGGACCATGTAATTGCAACATGGCCTGGATTTGGACCCCTTGTGTCCTTTTCCCTCACTGATCATATCATATTTACACATAATTCAACAAACTAGTTATGAAGAATCCAAAAACAGACCTCTTTCTGATCATGTCATGACTCTCTCCCTAATATTTCAGGTGGCCCGTAGTGCAATTATATGATTTATTTGCCTACACACTACAAATCAACAATCCATTCATTATTATTCAATGTGGAATAATAGTTGTTAAGACAACTGAGTGCTACTGCTGCTGCTGCTGCTGCTGCTATTCCTATTCATGTAAATAAAATAAAAAATAAAAAATAAAAAACCCATCAACCCAAACTCAAGAACAAGTTGAGGTGGGTGAGTCAGCAAAATTTCAGTCCACTTTCCCAATTAATCTTGATCATGTTATTATGTTTATGCCTGCCTGTGGTCCTGCTGATTCTTACTTGTCCAAATAGTAAACACACACATATGACATATGACACTATAGAGAGTAGAAAAGCATTTATTTCTATGTTGATGAATTTGGGGGAAAGCTTTTACTTGGTGGTAAAGAGTGATGGGTGATTCTTGGTTATGTCTATGTCAATCATTGTCCACACCCACCCAAAATTTTTGATTATGCATGCTTCAATCTTCACTTGGAGCTAGTCTTGAATTGATTATTGTTGTTGGGATCACTTTTATTTTCAGCCCTTTTTCATAAACAACCTTATTCCATGTTAGATATCATCTGTCTTTTTGTGTCTGCATTTGGTGCTTGGAAAAAAAACCACTAGTCACCTTTAAATGATTCGCCTTAGCTTGCAGCTACCTTGTTTGCTTCAGGAAAGTGGGGTAGACATAAAAAAAACAAAGATAATTATTATATATGTTTGACACTAATTAAAGGGTTCATTAATCATCATGACATATCCAAAATGAATATTAAATATTGTTATTGTAGATTGTACCCAAAAGAAAGTTGATCATAAGTACAAGAAAACATATCATAACTTTTTCTTTTCTTTTTTTTTTTTTTTTCAATAAAATAAAATAAAACCATTGTTGTTCTGAAATCATGAACCCTATAGACAAATGACTACATATATTGGGTTGGGTGTTTCCCATTTCTTATCTAAAGCTGCTGAAGTAGAGACTTTTAATTTATTATCTCCACTATATATAGGAGTAATAATACATAAAAGATAATAGAAAGTAGAGACAAAGCAAAGCTAATGATAAATAAAAATGAATAATAATAATAATAATTATTATTAACCAAAAACAAAGTAAACCCTTTGATGTAAAGTAAAGTGATGAGAGCTACGAGGAGAAGAAGAGGACCATAGAAATTCTCACATAAAGCTAACTGAACTCACTCATACATTGGGGCTTTTGGAATTTCCAGATTTATTTAATTTTTTATTTCTATTTTTAGGGTTTCACAAAAGAGATGAGCAGAATATATGCAAATATAAATAAATAAATTCTTTCAATAAAGACTAGTAGGAGACTACTTTCTATTCTTTTTAGTATATATATGTATGTATGTATATACGTATGCGTTTCTTTGTTCCTTTATATTCATACACTGAGATAAATGAAATCATGAATCTATTACCTATTTTTTGTTTACTTTTTTTTTTATAACATTATATGATATATATTTGTTCGAAAACATCAATTTAACACTTAGATTCTATACAAAAAATATTTCAAAATACAAACACATGGTGTAAATTTCAATCTTGGGCTTTAAATATAGATCATACATGTAATGTAATAATAATAATATAGAAACAAAAATTACATACACATTAATGGAGTTAAAGAAGTTCAAGAATGCATGACATGCATTTTACTTTTTAATTTTGCCAATAAATACATTTTCATCATATTCATATATCAATATATATATATATATATATCTATATTTGAGATTCAAATGTTGATTGTGGAATAGATATATATCATCATAGTGTGGGACAATGCAATAAATTAAAATAGGGATCATGAGTGATTTTGTTGGGGTTAAAATGTGGCACCTGATTTCTTTTCCTTTTAGAAAATATACATATATATTGTTTAATTCGTGTCGATGATATGATTGGAAAAGTAATCAGATAATGCTATTCATCATATATTGATTAGTCAAAACCTAATAATTAACTTCTTAATAATTAATTAATTTATTTTCTTTTGAAATTTGTCAAATTAAAGATAGCCTCTCACTTTAGCTGTAGCATCCACATACATAAATCCCTCTAAATAATAATTACTTCAATCCGTGGGGTATACACACAAATAATATCATATAAGATGCATAGAACGAATGCTGCCAAATTGGTTGTACACGAATTGAACTTTTGCAATCAATGCAAAATTTTTCAATATTGTACACGTCAAATTTGCAACACACACATATATAAAATATGTATACGCCCGACAGGCCTAGTTCACAATGTATTAAATTCGACTGGAGTTTATCGCACAGCTGCCGATTCCCACGTTATAAAAAAAAATAAAAATATATATATATATATATAAGCTAGTGATTGATCATACAAATTAAAAGTCTATTACACAAAATAAAATATAGAAAAAAAAAAAAGAAAAAATCACACAATTACTATTATTAGGAGATGAACCAAAACAATAAATCTTATATCATCTTTCAATTCACGACCAATTCCTAGGGTTTGTTTATTTATATATATATATATATATTATCAGATGATTAATCTGTTTCGTGTAGAAGGCGGACTTATTTTGCTTTGACCATTACATTTTTCTCTAGAAACGACAATTGAAAACTTGATTAGCTAAATAATAATAATAATAATAATAATAATAATAATAATAATCATTTAAATGATGAAAAGTGGATTACTTAAAGGTGCTCATAAAATGTGAATCGTTTTCCAAATCAAAACAATCAGAGTTGTTTGATGATGATTAATGTCATGTCATGTCACACTATATATATATATATATATATCTCCATTTCTTAGCTCTAATAATAATAACAATATATAGTCATCATCTATATATGAGAATGGTTATGTGTTGATTTGTCACATCAACCTACGTAAAATAGATAAAACTATATATAGTATATTTTTATTTAGTATATTACATTTTGTGTTCATATTTGTAGATGTAATACTATATAGGGCTATGTCTATATGTTGTGTAAAATAATGTTATTTCATTTGCTACATTTATATTAATGTATTTTTTGTAAATATATTATTTACGGTCTGTGGTATTTGCTACATAGTAACAGACGTCCCCTTTACTATATATATATATATATATATAACAATTTGTTTATGAATTTTGTTGTGTTTATCCATAATATAAATATATATATATATATTTTAATGTTGCCATTGGAAATGGAAACACAGCATTCTATTTTTCTTCAACACCAGTACCCCCTTACCCACCCACCCACCCCGTGAATCAAGCCTGGATCTTTCCCCAAACTTCAAATCTACGGTACACTGAACTTGCTCATGATATAGATATGTATATAAGATTCAAAATTGGAGGACAAAGAAAGATGAGCCGTTGCATATAATTTAAAATTTTAAAATTAAATCGAATACTTATCTACTTTGATAAAACATTATATCAATTTATAGAAAAGCATATCTAGACGGCTCTCTATATATTTAAAAAGTTTGTATATGTTAAAAAATATTGAAATAATAGTGGGTATTTCTGAACAGCTCCTTACTCCTATCTCACTTTCCAACTACCAATAAATATCAACATCATGATCATGCAAATGCAATACAGTTTACATAAAATATCATGAATTCAATAAATAAATGTATTAAGATCTAGTCACGTATTTCATCACATAGTAATCAATGAATGAATTGGATGCCCACTTTGCATTTCCTACTCCTACTCCTACATTTGATTAATTAATTAATTAATTAGGATGGCTACACTTTTCCACCACTTTCACTTTCTTTCTTAGCAACTGCTAATCAATAATTCATCATCCACATATTCATTCAATAATTACAGTTGCCTCTGCCTCTGCCTCTGCCTCCAACCTAAATCTAAATTAAACTATTCAAAAAACATACTAGTATTAATTATTATTATTAATGTGAGAGTCTTGAATCTGGTTGCTAAATAAATATATATGTATTTGTATTTGGTCCCTATAGTTATGGGAACCTAAAAATGGGCACAAACTTTTTTAAAAGCCAGATTTTGATAGTATTTTCCGTACTTATTATCAATGAAACACGATCCCTGCTGTCTTGTCGGCTTCTACTATACCATTATTCAATAAAATAAAATAAAATAAAAATAAATAGGTAGACCCTGAGGATGAGGGTATGTGTGGTGGGACCCACCCTAATATCCAACAACGACGACGTTTGCGTGTCATGCACCCCCTCCCCGTCACGTGTCGCTTTCCCCATTTGACTCGCCTTCACTTGATCAAATGCAAATGAATCTCCATCAATGCATCACTACATCTACATGGGGTGGGATTTGGAAAAATCAAAAAAAAAGGAAAAATGAAAGAACTGGTGATAATTTACATTGTTTTGTTTGTACAGAATGAAGAAGGATTGAGTTGAGAGATGAAAAAGTAAAAAATGAAACATTAGAAAAGATGGATGTGGAGTGATCTTTTTTTTTTTTTTTTTTTTTTTTGGAGTTTGGGTAATAATCCTACGTGAGAATGTGTATTCTATTTGTGGAACAGAAAATAGGAGAAAGAGTGAGTGAATTCAGGAAGTGAAGAAGTTAACGTGGAGGCTGCCGGTTTTGGCGGTGGTGCAGACGGGGCAATTGTGCAGAGCGGAGCCGCAGACCGTGCAGAGGCAGAGATGCCGGCACGGCAAGAGCAGGACGCACGATTCTGCTTTCCCGCAGGATCTGCACGTCGTGTTTCGTCGATTGCAGCATTCATTACCGGCGTTGATTTTGGAATCGCAATCGTGTGTCTCCGCCAATGTGCGGAGATTGGAACCGACCTCCGCGTTGCTGCCGCAGCAGGACTCGGCGTCGTCAACTTCATCGTCGTGTGGAGGATGATGAACTTGCTGCTGATTTCGCCGATCGTCTTGGACTTGTGTTAGAAGGACTTGCTCCAGATTGCATCTCAATGCGTTCGCTGTGGCTTCGTTTGTTTGAGCTATGTCTTTCAGAATTTGGTTCTCCACGCACAGAGATTTCACTCTTTCTTCCAAAGCGAAGTTTAACTTTCCTATCTCGTTGATTTGTTCGTCCTTCGCTTTCAGTTTTTTCGCTACGTTCTCTTGAATACAGATTGCGATTCTCCTGCAGAACTTCTTTCTTTTCTCTTCAATCTCCATCCTCAGTCTTTCCGTCTGTCAAAAGATCAAATGGAAGAGTTAATATTCATTTATCCTACAGAGAAATATTGGAAAACTAGAATATGAAATTATCTGTATACGTACTTCCTGAACGATGAATCGATCGGTTTCCAATTGCTGTTGGAGAAAATGAAATGATAAATCTACACCGAGAAAAGTAAAAGCTGCGTTGTTCGCAGTAGTCTGATTATGAACGTCGCCAGGCAATGCCGAGTCCAGAGGATTAAAGGAATCTCTGGAACGCTTCCTTGATCCAGGCAGTGCATATGTGAGACCACTCTCAGACTTACCAACGCCAGCTTTCACCGGACCAGCAGGCGCCATTGCCGTGCCGTACAAAGGAAGCAAATTTCCCATAGCCGCCGTCGTTCCAGACAAAGGAGGCATCGCTGCGTAACCAGCCGGAGTTGCATAAACATTCCCAACACCTTGCACACTCTTCATACTCTGCGTCAATCGATTCACAGATCAACACCACAACCGTCAAACCAATTCTATTCATCAATAAACCAAAAAAAAACACGAAAAAACACATCAACCAACCCACCTATCGCTCAAAATCCGCGGGGCAAACTGACCAGCCTCAACTTCCATCGACAAACACCACACTACCTATTCTTTCCCTTCTTCTTCTTCTTCAATCAACACAACAAAAAGCAACAAATCCACACCAAGCCTCCGGCGAGAGTAAGAGGTTTAATCAGTGGTTGATTGATACCATAGGAGATAACAAACAAAACCAAAGGAAACGGCAGTGGGAAAAGGAGTGGGGGAAGAAGGATATATAGAGGAGAGAGAGAGGGAGAGAGAGAGAGAAGGAGAGAGAGAGAGAGTTGGGGAGGTTGTGTGTTGAATGGTGCGTTTGAAATTGATCGATTTGTGGAGGGGAGGGGAGAGATGTGATGTTACTTATGTATGTTGTTGATTGAATGATTCGGTTACCGGAAAGGGCCATGTGACCCTCACCCTCCCCCCCCTCCCCTCGTCTTTTGCATTGCCTTTGCTTTTTCTTGACCCTCATATTTTTAGCGTGTTTCCAATTTCTCATCAACCATAACCATACATCAAAATAATAATAATAATAATAATAATAATAATCTATAATCAATCCTCAATACTCGATATTAATACGAATTTGTTAGCCTAAATAATTTGTGACTACACTATATATAGCCATTACTTTTTTATTATTTATATTTGTTGAGATTGAGAAAGGGGTGGGGTGGGTCGGGGGTCAGTCCGTCATTCCGGCTAAATCCCGGGGCTATTCCCGAATACCGGCTTTCTACGTGGGTCCCTCGGAAAACGGGTGGTGTAGTTTTTGTTGGTTAGTCAGCACAGCCGGTTGAGGACAAGTTCCATTTCAAATTTTCAATTATATATATAATAGTATAAATTTTCAATTATGACGGTTTTATTTGGTTTCGATGAGTTTGAATTTATTATGAGTTTTGGTTTCAACATTTTATTTTTAAGTAATAATTTATAAAAATAGTATACTTTTATCGGAATTGGATTGTATAAGTTAAATAATGTTAATTTGTTCGGAGTTTATTTGATTTTGATTTGAACTTAAATTATTAATTTTGATTTAAATAAATTTTTTACTTATTAATATTTTTATTTATATTAAATTATTTTGTTTTAGTAATATATATATCTTTTTGCGGAAGAATAAGTAGGATAAGAATCCAACTCAAGGCTACACCCTTATTCCCTATTATAGTAATATATTGATAATTCATTTTAGTTTCTTATCATATATAATTTTATTGTATAAAAAACAATATTTCTATAGATTACTTTTCTATATATATATATAATACAATTTAAAAATACTACAAATCCATATTTAACTTATTTTTAACTAAAAAAATATTATACATCAAAATATTATTTTCATACTCAATACTACAGTCATTATAATCCAAAATAATTTATAATATATTTTTATTAAAAAAAAAAGACTAGATCTATTGAATAATAAAATATAAAAAATTATTTAAAACACAAAATCAAACAAACCCTAATTACATTAGCATACTGTTTAATATCAAATCATATTATTTAATTTTATAACAAAATTGACTAATTGAGAATATTATGATTGCATTCATTATTGCACATATCCGCTGAGTATAATAAAATATATATTGGTGCAGATCACAATGAATAATAATAAAAAATATATTGTTGCTAACTCATTTTCAGGTGAGTAAATTTTCTTGTATTATTTATTATATTTCGGTGGTGTACAGGCATTTATTCGAGATTTAATTATTATTTGAATAGAAATAAAAATAAAAATAAAAGTAACGTAGGTAGATAGTCCAGAACGTGATGATGAATGAAGAAAGTGTTGATTCGCAAGAATAAAATGGTTCCCAAGCAAAGCAATTAGTGTGGTAGCTTTCATAGGACTAAATAAATTTATTTATTTAATTTATTCTACAAAATATATAATTAAAAAGTTGTTGGGCGGTTGAATAATAGTATTATTCAGCTCAGCTTATCCTCAAACCTAATCCCCAAACACTAAACAATATTACTAATATTTATATTTATATTTATATTTATCGATGAATATATTCAAATATAAATACGACTTATGTATGAGTAATTTTCGCTTTCATAAATTTTGAATTTGGATATGCTTTGGAACTATTCCATTTTTACCATTTACAGCTACACAAAAAGGTCATCTAGATACATAGTTCACTGCGTGTAACTGTGTCATATAATATATGTATATGTACATATTTTTTTAATGGCGTTAGAATCCGCAATCGTGTATATATATATATAATTATATATATTATTTTTGCATATATGTCACATTAGTTGCACATTGGGAGACAGATGCGAAGTCCAAAGAGGCAAAATCTAGCTAAAATCCGAGCAAAACTACTAAATTATGTCACATATACAAATAATACTAATAATCTTAGTACTTTATTTATTTTTTATTTTTTTAAAAAATAATAATATTAGTATTTTATTTATTATCAGAGGACAGATGGTTCATTGAAAATAATGAACCACACTCATCCACATGGGTGTGTATGTGTTTGTTTGTTTTAGTGCAACTGAAAAAAGAGAGGTGAATAAGGGCAGGCCGGCCGTACAGAAATGTATGTATATATGTATGTATTTTCCCATCCCAAGAAGACTCAGAATTATGTACACAAAATTTACTTGCTCCAGCACTCGACTAGCACTTTAGTAGCAGAATGCCAAATATATGCCTAACAATACATAAAATTTTAATTAATAATATATAATTTATAAAATATAAACTATATATTTTATTTGTTATCCAATTTTTATTTTTTTTTTTAATTGTCATCAAATTTTATTTTCGTTTTATTTTTATATATTAAAATACCATTTTTTTATTTTTCTTTACTATAAAAAAAAAATATATTTATTTTTAAAAAATTCATATCCGATCAAATAAGTATAATTTTATACGACGGAAGTAGTACGTGTTAATTAGAACCATATATTGTTTGTCCTTTTCACATGTTAACTAGGGTTCAAAATCATAATTGTGATGTTACTACATATATTTTCTTAATTTAGGATATTTTATTTAAGTCTTAATCTTTTACTCCCTCCATTCTACATGAATCGTTTACATTTTTTATTTTCGTCAATATTTTTTTTATTTTAAAAATATAATTATATATTTTAATTATTTTAAAATTTAAAATTTAAAATTATTTAATTATTTTTATTTTAATATACAATTATTTTTACTAATATATTTTTTAATTATTTACTAATTATATTTTACATAAATTTTTGTATCTAGCTGACCAATTTATCCGAAATGGAGGGACTATAAAATTTAGTATATATTTTCTCATCATTGTAAATATATTAAATGGCTGCATTTTTGCCGATGACTCCACTTAAATCCACAATATGATGATTTGACTCAATTAACATATATAATAAAGATAAAAAATTCATATTTTATATAGTATATTACTCTCTCATGTCCTAATTCAAATTACTTTTTTTTTTTTTTACCATTTTTTATGTCTCATTTCAAAGTATCTGTTTTTTATTTAAAGAAAAACATCGGGTGGAAATGATGAATGAAAAGCTATGTTTATCAAATTTAGAGCTCGTTTTGAATTTCTTTTAGATCATATTATATATATATATATCTTTTGGATCAAGTTTGAAATAGCATTTGGATCTATATTACAATTATAGTAAATTTCTTTTGTATTCTTATTTTATTATATCAAAATCTTTTCTTTCTCATTTTCTTGATCCAATGTAAATCTCTTGATTTGATTTATTAAATCTCTTGACATTATCAATTAAATTTAACTAAGTCCCCATACCTTCATTTTTTTTAAAGTCATCACCATTCACTTTAATAAAAAAAAATTACACAAAAGTAAACAGTATTGGATTATCACATCAAATAAAAGAGAGATGCAAAAGATTGCTAATATTCTTCTTTATTATTATTCATTTTAAATTTTGTATATTATAAAATCTTTATGATTGCTTAAAAACATATATTATTTTTTTATAATTAAATAATAATTTACTAGAAAAATTAAAACCAACCTTTTCAAAAAATATCAAGTAAACACACTTGTGGCCTATCTTGATCAAATTGACAAAAAAATAAAAAAGATTAACAAAAAAAAAAAAGTATATATATATCTTAAAGAAAGATAGCACGCGTGTTTGTGCTTCCCCCAATTTTATTTTATTATGATTAATGAAACTTAAGAAGCTTGACTTATTACGTTCCTTTTCATCTTTCTTTTTTTTTTTTTTTTTTTTTAAATTTTTTTTTTTCTTTTTTGGCATTTATTACATTCAACTTAAAGCTTTACTACACAACACACACACACATATGACAGATTATTCTACATGTGAATTCGAAGCTTTTTATTTTTATTTTTTCTAAATATTTATCCAACTGTATAAAAACAACTTATCCTATTCTTTTATGACAAAAAATGACAATTGTGGTGGTACACAGGAATCACATTCCATTGCCATTACAATTTTTAACCGTGCTGTGAAAATTTATCAATTTCATTCAGCACGGGTAAAAATTATTTACCAAATTAGGTAATTCTCCAACAAAACTAGCATAGTTATATATATATATATATATATATTGTTTTCAATAATTAATTGTAAATAAAATGGGCAAAAGGAAATGACAAAAGATTGAGATACCTTGACCCAACATGTTATTGCCTTTCTTGGAAACATGCTATTCTTTTTTTTTTTTTTTTTTTTTTTTTTTTTATATATTTATTATTTATTTGCATTTTGTGATGCTAAGTTTGTAGTGTTGTGGCAGTGCACGAGGCCACGCAGACATCACAGACAGCTACAAATAGGTCTATTTTAATCCATATGGGTCAGTAAATTTTTCAGATATATATGAAATATAAGATGCAATGAATTAATTTACAACTAGTTGACAACATAAACACTGTTGCATCCATTTTTTATTTTTATTTCTTTTTAAATTTTATATATATACCAGTTTGGATCAAGTTCCAGGAATTGGTTTTTTTCATTTTGTACTAAATTATATATATATATATATATATAATGTGGCCATGATTGCAACCTTGTGTATATCTTTTAACTTAAATCAATTGTATAATACTCATCGTACTAAATCTTTCATTATTATTTGAATTTGGAACGTTACAGAACTTTCACAATTTTTTTTTTTTTTTTCTTTTACCTTTTTAAACAATATTTATATAATCCTTCTCAACAAAAAGAAATCATAAAATATTAAAAAATGATCAAAATAATATGGCCTTAAAACCACGCCAAATGTAAAACATGCAAAAATAATGGACGCGAGTTTAATTGTGGGTTGACATATTTTGAAGATCATCAGGCCCATTTATGTGGTGGCCCAAATAAATGGCCCATTAAGGATTATTTTAGGTGTTTTTAAAAAATACATGCTTATTTTACACAAATAATTTTGAAACTTTTGAAATATTATTTATCTATAATTTTTATATATATTTTAAAAAAATATCATATTAAATATATTTTATCTCTCACACGCATTAAATACTAATTTTTTATTATTCTATTTTAAAAAATCCAAAACTCTCTTTAAAAGTAGCCATAATATTTGATTTTTTATGTTAAACATGTTGTATAAAATTAACTAATATAATATATGTATAATATACATGCATGTAGATGTAGATGTAAAACAAATAATGGGTCTTTATTTTGGTTTAATTTATTCATTTCAAATATAACACCGACTAACTATTTTACTTTAAAAATATGAAATTTATTTTTAGAAAGTGTGCTTATATTTTGAGCACACTAATCACATGCATGTTCCTGTACAACATCAAAATCAATAAACGTTTTTCCTTTTTTCTTAATGACAGTTTGCAACATCCTAACCCAAATGGTCGTTATAATTGTTTGATACCGTATTTTATGATGGAAATTATAATTATATTATATATAAATTTATTGGAATCTGGTTATTAAGAATGAGAAAAACTCAAAACAAACACAAAAGTATTTATGTGTTTTGAAGAATTTGGAAAATAGTAAAAAAAAATTGAGTAAGAAATAAATACTTTATGCATATTATATCTAAATAGATGGATCCAAAAAATAAATATAAAAATGATCTCTGAAGAAAAAATATACATGAGATGAGATGTGGCTAAATCTGATCAACCCGAATGCAATAATCATGTATCTAACATCTAAAACTGGGATCAATTCATCTAATCGATCAACTTACAATATCCAGAAAAGAAAAGAAAAGAAAAAGATTGAATAACGTACAGCCTAAGAAGATCAAACAATATATCAATCAACAGGAATGTGAAAAAGCTGCCATTGATCCTCAGTGCTCCATTATTCCAAGTCTCACTACCATCATCCCTACAAGGTTATTACACATATATATATACACATATATATATGTATGTGTGTATGTATAATGTATGTATATAGTAGGGGTGCTCACAGATAGAAGGGATTATTCATGGCTGCTGCCGGCACGGCGGCGCCGCCTGCAATGGCCTGAAGATCCTCCCATTCCGCGTGCCGCAGCAACTCGTTGATGTCGGCGCTGGAGAACATCGACGTCGGAAGTACGGACGGAGGTTGCGAGATGACGGCCGGCATGCCGCCGAGGTGGTGGTGGAATTGCTGATTTAGGAAAGTTTCCATGTGGCCGGAACTGTAGGGCTTCTTGTCGATCTGGTGGATGACGGCGGCGCCGGACGGCGCCGTAAAGCTGATGTAATTGCTCTGCGCGTTTTGATAGTCGCATGATTCCAGGCTGCAGGTTTCGGAGCCGGCGTCGATTAATCCGGGGTTGATTATCACGCCGGCGCCGGCGCCGCCGCCATTTCGCTTTGGAGCGATTTCCCGCCAGTTGGGAATGATTTTTCTGTGAGAAATGTTCCTCTTCAGTATCCGGCACAGTGTCCAAACTTCCTGTGAAATTTAATTCCAATGATTTCATTAAGGTTTGTGATTTTGGATTAGGTTATTATTATTGATTACAATTGTGGATAAAAATTAATCCTTACAGCTTCTTGATCCAAGGTTTTGGCGTCAATGGCGGTTTTGTGGGGCTTGTCGTGGTTGGGGGGAGGGAGGCGGAACTCGTGCATCATCCAGTCGGTTTTGGTGCCTTTTCCGGCGCTGCCGCGGTAGTAGACGAGGGATTTCTTCAGGCCGATGCAGTGGGCGGCGCCGCCGTTGGAGGAGGAGGAGTATATGGGCCGGTCTATTCCGGTCGCCTTCCAGAAACCCGAACCGGTCACTCTATTTGGGCGTATACTGTTCTTATACTTCCTCCCTCTTTTGCAGAAGAAATACCATTCTTTGTCCACACCGTTGTTCGATTCTGAAATCAATTAATTAAATTAAATCATCAAATTGATGCGTTATTTCATGTGAAAGAAATCAATTAGGGCTAGGGCAAAAACCCTAATCCAAAAATTAATTTAACACCAATTCCCAATTACTCAAGCTAAGCTAGCTGGTCTCGATTATTAATTCCTTTTTGTAGGAAGATCGATCGAATTGAAAGGGATGGATGATGGATGATCGATGATCAAACCTGTGGACATACTTGGAAGATCCCAAGGATCGAATTTGTAGATATCAGCCTGTTTGATGAGTTCGAGCTTGATCGGTTTCTTCTCCACCTTCCGCCGGAGATAGAATCCGACGAGCTCTTCGTCGGTGGGGTGGAACCGGAATCCCGGCAGCGGACCATTATCGTCGTCGTGATCGCCGCCGTTGTTGCCGGAGACGACTTTCCGGCCACTCGTATTCTCCACTTCCATATTGATCGATGCTGTAATTATATATATATATGTATGTATATGTATCTATGCTCTCGTTGCCTTCCAAGACCGTTTTCTGGTTGATTTTTCAGAGTGTGTGAATTAGGCTTCTCGTAGCTTTGAAATTAATATCGTTTTGTGTAAATATATATAAAGATGGAATGGGTGGGTGGGGTTGAAGAGTATTGATGAGGTGTCTTCTGGGAAATACAATATTATATTATTATTATAATTATATTTATTTATTTATTTATTAGACACAAATTGGTTGGTCAAGTCCTGTGTTGACTTGCATCTTTCTTGCTTCCTGACCTCAGTGGTTTCGGCTTCTCTGAACATAGAAGCAGTCTTCAGTCTTACCATGTCCTTATCTAAACATTTTTGCCACTTTCATTAACGACATATAATAATTCCTCATTTTAAAATAATGACTGGACATAAAAAAAAATAAAAAATGAATAAATAAATGAAAATTAAACAACACAGATATAAATTTTATAAATATCTTGGTGCTCATAATTTCAGCATAGTGCTGACGTGGTCTGGCAACATACACCAATTTATGCATACCGTTAATTAATTTATTAATTAATGGAAATATTACAGTTAAAACCCTTTTAATGAATGGCTGTTGTTCCTTTGATTTCTTTCCATTGCTTACCCCAAAAAGGTTATTGTCTTGACATCTTGTCATATATATTGTGCTTTGACACAATTGTGTGATTTGCAATTGATTAGGTGTTCAATCTTAAATGCATAAATAAATAAAATTCAAACCAAGATTTATTGTATCCAATTAAGACAAGCTTGCAAAGTGATTGATAATTAGAATTTGAAACACCCTCGAATCAGGCAACTTCAACTACTTTGGCTCATCGACATGACTCATCCAAAGAAAATGAACAAACCTAAAAGACTTTAGAGGACTTGAAATAGAAAGGGTTTTCGACCTCATCCGAAGAAGATTCGCCGCCGCCCAACTCTCCTTGCCCCGGCACTCATATTTATATGTATATATATATATATTCACCACTAAGTATACTTGGTTGCAAATTCAGTACTAATCCAGTTAAGATCAGCATAGTGCTGATTTGATCCGGTCAGCATATCATATAGATGATTATTAATATGTTTATATATATGTCAGCATATGCTGTGTTATAAGATAACATATGCTGACTCATAATATAATATATGTTGATCACCCCCCGATCAAATCAGCACTATACTAACTTGACCGGATCAACTGCTGATCCATGTCATGTGTAATTAATTATACATAAAATACATGTATATATGTTCAAGTTATTCCAACTAATCATGCTTTGTTTTGAAGGGATTCACAATTCAAGAAGATCAAATCAAGACCTTTATCTAACATATGAACAACATATTTATTGATCAGAATAATAAATCATTGATTTTTAAGATATAGAAGAGAATGAAAGGCATAAGAACACCCAAATCCATCGAAAATAGTGTATTTTATTTTCTTATTGCATAATCGTCCTATTTTCATTTGGCTTTCCATTAATCCTTTTTCTCGCCATATTTGAACCTTCCTTTGAGCATTTCCAAATTCATTCCCAACTTTATTTATTTAATTTTAGTCTAAATTTTAGTATTACATTTGCTCGTACGTGCCGTTAGTTCTAATTCCGCCGTTCATTTCGTTGGTTGACTAGATAAATAAATTAATAATGTGTATTTTTATTAGTTTAAGCTTTTAGATAAACAATCATTTGAAATTTCTAACACGTTTTCAAAAATACAATATCATGATGTTATTGTTATTATTATTATTATTATAATTATTATTTATTTAGTTTTATTTTTTTTGTCTAACGTTATTAGTGCCCAAGGTGGGATCTACACATTGAAATCGTGACTGAATGTGTTTCAATTCACCACTTAATAAAAATACAATCACTATTACAAATATATATAATATTATTATAGTTTAGAATTTATATAAATATGCAGAGACAGACAAGCTTCCAAAATGTCAAGGCTGTCCCAATTATAAGATTTCGTATTTAAGTGTAGATTGAATAAATTGCATGCCCTAAAGTCTTGATTAATTATAATAAATATATGAATACACAAAGTTCATTGCACCCACTGAGAGTGTGTTCTTCCTCTAAAACATGTCTGACGCTTCTTAATTAATATTATAAAAAATATATGCACACATATATTCATATAAAATATATAGTATATATTTTATTCATTAAAAAATTTAATAATTTAATACAAAATAGTAATTTTATATTATCAATATAATTTATTATATTTAATATAAAAAATATTTGAAATTAAAAATACAAAACAAACATACTCAAGGTTATAAACCAAGAATACTATTGTATGTCTACATATATCTACCCGCTTTGAAATATCACATCACGTGTGTATTATATTATTACACACATACATATTATTTTATATGTATAGAAAGAATATACATGCACATTCACTGAATGCCATTTTTTTTTTTTTTTTCATAATAAAATTAATTAAAAACGCCTTCATTTTCTGTATAACACACATCTACAAATATATAATGATAGTGATAAGTACTAAATTAAAAATACTTAATTTTTTTTTACTGTAGGGTTATGTTTAAATAACATATCGATCGAGAAGGGGCAGCAGCAGCACCACATATTGACCAATTGTATAATTCACTGTCTTGTGGCCACAAAATTCCTACATTATGGCTACTGATTGGTTTTTATTTTATTTTATTTTATTTTATTTTAATTTGTGCATATATATATAGGAGTAATAGAAATGGATGTGAAGGGGAAGAAGAAGTCAAAATTTATATATGATGATGTCAAAGTCCGAGAACAACATGTTTGACTTGCATCTCTCCCTCCTGAACCACGGAGCTCCCGGGCCTCGCTATAATTAATTGCCTTCCCTTACTCCCCTTAGTACCTTTCATTATTATTATTATTATTCATTTTATTTATTTATTTTTGTTTAAAAATTTTAACGGCTGGAGAGTGAGTTTGCTTTAGCATGCATTAGGATAAAATTATACTATTTATTATTATAATTTTTTTAAAACAACAATATAACATATTAGTGTTATGTTAATAAATAATAGTATATGTTCTAAAGAAATAACGTATTGATTAAAATGAATAAACAAAGATAAGTAAAGCTATAAATAAATAAATAAATAAAATTAAGACATACACGTGGCAGCATTTATTTCCTTGGGAAAATAATGGAAATGTAGCATCAATGCTACTTTGTGTGTATAATAATTCTTCTCGATTATTTTACTTTTTAATATACTAAGTATTAACAATATACTTCAAAATTGAATAATGTACATGCATTTTAAACCTATTTTTATGAAAGTTCCTAATATATATATATATATATAATTGTTTTTTTGTTTTCTAATGTATTGTTCAACATTTATTGATGGGGGAATTTCATTGTAACAAAATGCACAAGCGTAAGAAAAATCATAAAAGTATATAAGAAAAATGATAAAAGTATAGAACCAACCATGGATATATTTGCCGATTTGATTAATACAAAGTTATAACCCAAAATAAAATAAAATAAAAATGAATTGAGATAGACTATGTTATGGAATGAAAAAGAAGACAAAATGAAATTGATATATCTCATCAAAATTCTTCCATCAATCAATGAAGGAATAACAAGCAATAAATCTAAAATACCAATATAGTATTTTTCATACTCTTGTTTTTCAATACTCAATTTAATGAAATGGAGAAATAAGAACATACGTCTCAAATTATGACTACACATTATACACCCGTACATATATTTTCTATATCTTTAATGCGTTGCTGGAACGATAAGATTAGCGATCACTTTCATTGAAATTTCGGTGAATTGTCTCTTCACTGGTGATAGCCAGATATGAATTATTGACGATGCATTGATAGAGTTTGTGATTATGTCGCGCCAATAATATTCGATGACTAATGCTTCATTGGAACGTGCTACCAACATTCACTATTTAATGAAACAAGATTTTGTTGTTGAATTTCAATAACTCATACTTGTTGTTTAAGCAAGCAATTATATATACTCCCGATATTATATATCTTATCCCAACGTGTTTTTATTTTAAATGGTATATATATTCAATGATAATTGCGGCTTCCATTTGACGTATATTCTCATACACGCGATGCCAACAAGACAAATTTATCGTCTCATCAACGACGATTTTCGCATTAACAATGTTCACATAATATATATTTATTGAAATTTGAAAATATATCGTCCATATATATATATATCAATCACAATTATATATTGTAATTCATACAATGGTTAATTTCATCTTTTATTTCTCCATGTAATGTAATGACAAAGAAGAAAGTATTTTGACAGAGTCAATCTTTTTAATTAGTAACAGTGAAAATTGAGTAACAATCATATTCTCCAAGCGCCAATCCTCACCGTACACGTGTCATCAATCGGGAAAACATATTCAATGATTCATGCGTGTTTTTATTACTACACAATTTGCATGGCACTAATTAATAACGTAGCAAATGCATGCAAACGTAAAGTGATTATTTTAACACTCGGGATATATTTGTTCATGTATTTACACTTTATAAATATATATATATAGATATTAAGATATTATATCTAAAATATACTCCATCCGTCCCAACTCAAAATACATGTTTTACCATTTTCGTCCGTCCCACTCTAAAATATTTATTTTCTATTTTAATAAAAGTAATCATACATACATACCAAAATATATTTAACTTTTACTTAAATTACAAACATAATGACACATACAATTATTTTTTACACAAATTCAAAGGGCAAAAATGTCAAAACCTCTTACACACTTCCACTGACTAATAAAATACTAATATTATTTTTTAATCTACTATAAAATCTCAAATGACCCATTTGGACTGAGACAGAGGGTGTAATATGTAACATATGTTTTTGTTCTATTTATGGGTGTGTTTGATTAATTTACTTTTTTTTTTTTTTTTAAATTGAATAGTATTTTAAGTGTGGTGTTTTGTGAGATAAAATAATATGTTTCTACTAGAAAACATTAAGTTTTATAGTAAAGAATCAATAAAAAGCTCAAGTTTATAGAGCCTTAGTTGTTTAAGTTTTAAAGATTTTTAGATAGAATTTATATGATCAAACCTAGGGTTTGTTTACTCAAAATTGTTTTGTATTTTGGTTTTTGGTTTTTGTTTGAAGAATAGTTTGATTGTGATTTTTTTTTTGTAAGAGAAAATTATTTATTTTTATACAGAATCATTCGAGGGTTAATAACAAAAAAATAAAATCAAACTCCAAATAAACTGAGTACTAATTTACATTAAAAAAAACAATATAGTTTGTTCTTTTGTATATATTTCCATTAATTTTGTTTAGTGTTTGTGGCTGTAATGGTTTTTATAATATAAAAATACCACAAAAAATAAGTATATCTAAAAAAAAACTGTTAGATGTGTATTTTGAGAAAATATATAATGAAAAAAAAGGAAAAAAAACAAACACATTTTTTTCATTAAAAAATACTTCAATTCCAAAATATTCTACAATACAAACAGAAACCTTTATTTTTTTTATACAATTTATTATTTCCTTCTTAACATGGAAGGAAGAACATTTCAAGGGTTTTTTCTTCAATAAAATAACTATATGTCGAAATCGAAAATAAATGCAAAGAAAGACAATATACTGAATCAACATCAAATGTCAATTGAATTTTGTGACAGTAGTCGAGCACGAATCCTATGAGCAAATTGTCCCTTGCAATTAAATTTTACAACTACAATAAATGGCTGTATATCACTTGTCACATTCCATGCCCCATTCATTTATTTTGAAGATAAATAATTAAATTCTACATTTGTAAAATAATGAGTCTATGTAAATTAAATTTTATTTATCACATAAGTGCAGGTTGGATAATATTAATACTGAATTAGTTCTGGAAGGTTGAAACATTCTCTATCCTACCACATTATTTATTGCATATTGGCATCTTCGATTCAATTCTACACCAAAAATTCTTTAGCAAGAGAAAAAATTGGACTGCCCATAAATGGATTTGGAGTTATTGTGCATCAATGTTCTGCTAGCTTTCAGAATTATATATATTATTTATTTAAAAATGTAGCTGGCAAAAACTAAAATTAATTCATTATTGTTGATGTATATTCACTTACGAGATATTTTTAAAATTTTATATAAGGTTCAAGAATCAATGTGGATTTGGTCTTGATGATCAATTTATAAGGTTTAATGTTGTCGCAAAATTATATATATTCTAGAGTTCTTTTGAAAATAAAAAAAAAATTGAATTAAATACTTAATTATCATAAATTAAACAACAACACTATCAACAATCATATAGTATATATATTATCAATAAACTTTGCAAATTGTAATAATTTATTTATATATGTATTATGGAAATCTGATTAGATGCAAACACATTATATTATACTTTCAAACATTCAATAATATTTTAACATCATATTTTCTACACCCATTTTTTTTTTTTTTTTCAGACATGATGACTATGTTCTTTTCGATTTTTTGTTTTCTAGTTATTTTAAATATGCATCTCGTCATTTTCTATAAAAACAAATCCATCGTTTTTATATAAAATATTACATTCATCTGCTATTTCACTTTATAAATAACAAAAACAATAAAAAAATAAAAAAATAAAAACCATGTATTTATACAATAACCAATTAATTAGTAAGAGTATATAGCAGTGCAATAAATGATCCAATCCTGCGACTTGTTCAATGTACCTTGCCAAACACATTCACCACAGTAAATATATTTAATAAACAATATTAATATTACATTTAAAACACTACTTAAGAAAAAAAAAAAAATAATAAAAAATCAATTGGAGAATTCTCATAAAATTATACATATAGAGAACACGATAAAAAGTAAAAGTAAAATACAAGAAAAAATTAATTAAAATATATGTGAGGCGGCTGTCAGATAAAATCTTTAGACTAAATTGATATATTCATATATGAAGTGTACAGACAGATTCGTAATAATCCTAAAGTAAAAATCGACTGCTCAATACATAAAGTGCAAGTTGGAACAGATGACGTGGTATTTATTGACTAGACAAATTTAATTTTTTTACTTGGTATTAATTTTCAACTTACACAAACTAATCATTTCTAATCAAATTTCAAATTAGTACCACTAAATTCTTCTTACATAACAACTGAAAAACAAAGTCTATGGACTTCCTCACTGAAATACGCAACAACATAAACTATTATTGTAATAATTTGTTCAATTAAACTATTGTCGTTGTCCCACCACATTCAATAATTTTTAGTTTTATTTTGAGTATGCAAAATACACATTCAGAATTAATTTTTTTAATTTTTTTTTTATTTTATTTTAATAGCCACAATAAAAATCAAGTCTAGAATGATCAACAAAGCCTAGAAACGAGCTGAATCGAAAAGGTCAAAGTCAGTTGGGTCAATGGACAAAATACGTGGGATAGATCTACAAGCAAATGTAATAATTTCCAAAAATTTCAATTATGTGATTTAGGACATCACAACAACAACAACAACAACAAAATTGCTTTTGAAAAATTCGTAGAGAATTAATTGTATGTCTTTGTGTTTGTGTTTTATTTTATTTTTTCGTAATGTCAATCTTGATGACAAAATTTTCACCTTTTTGCCTGAATTTTCTTCTTCCGTATTTATCAGTTATCACACTACTCTTGGGCCCCCACATACAGTTATTAATTATTAATATAATTATATGTCGAATTTTAAAAAATAAAATTGAAAGGCTGTTCACACAACTATGGTTAAGTCGTAAAAAGCATATGAAAGAAAACCTCGTACTCGTACTAATTAACCTTAATTAACCCCCCGACAATGTGGGTTAATGTTTAATTGGACCGAGTCCAGGTCGAAATCGGACCGGACCGGATCAATTCTGATAGCCTGGTCCGGTCCCGACCGAATCTACGTGCGGTCACAGTGAGCGGGCAGCCCATTCGGCATCCGAAGCAGCAGATTACGATCCGCGTCATATCGTACAATCAATGTACCTGGTCCATAGTACCATTGCATTTATTGTTATAATTATTTTGGTTGTACCAATGGCAAAGCAATTTGTACCATGCGGGCGATAGATTTCTGGGAACTCTCTGTTTTAAGGATTTGCAATTAATTTTGACAGTCTTCTTTTGCTCTTTGATATAACTAAATACGTATATTATGAGTAAATATTATAGCTTGGCCGGGCTGGTGGGTTACCATGCAACCCATAATACTCCATAATTTACTACTTTTTCCTATATCCAACAATTTTTTATTTAAGTCTATCTATTACACAAATTTATGCCATAAATATATATACATATATATTTTTATTCACTTAAATATCATACATTAACATATAATAACAATTAATTTCATTCTTCTAAAATATTCTTTTTTTTATAACATTAAAAATACTATTATTACTAATTTTACCTGACCGCTAGGGTATTCTGCCAATTTGAATTCATTCATTAGATTTGGAGTCCAATCCGCAAAATATATATACTCCCTTTTCATGAATATAGCCTAAATATAAAATTTTTTTAATGAATAAAATATTTTATATTAATGGATTATAAGATAAAATAATTTTTTTTAGAAGTATATAAATAAATTAATAAAGTAAAATAAATTTTTAAATAAGTGTACATATAAGATACTTATATAATGTTGAAGAATATAAATTAAATAATATATAAAAAATTTCACTATAAATAAAAAATAAAATGCATAATTTTTGTGACTAATAAGTTTTAGAAAATTATTGAAATGATCCCTATTTAGTTTTATTGACAATAGTTTCTAGTAAGAGATGAAGAGTAACAAATAGATAAACCCAGTGGGAATTGGAAAAAAAAAAAAAAAAAAACTAATTTCAGATAAACATATATTGGCCCAACTACGAGCCTTATTTATAACTCGTGGATTTTAAGTTAAAAATAGTCGACCTGAGCCTGAAGGTGGTATTTCTGGGTGTGTTTGATTTGAAATTATTAGTTCATGTATTCTTTATTTAAATTTTAATTTAACAATATTTTATGAAAATAAATCATAAATTTTTAGTAAAAACATTACAAAAAGAACAAAACCTTTATGCTTCAAAATTGCGAAACATAAGCAGAGAGAACACTTGATTTATTACAGAAATCATGGTATAGTTTACTCCTGTAATATTCTGTATTTTCTTTTATGAATGATAAACAAGCAAGCAGGATTGCAAGAACCTTTCCTTGTAAGAGTATTGCCAAGGCTAATCTGTTTTCGCAATTATTTCCTGTCCCACCGAAACCTGGGTGTCCGGTTCGACATCGTCGCTTAATTTCAGCAATGTGCCGAAATAGATCTTCCCCTGTTTCATTACAAGCTGCAAATAAGAACAAGAAATAACATTGCTATTCAGGAGTAACCACAACTAACCTTTGATCTTCTGTAAGATGCTAAAGTAGCTAACGGCTCATTGGATCGTTGCACAGTCCCATCTTCGAGAGTCATATTGATCATATGGCATCGATTGCAGCCGCCCAAGGACTGCACATTTAAAAAAGTTGTATGAGCAACCAAGATATTGTTAGATTATTGTTTCTTTGAATCATCTAGAACTGATTCAACTGATCATTAATAACAATTGAAATATGCTCAAAAGTAATAAATAATACGCGAAAACTAACCACAAAATCTGTCCGTCCGATCCTCAGACTTTTCCATCCATCCTCTTCGTATGGTTTGCCACCTGAGACAACCAAGTTGGGACGGAATCTACTCGGATTGACTTCAGTGGCCGGGTAGTTGGAGCCACTATGCAACTCTTGTCACAATAACAATTGTAGAAAAAGGTTAGGCCTTTCCGATGGGCATCTCTTTCAATATTTTAAGGCATGGAAAGTATTTTTGCATCTTGAATTTATGCATGGGGTGACAAATAAGTGCCAAACACCGAGCAAGCTTTTCCTTTTTTTAGCACAATGAAGTAATAGCCTAAAAAAGTAGGTGAGAATATCATACTTGATTTTAGTCTGGTGTTCAGGTCGGCAACACTTTCCTCAGATATTAACAAGAACTGTGCCTCGTTGACAAAGTTCAATCTGGTTTCTCCCTCCTTATGCATTCCGGATAGTCGATTCCTACCAGAGCACATGGGATTTTGGAATGCACAACTCCTTACAAGGGTGCAAGGTCGGCCAATAGCATTGCAAAACCAAATGTCGACTTCACTGCAGTAGCCTTGAATTTCATATCTAATCAACAGAAAAAGGTTCTTAGTCATTCCTTTATTTTTTCGAAGTTCCCTTTTTCTTTTGTACTTTCTGTTTTGAGTATTTAGAACTCATGGTTACCACTAAGCCAAAAATGTTTAGACTGTTGATTTCAGTTGTTGCTCAAAATTATTGTCATGGAACAGCTAATGAGATATCGAACATATGATGAAGATTAGGCATGATATTTCATGTTAGAAAATAATTGAAACAACAGTGATCTGGTTCTACGTAAACATATTGGCCTCGGAATATAATTTCATACCTCTGAGAATATATTTCCACCACTTCTTTTGAAGAAATAAGTTGGCCAGATTTAAGTTCAATGTACAATTTCTCTTTGCAACGTGGTGATTCGATGACAAGTAGTCCAAGTTTGAGATCAACTACTGCACTAATCAACCCCATATCTGGTACCTAACATTTAGAAATTTCAAGTGCTTTATTAAAATGGCAAGACAAGACATCATATGCTATTGATAAGCCTATCTACAGTGCAGTATCTTGATTTGACTATAGTTCACCTTCTTTTGGGTCAAGATTTCCCCACTCAAGCTCCGCAGAAGCCATTCTCTATCGTGTAACAATCCTGACATTTGTAGCACAAAATAAAGTGTATAAGAAATCGAAAGAGATACAAGTTTAGCATACCTTACTTCGAGCATTAATAGATAAAGGTTGACTTCTTTTTTAGTTAGAAAAAGGTACACATTGGTAATACGAGCATAGACATAGACACAAAGAAGCAGAATATGTTTGGCTGCTCGGTAGAGACACATGCAGAAACTAGAGTGGCAAGAATTTAGTTGTGGTTGACTACCCATGTGTCATGGCCATCAGCATATGAATTGAATGGGATAATTAGTTAAAGCAAAAACTGGCTAGAAAAATTAACCAACTATAATTACCAGTAGCGGTTAAAGGCCAGCTATCCACATTGAAGCCTGCACAAGATTTTATGGGGTAAATAGTAATGGACTTCAGAAAGCATCCCGCAGAATCTCTTTCAACCCCTACATTTACAATTGAGCATAAGACAAAAGTTAATGGCCATTGGTAGAGCTAACATGCAGCCTCAATATCAACACATTACAAATTCCGGACAATAACCTTCAACAGGGAGATGTAAAGGTTTTGCAGCACACGAATCCAGATATAAAGGCTGAGGTGGTACTGATACAAATGAATTGCTGATGAATTTCAAAAACATCTGCAAAAACATGTCATAATAGAGAATAGATGTCAACGAAAGAAAATAATAGGATTTACATTGCCACCCTGTTAAAAATCATTTCAAGTATCTGGTGCTAAATATTAACAGTTGCAATTACTGAAAAATAGGAAATAAATTATTATGATCTTCCAGAAGCCAAAAGAAAAAGAAAAAAGTGCTCTGATGTGTAGTTGAAAGACAATGAGCTAAACAGCAGCTTAGTTGCCTTATAGAGACAAAAATTGGAGAAATTCAAAACTATGACATACAGATATCCAAAAAAGGAATGGTAACGTAAAGAATTTCGCACATGACGTTAGGAAATACACGGATATCTTTGATTCATAAAAGAATACCCTGGCATCTTCATATGTTGACATGTAACCAAATGACACCCGAACTGCTCCTGTTGGTTTTCCATTCAATATATCATGATCATCCCAGCAAACATGCCCTGCCTGAATTAAGAAATTGCGTATTAAATAAATAGATTGCAGTCGAAACTTCATCGGTTACAACAGCTCGTTTATGCGTCTAAATATATACCTCAATGTTGGAGAGAAGATCGGAATGAGACAAACCAAGATGTTTTGCACATGCACCAGGATTACAAAAGCACCCTGTCTAAGCACAAGCACAGGGGCCAAAAAGGGAAATAGCACATTAAAAATCCCAAAAACATTGTATTCCAGGTAAGCATGCCTATAAGAAACAGCATTGAAATACTGCACTCTTAATTAAGGTCCTATAAGGCTTTTCAATAGAATAGAATCCATTTCGAAATCAGAGCGTGAAGAAAGACAGGCACTTTTCATGGTCAAGAGGCTATAGCTGTTACCCTTAACTGAATATTGGACAAGGATGCCAATTTTTCCACTTCTCGATAACCAAACCAAGTTCCATCGGGCCTCCTCAAGTTGAATGACACTACAGGACCCATCCCATCGTGTAATAACTGAAATAAGAACTTTTTGCATAAGTGATAGGTATGCAAGATCAAAATACATCACAAGTAGCTATATATGGCATGAAAAACATAACAACATTTCTAAAAGCTAAAACATAAATTGTTCAAAGAACTCATTGGAAGAGCTTTACAGGGTTGCATGATGCGACTAAATTCTTTTTCCAGATATTTATGCTTTACATCGGTATTATGGAATATTTCAGCTTCAAATAAATGACTGATATTTAAGGAGGAGCTAACCTCAGGATACTTTAAGCCATATAATGTGCATACACAGTCTCCATTCGAATGTCTCAGATTCATCAGTTCATTCCTAACATATGAAGCCAGGGACGTTGCATGCCTTCAAATTATCAACATTCAGTTAGAACATAGGTCTTTAAGAAATGATTTAAATACAGAATAAAATTTTTGGAGCGTGCTTTTTGTCAGTAAAATTTTTACTGTTGCAATGTCATATGCTATGTGAGATTAGAATCAGCATCAGAAACAATGCCTCATATGTCATGACAAGCCGCAGTTGTAATTGCATGCTATTATTACAAAAATGGAAACTTCTGCCAGACCTGTAGATAGCAGACATGGTTAATGTGTTGAGGATTTTGAATCCATGTTTAAGGGATGCGATGCTCACAAAAGGTAAGGTGCCATCCTCGAAGTGTTCTTCGATAGCATCTCTTCTTTTGTAAAAGTCAACATCCGCAATTGATGCCGCTACTGTGCCTGAAATATTTCACAAGTCTAAGATGAAATACAGCTAAGGCTACCAGATTTCTTTACAGCCACAAAAAAAGGGATCTATACCTCCACTAAAATAGGTCTTCTTCAATAACTTTGCAGCATCTATCATATTCAGAGTTTGGGAATGGGGACATTTAGTCAATTGATTTATAACAATATAACAAATTCAAAATAACAACAGATTTGCCTAGATTCTTAAGAAATTCAAATTGGAAACATCAGGATAGAATACCCAATTGTCTTATGTTTACCATTTTTGGCTATAAGAGCTCCGACTCCTGTTGGGTATCCAAATAGCTGTAGGAAGGAAATTTTGAAAACAATAAGCCTCAAGCCACTTATAAATCATTAGACAAGTTGCAAAACTACCTTGTAGAATGAAACAACAACAAAGTCTGCCTTGTATTTTGACAAGTCGGGTGGTGATGTAGCGCTTCCCTTTGCAGCATCAATCAGAACCATCCACCGGCCACTACACAAGATATTGAAATAAATGAAACTATAAATTGAGGCTTGCACTGTGAGAAGGATTTTTCTACATTTGCATGCTACAATAAGCATAAGGCCGACTTTCATATTGAAGAAAAGCATTTGCATTTTAGTAGTAGTTCAGTCATAATATCTTATCATACCTGCGACATGTTGATATTCCCGACATTTCATAGTTACCTTCCTTTACAACATTTAACAGGTTGAGGTTGAATTTTTGGCCAGAAAAGTTGCATTCCGAAGGAAATGCAAATAAATTGTATGTATCGCCTGTAAATGCATGAAACAGGTAAGACGGATACAAGCATAGAAATTTAAGAGGTTCAATACATTAAATCTAACACAAATACATCCTTCCTGAGGCAAACAGGGCATTTTACTCAACTGGTTTGGTCCTTTTCCCTGAATCCAGTTTCTCCTCGCTTCTGTAGGGAGTGTGGTATAAATCTAATGGCTGGTTCTCCACTGCATCTTGGATCAAGATCACAAACATTTTCAATATCAACAGCAATGGCTGCAGATCCTTCCCTAAGGGCATACCTATGAAACAGTTAAAGGAAACAAGATCCGATGCAAACAAAGCAGCACGCACAAGCATTTTTGCATGTTCCAGTTCGAATGCTGAGGGAAAAAAGGTCAAATTTCCATTATTAAAATCATTCAATGAGGAGGATACTCTCTGATGCCAAGAACGCTATTATGATTCTCCATCGTGTACATGAAAGTACTCCTGCTGCTCCATGGAAATGCCTCGCCAACAAGTTTCAATGCAGCTGTGGCTCCAGAGGTAAATATGCATTTATACTCTCGAGGAGATGCATTGAAGAATGTTAGAATCTGCACCGAAATCAAAATCTACCATTCATTATCCAGGCTAACTTTTTTGATACTTTTCCAGACACAACCCAAAGTTGAATGCAGCACTAAATGCAATGCAAAACACACTCATCATATCAACCACGCCGTTGAAAACAGCTTAATGCAAACAACAGCTTATTACCAGTTGCCGAGCCTCGCCCAAAATGTCGCTGGTTATCATGCTGCAGTTGCTCTGGCTATCTATATAAATTTAGTTAAGGAGCCAATTCACATTCCTAAAATTTAATTTTGAAAAGCAAGCTAATCATCTCTCTTCACAACCAAAAGATGATTTCCTTAGGATACGAGGATTTCCATATAGAGTAGAATTCAAATCTTTGAAGACGCCTTCCATTTGCAGCTCAGAATACAAAGTTGCTCCAGCATGGTCCAGGTACACCACGTCTGCATATTCCCAGCATTACAACATCCAAATCAAGAAACATAGAAGAGAATAGCAAACATCAATTCGAAGAAGAATTGAATTTCCATGAAATTCCAATATCTTTTCTTCTAGAATTAGTTATCTTGGCCCATATTCAAGTACTTATTATACCTTCCTAGATACATAACAATAATCGAACCTCCACAGAAGTCTTTTCCGCACACAAAGACTTGGATTATATTATTGATCATTGGTCTAAAGAAAAGCGAAACGAAATGAAGGGGAAAACCCAAACCTTTCAGTCTTTTGAATTCAGTTGCTCTAATCTGGTCGATGCTTTTGAACCCGTTAGGGTACCCGTAATCCTGCCCGAACTCCTTCAAGAATTTATCTTTCTCAGGGTCGGAATTCATGTTAGAACGCGAATACTGGAACAAAGCCGAACGGAATTTCTACAGAAAGTCGTTTAATCATAAGCGAAAATGAAGATGACCACGACAGCGTGCGTGCGTGCGGTCGCAAGGAACCCGACGGACGGACGGACGGAGGATCCTTCAAGTCGGCTCAAACGCTATGGCGGTGGTCTACTAGAAAACACATTGCAAAAAGACGATCCAAATATACAATCTATTAATTAATTAATATTTTAATATCCTGTTCCTGCTTTTGTGCGGAAAAGAAAAAACACATGTACTGGCTTAGTTAGATTAACTTGGTGTTATTATTACAAAATTGGAATATATGGATGTTGAAGTTATGGGTTTATGCAATTAAATATGGGCCTTGAAAAGAAAGGGAAGCCCAGATCATATGCAAATTGCAATGACAACAAAATTAAAATGGAGGACTGGAGCTTGCTTGCAGATCTTAATGGAAATAATTGTAATGATGAATAAATAGTGGGATGGCAAACACAAGTCACCGTCAAGAGGGAGATTTAAATTATTGGATGACTTTTAGGGATACAAAACATATATTACAGTCAACTTGTGATCAATTCATTGCCCTGCCCTGTCCTGTCCTCCAGGAATTAATGAATTGAAGATCTTCTTCTCTAACTGTGATCATCTGTGGAACCATGGAATCTTCTTCTTCTTCTTCTTCTTTTCTCTCTCTCTCTCTCTCTCTCTCTACCTAATGTGGTGGGATTTCTTTTCCAAAAGTCATCCAGTTATTTCCGCCTCATAAATTTATATATACATGCAGCTCTTATTGCTGCTGTCCTTTTACTATATATATATATATATATTCATGGAGTAACAGTTGATGTATATATGCAGAAAGATTATTTGGGGGTTTGATCCCCACTAAGAGATCATTACATGTGTGTGTTTGTGTATATATATATATATATATATAACCCTCCAGCACCTCAAAGGACAGTTGCTGAACTGCGGCAGCATGATCATGATGGCTATGTTGATTCCATTGAGATTCCAAGGCCTCTCAGTGCTGCTGCTTCATATCACCCATCCTATTCCCTGTTCCCAGTTCCTATTTCTATTCATCACATATATATATATATATTTCATATCTGTATGCATGATCGATACTGTTGCTTTGAAAACGACGACATAATTAGCTAGCTGTTGCTTGAAAACGACCTAACTGTCTACTCCTCCATTCATCCCATGTTGCAGTGCTTGCTATCGAAGGTCGTTAATGGATGAAATCATGATCATCCAACAAATTATAATTAAGGATAGATAGGATTGATTGATTGATTAGTCATAAATCACATGTGTGATAATTAATTTGACACGAGTCGATCCATTTATGATCTCAAGTCTCAATCAACAATTCTTTCTGTTCATCAACTAAAACATGTGGCTCAGATACAAAACCATGAATTATATTAATTAATTGGGCAATCAGATACAGTATCACACAATGTTGGCTATAAATTTCTTGCAGTCATTTCAGTTAGATTTTGAGTGCTCTCTTACGCTGGAAAGAATGCCTGCTTGCCCCTCCCCATTATCTTAGGGTTTCTTCAATTTAATTTCTTCCACATATATATAATTTAATTAATTTATATACGAGTCAATTCAATTTCTTCTCAAACATGTGTGATTAATTATCTATCTTAAAGGGAATTAATTAGTGATTAGCTTATAAAGAATACATAAATTCACACATTGCCATTATTGATCGATCAACGATATCTAATTTCTTTTTTTTTTTTTTTAATTAATTGTATTAAGAAGCTGAAATGAGTACTTTGTACATTGGCATTGCACCCGACGAATATATATATCCATGGATTCTTCCTTCTAGATCTCCAGACGACGAGCATGGAATTAATTAATTAATTAAGTATAATTATAAGTAGGGCAGCTGCACAAGATTATCCATGGCTGCCTGCAACCACTCGTCCTCATCGTCGTATGTCGTCATAAATGAGGAACTTTGTTGATGGTAATGAAAAGCTTCTGCAACATGCTTTGTGCCCACCATCATCTGCTGCATTTCTTCATCTTCTTCTTCTTCAGAGACATTCTTCGCGAATCTTCCCCGGATTCGGACACGCTTGTCTGCTAGGGTTTTCCGACACGCATACTGCATATTTAGATATATATATATCACTATAATTTATTACAAATGATTTAATTATATATATATATGTATGCGTGCCTTGATTGTTTTGTTGAAATTTCTCTGGTTTCTTTTCTTCAGATATCTGAGAATTCTGTCTTTCCTTTCTTCAACGGAATATCGTCCAACCTTCGTCACCTCCGCCGCCGCCGTCTCCTTCGGCTGCACTTAAAACAATCAATAAATAATCAATCCATATGGTAATGAAATCGAAATGAAAAATTTCCAGACATGTCGATTCAAATAAAAAAAAATACCCAATTTTGATCAGCAGCTGCAGGCGTGGGATATTTAGCCGGTGGCCAGAGGTTGGGCACCAACCGGCTGCAGTCATCGCCGGCGAGCGGCGGCGGTTGATAGTCACAGCTGCCAATTTCGATTTCCGACGACATCTGCGGAACAGCCTGCAGGCCGCCGCATTCGGACACCAGCAACTGCTCAGGAAACGAGGTGACCGACACCGGAGAATTGACGTCGTCGTCGTCGTTGAAGCTCGCAAATGCCTGCAATGCGTAATTGACGGATCCTCCGGCGCCGGGATAAGGAAAAGTGCAGAAACAGCCGCCGGCGGCGGGGGAGGAGATGGTGGTGTAGTGGTGGTGGGGAATCTTAGCAGACATTGCAGAAATTAAAGTAAATTATTTGATGTGTGATATATGACAGTACTGTGCTCGCGGAACTGATGAACTCCTTGGTGCTCGCGACTATTTATAGCCTCCACAGACAGAATCAACTTGCATATATATATATATATGTATGTGTGTGTGGCTGTTGTGTGCCGTGGGATAATATTTGTGTTTTATTTAATTATTTATTACTCTCTTTCAAATTTATACTCACTTTATTTTTGAATTGTCATAAAAAAATATTATTATTATTTCTTTTTAAGTAAAAAATTATTATTTTTTTATTTTTTTTATTATAAAAAAATAATAATTATTACTCATTTTTATTAAAATTTATGCCCAATCAAATGAGCATGCATAATAATACTCTGCTGCTAATACTATGTGGAGTCATAATGGTTAAGGTTATGTTGTTGTTATTATTATTATTATTATTATTATTATTGTTGTTATTATTATTATACAGTGTTTTTAATTATATTGAATTAAAGTCAATAATTAATTGAGATGATTTTAGAGGCAATTAAAGGAAATTGCATTCTAATTTTATGTTATTTCAGTTTAAATGCTCTCTTATTTCAACATATATCAATAAAAACACGAGATCAATGGACAACAGATGATTGATCTATAGAGGTATGTGAGAAACTGCTAGCTAACGTTTTTCAGCTGGCTGTTATTTTAGTTTCCGCGCGCCTTCTCTCCTTCTCTCACTGTCTGGTGCCCATGAAGTGCATGATTCTCTCTTTTAATCGCTTAAGTTTCTATCCATTCGCTCCTTAGCGTGATCTAGCCTGAGTTTCACCCTAATACTATTCTGTACGACATTGCATTGTATCTTTGAATTTTTGGTGATTAGAATAATAATAATAGTAATAATAATAAAACAAGAGTAAATAAAAAGAGTTGTCATGTGCTACGGCAGTCCTTGCATGATTCCAAAGCTACTACTATCATATATTATTAAATCCATATTTATTTTTTTTAATAAAAAATTATACTATTACTTCATATGCTATAAAAAAATAAAAATTATTGAATTTTTTCACTATGTATATTTCTGAATTGATGTGTGTTTTTATTATATAGATATGTGAAATTGTATTGATAATATAAAAAAATAGTAATATTATGCCTTGAATTGACTTTTTGTGAGTAAGTAATTTATATATATATATATATATATTATTTATTGTATTAATATATCAATATTATATTATTTAATGCTACACTCTTCTCATTTTAAGGTCTTATTTACTTTTGCGCGTTGAATTTTGAATATTAATTATTATATTAGAACATAGTACAAATTAATAAAAAATTACAAAAATATTTCAATTAGTGTCTTCTAATACTAATAGAAGAACATTTGTATAAAAAAATTATACAAATATAAAAATATTTTAAATATTAAATACAACAACGCAAAAGGTAAATATAACGGAGGTAGTAATATTTATGAGAAATCATTTTATATAAAAACATGTGTTTATTTGACACATTTTACATAATTTCTACTATTCATTAACTTCTCCACAAAATATCAAAAAAATACTTATTTGTTATTTTTTTATATTATACTAAAAATAAATTTTACATTCAAAATTTCAAATAAACATCAATTTATATTATATTGTATAACTCTTAGGATTAAAAATTTTTACTATTCAAATCATTACTGTAACTCAAACCCTGAAACAAATACATCATAGCTAAACAAACCTACTCATTATTACCATTTTAACTATACTCAATTTTGTTTTTGTTTTTTTTTTATTAAAAAAATAAAATAAAATAAAAAACTCTCTTTATAAAGGGAACCAAGAATCTAAAAGATGCTGTGCGACAAAAGATTTTACACCACTCATAAATGCGACCAAGCTTTATCTATTTTCCTTTTCAACAATATTGAATTTTGGACATTTTAGGAAATTAACATCGATTTCCCATTCTATTTAAGCTTTAGTAAAAAAATAATGATATGGTAATAAAGTAGATATATTTATATAAAATAGTAAAATTATAATTACTAAAAAAATAAAAAATATATGTAGATATATACATTAAGACGAGCTCGAGGGAATATTTAATTTCATATATATATATATATCCAAAGATATAGACAGCAAGACAAAGAATATTAGACCAGATGGACATCAACAGCCTTATTTCTGTTGTGCCCTAATTGGGAAATAATAATAATAATAATAATAATAATAATAATAATAATAATCTACTAGCAATGTATTTATTTTGCTATTTTAGTGTCTCAGCTTAATATATCTGTTTTCTTTTTTAATTGTACTTCTTATTTAAATAAAATAAGATTTCTACACTTTATACAATATTAGACAAAAATATATATATATATATATATATAGATGTTGAAATAAATTTGTGGTTTGTTTTAATGAAATTGTTTGAACTTAGGTAGTGTCACTAAAATGTTAAAGGAGTTGAGAAAATATTGATCCCATTGTAATTAATTAAATGAAATAAATAATAATTTGCATTTCATTTTTTAAAAGGTTTCTCGCGCTGAGACATGGCCATTGAGAAAAGTTGTGCATTCTCTAATAGCATATATATATATATATATATTATTAATTAGGATAATTTGGTGGCAAACAACTCAATGTTATTTGTAATAATTTGGACACAATTAATGAATTATAGGAAGAGACATAAATCCAATAAAAATAAAAGGAATATATAAAGAGAATATAAATGTATGTATATATGTGTGCATGTGGTCAAAGATCATGTTAATATACCGTGTCTAGTTTAGGCTAGTCATCGAACAAGATGTCGATGTGACTCCCTTAGATATTATTTGATTTACTCACCCTCTTTACAAAGCTCCGCTGCAAACTCATACTAGACGAATTATGTGTAGCAGGTGATCTAAGGTGTCGGGAGTTTGAATCCATGGCCAGCTCATCCCTCACAGCGCTACTTACTTAATTTATCAAACTCACTCTTGCAAGGTAAAAAAAAAAAAAAAAAAAAAAAGTTTACTTTTATCATTCAAGTCCAATTACCATAAAATAATGGCACTGTCTAATGTATCGTGGTCTTATTCCATCTATTTTTATTAATGTGGGCCTATTTCAAAACTACATGTGTATTTAAAGGGTTTGTGTGGTTGGGTATTTGGATTTGGAATGTAGTTTAGAAAATACAAAGGATTCAAGTTGAAATAGGAAGGTTTGATATGTTAATAATTTTGATATAATATTATTAATAAAAACATATATTAAATTGGATAATTTGTAAAATAAATAAATAAACAATGCAAAATTATATTAGAGTATGTTTATTTTTTGTATTTTTTGACTTATGTGTTTTTAAGTTAGACATGAAATTATATCGATAATATAAAAAAAATAATAATATATTATATTAAATAATAAAATTTTCTTAATCAAATAAAGTATATATATTATATTTTTGTGATATTTATCATAAAAAAAAAAAGAGTTAGATGAACTTTTGCTCTTTTGAATTTTGCAAAATTTCTTTACTAAAATAGTTTTTATAAATTTGACAAAAATATATTCATTCCGTCCATAAAATTTAAGCTCATTTGAGCTGAATACAAATTTTAATAAATATATAATATTATATTCATTAATTATAATATAAAGTAGAAGTATTTTTTATAAAAATATAAATAAAAAAGATATGGTAATATTTGTAGAAAACTATTTTATCTAAAAATACAAAACGACTATTCCATGAATTTCCATAAGCCCTTGTATAATTTACCAAGAACATTTTTATTTTTATTTTTATTTTTTTTGTAATTATAAAAAATCTACAAAATTGTGGTGGTGAGAGTAGATAATGGTTGGACCTACACCATTTAAATATATATAGGTGGCGGTTGGATTAAGTAAGCACAACACTAATCTGACCAACTTAACACACTAATTTAAAATAATTAGTATTTTATCACAAAATATATAATATATATTGTGTTATATAAAAGTATGCATTGTATGAATTATATATTGTGTTATATTGTATAATATATTTATTGTATTGAAATCAATATATTGTGGTATATAAAATTATATAGGGTGTGTTCATTTGTAGGATTTTATCCTACTATTCATCTAAAATTTTTTCCCCAAAAATATTAAATCAAACACCTATTTTTTATTTTTTATATTATACTAAAAATCAATTTTACATTCAAAACATCACATTAACACCTATTTATATCACATCATACAACTATTCAAATTCAAAATTTTTACTATTCAAATCCCAACTCAAAATCCAAAACCCCAAACAAACACACCCGTAATGTGTTTTCAAAATATGTGTTATATATTGTACTATGTTACTCTGTTCGTCCCAATACAATAATCTTGTTTACCATTTTTGTCCATTCCAAAACAATAGTTTCATTTCTATAAATAACCATATCACTGTAAAACAATCCATACTTTTTCATTATTATTACACAATTGTCACTACTTTTCACACTAATATACTCACGGGGACAGACAAGTCATTTATCTTTACTTTTTATCAACTATCAATATAATATCCATATTTTTTAAATTTCGTGTCTAACACAATAAGACTATACTTTTGGAACGGAAGGAATATATAATTTGTTTATTACGTTGAAATCACAATATATTATACTATATAGAATTATATAATGTGTCCAATATACAGACTAACACATGCGATATGTTGTATAAAATAAAGATACGTGCTATTGCTTATACTTATTATGTGATAAATAGAAATATATCATGTGTTAACATAACTATTGTATATATTTGTATGATTTTATATCGTATGTTATATTTGTACTATATTAATATATTAATATATTGTATATAATAATATCGTGTTCTATTATGTCTATTAGCATCTGAAGAGCTGCCAAACAGACCACAATATATATAAGATAAGATGTATATGTTTTTAAAAATATATAAAATCAAATAATTATTTATTTTTATAAAATATGTACATATTTTAACATTTTATCTTATTTTATTTTTAAAATTTTTACTCCAAATACTTTTATGCCGTAGCCCATCATTTTTTTTATTTTTTTATTTTTTGATTTCTTTTTAAAAATTAATAAACTCCGGATAGGCATCCTTGCCACGGGGCTGGCTATGGGAAGGAGCAATCCTTTCAATCTTATCTTATACCATAACTTATATTTCTTTTTAATTTTGTCTTTTTATATAGAAACAAAAATAAAATAATAAAAAATTATTAAATTATAGTACATAAAAAACTTGGTATTATTTTGAAACTAATAAGTTGTATTTTGGAATCTCCAAGAAATCATCATCATCATATAATTGGTACATTGCAATTTAGAGGAGAACAATATTTCATTGGACCAATCTATTATTCATCATCTTATAAATTAATTGGCACTTACTGAAAAAGTATTGTCCACCCATTTATATGTACAATAAATAGGTGAATTTATTATATTACTTCATCCGTTTTAATATAATAGTTATGTTTACCTGTTCGTCCCAAAACAATTTTCATTTTCATAAATAACTATATAATTATAACATTACCCTTATTTTTTTATTATTGTTACACAATTGTCACTGTTTTTTATATTAATACACTCATAAGGGCAAAAAAGTCTTTACCTCGTGTCAAACACAACCCAAACTATAGTTCTGACGGAGGGAGTATTTAATACATCGTGTTAGTTAAATAGTATGTTTGACCGTTTCTATTTAGATGTATTCGTTTCAATATTTTGAAGAATATTTATTATTTATATAAAAACTAGAGGGGAGTCCGTGATATGCACAAGAGATAATTATAAACTTTATTGAATTGTTAAAATTAATTATTATTATATAACAATTAAATTATTTTTAATGTAAACATCATTTGAATAAATTAAATTATTTTAGACAATCAATTTTTAGGATTCTAATATTGAAAATGAATAGATTTTATCTATTAAATGTAAATATTTCAAAAAATGTTATCTATATATAATATTAGTCTCTATTCATATTTTTATAAGCAATTTTTAACATTATAATTTAATTGAAAATTATGTCGATAAGAAGTTTAAGATGTCTGAACAAAGTCAATTTTTATTAACTTGTTACTGTCATTTTAATATAATTAAATTATAAAATAATTTTTTTATTCGGGATAATTATGCCGTATTTTTTATCGGTTAAGTTATGCATAATTCATTTATAATAAAAAAACTATCCACCCGCAATTTTATTATCCTTATTTTTTAATTTTCAATTTCCGGGTAATATAACATAAAAATTCAGACGAAAGAAGTAAAAAATAATGTATAATCTACTTGCATATCTTATATTGAATAATATATTTATATCGGCTAATTTAAATGTTATTATAAAAAATTTGTTTAATCATCTTCTCAATATATTTATCTTTCTAATATTACATATATTTAAAAAAATAACAAAAATAACACATAAATAAAGATTAAAGTCATTTGATTTTTAATTTTTAATTTATGAGACCCACACTCATAAAAAAAAAAAAAAAAAAAATACAGCCTCTCTCTCTCGTGGATTAGAAGGATGAATGTCATTTGATTTTTAATTTTTAATTTTTAATGTGTAAGACCCACAGTTATAAAATTTTTTAAAAAAATAAAAAATCAATAGCCCAAACACTTGCCAATACACTTTCAAGCCTAAATATATATATATATATATATTAGATTTTTCCTTAAAATTTTCAAATTAAATATTTATAACTTATTTTTTTATTAAAATAAAAATTAATTTTACATTAAAAAAAATTACATCAATACTTATTCACATGACATTATATGACTATTTTAATTCAATATTTTTAGTAATCAATTTTAGCTCAAAATTTAAATCTCCAAACAAAAATTGTATTGCATAGATATATTTTTATGTGTAGTCACAAATTTAAATCGAGAAAATGCCAAAATAATTGCCAGGAGCTACCATTGTTACTAATCAATTATTACCATGTGGGGGACGTTTAATTAGAAAAGCATCATTAAATCCTCATATGTCAAAATCGAAATTGTAGGGACAAAGGATAAGTTTTGGCTCATTAAGAAAGCTTTCCTGAAAGCTATAGGTCGACGAAATCATCCATCAGATTTTGTGAGTTCGTACTAAAGTGGGTGCGAGACGTAATTAGCAGACGTCAATTTTCTGTTCGAATCATCTCTTCAGTGATTAATTTGCATTTAAACAGCAGTTACTTCCGACAGTGATTTTAGTTATAAAAACCGACAGAGAAATCGAAATCGAACACATAAAAAATGGCGATTCTCGACTGGATTGAGGTTTTCGTGATGATTCCGGCGATAGTTTTCCTTTTCCGGTGGGCGGACCGGAGGGGGAAGAAGAGGTCGGAGCCGACGACATGGCCTGCGATCGGGATGCTGCCGGCGGCCATCCAGAACTTCCGCCGGCAACACGATTACATCACTGAGGTTCTTACCGATTCCGGGGGGACATTCGAATTCAAAGGCCCCCCGTTTTGCAACGTCGACATGGTCTTCACCTGCGATCCGGCCAACATCCACCATATCTTCAGCAAGAACTTCTCTAACTACCCTAAAGGCCCCGAATTCAGGAAGATTTTCGACATCCTCGGCGACGGAATCTTCAACGCCGATTTTGAGCTGTGGGAAGTTCACCGGAGAACGACGCAGTTCCTTCTGACCGGCGCCGGATTCCACAGGGCCCTGGAAAAGACTGTCTGGGGGAAAGTGGAGACAGGCCTGCTTCCAGTTCTTGACAATTTCTACAACAATGGCGCTGACGTGGATTTGCAAGAAATCTTCCAGAGGTTCGCTTTTGACAACGTTTGCAAGATCGTGTTGGATTACGATCCTCGCAGTTTGTGTGTTCAATGGCCTTTTATTCCCTGCGAGAAGGCGTTCAGCGTCGCCCTGGAGCCGCTGTTTTACAGACATATAATTCCTGAACCTGTCTGGAAGTTGCAGAAATGGCTGAAGATCGGCAGGGAGAAGAAGCTAATGGAATCTTCTTACAATTTCGATCAATTCATCTATTCCCAAATAGACAAAAAAAAGGATTCCAAGTTCCTGACAGCATTCGAAAAAACCTACGAAAGCGTGGGGTCTTCCCGGTGCCTGAGAGACTTCCTGAAGGACACTTCGCTGAATCTAATGTTCGCCGGGAGGGACACGACGAGCACGTGCCTCACGTGGCTGTTCTATCTCATTGCCCAGAATCCCAATTCGCAGACGAAGATTCTAGAAGAAATCAAATCCCAATTGCAAATCCACGGCGGCGAACAATTTAGGTTTAATTGATCTGGACTATGCTATAACTTATAATCAATTATTTTTATTTTATTTTATTTTATTTGAAGGTTCTTCGGCGCGGAGGAGTCAGGGAAGCTGTTGTATCTACACGGGGCATTATGCGAGTCACTGCGGCTGTTCCCGCCGGTGGCGCTGGAGCACAAAGCGCCGGTCCGACCGGACGTGCTGCCGAGCGGCCACCGGGTGAGCCGGGACGCGAAGATTATAGTTTCGTTTTATTCGGTGGGGAGAATGGCGAGTGTGTGGGGAGAAGACTGCCTGGAATTCAAGCCGGAGCGGTGGATATCGACCGCCGGCGGCGGGGGGATCAAGCACGCGCCGTCGTATAAGTTTCCGGCGTTTAACGCCGGGGCGAGGACGTGCCTGGGGAAGGAGATGGCGTTCATACAGATGAAAATGGTGGCTGCCTGGCTGGTCTATCGTTACAGGATTGAATTGGTGGGTGGGCATCGGGTGTTTCCGCGGGACTCCATAATTTTGCAGGCTGTGAATGGATTGAGGGTCAGATTGTTCAGAAGGGGAGATGATGACTGAATCATGACGCCATTTTTACCGTACAGTCTTTAAACAGTTCAATAAAATATTTGCAAATAGAATGTTACCTTCTTTTGAAATCTAATTTTAAACTTTTTTACTATATACTTTTCTGTGATACATCCAAACACCTATTTAATAAAAGTGTGGAGAAATCTGCAGATGGATATATGTATAATTGGAACTGACAAATTTCTGTCTCTATACTGTTTCTTTTTGTTATCTTGGATTTTATATCATTGAATCTGAGTAATTTATGATTTGGATGATGAGTGAAAAATTATCTAATTTAATGATGTTTCCTTAGGCTGGTTATTCCATACAATTATTTTTATTACAATAATCATGATAAAAGTTGAAATTACTAACCCCTTTTGAATGAAATTTTATTATTACAAAGTATATTTTTATTATTTTTTAACTGTGTTATCGTTGGAAAATATATATATAATTTTATAAAATATCATATCGTATATTATTTTAATATATTTATAAAAAAAATATACCTTTAAAATTTCAATATAACAAAATCGAGCGCCTGAAATTTCTTTTTTTTTTATTTATTTATTTTTATTTTTTGAGAAGGGAAAACACGTAGAAAAGGACAATCCGGTCGGCGGTAGCCTACACACAAAATCCAAAGTACACCGAGTGTGTTTGTTTGGGGGTTTGGATTTTGGATTGAGATTTGAATAATAAAAATTTTGAATTTGAATAGTTGTATGATGTGATATAAACAGGTGTTGATACGAAGTTTTGAATGTAAAATTGATTTTTAGTATAATATAAAAAAAAAAAATAGGTGTTTAATTTAATGTTTCTGAGAAAAAAATTTAGATAAATAGTAGAATTTTAACAAAATCCTACAAACAAACAAACCCCAAAAAAAATCACTATAGTAATCGAATATTTATTTTGATTAAACATCCTAATCTAATAATCATTACATGTAGCATGTAGAGTTGCCAGATTTTTGTGAGAATCCGAACGCAGATCCACTTTTACATCAAAATTTTCTACGCATAAATCGAACAATTAAATCCCATATCTTTCAAGATTTGTTTAGGGTATAAGTACAGTGGCGTGGGAATGCTCAACAAAACATAACACAACAATTTAAATTAACCAATTCCCCATTCAGCTCAACCTTATGGCTATGGTTATGGCTGTGGTTGTATTAGTCCTTCTCCCTATACTGTTTCTATATTATTATTACAAAATGCGAACTGGATCGATACTTACCGATTGGCCGGTCGTCGGGATGCTGCCGGGGGGCTACTGAAGAACCGTGCCGTAGTCTTCGACTTTGTGACCAAGGTCATTAAGCAGCAAGGCGGCACGTTTTATTTTAAAGGGCCTGTTTTTGGAAACATGGATATGATGATCACCTCGGATCCTGCTAATATCAACTATATATTGTGCAAGAACTTTCCCAACTTCGGAAAAGGCCCCGACTTCAACCAGATATTCGAGGCCCTCGGAGATGGGATATTCGCTGCGGATTCAGAGTCATGGGAAGTGCAGAAGAAAATTGCTAAGGCTCTGATGAACAACGCGGGTACCAACCGTTTGTCGCTGCAACTATTTGGAAAAAGCTTGAGACAGGGCTAATGCCAATTCTGGAGAATGTTTCGGAAAATGGAATTGTGGTCGATTTACAAGAGCTGTTCCGGCGCTTCACTTTCGATTGTTCTTGTGTTACAGTTATAGGCCATGATCCAGTCTCATTGTGCAAAGAGATGCCTCATTTGCCTTACGAGAAAGCCTTCGAAATTGCCGAGGAAAGCATCTTGTACAGACATATGCTCCCGGCAGCTCTGTGGAAGACACAGAAGTGGCTACGAATTGGCAGAGAGAAGAATCTGATCCAAGCCATGGATGCTTTTCTTCAATTTTTATAGTATTGGATATCAGAGAGACATCGACAAATTAAGGTAGAGGATACATCGATGGACATGCTCGCACGTTTCATCAAAGTGCTGGAGAACGATAAGGCTGTTGTTGATCCAGCGAATATTGTGTCTGAAAAAGTTTTGGAGGATTCAATGCTGAATTTTGTCTTTGCTAGAAAGGACACAATCAGTGTCACGCTCACTTGGTTCTTCTGGCTGCTCGCGACCAATCCTGACGTGGAAGAAAATATCCGAAACGAGATCAAAGCAAATTCAGGGGAGCATTGAACAAATTGATTTACCTGCACGACGCAGTGTGCGAAACATTGCGCCTATTTCCATCGATACCAATTCAGCACAAAGCTCCATTGAAGGATGATATTCTTCTGAGCCGGCATCCGATCAAGGCGAACACTAGAACACTGATGTTCTTCTACTCGATGGGGAGAATGGAATCGATTTGAGGCGAAGATTGCCTCGAGTTCAAGCCGGAGCGATGGATTTCTGAGGACGGACGTATCAAGATTGAACCTCCTTACAAGTTCACGGCGTTTAATGCCGGGCCGCGGACATGTCTGGGGAAGGATGCCACTTTCTTACAAGTGAAAATCGTGGCAGTGGCGATGATCAGCCGGTTCAAGTTTGAGGTAGCAGAAGACAATCCAGCACAGCCGAGTGAGTCTGTCCTCCTCCACATGAAACATGGCCTCAAGGTTAAGGTTTCAAAGAATGTGTAATTGATCATGCAAGTACAACAATCGTTGGGTATTGATTGTGGTAGATATATGATATTTGTAATCGACAACGGCTACATCCAATGAATTATTACTTAGCGGCTTCACTCGTTGCTTATACTTATTATACATATGTTTAGTTTTGAATTATGATGATGAGTTTGATGAGATTTTCATTGCTACCATTACTCACTTGCTACAAAGACTTGGATACTCAATCTACATTGTTAGCGCGACTTATCCGTCGGGCCTAATAATATGAATTATTATTATATTATTATTATTGTGTCACATAAGAAATAGTCTGGTAGTATGAATTATTATTATTATTATTTAATTTATCCATAATATAATTTCGATTGAAGTATATATTTCATTTGAAAAAATAAATAAATAAGAGATACAAATATATATATATATATATATACACATACATATATTTTGATAACGAACCCGCAACCGCTGGTCGACAAATGCGAAGTTGAGACTATCCCCTCCTCCCTCCTCCCTCCTGCTACCTACTCTTTTATTGGCGCCTTAAAAACCTGCCTTATTTAGGTAATTTCAATTTCCATCTAGGGTTGGGCATCAGGACAAATAAATACTAGTAATAATGGACACATGGCATTCTTTGTCCCAATTCTATTTTCAGAATTTTATTGATGCATAAAACTTTACTTAGATTGTATCCTAGTTCCTGAATTATTCAACACAGGGCCAAGGACTTGTCTTGCAGCAGATTCATAATTAGCACAATAAATTTATTAATAGGATACATTAGAATATGAGTTGCAGTATGTATATATAGATATAGTGAGCAGACATGCACAAAACATAATCAACTAATTTCCCTTTCAGCTCAACCTGTGGCTATGGCTATGGCTGTGGCTCTATTAGTAATTCTCCCATTATTGTTTCTATATAACACCAGAAAGCGACTGGGCTGCATACTTTCCGATTTTCCGGTTGCCAGGATGCTGCCGGGGCTACTGTGGAATGGTGCTGTAATCCACGACTTCTTGACGGAGATCATAAAGAAGCACGGCGGCACATTTTATTTTAAAGGGCCTGTCTACGGCAACATGGACATGATGCTCACCTCTGATCCTGCTAATGTCAACTATATATTGTGCAAGAACTTCCCAAACTTTGGCAAAGGTTCCGAGTTCAACCAGATATTCGAGCCCCTCGGAGATGGGATATTCGCTGCGGATTCAGAGTTATGGGAAGTTCAGAAGAAAATTGCTAAGGCTCTGATGAACCACGCCGGGTACCAACCGTTTGTCGCTGCAACTATTTGGAGGAAGCTAGAGACAGGGCTAATGCCGATTCTGGAGAAGGTTTCGGAAAATGGAATTGAGGTCGATCTACAAGAGCTGTTCCAGCGCTTCACGTTCGATTGTTCTTGCACTACAGTTATAGGCCACGATCCAGTCTCATTGTGCGATGAGATGCCTCATTTGCCTTACGAAAAAGCCTTTGAAATTGTCGAGGAAACTGTCTTGTACAGACATCTGCTCCCAGCAGCTGTGTGGAAGATGCAAAAGTGGCTGCAATTTGGGAGAGAGAAGAAGCTTACACAAGCCATGGATGCTCTTCACCAATTTTTATCGTATTGGATATCAGATAGACGACGACAAATTAAGGCACACAACACATCTATGGACGTGCTCACACGCTGCATCAAAGTGCTGGAGAACGACAAGGCTGTTGTCGATCCAGAGAATATCATTTCCGAAAAAGTTTTGAAGGATTTGATGCTGAATTTGATCTTCGCAGGAAAGGACACAATCAGCGTCACGCTCACTTGGCTCTTCTGGCTACTCGCGACCAATCCTGCCGTCGAAGACAAGATCCGAAACGAAATCGCAGCAAATTCAGGGGAGCCTGGAAATTGGACATTCGCCGGAGCTGATGCAATGAACAAATTGATTTACCTGCACGGCGCAGTGTGCGAAACATTGCGCCTATTCCCACCGGTACCAATTCAGCACAAAGTTCCATTAAAGGACGATGTTCTTCCGAGCGGGCATCCGATCAAGGCGAGCACTAGGACACTGATGTTCTTCTACTCGATGGGGAGAATGGAATCGATTTGGGGAGAAGATTGCCTCGAGTTCAAGCCGGAGCGATGGATTTCTGAGGACGGGCGAATCAAAATTGAACCTTCTTACAAGTTCACGGCGTTTAATGCCGGGCCACGGACCTGTCTGGGGAAGGACGTCAGTTTCTTACAAGTGAAAATCGCGGCGGCGGCGGCGATCAGCCGGTTCAAGTTTGAGGTAGCGGAAGGTCATCCGATACAGGCGAGTGAGTCTGTCATACTCCACATGAAACATGGACTCAAGGTTAAGGTTTTGAAGTACGTGTAATTGATCTTATACAACTAACTTTGGCGCCAATATTTTTAATTTGTAGTTGCAAGGAATAAGCTGAGCTATCTATTGATGTCTTTTTCGTATGAACATATTGCAGAATTAGAAAACAAAGAAATTATGTTGTTCAGCAAGGGATGATTCGGTGGTATGGGATCAACTTGTAATAGTAAGGTTATGATTAAATAAATAAGGTTTCACTAATTTTTATTTTTTTTTATAACATAGGAATTTACAATTGCTATTTGGCGCTATAAGTAAATTTCGATCGAACCTAACCGTTAGTAAATTAGACTAGACAAGACAAATCAGAGGAAAGGAATCATGGATTAGGATGGAATTATTTTTTTGCATGCATTATAGCTTCACATTTTTCTTTTGGTGGGAGCCGAGATTATCCCATCCTGCTAGCTACTCTTTTATTGGTGCCTTAAAAACCTGCCCTATTTAGGTACTAGGGTTGGGCACAAGGGCTGTCCAACTAATTCTTATAATAATAATAATAATAATAATGATGAGAGTCCTGTAAAGTACGATCAAGGTGTTGAGGTTGGACGTGTGACCGTGAAGTTATGGGTTTAAATTCTCAGTCATTTACCACACATGGTTTCCACGTCATAAAAAAAAAATTACTTTCTGAAAAGGATTATTTTGAAAAAATTTTGAATGCAAATATTTAACTTTACTTATTTATTTTTTTTATATTATAATCCAAAAATATATTCATATTTTATTTTAGAATGACATATATAAATATTACATTTTATATTAATTAATAAATATTAAAAATAAAATAAATTTAAATAAATAAATAAATACTATCAAGAAAAAGATTATATAAAAATTTTCAATTCATATATTAAATTTATCATTTTTAACATATATATATTGTTGTCAATTTTTAAATAAATTTAAATTTACCTGCAAAAATTAAATATATAAAATAAGTTTTTTTTTTTTAGTTATTAAGTATTTGACATATATTATATATATATAAATATTGGGTGTTTCCACTCAACATTTTTCTAGCGATATAATTTCTAATAAAGATCATAATAATATATACATATATATATAATCTACTTAAAAAAAAAAAAAAAAAAATTACATACATCCAAAACATACAAAGTAAATACACCCTAGCTACTCATGAAACTTAATCAACCATATAGTTAGAAATACCCAAATTTTTCTAGAGGTGTGTTCATCTTGTATTTTTGGATAAAATATATTTTTTATATTAAGTATGAAGAAAGGTGTTAGTAATATAATTAAAAAAAATAATAATAATATTTTATATTAAATTGTTAAAGTATATATATATTATATATTGTATTTTTTTTTGATAATATTTATAAATAATCGTAACAAATAGATTGAATGAATAAATCTGCTAGTACTCCACATTTGGTGGGTTTGAGCTGTCTGATTTAATCCAAACCAATTGAAAGATCTAAGCCACCTGCGACTGTTTTAAATAACTAAAGTCATATTTATATGTACTCTTAGAAATATTAATGTGTGATGGAGTGTGTTTTTTTTTTTTTTTAATTAATGTGTGATGGGGTGTGTTTTTTTTGTTTTTGTTTTTTTTTTTTTGTTTTTTTTTTTTTTTTTTGACAAATTTGGAAAAAACTTGGTTTGAATTTGATATAAAAATAATATTTGATGGAATATTTTGTAAGAAAAAAATATATATATCTTTTTTTTAAACACAGAGTAAAAATAGTAAAATTTGAAGAAACTTTGCAAAAGAAAGAATATGAAATAATATTAAATAACTTGGATGTTACTCTCTTTCTCCCACACATAAGTATCAATTTTTTCTATTTCGGTTTGTCTCACATAATATTTATTTTTTTAAAAAAATAATTATATTTTAATCATATTTTAAATTTTATAATTTATATATTGTTTTTAATCATAATTAAATTATTTCATTATCTTAATTTTAATTTATATTATATAATAATTATTTTTATTAATATATTTTCGTAATTATTTATTAATTATACATATCTTAACTTCTTGTGCCTATAGTAGCAAACACTTTGTGGAATGTAAAAAATATTTATAAATACGAGAAGTTATATAAAACATAACTTGAATATAATATGCAAAAATTGAAGTTTATAGTTGAATTAAAATTATTTTATAATCGACTGCATTTACGAAGTAATATGTTGGATATAAACTAGCTAAGAAAATCCCACATTTCTCTCAGGTGAGATGGGATAGGTTCAGAGAAATATCAATGTGTGATGAAGAGCTTACTTTAATTTATACTAATAAAAAGAAAATTAACCAAAATAATGATGATAATAATAAATCTATGTGTTAGAGAAACAATGAACCATGTTTATGTTATGGGATTACTATTCCATATTTGATTACTTTCCTAACAAACACTACACAATTCCTACACTTTGGTGTTTAGGTATGGATGTTATGCACCTAAACTATAAATATTTATTTTATTTTTTTTTATAACGTGGGAATTCGCAGCAGCTATTGGGTGTGATTTGGGTAAATCTCCGATCGGATCTAATAGCATGTAAACTAGATTTGACATGATAAGTTACACTAGACGAACATTTATAACAGACAAGATTTATTTTATTTTTTATGTTTTAATAACGTGGAATCCTCAACAGTTATTCATCAGATGCGTTAAATCTCGGCCATACCTGATAGTCTGCAAACTAAGCCAGTCTAATACCTACAATAAATCACAAAATACAATACAAGTAAAATCTTAATAATTCAGAGTAATAAATGAATATTTATTCCAAGTAAATATCCTAGTTTGACCACTATTTTACTGTTTCATATAGCAGCATGAGTTAATTTAGTTGCAAGTCCTTGTTCAATCCGAACAAATATCCACTTCTATATGTCGAATATATACACACATGTTAAATTTATGTAATAGCATGTCATATAATGCATGCTTAATATTTACTAAGATACATATATATTGAATTTCTCAAGAAAATAAAGATTGTTTGATGGTTATGATCCAATTTTACAATTCATAAATTTATTTCATAAAAAAATTAAATTAAATATTTGTTTTTTTTTTTTTTATTATTTACGGTCAGGTGGTGTGGAGGTTGGATTTTTTTACAGTAAGTGCATGGGTTCAAACCCCAGACGCTTCAGATCACTTGTCTGTCAGACCTAGTTTTCAGAGTATTAGGTTCGGTTGAGGTTTACCCAGTGCGCCACTTTCTGGTAGCCGAATTTCCTAGTCGTAAAAAAATATATATATATTTTTTATTATATATTGATGTGATATTTTTTGTGAAAAAATAGTATATTTTTATTAAAAATAATTATGATAATTTGTGTTTATTTGAATTTGAAAGAGTATAAAGAACAAACCCTAATGCCCACCCTTATATATACACCACAATGCACGTAAACTAATTAAACTCATTAGCAGATTCCACAGACAGTTGATCTCAGCCCTTGGCATTAAGCTTTTGTGCAGCTCATCAGCATCGATCACTTCATACCCTCAATTAGTTATGTCTGCAATTGCAACTGTGGCTCTGTCTGTCTTCGTCTTCCTCTCATTACTGTTTCTAACTCTATGCTACACCAGAAAGCGAAGATGATCCATACTTACCGACTGGCCGGTTTTCGGCATGCTGCCGGTGTTAGAAAATAAACGTATAATCAAATATGTTAGCGGAAGCGGAATTTAAACAAATCTTCAGCCATTGCTAAAAATTAAAGTTATTTTCGATATTTTTTCTTCAAGCAAACAATAGATTCTATACGAGAGTATTTATAATAAAAAAAGAGAAACCGTCCATCACGATTTTTCTGCCACTTCTCACGTATATTTTGAATGTGATACACTTAATGGAAGAAATTCAAAAATAATCAAAATTCAAATATGATTAATTAATTAATTAAACTAACAGCCGGGGCTACTGAAGAACCATGCCCGAGTCTTCGACTTCGCAACTGAGATCTTGAAGCAGCATCGCGGCACATTCTTCATCAAAGGGCCTGTCTTTGGAAACATGGATATGATGATCACCTGTGATCCTGCAAATATCAACTACATATTGTGCAAGACCTTTCCCAATTTCGGAAAAGGCCCCGGTTTCAAGGACATATTTGCTCCCCTGGGAGATGGAATATTCATTGCAGAATCGGAGTTATGGGAAAACCAGAGGCGACTCTCCAAGTCTGCCATAAACCACGCCGGTTTCCAAGAGTTTGTCGCCGCGGCTACGTGGAAGAAGCTCGAGACAGGACTAATTCGGATTCTGGAGCATTTTTCGGATAATAGAATGGCAGTGGATTTACAGGACCTGTTCAAGCGATTTACCTTTGATTGTTTCTGCATTACACTTTTAGGACACGATCCTGCTTCGATGTCGAAAGATTTGCCTCATTTACTCTATGAAAAAGCCTTTTCGATTGCAGAGGAAGCCGGGTTGTACAGGCATTTGCTGCCGGGAGTTGTTTTGAAGACTCAAAAATGGCTTCAAATTGGCAGAGAGGGGAAGCTGAGCCAGGCTATGGAAGCCATTGATGAATACTTATCTTTCTGCATATCACTCAAGCACGACGGACACATGAATTCAAACGATCCTGACTTACTAACAAGTTGCTTGAAAGCGCTAGCCGAGAAGGAAGCTAATGTAATTTCCAAGAAAGTGTTGAAGGATTTGATGCTGAATTTGATCTTTGCAGGAAAGGACACGATCAGCGCCACGCTTAGCTGGCTCTTCTGGCTGCTCGCGACCAATCCAGCCGAGGAAGAAAAGATTCGAAACGAGGTTGTAGCAAATTCAGGGGAGCCTGGAAAGTGGACATTTAACACCATGGATGGTCTGAACAAATTGATTTATCTGCACGGCGCAGTGTGCGAAGCGCTGCGCCTGTTTCCGGCGGTGGCAGTTCAGCACAAGTCTCCATTGAAGCACGATGTACTTCCGAGCGGGCATCCCATCAAGGCGAACACTAGGACATTCCTAATCTTTTACTCGATGGGGAGAATGGAATCGATTTGGGGTGAGGATTGCCTGGAGTTCAAGCCAGGGCGATGGATTTCCGAGGAAGGACGGATTAAGGTGGAGCCGGCGTACAAGTTCACGGCCTTTAATGCCGGGCCAAGGACGTGTTTGGGGAAGGATGTCAGTTTCTTACAAATGAAAACTGTGGCTGCGGCCATGATCAGCCGGTTCAAGATTGAGGTGGCGGAAGGGCATCCGGTGCAGCCGAGTGAGTCGATCATTCTCCACATGCGACGTGGCCTCAATGTTAAGGTTTCGAAGTATGCCTAATTCATAATCATCGTAAAAGTAAGTTACCGTTGGAATGGCAACCGCTACTTCAATCCGTTACCAGTGTTCATGTTCGACATATATATAATTTGTCGATCAAATAAATTGAACTTTATATAACCACAAATTAGTATGTTGTTGTCTAAAGAGATAGCTGGAGTTACATGCAGGTTTCTAGTTTATTTTATTGATCCAAATTTTATATATGTTTTCAATATAAAACGACAAGAAGGTCATAGGGAAGAAAAACATGAAAAAGCATGTCCACTCCAAATGAGGGATATTAGTCTTACATTCTTGGTAAGAAATTCCCAAATTTAAACAAGAAACAAACAGACCACCTTGTCAAAATCGTCTCTATCTGTTTTTAGAGTGTTGGGATAGAAATGGTAAGAGGTTGAAGGACGCAAAGGTGCAAGATAAAATATTCACATAAAATTTAGAGCATAATAAAAAGATAATGTAATAAAAGTAGTAAAAATTATAGTAAAGAAGTATTAAATATAATGTAATAAATAAATGTTAAAATTATGATTTTATCAAAATTGATAATGTACTAAATTTAATATTACACACGGGCTAAAATAGTGAAATTTATATTTTATTAAAGTATATAATCTTTTTAGATATTCAAATTTTGTTTTATATTATTGTAATAAATGTATATTGCATAACTCGATTACAATTAAACAATATTTTATTACTCAATAGTAAAATTATAGTTCTAACAACACCTCTCAACAATCAAATCCACCCTTAGGCTTTAGTTATATCTCTTGTCTATCACTTTTCAAAGCTCAAATGGTCAATGATAAATTATTGTAGAGTGAGAGTAGATTAGCATATGCACTCAAAGGTTTGGTTTTTTCCTTTTTACATTTCTTGGAAAAGAAGAGGAGCTCAAGGCACACAACATCAAACCAACTTTCAAGGGGAAATTGAAATGATTTGATCACCTATTATCATTGTAGAGATTGTTCTAAGCTAAGCCCGAGAGTTCTTATTGCCGTTGAAGCGTGAAAATAAACGAAAAATACACAAAGGTTGTTGATCTATATCAAACCTTTTACATATGAGAACTCCAAGCCAAATCACCATAAACCTATTACCGAGTTAAATATGAACAAATACACCAACAAATACCAAATTACGATTATTATCTCTTACAAATTTTTTTACAACACATTGCAAAATGTTAAATAAAACATACCTCTATTATTTGTTTTGGCATACGGACATAACTCATTCACCTGCAGCCGTTGTGATCAAATTTCAATTATAGCAATTGTCCAACCTAGGTTGCAAACAGATAGATAACACACAGACATGAACTACTTTTTCTCATCTGTTCATATATGAAATATAGACAAAAAAGTTGGACGGAAAAGTCAAAGTAGTGTCAAACATGTAGACAAGCAACCTATTCCATATCAGTACAAAAAAATTTACTTGGTTTGATTTTTTGAGTCAACTAGATAGCTGCAAAATCAGTCTTGGCAACCTTGTGATCAAATTTGAGAGACAAAATTAAGAGAGAGAAATTATAGACTCTGCTCTCTTTCCATCTTCATATTTTGAATTTGTGTATAACATTTAATCTCGTTTGCGGATGTAGTTATCAGAGGTCTAACAAGAGAATATGACACTTTGTGTCTATTGTCAGTATGCGCTTGTAACAATCAGAACATGTGAAAGTATTCCAAAGTTAGCCATTGTAGAAGAAATATGTTGAAAGAGTTTGGTGTTGTTCTTATTCTGCAATCAAAATTGATTATAGTTGAATTACTCTTGGATTAAGATCCATATAGATTGATTTATAACTGAACTAATGAACAAACACTTGTTTCATTTATTTATTTAAAGTTTTGTATTTATTTCGTTGAAAGTATATTATTAATACTATAAGTTAACCACATTGTTGACTCATTTTTTTTATGTCCAAAGGAGATTTAATCGAGCCTCATTTTCCAACACATAAGAAACCATCTATTAATAATAGTTGAAAATAAGTGAGCTTTCCGGATGGTTTTCATATCCGGTTGAATTTCTATTTTCACCGATTCAGGTCAACTTGTAAACAAAGCTCGAGGATATGTTAAGCATACGAAGAAATGAAAGATTCATTTAAAAGAACACATAATAATTTCTTTTACTAGAAACATTTTCTCAATTTATCCACTTACACCTTCAACATAATAATATTTTTTCTTTTTTCATTTAAAGTCGTCTATAAAGTATTTATCTATTTTTTCAGTTAGTATAATCGGACTACACATACAAGCCAGTCTCAAATTTATACTTGTTACATCAACATAATTACATTAATTTATATATCAATGGCAAAATAGTCTTTACATAGAAAATCATACAACCAACTATTATTAAAATACAATATTGATTAGACTTCACTTAAGAAAATAATATATATATATTTCAAACAGATTGAAGTATTATTATATAATCTCTTAATTTTTCTTCTAAAATAGTACCATATCTAATATCCATCTTCTAAAAATAAATAACTAGAAAGCATTCTTTTCTACAAGTAATCCACAAAAAATAAAAATAAAAATAAAAATTATCTTATTATTGTTGTCATCTCCCCTATATTATAACTCTGCAATCTGAAATTTGAATTATTTTAAATCAGTATTTTTGTAATTTATAAATATTAAGTATTTTTTGTTTATCTTCATCCAAAAATACGATTATCGTAATTTTCTTGATAAATTGTCTCGGTAACTAAGAAAATCCACCAAAATTATAGATATCAGTCCTCTTTATATTAGGAGTATTTGAACAATATTAATAATTAGTCATAAAAAATAAAGTTTAAATACATTCATCAAACGTGTACACAATAATTTATTTATTGCCGCGGGGGGACACGATTAAGTCCAAGTTAAGTGTACCCAATTTGTATGCATGTTACTGAATTTCATGTCTGTCCATAAAGGCCGTTCTTAACTTTTATGAACCCTTGGGTGTGTTTGGGACAGGGAATTGGCATCGGATAAATGGAAACAGACCTATATTCAGAGAAATAGAGAGAAATGATGTTTCCGTATATATTTTTTTATTTTTTTATTTTTTTTTACTATTTAATTTTTATAATTATTTATATTATATTATTTCATTTTTACAAAATTATTTTTAATTTATCATTCAAGTATTTAATTTTTTACAAAAATTTATATTAAAATAGGATCTTACAAAACTTTGTATATAATTTATAATTTTTTATTTTAAAAAAAGTCACCATAAATATTTTTTCATGATTCTCACTCGCTAAGACTCTCTTTTGTTAGATTAATCATTTATTCTTGTTTGATCCATTCAATTTTTTTTTTTTAATTTCTCAACTGAATTCTCTATTCTCCCAAACAAGAGAATTAATTCTCATTCTCTCCTCAATTCTTTTTCTCTCTCATTCCATTCCCTATCATCATTTCTCTACAATTCCATTCTATGTACCAAACGCCCTTAGGGTCTCCTTAGGTTCTGTTTGGTTCAAATGAATATAGGAGAGGGGAAGGGAGGGAAGGGAATGAAGGCGAGTGGAGGGAAGAAAATATTAAATTGTAATAAAGTGTTTTGGTTCATATGGAATGAAAGGGAAGGGAGATGAGGCAAAATAGAATGAAGAGAATGAAAAATATAATAATTTTACTGTTTTATATTTATATTGTATAAATAAATAAAAATAAAAGTATATAATAAAATTTTATTAATTTATTAATAAAACATCAATTTTGATATAAGAATAACGTAGTTTGTTTTAAAATAAGTATATATATATTTATATCATATAAATAAAACATAAATAAAATAAAATTATATGTAAAAAAATTGATCATATAATAACAAAATAATCATTTTAATATAAATTTTATTGTTAAATAAATATAATAGATATAAATTTATTTTACTAATTAAAACCTACTCTTATGGTTTAATTAAACAATTAAATTAAAATTAATTTAACTTAATTTTATTCATATAAAATTTTATTTTATAATTTAATTATATTATAAAATTTAAAAATATTATAACTAATTATTAATTAAAATACGTATAATATAATTTATGTATAACTAAATACAAAAATATATAATATTAAAGATATAATAATAATTTTATAAAATAAAAACATAAACATCTTCTCTGCCCTCCAAATTATTGGGGAGGAAAAACAAAATAAGTTCATTTTATATTTCATCCCTTCCTTTCTCCTCTTTTTTTAAAAAATAAAATTGAACCAAATGAGTAATTATAAATTTTTTTATTTTCTTCCCTCTCTGCTCCTCCAAATTCAACAAATCAAACAGACCCTTAGAGCCCAATGAAAGTAAAGCGTACGCTGTGTATGTCTCAATCCATACAAATTCAATTTGGTGTGTTAGATTGATTTTGAATTATTATTACTATACTAAACATAGAAATAAATAAATATATATATATATTTTTTATTGTGAGGATTGAGGTGTGTGACCATAAAATTATAGGTTTAAATCTCTACCGTTGGACTTAGTTTGCATAGTATTCTTAAAAACGGTTATTTATATCATCTAACAAAATCAAATAAAATAATTTTTTTTAAAAAAAAAGTAAAGAAATTCCATTTTAAAAAAGAAATAGTTATATGAAAATTAGTAATTATATAAAAAAATAAATAAAAGATGTTTTCATCCCATATTGTTTTAGCTACAGATTTATGATGAATATTATTTTAGAGTATAAAATATATATATATATATGTATACTAATAATTATTTATAATATATAATATATTATTCAAAATCAAATGCTCAATATAAAATATTATTTTTAAATTTATCGATACAATTGCTCGACTGAACAGAAGTGACAAATTTTTCAAAAATACAAAACAATACAAAAAAAAAGTTATGTTAATATAAATTATTCTTTTGGTGAATTTTAATAATTTCTCTTAAAATTTTATAAATAGTTTTAAAAAATATTTAATATTACTAAAAATATGGAGTATTTAATTTTACATTTTATTCAAAATTTTACTCCATGATTTAAAAATGTTACTATTCCTATAATAATAATAATAATAAATTTGAATGTTTAGATAAGTACCTAAAAGGTTCAGATTGGATTTAGATAAATTCGAAATATCGGTGGCAGACCTGAACTATGAAAATAAAAAATACACAAACATGCCCACCCTTATATACTTACACACAATGCCGTAAACTAATTAAACTTATAATTCAGATACCACAATCTCAGGCCTTGCCATTAATTAAGCTGTTGTATCATATGTGCGGCTCATAGTCATCACCATCGACCATTTCATAGTTCATACCCTCAATTAGTAATTATGTACGCAATTGCTACTGTGGCTCTGCCTCTCTTCATCTTTCTCATCTCATTACTGTTTCTAACTCTATGCTACACCAGAAAGCGAAGCAGATCCCTACTTACCGACTGGCCGGTTTTCGGCATGCTGCCGGGGCTACTGAACAACCGAGCCCGAGTCTTCGACTTCGTGACTGAGATCTTGAAGCAGCATCGAGGCACATTCTTCGTCAAAGGGCCTGTCTTTGGAAACATGGATACCATGATCACCTGTGATCCTGCAAATATCAACTACATATTGTGCAAGAACTTTCCCAATTTCGGAAAAGGCCCCGGTTTCAAGGACATATTTGCTCCCCTGGGAGATGGAATATTCATTGCAGAATCGGAGTTATGGGAAAACCAGAGGAGACTCTCCAAGTCTGCGATAAACCACGCCAGTTTCTACGAGTTTGTTGCCGCGGCTACCTGGAGGAAGCTCGAGACAGGACTGATTCCGATTCTGGAGCATTTTTCGGATAAGAGAATGGCAGTGGATTTACAGGACCTGTTCAAGCGATTCACCTTTGATTGTTTCTGCATTACAATTTTAGGACACGATCCTGCTTCCCTGTCGATAGATTTGCCTCATTTACTCCACGAGAAAGCCTTCTCGATTGCAGAGGAAGCCGGGTTGTACAGGCATTTGCTGCCGGGAGTTGTTTGGAAGACTCAAAAATGGCTTCAAATTGGTAGAGAGGGGAAGCTGAGCCGGGCTATGGAAGCCATTGATGAATACATATCTTACTGCATATCACTCAAGCATGACGGACAAATAAATCCGGTCGAACCTGACATACTAACAAGTTGCTCAAAAGCGCTAGCCGAGAAGGGAGCTGATGATCCAGCAGCTAATATAATTTCCAAGAAAGTGTTGAAGGATTTGATGCTGAATTTGATCTTTGCAGGAAAGGACACGATCAGCGCCACGCTTACTTGGCTCTTCTGGCTGCTCGCGACCAATCCAGCCGAGGAAGAAAAGATTCGAAACGAGGTTGCAGCAAATTCAGGGGAGCCTGGAAAGTGGACATTCAACACCACAGAAGGTATGAACAAATTGATTTATCTGCACGGCGCGGTGTGCGAAGCGCTGCGCCTATTTCCGCCTGTGGCAGCTCAGCACAAATCTCCATTGAAGGATGATGTCCTCCCAAGCGGGCATCTGATCAAGGCGAACACTAGAACATTCCTAATCTTCTACTCAATGGGGAGAATGGAATCAATTTGGGGCGAGGATTGCCTGGAGTTCAAGCCAGGGCGATGGATTTCCAAGGAAGGACGGATTAAGGTGGAGCCGGCGTACAAGTTCACGGCGTTTAATGCCGGGCCGAAGACATGTTTGGGGAAGGATGTCAGTTTCTTACAAATGAAAATGGCGGCAGCTGCGATGATCAGCCGGTTTAAGATTGAGGTGGCGGAAGGGCATCTGGTGCAGCCGAGTGAGTCGATCATTCTCCACATGCGACATGGTCTCAATGTTAAGGTTTCCAAGTATGCCTAATTCATGATCATCGTAAAAGTAAAAGTAAGTAGCCATTGGAATGGCAGCAGCTACTTCAATCCGTTACCAGTGTTCGTGTTCGACATGTACATATTTTGTCGATCAAATAAATTGAAGTTTATATATATAACCACAAGTTACTATGTTGTCATTTATTTTATTGATCCAAACTTTATATTTGTTTCCAATATAAAACGACAAGAAGCTCATAAGAAGAAAAACATGAAAAGCATGTCCACTCCAAATGAGGGATGTTAGTCTTACATTCTTGGTAAGAAATTCCCAAATTTGAACAAGAAACAAAAAGACCACCCTGTCGAATTCGTCTCTATCTGTTTTTAGAGTGACGGGATAGAAATGATAACAGGTCGAAGGACGTAAAGGTGCAAGATATTCATTCACAGAAATATAATAATAGAGATAATATAATAAAAAATAGTGAAAATTGTACTAAATAACTATTAGAGAAAGTGTAATAAGTAAATGCTAAAAATTTAATTTTGTCAAAATTAGTAAAAGATTAAATTTAATATTACATATAAACTAAAAAGAAGAGTAAAAATAAATTTATCTTATGAAAAGAGTATATTGTATTAAAGTAGTATAATTTTTAAAATATTCAAAATTTATTTTAATACATATATATTAAATAATTCGATTTACAATTAAACAATATTTCATTACCTATCAAATCCACCTTTAAATTTTAATTATATCTTTTATCTATCACTTTTCACAGCTCATATGGTCATATGATAAAATATTATACAGTGAAAATGAAAGTAAATTGGCATACACACTAAAAGGTCTATTTTTATTTATTTTTTTGGTAAATTATATAATACCCTCGTGTGTTTTATTAAAAATGCACAAAAATTTTATGTAGTTAATATAAAGTTTGTACGAAATACCATTTTGTCCAAAACTGTGTTTGGTTCTAAAACAAAAGACCTAAATTACACAATTTTATATAAATAAAAAACGTAAAATATCTTACTAAATTTTTTGAATAAAATAAATAAATGAATAATTGATTAATCATTTATTTTTAATAATAATTTGTCTCCAAAAAGTTATAAAATGAAGGATTAATCAATTTTTATATATTTATTTTATCCAAAAAAAAATATTTAAGATATTTTACATTTTTTATTATTATAAATTTACGTAATTTAGGTCATTATTTAGAATCAAGCATCAGTTTTGGACAAATAGAATGTTTTGTGCAAATTTTATATTAACATAAGGAATTTCACGCAATAAATAAAACATAGGGTATTTTATCAATTTTTAATAAAACACAAATGGATGTTATATAATTTACCTTTTTTTTTCATTTTTTGGAAAAAAAAAAAAAAGAAGCCTTGTTAAGAGCGAAAACAAACAAAAAGATACATAAAATTTGTTGATTTGATCCGCCATCAAACCCACATACAAGAACTCCAAGCCAAGATATGAATTCACCATAAACCTATTACCAAGTAAAATATGAACAAATATATCAACAAATACCAAGTTACAATTATTCTCTCTTACAATTTTCTTTACAATATATTGCACAATGTTAAATAAACCGAGTCCATATAAATGAATTTGACTAGTACGAGTCTTGTTTTATATTCTAACAGAATGTCGTATTTTTGTAGTATATGTCAAAATAGAAAAGAATATTTTTTTTTTCGTTTTTCATTTGGGGCCGTCTAAATATAAAGTATTTATTTATTTATTTTAATTAGTATATGCTTGTTGTTGTCTCCCTTTATCATTGCTCTGCGATCTAAAATCCGGAGCATTTAAAATTAATATGTTTGTAATTTATAAATAAGTATTTTTTTCTTTTATATTTCATCTAAAAATATGCAATTTTTGTAATTTTTTCCATCAAAACAGATTGTAGTATGTACATGTGTGCCTTTGCCTAAAAAGTTATTGACAAATTGTCTACAATATATAGTTTGTTTAGTATGACTTATATTACTGGATCTAATCTACAGACTATTAGTTTAGGGTCGAATATTTATCCAAAGTACACTAAATAAGTAGCAATTGCGGATTCACACATCATAAAAAAAATAATAATAATAATAAATAAATAAATTCAAGCTTAAATACATACGTAGAAAACATTGATCATAAGTGTACATAATAATTTATTTATTGCCGCGGGTGGACACAAGTAGTCGAAAAAGGTGTACGCGGTTTGTATGCATGTTGCCGAATTTCATGTGTGTCCATAAAGGCCGTTTTTAACTTTTTATGGACACTTAAGCCGAATGAAAGTAAAGCCTACGCTGTGTATGTCTCAATCCATACAAATTCAATTCGGTGTCTGTGTCTGTGTGTTAGATCGATTTTGAATTATTATTAATATACTAAACATAGAAATAAATAATATATGTTCTGTAGTATGACTCAAAACTTCTACAAAAGCAAACATGAGATTCCAACAAAACTCTCATTTTATTGAATGCCATGGGCCCCTTATTAAAATCTACTTAGGGTGTGTTTGTTTGGGGTTTTGGATTTTGAATTGAAATTTGAATAGTAAAAATTTTGAATTTGAATAGTTGTATGATATGATATAAATAGGTGTTGATGTGATGTTTTGCATGTAAAATTGATTTTTAGTATAATATAAAAAATAAAAAATAGATGTTTGATTTGATTTTTTTGGGGGAAAAAAATTGGATGAATAATGTAAATCCAATCCAATCCCCAAAACAAACACACCCTTAAATTACATACAAAAATAGATTAAATTCGAGAGTTTTTTTTAATTTGATTTTTCAATTCTTTGTAAAGATATAACTCATTCATATGAAAATTAGTGATTATATATAATGTTTTTGTCCCATCAATTTTTAGTTGATACAATTTCCAGGGAATATTATTATAAAATAATATATATACACATAATTATTCGCAATATATTATATAGATTTTGTTTATTCAAGAATTAATAATTTAATACAAAATATTAATTTTAAATTTATCGACGCAATTGCTCGTATCAAACAAAAAGAAAAAGAAACGCATTATCCAAAAATACAAAACAATTCCTCCATCAACTAAAATTGATATATCTTGCTATCTTGACGACATTGACATGCATCTTTCTATGGAAAAGTATTAGAATAATTAATTTAAAAATAATAAATATTTATTTTTTGAAAAATAAAAATATTTTTAAAAAAATTCATAAATGAACACAGCCCATATTTTTAAAATAAATAAATATATATATATGTAAGTTTATTGAGTGTGCATTTAGATTGGTTTAAAAAATAAGTAAAAATTAATTTAAACTGTCAAAAATACCAAATAAGTTATGTTAATATAAATAATCTTTTAGTGAACTTTTATAATTTATTTTAAAATTTTAAAATATTTAATACTACTAAAAATATATATTTAATTATGATATATAAATTATATATAAAAATACAGTTTACCTTCAAATTAATTATACTTTTCAAATTATTAAAAAATTATAAATTATATCAGAAAATATTAAATTATCTAATATAATTAAAAATCTATAAATTTAAATTTGTATATCAATTATATTTTAAATTTTAATTTGAGTATAACATTTAAACTAAAAATCAAAATACAATTATATTATTAAATTTCAATTTAAGTATATTATATAGAATAATTATATTTATATTATGATGTTTATTTGCATATATATTAATATTAGTGATAAAATAATAATTTAAAATACTTTTATTTTTTTTTAAATCTACCTCTAATATGCTTATGAAAAAACATTTTTTATTTTAATTTTTTTTATTTATTTCTGGACAAAAATCATTATAAATAAGTATAAAGTATATATTCTTCAAAGTAGAAATCTAAATTCCTTTCAAAAGTCAATACAAATGGAAATTCGAGTCCTGTAATAAGCATGGTAACGATTTGTGTATTAAACGACATATAAATACTCCATCCCGTCTCATTGTGGTGTTTATTTTTTGCACGTAAATTTTTAAATGATAATATTACATTGAGTTGGAGTAAAAAAGACAAAAATATCTCGTTAGTATTGTCTAATATAATATACTGGCATTTGTATAATAAATTGTAAGTTAAAAGAGTATTTATTATATTAGATAGACAGTACAATTATTAAATTAGAAAATAATAATTTTATTTTGAGACGAACAAAAATAAAAAATGACAAACTTCTAATAAGACAAAGCCAATATCTCATATCACCGAACAATTTTAATTTTCAAGACAAACTGAAAAATCGGCAATCAAAACATAACGTCTTAGAGTTGCAAAGAGGTTGGTTTCCATCTCTTGTAATTAATAAGATATCCCCATCACTCAATCTGCAGTTTTTTTGTTGTTCCTCTGTCGGCTTATATCGGTTGTTGATAATTAGGTCCAATAATATTTAATTACAAAGGTTTGGTAATGATTTTGATTTAAATTACGTTTCGATGCTTTGTTATATCAAATTAAAATTAATACTATTTTTTTACTTTTTAATACAAAAATATTATATTAAAATTGTGACGCCCGACCCGCAAGCTATGTGTGTCGTAAACTGGTCTCACAGGTCAACACAAGTCCTTATAGGACTCTCGAAAACAAATGAGCACATTATTACATGAGTAATCATCTGGATATTTCATCCCCTCTCATATCACTATTCAACCCCGGAGATATTACAAAATACTATTATTTAAATAAAAATACAAAACAACACATTATTTCAAATTAATTTTAAATTACAATCAAACAAACTTTTAGTTAACATTATGCTAAAAATACATGTAATAGATTGCCATGAAATAGTTTGAATAAATAGAGCATGTTATTCTTACGATATATTATCAGTTTATATGTTAAAATTAGCGTTGTTTTTATGTACTTATTTATTTGTTGAGTTATACTATATATTCCATAAATGATTATGATTGGTTGCCGACTTTTATATTATATTAATATATATTATGTGTTTTGTTTTTTAATATTGTCATATAATATATGATTAATATGATATTAGCACAAGAACAACCATAATTTAATTAAGAATACAAATATAAATTTACTATAGTAACTTGAAATTTTAGGCATTTGTATGTATGTAGATAGATGCAAACATGCATATAATATTTAGCCAAAAATGTATACAAATACAAACTCATTAACATTCATTCAACATTTAAAAGAAAAATAAAGTAAAATCCATTCTACATATTTAAGTAAAATAAATTAAATAACAATAGCTATATAGATAACTTAACAATATAAATATATAAATATATATATATAAGCAATATATTTATATACTAATATAACTAAACATATGTTTCGGAATAACTACCCCAAGCCAAAAGAAATTAATGAAAAAATTAAAATAGTAATAATAATAATTAAAAAATTAACAACTACTTCAAATTCATCAGCTTCTGTTCCAAATTTATTTATTTTTTAAAAAAATATCATATCAAATTATTTTATTTTATTTTATTTTTATTCAAAATATTACATGAATATCAGGTCAAACAACTTTCAAATTCAATATTTTATTATTCAAATATCCAAACCCAAAAACTAAAATCCACTGCAACCACACCAAAAATTATTTATGCAGGAATTCTTCGGGAATTCGGAAGGTGGCTATGTTAGTACAACAGTACATACTTAACATTACATTATGATAAAATAATTTAAAATATCTAGTAGCAATCCATAGATCTTGTTAATTCTCAATCAATAATTTTTCTTACCAAATTACAGCTTCAGCACAATCACGACAGCCCTGTCGGGTTTGTCACTCTCCCCTACACTATATATGCATACATCCATTATTTTTCAGACACATTATTAATTCATTACGAACATCCACTTCAAGAGAGAGATACAAAGAGAGATGTTGGCCATCTTCTCCACATCAATGTTCGCAGTAGGAATGGCTACTGCAATCATCATCGTTGTGTCCTTCTGGTTCGTACGCAACAGCAGAATGACAAACGGCTCAGCTCTTATTACAGACTGGCCGGTGGTCGGGATGCTGCCGGCGCTGCTTCCCAACTTGGGCCGCGTCCACGACTTCGCCACCGATATCCTTAACCGGAGCGGCGGAACTTTCTTCTTCAAAGGTCCTGTCTTTGCCAACATGGACATGTTCGCCACCGCCGATCCTGCTAACGTTAATTATATATTGTCTAAGAACTTTTCCAATTTCGGCAAAGGTCCTGACTTCAAGAAGATGTTCGATTCCCTCGGAGAGGGAATATTCGTTGCAGATTCGAAGTCGTGGGAGATTCAGAGGAAGATTGCAAAGTCGGCCATGAGCCATGTCAGGTTCCATGAATTCGTCGCTGCAACTACCTGGAGGAAAATCGAGACAGGATTAATCCCGATTCTCGACAAATTTTCCGATAATGGAATGGAAATCGATTTGCAGGAGGTGTTCCAGCGTTTTACTTTTGATTGTTTCTGCATTCTGGTTCTAGGACATGATCCATTTTCCTTGTCGGAAGATTTTCCCGATTTACCTTACGAGAAAGCCTTCGCCGTCACCGAGGAAGCTGTCCTGTACAGACACGTTCTCCCGGCGGCGGTGTGGTCGGCGCAAAAGTGGCTTGGAATTGGAAGAGAGAAGAAACTGAAGCGAGCATCTGACGCCATTGATGGATTTTTATCTTACTGCATATCGCTCAAGCGAGGAGACATGAATCCGATCGAGGAAGAAATGAACTTGTTGATGACCTGCAGAAGAGCTCTTGCAGAGGATAATGTTGTCAGAGATTTGATGCTGAATTTGATCTTTGCAGGAAAGGACACGATCAGCGCCACGCTCACCTGGTTCTTCTGGCTGCTCGCGACAAATCCCGCCGAGGAAGAAAGGATCCGAAACGAAATCGCAGGGAATTCATCGGAGCCAGGAAATTGGACAATTAACGACATGGATGCAATGAACAAACTAGTGTGCCTTCACGGCGCCGTCTGCGAAACGCTCCGCCTCTTCCCGCCGGTGCCGATTCAGCACAAAGCTCCGGTGAAGGACGATGTTCTTCCGAGCGGGCATCCGATCAAGGCGAATACTCGGACACTGCTGTTTTTCTATTCGATGGGGAGAATGGAATCGATTTGGGGCGAGGATTGTCTGGAGTTCAAGCCAGGGCGATGGATTTCGGAGGAAGGAAGGATTAAGGTTGAGGCGGCGTACAAGTTCCCGGCGTTTAATGCCGGGCCGAGGACGTGTTTGGGGAAGGATGTGAGTTTCTTGCAAGTGAAAATGGCGGCGGCGGCGATGGTCAGCCGGTTTAAGATTGAGGTGGCGGAAGGGCATCCGGTGCGGCCGAGTGAGTCGATCGTACTTCATATGAAGGATGGTCTCAAAGTTAGGGTTTCCAGTGTTGTCAGCCATGGCCGATAAACCGTAGCTAAAGAATTCTGTCTGTGCTGCTGCCTGTTTTATTTTATTTAAAGAAAATCGATTTAGTTTCTATGGAGAGTATGTCTGCAGTGAACTTTCGCGTGCAATAAAAGTGTCGAAAAGGGTTTTTATTTTTTATTTTTTTTTTATTTATGCATGTTTTGAACCAGTGTTTTGAAAAAGTTTTACTACTACCTAGCTTGGTACAAGGTGGGATATATTCAAAACTGTTCAATCCACATTTATATTATTTAACAATATTCTGCATCTTTTATTCATATGAGGGGAAGAAATTGTAATATAATATTTTAAATGAAAATTTAAGTAATCTCCTCGTGAATAACTATGTCACTTTATTTAGACATAGTCCTCCGAATAGTAAATTACTTAGGTATGCCACTTTATTTTTACTACTCAGTTATGTCACTTTATTTAGACACAGTCCTCCGAGTAGTAAATTACTTAGGTTTGTTTAGACATGAAAATTAAAAGGAAACTTTTCTTCGTCCAATTAAAAAATATATACTATTTCCGTTCAGTTCTAACTCTATGGTCTTATTTACTTTTTATGTTATATTTGAATATTAATTATTATATCAAATCATATTATAAATTAATAAAAAATTACAAAAATATTTTTATTAGTATCTTATAATAATACTAATAAAAGAATATTTGCACAAAAATTTATATTAAATATAAAGATATTTTTAATTAAATACAATCACATTTGCAGACAGACAGAGAGAGTATTTATTTTGTATATAAAATTTAAAAATAATAGTATTTTAGTTATAATAAATAATTTAAAATAATATAAAAATAATTTTTCTTTTTTAGTAATGATTTGACGATGAAGTTGGCGTAAAAATATTTTTTTAAAATAATTTTTTAATTGAACAACCTAAAACATATTTATATTTTGTAAGTAGATCAAGTTATTAATATTTTAATATTAAAATAAAGTAAATAAAAATTAAATTGAGAGTATAATAAAAAAATATATATAATTTGAAAAAATGGCAAATTAATTACTACTTTCTTAGTTTATAAACTATCATTTTAGTTTTCTATTTAGAACGTAAAATAATTATGGTTTTATTTACTCTTTTGTTCCTATTTTATTTATCAATTTTTTTTCTATACATAAGTATTACTCTCTCCGTTCCAAAATTATAATTTGGGTTGGATTTTGCACGAAATTTAAGGAATATTGATATTATATTGGTGGTGGGTAAAAAATACAGATAAAAAATTTTTTTTGCCTTTGTGAATGTACTAGTGTAAAAAGTAGTGGCAATTGTGTAATAATAATGAAAAAGTAAAGATAGTTTTACAGTGATATATTTATGGAAATAAAATTATTATTTTGAAACGGACAAAGATGGTAAACACGACTATTGTATTGAAACGGAGGGAGTATTTATTTATAAGAATGTTAAAATTATCAGCTTAAGCCTGATTAATTTTTGGACCATGCTTGACCAATACAATTTATGGAATAAATTTTTAATTTAAATATGTTATAAATATATAGTAAAATAAAAATTATTTATATATTTAATGTTAATATTTTAATTAAAAATAAAAAATATTATTTTTTTAAAAAAAAAAATTAATATAATTTATTTTTAATAAAAGATTATGTAAAATAATTTTAAAAATCAGACTGACCCATCCCTATACGGTTTGAACCGGCTGTGTCCAGGCAGATTTTAAAACAAAATCGGGCTTATCCGCATGGAATGAAAATGGGCCGGGCCAAAATTATCACTTCTATTTGCATCGCAGATTGCAACATAAAAAAAAAAAACAAAAAAAAAATGCAAAGTTTTTTTCAAGAACGATGCATGTCATAGCCATGGCTTTTAAGTCAACCAAAATTTTGCAATAAAAATCGTAAAACCTAAAAAATTAAGAGTAGTTGGCGGGAAGAAGATTCCTAAAGTAGATGACGAAAGATGATGATTATTATAAGGTATAGTTGAAGATGAAGTGAAAAATTAATGTCAACAAAGGCCGGCCCAAATGAGCAATAAAGTTGCAACCTTTTAAATAGAATAGTTGAATTGCGTTAGCTGTAAGTGTGGTAGCTGAATCGAGCAAAAACGTCCATCAACAAAGAAGAACAACCTCCATTGTCAATCACAGTGAGAACTATGCATATAATTGCAGCCGTCCTTTTCGTCCCTTGCAGCTAGTCGGATTAGTTAAGTGCATATAAATGTATTCTAGGAGTATTAAATTATACGAAAAAGACGACGAAAGAAATCGTCAAATGACTCTTGTTTCTTGTCTTCTTCCCAAACACTGTACGCATTAAAATCCCAGCAAGTTGCCACATGTATATCTATATAGACATATATGTATCACAGTTTTGCCGCTGCCCCGCTTCCCTGTTATCTTTCCTTTTTGACGATGACGATGAAGGCGCCGTCGCCGCCATCGGGACGGCGTATTATTACAGCAATCCTCTTTGTGTTGGCCATTAGCTTCGGCGGGTTGGGTCTAAGAAGAGCTCAAGCACAGGGAAATACTACCCTCCCTGTCACGGATCCGTCTGAAGGTGACTGACTGACTTACTGTTTTTATTATTGGAATTTTGAAAGTGGAAATGGTCTTTTGAAGATTTTTTTAGTTTCTATTTGAAGGTGAACAAGAACAGATATTTAAAGTTCCCAGCTATAAATATATAGTGTTTTTTTTCCTTAGCACAATGAAATCTTGTTCAATCTTAACTTGGTGAAGTATTGATTAGGTGTTTTGGAGGAATCAAGTAATTACTTTTGCAAGTTCTATCGTATGTGATCACACGCAAGATTGTTGTGTTTGATTATGTCGGCCATTTCCCATTTTAGTTTCAAACCCTGCAGTAAATGAGGACCTTCCATGGATTGCTTGCATAGATTTCTCCATTTGTATAATTGTGATATGTATAACGAACATTTTGGGCAGCAAGACTTATAAACGCCATTTTCTCACGATGGGGAATTTCGGCTGATGGTCGATGGAACATCAGCGGTGAGCTGTGCACCGGAAGGGCTGTGGATAACTCGACCTTGGATTTTAGTCCCGGCATCAAATGTGACTGCTCCTACAACAGAAGAACCCTTTGTCACATTATTGCATTGTAAGTAAAACTTGAGCATGGTTTGGGAGCACTTTTGATGTCGATTTTGCTATACTTAAGTCTGTTCTATTGACCTAAGTTTATCGTTGGCAGGAGGGTTTATTCCATGTCGGATTGGAATTCATCGGCCAACGTTGTTGGTCCTCTTCCTGATGAGCTTTGGAATTTAACCTACCTTACTAGCTTGTATGATTAAATTATGTGTCTCTGTGATTTTATTTAGCCTTCTTGGAGTGTGATGAAGAGGTAAGTACCTGATGTTTTTGTTGTTGTCAAATTCATTGCAGGAATTTAGGCCAGAATAATTTGTCAGGTCCCCTGTCTCCTTCAGTCAGTAATCTAACTCGTATGCAATATTTGTAAGTCATCCTATTTCGAATTATTTACTTATGATTTTGACGAGATGAGTGCTAAAGGGGTTGACACATGGCACCAGGAGCCTTGGCCTTAATGCATTGTCGGGTGAGCTACCTGAGGAACTTGGCAAGCTAACTGATCTAAGATCATTGTAAGACATAAATGAGTATTGTTATCATACCCAAATTTAACAATTCTATGCCTTATTTAGCTGTAACTAGATGAAATTCGAATGTATATGTTTTCTGGGAAGCATATATTGTACATGTTTGATGCGTTCTTGCCTATCTGCAGTGCTATTAGTACAAATAGTTTCTCAGGCCCTTTACCGTCTACTCTTGGAGATTGCACAAGGCTACAAGAACTGTAAGCTTTCATAGAAAAACTTTAAAAACTATTACATGATGATTAACATATATGCAATAAATCGTAATGTAGGAAATATGAGAAATCTACCCCTGTTTTATGGAATGGTTTTTTGAATTATTTTCGGCTTTATCACTTACTGAAGCATCTTTAATTTCCTCGATTTCTTTGTTCAGGTTGTTGGAAAGTGTTACAGTTGCTAAAATTTTGTCATTCTTGTCAGTTGGCTTGATAGCTCAGGAATTAGTGGCGAAATACCTCCAACGTTTGCTAAACTACAAAACATGCAGATTTTGTAAGAGTTTAAAATCAAAATCAGAATTTTATTATAGATTTCTTAACTAATTGTGTGAAACTAAAATCAAGAATGAAAAATTTGTTGATTTTTCAGGTTTGCTTCAGACAATGCACTAACTGGCCAGATACCTGACTTCATCGGCACTTGGTCACAATTAACTTCATTGTGAGATAAACTCCAGTTTCCTTTTTCATTTCTTCCATTTTGCTCCATGTAATTCAAATTCACTACGACATACTTTCACTTGCAGGAGGATGGAAGGAACCTCATTACAGGGCCCTATACCAGCAACTTTTTCTAATCTTACTGCTTTGACTGATTTGTGAGTTGTTCTGTTGTCCCTATCTTATTTGCGCATTAAATGTTATTCTGACAATGTTATGTAGTCGTCAATTTTCTTAACGAACTTTGGTAATAGGAGAATTTCTGATTTGTCTAATGGGAGCTCTCCACTCAACTTCCTCAGAAATATGTCGTCTTTGGCAACTTTGTAAGTAAATGAAAACAAGCTCGCAGAATTATTTCTCTTAAAATAGTTATTTCTTTGATGTTGTATACACTTGTATAAATTTTGTAGAGTTTTGAGGAACAACAACATTTCTGGCTCCATTTCTTCTGATCTCAGTCAACTCCAAATGCTGTCTTTACTGTAAGTACCAACAAGAATTAATGTCTTTATAATATGCTTGTGCTCGGATATTTAAATTTTTCTCTTGAACACATATAATGTCGACTTAACTGTACGTCTCAGCAAACTTCTCTTGCTCTGCATTATATTTCCTATGCAATTATTCTAGAGGACTGAAAAGTGACAATGGTGTTAGTAAATGGGTTAATTTTGATTTTTGCAGGGATTTGAGCTTCAACAATTTCAGTGGCCAAATTCCGGACACTCTTTTATCTATGAGCTCTCTCAATTACCTGTAAAAACATATAATCTTGCTTTAATTCTTCATTGCCTCTTCTCATTCTCGTCTTCAGATAAAACAAATGGTGATTTTCACCCATGACTACTTTTTGTATCTTAAGGTTTCTTGGCAGCAACAGATTGACAGGCTCTCTTCCATTTCTGAAGTCTCCAAATCTTCAGACTATGTGGGTCCTGTTTTTCTTCATAATCGTGTTTATTGTCATGGAAACCTAGTGATTGAACCAGCCATGAATCTATTTATGCAACACCTATTATTAGTAGACTATAATGCCACAACTATTTGCTAGTTGTCGACATTATTCGAATTACACTTATTGTATCCTCTTTTTCTTGCAGAGATTTGTCATACAACCAGTTATCCGGGAGCTTTCCTCCTTGGACCAATGAACTGACTCTTCATCTGTATGAATTTTAGTGATTTCAATAACAGAAATACATAGTTGCTACATCATTAAAAAAAATTATTTGTATTTGCTGGTTTCTTCTATACTAACATAGAATTATTGCAGCAATTTGGTTGCCAACAATTTCACTATAGAAGGCTCTAACAGCAGGTGAATTCTCCATAAACCGATAAAATCACTTCTTTAGCTGTGTTAGATTTCTCACCTTAGCCATGACCTGATCCAACTTAGTGATTGAGAAGGAACAAATGAAAAACTTTAATGTTGAAATAATGTCATAGCTATCTCTCATGAACATTTATAAAGACTCAAATTAGGAAACAATGGTTCTTGTTGCTTTATTTCAAGCGCGAGTCTCCTTCTAAGCATCAATCTTTCATCCAATTTCAGTGTTCTTGCATCAGGATTGAATTGCCTTCAACGAAACTTCCCATGCAACCGCGGAAAGCCACAATGTATGTGACATTAGTTCCTCTTATGTGATAGTCCTAATGATATAATGTTAACATCTCTGCAATCTTGTAGCTATTCAAATATGATGATGCTCAACTGTGTTTATATTGATGATCATAAAGCTGATTATAGATTTCAATATGTCCTCCATCTATGCAGAGGCTTTCTATTCGTATCGTCCATCTATTATTAGATGTTTTCGAAAATCTCATTCTGTTGACAGCTAAAAGCCTCAATAAGCATTCAAGAATAACAATTACATGACACAAAGTAGATCAAAGCCGATTGAAAATGCCAGTAGGCTGTTGTTGAGTTACACTCCATTTTCCAACCATTTTTAGTACATCTAGTTGAGTTCCTCGGCGAGCTGTATCCACAACTAAGAATCGACTTTTTAATCTGACCCAATGCAGATTCCAGCTTTGCAATCAAATGTGGCGGTCCACAAATGAGATCTGCTGTAAGGACTGTCTATGAGGCCGACAACGAGACTCTTGGTCCAGCAGCATATTATGTGACTAGAGATCAGAGATGGGCAGTCAGCAATGTTGGCCTTCCTTCCGGTAACAACAATGCAGAATATACAATTAACATTGCACAGCCTGTCCTGAATACGAGGGATCCAGAGCTGTTCCGTAATGCTCGCCTTTCTGCTGGCTCGTTAAGATACTATGGTTTGGGCCTTCAGAATGGAGGGTACAATGTGAGCCTCCAATTTGTCGAAACAAAATTTGAAAACGATCAAGTTTGGCAGAGTCTTGGAAGGCGTGTGTTCAATATATACATTCAGGTATGTGAAGAACACTACTGATACATTATTTTAGAACTTCTATCCAATGCAGCACGATACACTTCCATCATTTCTGTCGTAATTATGTATTGCTATCTTGGTTTTGCAATAAATGCATCCCATATCTTGTGATTTTTCATTCAAACCATATATGCAACACTTTATCAAGCATTAGTGTTACAGGGGAATCTAGTTCTTAGAGATTTCGACATACGAAAAGAGGCTGGCGGGTCCTCATTCAGAGCTGTGGTGAGGGATTTTACCGCTCGAGTGACGGAAAACCACCTTGAGATCCATCTACTATGGGCTGGAAAAGGGACATGCTGTGTTCCTAATCAAGGAACATACGGACCATCTATTTCAGCAATAAGTGTCACTGCTGGAGGTACAGACACACAATCAAACACTTTGATGTCTAAGAATCAATCATATTAATGTTTTTAACGATACAAGTTTTGACTATATATATTATCTGCAGATTTCATTCCAAATGTAACTAACAATGCACCAAACGAACCTGGAAATAAGAACAGAGCCGGGATGATTGCGGGGATTGTCGTTTCTATTGGAGTTGTATCCCTTCTTTCATTATTTGCAATCTATTGTTTTATTCAAAGAAGAAGAAAGCAGAAGAATTATGAAGATGAGGGTATGCTAAGAAACCTCTGTATCCTAATTACCACATAGCTCACATTTTGCAATCTCTGTAACCAATATGCAGCATTTATCGCCATAGGTTTTTATGCAAGATATCTCTTTCATTGTAGTTTCTGTTAATTTGCAGAGTTCCTTGGCATCGAAGCCCGGCCATACACTTTTAGTTATGCTGAACTTAAAGGTGCAACAGATGACTTTAGTACTACTAACAAGCTTGGGGAGGGAGGATTTGGACCTGTTTACAAGGTACTTTGATGCAAGAATAATCACTTCGCTTATCGTGTTGCTTGATTTTCGAACGGCTTTCCTTGTTACATATAAATATGGAGAATCACATTGATTTTGTACGTATGTTGCTCGTTGAAATTGAGTAGAATTATGTTTTTTTCTTGATCCAACAGGGAATACTTGAGGATGGAAGAGCTGTTGCGGTGAAACAATTGTCCGTAGCATCCCATCAAGGAAAGAGTCAGTTTGTTGCGGAGATTGCTACCATATCTTCTGTGCAACACCGCAACCTTGTAAAATTGTATGGCTGCTGCATCGAGGGAGAGAAACGGCTGCTTGTTTATGAATACCTCGAGAACAAGAGTCTCGATCAAGCATTGTTTGGTATCAAATCTAAATTTTGGTTATCCATCTCGATTGTTTATAGTTTCACTTCTGGAATGCTGAAGCTTGTCCACTTTGATTCAATGAACAGGAAGTAAAAAACTATACCTCGACTGGCCAACGCGCTTCGACATATGCTTGGGAGTCGCAAGAGGTCTAGCTTACCTTCATGAGGAATCTCGTCTTCGAATTGTACACAGAGATGTAAAGGCTAGCAACATTCTGCTCGACTCAAAACTCAATCCTAAAATCTCGGACTTCGGCTTGGCCAAATTGTACGATGACAAGAAAACACACATAAGCACTCGCGTTGCGGGTACAATGTAAGATGCACAATCGTTTTCGATTTCTACCTTACTTTGTTACCTCAAGTTAATCTAACATAAGTCCTCTTGGATTCTTGTCTAGTGGTTATCTTGCTCCCGAATACGCTATGCGGGGGCACCTCACGGAGAAGGCTGATGTGTTTGGATTCGGAGTTTTAGCTTTCGAAATTGTTGGTGGAAGGCCTAATTTCGATTCTACTCTTGAACAAAACAAAGCATATCTACTCGAATGGGTACGGTATTTGTCTCCCTTTCGATGGCATTGTTTCCTGAATCGAACAAGGAATAATCTTGATCATGTGGGATGTTTGATTTTGCATTTAGGCCTGGCATTGCCATGAGATTAAGCAGGAAATGTTACTGGTGGATGAAGATTTATCAAAGTTCGACGAGGAGGAGGCCGGCAGAGTGATAAAGGTAGCGTTTTTGTGCAGCCAAACGTCCCCATCCGCTCGACCATCAATGTCGCGTGTCGTGGCTATGCTGTCCGGAGATGCTGAGATTCCCACGGTTGCATCGAAGCCTGCCTACTTGACCGAATGGGATTTCAGTGATATAACCACATCCTCATTTACGACAACAGACACCAATGACCAAACTTCACGAGCTGGTGAAAGTAGCAGCGGCGTTGCCTCGATGGAGACTATGATGTCAAGAACACCACTGGGCCCTTCCCCGTCTCACAGTGCTGTCAAACCGATACTTCATGAAGAGAAAAGGACACAAAACTATTAATTTGGCTCGAATCGAATGGCGTCGAGCTGAAAAACAGGAGTACGGAATTTCGACAAGGCATTGGGTAAACCGAACAGCTGTTCGGCCACAGCAACTCATGGTTCGTTGTCAAGAGGTCCCCATTTTTGCTTCCATCGCCATTTTCATACCACATTGTATCGACCTTATTTTTTTCATAACAAAAAAAGAAAATTGAAAATGATCATTTTATGAAGGATAGAACAAACATGAAGTGTGAAAATGATGTATGAGAACCAATGCGTGTTGCAAAATTTCCTATTGAAAAATTGAATACATAGAAAGATTGTACGCCCTTCTTTCATGATAAAGGAAATGAGTTAGGTTCACTATAAATATTCAAAGTGTTTGCTTCTAAATAAACAGTAACAAGAAAATTACCCTTCATTGAATAACTATAATCACAACACTCATTTTATAACACTCTCATAATACACATTTCAAATTTCATGATGACACTATTGTAGCTCATTTGATTTTTATTTGACCAAATATCTAACATGCTATTGTTCAAAGTATAGATAGGTTTATAATACATATTTCAAATTTCATGATTACACTATGGTAGCTTATTTGATTTTTATTTGACCGAATATCTAACATATTATTCTTTAAAATATAGATATAATTAAATAAACATACTTAACTTTGAAGTTTTAATGAGATCCAGTGCATTAGTATGATATGACGTCTATCTTTTAGAGAGACGGACTCTGAGTCCGTGCTCGGCTTGCAATATGACGGAGTCACGAGGAGTCACCGGGTGACCCTCGATTAAGTGAATATCATAACTATGTATAATCGCCACGGCCACCATTTTCATCTGAATAAAGGCCATGTCCCGGCCGAGACAAGTTCTCGGCCCGGCATTGAACGCCGGGAACTTATAAGATGGCACATGCTGAATTCCCCCACGAGCCGATATCCATCTCTCGGGCTTGAATTCGAGGCAGTCCTTCCCCCACAAACTCTCCATTCTCCCCATCGAATAGAAAGAAACAATCACCCGACTATGCGGCGCAAGAGAATCCCCGCTCGGGAGAATATCCGGCCTGATAGGCGCTTTGTGCTCCAACGCCACCGGAGGATACAGCCGCAGCGATTCGCACAATGCGCCGTGGAGATACACTAATTTCCGAGACTCCTCTGCCCCGAATGCCCCGAAATTCTCCCCCTCGTTTAACTCGAGCACCCTTTCAATCTCGTCGCGGATCTTGGATAGCGATTCGGGATTCGTTGTGATCAGCCAGAACAGCCACGTAAGAGCGGTGCTCGTCGTGTCGCGACCCGCGAACATCATATTCAGGGCAGTGTCCCGGAGAAACACCCGCGTCTTATCAGGCCGGTTTCGACCATTCGTCTCTTCATACGCCTTCCGGAAGGATGTAAGAATGTTAAAACCATCGCCTCCTTCCTTCGAATTCATCCTAGAATCGACAACCGGATAAATGAACTCGTCGAAAGCCTGCCCGGCTTCGACGAGCCTCTGCTCTTTCCCGATCCCGAGCCATCCCTGAAGCTTCCAGACAAACTCCGGCAGGAAATGCCGGTGAAGCAGCGCGTCAACGGTGTCGTTAAACGCCTTCTCGCTCGGCATCACCGGCAGCCAGACGGTTAAGCTGCCGGGGTCGTGATCCAGCACCAATTTGCAAATGCTGTCGTAGGTGAACCTCTGGAAGATGTCCTGCAAATCGAATTCGATAAATCGGCCTGCGAAATGATCGAGAACTGGTAATAGTCCTGTTTCGATCTTTTTTACGATGGAATCCTCCAGCAATCGGTAGAACCTGACGTCCGTCATCAGCGACAGCGTCCGGCGCCGGTGAAGCTCCCAGAGCTGGAAATCGGCGTTGAAAATTCCGTCGCCGAGGATTTCGAAGATTTTTCTGAACTCGGGGCCTTTGGGGTAGTTGGAGAAGTTTTTGCTGAAGATATGGTGAAGATTGTTGGGATCGGAGGTGAAAAGCATGTCTGTGTTGGAAAACCAGACGCCTTTGAATTGAAACGTGCCGCCATGCTCGGTTAGAATATCGGTCATGTAAGAATGCAACTGGTGGATGTTTTGCAATATCGCCGGCAGCATTCCGGCGACCGGCCAGTTCGTCGGCGTCGATGTTTTTTTCGGGGTTTGCGTCCGTTTCCAGAGATAAATGAAGATTGCTGTGAAGGGGATCAGCACGAACATTTCGCGGTATTCAAACACTGCCATTGTAACGGTGTGTTTGTGTATTGTGAAGCAGCTATATATATATATATATATATACATACATACAAAATAAATAAATAAATAAACAAATTGATAAATAATAATGATGACATTAACTCGTCACTAATTTTATAATTTTCAATCCAATTATTTGGGGTGTTCGTTCTTGTTAGGTAGTTTGGGTTCAATCCGATATAATCATATTTGGATAAACTGTTTGGCATTTTAGATTCTTTTTAAAAAATAAAATAAAATAAAATTATAAGTTTTGGATATTCTTTAAATTTTGAATTAGATATTGGAGCACATACCAGGACATACAACATATAGTTTTGGTTGACCCCCCACTCTAGATATTAATATGAAATTTAAGTTATATTTACATAGACATTTCTAAATTTTTATTGATATTCATTAAAAATAATATTTTTAGAAAATAATACTATTATTTTTTATAAAAAAATCACATTAAATATTAAAAAAATAATTATTAACAAAAATTTCAAAATCTCTATTAAAGGAGCCTTGATTTTTGTTACATTCATGATTATAGTTGATATATTACTAAAAATAAAAAATAAACTAATAACATTGCATAAGAAAAGAACATATTAATACTCCACAAATAGTAAAATATTATTCCCTCTCTCCAGCTAATATATTCACTTTAGCGTAGCCATCAAAGTTTATTATGAATAGTGTAATTAGTAAGTAATTAAAAAGTATATTAATAAAAATAATTATGATTTAATAAAAATAATTATAAATTAAAATTAAAATTACTAAACTGTTTAATTGAAATAAAAAATTATAAATTAAAAATTTTAAAATATAATTAAAGTGTATAAAAATGACAAATTATGCTAAATAAATAAAAATAGAAATAATGGATAAATTAAATAGGAGGGACGGAGTATCTCTTTTGACTTTAACAATAAATAAATAAATAAAAATAAATAATTAAAAGTGAATAAATATTACAGAATGACTTTTTATAATATCTCACTTTTATATTTAGATATCAATAACTTGTTTTTGCACAATTAAAAGTGAATAAATATTACAGAATGATAGAGTACTATTATACAGAAAATTAGTTGAATCAATATATCAAAAAAATATTAAACATGTTATTTACTGTCCATTATCTTCACTATTATTAGTCACACTAGACCAACCACGTGTGACATGTGACCTAAGGCCATGACCTATTATTACAAATCCTATATATATATTATATTTTGAATCATATAAAACATCAACACATTATTGAATTATTAAATTATATTTCAAATATAATTATTTTTATATATTAAATAACACAAAATTATATATTGAACTGTAATGTAAAATTTGTGCTCATAAGAAAATACACATCCCGAATAATTGAATATTATGGTTTTGGCACCTATCCAATTATTTAATTTAATTTAATTTATATATCACTATTAACAATTGGCCTGTACTAAGTCAAATATATATATAATGGTACTAAAACCTAAGATTAGAATCATTGGTGTGGATTGAATATAAGTCTAAATGTCAACCTTAGAATATATACAATGGCGTGTTTTTATTCCTATAACAACCTTATATTAGTCCATGTCACATTTTTTATTAACAAAAAATAAAAAATTTAAGAGCGGTTCTATCTGGGGAGGAGAGAGAAAATTTATTTATATTTTTTATTTTATTATTTGATATAGATAATATTATTATATAATTGTAATGTAATTTTTAAATATTTAATTATTATATTAGAATGTAGCACAAATTAAAAATAAATGACAAAAATATTTTTATTAGTATGTTGTAATACTAATATAATGATATTTGTAAAAAAAAAAAAATTATATAAATATGAGCGTAAAATACAAATAGAAAAATTAGCGGTGGACGGAAATAATATATTTTATTAAAAAATTAATAATATTTAATAAAAATATATACATAAAAAATTATATTAATAAAAACATTAAATATTACATATTTAAAAGTAAGATAAAATAAAATATTTAATTAATATAAAAAAATGCAATATAAAAAAATTAAATTAGTAGTATTATATAAGATTTATATTAAATAAAATAATAAATTTGTTGAAGTGAAAAAAAGGAAAAATTATAAAAACTTTTATTTTGGATTCTAAATGTGAGATTTATACTATAATTTTGCATTTCTGTATGTACTAGTCAATCTAGGTTTTACAAGATTATTATGTATGCACGAATGACCTATACAAACCTCTAATGGATAAATTGAAATATGTGAATTAAGAGAAAATAAAATATCTTTGGACATATAGTAAAGATTTTCTTATAAAGTATATGTACAATTTTATTTTTCGAAAAATAAAAATAAAATAAAATAAAATAAACCCTTTTTACTAAAGGATATATGAGAACCAAAACATATAATTGGATTATTATTATTATTATTATTATTATTATTATTCCAGATTAAAAACAAGCCCAACAAAACCTTTAGACTTCATTATTGTACATTATTCCAAAAGATAAATGCATATAAGAACAAGCCCAGCCCATCATGCAATGTTCAATAATTCGTTATTCCTAAAGTTAAATATAAAGTCCATTAATTTAAATTTAAAATATCAGATCAAACACCTATCTTTTAATTAGTCGGACTCTCAGTCCATGTTTCGTCTGCAATACGACGGAGTCACGAGGGATCACCGGATGATCCTTCACCAAATCAACGTCGTAACGATGTATAATCGACGCCGCAATCATTTTCATCTCGACAAACGACATATCCTTCCCAAGGCATGTCCTCGGCCCGGCGCTAAACGCCGCAAACTTATACGACGGCACGTGCTCGATCGCCCCGTGACCCGATATCCATCTCTCCGGCTTGAATTCCAAACAATCCTTCCCCCACAAGCTCTCCATTCTCGCCATCGAATAGAACGCGACGCTCACTCTACTCCCCGGCCGGAGAAAATGACCGCTTGGCAAAACATCCGGCCGGAGAGCTGCTTTGTGCTGCAATGCCACCGGAGGGTACAGCCGCAGCGACTCGCACAATGCTCCGTGGAGGTACACCAGTTTCCGGGACTCCTCTGCCCCGAACAACCGCGAATTTTTACTATCTTTTAATTTGATCACGGACTCGACCTCCTCGCGAATCCTTGATATCGATCGAGGATTCGTCGCGATCAGCCAGAACAGCCATGTAAGCGTGGTGCTCGTCGTGTCCCGCCCGGCGAACAACAAATTAACGACGGTGTCCCGGAGAAACACCCGCGTCCGGTCCGCCCTGTTTCGACCGATCATCTCTTCGTACACCGTTTTGAAGGATGTTATAAGATCGAAACCGTCGTTTCCCTCCGAATTCATCCTCGAATCGACAATTGGATAGACGAATTTATCGAGAGCCTCCGCGGCATCCATGAGCTTCTTCTCATTCCCAATTCTAAGCCACCTCTGCATCTTCCACACGGTCTCCGGCAGAAAATGCCGGTAGAGCAGTGGTTCGATCGCGTCGTTCAACGCCTTCTCGCTCGGCACATTCGGCAGCGCTATGCTCAAGCTGACGGGATCGCGGCCGAGCACGAGTTCGCAAACGGTATCGTAGGCGAAGCGCTGGAAGACGTCCTGCAAATCGAATTCAATACCTCGGCCGGAGAAATGATCGAGGACAGGTAATAGGCTGGTTTCGATCTTATTCCAGACGATTTCGTCGAGCAATCCGTCGAACCTTTCGCCCTTCAGGAACGACATAGTCTGGCGCCGGTGAAGCTCCCAGAGCTGGAAATCAGCGTTGAATACGCCGTCGCCGAGGAGATCGGAGAAGATGGTCTTGAAGGATGGGCCTTTGGGGTAATTGGGGAAGTTTTTGGTGAAGATATGGTGGAAATTGTTGGGATCGCAGGTGAAGAGGAGGTCGGTGTTGGAAAACCAGACGCCTCTGAACTGAAAGGTGCCGCCATGGCCGAGGAGAATTTGAGTTAGGTAAGCATGGAGGTGGTGTTTATTCTGCAAAATAGCCGGCAGCATGCCGACCACCGGCCAGTTCGTCGGCGGCGATGATGTTTGCTTGGAGCGTAGCATACGACGTTTCCAGAGATAAATGGAGATCGCTGTGAAGAGGATCAGGACGAAGAAGATCTGAGGATATTGAAGCATTGCCATTGGAAGGGGAGGTCGTTAACTCGTTATTGTGCTGCACTTTTATACCAGCAGTATTTTAAGTGTTGTTCTTTGGTATGTAAAATAGAAATTTTAGATAAGAACGGTAAATAAATTAATAAATGAGTGATTTGGATTAGTTGATCAAGAGAAAATAATAAATTAAATAAAAATTATTTTATTGGGTGAGAATTTATGAAAATTTTATTGGTGATTTTCTTGTTTGAATAATAAATTAAATACAATATAAGATTGTATTAGTGTAATTTAAAAGAATATGCTTGAATGTTTGAATAATAAATTAGATAGTATCATTATAGTTCATCTCATTTAAAAATATTGTTTTCTTATTATAATAAAAAGTACAAATATATCTTCATTATGCGGAGACGCCCGGATGCCATGTGTCCGCCAACTATTTATAAATTAGATAAATACTATTTATATAGTTTTAACTTTTTTTTTATTAATATTTTTTCAAATATTCTATTTTATAATATTTTAAACTATTTTTTCTTTTTAAAATTTACATTAATTTTTCAAAAATAAAAATAAATAAATAAAAAACTATAAATTAAACAAATTGAAAAAAACTAAATAAAATAAAATGTAGCGTCAAATTTTGACGTTGATAACAATGCCAAAAATTAATGGTAGCTTATCAAGTACGAGTTTGGCTAATATCATAAATAGTTTGGTGAACAAAATTAATTGCGAGTGAAGACCATAATTTATTTATTTTTTTCTTAAAATAAAAATTAAAAATACCTTATATATATATATAATGAAAATAGAAAGATGGAAATTAAAGTAATAAAAAAATATTTTTTCAGAGTAAATTAAGCAGCATAATTAATTTAAATAAATAGAATTTGGTAGCCTAGGCCATCATTATACTGATTATATATTAACCCTTGATCATATAATGTGTTTGTATATTAACGAGTGTGTAAATTTATTTTTCTTCACTTATAAAAGGTGTGATTTTATGAATGTGTATATGTTGTCTCATTGTAGAATAAACATATAATTAAAAAAATACATTGAATCAATTATATAGTGTTGAGAATCATTATAATGCTAAAACTCATATTTTCATTTTCTATAATGTTTATGTTATTATATATTGTCCAATGTGATATTTTGAAACAATTAGTATATTGTTATAATTTATATACTATAAGATTAATAATTCAAAACAATTAATTTAATGTGTTGGTGAATTTACGGTACAACCGTCCTAACCCTAATTGCAAAAAGATGTAATAATTATATATAATAGGTTGGCTTGGCTGATAAGATTTGGTTCCATAGATTTCACTATCAGCAACTACTGTTGCCTATTGGTTGTATGCTTTTATTTATTTATTTATTTATTTTTTTAAATAACGTAAAAATTCGCAGTCGAGCCGCTGCACACCACGGGCCATCGCTACGGGACCACCATTTACTTACTTTAATATTCAGTTTGATATTTATAAATATTTGATTCCATTATAGAAAATATTAATATACATATATATATATATTTCCAAATTACATTAATTTATAATATTACTTTTAAAGTTTATATAAATAAATATATTAGAATTAAAATTACAATAACATAGTTATATTTATATTCGTACGATAAATCGTCCTGTAATAAATTAAAAAACCTAAAAGAGTAGAAAATCATCATAATAATTAATAGGTTTGAAAGGCCGAACAGATCCCCAAAATTCTAAGATTTATTTTGTTTTGGTTTGAAACCTAAATCAACATTGTTTAACAAATACAATTCCTAATAAACATACACTATTTACTTTTTTCATAAAATATCGTATCAAACAAAAACCAACAAACCTGTACTAGATCCATGTTACCACTGAATGTGATGGAAGTTCAGTTCGTTCCATATTAGGATCATCATCTTCAACGGGTGAGGCAGACGTACCTGAGTTTAATAAAGAATGCAAAGGAAGATGGTTATGGAAGTAATCTTACAATGGCAGCAACCAACACTTATTCACAAGAAGAAGAATCACATATACACACTAGTATTAATTCTTGGAAGACATGGCTTCTTCGATATTTCTAATGACACGACTAAGGCTGCCTCCATTTTCCAGAGCCTTAACAGCAGCCCTGTGGGCATGTCTTTGCCATTTGAGCAGATTGTACGACTGTAGAACAGACCACCGCGCTTGGTTTGACATCTGCGCGCGCAGCAACATCAAGTGTCAAGACACATAAGTCCTAAATACCCGATGCACGAAAAGTGATACTACAAACTTGGTTTTCGCAAGCTTAAACTGATCCAACACATAATTCGATGAAAACTCAAAAAGGCCCTTTCCGTAGAATAGACCATTGCCTATTGTCCTATTGTTTACACTCTCTACATCCGGGATTTTCATGATCTCTGCTGATTGGCAAACAAAGGCATTATACTAAACTACGACAAATAGTATGCCTGCATTTAACATTTGAATCGGTAGTCATTCATGTAAGAATCCTTACCGGATATAATTTTCAAAATTTAATCCACAGAGGAAAATTTGAAAGTAAAATAACAGCACACAAGCAAAGGAAGATGAGTATCGATGTAAGACCTGGACAGTAGAGAGAGGAGGTTCTAGAAGGAGACAGATGCTCCGGAACAGATTTTCATCATTTTCTCCACCCTCTGCCTCTCCATATATAAGAGCTTCTGCCGCTATACCAGCAAAAAGCACCATGCAATATCTAAACATGTCAATAAATGGAAAATTTTTAGACATTAGTAATAATGTAACACCATATCTACCAAAATCTATCCAATCTTTGTAAAAGCGCAGATGAGCTGAAGAAATCATCAACCTGTCAAAGGCAGTTCCACTGAGAGAACCCTCAGCAAGTTCATTTTGAAGGTTTTCATCCCAAAATTGTGTTCCAGCCTGAGAAGTAACACTTAATGAACAAATATGTGTTCAAATTACAACGATAGGTTACTGCAAAAGCAAGTATCGAATAGTGGTAAGTAAAAGTAAAAGGGTATGGATAAATTCTATCATCTTTGGACGGCCAGATAATAAACAGTACCAAGGATATGGAACCTTGAAGCTCGGGGGAAAATGAGATTTCCCGGATGGAAACTAATTTGGAAGCACAGCTCATTTTATCCCTTTTCTTTATAAGCTTTATCGTAAAAGATGACAAACAAACACCAGACTTTTACTAGAGGCAGAATCATAACTAGAGTACACAATTGTTTAGAAAATATGTATATCAAAGCTGCACTATCCACATTCAAAACATCGACACCCAAACCACAAACTATTGTAAAAGAACTTGACATGAGATCACACCACAAAGCATCAACAATAATTCCTATTGAAGTCTTGACATGGGTGGTGAAAATTTAGTAGGACAAGCCACATAACATTACTGAATTATGTCAAACGACATGAATACAAAGGATGCCATAACAAAAACACCCAAGAGGAAATACCTGCCCCTGAATGCCCATCTGCATTGCAACAATTGGATCCAAAATGACACCTCGAATTGGACAACCCATCAAGTATGCTGTTAATTACCCAAATTAATACATCAAACCAAACTCTCACGCATGATTCACAGCGTTTTTCCATCAGTTAACTGAAGAGAATAACCAATTGCACATAGAAATTCACCCTACCCTCCACCCAACCTGCAGCCACTAATGTCCCACAACAACATGATCTAATGAAAGGAGTAACTCATAAACTAACAGGATCCCATACCAACAAGAAGATGACCAGCTTCATGAACCAGGATGCGACGCTTATGTGGTGGCCAATAACTGCTAATCTGAGCTAAGCAACAGCCACCAAGAAATATTGCATCAAGCGTTGTCAAGCCCAAAATTACCACAAGGTTTGGTCTGATATCTATTCCTTGGCTTAATAGAGCTGACGTTCCACCAAGGAGGCCAATTAGTAAAAGACGAGAGCTTCCAGCCATTCCCCACTTTTTCGGAGAAAGTTTCGAGACTGAATCAGCAACATTATTATAAGGCAAATATCAACCACTGATACGGAACAAAAACTGCTCCCAAATAATATAGGATAACAAGTTCTTCAACAGGCTAATGTATATATTGCAAAGTAGCCAGTATCGCAATGAAATTGTACCTTCTAAACCAGTTGAAGACTTCAATACACTCGGAGTAACTTCTCTTGGTCCCTCTAACACTGCAAGAAACTAGCATTCGGTCATGGCGGAATTGGCAAGCAATTACACTCATCAACATTCAAACAAAACAATTTACCAATATTCCGATATTTCCCAAAACTGGGCAAGAGCCCTCGATCTTTGAGAAACGAATAGGCGCTCCCGACGAGCCTCATATCATCAGCATTCAAGCACGTATCCAACACTTGCCAATCCCTCTCCAGCTCCAGCAAACCTAATTCACCACCCACCCCCCGCCTCGTCGTCCCGAGAGTAGAATTCTCATTCCCCAGGTCCACTTCAACCGAAACGTCCTTGAGGAAGCGGAGAGCGCGGGCGAGGTCCTTCTGGTTAACTGCTTCTTCATATTCTCGCCACTCCCTAATCGCCCTGGTTCTCGACCTCTGTCCCAAAACTCTCCCGCAATAAAATTGAACAGAAATTGACGGAGTGGGCGGAAGCCCTCGAATCGGAGTCGATGCAACGACATTAAATGGGTGCCACGGCATAATCACAGATTCCCCCATATCCCCAATCAACGTGCTAATCCATCCATCCTCCAGCAGACCCAAAAATTGCAAAAAGAAAAAAATCACACTGCAAGATCGTAAGCCCCGTTCTGTTAGCCCATTAAGGGCCGAGTGAATATCTGTGACTGATCGGCCAAGAAGACTCCGAGCCGAGGCCGGGGTAAGGGCTCCACACGTGTCTCAGCCCCCTCGCCCTTGCGGACGAGAACCGACCCATTGTGGCTCGGGAAGTCGAGTCGTCTCCGACCCCGCATCTCTGCGGAAGCTGGCCCGGGGACTTTCCTGAGCACTGTGGTCCACAGAAGTAGACCAGATTGCCCAACCACTCCGTCTCGCGGTGATGTATCCTTTTATTATGGCAGTACGTATTTAATGGTTATGATATTTACTTTAGTTTCCGATGTGGGATTTTTGGCGTTATAATGTAATAAACTTTGTATTATCGATCAATTACTCCTGATTTAATTTTTTTTAAAAAAAAAATTATTAAATAATGAATGTAGATTTCAATGTATTACAAAAACAGCTGCCACCTCCGTGACCAAGTCCTCGACAACCCAATGATGAATGAAGGCATACATTTGATCAGGCCATAAATAAGATAATATTTTTATTTGGAAGACCTTTTGGCTTCCGTTTGTTATTCATAAATTTATTTTTTTTCTAAAAATAATATTGAATGTAATACTTCTCATATAGTATTATAAAAATAAAAATTATATATAATATATTATATCAATACATATTTATATATTGAGAATTAGGGTATAATTTAACGGCCAAACTCTCAACCTTAATCTATTCCTCTCCCCGGTGCAGGCTTCCACAACCTATCCTTCGAGCCTATAACTTAGGTTTCCCTAGCAAAAATAAAATATATATACATATTTACAATTGTTTAAAACTTCAAATCAAACAAGCATACCCCAATGTACTTACGATTGGAGCAAACAACATAATCAAATTCTCTATATGACTAGTGAAAAACCATTACAAAATTGTCAATAAGGCAGAATTTGTAACTATGAATTCAGATGATATTGGTGTTATACATCATATAGTATTCAGGTTTAAGATATTATTGAATTAAGAAGATTCATGCATTTACACATTATATATAGTTTTCTTTGTTAAAGGTGAATGTAATTATTACACATTTTTTTATCAAATTTTAGAACATACTTTTTGTTTAAATTTTTTAATCCAAACATACAAAAACACTCTCCTGTTGTGTATAAATTTTTTAAGTTTATTGTATATATATATTTTTTTGTTCATCTTTATAGTAAAGAACTAAGCTTAACCTTTTCCAAATGGGACTACGCTTATCTTGACATAAGCAAACATGTTTGTAAGGAGAAAACGCATTATCTTATTATATATAAATATATTAATTTTACATGGACGGACTTTGCACTAATTAAAAGAAGGCATGCTCGAGATGTCGATGAAGTTTTCTTTTATATAAAAATTGCTGGCTTAAACATGTGGGGTGTGTTTGTATATTGCTATTTTATACTCCGTCTGTCCATGTGTCTGTTATACCGTAGATATGGTATTTTAGGAAATGTGCAATTAGTAAATAATTAAGAATGTATTAGTAAAAATAATTATCCTATAATATAAATAATTATAAATTAACATTAAGATAACTAATTAGTTTAATTAAAATTAAAAAAATAATGATTAAAAAGTTTAAAATGATATTAATGTGTGTAATCATTAAAAAAAAAAAAGTGACATGGAATATGGAACGGACAAAAACGGCATGTACACGGAGGATATATATATAACGTTGACTTTTAACAAAAGAATAAATTGAATAATTTACTTTAATGAGTAACTTATGCCTCCCAATCACATTATTTAAAGCAAAAAAATACTATAGTAATGTAAATTAATAAAGTGCAAGCATCTGGTTAGATTCCCACCACAGAAACGGAAATTTGAAACTGTCGCCCATGGTTTGTGACGCCAACCGTATGTCTCTCTCTCTCTCTCTGTGTCTGCGTCTCTGTCGTCTCCCCTGCTTTGCAGATGGAAAGCGACCATTAACAATCGCTATCACACACGCAAGCACATGTATACATTTCTATATATATGTGGAGTATGTGTATGGTGGTGCATACACACGCACACAGCTTGGTTACTTGGATTCACTGAATAGCTCGTCTGCGGTTTCGAGGTACGCTCTGTATATCTATATCTATATTACCACGTGTTGGTGAGGTGAGGTGAAATTTCTCCTGGTTTCTACGAATTCGCTTCCTTGATCGTTTGGCTTGTGTCAGGATTTGGATTTGCAATTGGATCTGAAAATTTGAAAGTTCATAGAGGGAATGGCGACGAAGAAGAGCGTAGGTTCGTTGAAGGAGGCTGATCTGAAGGGGAAGAGAGTCCTCGTCAGAGTGGATCTCAACGTACCGTTGGATGACAATTCCAAAATTACAGATGACACCAGGATCAGAGCTGCCATTCCAACCATCAAGTACTTGATCGGCTATGGCGCTAAAGTCATTCTCGCCTCTCACCTCGTTAGTACTCTCTACTCTTCCCCTCCACCTTAATCTTAAATCAATCAACCAATCAATCAATCATTCTCATGGACCAAACAACGACTATATCGCCTCTCTATTTTGTTTCCTCATCGGATCAATTTGATGATGACGATGGTGATGATGTTTCAGGGGCGTCCGAAAGGAGTCACGCCCAAGTACAGTCTGAAGCCTCTTGTTCCCAGACTCACCGAGCTCCTTGGGGTCGAGGTTTGTGAACTCTCACTTGTCTCTGGTTCTTACTTAAAATCATGTTGCCTGTGTGTTTGAATGGTGATGATAATGCCCTTAGACGAAGATGGCGAACGACTGTGTCGGCGAGGAAGTTGAGAAGCTGGTGGCTGCGTTGCCCAACGGAGGTGTTCTCCTTCTCGAGAATGTTAGGTTCTATCCCGAAGAGGAGAAGAACAATCCCGATTTTGCCAAAAAGCTCGCTTCCCTCGCCGATTTGTATGTCAACGATGCATTCGGGACTGCACACAGAGCCCACGCTTCGACGGAGGGCGTTACCCAATACTTGAAGCCCTCTGTTGCTGGATTCCTCATGCAGAAGGTCCGCAAATTGTTTCCACAAAATCATTATGCTTCAGCTCAAACACTGTATCATCATCAAATGCTTCATTGTCGACATCTCAGGAGCTAGATTATTTGGTCGGAGCTGTCGCCAATCCGAAGAAGCCATTTGCTGCGATTGTTGGTGGTTCAAAGGTTTCAACTAAAATCAGCGTTATTGAGTCGCTTCTAGCGAAGGTAGACTTGCTGTTGCTCGGAGGAGGGATGATCTTCACTTTCTACAAAGCACAAGGGCACTCGGTTGGATCCTCGCTAGTCGAGTCTGACAAGCTCGATCTTGCGACTTCACTTTTGGAGAAAGCCAAGGCTAAGGGTGTAACCCTTTTGCTACCTACTGATGTGGTTGTTGCCGACAAGTTTGCTGCCGATGCCAACAGCAAGGTACATTTCCTTCGACCTTCTCGGCTCTGAAAATGGTTTCGACAACTGAGGGGTAAGAAATTGAAAGTCAAGTGTTGTTACCTTGTAGGTTGTTTCGGCATCTGAAATTCCCGAGGGGTGGATGGGCTTGGACATCGGACCGAATAGTATCAAGTCTTTCAGCGAAGCTTTGGACAAAACCAATACCATCATCTGGAATGGTCCCATGGGCGTCTTCGAATTCGACAAATTCGCTGCAGGAACAGAGGTATACTACTCGTGTTTTTCCACGGCATTTCAGTCCACAAGATTATATCATTCGGCATAAGCCATTTCTCCAACTGCTCGTCATTTTCAGGCCATTGCTAAAAAGCTGGCGGAGCTTAGCGACAAAGGAGTGACTACAATCATAGGAGGCGGTGACTCGGTGGCTGCAGTAGAGAAGGTTGGTCTGGCAAACAAGATGAGCCACATCTCGACTGGAGGCGGTGCCAGCTTGGAACTTCTTGAAGGGAAGACGTTGCCCGGTGTGCTAGCCTTGAACGACGCATAGGCATTTTTCGTTGCGCCGTTGAGGTCAATCCAAGAGTTTCATCGCATGTGCTATAGTTGGTCTTAATGAGTCTTTACCCCTAATGTTAACAACAAAAACATCTTTCAAGGCTGGCTATGGTTCTGTTCAATAACAAAATGCATTATTGTTCGTCTGAACTTTCAATGCCAAACAATTCGATTACATTTTCTCATGTTACAGATGAACAAACTATACCTCTTACGATGAAGGTGTGCTCATAGCTGCATCTTCCACAATAACCCACTCTGTCCACGACCCATCGTACACCGGGACATCAGTCTTCCCCAGTCGATGAAGACCCTGAAAGGGAGAAAATCAAACTTTCAATCAGAGACTGGTCACAAGAAGCAAATATAATGAACAAAGTAGCAAAATACTCGGGTGAAGTATATTGGAAATATTTCTCATCGGCGAGAACAGGACTCACCAATCCCAGAATACAGGCAGTAACGCCGGTACCACATGATATTAATATAGGGTTGCTTAATGATATTCCTGCACAGAAGAATTTTTCAACTAACCACAAGATATAAGAAGCACACGATACTTAATAATGGTTTCGATATTTAATCTCCAATGGCAGGTGCTTTATGAAAACAACTATTGTCGATAGATGAATAAGATATTATTTTCAAACCTTCTTGTTCAAATCTCTTCTTCAGTTCTGCTGGAGGTAATAGTGTCTGTGAGCTATCCATCATCTGCAAGAAAGCCCTAAAGTGTTGTAATCCAATATGATGACAATGAAGGATGTACGGGAAGGATACCGGATATATTTAGCACAAAATTTCATCCATTGCATAAAAAAAAACGAGCAATGACCTCAGGAAATGGAATGCATTTGCTCCCTGGTATATGACCACTTCTTATTCCCTTCCGTGGCTCGGGAGCAACCCCATCAAATCTATAGGACAAACCACAAAGGATTTGATATAGAAAAACTTTGTCGGGTATGAACTGATCATGAACAGCATAATTTTTCAAGAATGAACTACCTAGCTCTTGCGCGAGCATCTATATGCTGATATTTCTTTTCATCCATGTTTTTCTTAACCTGAAAAGAAAACAGAAATCCAAAACCAAAATGCTAATATGCGGAGATCATGAGACGAAAAACGAACGACTACTCAAACCAATTGCAGAAATTTGGAATTACAGAAACCTGAGTACTGCTCGCAAATTGTTCCAATGTTAACCAACTCAGGTATGGAAACAAACTATCCCGGCATTAACCAGACAAATAAATCAATGAAACAGGAGAGGTTGCATCGTATTACTTGATTGGTTCACTAATTATTTCCAGTATAAGCTTATTATTTTTACAACATCACTCCCGTTTGCAAATGACTACATGTGCAACTTTATTGACATACTCAATGAGTTCAACTATCTCTTGAAACTGAGAAGACGACACCAAGCATAAAATTGATCAGACAACTCGTGATCATATATATAGAATCTGAAGGACACAGCTACAAATTGAGAATGAAAGGAAAACACACCTGCTCGATTTTCCAGATGAGATGGGGCTGGAATTTGGTTTGAAATATAACAGATCCAACCTGCTAAAATAAAGATGAATAAAAATGAAGCTTAAAACAGGGTGTACGGCATATTTAACACTGAACAACGTAGATAGTTGATTTGAGGGCACTCTCCATGCAACTTTCAAAATAGATTTATTCTGTTACTGATGTAATCGAATGAATAATGGGAAGACCAAACTCAATTTGCTAATACACTACACACATGTTGCCCTTGGTATACTTTCTTCACGGCATCATTGGAGAGGGTAGTTTTCAGGATAGTGTCGCTGGATTCAACATCAAATCCTGAAGCATGCCATCTTGGTAGGCCACCATCCAAAACCCAAACCCTGTCATGCCCATATACTCGAAACATCCTGGTTACAAACAAATATAAATCTTATTATTGTATCCAAAACTATCAAATGGTACACCACAAGTTTCTTTAATCGTAAAATTTCAAAACTCACCACCAAACACGTGCAGAGCTGAAGATTCCCTTCCCATCGTAAACAATAATACTATCTTTATTCATGATGTCAAGAGCTGAAACAGCGGCAGCAAATGCTTCTTCTGATGGCAACATATGTGGCAACTACATTGCATTCAGAAACCAAGGGTATATAAGATTGTTTATATACTCATGCATGCAAATACATTATACACAATTGAATTGGTGGGCTAAAATCAGAAGAATCAACCTCCTGAAAGCACATTTGGTTAGAATATTATAATATATATATATATATATATATAGCCCTACACAAGTTAGTAAGCAGTATTAACTTATATTGAAAAGGAAGATAAGATTCATGAAGACTTCTTACATCAGTAGTAAGATCTAAGACACCATCAATATCGAAAAAGAGTGCACCCGGAATATGTGAAGCCTGTTTGATTGAATAAGAATTATAAAAATTATAAAAGTAAGCAGAGGCAAACAATAGATCTCATATAAAATTGAAATAATGGCAACAATGTTCTGGAATCCCACGGAAGTCAGGCATTGTAGAATTCACAGCACCTGATATTCTTGAAGTGCATCTCTCTGTTCATTTGGCATGTACCAGGACGCATCCAAGACCTAAAGTAAAGAGCACCAACCAAATCACATCACATTTACCTAACAATCCAAGTGAATAAACATGTCGTGACATAGCTGTGATGCTTGTATTAAGCTCGATTTGCAAACCTAGTCAACCACTGACAGGAGTGTTTTACACATGTAATTTTTTAAAAAAAGTAACAAATTAATGCTCCAAACCTTCACATCAGGTTTTTGGAGGTTGGCATGGAGCCAGTCAGCTGAAACAACAGGCTCATTGGTGAACAATGACTGCAATGAAACTTCAGTGGCGGACATGGTGCAAGATATAGGATCCAGATTTTGTATGCACAGCGGTTGGAAACTGAGATAAAGAAATTTCAAAAACAAATGAATAAACAAATAAAAGAAATTAATGGCTATGGTTCCCAGCACAAAATCGTCAGGCACTCTTGATTGCTTTGTGCGCACAAAGCATATATATTCTCTTCCAAACACAACCGCAATTCCTAATCAAACTCAACTTTGTGGCACTCGAGAAAAAAAAAAAAAAAAAAAAAAACAAATAATCAAAATAAGGATGATAGCGCTTCAATCTTCATAAACTTCCAAAGTAGTAGAAAACCTAGATTGGAAAACAATCTCAATTATTTACTAATCACTGAAGTCATCGGAGCTCCCAAATATGAGTCACTTCTACAATTAATAGCACAAAATTTTAGCATAAACATGAAGTTTACAATTTGTCCAGTAAAGCAATATTGACAACAAAGATACATGCTTACAGTTACACCATTGCCAAAAAATTTCAACACTAAATAGTAACCTCTTCTCTGCAGGCGACGAAAAAAAAAACCCTTGATTAGGGAATTAGAACAGGTCAGATTTTCCAAAAAAAAAAAAAAAAGTGCAATCGAGGAGCTAAACAACTTACAGTCAGTATACAAGATGAAAGGTTCGGAGTTGGATGGAAGAAACAGAGAGCAAAAGATAAGAGTGCGAGTACGACCGAAACAGTGTTTGCCTATGCTGTTTACAATTTTTCAAAATTATTTTCAAGAGAATAATATATGCATATACAAAAGTAACAGATGAATTTGCAACTGTGGTTGGCCATATAATTATTTAATTAAAACACAAATATTAAATTTTTTCATCCATAAAAATTGATACAAATTTTTTTTTAATTCGTCTCAAAATGGTTGATACGCTACTATATTTTTAAGTAAATTATTTACTACATCCAAAAACATATTCAACAATTGTATATCAACATAATTAAATATTTCTTTAATAAATAAATTATTTTGAAAATATTAAAAAATAAAATACAATATGATCTGTTTCACTACCGAAGATGAGTTTCGAGTTAAGATTTAAGTAGAATTTTAACCACTACACTACATGGGAAGTGATTTTAACAACTTATAATTCTGCACCATACTACAATCTTTACATGATGACACTAATGGTATTTTAAGACAACGATTTGTAATCATTCTTGAGAAAGCACCTGGGGGCAGTTACAAGATTGAAAACAACAAACACAAGATGATCTTTCCCACAAAAAACACATCCTACTTCTTTATGTTCCATTTGTGTGATGTCCGCGGACCAGCTGTAATGCCCTCGTAATATCGGGGTTCAAGCTTATTGTCATTCCACTCGGCCACGAATTCCGAGAATAGGCCGCGCGATGAATCAGCAGATAAATCTGAGAAAAATATGCCTTTCTCTTCTCTTAGCCACAGAGCAAATTCATTGTTCTTCGAAAAGTAGTCATCTGTGGACAACTCTTCATGCTTCGAATGCTGTCAAGAGTTCAGTTAAGCAATCAGAATTATAATTCAAAGCTCAAAGAACTCAGAAGAGGCCATCAAGTAAACCACCATATCACTCAAGTCGAAAAATAATCCACCAAAGCATACTTGTACAAACATTACATTCTTATCAACATAAAATTGATCCTAATGAATGGAGCACAAGAATATATTGGGAGATACTCCGTTATGCCGGCTCAACCAATATGGTCCATTTTTATTTTTTTCAGACATTAAGAATTATGGAATGAAGATAATGATGAAGTCAAATAATATACAAGATCATAAGAACAGAGTTTTACACTCATCGTATGACAATAAGGATTTTCAGCATCAAGAGAGACAAAGCAAGAGAGGAGGAACCCTAATGTACAGAGTTTAGCAAGAAACTCACAGATGGATTAACACGCTTGCTGCTTCTATGCTTGTGCTTCCCACCAGATTTCTTATCTGAAGCAATACCAAGTCAGTGCTCACCAATTTGCATTACAACCTCAACCAGTAACTGTTCGGGTTGAAGCAGAGAATCCTAATTAACAAATGTGCCCCGCGTAGATGATTAATTACTCAAATTTAGCGTCCAGGAAGTTCATGAATATATATATATAAGCAAATTAGTGAAATTGAACGATTTGATCGTCTTTCTCGCAGATTTAAGGACAAGGAATAGTATAATTGACAAATCAGAGTGCAATCAGAAACAAAAACACAACATGCCTTTATCAGAATTGCGTTTGGAACTTTGATCGGACTTGTGCTTCCTCCTGGAGCTGTGCTTCTTGTCATCTTCCTTGCTTTTCTGCCTCTTGGTTCTCGTATCGTCTGGCCACAAATCTCATCATTTCAAGAACCGAAAATAAATCGAACCCGCAGACACAACATAACACATCCAGCTACAAGAGATAAACAGAAACAACCCTACCTCGTGGTGAAGAAGGTGAAGATCTCTTCCGCTTGGAATCGTCTTTGGATTTTCCCATCGTTCCCTCTATCAAACCCTAACCCACTCACGTGAAACCCTTCTGAACCTATTCAATCAACACAGGGTTTCCAGTATTCAGTTAATTTTCTAATTGGGCCTGTAATGGGCTTCTAAATAATTATTGGGCCTAGGCCCAACCTACTTCACCTACAAATGCAATAAATAACTATATTTCAGGCCCATACTAAATTAAATTATTCAATTCAGCATTCCGACAATACTTGCGTTGCATCGAACATCTTTATTTATTTATTTTTGGACATATAGAAGGGTTTGGGTGTCATTAATTAGTAGTAGCTGAGGTGTGTATCATTCACTAGGTCATATGAAAACAAAATAAATTAAGGCATATGTATGTAATAATACTTATAGCAACAATATTTCATAGTCAGCATTAAATTAACGAGGAATTGATTTGTGGACCACAATTTTACAGCTTGCGGCTTTACCAATAATTAGTCCCACTAACAAATTTAAATTATTCTTGATTGGATTATACAACAATAATGATAATAATATTTTTATTTATTTATTTATTTATTTATTTGTTGGCATGAGATGTCTCAATCGAATATTAAAGTGGAGCTATTAAATCTTTCCACACTATGACTTTCAATAAAAAATAAAAAATAAATCTTTGATGGAATAAGTATATTTCGTCTTAATAAAAAAATATATATTATTATTCAATGTCAAATGACATATATATATATAAATAATTTGAAAATTCAATTTATTCTTCAACAATAGGAATAACAATATGTTTTTATAGATAAATTTCACTTTAAAATCTGCTAAACAATAAGTTGAGATTAATTCGATGTAAAAATAATGATTTTATTCCAAAGGCTGATGAATTGAAATTGAATTTATTCAAATCAATTAGTATACACTTTATACAATACAAATAATATTTTTTATTTTTTTATTTTTTTTTTTATTTTTGTTATATTTATGCCGTTTTGTTAAGAATTGCATTAAATTAAAAGATGAATACGATTAAAATTCGAAGACTGCTAGTGCTACCATAAAAGCCACAATTTTAAATTTTTTTTTTTTAAAGCTGCATTCATTTGTGTAGAAAAATTTTTGTGGTCCACTTATTATTATTATTTTATTTATTTTCATTAGCATTAAAATCGTGACAAATTTTACATTGGTAGCCAACTTTATACTAAAATTTGACCAGTGGCATTTGTGGATGCATATGTTTTAAGACAAATAAATTTTAGTTTGGCAGATTACATTTAATGTAACAATAATCGAACTTTGTAGGTCCGTTGGATTATAAATAAATAAATTTGAATGCTATGATTTGAAATCCTTAGTAACTAAAATTCATCATGGTTATAGAAAAATATTCGAAATGAAAGGGTATGAAAAGATTTGAAATTTGGATGTTGTTTGTATATGGTTTGAATTTTAGTTATTACATTATTTTGATGTAATATTTGATCAAATAAAATAATGTATAACTAAATTAAACTAAAGAGTTTCAAGGAATTATTTTAAATACCTTTAACTCAAGTCCCTCAAAAGCTTGTGTTTATTTATCTGATTTGTTTTTTTGTTTTACTATTTCAATTTTTTTTTTCTCTAAAAATATTAAATTAAATACTTATTTTTTATTTATTATATTACACTTAAATTAAATTTTATATTCAAAATATCACATCAATACATATTTATATCACATCAAATTATTATTTCAATTCAAAAATTTACTATTTAAAACCAAAACCAAAATCTCACTAGTAAAGACATCTAAGATTGTGGGCTGCTTCAAGGTTTTTATTATTCAATCATTCTTTATTATTTTTTTTTTCAAAAACATCAAATGTGCTTTTGGCAATTAGTTATTTGTTATTAGTTGATAGTGGATTCTATCAGTATTAGTTACTAAAATATTTGATAAAATAATTATTTAATATCCTATATATATATAAGAACATTTTATTTTGATTTTTTTGAAATTTAATGTTTGATTTAAGTTTATTTTTATGATATACTCCCTCCGTCTCATAAATATAGTTTTAACGGGGTTGGACACGAGATTTAAAGAATATTGATATTATATTGGTAATGGGTAAAAAGTATAGATAAAAGACTTTTTTGCCATTGTGAGTGTATTGGCAATTATGTAATAAAAATGAAAAAGTAGGGGTAGTTTTATGGTGTTATGATTATTTATGAAACTAAGACTATTATTTTGGGACGAACAAAAATGATAAACAAGACTATTGTATTGGGACGAATGGAGTATTTTATAAGATGTAATAATATATATATATATATTTTTATCAGAAATTGTGAGAGCTGAATAATATGGTTTGTATTTTAAACACAAACCAAGCACAACAAATTTTATTTTGAATCTTTATATATATTGTTTAATATTGATTAATTATTAATTTACTATATTTATAATTGGAAATAATTATATTTTAGTTTATATATTTTTAATATAAAAATTATATGATAACTAAAATATAGATTAAAAGTATAAGTATATTTTGCTTAACTTTTAATAAAATTATATGTTTACATATAAAATAGTTTATATAAAAGAATTAAAAATTTTGATTGTTGTGTTTCTATATATAAGTGTGTTTCTTAATTTTAGGGATTCTTCCGTGTTTATTTACATATATTTTTAAGGAAAAACCTCTCATATAATTAAAGAGTGCATTTCATGCATTTATTATGAAGATTACACAATTACGCACACATAAAATCATTTTTATTAGAATCCATATTGAGTTTTAATTAACTTTATGAAGTATTAACGCCCTTGGTCAAATAAATAAATTAATTAAATTAAAAGGCATGAAAATTTATATTATATTTCCATAACCATAATTGGTTTTAAATGTCCTCCTTAATTACATAAATTAATGCTATAAGATACAGCAATATCATTAATGATTAAACACATTTAACTCATTGCAATATATACAGCATAAATTTTAAGCAAATACCTAAACAATGGTATTTCGAAATCTATTTCTTACTATATATATATATATATAATAATAATAATATCAAAACATGCAATTTTCTTTACTATTCAAATAGTAATTTTATTTATTTATTTATTTTTTTATATTGCAACTTTTTTATTTCAAAACAAATTAAAATATAATATAAAGTCAAGAGTCAAAATGAAATAACTAATTTTTGACAATTAATGCTTAGGCTTTATCTTCCTCACACTTATTCAACCCAAATTTAATACAGTTGACTAACCAACCAGCCTACGTAATTAATAATTAATTACGTTCTAAATATGATAAAATCTGGCACTATTATATTCAGACCATTTCCATAAAATACACAAAACAATACATCATTTTTATTTTTATTAGTTTAAGAGAAATAAAAATAAAAATCTTCCAAAAATGCGATATTAATATTAATGACGAAAGCTCAAGGGGCGATTAACGAGTGATTGCATCGTTAATAATAAAAATAATAATTATAATAATAATAATAAAGTGATTAGAAGGAAGGAGCATTAATGAGAGAAATGTGAGGAAGGAAGGCAAAAGGTCGCGTGGGCATTAACTGACAGCTGTCCTTTAGTGGTGCAATTAATGCAATTGATAGAATCTTAATACATCCAACTCATCATCAATCCCTTCCAAGATTTCCATTCATTAATTGCAATATTACCAAATAAATGAAAATAAATCGGGCTTTAAATTCTTCATTATGCTCATTTAAACTGCTTTACCATTTTCATACTCAAAATTTTCCTCTGACCCTCACTATAAATTCCTCCACCCATATTCCCCTCCTCTGCTGTCCCCCTTTTATTTTCTCTCCGTAACTCTTCTTTCATAATTTCATTTTCTGGTTTGGAATTCTTCGCCGGGGATGGCTGCCGACGTTAGCTCATTGATCAGATTGATGAACGGTGGGGATGCGAAGGAGTCGGCGAAACCGACGGCTCCGATTACCCGGGATTTGTTGGGTGGGAGTTGCGGCCATGACGCTCAGGAGTTGGACCTCGATTTGCAGGTGCCCTGCGGCTGGGAGAAACGCCTCGATTTGAAGGTAGAATTGAGTTTTTGCAGTTCTGTTGTTGATGATTTGTTGACAACGTTTCGATGGTGGATTCCGGAGCGACGATAATTAATTTCTGGCTCTGATTTTATTTGGGGATTTTTTTATGGTCTTCATAAACCCTAATTTCAAAATTAGCTTCATAGATATGTTGTTATGAACCCTAATTTCTACCCAACGCCTGTGACTTTAGATCTTAACCGTTATTTCATTCATTCATTCATTCGTGTGTGGTATTCCCGATTGATTGCAGTCAGGGAAAGTTTATCTACAGAGATGCAATTCATCAAACTCATCATCCACTTCAGAACAGAGGCCACAGAGCAAAAACTCCACAGCCATTAAGCTCCAGGACCTCAATTTCCCTCCCATGGCGAAGCAGCAGCAGCAGCCTCTCACTCTCTTAGAACATCCCAGCCTAGACTTAAAACTGGATTCCCTATCCACTGCTGCATCGCCATCATCCTCGAATTACCAGAGCGTATGCACCCTCGATAAAGTCAAGTCTGCGCTCGCCAGGGCGGAGAAGGAGACTGGCAGGAAGCGCTCGAACTCAAGATCGCTGTCGATTTCCTGCTCGTCGCCTCGCTCAAATTCATCATCCTCGATCAAGGATAGCGAGATTGATCGTCATCTAGATGAGAATTCATTGGCCCCTGTCGCTGCCGGATGCCCCAGCTGCTTACTCTATGTTCTGATCCCAAAAAACGAGCCCCGATGCCCTCGTTGCAACCGCGACATCCCGTTGCCGGCGGCGGCGCCGCCGGAAAAGAAGCCTCGAATTGATCTAAACATATCCATTTGAATGGTTGGGGGTGGAGCCATCTTTAAGCCTCGCCATGTATTTTTTGTAAAGATAGGAAACAAGCTTTTCATATATGGTATAAAAAAAAATATATTGGTATATATATAATGATCTATATAAATATAAATATAAAGACAATTTAGATATAGTTGGATGTTCATTTTGGACCATTATCCCATCTCAGTAGCTGAAGCTAATATTGAAATGAATATTCGTATTTTCTTGAATAATTTTTAATTTTGGTTCTTGTATTTTCAATGTGGTGCTGAATGTTTGATTTTGAGGAAGTGAAATTTAAATGTGATCATTTGGAAAAATAGAACAAAATAAAATAATGGGGAAACAAAGGCAACAGGGACGTGTCACAAAAATAAATTTCATTTCATTCGTGCACCTAACAAATAGTAAATGTGACTTATTTCGTCCTGCCATCTTTGAATATGCATACCTACTTTAGGAGTGAGTTACACAACAAAGTTGTCTGCAGATTTTTATTTGAGTTATTGCATTCTGGAATAGTATAATTTGTTTTTATTTAAATATTATATTAAATATTATTGAATTTATTTTAATTACTATTTCAACCATTAAACTCACTTCCTAGATAATTGACCATTTGTTATTATATGCTACATTATTCCATACTATAAAATCTTGAATTGATACAATCATTTAACAACCTCCATATAATATTTTTCCACGTGACATTAAAGTCAAATTGCGTGCTATATCAATCATCATTGATTTCAATAAAATATTATATTAAAAAAAAAAACAAAATATATATATATATATACACACATGATAAATTATATACTATTATATACTCCGTCCGTCCCACATACTATGTCCATATTGCCGTTTCTGTTCGTCCCACATCCCATGTCATTTTTCTTTTATGGAAAATAATTACACACTTTAATTTTGTTTTAAATTTTTAAATTTATTTCTTTTTTATTTTAATTAAAAGAGTTAATTATCTTAATTTTAATTTATAATTAATTTATATTATAGAATAATTATTTTCACTAATACATTCTTAATTATTTACTAATTATATTTATTCTAAATTCACGTGTCTACAAGAACCCAAACATATGACGTGGGACGGAAGGATTACTATATTGAAACATTTGTAACTTTTTCATGGAATTATGGTCGAAATTAAATAAATAAGTGCTGACTCTGATGTTTATCCTTCTCGACACGAAAGACATTAAATGAGGAAGTTAGAAAGAAATTAAAAGCATTCAAATATCAATTTAAGTACCAATAATTTCAACTGAAAATAAATGCAATAATGGGAGCATTAACTAATAAGTAGTAATATTTTTTATACTCTTACACACTACCGATAATGTGAGAAAATATCTTTTTATTAATTATGATACTTTATTAAAATTTACAAATATTTATTTTGTTGATTGATAGTAAAAATTTTCTACAAGTATTTTATTGGATAAAAGAGCATCATACGTCTATTGAGATAAATGAACAATATATTTTAATTAAGCAATTTATTTGAAATTATTTAAATTATCCATGCATACAATAAATTTGAAAATTTGATAAAATGGCTGCATAAATTAAAAACATTCAGATAAACTAAATAAAACTACTTGTTAATTCAAAAGATAAAATCATCAAGACTGTGTTAAGTACAAATAAATAGAAAATGACAAAATATTTTTATTAATTTTATTTGTAGAGCAAATTATACAAATTTAATGATATTTTTAATATTAAAGCAAAAGACAAAAGATGTCCTTACGAGAAGGATGTATAATTTAAATTTAATTTTAATTTTTTATTATTTAAGACTTGAACCCCACGAACAAACACAACCTAATTTTCTTATATATTACCCTTTAATTTCACATGTTTAAATTCTCCTAGTGGAAAATACATTATTTAAAAAGTAAAAACAGAAAATGGTCTCTATAATAATAAATACATGTGAAATAACGTTTACCGGCTACCCAAATGCAATATTGAATTTTCAAATCTCATACTTCTCTATGACGTGTATATATATATATATATATTATAAACTTTATATAATATACCTTTAATGCAAAACTAGTGGATGTCTTCTATTAGCATATGAATTTGGAGTTATCTACGTGAACTTTAAATACATAATTTAATAAAATTAGTTACTAATGTCATTAGTAATATAATAATAGTAATTAAACTCTGTAAAAACAAAAAAAATAATAATTTTTATCAATATATTATTAATTATTTACTAATTATATTTCAATGATATTTATTTATCCATATATTATTGCACTACCAATAAATTTATAAGGGTAAAATAATCCATCAATAGATAATAACACAAACTAATATATAAATATTATTTATTTATTCCGTTATAGTTTGAAGTTGTATGTTTATATAATTGGAGCATATCTTATCATTTAGACCAATAATTTATTATTTTGTGATAGATATTATAAAATAATTCAAGTCTATTTTGTTTTTATCTTTTAATTGAATATTAATTAAATGTAACGATTTCAAATAAACAAGAAATACTGAATATAAAAGTAAATAATATATACATCAAAAAATAAAAATTAAAAACAAGTCTATTAACAACCAACGTTTCCATTGTAGTTAGATTAACTTAACGACAAGTTTTGAATAAATATATATTATAATTTAAATATGAAAAATGACAATTTAAAAATAACACAGTTTTTAAAAAATGGAAAAATATATTTTATTCCCAAATATGCCATAAAGTTAGATAACTTGCGTAAGGAGGGGGAAAGTTGAAAATGACAATGATACTAAAATAGAGTTTAGCAAAAGTTGAAGGGTTTCTTAGAAATGAGTGTATGCATGAGAGGAAGAGAAGCCTCATTGATGAGCTCCGAAAGTTGTATTTATATTTTGCATTTCTTTAATTATCTATATATTCTTCAATTTTTTTACTTATAAATTAAAATTAGTTTTTTTTTTTTAAAAAAAAAATCAGATATATTTAAAAAGACAGTATAACATTGCCAAAAGAAAATTTAAAAAAAATAATAATGAGAAAGTGAAATATATATATATATATATATTGGGTGTAAATAAATGCAAGTGTGGAGAATCCATAAATTGAAAACAGTATCTACCTAAACTTCTTAAATGGATTAATATTTATAGTTTCTTCAAGATGATAATAATGGTAGCATTTACTATACCTATTCATTTCTCTACCTAACTTGTATTAAATTCCACATAAATATTATATAGCTACTCATATAAATGAATCGATGTTATCATTATAGAAAAAGAAAATAAAAGAATTTCAAATAATATTATTCGACAATTATGTGTTTAAATTATATTGCGTGAACAAAAAAAAAAAAAAAAGAAAATCAAAGAAATGCTTATCAGCTTGATTTATATATGGGTTGATTTTCGTTTGTAGATAAAATAAATAAATAACACGTGTTCTTACATTTAAATTTTTAGGCGAGACAATCGTTTATATCTTCTAATATGATATTAGAGTTTTACTCAATAAACTTGTATAGTATATGAGAGTATGAGATGACAAGTCGCAACTTGATAAAAACTTTAAAATAAAATTTAAAATTAAGCATTGAAGGAGATGTGCATCATTGAACTAAATCCATTAAATGAGGTATGTATGCAAAATAATTAAATGATGGGTTTGTTAGTTGCCAATTTTTCTATTTATTTACAATTATTTTAGTTGCATCACACAACTATTAAAAGAACACTCATTAATGACCCAACTTATTAACCATCATCACACATATATATATATATATATTAATTCATGGGTTGCTTTCATTTATCTTTATTTTATATTTGTAGCAATGATAATTTTTTAAGTAATGAAATTGAAAGTAATAATCTGTATGAAAAATGAGAATTGAATATAAGGGTTTTGTTGGTTTTAACTTTATTTTTACTTTTCTTTATCATAGAATCTCATCGTTATTTATAAAAACTTAACAATTTTTCATACAAAACATCGTGAGTAATCGTTATTTTATCTAAAAACAAAATATAAACACAAGCCAAACAAACCCATGTTGCAAAAATAAAAAAAGAATGATATACAAAAAATTGAGATTGAAACACTAATGTATAGCTATGATTTGCTTACATGGGTTTCAATCATTTTCTTGAATTATTTTTTATTTTTTATTTTATAAACAATAGAGTAGGTGAATGATTTTGACATGCATACATTTACAAGTCCTGATACGTATATAATATATATATATATATACACACATCAAATGGCGTTATTGAATTATTTATGTGTCGATAGAAGATATAATTATGTATATGTTGAATTTATAGTTAGGGTTTCAAAATTAGTGTTTGGATGTTAAGTGGTGGTGACAACTTTGTTTGGATATGATGAAATTAGATTAACGTTAAAGAGTTAGTTGGGTAATCAATTAATTGATCCAATTAAATTTATTAATTTGTGACAGTAAAATTTGGAAATAATGTCCTAACAATAATGGGTTTTTGCTTAAATAAATCAGAATGTCGATGTTACCATGGTTTGAATTAAAGGCATCAATTTTGGGTAAAATTGAACCGCAAGGTATTCTTCTAAACATTAAAATTTAAGTCACGTGTGTATATATATATATATATATATTGTGTTGGGATTGGGTCAACTCAACACTAATATGATATTGTCCGCTTTGGGCGGAAGTCCGCACGGATTTGTTTTTGGATATCCTCCAAAAAAAAACCTCATACTAGTGGAGTTTGGACTTATAAGGTGTGTAATTTTCTTCGCAACGTCCAATGTGATATTGGGTTTGCACCCCAACATATTGTATATGTTTTTTTAGTTATTTTTTTTATTAATATTTTATAATGTGGAAACTCGCAACCGCAGCTATTCTTTTGTCGAAGGAATTGACATATAGTCGTTAAAATTACGTGATAAATAGTTCAATAAAACATGTGGTTGTACTTTTTTGTTCTAAAGAAAAGCTCTCTCTTTCTCTTCTTCTTCTTTTTCTTTTTTTTTTAATTTTTTTTTTCAATTCCATTAAATTATTGTCATCAACATTACAATTTTGATCGAAAACTAACTTTGGATGTGTTTGTTTGTGTATTTTATTCTTTTGGACTTTTTTTATTAAAAATATATTTTGATATAAAAGAAATAATTTACGTGTGAAAATGCAATAACAGAGACATATTTTATCATATGCATCATGGCTTTTAACTATTGGTATTATAATTTTATTGAATGAAATATTAAAATAATAAAAACAATAATATTGGGCCCATTCGTAATGAAGGATAACGTAGCTGGGCAATCTTTAAAAGCCAATTCTATCGGCCCATTTAAATTTAATTGGATCATGATTCATTATTCACGAGCCCAAAATTTTAAAAGCCTAAATATCTGTCCTTCACCTCAACCTGTAATAGTAATATTTAAAAATAAAGAAAACAATTTTTCTTTTTCCTTTTTTTTTTACAACATATATAAAGTGTAGCTGTCGTCGTTATTGTTCTCATTCATTGAATTTGTATCGCATCAATGGGTGATGAATTTCGACATTAATTTGTGCATTAATTCTCCAAATTAATTAATTAATAATAAAAATAATCACGAGGCCAAGATCTCCCCAACTGATTATAGCTGCTCCTCGTCAGATAAATACAAGTATTATAAATAAATAAATAAATATATATATATACATATACTTCTTTTTGATCATAATAATATTGCAATCATTTGGAAGATCACAACGAAAAGAAATCACCCATTAATATGCTCAACAGCTTGCACACACTTAACTTATTTTAGTTTCTTACATGTGACGCACACACTGACACACATATATGTATATATATAATTATTATTGATATTATTAAGTTTAGGGTAAATTTCACAAATTCATCAGTGATTTTATGAAATTGCATCAAATTTCTCGTACTTTTAAAATTGCGTTAAATTCTATTATAGTTTCATAAATTCTATATCTAATTCCTTCGGCGGTTCTTATTTAACGGTATTTGACCTAACTACGCCTAAATTGCGAATAAATTTTAAAATTTCAATTTCTAAATCTCTAAAATTACATATATATTTATTTTTCTTATATTTAGCCCCCCCAAAAAGTAAAAAATAAACTCTTAAAACCTGAGAAAAATAACTACTTTTGAATATATTTACAATTTTTGAAACTAAATATAAAGAAAATGAATATATTTATAATTTTAGGGGTTTAGAAATTAAGATTCTAAAATTTATCTGCAGTTTGAGAGCATTTAAGTCAAATATCGTTAAATAAGGAGCGTCGAGGGGGTTAGACGCAGAGTTATGAAACCATAGGGGAGTTTTATGCAATTTTAGAAGTATAAGAAATTTGGCGCAATTTCATGAAACCACATGTAAATTTTGTGCAATTTAACCTTAAGTTTATATATATATATATGCATATATATACATACATGCATAGCAAGGTTGCGTGGGAAAGAAGGTGAAATTAACATGCAGTCACATGACACCCCATTAATCCAATACTTTCTAATTAAAGTAAAGACCAGACCATTTACATTGCTTAAGCAAGTCTATTTATATATGTCAGTGGCTACATATAATACAAGCACAATACATGAACAAAAACACACATATTATAGTTTCAACAACATACAATATTACTGCAATAGTACATTATATATGTTAATATAATACAAATAAAACACATAAACTAACAACACATGCTATAGTTTCATACATCACACATAACAATTGATTTTAGCACATGACATATCAGTATACAACACATTTATTATTATTAAAAAACAGATCATACTGTTATTATAAACAATATATGTTGTGAATAATACTATTCACAAAAAGGTTAACTCTTTGCAATCTTTTATACAATAATTTTTGTTCGTACATATTCTTTTACTATTTCCAATCAAAGCGGACTTAATTGTCCCATATAAAATATCATATCGTATCGAAATATATAAAAGACAAAAAGAGAACACGAAGTCGTCCATTGGCGGATAATGTGAAAGCATGTGTGAATCGAGGAAACAAGAAGAGAGGTGTCGGGTCCGGTCCGGTCCGGTCCGGTCTAGGTTCGTTGTTAATAATTAATGAAGGAAGCTATTAGCTATAGCCATGTGCGTGGCTGCACCCTTCTTTCTCGGATCTAATTAATGAATGTCATTTCCTACTTAATTAATTAATTAATTAATTATCTTGACTTGTTCAAAAGTAGTGTCAGTCATCATTGGATGTATTGTTTATTCTTTTGCAATAATGACCAGCGATGGATGGACTTGCATGTGATGATTGATACCCGTTTTTAAAAAAAAATAAAATAATTCATGCAGGCGAATCGAGAGCCGACACGTGGCGTTATTATTATTATTTTTTAACTTATTTATTTATCTATTTTGTTGCTGTTTAATTAGCGGCTCATTAATTGGCAACCGTTGAAGAGCATAAACTTAGGAGAAGTCGTCAAACGGTTTAGTTTAGAGCAACGGTTATTAAAATATTATTAATATATAAATAAAATAAAATAAAAAGCTTGGCTTCAGCCCTAAGAACTAATCTAATTTCTTAATTCGATCTTCAATGATGAGTTGCGTGATTGTGTCAGATGAATAAATCATATAAACTGACCTCTAATTATTTAATTATATTTGCTCGGTGATATTTATAGTAAGTATTTTATATTGGTGTTTATAAATTGTACGTGAAAATGATTATATATTTTTATTCTATTTTGATAATTATATGCTGAAGGCAAGCCTCATTGCAATCATTGGCACAGTCAAGAAACAAATTATAACAATATATTTGAAAATAATTTATTTTTATAAATAATTCTAAGAACAAACTCTAAATAAATAGAAGCTTAATATACAGTGATATCCTTCTATTTATTTAGCAGGGAAAGAAATGAATTTGCATATGTATCCATAATCCATGCGGGGGGAAATCATCATTATATATAATTTTTTCCCAAATATGGAAAATAAAAGGAAATTACAGAATACCATACAATGTCGTACACATTGATTAATTATTAGTGATTAGAGGAGCAGATTTCCATTGAATAGAATGTAGTCGTTGTCAACTGCAAAAGCAATATCAATCGGAAAGTGACTTTATAAATATATATATATATATATATAATATTATATATGAATCACCAGTCAAATAAAAATATAAAATTGGCTAATTTTATTAAACTGGTTGTTTTTAGATCATATATAACACTTAATTCACTCAAGGGTGTGTTTGTTCGAGGGTTTGGATTTTAAGTTGGGATATGAATAGTAAAAATTTTGAATTTGAATAGTTATATGATGTGATATAAATAGATATTGACGTGATGTTTTGAATGTAAAATTGATTTTTAGTATGATATAAAAAATGAAAAATAAGTGTTTGATTTGATATTTTTGGGGGAAAAAAATATGATGAATAGTGAAAATCCAAACAAATTCTTCAAACAAACACACCATAACTTACTTTATCGAAATCGGTTTGTAAGCCATAGTGATAAACTATAAAACCTGGAGACGAGAAGGAGACTGTGATTTGAACTTATTACTTCAAAATCACAAATTTTCTCTTATGTGACAGGTCATCTTTTACTAGCAAAATTCTTTTAATACTGATTTTTATTTATTTATGTGCAATTCTGCCTTCCGTACGGATTCTTTTCAGTGATGAAAATGACTTTTTCAGGTACCGTTTTTCCAAGGGGCACAAGTAATCAATACATGGAAATTTCCTTCAATTCTGCAGCAAAATCAGCACAGAGATATGTTCAACAATTAGAAAAAAGATTATGTTACTTCCGATGCTGACCAGATACACAGAAAATTAATAATACGATTGCTGTCACTCACTTTCCAGATGATTTCTACCCATTATAATTTTCAAAGCTAACAAAGTCTTGCTTGCAAGTCCTGATGGTAAAACTAGGCCAATATTTTAATCACCGATGGCAATAGTTAAAGTTTCACAGAGACTATTATTTGGATCTAGAAGCAGAATGATTGTTGGAAGAGTTAAAAGCAGTAATTAAAGATTGTAGATATTATTTACCATACAAAGATGGGGGAACCTTGCAGTTACTTTGGCCAAAAATGGCTCCCCTCAATCATGCTTTGTATTATAAAGAATGAGGAAAATTTGGGAATATGCACAAGATATGCGTACCTGGAAGAGATATTTTTGTGACGGAACAGAGTTCGGTGAAAAGACAATTTCGCCCCTACATCATACCCCTGGGAAACGAATCCAAGGCTCCTCCGGCATCGCGGAATTTGTGTTGGCTGAGCTGTCTGTTGGTCTCCATGACTGTTGGCTTTCCGTTGCTCATCCGGATAATACCAATTCCGTGAGCTCCTTTTTTGGCGGAGGATGAACTACCTGACAGACTTACAGATTGCAGATATGGAATAACTTCATCAACAATTTCAATAATTCAAATCGTGTTTCGTGCTGAGAAGGAGATTGACATCAACATATTGGAGAAGAATTAGGGATGCAAATCGATGCGTGTGACGAACAGAGTAAGGAGAAATGGATCTGGACTGGAGAGTAAGAGTAGATTTAAAATACTGTAATCCTTAATTTCCGATCTCTGCAAATTCTACATCACCGTCGTCATCAGGCAAAAAACGCCTTCATCAGAACTCTACGCTTTTATACTTCTCTACTTTGTGCATCACAACGTATTTACAGCAGAGAAGCTAAAATAGTAGAAATGAAAACGAAAATTTTCCAAAAAAAAGGAAAAATTATACCAAAGAGCTAAACGCCATCATGTTTGTATTCCTCGCCCTAAATAATTATATATATTCTCGTCTTCGCCTGTTACAACTCATCGGATAAAGTGCTGAGTATTTCCTGCAGGTCTCGCGCCTCGCCGCCGACTCGCAGCGCCTCGAGCACGCGTTCGAAGAGGAAAACGTGGCAGGGGATCCGCAACACTCCTTTTTGCTCGTATCCGTACTCCTGCGCCGATTTATTGAGCAGCGTCACGAATATAGGATGATTCAACAACTCCGCGCTCACGACGAACCGCTCCATCTCCTCTCCAACGTACACTGGTAGATGACCTTCAGGAACTCCTCCGTCTCTCTTCCGATACGATTCCGCGCACCGCCCCGTCCTCCTCGTCTCGGATCTCAACAAGCAATACTGTGAAGAATCCGCAACTTTGGAAAATTTCCTCATCAATTTCTTCATTGCGTCGTTAAAATATCGAAATCGAAATCAAACTCAAAATGGAAATGCGAGAACTGATTCGGTTGTAGTGAGAGAATACAGAAAGGAAGACTTGAAGTTGGGCGAAACGAAAGGACCGATGCGTGGTATTTATACTGGTGGCAAAGGGCAACTGACCGGTACACAAGGGCGTACTTGACAGGTACAACCATACTCTAGTGTTGGACTATATTAAATACTATTTCTCTAATTATTCAGAAAGTGATTCAAATACAACTAAAAAAAAAAAAAAAAAACTTATATTTATTATTACTATTTTATTTTATTTGCGATTTTTTCCTCTATTAAAATAAATTAAATGAATACTTTAATTATTTAATAGATATATTTATTTATTACATAATGAAGTGTCTTTATACATCGGATAAGAATACATATATATCTTTTCCGCTCCTTTTTCCTTTTTTCAGGACACTATGGTGTTACTTTAATCAAAGCAGAAATATTCAATATAATAAATAAATATATATATATATTTATAATATCCAAATCAGAACAAATGCATATGTACATATAAATATATTTCTATAAAACGACAGCGTCTCTTCTAATTACGTGTTACTTTGCTATTGTACATTTGTGACTAACTTTTTTATATATCTTTCCAGCCATTGTCATTTCATAAAGACCCAAACCATATATAAGGTTAACTAATATAATGTTAAGAAGCCATTGTCGAGTCAAGATCACTGGTTCGGTTTTAAATTTAATTTTGTTTAATTGAAATCATATAAAAAAAATAAATAAAAATACACATTGAATATAAAAATAAAGGTCTAAAATAAAAATACCAACCTGGCCACGAACCGCATGATATATTTAGGTGTATTTTATATACGGAAAAAATGTGAACTGAGTTCAAAATTTTCTTAAATTAATAATATAATTAAATAGGTGAATATTCTGACAGTTAGGACTTAGGTCCATAGATTCTTTAATTTGTAGTATAATATTTTCTGCATACTATAAGTTCTAGACTTCAATAAAATAGCTGGATGGGTGTGTACTGTACTGTAGGTGTATTTATAGGCGTATATGACACCGACGCCAATTCAGTGCATCTTTTCGTACATTATAGGTATTTTGTACGTCATTATTACAACAGTGCACCGTGTAATAGCCAATAATATTAGTCTTGAATGAGGTTATAATAATAATTCTGGGGCGTACGGTGTAGAACATTCAAAAAATTGAATATATATATATATAATTGAATATTGGTATTAATTTTATAATAATGGATTCGAATCGTTTGCATACTTAGAAAATTTTTGTTCCCACCAATCAAATTTAAACACATTAATTTAACAGTGATAATTAATTTCTAATTATGAAGGTTGTACTCAATCGGTGCATTCCAATGTGATCATTTCAGATTATTTCAAGGACATATCTAGAAACAAAAAATTAAATATATAATTAAAAAATCTGCATATATATATATAAGGTCTAGCAAGAATATAGATAAAGACAGCTGGACAAAAAATAATTAAAACAAATGGTAATTTCGTGGCTCTAACATTATGTGAGAAGCAAAATATCTGAAGCTACAATTATAACAATTAAATTGATAGGTTCAGGAGTACTCAAAATTCAATCTGCCTATATATATATATATATATATATATATATAATATGCATGCATACATCCACCCCTATTCGACAGTTCATTTCCACCGGTTTATAATTTAAAAATTTAAATTATGTGTGTTTACTAGGTGATTTTTTTTTTTTTTTTACTTTTTAATTGTCTTTTAAAAATAATGAATTAGATATAATATTTATGGTAAAAAATAATGCTTCATTAGTAATTCGAATTTATACTCATTTTTTTAGATTGTCATAAAAAAATACATGTTTTTCTTTTAATAAAAACAATTTTATTTATTTATGGAGTATCTTTAGAGGAAAAATAATGACAAAAATATATATATATACTCACATTAAAATATATGTAACTAGAAGTTTGAGCATACATTTAAATTACATAGCATAGCATGAATTATCACACTTTCCAAATTTCAACACGTGTTGAGCTATTATTATTATTATTATTATTATTATTATTTTGGCCACCAAAATGCATGGTCAAGAGGAAGAAAATAGTATATTAAATAGTAAAACATCAACATTAGATATCAAAATTGATTAGTAGGCGTTGTATTTCAAATATCCCGTGTGGATATTTTGGAAAATCGTTGTTTACATGTATCGAATTAAATCGAATATTACGAAAGATTATTTGCTTGGATTGTTCAATCATAATTTTAACGGATTTCGGACTTAATTACTCAAGTGTCAATCAAACTTTACTAATAACTTTGATCTACCACTGTGACACTATCTGTGAATACCCTTTTTATTTTTAGCAATGGACAAAGTTGCTTGCTTTCCTTTTTTAGTATTTGTAGGTTGCAGGAAGACTGTCATAGTAACCGTGTTGCAAACTGAAATTGTGGGTTTGACTTTATCTTTTTGTCTAATCCATTAAATGTCCACAAGAGATAATTTGATATTTGAAGGATGGTCAAACTCATGCAGGAACATTGAAGAACACTTTATCCATTTCTATGCCAAGAGAAATTAATAAGAAAGGTGTTCTTACCAAGAAAACATTGGTTATAAAATAAAAAAGGATAAACTGTGTAGTGTGAGTTGGTGGGCAAAATTTTAGAGAGAAGATTATTGAGAGAAGCTCTCACCACTCATCCAATTCAACTCTTCAACATTTTGAATGTGTGTTCTACACTGATATCAACTGGAGAGATCGAAGGTGTTCGGAATTAATGGAGTTCCAACCGGAGGGAATGATCAAGCTCTGGACTTCTTTGCTGTGTGGTCGTTGTTAGTACGAGGTTGTAGCAATGAGAATCTTATGAGGTATTTTCCTGGGTTAGCCATGACTAGCATTATAGTAAATTGAGTTATGATTGTTTGTGTCCTTAATCAACACTGGTTAGTGAAATTCCTCATGGATTGGTGTCCTCGGATGTAGATTTGTTGGTAATCAAACCGGGTCAACAAACACCTTGCCTTATTGTTGTTTTATGTTCTGCATATTTTTCATTGTTAAAATGTTGTTATAACTGTGAACCGTCCACACTTAGGAAGTTAACCCTTTAAAGTGTTTGAATGTGTTTTGTTCGATAAATCATTTCTCCAACACAAAAAAATAAATATCTTGTCCGTCAGGGATGGTTTGGTGGTGTGGGGTTAGATTTGTGACCGTGAAGTCATGGATTTAAATCCCCGTCGGGTCTGGGTTCGGCCACGCAGTTGTGGCTATCGCTTTTAGCCAAGTCCATAGAAATTTGTGTTTAATTTTTTTTTTTCAAAAAATCTCATTGTAAATAGAGTTAGACGTAAATTATAAACAATATATATAAATATACATTTTATTTTTTTCGAGGTGGAAATTGAGTTTGTTATTTTCCTAACACACACAAAGTAAACACCGAAGCTACTTAGGTATTTGATATTTTCACTTAAATTTGTTATTAATGTGTTTCACATTTTAAATGTAGTAAACAAGCTTCTTTACTTTGTGCGGCTGTGCTTTCAATACTTCTTTCGTTTATGATGGTGTTTTTTTTTTCTTCATTAAAATAAACTACTATAACTTTAACATCTAAATTTTCGGATCAGTTTTTATGTTAATAGACTCAAATCGGCTTGTTGTTAATTTGATTAATAGAAATGTATACCATATGTTTACAATTTATGTTTTGACAATATATGACATAATTCTACGTAGCACAGTATATTATTATTTGAACAAATAAACATATTTATATAGTAAATACCCTTACAGTCTCATAAATTTTATACAAAATATCATATTTTAGTACCTAATTTTTTAATTTCAAAACATCATATTAAATGTTTTTTTTATTTTTTTTTACCTCGACAACAACATGTTGATATTTACAGGTAAAAACATGGCACCCATTTTTTTATAAATAAAGGGGATGGGTTATATTTGACTTTATACAATGAATCACTCACTGATATATATTTTCATGTAAGAAAACGAAATAAATAAATAAATAAAAATAACTACCGAATCTTAAAAGATACAATGTAACCGGGAGTTAGGCAAATAACATGGCTAAATAGTTAATGTACAATTAATTCACGTTATAGAATAGGTTATTTTTTCATGGCTAAAAAGTATGTACCAATACTTGCCTTATTTATTTATATATTATACAAATAAATAAAATGTAATTAACGGACCTACTTTACTTTCCTTGTACCTTTTTAGCAAAATACGTTTTACAACATATATTACCAGATATCACCACCAGCAGTGCCTGGCGGTGACGCTGTCCACGTGACAGACACCACTAACAGACAAATTTTTCTTCAGACACATAATAATAATAATAATACTTATGATGGTTAAAATGGACTAATTCCGTCACGTGCTACTTCACGTACTAACTGAACCCCTACAATGCACGGCTAAAACGCGAAATAAAATTAATTAAATGAGGAGATTCAATTAATTTGGTTGCTAATCCAGATTAAGCCAAAAAATTAGAGGCCTAGAATTAAGTAGGTGTAATTACAAAAAGGATTGGAGAGTGATTACAACCAGACATCCCACGATAAAATGCGACTTTCCTGGGACAAGTGCGACTATCAATGTTACTGTACGGCATTGTGTGGGAAAGTACCGCACCGTAACGAATTTCAGGCACATTAATTACAATGTTAAGTTGTACAGCCCGACACAAACGCTGACGTGGCAACTTTGCTTGCCTTGTTTGATCTTTCGGACAATTCTAACCGAATTGTTTGCGTTCCTGTCCACGTATACATATACACATATTTTTTATTTCCAGAACATATTTTCATTTAGGATTTTTTAAAATTTTTTTTAATTTTTAATAATATATGTGGTTAAGGATATGAATGAATTTTAATTTACAAAAGCAATGTTACGTATACGTACGTACGGGCTACGACACGGGTGGTAATTATTAACGGTAAGTGTTTCATTATGTACGGTGGACACGTGGCACGCGTTTAGTGGTGGGATTAAATATAGCGTAGGGTAGGCCCCGGTGGATGT